ATCTAGATCAACATCTTTGCTACACTTTCATAGGTTATCTCATAATTCATGCACTTTAAATATTTAACTATTAAACTAGACATGCTCACCGCTTGGTTTTGCTTCTGAAGCGAAACCAGTTGTGTGGGCCATACTATCATGAGAAGGTGGCACCCAACCACTAGATTTCCAAGGTTGAATACCGGATGCATATAATTCATCAACTTCCTCTAAAGATAACCCCTTAGTCTCATAGACAAAAAAGTACACAAAGAAGAAAGAAAAGATCAAACAACCAGTAAAGACAAATCCGTAGTAAAAATGAATATCATTGGTGATGAAAGGAGTGAAGAAAGAAATAAGGAACCCCCAGAGCCAATTACCGGCGGAAGCGATTCCCATAGCCTTACTTCTGATACGAAGTGGATAAATCTCAGAAATGATACTGTATACACCACCAGCCCATGTTGATGCAAAGAAGAAAATAAACAAACAAGTAATAAAAATCAAGGCATTACCTGTTGGTTTATCTGTAGGTCCATCATATCCATCGGTATACAAGTTAACTGAGCCCAAGACGGAATAAATGATAAAACATACTGACATAGCTGCAGAACCAACGAGTAAGCATGATCTTCTTCCAAATCTTTCAATTGCCCAGATACCCACAAAGGTTGACGCAAAATTAACAACTCCCAATATAATGGATGTCTGAAAAGAATCATTCAAACCAACAGCTTGGAAAATTGTTGTACCATAGTAGAAGAAATAGTTATCTCCAGTTAACTGTTGCAAACATTGTAATAGTAAACCAACCATAACTCTGTTAAGAATTTTTGGCTTACCGGTGATTAATTGTGACCAAGAAGCAGATCCTGCCAACTTTTCCCTGTCAATACCAGCTTGAATTAGTTGAACTTCAGTGTAGACCCCTGGGTTTTCGATTGGTACCTTGTTAGATCTAGCAATTGACTTTTTCGCTTCTTCGATTTTATTTTTTTCAATCAAATAACGTGGAGATTCTGGCATACAAACCATACCTGCCACCATCAAGATTGCCCATGCAAAACACAAACCTAATGGGATTCTCCATTGTCTTGAATCATTGTACGTCTTAGTTCCATATGTAGTGCAGTAACCCAAGAAAATACCCAACGTAATGTTTAATTGGAAACAACAAACCAAAGTACCTCTTAATTGCTTTGGAGATGATTCCCCAATGAACAAAGGAGATAAGACGGATAGACAACCAACAGCTAAACCAGAAATTGCACGACCGATCACGATTTGATACCATTTAGTTGAGGATGATATTTGAACAATAATGCCGATAACATAGATCAACATTGCAAACATTATACCGATACGACGACCATTAGTATCAGCAATTTTTGATAGAAATATACAACCAACCGCACAGCCAATATTGAAGATACCAACGATTACCCCAGTTCTAACATTTGATAAAACATAGGTGCCACTGGCATCTGCTTCGCCAAATCTCTCTTTGTAATCAGACATATTAACAAAACCTGAAATGGTACCGGTGTCGAACCCGAACACGAAGCCACCAAATGCAACCAACAAACAAAATACAGATATTCCCACGTAATCTTTAAATGACTTTTCGGGGAGAGTAGGTAAGTTTTCTTCAATTTCCTTGGTAGTGGGAATTTGATCTTCATTGCCTTGAGTTTCGTGTTTTTCAACATTATACTTTTCAAACAAAGAGCCTTGGGCTGAACCTTGAGCTGTTTGTGTTTGAGATGAAGTCTCCTGGCTACTCATGCTGTTGACTTTTCACTAAAGAATAATCCAATCAACTGGGGAACTTAGAGGATTTTTATATGGCAGCAATGTTTTTCCAGATTACCTAAAAGAAACGGGTCCAGCTTGCTATTGGATTTGCGGCTCTGCAGCATTTGAGTATAGTGGAAATTATTCGGAAAAAATCGTTTCTTTTGTGAACCTTTAGCCACTTGGAAATGACGTATTTTCTCTTTATTGCTGGTGGTTTCTAGCCCTGGCTTCAATCTTTCGGATTAAGTTTATTACACAAACCAAAGGTCAATGTGAATTAATCCGGTATTGGCCGGTTAGGAAGAAAGTACATGCTAAATCTGGGGGCTAATATTCTACGTAAGTAGCTCAATAATGGTTACGATTGATTTCTCCCTCTGTCAGCAAGCTGCTTTTTAATTTTGGGCAGCTGTGCATCGGGCCAGGCTTTGTTGGTTATGAACACTCAAATAGCCGGGAAAACCAGACTTCGGAAAAACCGGCCATCTATTGAGCCAACAACAATGTTGCCCTGTGCATCCCCTCGTGGTATTTTCAGGAAAAGTAACCTTATTTCGTCATGGTCTGTCAGAAAGTTGATCATGCTAGGGGCCAAAGCTCGGTTATTGTTCAGTATACGTGGGATTTGGGCGGGGCAAAACCTTGGGGGATGGGGAATCTTTGCTACGAGACACCACTACGTTCTTCTTACCCGAGTATGCCTAAGACCATTCCAACCTCTAATTAGACTATTTTCTCATTCTGGCTTCGGAGGATTAAGCATCAAGAACGCTGATTTCTATCACTTTTCGGACTTCAGTGTGATTACGTAAGCGACATTAACTGAGTGCAGCTTTCAGCTAGTCAGACCGGAACATCTCCACTGCCAGGCACTTTCTCTACTTCTGCTTGTCCGATATTTCCAATGCCCCAAGTAGCCACCTTCCAGCCGTCGCTCCAGCATTGGTCTGCTCACTAATTATCCAAGCCATCCCACCTGGTTCTCACCAACCATGAATAGGAGTAGTCACGTGTCGCCTCCGCACTAAACCTCAACAATTTCAACCTACCTTACCCGCTTATCTACTACCATGACGGTACCACATACCAGCAAGCTGGGCGATGAGCTGTTGCCCTATGGTGACGGGTCCAATAAGGTGTTCGGGATGGAAAACTTTGGCAATACTTGCTACTGCAACTCTATTCTTCAATGTCTTTTTTACACGGAAACATTCCGTACCAAATTGGTGTCTCATAATGCAACTACCCATGACCGAAAACTAGTTCAAAATGGAGTCAAGCCTCACAACTTCACCACCAAATACGAGCAGTTGGTAGCGAAGCGACTCAAGGAGCAAGGATCCAGCAAAAACGTGTCCACTACGGCTGGTGGCGTCTCTGTCAATGGCTCAACCATTGAGACCAATAATGGGGCAACGGGAGAGGAAAGGCCCAAGAGCTCACGTAAGGGCTCCCTCTTTGGGATCAAGTTCAACTCAAACTCATCTACGACTCCTGTTTCTCATAGTCCCTCGTTGGAAGACAGCAGGAAGATGTCGGCACACATAGTCAAAGCTGGCAACTGTGATGCCTTGTCGTTGGACCAAAAAAACAAAATCAGCAAAGACAAGGAGTTCCAGCAGCTCAACATCCTCATCACCAGACCTACGACACAAACTTCCAATCCCTCAGATAGAAATGATTACTCACAAAGCTCATCAATGCTACTCAACAACGAACAGCCCCAGCAGGCCAATCCCGAAGGCAGCATATCATCTACTTCCAGTGCAGTGATTGTTGGTATCCCCCAGCCAGAAACTTTTCTCGTTAACCCCATCAATCCATTCAACGTTAATCCATCTTCCGATCAGAGAAAAAGATCCGCTCTTATTAACGGTCCTATTATAAATTTGGATAGCTCGATTAGACTCCCAAGTGAACAAAACGACGATTCTGCGTTATTGTATTCCTTGAAGGATATGTTCGAGAGCATGGTGGAAAATCAATCTAACACTGGTGTGGTTTCCCCGATCTACTTCATACAAAAGTTGAAGGAAAAGAACTTTTTGTTTCGACAAAATAACATGCATCATGATGCTCACGAATTTTTCAATTATTTAATCAATGAAATCATAGAAAGTTTGAATAAAGAAGTTAGTGTTGAGAACAATTGGTGCAATGAAATCTTCCAGGGTATGATCACAAATGAAACCAAATGTTTATCATGCGAAAATGTAACTTCAAAACATGAAAACTTTTTGGATCTTTCAGTTGACATTCCTCCGGGCGAAAGTGCTTATTCGTTAAGTTACTCGCTTAACAACTTTTCGAAACTGGAGGTGTTAACCAACCAAAATAAATTTAGTTGCAGTACTTGTTCATCCTTACAAGAAGCTGTCAAAACAATTAAGTTGAAGAAATTACCTGAAGTTTTAGTTATAAATTTCAAACGATTTAAGTACGACGAAAAGGTTGACAAGATGGTCAAGCTCTTTGATTCTATAAGTTATCCTTTCAACCTCCGATTGTTCAACACTACTGACGATGAAAAAGAATTTACACTCTATGAATTGTATTCTTTGGTTATACATATTGGCGGCGGGCCAATGCATGGACACTACGTTTCTATTTGCAAAGTGAAATCAGGCCTTTGGTTATTATTTGATGACGAGACTGTTGAATTGGTAGAGGACTCATATGTCATGAGATTTTTTGGGAATGGACCTGGTTTGGCTAGTGCTTACATCTTATTTTATACCAAATGTACTACTAGCACAAAGAGTTCCGAAGATGATGAACACACGATCAACTTTGGTTACAAGGTGGATAATGTGTACAACGGAGGAGATTATACTCTTTTCCAACAATTTGGCAATGATTCTAGTGAATCTTCGTTCAAAAAGTCGCATAAAGATATTGAAGAAGAACAGGAAGTTGACTCAGATGCTTCATCTATTGCATCATTCACAGGACCTGCTGCTACTGGTAGCAAAGAATTTGGTAGTGAATTAACACTTAAAAAGAGTGGCTTGTTCAAGAAGAACTTTAAATTCGAGGGCAGCAAGGAAGAAAAACCAATATCAAGATCAGGTAGTATCGTGGAAAAGAAAACTTGGGTTGGTGGATTAAAAAGAAGAGAGAGCAAAGCGGAAGTTCCTATGGAAAGGAAGGGCAGCACCAGTAGCAGTGTTGGCTCTAACGAAAAACGGAAGAGTATCTTTGGATTTAAGAGGAAGTAAATCTTAGAACTGGTTTTGTGGGGGTTAATAGAACAATCTATGACTACCAATAAGTAGATTGGCCATGCTATCTAATATGAATTGTAGTCCGTGTAAGTGCAGCTCTTCTTTGCTAATGGGAGGTAATATTTTAATTTACTCTTTAGATGCCCTGTAAAGTTGCAATGATGCGGATAAGGGTGGGGGCCAGATTTGCCTACTAGCTCGAGCCCATGGTAGTAAGTTGACAAGCGTGCGGTGAGCATATAGCCTACACCATCCATCTCTTCCAAGGTAGGAATCATGGGCTCTGGCAACGAATCAATGATTTGGCAATAGCACAACGTGGAAGCATGCCTGTCAGAGCCGAATTTTAGTCAATCAGAGGCTTAGTGTCTTCGAGCATTCATCAGCCACTTTGAACAATAGCGTGCATCATCTCATCATCTAGCTAATTTGGTTCGCAGGGCCAGGGTTCTGTACCCTTAGATCCAAATAACCAGTGCGACGGGGTTTGCATTATCGATCAATTACAATTAATTATGCCTGGCCGTTAATTTTTGCCGAATAACTCAATGGCCCGACGCATGCTCGATTTTTCACGATTTTTCACGAATTTCCACGATTTTCTAGTTCAACCAATCTTGAAGAGTGACCTCCATCCTGAGGCTGCTCCACTATCACCAATAGAACAACCCATCCCACTTGGCTCTGGCCATACCTATCTGTGTTCTCCCCTCGCCTTATCGTATCGACCATCCGTTTTGCACCCATCGCCATTCGCCACGATACCTTCGTGTATCGCACTATCCCGATCGGGTTGGTCGTGGGTGGAGCCTTGAGCCATACGGTCCGCGGAAACGGCGTCCACATCGGGCGATCAGCGGAACAGGAAAAGAGAGAGCGAACACATTTGAGACGGGTGAGAACCACGCTGTTTGTAATCCAGTTCTGTTTTCCCCTGCTAGTGCTGCAGGGCCTTCCCTGGCCTGGCAGGTAGCGCTGACTGCTGTTCCATCTCCGCTAGCGGAGCAGCTCGCTCGCTTGCATATCCCCAGATTCGCTATGGGCAATCCCATCACCGGCCCCGGTCACGTGCCATCGCGCCATGGCACCCACCACGATTGCAAAAGAATTTTCCGCCATCGTAAGGTCACGTGTGCGATTACTCACACCCATCACGCTGGATTCCATATAAAGGTGCATGTTGGATCCACAGTTGCCGTATCGTCACAGGTCTTAGTAAGCACACACTATATAAGGATTCGACCCCCTACCTTCCCCTGCCAGTGCTATCTCCGAAATGACCACAACCACATTGTCCCCCTCTATAAAGGCCTCCCTGTCCGCCAAGTACGTCACGCTAGCTGCCGGCTGCTTCTGGGGCGTCGAAAGAGTGTTCAGAAAGCATTTTGGCCACAAGGGCTTGCTTGACGTGCGTGTGGGCTACGCCAACGGCGTGCCCACTGCTGGAAACGTCAACTATGAGTCGGTTTGTACCGGCAAAACCAACTTTGTTGAAAGTGTCCAAATAGCATATGATCCAAGCTTGACTAACCTCAAAGAGCTCTTGGACATCTTCTTCAGAATGCATGATCCTACCACCGTCAACGCGCAGGGCCCAGACGTGGGGGTGCAGTACCGTTCTGCGGTGTTGACCCACGACGAAGAGGACCAAAAGCTCGCGTGGGAAGTGAAGGACGACAGCAAGAAGGTGTGGTACCCCAACCACGAGGTGGTGACCATCATCGAGCCCATCAAAATCTGGTACGACGCGGAGGACTACCACCAGCAGTACTTGCAGAAGAACCCCGGAGGCTACGAGTGCCCATCGCATTTCATCAGAACAAAGCCAAAAGTATAAATCCTCCCGTTTGCACCCAGGTATAGATTGGTCTGCTTTCTGGAAAAACAAGTTCAACACTGTACATTAGGTTCAACACATGTATAATACGTATGTGACATACAAAAGTTCATTAATAGACCGAGGGTCTCATCTTTATAGTTCTTAACTGGTTTAATTGCATGGAAAATAGCTCCCAGTAGTCAGCTGCTTACTCAAAACAGCTACCACTAACCACAATATCACTAATACCATTTACTAATACTACCAATAATACTAGCACCGACAATATATGCCCCGTGGTTAATTGCTTGAATTATTACGTAGGCCCTGGCTGATCCCCTTTTCTCCACCTATTCCACTGTGGCGTCCGACCAGTCGCAAATAGCTTTTATCTCCTGTGGGTTTGGGCCCAAAAATGGAGAAATTGATACCCCAAAATACCCCAGACGTGTTTTGGGCCCCTGCCTCGGGGAGCAACCGCAGCGGTCGCCACACCACCCGTTGGGCCCATTTCCGGAGTAGGAAAAGGCGCAACCGGAGTATGACGCCACAGCTATCTCCGAAGATCCAGATCTTGTGTCAAAGGTGTGGCTATGTCGCGGTGTGTCGCGTAGACGTGTCGCGCGTCATATGCAGGCAAGGCTGTGGAGGCATGAAATATACTGTGGAAGCATCTGTTGTATAGCTTGAATGGACATATTTCTTGGAAAAATACGATGGAGTTAAGTGTGTGTGAAGTTTGCGAATAATCCATGTGAATTTCTGTGGTTTGTAAAATTTTCTGCTTTTTAGCCATTTGTGTATTTGATCATCCCCTAAATATCACTTCAAGTCTTTTTCCTGGGTGTAACGTGTAACGGGCAGTATAAGGTTCCTAGAAGCTCTTCAAAAAGACGTAAATTGCTCTTGTACAATCAAGGTAGCTTTTTGTCTTGAGCTGGCTGAACTTTCTCCTGCAAGGAACCGTTATAGCTTTAAAAAAGTACCCCAGCGAGATATGCAAATTTAGATGGGTCTATCTTTTTCAGTGCTCTTAATATAAAGTATCAGCATACATGATTTGGTTCTGCAAGGATGTAACCCATTATGCACCAAGCTGCTAAATTCATCAAAAAATTCAAAGTATCTTTTTTTCTGAATGTTTGACTGAATTTATCAGAAAAGATATATTTTTGGTGTGTTCTCTATTGCAATAAATAAGTAGTAAGATGAAAATAAACTTCCCATTCGCAAAAAGATCTGCTCTACTTTTCAGCTGATCTCAGATCTCTGAATAGTAATAGCATAAGCATCAGGGGAACGCAGTCTTAAGTCCCAACAAAATAATTGTCAGCTAGCTAGGCTTTGAACTTGCTCTTCAGAAATTATTCATGAATGCCCATAAAACTGCTCTTCGACAGGACTTACTGGATGAATAAACTAAAAACTCAATCCTTCTACTACCAGACGCTTGCAATACTGTTGCACCCACCAGTAGTTAATTAATAATAATTTTTACGCTAATTAAACTAATTCAACACAATTGATCCAATAAAACAAATAGTCATCTATGAGTTAAGTGACCAGTTCAGTATAGGAAGCATCATGTGGTCACTTGGTATAAAACCCATCCAGTCTACCGTGCCGCATGTCGCCCCTCGAATGTCGTCTGGCGATATCCTCAAGACATCTTCACCGCGACATCCTAGACGCGTACCACCACCAACCATCATGTCTTTATGGGTAGACCGCTACAGGCCGAAGAGCTTGTCCCAGCTCACATATCACGACTCAATCACCCAGAACTTGGCCGCGTTGTCCAAATCGGGCGACTTTCCCCATCTTCTCGTGTATGGACCAAGTGGTGCTGGTAAAAAGACCAGAATCTATTCCACCTTGAACGAGATCTTTGGCGCCCAGGTGGAAAAGTTGAAGATCGACGTCAAGACGTTCACCACGTCTTCCAACCGGAAGTTGGAGTTCAACGTGCTAAGCTCCAACCACCACTTGGAAATTACTCCCTCCGATATGGGCAACAACGACCGGGTGGTCATCCAAGACCTCTTGAAAGACGTGGCGTCCACCGAGCAGGTGGACTTCCAGAACTCGCAGAAGAAGCATCGCTTCAAGATTGTCATCATCAACGAGGCCGACTCCTTGAGCAGGGACGCTCAGGCTGCATTGAGAAGGACAATGGAGAAGTACTCCACCAACATCCGTTTGGTATTGGTGTGCAACACCATCTCCAACATCATAGCTCCCATCAAGTCTAGAACGTTGTTGGTCCGGATCCCCAGCCCAAGTGTGCACGACATCTCGCAGGTATTGCTCAAGGTGTCCAAGAAAGAGGGCCTCAAATACTCTACGAACAACGAGGACGAGATTGTCAGATTCTTGGACAACGTGGCCCAGCACGCCAACCGCAACTTGAGAAGGGCGTTGTTGTCGTTCGAGACACTCGCCATGCAGCAGGAGACCATCCAGACCGGCAACAATCTCGACATCTTGAATTTGGACTGGGAGATCATCATCAAAAACATGTCCAGACAAATCAAAACCAATAGAAATGTGGCCACGCTTGCCAAGGTACGTGTGATTTTCTACGAGCTTCTCGCCCACTGCATTCCCGCCAGAACCATCCTCAAGACTTTGTTGTTCGAGTTGTTGGGATTGTTTGACGACACCTCCATTATCGAAGGCCTTGTTGAGTTGGCGTCGGTTTTTGATGAGAGGTTGAGCTTGGGACTGAAGAGCATTTTCCACTTGGAGGGGTTTGTGGCCAAAGCAATGGTGGTGATGGAGCACGGGTCGTAGACTAGTTGTACAATCCAATAATTATTAGGGGCTAGGTGACCTACTGCATGATACTTTGTAGTTTGTAGTGTCTGCCATCAAAAGATAGTATGTATTGCCCATGCCTTAATGACACATAGTAACTAAAGTATTGTAGTCGCCCGGTACAGAACAAACCATTGTATATTCGACACATAGCGAATGCCAGGTATAAATAAAATCGTAATAGATAGAAGTCATAAGAGTATGGTCATTGGTCCTTGGTGGAACTAAGAGAGATGGGTAGCGTTTGGGTTTAGTCTCCTTGTAGTTTATTGCCAGGCTAGTCCAGCTTTGGTCTCCATTTTGTAGGTTATTTCCAGGACTGTACGGCTCGTTAATCCCAAGGCATGTAGCATTAATTGCAGGCACGTAGCATTGATCCTAGGAATTTCTAGAGGTTTGATTTCTTGGAATTTCTGGCCTTACCACCACTTAAATCCCGGGCCGTACCAGCTCATGGAGTCTCCAGGCTTCCAGCACCTCATGGCTGTTGCACTTTGTGGTCGCCCCCTCTTTTGGAGTCAGCCAAAGGTGCCAAGTTCGAGCTTCCAGCGATGTCCTCGTAGTCAGGAGGCGCCACGTCGTCGCCGTCGCCCTGCGCAGATGAGCTGCCGGGGTTGTCTGTGTAGCGAGTGGCAGCAACTTGCTTGCCGGTCTCGCTACCCACGGTGTCGTCGTCGTCAGCACTCACACTAATGGGTCCAGTGGGCCCACTTTCCTCGTCGATCCGCACGTACCCGTCCCTCTGGCCATTGGCTTTGGGGAACTCCACCAAGCTGTACCACAAGGCAAAGATGATGCCAGGAATATGGCCAAGGAGGGTCAAGAGCACCACGATCAACGTCTCCTTATTGAAGACGTGGTACTCCTTCAAAATGAACACTGGCAACGGTGGAAACACGAACGCCATGATCACGAGAAGCACCCTCTGGGCGTCGTTTTGTGGAAGAGAAGACATGGCGGTTCTTGTGGAGTAGTGACTAGGTGGCAAAACAAATAGTTAGGGGGAGTGCGGTGCTGCCAAAACTGCCGCCAGAAATTGGCTGTCAGAACGGAAGGACTACTATAAGGGAGGAATAAAAGCCATTTTGGGCGACCTGACAAGCTTTCTAGCTCTTTATGGCAGCAGTGGGGGCCTTACTACGCCTAGAAGGCACCATGAAGTCCTTTTTACGGGGTCTCTGGCCGTCTTCTCTGGCTCTCCTTATCGCGCACGTGACGGCCAGTTATATTTCCAGCGCTTCACCACCACCACCATCTAAGCGCCATGGATTTCATCAAAAAGACCATATGGGGCCCCGACCCCAAGGACCAGGTACGTCCTCCCGCTAAAGTTCCCCGGCTCTACTAACCCTCTAGATGCGCAAAATCAACCAATTGCTCCGCAAGAACAAGCGGGAGTTGGATAGGTCCATGAACCAGCTCCAGCCGTTGATGAAAAAGACAGAAGGGTTGATCAGAAAGGCCGCCAAGGACAAAGATCTCAAGACAGCCAAGCTATACGCCAAAGAATTGATCAACATCAAGAAACAGTACAACAAGTTGCATACCTCCAAAGCTCGGGTCGACTCCATCTCCATGTCGGTGAACGAACAGTGGCAGATGAACAAGCTCACCCAGTCGTTGCAGACATCCACGGTGGTGATGAAGGATGTGAATCTGTTGGTCCATCTTGGCGTGGTGCTGGGCACCATGCAAGAGCTCTCCAAGGAGTTGATGAAGGCAGGCATCATCAGCGAGATGATGGACGACATGGTCGATTTGGACTACGAGGAGGACGAAGAGCTTGAGAGCGAGTCACAGGACGAGGTCAACAAGGTCATCCAGAGCTTGACGGAAGACAAGTTCTCCAAGATCAATAATGACGTGCCCACCGTCAGCGTGGACGTGGAGCCGGAGCCCGTGGAGCTCAACGACGAGGAGGACCAGGAGGCTTTGGACGAGATGCGGGAAAGATTGAGGGCTTTGCAGGAATGAGCGACTTTTGCCGTGTTGCATTTGATTGAGCTGATCCCTGTATAGAGCAAATACCAAGTGTATGATGCATCCAAGCAGTATATGCAAGGTCCTAGTTGAGCAGGAAAATAACGAGGTGGTTAATTTTAATAAACGTTGATAACTACATGAAGCAAAATGTTGAAGTGTAAACAATGGTGGACCTGAATTAGGGTTATTGAGATAAAGGGAATAGCCGGAGAATCAGTAACTCATTAAACCCCCAATGAAGATATCAACTACTACGATACCATTAATAATTTTCACTTCTGAGACTACTGGGCTCTGGTTTGATTATTTAAGAAGGCCTACGTTGGAAGCGCTTTTCTAAGAGATCAGACCAAAACAATTTTCATTAATAATGTCCACATCTTTCTGACTTATCTGTCGTTAGCTGTCACAGGCTCTTGTGTTGACTCGATAAACTCGATTCTATTTGGTGCTACACTTTGATTATCGATAGATTTTTCTTTCCCGTCACTTCCGTGCACAATAGGCACGATAACTACTATTTCTCTACTAGAGCCATTCTCAATCTCACTTTATAAATGCTTGAATAGACAAGCTTGCTGTAGGACTGGTAGGATCATCATATCCGTTGAATTGGTCAAGAAACCCCGGTCTTTGTACTTGGAACATCTTCACTGAAATTCCAAATTGGTCCAGGCTGACCAGTCAGGAAAATGGGCCCAAGTGTCGTCCCTGGGTAGTAATTTGAGATTGTGCACCTAGCTTACTTGAAAATAAAGCTTCCTCCTGTAGCTGACACTGCACCGCCTTTGCAGCTAATTTAGCTAGGGCCCTCACTGGATCTTCCCCCCCCCCCATCTCGTCAAAGATACTCTTGACTTAGATACGCTTATCTGGAGCGTTAGGTGCGCCGATCAGTAAATTGGACGGTACCACTAGTGGAAAGCACATTGCGCATCTCTGCGTAGATTACTTAGAGCCTCAAGAACAACGATTCTGTGAAGTTGATCTTGCATGCGTCCTTGATGTTGTCGTTCAAGGCTTCGACCTCCTTCTCCACGCGGGACTTTTCGTCGCCAGCGTAGAGGTGGGGGTAGCTTTTGTAGTTGTCGTCGCCGAGGTCTGCTATGCTGTCGTCATTGGCGGACAGGAAGTGGAGGCTGTTGGCATTCAGATGGGAGGCGTTGGGGGTGTTCAACTGCGAGTTGGCAGCGGTGCTGGTGTTCAAGAACGTCGACACGTCGATGAGGTTGTCGGAGAGGTCGTTGACGATGGTGTTGAGCTCCTGTTGTCTCTGCTGCTGTTTGAGCAACTCGGCCTCTTGTATGTAGTCGCTAGAGTAGATGTTGTGGTGGTTGCGCAAGAGCGATGACGACTCATTCACGTCGTCCTCGTCACTGGAGCCGCGGAGGCACGATAAACACAATCCCATCGTGGTGTTGGTGGTGGAGGTGGTTGTGATTGGATGAGTATGCGGAAGGTTGGCTGCCGTTTTGAGGTGATTTGGTGATATTTAAGGGTGCGCACGATGGCTGGCTAAGATAAGCTGGGGCATGCGGAGGAACTAGCGAGAACGCAGGGGCATGATGCTGACAGGCTGGTGGGCTGAAGAGGCTGTATATGACAGCGGTGGGCAACTGCGCTGGAGCCGATACTGCCATAGATGATGGATTTCAACGGACGATACCTCATAAAATGGTCTCGGTGGCTGGGTGGATATTGCTAGAAGCACCGGTAGAGCCAAAGGCGAGAAGAAGAGCCGAGAATCCACCAGACATATAAGCGCAATCTAAATAACCCGAAAGAAGGATATCAGGGACCTTCTAGGTTGAGCATATATAATTTAATAAGGTGGAAGTTGATTGTTTGCTGTAGCGTAGTTGTCTATGTGGAATGGGTGATTCCAAGCATCCATTCTCTGGCCCGCCTGACTTCATATTGCAACCATCATGATGGCTGCTAAAGGATAGACAAGACGCACAGTTGACAAGATTGGAAGAAAACAGTGATGAGTCAAGAACCACAACTGGTGGCCATGAGTCAAGGCTGCGAAGAGACTAAATGGTGCTTAAGCATCAGTTGGAATTGGAATGGTTCGCTCCATCGTTATGTTGCATAAGCCCAATCAGTTGGAATTGGAAATGGTTCGCTCCATCGTTATGTATTTTATCACTAGCCACAATCTCAGATTATACACTCATGATAATGAAGTAGTAATCTTTAGCAAATGGACTGCCTAATTTAGAAAGTCCTTCCATCTGGAATGTTTATTTAAAGACAGGTCTACTTCACAGACAGGCACTTAAGAGTCTCGTGCGGTCGCACCCTTCCTCGGTCTCTGGATGCAGTGAACCGTTGTAGAGAACACCTTTACTGCTTCCGTAAGACCCACATCGTCAGTGACAACCTAACAGAGTATCACCTCCCATCATCGGCTTCACAAGTTCCACCACATTCATGTGCTCCCAAGGAGCCTGACACATGTTATTGTAGACCTTCGGGCACATGAATTATCCACCACCCTCCTTTTGTGACACCCGTTGGGCATCTGCCTATGATTGACCTGGATCAGCGCATTTAACCACTAAGATCAGCACGGCTTGAAAGCACAGCTCTACGGATCCCAACTCATCGTCTTCTTCTTTCCGACACAGCATGCCGGCTATTTAAAGCGCCCATGATGGTCTCCCGGTGTATGAAACGAGATCCAGTCATCCGCCTGTCTTGCCAAATCGGACTGTGATGGTTATCAGCTGCGAAATATGGAGCAACAGCCGCGCCAAATGAAACGCGATGAGTGGGAGCGAGATTTACGGTTACGTACCGGTGGGTGGGTCTGGACCTACATAACTACTATAAGCGCCGCCAACCCCACCCTTCTGAAAGTTATATAGGTGCTGGTTCCGTCAAGTGCCCCACGCTATCTACAGTGACCATGGCTATCATTTCGCAACTACCCCCAGAGCTCCTCGGCTTGACACTCTCGTGCTTGCAATCTAGCGATCTCGACCGTCTATTCAACTTTGTGGACTTGGTCTTTGCTCCACCGTCAGGCAAGTTCCGTTCCATCCAGCAGATGGCGTTGTACCATTACTATTCACACAAAAATCTCGTTGTCACCACCAACAATTCCACCTTCAAAAGAGATGGGGGGTTGGTGGTCTCGTATCCCGAGTTGCAGTACTTGGCAAAACACCGCATCATGATCCAGCCCCACGATATTACGTTTGTGTTGGACAACAACTTCGACGAGGTGCCGTTGGAGCTCATCAACTTCATGATGATCCTCAACGATGCCTCGGTCATGCACTTCATCAGTCAGTGCTCCCACAACATAAATATCGAGTTGAAGCTTCATGTGAATTCGTCGTTCCAGAACAATAGCATGGTTCGGCACATGTTTGCCAGCTTGGATAAGAACGGGCTCACCCGGATTGCGATCTTGAAGATCCACTACTATGGATGTGCTGGTCACAGTAACCAGTACTTATACCAATCCAACTTGTACAATGCCAGTATGAATCGGTTTTCTGCCGACCCCAGGGTAGTGGCAATACAGAAGGACCCCAGATTACTACTCAAGTATGTGCAAGAATGCGACCATGGACATAACTTTACCTATTCCCAGTTCTGCCCAAGCTGCATAAGTATCCAGATCAGTAGCCTTGTTCTTCAGAACTTTGATGTCAATAAGTTGAACAGCTACTTTTCTGCCAATACCCTTAATTTTTGTCAGCTCAAGAGATTGGATTTATCGTATAATGGTCTTGTCGACTTGAGGTCCATCAAATTTCCTTCGAGCTTGACCCATTTGAACCTCTCCAACAATAACCTCATTAATCTAAACTCCTCAAATTTTAATTTAAAGGATTTGAAAAACCTCGAGGAATTGAACTTATCCAACAACAATCTCATCAACATCGATTTCAGAGAATTACAAGGTTGCCCCACTTATAAGATCAAGAAATTGCAATTAAATTGCAACAGTTTGGTGGATTTGAGCTTCTTAAGGGCTTCGCCATTTGTTAATGTTATAGACCTTGACCTATCCAGAAATTTGATTTCCAAACTCCAGAAGTTTCCCTCTAAGATCGTAAAATTGGACTTGTCTGGGAACTACATTGCTGATTTTTTCAATCAGTTGGATGCAAGTGTGTTCCCCAGCAGTTTGAACGAGTTGAATATTTCTGGGTGCAAGATAAACTGCAGCAACTGCGACTTTACCCCAGAGCTTGGTCACTGTATGAGCTCGTGGATATCTGAGGTGGCACAACTTTTTAAAATCAAATCTTTGTGCGCAAGTGCTGACGACTTGAGGCAGGGTGATTTCATTGCTGTTGATAACGGTATCGCAGTGTGAAGAATACATTCTACTCAACAGAGTAGTAAAAAAAAGGAAATATATAGAATAAACTGGTGTAATGAAATTGGGTGTGACTTTTGGCACACAATTACGAATAAAAAGAGTATCACTATCGTTTAAATCTTGCAGCCTTATAAGAGGATAGTAGGATTTGTAGAATGGGAGGGTGACACAGTTTATTGACCCAAGAACCTTGCTACAAAAAAATTCTGAAGATATGTGAAGAAATTACAGTTTCAGCTATGGGTAATAAAATTATTTAAAAGCCATGGATGATAGTCAGATGAATTTATAAAAAGATGTTAAATTCACAAAATAGCACAAATATTGATGGACATAATGGAAGACAAAACCTTACTGCCATATTCGTGAAAACCCTCTTGCAATTGTTCGTATTTTCTCTACTCAGGAGCGTGCTACTCCTATCCACTATATAACTATCCCTGGGACCTCGATTACGTAATCACTCCCCCCCACATTCAGGGATGATTCCCACCTTCTAACCGCCCACCACCATGTCCAAAGCCTTGTGTTCCTACGCCTTTGACACCCTCTACACCCTTCTCCACGGCACAAGCCCCACCTCCTTAGCCAAGCACTTTGCCGTGCTCCAGGAGTCCCTGTCCGACTATCCATCCTCGGCCCCTGTATTCGTTACCTGGAACCAATCGGGCAGGTTACGTGGATGTATAGGCACTTTTGCCAGTGAGCCTATAGAGAAGGGCGTAGCCAGGTACGCTGTCGTGGCAGCAAGGCAGGACACCCGATTCCGTCCCATTTCCAAGCTGGATCTAAATTCCGAACTCCTGGTGAGTGTAACCCTTCTAGATAACTTCACCCATATTGATGAGTGGGACGATTGGACCATTGGATTGAACGGTCTCAGGATATCGTTGGACCTCGAGGGCTCTCACTACCTGGGAACGTTTCTACCTTCTGTTGCAGAGGAAGAAGACTGGTCCAAGGAAGACACTCTCTACTATCTCTTGATTAAAGCTGAGCTCTCTGGCATCAGTCAAGACCGTGTGGTAGGCTTCTACAAGAAGGGCATCAAGGAAGGCTGGCTCCACTTGACTCGGTACGACGGTCTCAAGCTGCAATTGGATTTTAGCCAGTTCCTCGAGGTCCGCAAGGCACTTCAGCCATGAAGTGAATAATCAGAATGAGAATATTGACTATCTCTTTTATCAGATATAGGTTTTTTGAAGTATGTTGTGTCCATTGCTATCAGGGCTGTTGGTAAACTACAGATAGTAGGTTTTCGTATGTTTAGTTAACTATATAAGGGGTGATGGACAGGATTGGTATCAGTATTAGCTAGTCCATAGTATCAGTGGAGGCCCCACTTCTAAAAAGATCTAATCATAAACAAATGTTCTAAACTTCAAATGCCTTGGCGACTCCGTAGAGGAAGAAACCACTTAAAACAGGGATGGTGAAGTTATCGTCAATATTCCAGAGGTTGATGAACTCGGATGCGCTAGCAATGAATCCACTCAATAATGCATACACGTGGAAGTTCAACTGACTGGTGGACTCGGACCACAAGATATCCTTTGGCTCGTTGACGTTGTAGTTTGGGATGAAGTAGCCGTAGAGCAAGTAACAACTGAAGACACCGGTGACGAAACTAGCCAATGATCCAGCAACAGACTTCCCAGCAGTGATCTGGGGAGTGTACTTGCCAAACTGTCTACCGATGGTAGAAGCAGACACATCGGCCCAACTCAACAACAACACACTCATCAAAGAGATATCCTTGGGGAACAAAGCAAACACGATCATGAGCCCCACCAAGTACCACAAGGTACCGTTGTATTGGTTAACCTCCTTCTCTCTGATCAAGAACCACATGGTATTCACCACCTTGCGGTTCAATTCGGGGTTCTGGAATCTGATGTAGTCATTGGTGAAGATCACGGCAAACAACGTTGCCAACGGAAGGATGATCTGGGTCTGGTGGACGCCCAAGGTGTAGAGCCACAAGGTGAACACACCAATGGACGAGTGGAGGAGCTTTCTGACCACCTCGTGCTTGACAAGGAACTTGCGGAACTCGGAGGTTTGGGCTAGGATGATTGATTCAAGCGCAGGCTTTTCGTCTGCAACTGGCTCCTCTTTGGTGTTGGATTCAGCAGGAACCTCGACGGTAGACTCTTCCGTGAGCAAGTTCAGAAGCTCGTCTTGGATGGTGTCGTCTGGGGTGGTGTCTTCCAGGACATCCAGGTACTCCAGGATCATTGAGCTCTGGTGCATGAAGGTGTCGTCATCATCTTCGACGTAAGTTTCGTTGCTGTCGAAATTGAGGATGGTCTTTTCAGGGACCACTCTTTGCACGACCTTCGGCGTTCTGGGGGTGGCAGGTGCTGAAGACATGGTGGAGATGTTGTAAACATTAAAAACATATTTTTGATCTGATGGGTGCGTCACGTGCCCGTGTCCGGAGCCAACGGGCGCCTGTGATTCCGGGGACTATATGCACACCGACGATGATGGAGGCGTATATTCTGGGATTCTTAACACTACAAGAACTGTGAGTGAGCTTGTAGGAAACTCGGTGTTCTGAAGCTTGAGTGTAAAACTCAGTCTTCACAGCCTGACAATTCCAGTGACGGGGATGTGGTCAAGTGGAGCGTGGTCAAAGACAGTGATAACAGTCACAAAAATTGAAAAGAAAGGCCGAAGCGCAAGATGGTATCAGAGGGCATTCTACGTCCTTCTATTTGGCTCTAGAATTTTGGGGGCAAAATCAGGATAGCTTCTATGTTTTCCCAATTTTTACATCATCTCCAACCCATTAGTATTACCGGTATACCATCCCCAAACCTTTAGTTTTACCCGTCTTCTTCTCTTTGCATAAAAAAATGGAATGTTCCACTTAATTTTGGGTACTCCTTCAAGCAGGTAAGAGAGCAGTAGAGCTTCATTGGACGGTAGTCTCTTTCTTACCCACAAGGTTAGCTGAGATTTTTCGCAGCCATGAATTTGTTGGGTTGGGCCTAACACGTTAGCATTGACTAAGCTGCTACATTTCGATTTCCCAACCTGTTACTATTAGTAACTTAATTAATACATTGCATCGACAGTAGTATTTCTTAGTTGCCTAGCTCAAGTGTGAAGTTTCCCACTTTGAGCAATGCTTATGCGGTCCCACCGAATCACAACCGTTAATCCTATCTGGAAGTTATAATCTACTTTTCAACAATTCTTAAATATTTGCATTTTCTCAACAATTTTACACGGCAAAATCTCAAAACTAAAATACAATTTGTGATTTTAGAATCATCGATACAGAGTGTTAGAGACATACAACAATAAATGAAACGAATGGAATTAACTTTGCTATTTACAGAAAACATTTGAAATAATGTTTCAGCTAGATCCACTAGCTCGTCTTTTCCAAGACTCTTTTCGCAATGTCTAAGTATGGCTTAGAAAGAACCGATTTTGGATCCATTACCACGGGCTTCCCGCTATCAGAATGCACACAAATATCTGCATTCAAAGGGATCGAACCCAATAATTCCAAGTCGTGGTTTTTTGCTTCTCTGGCAGCACCTTCAGTCCCAAAGATATGGGACTCATGGCTGCAATTAGGACATATGTAGTAGCTCATATTTTGCACCAAGCCTAGGATAGGGATATTCACCTTATTAAACATGGCAATACCCTTAACTGCATCGATAAGGGCAATATCTTGTGGGGTGCTCACAATAATGGCACCATCTACTTTCAATTGTTGGCCGATAGTAAGCTGGGTATCTCCAGTGCCTGGCGGCATGTCGATGACGAGATAGTCCAAGTTAGACCACTGTACCTCGAAGAGTAATTGTTGCAATGCTTTCATGACCATCAAACCTCTCCATACCACAGCATTCTCTGGGGGCACCATGTAACCCATGGACATGGACTCTATTCCATAATTGGACAAAGGAAGTAATTTTCCTTCAGATGATAGACGGGGCTCACCCGAGAGGTTCAACATACGAGGAATGGAGGGCCCAAAGATATCTACATCAAGAAGGCCGACCTTTTTGCCCAAGTTATGAAGCGACAATGCCAAGTTAGAGGACACAGTGGACTTTCCAACCCCTCCCTTTCCAGAGGCAACGAGTAGAATTTTGTTGACACCAGGAATTTTTTGCTTGACAGGCAAGCCACGAGACATTCGGGGAATCAGCGGGTTCTTGGGGAGTCCTAGTGGGTTTTCATGACGAAATATGGATGAAGCATGAAGGCGACGAACGGTTCTCAACATGGTCAAGGATTATTAGGGAAACTGGGAGAATTCAGTTCAAAAATGTAGCAGTACAATGGGGTTGGGCTTTAGGAGTGAGTTATGGCAGAATTGTCCTGCTGACGGTGATGGCACGGAAGAAACGTTTGGTGTATGGCCTGTTTTGGTGAATAGTCAGCTGGAAGTTGGGAATCTAGATGGCTAGCAATCTGGAGAGTCTTGGAGGAATGTGGAAAGTACTATCAGCAGATGGTGAGGTTCAGACAAGGTGACAATTCTGTTTTGAGTTAGCCGCTTGCTCAGTAAAGCTTGTAAACAACTGTATCAACTTGCAATAGTGCAATTAAGGATGCTATGTAGGGCTGGATGGGTAAGGAAGCTTGGTGGGACGAGTAGAGGGCTTGAAATTGGAGCTGTACGCTTTGCTGAATCTAGCCTTCTTCTGGTTCTTCTGGTTCTTCTGGCTCTTGCGATCTTCTGCTTGCGCTTCTTCTGCTTGCGCTTCTAGTCTTGAGGTTCTTCTTCTTGTGCTTGTGCTTCGTGTTGGCCCTCTTGTGATTCTAGTCCTTGATTCTCTGATTCGCACACTTATTTGCGATGGCATCTCCACCACCACCACCACCATGATGCGGTCTCTAGCCCTACCAGGCACTTCCAAAGCCTTCCTGAGAGCAATAGTACCCCCAAGCCTTCATGCTGGTCGCATGTACTACTCCACCAGACCAACCATATATGCCTTGTCCACCCATCTTGCCAGATCGGCCATAGGCATCATCAGAATATCGGGGTCAATGTCGAGCCACATCTACACCAAACTCACCCAGAGCCAACCACCCAAGCCCAGGTTGGCAACCGTCAAGACGCTTCGCTCTTCCAAAGGAAAGGTGTTGGACGAAGCGTTGGTGCTCTACTTCAAAGGCCCTGCCTCCTACACAGGAGAAGACCTCTTGGAATTGCACGTCCACGGAGGCGTGGCCATCATCCAGGCAGTGTTGAAGGCCATCAAGGGGTTGCACGACCCCAGCCAGGGCATTCATATCAGATATGCTGAAAATGGAGAGTTTTCCCAGCGTGCATTCATAAACGGACGGTTTGACCTCACGGAAATCGAAGGCATTCGGGAAATGATCGATGCTGAAACCGAGACCCAGAGAATAGCAGCGTTGTCGTCGCTCTCGGGAGATACCAAGCAATTGTTCGCGGGATGGAGAAATCACATCCTCAATAACGTGGCGCTATTGACTACAGTAATAGATTTCGGAGAAGATCATGACATTGAAGAAGTCAACGAATTATTTCAAACAGTAAACGACAATATAATACAATTGGAATCCCAGATCAGCCAATACCTCAACAAGGTCAGACGGTCGGAAGTGCTTCTCAAAGGAATCAAGACCATCCTTCTAGGCCCCCCCAACGCGGGCAAATCTTCTATTTTGAATATCCTTGCAAACAACGAAAGTGCCATTGTAAGCGAAATCGCAGGGACCACCAGGGATATCATAGACGTCCCCATAGATATCCAGGGATACAAAGTGGTTATCGGAGACACCGCAGGAATAAGAACTACCACAAAAGAAGACCAAATTGAAATAGAAGGTATCAAGAGGGCGAAACTCAAGTCATTCGCCAGTGATCTCGTGATAATAGTGCTTCCTGTCAACGATGACAAAATGGTGGACTATAACGATCTTTTTGAACATATTTCAACCCTCAAACTGGAGAATAAGGAAATCTTGGTCATTTTGAATAAGATGGATTTGATTGACGTGGATAAAAAGTCCAAGCAACAACTTCTCGACAAGTTTTCCAAGAGATTGGAGATCGACCAATCCAAATTCCATTTAATCTCATGTATAAATGGATCTGGAATGGAGTCTTTAACCAATTCGATGGTTCACAGCTTCAAAACCATCTCATTATCAGAATCAACAGATCCCATCATTGTGTCTTCCAGAATACAGGATTTATTGGAAAATGATGTTTTGCAGGGATTCCAGCAATTCTACCATTGGAAAGATCAAGATGATGTGGTTTTGGCGTGTGAAAGCTTGAAACAGTCCATCGAAGGAATAGGAAAAATCACCGGTGAAGCTGTTGGAGTGGAGGAGATTTTGGGGGTTGTGTTCTCCAGTTTTTGTATTGGGAAATAGATCAAGTAGTGTTACAAATAACATAAAACGTAATCTTCTCAACTTCCCAGGTCATCTTCAATTGCTGGAGTTGGTGTCTAGTGTGTCTACCAGCAAGCTCCTCATTTTCGTCTGGGATTTTGGCATGTTTAAATTGCTTACTCAAGTTGGGGCCGACTTTCACTTCGAAGTCCAAAATATTCAATCCATTGGTTAATTTCAAGTCGTATTGAAGTCCAAGTAAGTCGTTTTCATTTTTCTTTTCTTCAAAACAATCACCACCGTTTGAAACTTCTCTTTCATTAACAAATAGCTTACATTGAAAATCGTCATCGGTGGAAGAGTTCAAGTACCCACGACCGTCTATCAAATCAGCCTTTTTGATGGAATGGAGCAAGTTATGCAATGAGACCTTCATAGAAATGTATGGCAGCACATCGGCTGGTAAAGTCATAGTGTAGGATTGGACGGCATAACCGTTTGAAGGAACTTTGTATTCGAAGAAGGTTGTAACTGGATGAAGTGGATGAGTGGGGAACAAGGCTTTCTTCATTTCTTCGTTCTTTGGAAGAGGAAGGTTGCTGGATTGATATGCCTTTTGTTGAGTGTGCTTGGTGATATGGTTGACTGCAGCAATAGACGAGGAGATAGAAGCTTCCTGGATAACGGTGTCATCTAAGGAAATCTTTGGTAACGATTTACCAAGAGTGTTTGCACTATTCTTCTCTGTATGTACTTCTTGTGGCTTGTCAACAGTGTCCACGGGAGCTGCACCATCTTCTTCCTTGTTGTCACTAATGTCGGCGATGGAAGCTTGGCCAGTTGGCTCTTGTTTGACATCCTGAGTCTCCTTCTGATCTTCACCCTTCAATTTCAAGTTAAGTTTCACTTTTGGTTGTTTTAGCTTCAATCTCAATTTGGTCAATTTTGTGACTTCATCCTTGAGGACATCGTACTTCTCCTCAAACAATTCCTTCAATTTTTCAGCATCTTGATGGATTTCTGACGAGGGGTCATTGTACAATTGGGCGTTGGTGAAGATAAGCATAGTGGCGTTGTAGAACTTTTCAAGGTTGTCGACCAAGGAGACTTTGCTCGAAAACAACTTCTTTCTCTCTATCTTTTTTAACACATTGCCAAACGAGGTGGGCGTGGTGACGTAGTTCAAGTAGTCTGGGTACTCCTCAACATCAACATCGTCCATGAAGGGGTTGCTGATGATGCCCTCGTCCGGGAACTCGTGCGAGATCACGTCCTTGAGCAAGGCAGTGCAAATCAGAGGCAATCTGTCGAAGGTGATCTTTTTCTCACCGGATTCTTCCTTGACACCAGCGGCCTTCTTTGGCTCTTTTTCTTGGGTGTTTCCATCGAAACTTCCGTTCTTGAGGAACTCGTCGGATTGCTGTTCTACGTAGTCGTAGATCTTCTGTGCTGACGCGACGATCCATGATTCGGGGTCGTTGTACTTGGCTGCGTTATCGAGCAAGAGCTGGAAGTCGGCCAAGTACTCGTGGGTAGAGTCAACAGGGTACTTGTTCTGCTTGAGCTTCTTCTGGATCTCAGCAAGCGAGATGGGCGTGTCAATGATCTCGTAGTAGTCGGGATACAACTTCTTGGGAGGCAATTTGACAAACGGTCCAGATATCACTTCTCCAGCATCGTCTTTGAGTGCGAGAACTTGGCCAGTAATGGAGGTGTAGAAGTGCTTGAACTCGTCAGCCGAAGGGGAAGTCTTCTTCTTCTTGGCCACGGAAGACAGCGACGAGGCGTTTGTTCGTTTTGCGGCAGATCCCATTGGAGTTGGTGTGGTTTAAGTGCAGTTTCCAGTGTTTTATGAGGAGCGTGGTTGAATGTTTTCAATGTGCGAACTGGGTGAAATGCAGGTTAGTGCTGGCAGGGCCAAACCAGTAAATGGCGTCAGATCCATCGATAACGTTTCCATACTAGAATTCTGTCTGTACCTGTTATGGCCAACTATTCCAGCGAGCCTGGCTGCGTGACCATTCTCTATGGGTCCGAGAACGGCACTGCCGAGGACTATGCCCGCTACTTGTGGCAAAGGCTCCAGTACCTTCAGCTCAAGCCCACCTTGAGCACCTTGGATGAATACCCTTTGAAAAGTCTCGTCACCGAAACCAAGATCCTCATTATAGTGTGCTCTACCACTGGCCAGGGTGAGCTTCCGTTGAACGCCCGCAAATTCATGAAGTTTTTGCTCAAAAAGAAGCTTCCATCCGACTTGTTGAACCACATCAAACTCACCACTTTTGGCGTGGGCGACTCTTCCTACACCAAGTTCAACTACGCCGTCAAAAAGCTCCACACACGGCTCCATCAGCTCGGATGCTCCGAGCTCTCGCCCCGCTGTGAGGCAGACGAGATGTCAGCCGAAGGCGTGGACGGCTTCTACAAGGAATGGGAGCTAAAGGTGATAGAGAACATCAGAAGTTACTTTCCCGATCTTGTGACAATCAGTGACGATTACCTTCTTCCTCCATTGAACCCAGCATCTTACGATGAACTGGACGACTTGCTAGACGAACTGGACCTTTCTTTGACCAGGGTGCAAAACGACCCTGATTTGCATATTGGCAAGATCGTTTCCAACGTCAGACTTACCGATTCCGACCACTTCCAGGACGTCAGGCATGTCATTATTGAGTCGGAGGAGTTGAAATTTCTTCCGGGTGACACCGTGGGGTTGTATCCAATCAATGACGACAAGAGCGTGGAATTATTGATTCAGCTGCAGCCCCACTGGATTCCGTTTGCTGACAAACCACTTCACATCCTGGGAAAGGTTGCTGCTATTGATGGTGGGTTGATCTCCGCAGAAAAGCTCACTTTGCGGTCTCTCTTCAAGTATCACCTCGATATCGTGGCCATTCCTCGAAGGTCGTTTTTTATGAACCTCTGGCACTTCACTAATGCTTCCACCCCAGACGGTGAGCGGGAGCAGGAGAAGTTGAAGGAGTTTGGAGGGTTTGAAGATACAGAAGAGTTGTACAACTACGCCAATAGGCCCAGAAGACTGATTCTCGAGACCATATTGGAGTTCCAGGATAACCTCGAGATCCCCATTCGGTACATCTACGACCTATTCCCCAAGATCAGGCCCAGGCTCTTCTCCATTGCATCCAAACCATCGCCTACCCAGGTGGAGCTCGTGGTCGGAATTGTGGAGTACAAGACCATGTTGAGACGGATCAGAAGAGGGTTGTGCTCGAAGTGGTTGAAGCTGGTGGATTCTGGCGACCGGATCGTGTTCAAGACTCACAGAGCCAACTTGAAGTACACTCTTCCATCGGTGCCCAATCCTCCGTTAATCATGATTGCACCAGGAACAGGAATAGCTCCCATGAAGTCCATTATAGAGCACGTCACGGGACACGAGATAGACCAACAGTTGCACCTCTTCTACGGGTGCAGGTATAGCGGTAAGGACCTCTTGTTCCGGGAGTTATGGAACACTTTGGTGGATGCGCAGAAGCTCCATTTCTATCCGGCATTTTCGAGAGACGAGAACTCTACTGCCAAGTATGTCCAGGACAGGCTCTTCCAGGAGAAGGCGCTCATCGGAGACCTCCTCTTGAACCAGAATGCCATCATCTTTGTGTGTGGATCCAGTGGTAAAATGCCCAAGCAGGTGAGAATCACCCTCATGGAGGTTTTGGTGCACACAGGCATGGACGAGGCCCAGGCGGGCGAGTATTTGCTTGCCATGGAGGATAGTGGACGTTACAAGGAAGATGTGTGGTGATTTGTGATGGGAAAATAGACTTCAATAACATTTGGTGAAATTTAATTATCGACAAGTTTCCAGTAGTTCGGATGAAAGTGAAGATTATTAGTCAAAAGTCTTTATCAGGTTTAAAAAGGCTTTTAAATCTTCAATAAGAACTCACAAACGGAAAACTATTCCATAGAGGACTACAAATCATTATAATCCTGGCCACTTAACGCCACTCGTGAGCTAGGCATTCCATAAAATAATATATACCCTTGATTTGGTTCAAAGGAACCATCAATACCAGAGCATTGGATTTTCTCTATTCTGACCGGTCGAGTCATTTCTCTAAATAGCCCACCACTAGTTCGTCTTAAAAATTAAAAGACATATACTCCTCCTAGCCAACCCACCACTGAATAGACTTTAAAAATTAGAAGAAGTTTATGTGTCAAACCTTCAAGTATGCACTTATCAATATTAACTAATTCCAACAGTTTTTCCAGTACAGTAACACTTCGCAAGGGCTTCGCTCTAGTAATTAATATGCCTACAGCCATGATCACAGTCCAACATAGTGCCTTAAAAACCTTTCCGAATTACTCCTTCTTTCACTTTTGTGTCGTTACATCCACCTCTTCGTTCCTTCCTCTAGCCACTCCTCACTTCTCTTTCTTCCTTTCCCACTTCCACCAGGGCCGCGCACAGAAACCGATTTCGCAAATCTGACCGTTCAGCGTTTACTTCACCACCATGAGAACTGCCAAAATAGTACCGCTAGTCACGTCTCTTCGGAGCAGGCTCAGCCAGCTCCCAGTATGGACTGCTCGTGCTTACTCCACCAAGTACCCACAAGAAATCCAGCTAGACGGACAGTCGTACAAGACTGACGAGTGGACCAACGTCCCTCCATACATCTTGGAGTTGACCAAGAGACAATTACACCAAAACCCCAACCATCCGATCGGAATCCTCCGTGACTTGATCCAGTCCAACTTCAAGGACTTGGGATACACCTTCTACAACAACTTCAAGCCAGCAGTGACCACGGTAGAGAATTTCGACATCTTGGGGTTTCCCCAAGACCACCCCGGTAGATCCAAGTCTGACACCTACTACTTGAACAAGACGCACTTGTTGAGAACCCACACCTCAGCCCATGAACACGAGTGCTTCCTGGACTGCAAGACCCCAGGGTACTTCATCACTGCCGATGTCTACCGCAGAGACGAGATCGACAGAACGCACTACCCGGCGTTCCACCAGATGGAGGGTGCAAGAATTTGGTCGAAGGACACTCCTAACTTCGAGGAGCAGCTCGTGAAGGATATCGAGTCCATCCCCAAAACCAACATTATCGTGGAGGACCCGGTGAGAGATGCACCAACTCACCCAGGAAACCCCAAGCAGGACTACATGACCGAAAAACAGGCCCAGTTGATCAGTATCCACTTGAAGAAAACAATTGAATTTTTGGTCCACAACGTGTTCGAGACTGCCAGAGAATCCGCCAAATTGGCTGGTTCCACCGAGCCCTACTTGAACGAGCCATTGAAGGTGCGTTGGGTCGAGGCATACTTCCCCTGGACCAGTCCCTCGTTTGAAATTGAGGTCTGGTGGAAAGGTGAATGGTTAGAGTGCTGTGGAAGTGGTATCGTCAACCAACAAGTATTGCTGAATGCGGGCTTGACCGACGACAAGTTGGGATGGGCCTTTGGAATTGGTCTCGACAGAATAGCCATGTTGCTCTTTGGAATTCCCGACATTCGTTTATTCTGGTCCTTGGATGAGAGATTCAGTCTGCAATTCCAACAAGGTAAGATCGCTACATTCGTGCCATACTCCAAGTACCCAGGAATTGACAGAGACATTTCTTTCTGGTTGCCTGGAGACTCGGTTCTTCACGAGAACGATGTCATGGAGTACGTTAGATCGCACGCTGGAGACTTGGCTGAAAGCGTGGTTCTCATCGATGAGTTTGTTCACCCCAAGACTGGAAAGAAGAGTCAGTGCTACAGAATCAACTACCAGTCCATGGACAGAAGCTTGACTAGAGACGAGATCAACGTCATCCACAGCAAGGTTGAGAACGACTTGGTCGACAACTTTGACGTCTCCATCCGTTAGACCCCAGCTACATATTGTACATAGTAAAACAGTCGTGCGCAGCACACCTTCGTTAGCCACCACTTCATCTCCACCACCACGCCGTCATGGAAGCTCCTGTGCCTGATCAGAGTCTCTTGCCGTACTATCAGCCGCTGTAGTCTACCACCTCGCTTCCTCCCACTATTTTCTCTCCTCTGGCACCTCCCAATTCAGGCAGTTTCTCATAATTCTCACCAGTGCTCACCAGTGAAAAATTATCAATATCACGATCAAAATTCTCACCATACCACCACCACTACCATGCTTGGCTTAGCAAGAAGTATACTTGGGGGATCGGCAAGCGGAATGCTCCGCCAGGGTCTACTCCAACGCCCCACCATGACTGGGCTTTCTGGTTCTTTTGGGCCAGGACTCACCGGTGTCAGTGCATTCACAGGAACCACCATGTTTGCTAGATTGAAGCACGAATACGCTCCCAGATTCAAGCGAATGAGAAAGGCGTTCAAGGGAAGAGTGTCTGTCAGAACCGGTGGCTCCATCAAGGGAAACACCTTGCAATACGGACAGTACGGATTGAGATTGAAGTCCAAGGGCCTCAGATTCTCCGCAAACCAGCTCTTGGCTGCCGACAAGGTGTTGAAGAGAGAGCTCAGACCCAGCAGATCCGAGTTGATCACCAGATTTGTGTGTAACACTCCCGTCTGTGTCAAGGGTAACCAGACCAGAATGGGTAAGGGTAAGGGTGCGTTCGACCACTGGGCTTGCAGAATTCCTACTGGTAAGGTTTTGTTCGAGATCAGAGGAGACATCCACGAGAAGGTGGCGCGTGATGCCTTGAGAAAGGCTGCCGACAAGTTGCCTGGGCTCTTCGAGATCATCACCCCCGAGTCCAAGATCAGAGTGTCGTTGACTGACTTTGTCGACAAGCCTGAGAAGATCGATTATGTGGAGAAGTTGAACGCGGACCCAACCCCCAAGTGGGCCAACATCCAGGCCGCCAAGGACCCAATGTATAAAATGTATAGAGGACGCTAGTGTAAATAGGGCCACAGGCCAATATATCATCCAAGAAGTAAATGGAATGTAGGAAATAATGAAGTACACAGAGGGATAAGGTTTATAGAACAGAGCCCATGGACCTCAAAAAGGGAAGTGGGAATCAGTAAATGCCGTCACAGCAGTCGTGCTCATTTCTAGGCTTGTTAATATCCGTAGGACTACTTTGTAAGATCTTTGAATTATTTAGTTCCAGTTAATATAATCGAGTTGTCGCACAAATCACCAGAGTAATCTTCTGGCACCATGTCCAGAAATACCCCCAAGTTGGCATCCAATGCTCTCAATTTGCTCTCCAAGGTGATTGATTCAGACACTGAAGTGTCCACCATCGACTTGAACTTGTTGGAGAACTTGAATACAAACCAATCTTTGAACTACATCAAACTAGAGCAGAAGCTCAATGTGTTGGAGAAGAACTCCCAGAGCTTGGAGAAGCTTGGTATGTAACGATAGAACGATTGTGGTACCTCGATAAAGAAAGCACTGCCATTATGGATAATTACCTCCATCTTCGTCCCACATACTAACGTTAGACGCGGAATACAAGTCCTATACGGAGGCCCTAGATGCCATTGAGCTCAAAGTACAGAAAATGGAGAAGATAGCTGGCGAAATGGACGCCTGGTCCAAGTCATTGGAATCCAGAGCAAAGAACCAACAGAGATGATACATCCATGCTGCAGTGTATAACATCTCCCCACACTCATATCACCAAATGTTCAATCACCTGCAACAATATTTAATCCCTACTTCAAGTGTTAGAGGACTATTCGTGGCCACAAGATGGTTTATCTAAAACCTGACATAGCTTCATCGCAGAAAGAAATGGTGGATAGAACCGTCGGGATTAATTTATTGGGAGGCCATCCAAGTCCATTCACAATGTACTGCAATTGATATGGCGTGCTAAAGGGAGTTTACGTCAGTGTCTGCACCACTGTCGGTAAAAGCTGAAATTACGGGCGAGAGAGAGAAATTGGGCAGTCGTCGAAGTCCCACGGGATCAACAGTATTAAAATACCATTTCAATCATCCGACAACAGACGCAAAGAATTTGATACGGATTTGGAACAATGTACAAACATAAACTTCGATAACTTTCCACAGATATACACAAGTGGTTGTTAGCGCTCTTGTGCCTATACAACCAAGTCGCCCTTTATATTCCCGGAATGCATGGGTCAAAGCACACCTCAGTCACCTGAAACTAATGCTATATGTTACACTATGTACACAACTATTTATCCCAAATCACTGAAAAGGGACTGATAGCCTAATCTATCTCTACCAGTCTTGCGGCCCTATTCCGCTTCGTAGTATTTGACTTTGATCCACAAACTACAACTTGAGCACTGGACTATTATATCGTAGCCACCACTTCCGTCAGGACTTCCATTCTCCAAATCCTCTTCTGTCAACGTTATGCCCTCTCGTATTTGGCATCTAGGACACTCTCTATTCCAGCCTGCTTCATCTTCTTCAAATTCCTCCAAACCGTATGTGTCTAGACCGTCTCCACTTACGTTAAACCCCAGTCGCTTTATGCTCTCTTTGAAAGATTCGTCATATTTCTGTCTCTCAACAGGGTTGACTAATGTCGTATATGCTTGTTTGATCAAGGTGATCAGGGTCTGTTGGGTAACTCCTTTGTCTGGGTGGTTCGTAAGCAATTTCTCTTTGTAGGCCAGCTTGATTTCAGATTCGGATGCATTATCGGCCACCCCAAGGACCTCATAGTAGCTCATCTGCATCAGAGCATCGTCTATATACGTCATTGTCGTGCTGCTCTAGATGGACTCCTGGGATGGATTACTTCGTGAATATAACGGTCACGTGCCAACCATCACCTGACAAATTCGTGGTCGATGAGATGAGAATAAATTTCACTTCTACACTTACATCGACAACAATGTCTGGCCACAAAAGAAAGAGAGAATCCAAGACCACCGAAATCAGCATCAGCTCCTACAATGAAGAGCCAAGCGCTGTTGTTGGATCTTTTTTCAACGGATTTTCTGTCCCTTCGAACACCGAATTCGATGTCTACAAGCACAAGAAGTCTGATAAGTACATAATCCACGGAGAAAACGATACTTTAGACTACAACGGTGAAACTGTGGACGACGAAGAGGAAAACGACTACATCGTGGGATTGTATGATCCAAAGAAGAAGTCTATTGAACTCTACAAAGCCCCATTCATACCAACCAGAATCACATCTAAAGATAAGAGATCATTCAAGGGTCCTGAAGTTAAACAACTCGGAATCCGTAATAACGAACAAAGAAATGCATTGGGTGAAGCCTTCGGTACCAAGAAGGCCAAGGCTGCCATCACCAACTTGGAAAGAAACAGAATCAACTCTGAAAGATTGCAAGACAACGAATTGGACATCATTGACAATATACAAGAATCCACCAAGGAATTGCCAACTAGAGAAAAGATGGAAGAAAGCGTTCTCAACGATCGTCCAACACCTCTTGCCAACGTTGATGCCACAAGCGTTGAAGATATTTATCCTATCCACCACATAATACCAAAGAAGGAATGGTCATTCATCAGAATCGACTCGATCTTGAACGAATCCAATGATAAGGCTAGACTTGAATTATTCCCACACTCCACCTCTCCTTTCATTACCAAGACCTTACCTCTTTTGGTTAAGCAAAAGAATCACGAGAAGATCAAGTTGTTGTTCTACTCTTCTTTATTACTTGGTGTTTACAACAACAGAAGAACTAAGGACAAGCAGACCTTGATGACCAAACTTAACGATACAGTTGGAGAAGCCTTAATTGACGGTATTTTGGAAAGATTCTCCATTGCCAGAGCCTCGCAATTTGGTAAATCTAAGGAAAGATCCTTTACTATTGATCCACACAGTGAAGATAAGTTGTTGTGTTACTTGTTAGCAACCATCTTCCACATCAACGATTTCATGATCGAGTTGGCACCACTTGCCAACGAGTTGAACATGAAACCAACTAGATTGATTGGTTTGGTAAGAGCTTTGGGTGGCTTGGTCAAGCCTATTACTGTTGGTCAAGCGGAAGGTCTAGGAATTCCAAAGGGCTTGATGGGAAGTTACAAGGTTGCCACCTTGAAGGTGCCATTCAAGTTGCCGGAAATGAGTAGAAGAGTAAGGCGTTAGGTGTGTATGTATAAAGAAGTCTCCATTAAATTAGAATTAGAAATTGTAATTGTATGATTTGAACCATACTTATTGAGCCATAAATTCTTCGCAACGCCCAAGAGGGTAGTACCATGACGTGAAGAATTTCATAGTTTTAAACATCCTACAGGACAATAAACGAACACTTCATTTGAAGTGTTGAAATAGCTGGTGAACAACCTTACAAATTATCACAAATTAAGTGGTATAGATTCACATACAACAAAAGGAGCTCCTATAGATATCTATAATAGGGATTACCACCGTAGAACAAATCAAAAATCAAACCGAAATCACCAACCGAAATTCAAAACCAAGTAAAGATGATTTAAAACTCTGCTCTATTGTTTCTCAAAAACCAGTTGAATACAATAAGCAAAACTGGACCGATCAACCCTTCAGATAAGAACGCCAAAAACGTATAGTACTTGTAATCACCAAAAATAATGGCATACTTTGAAGGGTCGTCGAAGTTAATTCCTTTAAGTGCACTAATGATGGAATAGCAACATCTCACGATCAATAATGGAACGACTGCAAAAAAGATGCGAAGAATCACTTGGAAGTGGGACACAGTGCAATAAGTCCATAATAATAATCCAAGCAACACCAACGTACTGGCCAAGAAAAGGAAGGAACCAATCTTCAATTCGGGACTATCCGAATCAGACTTACTGTCGCTTGAAGAAGCAGAAGTAATTTGGACGGTCCCGACAATAGCAAGAATCATGGACACCAAGACCAAGATTGTGAGCAATCTGAATGGGTGCAAATTAAAACGACCAACGCGGCCCAACCCCTCAAAACCCTCGAGCTTATCCTCTAATTTCCACTCGAGTTTTTCATCTCCGTCCTGCTTTTTCATTGTTTCAAGGAATGGAAAGGTAGACTTGATGAGCAAACCAATAGCGACCGAATCACAGATATATGCAGCAGTGTAAGCACTTCTGTTGAACGTACTAGCATGGAGAGTGACAATGGAGGTGATACCACCGATCATTTTCAAGGTGCAGAACACTCCAAAGTATGCCCCAAACATGAGCATCGACTTTTTTTTGCCAGGCTTACTGATAAACATCACTATGAGACTGATATGGACCAAGAGTAAAAAGGCAAACCAGATAGTTTGGACGTAGGAGACTACCTCCCATTGAGTGTAAAATTGAACTTGCATGCTTTGATAGATAGCAGTTATTTCTACCTCCAAGGGCACCTTTTTATACTTGGGGAGGGTGCAAAAGGCCAAAGCCTGGGTTAGATACCAGTTAGCGCTTACATAAGCGGTTATTGGTTAGGCGCGGCTTTAGGTGATAGATTAGAGTTTCGCCTCGAAATTCAGCGCTTAGGTAAGCGGGTAATCCAGGGGTAGTCATGGCAGGACACGGCGAAATTTACGAAGTAGGCTAGGGTGACGCCTACGGGGCTCAACCCCTGGTTCCATGGATGACAGCGCCAAGTAGAAATTGCTGCCTCGATGTGCAAATGGATCTAACGGTAGACACCAGATCGGAAGCTGCCACTCCTTGACAGAATGCACTGCAGGGTGCACCAGATGCATTTTCACTCAGGCACCGGTAAGTCTGCCAGATTGTACGAGCTGATAGGCTCATTGCTAGGTTTGGGCTAGATAGCTAGCTGCCGTGCATCACAAGCAGTAACTGAGTCACACTACGAGGTGCAAGCTGAGCCTGGTGCAAGGCTGGACCAACGGGTTGAGCCTCTTTGCGAGAATGTCAGTGGTCGGCCCGGTCCGAGGCTCATGCTAAATTTAAATATACGAGCCACCTGCAGCAGAGCTGGTACGCCGCATTTCTGGCCCATACTCAGAAGGCCATTTAAAGTTATCATCTGCACAGTTGGAAACAGACGTCAGGCACGTTCATGCGCAGAACTTACACATGACAGTGTGCATGGTGGGGCTCCAACACCGCCAGGGTCTAGCAATGGGTGGCCTGTTCTCGTATTACTGGTACAGCGCGCTCGTAACAGTGGCCCCACGGCAGTAACGGAGGTGCACGGCCGTAAGGAGGTGTGGTGGCCGAAAATCTGCCACTCAGCCCAGTGCACCCAAACTTCTCACTACACCACCTGTGAGGAGCGTTGGCGCGGTGCCAAGTGGTGTGGGGCGGCTCCTTGGTACATAATTTCAGGGTTACGATGGGGACCATGCTACAGCAGACAAATTGGGAAAATTAATGATTATTACGCTGGTGATTACATATACTAATCCAGTAAATTAAATGATGTGTCTATGCCTGCTAGAACTCGATTAGATCAACAAGCTCAAACCAGCAACGAAAGCACCGATGAAGACACCGTTGGCAGCGTTGGAGCCGGCAGCGTTGGAGGAGCTGGAGGATCTGGAGGCAGAGCCACTTCCAGAGCCAGAGCCAGAGCCAGAGCCGTTGGAACCGTTACCCTCGGAGGACGAGTTGGAGCCGGATGGACGGGTGTTGTTGGCGGTGTATTCTCTGACAATGTTGGCACAGGCGAGTCTGGTGTTGTCGGCGTAGTGGACGACAATCGACAAGTTACCGGCAAAGGCAGGGTCGGAGCTGTTCAACGAGACGTATCTGTCGATGTAGGAAACGTGCAAGGTGGTGCCGTTGATTGGACCGTGCTTGCCGGACAAGTCACCGACTTCCTTACCGGCGTTGGTTTCGGCAGTGGCACTACCGTTGTATGGGTTCAAGTGGCCGAGAGCAGCGTAACAGTCACCGTCAGCTGGGACTTGGTGTTGGTGGATGTGGTATGGGAATGGACCACCAGCAGCAGGCAAGCCTTCGAAGTGGACATTGACCCAGGTGGAGCCGTTGGTGGCACCGACAAACTCGACTTGGCCTTGGACGTTGTTGGTGTTGTTGCCGTGGAAAGTGGCGAGGTACTTGATGTCTACTGGCGAGTTGCTGACGACAGGAGCGTCCTCAGCGAGAGCGAGGGTGGGGATGACGGAAGCAGCAGCCAATTTCTTGAAGGAGACCATTTTAGCGATAGAATTGAGATGAAGAACGGAGGCGATGGGACGGGCAGTTTATATAGTGAAGGCCCCTCCTGCAGCTTATAAATTGCAAACAATTTGCGTAAAAATAGCCCAGGGTATTGGCATGCGTCAAAGGCCTGTGTGTTTGGGTTCCACCAATTGGGGCACCTCAACTCCCGAAGGGTGCATGCAGACATTGTACGGCGAGTTGTGAGCGCGCGCACGCTGATCAACAAGATAATTTGGGGTATTGTGCCCGTGCTATTGCCGAAGGAAAGTGTCTCCATTGGCTGAAGCTACCCGTCGCCATTGACCCAGGGCCCGGCGGCCTGAGCCTCATTGCCACCTGGGCTGCCAAACGGCTCGGGCTGCCAGGGCCAAAATTCATGCCTTCAGTGCGAAAATGCCGATCTTTGCCCACGGGTTTCCAGCGAGGGTGGGGTTTGATGTTCTCACGATTTTGGGGCCGTCCAGGCGGAGCAGGTCACCGCCAGATCTCTTGAGGGCCGTGTGATTGACGATCCCATGAATGGTGGTCATACGGCAAGCTGGGTCAAGCTCCGCAATAGCCAGTGGGGCGCCTCCCACCGGCGGCGATGGGCCCTCTTATATATCTTATGGCATGAGCAGATTTCCGTTCGAAAGAGTAAAAAAATGGCTCTCCCAAATGCGGCTGCGATCACCGAAAAGCCTGGCCAGCGCTCGTGATGGCTAGAAGTCTAATGGGAGACACCAGGCCAGGACTTCAGCCCAGCCGGTAGCGAGGGCACGGGATAGTACTACCTGTGGTAGCTGGCGAATACGATTGCTGGTGGATTCAGCACACAATGCATCTTGGACGGAATGCCGTCAGAGTAGAATGGATGTTTCCGCGGGCGGTTGCCGGCATGGTGGCAGGGGCAGACGTCGTCTGGCCGTTGCCGAAGGAGAATGCAGAGGTGAAATAGGCTAATATTACGAAGTGTGGATGAGGTGATGCTGGTTGGTATGGAGGGAGTGGTGCGAGATGGCTTCAATAGTGGATACTGATATCAAGAATGGCTACAGTACCATTTACTGCATCCGTCCAATAGAGAATCCCCATCGTAACTCTTGTGGTGTTATGCCATCGCAATTCAGCAGGGCTGATTCCACTGCTTCCACAGATGTCAATGATGTCACCGGATTTCATTTTCTGACGTGTTCCCACAGGTTTCTCGTACATGATTCTCATGCACCCGATAAAACTATAATAGGATGTGTAATGAGCGACATGCCAGCCAGGCCACCCACACAATTCCCACTTAGGGGCGTATATATTGCCAGCATCTTTGGCTACACTGTAGCATCTGGTGGTTGCACGGTCACTCACGCGGTTGCTACCAACCACCGCTGGTCTTGCTGCTCCGGTGAATTCACATGATTGCGCAAACTCATCGGCATGCGACATCACCAGCACAGAAATAGTCCGCAGCACAGAAGTAACAAACTCATTTCACATACCAGGCACGTCACGAATTAGTCGCCAGGAAGCCGAACACAATTTGCTCCCACCTATCCACCCAAATCTGCCCTACTCACTTGATCACCACTATTCATTCTCCCTCCTAGCAGTGCACAGGTGACATAGCAAACCAGTGACCAGACTATCAGTACTCATTTCTTCCCACAAACCACCCATTCCCGCGCCATGAACTTTCCTGGCTTCGGCAGCGTGGCCCTCACTGACTGGCCCGTGATCCTCACCTCGTTCCTCCTCGCCTGGCTCGAGTTCCTCATCTCCATCATCGCACGCTTGCTTCCTCAAATAGTCATCGACTTGTGCACAGCCATAACCACCGTGTTGTACAACGCGGTGACCACCAACCCGCTCCTGTTGATCAAGAGCCAGAAGGTGGGCCACTACAACACCAACGGAGTCCTTTCAGAGGATGCCTACTACCGCATGCTCGACTTGTTGCACGCCACCAACGTCCAGGAAATGTGCCTGGTGTTCGGATACACCGTCGAGAACCGGATAGTCCGCACCAAGGACGGCTACTTGTTGACCATCCACCGCATCAGCTCCACCAGGCACACGGCTCGTGTGCCCAACGGCAAGGTGGTATACTTCCACCACGGATTGTTGATGAACAGCGAGATATGGCTCACCATGTTGGACAAGTACTCCAACTTGCCGTACGTGTTGTACGACCTCGGCTACGACGTGTGGTTGGGCAACAACAGAGGCAACAAGTACAGCCAGAAGCACTTGGTGCACAAGCTCCTGAGCGAACTGTTCTGGGACTTCAGTCTCGACGAGTTTGCGTTGTTTGACATTCCCAGTACCATCGAGTTCATTCTCAACGAGACCTCGGCAAAAAAGCTCACCTACATCGGGTTCAGCCAGGGCACTGCCCAGTCGTTCGCCAGCTTGTCGATCAACCCCCAGTTGAACCACCAGATCGACCGTATTATCGCGATTTCTCCAGCCACTACTCCCCACGGGCTCTACTCCAAGTTCCTTGACATACTCCTCAAGTCTTCACCCAACATCATGTACTTGTTGTTCTCCAGAAAGACATTGATGCCATCGGTGGTTTTCTGGCAACATATCATGTATCCTCCGTTGTACAACATCAGCATAGACATCCCCAACTATATTCTTTTCAACTGGAAATCCACCAACATCACGAAGTACCAGAAGATCAGCAGCTACGCCCACCTCTACTCTACTACATCCGTCAAGAGCGTGGTGCACTGGTTCCAGGTCATGTCGTCCAAGAACTTCCAAATGTACCACGACCTGGGCTCCAACAGGTTCACGGGGTTGAATCCAATGAGCTATCCTCTCGAGAACATTGATATTCCCATCAATTTGATTTACGGCTCCATTGACTCCTTGGTGGATATCGACGTCATGAAGGCACAATTGCCCAAGGAACATACCACCGCCCAGGCTGTGGAAAGCCACGAGCACTTGGACAACATCTGGGGCGAAGATGTGTACGACTCCGTCTTTAGCCATGTATTCCGTTACTTGGGAGAGGAAGACGTCACCACTAGGTTGTTGAAGGATAACCACGACTCGGTAAAGTTGATCGAGGACATTCTTCCCAACGACGAGGACGAGGAGACTCTCAACAACCTGCCATTGAACTACTTGAAGGCAGATGCATACCACCAGCCCACAGATACAGCGCATGTTTATTCTAGTGGAGTCAAGACAAAGCCCCACCGTAGTTTGTCTACGGGAGGCTCTGTTTTCATCTAGAAAAACAAGCACTACCTTCTGATTTACTGGCTAAGTCACAAGCATTGTGCCACCTATATAGCACTAGCTTCTACTCAATTACTAATTATTTCCAAGTTGAATATTTTGATGGACAATTCTGGTTATTTGCACTGGGGAAGCCTCCATCATCAGTATAATACGGTAGACGACACAACTGGCGCAAACCACTACCTCCAGTCAACGTAGAACTATACACTGTAGTACTTATTAGAATAACGGACCAAAGGAACCATAAACCACTACTTCTTCACCTCCAACAGTCAGGGGTGGAAAGGATCTGCCAGAAGATCCATACTTCAGTACCGGCCACTCTACTACGGAACTGTTCGCGAGTCCACCAGATTACAAGAACTGTGGATGTTTCAATCAGATAAATCCTCAAGATCGTCTGTGCCTTTGGACAGAGCTAAATGATCGAATGAAACCACTACACGAAGGCAGCTCACTAGGTAAAACTCAACACCAGCGTGATCTTGCCCCCTTTGCCCCAGCAATTCGCACCCTTAGATAGCACAATCTTGTCCCAAAAATTAGTTCCGCAGGCAGCCTGGCTAGTGATAGGCCACTTAAATTGCCCAAAATCCCCCCTAAGTGGAGATTCTAGTATCACTTCCCTCTACGCCCCGTATTTCTATCTCTTTCATGCTTTCCTGTACTGCCCAACCGTTTCCTCCTTGGTGTGGCTAGCCGGTTCTCCTTGCTAGCAGCACCACGATTCTCACTCTCCCGATGGGGAAGTCGACAGGTCGTGCCGAAGGCTATCGCACCAAATAGTGTTGCAGTTGACCTAAAAATTCTCCACTAGCTTCCATATCACCACCGTCTCCTAGCAGGACATAGCTACTGGTAGAAATGTCCCGAGCCTCCATCAACGTGTTGAGTGTATGTATGACTCTAGAGTTTTTTTTTGCGTCAAACCAGTCCCAGGCCATTACTTTACGTCTCCTCAGGTTTCACAGTATTTGCCATATTTTACATCCATTCCTGTGACGACCACGCCATAGGAACCAGCCTGATGTTTGGGAAACAACTGGCTCTGCCTGAAGCAGCCCATCCGGGGGCCATGGCCATGCCATCCAACTTGACCACCATCGCTGCTTTTGGTGGTTGCGTTTGGGTTTGCCGTGTCCCATAAACTCCAACCTCTATGGACCATCTAACATCTAGCCGAACAGCGAGTTTTTGCACGAAGACTTCCACCCAGAAGGTACGTACGATCTTACCACGCAATCCAGCATTTTCAGGCCATTCCAGCCCCGAGGCTCTATGCCTTGCACCTGCTGGGCCACCCCTACTCTAGCTACTAACAACCAGCATTGATACGAAGGATAGAACGAACCATCCCACGGTCCAATCCGTACAGCCCCTACCAAGCAAACGACCACCCTCCCCACGACCCCATTATCGATGACTTGATGAAACTAACCCCCCACAGACCGTTCATACTCCTGGAAAGACCAACAGAGCACACCGAATCCATCAACGCATACTCAGCTCGACTCCTGGAGATCTTGTACTTGCTAACAGAAGAAAAGGGTCTCGACGACAACTCCAGAATATCTATCGAGTCCATGCTCTTCGAGACCACCTCGTACATACCTACGCCGTTGGAATCCTGGACGTTTTCGTACCAGCAGTCGTTGAAGAGGCGCAAACTCAACTCGTTTTTGCCCAAGGAACATCCCGTGTACCCCAACGAGGCATTGTCCAAAATATTGATCGATAACTATTCCCAGCTTCACCGGTTTGCATCGTCGTACTTCAATTTGTCGCTTTCGTCCCACATAACAAAGTACTTGGTGGAGCTAATTTATTCGTTACAGTGTTGGGAACTTTATCACTTGATCAATATCATTCCCGATATCGAGTACTTCTTGAAGTTGATAGGTTTTGAGGTCACCCCGACCTCGTTTGGGCCCATCATCAAGCCTCCAGCAAATTACCTCAACGACGATATGTTATCAGGCCTACAATATCCATTTCCATACCCATTCTACAACTATTCCTACCATTCATTTAACTCCAAGTCCGAGGACCGGAAGTTCGATGGTATAAAGATAAATCCATACACTGGCGTCGATTTGCCACATCAAGCTTTGGCTACAGGCAAGCATCGGCGGAGATCTGAGATTGGCTCCAGACGCAAATCGGAGTCCAGGGTAAAGCAAGAATCGGGCCGTAATCCATATCTCACCCGGAGCAGGGCAAACTCGCTGCACCGAATCAACGATCCGACTGAAAGCGACATAAGTCCATCTGGATCAGAAGAGTATGACGAGGACGACGAAAATGAGGAGGACGAAGAGGAGGAAGATGAAGAGGACGGCGACCTTGATGAGTATGAAATCGCAGAACAACCTCTGAGCACGAGGTCTAGGAAAGATTCCATCGAGGCTCGTGGCACCGAGGACACCCGTTTTCCAATGTTGGAATCCAATCAAGGATCGGGATACTCGGTACAGAACAATAAACCATCGGATGTCAGCAGTAGCGAAGACGACAACGACAAATTGCTTGCAGATGCCAAGGACAAGGAACAAGACATGGGCAGCAAGGCGAGAGACGGACCTGATGATCCTACAAGCCCCCTGGTGCAGTTCCCCAGCCAGTTAAAATTCATTCAGCAATCACCCAGAAAGACCAAGGGACTCGAGGCTCAAGAGCTTCTTCTTGAAGCACAAGACGATAAAAATAAAAAGAACAAATCCAGCGTGATCCACCAGTGTCAATTGACCGACCCGACCACCTTGAGAAGGTGCCTCAAAATCTTCTACGGCAAGAACGAACTCTTGAGACACCAAGAGTTTGTGCATGCCACCAAAAAGAAGATCTACAAGTGCATCTACTGCTCGAGAAACAACTCGAAAATCCAGAGCTATCCCCGCCACGACTCGTTGGCAAGACATATCCGCCGTAAGCATGGGGTCACGGGAAAGGAAAACAAGATGGCTGTCAACTACGCCAAAGAGAACGTGGAGGTTATCGACGACCCCAACGCGTTGGTCACCAAGCAGCACCACTTTGGCAAGCCACTTCCACATCCGCAGTACTTAAACCTGGACTTCACCATCAAGCCTGGCTATGCCGGCTTTTTGCTGTTCAGTTCCAAGGACACAAAGCCCCCTTCTCCCACGGCAAAAAACAGAGTGGTTGACGTGATAAGCCAACCACTGGCAGACTCTGGGGCCCTCCAAGATGCCCAGGGTGACGAAGAATCGCCTACTGGCAGTGCTGGCTTCCAGTCGTTCAGGGTGGGAGGAGGCCACGACGGGAGCAATTCGAACCAGCTCGTGGCTGGGGAATCGGTAGACACATTGCCTGCGGATGCCAACCAGCCTGTTACCATTGCGCCTGAGCCTGAAGCCACTCCCAAATCTCAGCAGCCACCCGTGCCAGAACCCAGCCCCAGAGCCCCCTAGCTGGAGCCTGGGATCCCGAGACCGGAACCGACGCACGTGACAACTGACTCACGTGCCGCCAATAACGTGACCACCTCTTTACATAGGCCTAATCTACGTCCCCCACCGCCATGCCCCAAAACCGGCCAATCGTTGACGGGCCCCTCGCTACAATTTGGTTGCAAAATCGTGACACAAAACCCCCGCCGGAGCCGGGTAACTTCGCCAAATGGGGAAGGTCGTGCGAGCATGTCGTGTCTCCACCCAGCCACAAAATTTTATTGCAGTCACCAACGGCCAGGTGGGATTTTTACAGCATTTCCACCAGGCCGTTTCTACCCTTACGTCTCCGTCTCCCACTCCAAAGGAACCCCGGCATCCTTACGGCTCCACTCCTCCAGGAAGCGCCGCCAAAATCTCCTCCCACCCCCTCAATCCGTCCGGTTCCCCGCCCTCACACCCAATTGCTAACTAAGCGCTGTTTGTAATAGTAATCTGGCAGCAAATCATCCTGTCTGTGCCCCCCCCTGGTTCTAGTTTCGGCTCCCAGCACCACCATACCTTGCTATATACAGCTGCCGCTTTCCACTCTGGCTAAAAACTTACTTCCAATCCCGGATTAAGACTCCCAGCTTGCCCCTTTATTTTTTTTGCCGTTAACAACTTCACCATGAACGGAGCCCCCATGCATTCATTATATCAATTTGCTGGCCACAGCCCAATACAGCAGCACAGAGGCCAGCAGGATAGAGTCCCCTCCGTGCAACTGGGTCCCCCAGTATTGCCGCTGGCCCTGTCGTCAGTGCACCCCCATGGCCCTATGCACCTGCTACAACACTTGCACCTGCACTTGCAACAACACCAACAGCTGCAGCAACCCCAGCAGCTGCAGCAGCCCCAAACACACCAGCTTCTGCATCATGGTCCCCAGCTCTCCCAATTTCCCCAACTTCTGCATCTGCAAATTCTGCACTTATCTCACCAACAACTCGTGGCCCATCAGCACCCATCCCAGCACCCTCAACATCACTCTCAGTTACAGAGCCATCGTCCCATATACCATTCTCCTCCAAATTACTCAATTTCACATTTTGCAGCTAATGTTGCACCTTTACCCCCTAGAATACCTTCCACCGAAAAAGACGTTACCAGGTATCAAACCGAATTGGAGTCATTGCCAATAGGCGAAACCGTTAAAATTTTAACTACAGTGGCTCCAACGGGCATCAGGGAGTATAACGAACACTTATTTAAGATTGCAACCCTATTGTTCAATATGAAACTGGATTCTGCTGACAATATTGCCTCATTGAAAAAGACATACTACGACTTGATAGATGATCTTGATAAGTACATCAACTATGAAGATCCTATTGAGTCCCAGTTGCATTTATTGATTGAAAGAAATTTCGATATATTCATAAAGATCTCTACGAACCACAAGGACGTCGACGTATCAACAAGAACAATTAGATTCTTGACCAACATTATAATGAATTTAAATTATTGGGAGGTGTACAATTTGTTGTCATGGAAGCCTGCAATTTATCACTTTTTGTCAATTATTCAATTTGACTTGAACGAATGTTACTACAGGTTTATTAATGACTATTCAAAGTTTAATTACAAGAAGATGGCACAACCAGTCCCATCATCCGAAAAGGCAAGTGCATTAAGAGTGGCAAGGAAAGCAAGACGTGCTGCAGCCGCCCAAAGAGGGTTGGAAAACGATTATAGAGGAGAATCCCCAGATTCTGATAATTCGTCAATTGGGACCAACGATGATGATTCAAGCTCACACACTCCAACAGGAATGTATCCTCAAAATCATGAATATCGTGAGCATGACAAATTTGTATCTGAATCTTTGTCGGGCTTGACACCTAAGGAAAAGAAGAAGATACGCGTGGATGCAAAATTGGCAGCTCATAAGATAATAAAGAAGACCACAGCATTAAAGCAATCTACCAAATCATCCAATTATGACCCAGATGTAGTACACGAGTGTCAATTGCCTTCACCAGACGAACCACACAAGGTTTGCTTACGTCGGTTCTCCAGAAAATACGAGTTGATAAGGCATCAAGAGACCGTTCACTCAAAGAAAAAGAAGTTATTCAAATGTTATGTTTGTGTTAAACAAAATCCACTGGTCGGTCCAAGGATATTCACCAGACATGATACACTCGCCAAACACATTAGGGTAAATCACAAGATATCTGGTAAGGAAGCGAAGGCAGAGGTTGCTTATTCGAAGAAACATGCAGAAGTTGTCGAAGAAGGCGACATCACTGTACATGTTGGTAGAAGAAAGACTAAGGTCGACTTCGAGTTGAGAGCACACATGGAAAAGAAAAAGATGGCGAAAGAATCGCCCGACATGGATGATTCAGGATTCTTAGATACCAATAGCGAGCTAGACTCAGGTGATGAAGAAGTTGTCTTCAATAACTAAGACCAGAATCTTCAATTCTAATAACGTATTTATTTCTATCCAAGCTTTGGGCTTGGAATTTTGACAATCTATACATTGACATTTAATGAATATTACACTGTATCACAAACTTGAGCTTTATTAATACATATGGGAACAAATCGAAAGAGATCAAGCACGCTTCTCGAACTCTTGTTGAGCCAAGATAGCCTGTTTGATCTCTTCATCAACATCAGCGAAAATCTCTTTTGGAATATCCTTCAATCCTGTGATCTTCTTCCTGATATCAGGGTAGGTAAATTTTATATCATTAGTAATAAAAGTGCCCGAGCTTGATATCACCGATTTCTTTGTCTTTGTTGGTTGAGTTAAGGCTGGGAAGAAAGTTTGATTAGTATACAAGTCCTTAATTCCTCTGTTATACAGCTGTATTCTTCCATTCAACAATTTCTTGTTGAAATCTTTAGTTTGCTGAGCCATTTGATACATCCATGTTGGGTCAGTTTGATAACTTATCAATGGGGTAGATATAACGGGAGTAGAGCCTCCATTGGAACCAGGTTCGCCGATCAAACCATTCTTGTTACCGTATAATTCGAGTGGATCGGCATATGCACCAGGAACATCACCATTCTTGATAGCACGCTCTTCCCAGAAGTCATCGATGACTTTCTTACCGTTTCTGAGTACCTTGGCACCAAATTCTCTGAAAATTGATCTGGCAGCCACCAAATTTACCGACCTACCCTTGTAGGAGTTTGGAATCAATCCACGATCTATTAAGTCAGCCTTTTCTTCTTCTGTGCAAGTCTTTTTGAAAAGGTATCTATGAGTTTTGAACAATAAGTATGAGTCTCTGAAACCCACTAACCTGGCAGGATCGGTGGAAATCATGTACAATTTTCTCCCCAGATTGAGGACGGTAAAAGTTTTGTTGCGGTACTCTCTATCTCCCACCAAGTAGCCGTCGCTGTCAACCTTTTCCTTACCTTTGGGATCTTCATCATCCATCACAACTTCGTCGTCTTTAACGTTGATGGGGTTTCCGTCTTCGTCGAAGGCTCCCTCTTCGGAAAACATCACTTCAAGCTTCTTTCTTCCTCTCTTCTTGGGCACTTTCTTGATGATCGTCTTCTTCTGTGTGGTGGTACCTTTCTCGTTTTTCACTTCTTCTTCCACTTCCTCTTCCTCTTCCTCATCCTCTTCTCCATCTATTTCGCCCTCGGACTCCTCAATCGGCTCTTCTTCTTCAGCTTTTCTTTTTGTTCCACGACTGGCTGCTGCCTTGCTTTCATCTTCAAAGTCGACATCCTCATCGATGTTATCTTTGCTTCTGTCGGCCTCGTCATACTCTCCGTCGTCCCCATCCGACTCTATATCCAACCCAGAGAAATTGGTGCGGTTCTTACGCGTCGCTCTTGGTGAATTCTCTACGTCAGACAGCTCGTGTTTCACTTTGGACTTGGACATGTTGATGATGGTGTGCTTGAATCTCCGGATCTCGAAATGTTTGTGCGAGAGGGTCGTGCGCGTACATGTTCCAGAGTTGTATTTTTGTTTAGCTATGGGCATGTTTAAAGGGACAATTGAAGAGGAAGGTGTATGCCCACTGTCGCTATTACTAGAAATGGTAACTAGAACGACAGGAAGGTGGATTTTCTTCTCGATAGGAGAAGAATAAGTAGGATAAATCTGTAGTCTTATCTCTAATGTTGCCCTATATACAGTGCTCACTGGTGAGATACTGCGAAAACTGTGAGTTTCTTCACTCAATATGAGTATCATTATATTTCCTAATATCATCTTTATAGGCTCCGAGCTTACATTATTGGCTTCAATTACACGTTCAGCAACAGTTTGATTTCTGAAATTTTATTTCTGTTGATGCGTTATTTATTTACAAGATATATACGCTAGTGATTGCTAGCAGTTCATTCGTTGTCCTTCTTCTCTTCAGCGGGCTTCTCGTTCTTGAATGCAGCCTTCCCATCAAGATATTTATCAAAAGCATCATTGGTCTCCGGGAATGGTCTTGGTCCAAGTAATCTGATCATGTCTTCTCTGGTGATAAATTCCTTCTTCAACAATTCTTGGGCCACCAATTCAACTTCATGTGCTTTCTCTTTCAAAAGTTCAGTACATTTGGCATGACAACCTTCAACAATTCTTTGAATCTCCTCATCAATTGTTCTATTAGTCTCATCACTGAAAGGTTTGGTCAAGTTTTCTGAGGACTGGGTGTCCGCGTAGTTTACCATACCCACCTTCTTGGACATACCAAATCTCAACACCATTGATTGGGCAATATTTGTCACTTTTTTAAAGTCATCGTGAGCTCCACTGGTGACAGAAGAAAAGTGAAGCTCTTCAGACACTCTTCCACCCAATGTCATAATCATTCTATCGTTCAACTGAAGAGTAGACATTAAATATTGGTCTGGCGGTAAGTATTGAGCATAACCCAAAGCACCTTGTCCTCTTGGAATGATGGAAACCTTCAACAATGGATGGGCATACTTCAAGTACCAACCACAAACAGCATGGCCGGCTTCGTGGTAGGCAACGATTTTTTGTTCCTCGGCGTTCAAGATTTTAGACTTCTTTTCAACACCTCCAATAACTCTTTCAATAGCTAACTCAAAGTGTCTCAAAGTCACAGCTTCGGCATTGTATCTAGCACCAATCAAAGCAGCTTCGTTACAGACGTTAGCAATGTCGGCACCAGAAAATCCTGGAGTTAAAGCAGCTAATCTACCAGGTAAATCAGTATCAATATTCTCGGCCAAAGTGATTTTCTTCAAGTGAACTTGGAAGATTTCCTTTCTGCCTTCTAATTCTGGGTTGTCGATAGAGATATGTCTATCGAATCTACCGGGTCTCATCAAAGCCTTATCAAGAATATCGGCTCTGTTGGTACCAGCTAAAACGACAACGTGGTCAGAACTCTCGAAACCATCCATTTCCACGAGCAATTGGTTCAATGTAGTTTCACGTTCATCGTTAGCTCCACTTGCATTTCCCTTCGAACGTTGCTTACCAATAGCATCAATTTCATCCACGAAAACAATACTTGGGGCATTTTCACGGGCAGTTTTGAATAAGTCACGAACTCTGGAAGCACCAACACCGACAAACATTTCCACAAATTCAGAACCAGAAACAGAGTAAAATGGAACCCCAGCTTCACCGGCAGTTGCCTTTGCAATCAAAGTTTTACCAGTACCTGGAGGACCAGACAAAATAGCACCTCTAGGGATTTTTGCTCCTAATTTTTCGTACTTTTCTGGGTTCTGCAAGAACTTGACAAATTCCATGACTTCCATCTTTGCTTCCGACATACCTGCAACATCCTTGAATCTAATTTTAACATCGGTCTCTTGGTTGAATTTCTTAGCAGTAGACTTCCCGAATCCTAATGGACCGCCCATTCCTCCCATACTGCCTGCTTTCTTAGTCATGTAAAAGATAGCACCCAAGAACAAAACAGTTGGTAAAAAGTTGGCCAATAATTTTCCAGTGCTACCTTCAGTAGTGTAGATAACTGGCACTCTGAGCTGGTCACTGATATTATAGCTATCTTGTGCTTCACGCAAACTTCTCTCGAATGTTTCGACAGAACCAATATTAAAGTAGAAGTGAGATCCCCCTTCAGCTTGTCCGAATTGGGCCTTTCCGTTTTCGTTTAGTTCAAGAACAGCTGTTCTGTTGTTAACAACGATGATCTTGGATACAAGGTTTTTGTTCAAGAACTTGGAGGTGAACTCTTGGAAACTGATTTCCTTGTTGGAGTCTGAGGACATGTTATACATGATGTAAAGCAACAAACCAATGAGGGTACCAATCTGGAAGTATTTCATTGGGGAGCCGTTGAGATTTATTTCGAACTCCATTGGCTTAGACTTGTCTGAGTCCTTTTTCGAATTGGGGCCCTTGTTTCCACTTTCGTTTGAGTTCTTGTTCGTGTTGAAGTTGAATGACTTGAAGGCGTCATCATAATTAAATTTTTTCTTTAAGTTCTCGAATTCTCTAACCAAACTTTCATAGCGAGAGTATTCGTAAGGACATAATGGGCATGTCATTCTGTCATTTCCTTCTCTGAATGGAGTCGACGACAATACGTCGAAAATTTCAAACCACCCTTGTACTGAATCCTTTTGAAGCGACAACTTTTCTGCCACTTGTCCATAAATTTCAGCTCTGTCATCTGTAGGAGTCAAGTTGACGTACTGACTCAAGAGTTTGCTCACAATCTCATTGTCGAACTTCAACTCATCCAAGAAAACGAGGTTATTAGCCAATGCATAGTAGACGTGGAAGTAAAACAAGATTTCTTGCTTCTCTATAGGCTTATGGTCGGGGTGAACTTTCTTGAACAAATCGACAATCTCTTCTATAAGTATGTCTGGATTAACGTTGGTAACTGCTCTTGGGTTGGTGGCGTAGATTTTGCACTGATCCAAAAATGAGTTTAACATAAACTTGTAAACAGTCTGATACCTTTCAATACTTTTTGCCTCCAATGGGTTCTGGACTTCGATGATAGGTGTCTTGATATTCTCATCTATGAGCTTGTTCGACTGTGCCTCAGTGATCTTGAGTTCTTGCTCGAGCAATTTAGGCTTCAATTGAAATTTCTCGAAGAATCCAGCATTGTTATAAGTATCCTTTAATTCCTTCAATTTCTTAATCTCCTTGTTCACTTGGTCATTGTCATGATGGTCCTGATGATTGTTTTTGACGAGTCTGGATGGATGGAACTGTCTTGTTGCGATGGCTATCGAAGCACGGGGACTCCTATGGGTAAGTAATGATCTCACGGATCTTTTACTTATTCCTATAGCCATGATGATGGGATTGTAGATTCGACTGAAGTGGTTGAATTTTCATTTGCCTTCAGTGAGGTAGTGGAAAAAGGTCGACTGCTACTTTGGGAAAGAAGTGCGCAAGCTAACAAAATGTTGGAATGAGAATAGGCAAGAGGTATATTGGGGACAAAAATCGCTTCTACATGATTCAATGAGCATGGACAAAAACCCTTCCTTTAGAACGATTGTATCACGTATGTGACCACAAAGATTTATTACGAAATTTTGAAATAGTTACAGGCTAGTATAGCAAAATTTGAGAAGCATGTTTTGCACTTGAAACGAACAAATCTTGAATTCATTAGAATGAGCTGATCAGTGATGTTTCAAATCTTCTTCACTCTTGACCACATCTTCATCCTTCGGTATTCTTCTGTTGGTTCCAAATATGGAGGTAACTAATGCAACACAAGCACATGCCACCCCGAAATAAAATGTATTTTGGAGTCCATCCATCAAGGAATCAAATATCTGGTTTTGAATTTCTTGAGGAAACGATTTGATTAATTTAGGAGAGTTCAAAACCTTCAGAATTTGCTCAGTGGCAAACTGTTGTTTTACTGCTTCTGGGGCATTTCTAACAATTCTAGAAACTGCGTTTCTGCTGCTTGTCTCAAAAATAACGGTAGCAAAAATAACACCAACTGCCCCTCCCAAAAACCTGGTGAAAGTCACCCAGGTAGTAACCATAATTAAAGATCCAGTCTTTTCTTTTGGCGCATTGATTTGGCATGACATAAGAGCGGATTGGAGCTGAAATCCCGTTGAAATACCAGTGGCAATCAAATATCCAATTCGAGTGCTTGTCTTAGTATCTCTCTTAATTAATGTAAGCAAGGCACTTCCTATTACCCCCATAACTCCAGAAAAAATATGGTTTGGCTTTACAAATCTTGTCTTCTTGATCAAAATACCATTTGCAACCGCTGATATAGATGCCGAAACGATTAATGGCAATAAGTCCACCCCAGATTGGAATGCACTGTGTCCCAATATCACCTGGAAGTATACAGTAAGGTAGGTCATGTCAGTCAAGAAGAATGCATAATTGAAAAAGCCAGAAGTGGATACTGAAATGATTTGGGGAATTGTGAAAATGTAACTGGCAAATAAAGGGTTCTTGGATACAAAGAAGTTATAGATCACAAATGCAACTAGGCAGATTCCTCCCAATAAGAAGCAGCATATCACAGCAGCAGACTTCCATGCAAATTCATTGCCACCGAATGTGGCTCCGAGCAAGATTAATACAACTCCTGCGATAAGGAGAATGGAGCAAATGACATCAATGGTCTTGAGCTTTTCCCATACTTTTCCAGTTGGTGGTGGGGGCCTGTAAGTAATCAAAAGCATTACTAATGCCACGCATCCAAGGGGGATATTAATGAAGAAGCACCATCTCCAAGTCACATCTGAAGTGAATGCACCACCAATAAATGGTCCCAAAACAGTTGCAATGGAATATGTTAATGCCATGAGACTGAGAGAATAACTTCTTATCGAAATTGGAACTGCTTCAGTCATGATGATCTGTGTGAGAGCTTGGACACATCCAGCACCAACACCTTGAATGACTCTTCCACCAATGAGCATGTTCATGCTCTGAGCAACGGCAGAAATGAGCGAACCGGCTTCAAATGCAATTATTCCACCTACAAGAGTCCATTTTCTCCCCAATACAATTGATAACTTTCCGTATGTTGGACAGAGTACACTAACTCCCAACATGTATGCCGAAGTCAACCAGTCAATTTTTTCAAATCCATTGAACTTATTTCCAACAGTACTGAAAATGGTAACCACAATTGTCACATCAAGTGCTGTCAAGAACACGGCCAATACACATGAAAGTAAAGTGAAATATAATCGTGGTCCTGTTATAAAGTGTTCTGTAGCTTTTGTTCCATCACCGGCATTACTTTCATAGTATTTCCCGGAACTCTCAGCCGCACTGACAGAATCTTGTGAATCATCTATTGGGAGAACGTGGATTTGTGGCTCTTCCTTAGTTGACTTTAGCTCAACATTGGAGTCGGATGTTTGATCCATATTGCCTTGAATACAGTCATATTGCTGAGAAGCTGGAAGCTTTATAAAGTGTTCATTCAATACTCTTAGTATTCGATGAACTCTTCGCACTGTAAATCTTGCGTCAATCCGCAAATCCTTCGTCTCGAAGGAGGCTAATCCCATCATGGAACATTGGATGTTTCTATTTTAAAGCTCATTCTAGCAAGAAGCAGAGTCAAGAAATAGTATCGTTCAATTGTCATATGATACGTGTGTGTGCTTGATGTGTTAAGTTCATCTGGCATTTATTCCATAATTAAGTTTCGTGAAATACGTAGTTTTTACGTGCAGATGGTTTGAATCGCCGGGACCAACCTGTGCCTCACATGTGTCTAGTTGCATGTGCCAAACAATACAATCAATTTCCCCTTATCGCAAATCACAGTTTCATCGAAGTAAAAGCTACCGAGCCTCGATTATGTTCTTGCAGGTTGTATCACTACAGCTATAACATCCACTTAAACAAGCCGAGTTTGACCTCCCCAAAGCATCTCGACAATTTTAATAGAGTTGTGACAGTGTGTTATTTTTACCTATGATTAAGGCACAACAAAAAATAATGCGGACGTAAGATTGAAGCGACTCTTGGGAATACGCGATGTGAGCACTTAGAGTTTTTTTTTCCATCTCCACAATGCTGCAGGATCAGGCTGTCGATCCCTTTCCTTCATTAAGAAGCAGGTGACCAGCATTATTGAAACTGTGGTCCAATTTAGCGGCGCATGTGACACATTTCGCAAATATTTTTTAAATCCTCGGCAATTCTAACAGCTACAACTTACACTAAATATGGTGAAAATGGATAGATCTATACCAAACATGTGACTCTTTTTAGTAAGCACTTATTGATTACTTAGATTTGGATATTACTCAACTTAATCTCCTTATCTCTTTTCTCGAAGAATATCCTGATCTTTGGGTATGCGACAATTGGTTGCGAAAGTGCAACATACAAGAGCTGTTGCTGCGCAGCATTCTCCAAAAATGAAAGCCTTTCTTATAGATTCCATCAATTTGTCAAGTATTTGTTCCTGAATATAAGGTGGGAAATTATTTATCTGTTCTGGAGAACTGAGTATTTGCAGCGGATTTACTGTGGAAAACTGATCTTGAATTGAGTAAGGGGCATTCAAGATAACCTTAGTTATTGCATTTTTGCTCGCAGTCTGAAAAATTACCGTTGCGACAATCACACCTACTGAGCCACCCAAAAATCTCATGAAGGTTGCCCAAGTGGTTACTGAGATCAATGATCCAGTCAAATCTCGTGGTGCTTTAAGTTGGCAGGAAAGAATGGTGCTTTGGATCTGAAAACCAACTGAAATACCAGTAATGATCAAGAATCCGATCCGTGTACCAACCTTGGTGTGCCTATCCAATAATAGTAGAACCCCACAACCAATCACCCCCATCACTCCGGAAAATACATAATATGGCTTGACAAGTCTAGTGACCTTTATGAGTACTCCATTTACCACTGCAGAAATTGCGGCAGAAATAATCAAAGGTAATAGATCTATTCCAGATTGAAAGGAGTCATGATTGAAAATTACTTGGAAGTAAACGGTAATATACGTGATGTTACCCAAGAAAAATGCGTAGTTGAAAAAGCCTGATAATGATGCAAACAATATCTGGGGAATACTAAATATGAACTTGGCAAATAATGGGTTCCTTGATGCAATAAAATTGTATAGTGCGAATGCAATAAGCGAGAATCCTCCACATAAATAACAAACTATCACAGCTGCTGATAGCCAGGGGTACTGATTTCCTCCAAAGCTGGTAGCGATCAATACCAACACTAGCCCGAATATGAGTAAGACACTACACCATATATCTATGGTTTTTATTTTGTCCCTTATTCTTCCGGTTGGTTTAGGGGGATGGGAGCTGAAGACAAGAATAAAAAATGCAAGTCCTCCAATTGGAAGATTGATGTAAAAGCACCATCTCCACGACACATGACTGGTGAAGGCACCGCCTATGAATGGACCCAAAACGCTTGCCAACGAGAATGAAATGGCCATCATGCTTAGTGAATAGCTTCTAATGGATATGGGCACTGATTCCGTAATTATGATACTGGTAATTGCTTGTATACAGCCAGCACCTATTCCTTGAATGACTCTTCCGCCAATGAGCATGTTCATGCTATTGGATAACCCTGAGATCAAAGACCCGATCTCAAATATGATTATACCACACATGAGTGTCGACTTACGCCCGAATACGATGGACACCTTCCCATATGTTGGACATAGTACACACATCGGCAACAAAAACGCTGATGTCAACCAGTCGATTCTGTCGAACCCATCGAACTTGTTCCCCACGGTAGTGAATATAGTAACCACAATAGTCAGATCCAATGCTGTTAAAAATAAGTTTATCAAACACGAGGTTAATGTTAGATACAACAGAGCTCCGGTGAGATAGTGGTCGGTAGATTTAGTTCCATCACCAGCATTGCTCTCGTAGTATTTATCATTGATCAATTCTAGCACTACCGACTCTTCGTCAACGATTTCAGCTTTCTTCTTCTGTGTATTATCGGATTCAGGTCCAGGAAGCAGGGGTCCAAAATGGAATTCTGATGAAGAATCCATTTGTGCTGAAGTTGCAATCCAAATCCTTTACTTATGTAATATGTTCTGTATTGCACATGGCGATTTAAGCTGCATGAACTCCGCACTTCAAGTCAAATAATGATGTGCATGACAGTTTCCTCATTTGGAAAAACCAGACCGCCAGTGAGATGCAAAGAAGAATAGACAACTAGATACTATACAGAAAGTTTGGTTGAGTTGGGGCCCAACATTTTGAGAGCAGATGCAAGACGTAGTAGATCAATACAAGAAGCAGAACTCCCAAGGGTGGCAGGTGAGGATGCTATTTCAAGAGTCTGTTGCGTTGATCTGCACTAGCTAAATGTGCAAGATTCAAAACTAATCTAGATCTACCCACTAAAATTGTTTAGACGCTAATCGGGTAATAGTAATGGGCTAGATCCTGGATTCACGTGTTTTCTCACATGAGGTTGTGCAAACAGTTGGATTAGGTAAGCCTTGGTCCACATCTAGCTCTGGACTCGCTGCAGACGCGTGCGCATGCAATTTATGCCACATGTCTAATTATTATTTGGGACAGACCTTACACACACATCTGAATATCTAACAGTATTTTAAAATCTATTTATAATATAACTTGAAGAGAAACGAAATCGTAAAAATGTAGTGAAAGAAGAAAATGCCCCAGTTTAAACCATGCCCGAAATGCATAAAGAAGTAGCCCACACTAGTTCCACAATTTGAAATGAGTGGTGATGGGTCTGTGATCACTGAAGTGGTAGTTGTTGTACAAGTTGTCAAGCACCTCATGGCCAATAACTCTGACCTTGCTACCATCCGAATTGGAATTGGCAGGGGCCCAAATGAAATCGATATTACTTTGTTGTGCGTCTGGAGCGAATCCACTGTAAGTGAACAAATTCTCGTTGTAGAGGTTGTAAGCCACAGTGTTGGTGTCAACCAAATCGGTCTTCAAGGTATTGTAGGAGATGTCGGTGTCGAGAGAATTGAAATCTCCACTCAAGAATGTGTGGAAGTCATTTGGAATCTCCTTGATGTAAGTCAAGATTTGGTTGGCACTGAATTTACGAGCATCAGCGGACTTTTGGTCGAAGTGAGTATTGAAGTAGTTGACGGTTTTGCCCGAGCTAATGTGCTCCAAGGTGGTCATAGTAACGATTCTCTTGGTTGCAGCGCCCGGGTAAATACTGGGCTTATCAGGAGTGGCGCTCAACCACTTGGTAGTGGAATTGAGCAATTTCCATTCCTTCTTTTTGTAGATAATTGGTGAGTATTCCCCAGCTTTATTTCCGTCGTCTCTGCCAATACCGTAGTGGACCCATTCGTCGTCGTTGCCGTCATTAAGACCAGCGAGGACATCATCTAACTGATTGTACAAACATTCCTGTAAACCGACGAGAGTAGGGTACTGCAGGTCTCTGGACTTGATTGCGTCAACCACGCCCTGCTTTCTGTCGCTCCAAGGTTGTTCGCCTGGTTGTCTCTTTCTGGCACCAGAGTAACGAACGTTGTTGGAATATATTCTGAACTCGAAATCACCATCTTCCTCACGTTTTGCAACCGACAATCTGTCCAGTAAGTCTAGATGGATTCCTTGGGTATAATGGATGAAAGCACCAATTCCCAAGAGTGCGAGAACTGATATGAATATAGTGGACACCTGTTTGGATATTTTAGTCATGGTCGACCTGGAGAAAAGCTTGTTCACTGCTCAAACTTCCAGGAAGCCGCCGGCGTATTTATACCTTCACCAGTTCGCCCCAGCGGTACCTTGGGCAGCCACCGGGGCTTTTGAAACAACCTGAACGCCTCGAAATAGAATTATTTCTCCAGGCCATGTGTGCACATTCGGGATCAACTCTAAAAATAACCGTACGGTCCGCTCTAGCTGGTGCCGACATCCAATCCTAATACGACGGATAGCTGATAATTGATATGTAACGGTTGTGATCCCAGCCTAATTCCTCAGTAGTCATAAATATACGTGATCGGATAGACTTCATGAGGCGGTATCGAGCGCCTACCCCATGTGGCTCCGTGGGACAAAGCTGCCTCGATTATGCGATGCGTCCTTATTAAAGTTGTCCCGACTATCCTTCGGTGTTTCATCCGAAAGACACCATGCTTGGGGAAGGGGGGATGACAAGGAGCCCCGTGCTCGGGTACAACTGTGGTTTGGTGCATTTATCCCGTTGCAAGGTTGGAGCTTCTGGTGATCAGGGCCAACGTGGTTCAAGGAGTCTACACGTGTGGGTCTAGAGCGATGGCATTAGTTCATGACATGCTTCAACAGCCCGGATTATTCGACAGAAAGATTTTGGCCGTCCCATAAATAGCACCGGCACCCCAGCATGTACATGTACGGTTGAGACCCGCATCCAACTCAAAATAAGGAGCGACGTAATTAATATCGCGCAAAATTCCGATGAGATACGAGCGCCGCGGTAGCGAGCATCGTAAATTTCTGTCATTATATTTTCGTAGAGACACACCTCAGCCAAGACTTTTAGCAAACCGTTTTTATTGCAGCATCGGTCCGATCTAGTAATAGCGTTATTGGTGTCTATGGAAGCACTTTTACGATGCTGCTTCGATGGTGTGGTCGTACCAGCAGTACACGAGACTCTGAAACCGCCCATTTTCTTAAAGCTCCCACATTCAGGTGAGGCGAGCTATTTTTAGCCGTCTAAGCCAGCGTATCGGACCACGCAGAAGATCCATTACGGCACTACTCCTAAATTTAGTGTCATCAGCACGATATCGAGAACGAAAGCTAATTTCATCTGTGTCCATCTACATATGGTGGCCTCCGTATGTGTCTAGGGACACGAGACTGTTTCTTGCGGGTCAACCGGGTTCTAACCGGGTCTAGGGCTTCACATCCCGGCTTCACATACCTTAAGTAGACAGCCTCAAACGGGAAAAATGGCTCAGATATGGCAGTATTCTGGGCCCCGCTAGACGGCTCGGACTTGCGGCTGACTCGGTTATATGGTCACAAGAGAGGTGGCGAAACTAGGGGTCTAGGCTTCTTATTGGTGCCCGCGGTTCTGATCCATGAATGTGAAATCCAATTCGCAGCGAAGGTTAAGAAGTATCAGAATTCCAGAAGAGACCCAACTGGGCATTTGGCATCAGTATCTTTAACTTAATCGTAATAATAGTGCTGAGTAGTTTTCCGGTATGCATTAGATAATACCATACTTAAACCAACACCATACAACGAAAAGCGAATGGTTCAGTGTACCAGATACTGGAGATGTCAAAGAGAGAAACTGGTAGAAATTTTCCATAGTTTTGCAATGAGTCCGAGGGGTATATCTTCAAATAAAGCGTTGGTTCTTCTGGAAACACAACCTTAACCGGAGAGATTATCCAGAACCATATCACCACTTGGAAATTATGGATTTTAGACAACTTCTAAATTGAAATCTGGAACCTACTGCACTTCCTAATTCAACACCTGGAACAGAATCGTGCATAAAGCTGGGGCCCTGTTGATTCACAACATAAAAAATGTACTTCGCATGGCCGAAATAATGTGGAGGCATAATTTTATGACTGCCACAAGATGCTATTGATAAATGTGTTGACTAATCATTCTACAGTTCAACCAGAGCTATAATCACCTTGAGGCATTGGCTGATACTTTCAAAAGATCGTTAATTTGTGATAATTCTCGAAACCCATGGTACGCGTTTCTCGACTGATTCGGCCCTTCCTACCTCCCCTGACATATTACTAGACACATGTCAGATCCAATCAACCATCCCACCTTGAATCCAACTATCACTCCTACCCAAAGGGCCCTGTCTGGGTACATTCTAATCCCCTCCGCTGAACGGAACTAATTCCGCCAAGATCGGTGCTCACGTGATGGTCCCCGATAACAGCTCCCCTCCTCGGTGATCTCCGGCGCTTATCACTGAGCGACTAACCATAAAAACCCAACCATTTCCTGTTGGTACCCTCCACACTCCACCATGGCCAAAATCCTCACCGAACAAGAATTCAACGCACAAATCGTCTACAACTACACTGATGTCATTGGTGAAAAGGTGGGCGGCAAAGTATTGCTGTTCAGCGATGAATGGTTTGCTGCCGCTGACAACTTGATCAAGCCAAAGGCTGCCATTAGAGACGCCACTCGTTTCACCCATGCAGGTGCGTGGTACGATGGCTGGGAGACCAGAAGACACAACACTGCTGAGGCTGACTACGTCATTTTCAAGCTTGGGGTCTCGTCTGCCCGTTTGATTGGTACCGAAGTTGACACTGCATTCTTCAATGGTAACCACGCCCCACACATTTCAGTGGAAGCTATCCAGAAATTGGATGGTGACGACTTGAGCTCGGTCCAGGAGTCCGAGTGGGAGTCTGTGATCCCCAAGACTGAATGTGGACCTTCCCAGAGACACTTCTTCACCAGAGAGACCCTCACTGAAAAGAACTACACCCACGCAAGATTGAGAATGTACCCCGATGGAGGAATTGCCCGTTTCAGATTGTACGGAGCCGTGATCCCCATCCAACCCCAGGCCAAGGACACCGTGTTGGACTTGGCCTCCGTCAACAACGGAGGAGTGGCCATCAAGGTTTCCGACCAGCATTTCGGTTCTGCCGACAACTTGCTTCTTCCAGGCAGGGGCCACGACATGTCTGACGGCTGGGAAACCACCAGATCGAGAACCCCTGGCCATGTGGACTGGGTGGTCATCAGATTGGGTGCTTCTACCAACATCAAGCAGGTAGTGGTGGACACGGCACACTTCAGAGGCAACTTCCCACAAAAGGTCAACGTCAAGGCCATCTCGGTCACTGACGAGACCCAGATCCCCAGTCACGACTCCAGCGCCTGGGAGGTCTTGGTGGGCGACTCCAAAACTGGTCCTGACCAGGAGCACACCTTTGATGTCGACAACTCCAAGGCATTTTCTCATGTGTTGTTGACCATGATCCCCGATGGAGGCATCAAGAGAGTCAGGGTCTTGGGAACCATTGCAAACTAAGCCAGGCCAGTCCTGCGTGTATTTAGCATCTAAGATAGGTAGGCTCGACCTCCTGTATATAGACCCCATTTATTCACCGGTGAAACGAATGCTGCGATGGCTGATGCAAATGAAAGTAGTCTCCTTTGACAAACTCGTCTCCTGGGTCGGCCAGAGGGTCTCTGCCAAAGAGATCTTCTCCCTCGATCATACATGTATGAATGAGTATGCTTTCCAGCAGAAATTCGTCGATTATTTGTCCGCTTCTCGCATCACCACCGTGAGCCCATACTACGTACAGACGTTCTTACGTCGGTACATTGAGCTGATCGAGCGGTCAGGCGAAGAAATGGCCGAAGAGTTGTACGAGATCTACTGTGGCGAACTTTTGGGGGCCAAACAGTTGGATGTAAGTGACAAGGAAGTGATCACCTATCACGTTGGAGGGTTTGGATCTGGTGCAGGCACTAGCGACCACACAGTCAAGATCTACGAAGCTCCACGGTTGATCTCAGGATCCAACACTACTGGTCTCCGCACCTGGGAAGCTGCCTTGTATCTATCTAACTACCTCAACACCCATCCCTACGACTGGAGTGGTAAAACAGTGTTGGAGCTAGGAGGCGGAACTGGGCTCTTGAGTCTTGCCTTGACAAAGCAGCCATTGAAAGAGATCATCATCACCGACGGCTCGGCTGCTTTGATCGACAATCTCAGTGAAACCTTGCACATGAATGCCATTGACAACGGACCTACCATCAAGTGCCATCAGTTATTGTGGGGAACCACTAACCCCAACTCCCCTGACTTTGTTCAGGGTCCACCAGCTAACGTGGACGTGGTGGTAGCAGCCGACGTGACCTACGATTCGTCCATCCTAGACGTTTTGGCCACCACCATCAGTGACTTCCTCCAAAGTGGCACCAAGATGGCCCTAATTGCAGCCACCGTGCGGAACGAACAGACCATAGCCGACTGGAATGCAAGTTTGGACAGGTGGTTTGACGGCCAGTGGTCGGTGGTGAACAGCTGTGCGGTCCCTGGTGACATCGATTCCTTGTGCTGGTTCCGAGAACGCACTCCTGAGATCCGGGTGTACGAAATCAGGGCGAAACTGGGTTAATTATACTGGAATAATGGAAATTGCTGAATGGATCCTCAGATGGCTAATAATTGAGCTTTAAATTCTACATCTTTGAATTAATCGAGGAAGCACCTTAGAAGAGAATCTTTATGGACCACTCAAAATCCAAACTAAAAATTTTAGCTTACTTCCAAGAGTGCTATTTTCACGTCGGACTAGTCTCCAGGTGTATATAGAAGGACAATCGTAACCGTATAGACCATAATAGACGACAATAGACTGCCACTAGGAATAGTGTACGCCCAAAGAAACTGCAAAATACTGGAATCTTGCAGAAATTTTATAGAGAACACATCTCACCAGCTCCTAAATCACCACACCTACAAGCCAACTCCCCTCTAGCAGCCTCCCTACTCCTCGCTTCCTCTGGTCCGTTTCTCGCCCATCCTCACAAATGTTGCAGCCTTGGTTTCGCGTCGTGTCCCCACCGCGCTCACCAGCCAATGAAACCTGCCCATTCATTCCCGACATAGTAAAAAAACTGAGAAGTGTTACTACTCTTTCAACATAGATATATCAAGATGGCTGTTAGATTCCCTACTCCTGTTGCCAAGCCATTGTGGCCTTACGCTACTGGTGGTATGTACTGACTGATGGCTTTGCCATGAATAACGATCAACGTGGAACAGCTAAGACGTGGACATGAAAAATGGACGTTAGACGTGGATGTGCTTAGAATAGGGTCAATAGAGCACCAATCGATCAAGCAAATACTTGGACTGGCATGGAGGATGCCACTGACGTTGTTGGCTATCCAGAGGCAGCACGTGGAGACTGGCCTGGGCGTTTCGAAAGGTTGGATTCCAGTGTATTGAAGAATGAAGTTTGCAATATGAAAAAGCTTCTGGAAGCAAAGAATCGATGGTCCAGATATTCGAATCAAGCTAGAACTCAGCACCAGAACAGGAGATGGACCAGATAGGACCAAGTGATAACAAACGTGCTGGGTCCTCAGGCCACAGTAGTCCAACTGTGGGGACTGTGGACTGTGTTGAACAATTCCCGTAACTGTCAAAGATACACACCTATTGCCTGAACAAGCAGAGCAATCCAACTAACCACAACTTGCGCCCCCTTGCCAGATTCCGCAACAGGAAAGAACCGTCCAGATCAACGTCCCTGCAAAAACCCCATGATTGTCCCGATTCGTAATCCGCCACAACCCAACAAATACTAACCTTTAGCTGCTATCACCTACTACTTAATCTACAAGGCCTCTATTGCCTCCCAAAACTCTGACGAGTTCATCAATGACCCAAGACACCCAAGATTCGCTTCCGGTGGCAAGTTCATTGACTTGGAAAAGAAGGACTAAACGGTTAGGCATTCATAGCAATACGATACTTTAGAAACATTGATGTAGACATGTGGTGTGGTGGAATTGTCCTAGCTAGGCGACGATGTGGATGGCATCCCTGAGACGCTTAGCATTGAGCCAGAGCCTCCAGGGAGGTGGACCCACTGGAGTGGAGTGTGGAGATCGGATCAGAGTCCGAAGGCCTCCTGAACCGGACGGGCTCCTCAGCCGCCACAGCTCCCCAACAGACGGTGTAGCAGAGTCTAGACCGAACAGGTAGCGCTCACGTGGTTGTAGTCACGTGACCAGTGTCGCCGCCACTGGCTCGCTAGTGCATGTCCGATTCGGTGTCTGCAGGCTGGGTTGCATGACCGTTTCGGAAATCATGATGAGGTGTCGGAGTCCAGGTCCAGACTCCGGCCAATAACCAGAAATTGCCCGTCTGTCCGCAACGGTTTGCGTGTTCCGATTTGCATGGAGTGTGACCTGTCAGGCTATTGACTCATCGTTTCACGATTTACCTTGGTGGCCCACTAGGCAATGCGACACGGACACCACAAAATGGTTGTGAAAAGTTTTCGGGTCACTAACTGCAAAACAGGCTGGTTGCACACGATGACAGATTGACAAGATCTGCGGAGATCAGGTGTGACGGGTATAGAGCGGGTATAGGCGAGTGGTTCAGTAGGACTCGGTAGGCAGAGAATCCCAGTGAATAACTACTGATACCTGCATTGTTAGATACCAGAACTCGATAACCATTTGGTGTATATTATATGAATTTAGTGGTTAGCATTTGAGCAGAAAGCCACCTAGTTAACCATTAAATCGCCATTTCGTTCTTCGTACGTCTTTGAACTTATCTATAATGTGTATTAATTGCTATAAACGTGCCATAACCAGCCGGCACACCCAACCCCAAAGAAATGCAAGAACGAGAATGAAGCCAACGTGGTGTTATATTCTCACCACCGAAGTCTGCCACTTTCTGTAGTTGGACATGAGCCACTGGTTGTTCAACTTCATGTCGTCCTCGCTGTGTTCGCAGGGAGAGGTGTGGGTCTTGTTGCAGATGCAGCACTCGTAAAGGAAGGGTTCGAAGTGGTCTTCGATGTCGCGGACCTCGGGACTCTCGGGAGAGTACCCGTAGCTGTAGTTGTAGCCGTAGTCCTCATAGGGCGATCCGGGAGAGCTGGCGTCCAACGAGGGCGATTGGGGAACCGACGAGAGGTCGTCGTTGAACTCGAAGATGTCGTCACTGTATTCGGTAGACATTGTGCTGTGAAGGGCTTGTGCTAGTGCTGTGCTTGTGGGGTACTGTGGTGTACTGTGTTGTACTGTGTTGTCTTGTACTGGTTGTACTGTCTTGTAATGTAATGGTAAAATCATTTGATCCGAGAATCGCAGGCTATATATATTTTGCAGTAGTAGTTATGTGAGTAACGCACTGTGGAGCGAAGTGTGGAGGGCCCAAGCACGGTGCGGCGGGAGTCAGCGTGGGCGCGCTGTGGCCAACACAAACGTGGTGGTGGTGTTGGGCGCCTGAGTCACGCACTGTGGAGGTGATTCATAATGCCATGTCACGTGGGGCTCTCGTGGTGGCGGGGCCACCACACTCTGAGTCATCGCGTGCGGATGGCCTTCCCGCGCACGGGGCATGCCGCCACCGGCAGGTTGCTAGCCACCACCACACTGACCCGCGGTGGTACGGGCACGCCGGCTGCTCGCTAGCCACCACCACTCCACACTCGCCAGCACGTCAACCGATCGGTTCTTGAGTCAGCACAGTGACTCACGCAGCCAATCGCGCCATCAGCCGTTACTGATTTGTGTTTCTCTTCTGATCCGCCATGATCCACTCGTTCTTCATCTTCGACAGACACTGCAACTGCATCTACAGCCGCGAGTACACCAACGGCGATGCCATCAACAAAACCAACGACTCCGACACCGCCAAGCTCTTGTTCGGCATCCTCTACTCGTTGAAGAACATCTCCGGCAAGTTGGCTCACACCAACGACGACTCCGGCTTTGCCCCCAGCAACAACACCCTCAAGTCGTTCACGTTGGGCACCTACCGCGCCCACTACTTGGAGTCGATGACGGGCCTCAAGTTCATTCTTGTCAGTGACACCCACATCGACAACCTCCAGCCCGTGCTCTGGGAGCTCTACTCCACCCACTACTTGAAAAACGTTGTGCACAACGGGTTGTCGCCCGTGGAGTTCCTTGCTGAAAACGATCCCTACAGCAAGATTTCTAACCACAACTTCATTGTCCAGTCGGACGCGTACATCCAGTCGCTTCCAGTGTACAGATGAGGTAGTAAGGATCTACAGAAAATGCGTACTAGATGATCTTTAGTGGAGCACAGCTGGGTAGCATAACAAAAGATGGTCAACATAAACAGCTCTGTTCTTTGGGTCCAACCAGGCTACGAGATCGAGGCAGATCCGCAAAACAGTGCAATTGATCAGGATAGGCTAAATGTACTAGTGGTCGAGAGGTGAGTAACGCCCTTACCTACCGGGAATCTAATACTTTTTCACTGATGGAGACAATTAATTCCAGCTCCTGGACACTATGGTGGTAGTGATCCATTAGTGATTCAAATCAGAGCTCGCCTGAATTGGAAATTATACGTGCTCTCGAGAAAATAGACGTCTCCGACGCGGGAATAGTGCCGGCTTCACGTATCGCTGAAACAGGCAATTATGCGATCGGCTCTGCAGCGAAGGATGCGACTGGTTCCTTCAGCCAAGAGGTGGTATTCTCAGCCAAGAGGTTCAATTGACTCACTAAAAGCCAAGAGATAAGTGGCAGCATCAGGGTGCGGGTCGGCCAAGCCTGATACGAAAAACCCAAGCATCGTAGTTTAGAGGTTAAGGGCCATTGCAAAACCGATTTCGCTGGAGCTCACACATTGACCAAAATGAAAATGGTGTTGAACATCCGTACTTCACTACTCTGGGAGGTTTACCTACGGACCCACATCACTCGTGAGGTCGGACTGGCGTCGATTCCCCGAGGAGTGAAGTCAGAATATTTTCAGAGTATGGTAGGAGGATGTTCTCCACTATTGACACTGCTTTGCCATGGAATCACTAGAATCTTCCATCTCTAGAATCTTCTATAGACAGCCCCTTGTTGAATGCTTTTGATAGAAGAAGGATGAGAAGAATCACATGGATTGCCCCTAGTCATAGTTGGTAATCAATCATAAGTGTCCTCTGTATATCTATAGCATAATTAATTCGGTAACCCTAAAGTTTGTCAAAGTACTTACTCCTCGCTAGAGAATGTGTCTTGTGGGTGTTCCCCATACTGAGCGACAATCTTGAAAAATATATCCAAGATCCGATCACGTGAAACGAGTTCACTTGGGTCAATGAACTGGCACAAAAGAGCCCATAGTAAACCCAGCAATCTTGTAGATCGACCCCAAGCTGGATCTGGGCCAGCAAAACATCCTTCGGATTATACGAATTCAGTTTTCGGTCAGTTTCCCCAGATCGCTCCACCCTATTCCACCACACGTATATCCTGTCCGCCGTGGGGTTCCGGATCTCCCCACCCCCACCCCACTCTAACGGCCAAGCCTGAGATGAAAACACACGCCACAATACTCGTTGATGCTGGCACAATTGCTCCTCGGGTGCAGCATTCCCCTTCTGGTGCTGCTTGCCCCATCTGCTGCTGCTTGCCAAGGGTCTCTTAGTTGCACTCCCGCATTCAACCCGCACAAGACTCGATCCCCCAGCAGATCCTTACCACCGTATTCCCGCACATCCAAAATGCCATACGAGCCACCGACGCGTCCGGCAGTCACGCTGCATCTCATCTCTTCCCCAGACCGCCGTTCGGTCTGCGCTCCCACCGTTGGAAATAGCCTTCGTGCATGCGTGGTGCGTTTTGGGTGCACATTGACAGCCGCGCCATCGCCGAGCCCGCATCCCAACCGCAGTACTGACAGGCGCTCGGCGGTCGCCGAGGCCCCGGCTCGTGCTGTCACCATTGCCCCTCTGGGAACATCCGCACATCAGATACCGCCGATACCAGTCTGGGTTCCGATGCCCTCACTGGGGCTCCAGGCTAAAAGCGCTGCCATCTGCCCTCTTTCGCTTGTTTTCTCACCGTCATCATGGATCCTAGACCTGCCCATTTCTCCACCGCTTTCCATGAGGTGATCCTCATCTTCATCACATGCATGGCCCAGTTCCTCTGCCAGGGAGGAATCACCATGTCCCTCAGCACCATGGAGTTGGTGCTCGACTCGTTTGCTGGCCCCGGCAACCAAGTGGACGACACCAAGAAGGTGTGGTTTATGGGGTCATTTGCCCTCACCGTGGGTACCTTCATTCTCGTCAGTGGCCGTTTAGGCGACCTCTTTGGCCTCAAGCAGATCTTCACCATCGGCTGGTTCTGGTGCACTGTGTGGTCGTTGGTCACAGGGCTTTCCACCTACCTGAACTCAGTGATATTCTTCATCGTGTGCAGAGCATTCCACGGAATTGGCTTTGCCCTTCTCTTGCCTTGTGCCATGGGCATTTTGGGCAGCGTGTACCCCAACGGCTCCCGTAAGAACTTGGCGTTTGGCCTTGTGGGTGCCAGTGGACCCACCGGTGCCACTATAGGCGCTCTCATGGCTGCCGTGGTGGCACAATTGGCTTGGTGGCCCTGGGCGTTTTGGATTTTGGCCATTGTGTGCTTCATCTTCGGAGTGCTTCTGATCTACTACATTCCCCCCAACCTCAACGCCAACAAATACACCTGGAAGCAGGCTTGGGACCAGCTCGACGTGCTTGGAACCTGCACGGGTGTGTGTGGTTTGATCCTCTTGAACTTCGTGTGGAACCAGGGCCCTGTGGTCGGGTGGAAGAACCCCTACATCATCGTGTTGTTGGTTCTCGCTGTGGTATTGATTGTGGGATTTTTCTACCTCGAAAGAACGGTAGCATCGCCATTACTTCCCGCATCTATCTTCAACGTTAAGATCGGCTTGGTGCTCCTTTGTATGGGGCTCGGGTGGGGTTCGTTCGGAGTGTGGCAGTACTACTACTGGAACCTCGTCATGAACCTTCGCCACTACACCCCAATTGAGGGTGGTCTTTCCTACATTCCCTTCCTCGTGTTGGGAGTCATCGCTTCTATGATCGTGTCGGTAATCATCAGCAGAACCAAACCCTCGTACATCATTTGCTTCTCGTCTGTCTGCTTCATGTGCGGTTGCATCGTTCTTTCGGTGACGCCTGTGGTGCAGTCGTACTACCGTATGACCATGGGTCAAATGTTCATTCTCTGCTGGGCCATGGATATGAGCTTCCCTGCTGCAGCCATCATCTTGTCGAACTACTTACCATACCACCACCAAGGAATGGCAGGGTCCTTGGTGTCCACGGTGGTAAACTATTCAGTGTCGTTATTCTTGGGAATAGCCACCACCGTCGAACTCGAAGTCAGATCCACCCAGCCAGATCCAACCTCGATCGATTCGATTCTTAAAACTTACAGAGCGGCACTTTACTTCGGTATTGGTGTTGCTGGCTTGGGGGTGTTGTTTTCGTTGATTTTCATATACTTGCAACATGACGACACCGTGGGAACAATTGAGGAGGACGAAAAGCTTGAAACTTCGGGTCCTTCGATAGATTCTTTATAGAGATAATTAATGCGGTTATTGGGTAGATCTTTGTAGTTCAGGGTAGTTCATGGTTCTGAACATAGCACGGTGCCTTTATCGATTCAGAAATATGAATCAATAACTGAACTACGATTTGTTGTTGGTATATCCAAATTAAATGTGAAAAATGGCTTTCCTGAGAAAATAATTACTGCGAAAATTAGCGCACTTACATCAAGCACAACCAATTCCCACCGTACTCCCTCCAGCCACCAGGATAACTTTATTAAGATTAGTACAACTTCATAGCACAACAACAGGGATTATTCACGTTTTACTTCAAGACATTGTGGAGTATCAAGTAGCATGATCAAGTACTCAAATCCATGCATAAGAAACCAGTAATTTCTTTGTGCATCCTTACCACAAGCCCTTACTACTTCACAGCTACCTTGCACAAATACGTGTAAAAAGTTGATACTCTTACATATTCAGTCAATATACTAATTCATACTTCAAGCAGTAATTAGATCTAGATTGTAGTCTTCTATTTCTTAGGTACGATACTTCTGAGTATTCCCTCCAGATTCTCGCACTAGTTGCGAAATCGGCTTATGTAATCCTTCTCGCGTTGTTTATCTTTTTGAAGCACACTAGAAACAGACCCAACACCATCTCTAGCCCTTCCTAACACCAACGCCAATGAGTGACTCTGTGGATCAGCCTCGAAAGAGGCCACTCTCAGAGATATACACAAATATACCTCCTCCAGCCCTGGAAAAGAGACGACATTCACTGATAGGCATGCTTTCCGAAAGAAAGCCACCAACAACAAGCACAGACTCAGCAAGGCCGAGCAGTATCCCTGCAGCTCCGTCAAGAGTCAAGGCGCCGAAGTCAATAGTAGACATAAATACCTGTCTAAGCATCAAAAACAGGCTCAAGGCATCATTGACTAATCATGTGGAACACAATCATGCTATGCCTCAACACCTTCCTGCGAACATCACCCCGAAGACCTCACATGGTGTAGACTTGCACACGTTGGAGACTCAAGTTATCCAATTGTCTGAAAAGATAGAAGATCTCCGGGACGAGATCGATGCCATTGTTAGGGAACAGGCGAAGGTCCGTCACAGAATCGCAGATGTTAACTACCAATCTGTTAGCAACAAACGTACTCTAGAAAGAGAAATCGAAACTTCAGAAAAAGAGAAAGCACACTTGGAGCAAATGCTCAGTTTGCAGGTACAGGAGCTTGAGGTGAAATTAGATGATGATTTTAACGAGTTGAAGTTCAACTTACAGTCGGAAGTCAAAAATGCGGAGCAGTATCGAGATGATGATCTTTTACACGAAATAGAACGGCTTTTGGAAAAGAAAATAACCTTAGAGACTCAATTGGACGAGATCAAAGAAAAGAACCAGGCTATAATCAATGAAGAGTCGAAGGCGTTGAAGCTGGATCTAAATGCATATGTCGCATCAAAAGAGGAAGAAACTGATAAACTATCTTTGATCTTCGAAAATAAGGACAAAGAACTAAACGACTTAAATACTCAGCTTTCACATCTACAATCCAAAGTTGATGGGATACTAAAAAGAAATGAAGAATCTACCTCCTTGATCACAGATATTCAGTCAAGAATGAATGATTATCCCGCCATGAAATCGACATTATTGAAGTCACTCACTAGCATAGACGAACGATTGAATGATACTCAACAAAAAACTTTGCAATGGAATGAAAAATTGAGGTATGCAGAATCGACTCATTCTAAAGCCTTTGCCAAACAGGTAAAGTTTGATACTCAACGTATGATCTTGGAAAATTCTATCATGGATAACGAAAATAAGATCAGAGTGTACCTAAAATATAACAACAAGCATGAGATAGACATGACTAATGACACTCCATTCAACAAGATTTTCACTAATACAGCCTCCGTTGACGACATATCTAGTGAGTTCTCATATCTTATAAAAAGCAGCATTACTGGTAATAATGTGTCCATCATTTTCAATGGCATAAAACAACCAAATCTACTTGTTGGTTCAATTACCAATAGTTACAAATATCTCCTTCATAAATGTGAACAATTAACCCAATGGAAATTCAACTTTAGATTCAAGAGTATCACAATCAACAATAGTAACAAGATAATGGACTTGTTGAATTCGATGAAAGACCTCTCATTGGATTCTGGGTTCAATTGCTTGAAACAAATACCATCGCAAGAAATGATCATTGACGATGTTGAAGAGTTTACGAGAATTATTAAGCACATAAATGACAACACTGAGAATGTTAGTTTGTACATTATCAGCGTTAGTGGCATTAAAGGAACGAAGAGTATACAAAGCGATGTGTTGTTCGTTGATATCACTTCAAATTCGTTGGATTTACAAACCGAATACTTGAAATCATTTTCTTACAAAAACAGTAATACAGGCCTACTTAGGATGTTTAACTATGCCTACCTTAACAGCAAGTGTTTATTCATGAGTAACGTTAATGATGAAGTTGATGAGAAAAATTCCAGCTTTATCAATTCACTTGAAAGAATCAAAGCAATTGATTCACCTTATAAAAAAAAATGAGATAAATAGGTTATACTTATACTTATAGTGATAGTTATGATGGGTTAATAATACAAGGTTGAATTTTTTGTTTAGGATGATTGGAACGAGATTTTTGTAGACTCACATAGTTGAAATGAGATCGTGTAAGACCCATTTGAGTTCATCCGTAGTACCTATATGTGAATCTGGTCTAACTGGTGGTTGAGCGGGTTTGGCTACTGTTTTTTCCTCCTTTATATCTTCTTGCTTGAGTGGGCCATTGAAAGATTTAGCATCAACAGCTCCATTCAAGCTATGGACTGCACTTCCATTTATAGGAGGATTTATTGTAGTTGATGCAATTGGTAATACCTCATGCCTGGGGGGTAATTCGTAGTCTAGTTTGTGGGGAATTGAGTCATCGTTATCGAGCATAACGTTAGACAAACGATACTTGGGACCACATGGTTCTATCAAATGTGGAAACATCTCTAAAGTATCGTATAAGTCTTCTATGTTCAATGTTATGTCTTTGGATGAATCACTTTCCATCTGAGTGAAGTTACGCTTTTTAAGAGGCTCGCCACCACTATCCTTAGTCTCCAACGGAATGTAGTCATTATTTGTATACTTGTTTTCTCGGTATTTTGCAATATCAATTGCACTCTCAACTATACTTTTAAGATGCGACTCCAATCCTAGTAATATCACTTCCATTGCTTGGGGATTCAATCCACCAGTTAATCCATGCTCTCTCATTGTCATCAAAAGTCTTTTCGATAAGTTGTCATAGTCTGGAAGTTCATAATTCTGGGTTGCTACTGGCGTATTAATACCGTTGACCACATCTTGTTGCCATTGCACTAAGTTGTTCACTTGCAATTGCTGCTGTTCTTTATCTTGGATCATCGGGATTTTTGGCAAAAGAGAATGTCTTGTCAACGTTATTCCTGAGCTCAACTTCCCCTTTTTACCACTATCTCTAGTTATGTTCTTTATTCTTCTCCGTTCTCTAATAGGCAAGCCCATGATATTTTGCTTGAACTTTTCATATTGAGTTGACTTCACCTTGGTAGTCTTTTGAGCCTTTTTGTTCCAAAATGTTGCAAACTCATTGGAAAAGTCAAGTGGTCCATCTTTCAAAGAATTTGCAAAGTTGAAAAGTAATAACTTATTATGGTATTTGATCAAGCCATCTTTGAGTATGGGAGTAATCGTTTGGACGAATTCATTACGCGAAAGCTTTCCAATCAAGAAAAGCGAGAGTGTTTCATGATACTTCTCCCAGTTATTCCCCAACTTGTTCTGGAATTCACGTATAAGGGTCTCCAATTCTAGACGTTTATTCGTGCTCTTTGCAGGGGCGGATGGTGGAGTCAGCGCGGCAACTGAGCCCGAAAGATCTGTGGCACTTCCTGTGATTGGAACAGATGATGCAGTGGCCACAGCTGTTTGTGTCGACATGAAAAGATTGATTTAATGTGATAAAGCCACTCCAATCTATTGGGCCAGCGGTTGAAATAAAGGCGTGGAAGAAACTAGACCAGCGACAAAAGAATCCCTAGTTGTGGAGACGTGATCGGGTATGATTGATTGGGCCTGGCACGCGCTTGACTGATTCAATCGGAAGCGTAATAGGCTGCGGTTGTCTGTATTTTCGGTGAGAGTTTCGTGACCTGCACATAACGCGCTTGTGTTAGACAAAGGTGTCATAGTGTCAAGGGTAGTAGTGTTTTTAGTATGGATATGGTAAAGACTTAGGAACTTTGGGCCGTGTTTTTACTAATGGGTACCTTAGCTGGGGAGATTCCAGGTTTCGGAATGTTCCATTCTCCATTCTAAGAGGTATATTTGTGCTAAAGTTGCGAATTTCCAATTTTTGGACTTTTTACAAAATTTATGCATTTTGAATGTAAATATTGTTCGTAAGAAACATGACCACATGCAACTTCTTTGATAGTACCAATCGAAAGGAGCACATTCCATAGGAGTATAAAAGAGGATTTCAATGAGTTCTAGTAAGGTGGAGATAATTGGGTACAACATATCACAATTTGGTGAGTTCATCAGTTATCCTATCATTTATTTTGCGCCAAGTATCCTACGAGGAGAATTATTAGATGATGCATGGAAAGAGTATTTTGACCGAAGAGTATTCTTTGTGCTTAGGATCGAACAGTTCCGGTCATGGACCCTGGCGCAGCTCTTATTTTGGGTTTTGCAAGCTAAGAAATTCTCCAACAAAAATCAAAGTCCAGACGAGAAGAGACTAGTGCTTGTAGAAATTACGGTCAAATTCCATCCCTGTAAATTTAGGTTTTGCAACCTGGTAAACTAAAACTCCAATTATTTTTCTTACCTTCGATTGTATATGATTTACCATGCCCAACTGGGAAGATAGGTTTCGAGGAATTGATCCGAGTTGTGCTCACCGTTGACAATCCAATTGACGTTTTTTGTGTAAATCACTTTTCACTGAACTCCACAAAATTAAATTTGGTCCCAGAAGTGCCCCGCTTTCTTCTCTAAAAATGCTTTTGCAGCATACGAACCAGCACGGCCTAGTCGACCGTTGCTAAACAGAACCAGAGCCCAAGTGCGGGCCGTGGTGCCCTGGCTGCTAAAAAATAGTGCGCTCCGTGAATAGTTCGGTGCGGAAAAATAGTTTAGGTTTTCGCTAGATATGTTGGGTTTTGAGGCCATACCCAAGCATTTGATGGGCACAATTGCTGTTCACAGTGGATAGTTCATGGGTGGAATGCCCTGGAATGCCCTGGCATGCCCATGCCACCACTGGGCACGTGAAGAGCAACTCTGGCAGCCACCGTGGCCAATGGAGGGGGCGGGTAGAGCGGGTTGTTCGGACATCTGTGTGGTTAAAGTTCAGATATTTTTTCATCTTGATAGCAAAGAGCAATCGAGACGGCTACACCGTGCCGATAAACGGTGCTGATTTATCGGGAATTTCCTGGCCAGGTACTCCATAGCCACATCCGCGAGCCCGTTGTTGGTACCCCCTAAGGGTGCCCCTAACTGTCCTCCTACGTGTCCCCCCCTGCCCCCCAGTAGTCCGCGCATTGTTGGCGTAGCAATCCTGCGAGTGAAGGCCGCACTCAGTGGGGTCAATTTGATTAGGGGATATCAGCAACTATCGGCACCCGCTCCTAAGCCATGGCACATTGCACAAGACAGCCTCCTAGCAATGGCCAACCCGCGTCCTCGGCAATGGGCCCTCAGCCAGGCCCGATAACCCCAAATTGCCAATTGCACGGTTGGCCCATCGCTGGCGGAGGAGGCGCCATGCACAGCTCCGACTAAAATGGCCCAATATTGGTACACGCGCTACCCGGTACAATTGAACAATCGGACCCCGATACCAACCTAAAATTTTATACCGCCAAGTCTACAATATATATATATAGACGCCTCCACCCCGCCCACCATGGCAGACTATCAATTTTCCAAGATGCCAACCAAACTCACCAAAGAAGAGGAACGGTTGCAGATCTATCGTTTCAGAAGATGGGGCCCTTATCTCGGAGAAAGACAGTGGGCCACAGTTAGAGAAGACTACTCCCACGACGGTGACGCCTGGTCAGACTTTCCATTCGAGCACTCCCGCTCCAGAACTTACAGATGGGGAGAGGATGGGTTGGCTGGAGTGTCCGATAACCGTCAATTCGTGTGTATGTCCATGGCATTGTGGAACGAGAAGGACGACATCTTGAAGGAAAAGGCGTTCGGATTGACCAACTCGCAGGGAAACCACGGTGAGGACGTCAAGGACCTCTACTACTACCTCGATAATACCCCTTCCCACTCCTACATGAAGTACTTGTACAAGTACCCTCAAGGCAAGTTTCCCTACCAGCAATTGGTGGACGAGAACGCCAAGAGAACCCGTTTGGAGGACGAGTACGAAATCACCGACACCGACATGTTCAAAGACAACAAGTACTTCGACGTGGTGTTCGAAATGGCCAAGGGTGACGACGAGCCAGAAGAGCTTTACTTCAGAATCACCGCCTACAACAGAAGCAAAGAAGTGGCTCCATTGCACATTTTGCCTCATCTCGTGTTGAGAAACACCTGGGCTTGGGGCTCTGAGGAATCCAAGATTTCCAAGCCTAAAGTGTCTCAGCACGATGACTTCACCGTCAAGGTCGAACACGAAAAATTCGGCACCAAGTACTTTGTATTTGCCCCAGCTCCAGGTGCCACCGAGAACTCACCAGATGTCAAGCCAAAGTTATTGTTTACGGAAAACGAAACCAACACTAAGAGATTGTACGACCAACCAAACAAGCACAAATATGTCAAAGATGCGTTCCACGACTACGTCATCGACCACGACGAGGAGGCTGTCAACCCCGAAAAATTTGGTACTAAGACTGCTGCCTGGTTTGCATTCGACGAGAATGGTGGTGTCCAACCAGGAGACTACGTCACCCTCCGTTACAAGTTCAGCAAGTCCCCAGAAGAAATCGATGAGTACGAATTCGACCAAGTGTTTGCTAGACGTCAAGACGAAGCTGATGCTTTCTACTGGAAAGTCAGTCCTTTGCCAATGAGTGATGAATTGAGACAAGTCCAGAGACAATCTTTTGCCGGTTTGTTATGGACAAAGCAGTTCTACAATTTCGTCCATCATTACTGGTCTGGTGGAGATCCTAACACCCCCAAGCCTCCAGAAAACAGAGCAAATGGTAGAAATGAAGATTGGAAGCATTTGTATATCAATGACGTTTTATCGTTACCAGACAAGTGGGAGTATCCATTTTTTGCTGCGTGGGATACCGCTTTCCACTGTGTTCCATTTGCCATGATTGACCCATACTTTGCCAAGAACCAGATCGATTTACTCTTGAGAGAATGGTACCAACATCCAAATGGTCAAATTCCTGCTTATGAGTGGAACTTCTCTGATGTTAACCCTCCGGTCCACGCTTGGTCGGCCTACAGAATTTTTAAGATCGAAAGAAAGATGTATGGTAAGGAAGATATCGATTTCTTGGAAAGAGTGTTCCACAAGTTGTTGTTGAACTTCTCGTGGTGGGTCAACAGAAAGGATGCCAATGGTAACAACGTATTCGAAGGAGGATTCCTTGGTTTAGACAACATTGGTGTGTTCAACCGTTCTGAACAATTGCCAACCGGAGGTCACTTGGAACAAGCAGACTCTACTGGCTGGATGGCCTTCTTCTGTTTACAAATGTTAAACATTTCCCTTGAATTGGCCAAGACCAGACCAGTTTACGAAAACATTGCTTCGAAGTTTTTCGAGCATTTCATCTTGATTTCTGATGCTATGAGTTATAGAGGTGCCCGTGAAGGTGAAACAGGTGAAACAGAGAGCTCTTTATGGGATGAAAAAGATCAGTTCTACTACGATGCTATCAGTTACGGCAAGGGCCATTCTCAATCTTTGCCAGTCAGATCATTGGTGGGTTTGATTCCACTTTATGCATCCTTAACATTGGAACCTGAAATCTTGGAAAGATTCCCAGGATTCAAGAAGAGAGTCGACTGGTTCATCAACAACGTCAAGCCAATTGCTGAGAGAAATATCGCTTCCATGGAAACTCGTGGTGTTGGGGAAAGATTACTTTTAGCATTGGTCAACAAGGACAGACTTTTGGCAATTTTGGACAAAATGTTGAATGAAGACGAATTCTTATCACCTTACGGTATTAGATCGTTGTCCAAGTACCACAAGGACCACCCATTCGAAATGGAGGTCAATGGTGAGAAGTATTTTGTTGGATATTTACCAGGTGAGTCTGATTCGGGAATGTTTGGTGGTAACTCGAACTGGAGAGGTCCAATTTGGTTCCCAGTTAATTTCTTGTTGGTTGAGGCCCTTCAAAGATTCTACTTGTACTACGGACCTGAGTTGAAGGTCGAGTGTCCAAAGGGATCGGGTGACTACTTGAACTTGGCACAATGCGCCCAAGAAATTCAACACAGATTGATGCACTTGTTCATCCCTGATGAAGATGGTATCAGAGCATGTAACGGGCCAAACGAAATGGTGAATAAGGACCCATACTTCAAGGACTATGTTCCATTCTACGAATATTTCGATGCTGATACTGGTAGAGGGTTGGGTGCTTCCCATCAGTGTGGTTGGACTGCGGTGGTGGCCAAGTGGATCCACGACAACGGTGTTTCTTGTAGAATCCCCAAGACTCCAAGGACTCCTAGAACCCCACGTTCGTCTGTGTTCCTCCACAACAGTACTCACCCCAAGCAATTTGACGAAGAGGAAGAAGATAGTAACGAGAAGATCAAACAATACTACCCCAAGTCTGGTCCTTTCCCCGGAAGATTGCAAAGAAGAAAGTCCGGAAAGTCTTTATTGAACTTAACCGTTAATGCCTTGGATCTTGATTACGACGAATCTACTCATCATTCCAATGTGAGCGCCGCAAGAAGAACTAGTGACTACGGAAAAGGTACCAGCTTGAAGGACGAATTGGAAGAATTGGTTCCAACCAATTCTAGAGGGTCAATTGACTCCAATGCCGCTGTTGATGATGAATTATTGAGTCAAATCAAGAGCGCATTCCAGAAGTATAAATTGAAGGAGGATGAAGATCCTAACGATGTTTCTGGTGACGAATTCGAAACCAGACACCGTGACTAGGTAGAGATATAGAGATATTGTACAGTTTTTATTGCAACTAGTAGATAAGGATTAGTGGGCAGAGAAGTCGTCCGAACTAATGCCCGGAGAGCGAGAAATAAACAAGTAAGGCAGAGTACGACAATAAAGCATGGATGTTATAATTAGTGAGGTGACAATCTTGGTGGCTTTGTGTAGGAACCTGAAGATAGAAGAAAAATTACTCTTTGAGAACAAGACTGTTATCTGCATTTAATATTATCATCGATCCGTGCTTTACTGTGTTTGCCATTCTGACTATCCTAACCTATCCTAACCTCTTCTTGGGTGGTGCCCTGTTCCATTTTAGAAAACGATTACCTATGATTTTTTCATGACTAACATCGAGCTTTAGGTATCTGGCTTTAATTGTTCTCCCATATTCTCTCATTGCCCTTTTTGTCAGTTCGTTACTTATATCCAGGACTCCACACCTAGTCATAATTTCTTCAAGTAAGGTATCATTATCTTCGCTCCAGTATGCCTTATAATCCTTGACAAGTTGTTCTATCACGGCAGTATCATTTCCTCGTTGTTCAGGATGACTTAGGTAGCCGTGATAAGATTCATACTTATTTTGTATCAGAATAAATGTGATTAACTCGACGGGAGCAATATGTTCGATTTCTTTCTTTCGGGCATCTTCGGATGAAGCAGTATGCTTTCTTAAGATTTTTCTCTCTTTCCATTTAATCACCTCCAAAGCTTGGTATTCTAGAATATTATCGGTCTTGTTTTCGATGACCAGGTTAATCCAAGCGAGACCACTATTAAAAGACATTCTGTCCAAATCCTTTATGATTTTTGCGTTACCCTCAAGACGCTGTTCTAGAGTGGCATCATAAGTAATGAAATATCTTTCAGCGTTCTTTCCCTTATGATTTCTGATCTTATGGTTAATAGGCGTAGCCTCCTTTCCATTGTTTTGGATCATCCATTTGAAACCAGGCATTTGGTTAAGAATGTAGTTTAATGCACTTTGCCATTGGCTTAATATTTTTATGTTGTTATCATCCAACCTAGGCAAGTTTTTGAAGAAATTGTCATACACGATCTTAGCGTCATCCCTAGCATCTTCCCTTAATTCCTTTGTATTAACAACCTCTAATGTCGTTTTATATTTCCGGGTTTTCGGATAATTTGGGTTTGGGGCTTCTCTTGGTGCATCATTACCTGAAAATTCGTCATTTGACTCAATTATCTTTAACTTCAAATTTTCGAGTCGTTTGTCAATTGTTTCGTTAACGGACTTATCCCTAGTAAAAGCATTATCTGTACAAACAGCAGTTTCATCACTCAGGACTGAGGCCAGATGGATTCTGTGAGACATTTTTGATTAGGACACTTATTTTGACTCTTTATCTGTTAGTTTCTAGATTCAGTGTGCAGGCAAGAAACACAAGACTTTTATTTGTTAGTACATACATAATGATATTTTAACACACAGTCTACTACTACTAGGCACTTCGATAAATCATTGAGAATTACCGCTAGTTTATATTAAGCATCTTTTCTTTCTCACGTATTGTCTCGGGGGTTTGTTCCCATATTCTCCGTCTCAAATTCTCGACACTGTTGAGTTTCTACTTGATTCGTTAGTCTTATTTCCAGATTCGTTCACCGTCCTCTGCTTCTTTCGGGGTTTTAGGTATTGGGTTTATCCCCTTTATCCCTTCTTTTCGTAGGTCTGGACCGTAAACGACTCCTTATACCAATGTTCGTAATCGGTCGTGTCTGGCGCAATGTCGTTATTTTCACAATGTCGTTTGCATATATGTACCAAGATATGGGCAGCGGCACGTGTAAGGTCACATGGCCACGCAGTATGAAAAGGGATAATCGTGGCGACTAAAGTTACATCAATCATGTCTGACTTATTTGAGATATACGAGTCCGATTTCCAGCTCGCATTGCAAGAGGCCAAGTCAAACTTGGCCCAGGCATCTTCTGCAAACGGAGGTATGTATTGAAAGCGAGGATTAATACAAGGCCATGCTAACATCAGAACAACGGAAGAATCATTTACGAGCCATCGAATCCGCCACCGATGAGGGGTTGGAAGTGTTGGAGCAAATGGGAATAGAGGTGCAGAACTTACCCAGCAACCAAAGATCGTCATACAATGCCAAGATACGCCAGTACAAATCCCAGATCGATGACAGTAAGGCGGAATTGAAGCATTTGCTAGACGACCAAGACAGAAACGAGTTATTTGGCAGCAGGTACCGAGACGAGGAGTCCGGAGGGTTACACGATGACCAGCGCCGCCAGCTCTTGAACAACAACTCGTCGTTGGATAGATCCTCGCAAAGATTGCAGGACAGTCAGCGGATCGCATTGGAAACCGAGTCCATTGGAGGAAACATCCTCAACGACTTGAGGTCTCAAAGGGAGCAGATCAGCGGAGCTAGAAACACGCTCCTGACTGCAGACAATTACGTGGACAAGTCGATGAGAACGTTGAAGTCGATGAGCAGGAGGTTGACTGCCAACAAGTTCATCAGCTACGCCATTATCGCAGTGTTGATTTTGTTGATTTTCTTGGTGCTTGCCAGCAAGTTCTGGTAGCCGGCTGCCGAGCGGCCCAGTAGTTACGAAGTCCAATCTAGACAGTGTATTCCATGGTGTAGCCCAGTGAGTCAACCTGGCCTGAGTCAGGAATCGCGGCCGTGAGTCAAGGTCATTGCTTACGTAAGCAACATAAAATTTCTAGTTTTCACTTGACCAGTGGCGGATCTTTCACCAGCATGTTCAGATACTCCTCACGTTTGATAAGCTCAGGGTTGGCCAGAGCTGGCACCAGACCCTGGGCCACGGTTCCCACCATACTGATTGCCCGGTCTTTCCACCAAAACAGGCCGTTGCTCCACGGACATTTGCACAAGCCCAAACCTGGCGAAGAGCTCCACTGCACCATCATCACCAAGGACGGTAAGCAATTCACCTACGAGGTGGCTGAGGGCGACAATATCTTGGACATCGCCCAGGCCCACAACTTGGATATGGAGGGTGCCTGTGGGGGCTCGTGTGCCTGCTCGACCTGCCATGTTGTTGTGGATCCCGAGTTCTACGACGAGATACCCGAGCCGGATGATGACGAAAACGACATGTTGGACTTGGCGTTCGGGTTGACTGAGACCTCCAGATTGGGGTGCCAGATCATCATGACCAAGAAACTAGACGGGATCAGAGTGGCATTGCCTGCCATGACCAGAAATCTCCAGTCCAAGGATTTCAGCTGATTCAGTTCATATACATAGCAAATAAATTTGTACATACGCGAGGCCGAAAGGCCAACAAGTCGAGGGGTTGTAGCTGGTGTGTGTGTGGGCCAGATGGGCCTGGCCATTCACTATAGTCGCATTCTTGATTACTGGTGGTGGGCTGGCGAGGTGCGGCACCGCGACGTTGCGTATGCCATGGTTGTCTAATCCTGGCAGTTCGCGCCAGGGTCCAACGTGCCGTCCACTACCACTACCACTACCACCACCACGAGATCATTATCAATTTCACTACCTGTTTTTACAGCAACTGGTCCATTATTATTACTCGATCGTAATTAAGTACCTGATAATCTACCCCAGGTTATAATTTTCTTATTACTCTGGTTGATATCATCGAAAGGGAGTGTAATAAATCAACCACTGCTTGAATGTATGCCCAGCGAGCTCCTCTCCATGTAACGCGCGGCCTGCCACCGTGGGAGTCCACTGCCGTGCGAGCTCCCCTTGCGTGTCTCCGCTAGAACCATAATGCCCCGTTGTGAGTGGTGCGACTGCCACTGCCGTTCACTGCCGCCACGAGGCTTGGAACCCCCTTTTGCTACCATGACAAGCTCCGGCATTCCCGCTGCTCTTCCGCAGTTAGCGGAGCCCAATTGCCACCCCCACCCCTCCGCCGAGACCATACCAGGCCCCCACGCCCAACATTACCAGCATGACCTCGCGACTCTCCCGCCCCTCCTCCCTGTGCCCCACGCCTTATCACTATCGCATCACGTGTGCCCCTCCTCACGTGTGGGCACTGATAAGAGTCACCCTCAAACACACACACATCTTTACCCTCAGCAGTACCAGTAGTAATAGTAGTTTTGGCAGGCCATAGGTAGTTCTTACCGTGTATCGCCTCTTCTACTTTGCCCGCTGCCCCTGCTTCCTCACCAGTGCCCCACCACCATTCTTTCGCCATGTCTGACTATAACCACCACATCAAGCTCAACAAAGTGTACGTATCTGCTCCACGCCCACCACCACCCATTGACCTTACTAACGCCAGCCACACCAATCTCCGCAAGGGCTACAAGCTCGGCTCCGCGTCTGCAGCCTGGAAGAAGATCAAGTCGGCCACTGTGGCCTCTGGCTCCCACGAGGGTGCAAGCGGCAATACCGGTCCAAGACTCCCAGAAGGAGCTGTTGGTGCCAATGGCCACGAAGACACCACTACTTCTGATGCAGGCATCAGCGAGGCGTTGCCATTGTCTGCTTTCGGCTCCCAGGGGGATACCCTTCTTTTCTATCCCACCAAGAACATTCTCGAGGTGTGGTCCTGGCGGTCTCCAAACGCCCAATCGGACAGCGATACCCTCTTTTTGCACTACCAGACGTCGCTTGACTACGATGGCATTCCTCTGAACTTTGCTGTCTTTTCCAACGAGAGTGATCAGTGTTACTCGGTCATTCTTTTGATTCCAGACGAAGATCATGTCAAAATACAGAATCATCTGATTTCGCCACAACGAGCAGCCCAACTCACGCAAGAGAAACTGTACTTTTTCCCGTCCAAGACATATCACATTAAGAAATCTCCCTCCAATTTGTTGGTAGCAAATGACCTAGGCTATATTATTCTTTTAAGGATTCAGAACGATAAGATATGCCACCCCAACTCCGATAGCGCGTTGCACTCTATCAGAAAGAGTTCGTGCCAGCCAATTGTCCTCGATAGTCCCTATGACTCCCTAGAAGAGTCGGAGATTTTGTTGAAGACTAGTTGTGATGAAGATGGGACTCCGATCTTTGATATAGTCAATGATTGGCTCGTTTATTCCCCTGTGAAGACAGAGTACAAGTTCCTCAGAGCGGTCAGTAATACTAGGGAAAAGAAAACGACCACTCAATGTTCGGTCATTGATCCAATTATCACCAACTATCCTGACCCAGGTGACCATATTCACAAAAAGAAACACAGTGCTTTATTCACCCCAGTTAAGTTGCCTCCACCAGGTCCGTTATTGAACAAATTCATATCAACATTCTCTAATTCTGCTTTGGATGGGCTTTTCAAATTATCTGAGATTAGTGCATCAAAAATGAAGTCATATTATTCCGATAAGAAATCTCCAAAGCATAACGAGACCAGCCACGAATCCCATGATATATCCTTGAACACGGTCAGCAAAGCAATGGGTAAGTTATTGTATTCAACGGCGTCCTCCGTACAGAATTCAACTAGGAGTTTGAAACCGAACAGCAACCAATTAATCAAAGTTCTAGATTTATCAAACGATAAAGTTTTGGGAATTTTTAAACCTCCTGGTGGGGTTTCGAAATTATCATTATCCCCAAATGACTTGCAACTAGTAAACTCAAACCTGCGGGGAGACTCGTTATTCTTGTGGGATCTATACAGATTGCCAACAGAAGTATCTTTGCTTGGTAAGTTTACAAGAGGCAAAACTTCTGCTATAGTTGAGGATATTTTTTGGTTCACAAACAACTTTTACGACTATAAACCCACCAAGTCTTCCAATACAATTAGGCATGGGGCTAAAAACAATGAATTCACTGCGAAATTTACAAACTCAGGATTTGGTTGTATTACGAAATCTACTGGTTCAGTACATTGGTTTAACACAAACTATCTCTCGGAGTCCATCAGTCACAAAAAGGGTTCAAAGAAAGCTATTGAAGATGATCAACTAGAAGACTCATGGATCCTTCCCTCGTTTGGAGCGAAAAAGTTTGTTGCCTTACCCTTGATTGCAAATGATGATAGTGCAGCTTCTATCAACAATATTGCAGGGGCAAGCAACTCGAGTAAGTCAGTTAATAAGGAGGAGATGAACCAATTGGCAGTGATTGACAAGAACAACCAATTGAAGTTGATCTCCACATTGAACGGCCGCCATTTTTACAAGTATAGCTTACCTGATAAGCCTACAGCCAAAGAAGTTTTGCCCAATTTGTGCTTTGACAAAGCAGAGCCTAGTACCGAAGTCAAGCCAACGATTAGTGCTCCGAAGCCGGCGAGTACTCCGATATTTCAGACCAGTAAAGCAACTACATTTGGTCATGTACAAGCAAAGCAGCCTTTCACATTCAACACCAACACTTCAAAAAAGAATATTGTACCTGTGAAAGTGGCAAGCAATGAAGAAATATCTACTCCTTTGCCGGTAAAAACGGAAACTCACCAGAAATCAAAGCTGGTAATTCCTTTGTCCCAGGCGGAAATCGAAACATGTTCTCCATTTTCGAATTTGATCAACAGCTCAAACATTGTATTCGAAACTTTTGAATTCGACGGAGAAGGTGATGATCGAGATTTGTTCTTCGAAGTATTTAAAGAGTTTGGAAACGAATTACCAGGTAGAAAGATACATGTCGATAAAAGAAAAGATACAGATAAGGAAGAGCAATGCTACGACAACAGCTATTCCGAGATAAAGAATATATACATAGATCAAGAGGAGGATGCACCAGATAAGCCGTTGGTGAATGTTTAGTGGTCCTAGCAGCTACACCAGGAGCGAATTTCACTCCTTTTTATATGTTTACACGTTTGATTTACTGGAAGGGATTTATAAATGAAAAATGAAACCGATTGTAGTATTGAGTATAGTACAGACAAGATGAGGCAGGCACGGATGGCCAGCTAGGATGACCTGCTCCTAAAAGAAGAATCTAATGAGCTCCAAGACAGCACCTCCACAAACTAAGAACAATAACACGAAGATCCAGGACTTTGGCAATGGAAATTCGGTTTTCACAGCCACATCTCTTGGTTTACCTTGCTTGTTGGTGTTCTTTTTGGCAAATTTGGCATTAGCAGCTCTTTGCTTTGGAGTTTGGAGGGCCTATATGTTAGGTAAGAACTAGTTGGTGCTAGGATGGGTGGTACGTACCATTGTTACTGTTGTGTTATCGATAACGAGTAGATCAAGTTACGTGTCTTAAATCGAGGCTTCATTGTATGCAGTACTTAGTCGACGGTGAGAACAAAAAAATTAGCGCAGCCCGGTTTCGATCCGGGGATCTCAGGGTTATGAGCCCTGCGCGTTTCCACTTCGCTACTGCGCTGATTTGTTGAAAGAATATAATTCAATTAATATATACTGAGAATGAGAGTTCCTAAATTTTCAAAATGCGATATTCCGTAATTACGCCCTATTGTGAAGAGTTAGTACTTTTTTATGGATATGGCGATATAATAGTTTCTTCCAGGTACTTCCTGTCAAGGGTTTAGAAAACTTTATGGACATATAGAAAGAAAAATCTAAAAATTACTTCCCTTCACTAAGAATGAATCTCACAACTGACGGGTGTACTCAGAGGAAGAGTAGGGTTTTCACACAGCGAAATTTAGGTTGATGGTTTAATGCTGATTATTTTCTCAGATACAACTATCATCAAATTGGACAAGTTGATTAAGACTCTTTGGAGGTTATGGGTACAACGACGAGCACAAGGGGAGGCCCATGCTCGTCCTCCAACCACCACCCAATTGTCTTTCTTCTTGTCCAGCCAAATTTCCTAATGAAAATCTTATCTAACATGAGCTGCTTCTACAAGGTGCCTTTTGTTGCGCACCAAGTTGCAAAAAATCATCAAAAAACAAAATTGAATTCAAAAATTAATTAAATTATAACGGTTTGANCATAATGGTGTGTTATCCATTGCAATAGGTATATAGTCAGTAGATTATAATATCCTTCCCATTAGCAAAAAAAAAAAAATTAAATGCCTAAGGAGCAAAAAGTAGTCATAGATAGGAAAGCTATACTTAACTCTAACCCAATCTAAGTATATTCCTCTCTTGGTATTCATGTTACCAAATCTATTTTACTTCCAAACTTAATTTTTAGAAGCAAAAAATCAAGTGACACGTTTGATAGCTACCCACAAACGCAGCTATTTAATTCACTATAATAGCTGATTAGAATAGACAAGCAGAATAGTAAGACCTTCAACTAGAACAATTCGTCCGTCCGAACTCGTTTTACGTTATTGGTGAATCCTCATCGAACATTGCTGGTTTATGTTTTTCTTCTAAAGCATAATAAGCTTTCATACTTCCACCAATTACAGTTTTACTGGTCGAAAATCAAAAATTGAAAGCTTTTAACCAAACACTTTTTATTATGAGTCACTTTGTATCACAGAAGTAACACAATTACCCTCCCTGAGTCAGAAATGGCCCCACGAACATACCCATAATTCTTCTTCATCCCTTATATAAAACAGTATTCAAGTGTTTCTTTGATCTAGAGAGGCTTTAAAAACCTAAGAAATAGCTAAATAAGAGGCACCAGGTACCTAGCTCCCAAAAATTCTGTACTTACTTATGGCGAAGTAGCTCTACTAATGCTAGCGAACCCAAAAGTACGCTACTCAGATAAGACACCTATTTCTTACTTACAAGCAATTTAGTCTCCACAGAAAAGAAGATTTTGGAGGTTTCGTTACTTGCAACTGGGAAACTTATGACAAGTTCGCTGGAATGAGACCCAGAGCTTTATACTCTAAGCCCAGGTCCGAAATTTCTACTATACTGTGAGTTTGGATGGACTAGGGATAAACTTTAGGGCCATGGGTTTGCACCTTACGAGAAAGAGACAATACTTACAGATAGATATAGCTTGTAGCTCATTGCGGCATCGATCACCGTTCCTAGAAGTACTGTTTCGTTATATTGAAGCCAGTGCCCTCAAACATTAGATCTAGGGCGATAGGGTGATACACAACTCGTTAACAGTATTGTCTGAGAAACTGTTCTGGAAAGGGTTCCTTTTGTCCAGGACACGAAGTGCTTGTGAAGATTACCGCTCATATTAGCAGTACGGGTGTTCCTGTATGCAAGTAATAGAGCTTAAACAATTCTAACTGTAGGCATATCTGCCGGCCCCGCTGTCAAGCAGCCCCGTTAGCGGGGCAGGGAGGATAATTTACTGATCAGCGTGACGATATCACTGGCAGGCCAGCGCCAGTAATTTCCCGAGATAGTAATCTCGAGGGCTGAAACTGCAAAATAGAGTTGGCACGAGAATACAAAATCAGATGAGGATGGGGTAATCGGGGCCCAGGAGGGTGGGCAATTGGAGGTCTATAGAGTGAAACTAGATCCCTTACATGTAGATTGGAAGCAACAGTCAGGGCCAGTCAGGACCAGCCAGGCCCGGCCAGATTGCCCGGGCACTTCTATCTGAGCTTCGTTTGGTGCTCCAAAGCCGTTGCACTGCATTGTGGCTGCACACAGGGCCATGTGCCGGAAATACCAACTCCGGCATGAGGGGTCGATGGATGAGGGGAAACGCATGAGACTGAGTACCGACACTACTGCTGTCTCTCGGCAACGGTAGTATGTCGCTGCGGTGCCGACGCCGACGCCGACGCAATGCACCGTTCCGGCTTGGCCTGCCAATTGACATGCGGGTTGAATGTGGGGTAGAGCACCAATAATGACAGGCACGAATCCACCACAGTGGGCCTTGAATGTGGGCCATGGATGTGCACCACACCACTGACCACGAGGTCCACCTTCCCGGGATCTGGATCTCCCCCTGCCAGACGTACCCCAGATCTTCACGCAAATCAGGGTCGTGCTAACGGGTTTCGGGTGAGTGTCGGGCCCAGTCGCGCGCAAGCTGCCCCACCATGCTCATGCCGAGGGACCCAGCGACTATATAAGCCTGGGGAAGGCCAGGCGAACCGATTTCCGAGATCCAGCCTATCATGTCGCAATCGATCATCAAAGAGGACGCAGTGTACGTCGACAAAGTCATTCGCCTGAACTTGCCATGGGACCCCACGTCCACCGCCAACGCGGTGCCCATCCCAGGAAGTCAGAAACCAGGCCACTCGGCCGTGTACCGCAATGCCTACTCCCCCAACAAGTTGGTGTCCACCGTGCACCCTTCCATCACCACCTTGCACCAGTTGTTCGAGCACTCGGCCCAGGTCAACGGCCCCGACCGCTGTTTCGGCACCCGTGAACAGCTTGCTGACGGCACCTTCGGCGACTACGTGTTCAACGACTATAACAACGCCCACAAACGTAAGACTGACATCGGAGCTGGTATCTTTTGGGTTTTACAGAACAATCCCTACAGAACGGATTCGGAAGCTCACGCACGCATCCAATATGATCCCAACGCTACGGAATCGCCTTTCATCGTCACCCTCTTCTCTGCGAACAGAGAGGAATGGGCATTGACCGACTTGGCGTGCGTGTCGTACTCGCTCACCAACACCGCGTTGTACTCCACGTTGGGCCCCGACACCTCCAACTACATCCTCGAGTTGACCGAGTCGCCCATCGTGATCTGCTCCAAGGACAAGGTCAGAAGCATCCTTGAGTTGAAGCAGAAGTACCAAGACAGCTTGGCCAGCTTAATCCTGGTGGTGTCGATGGAGGCGTTAGACGTCGCCCACGACAGCGACCTCTTCCAGCTCGCCAAGGCCAACCGCATCTCCCTCATCGACTTCAAGCTGTTGGAGAAGTTGGGAGAAATCAACCCTCTCCCTGAAATTCCCCCCAAGCCTGAGACGGTCTACACCATCTCTTTCACTTCGGGAACCACGGGAGCCCACCCCAAGGGAGTGGTGTTGACCCATGCAAACGCCATGAGCTCCGTCACCTTCTGCTTCAGTAACATGACCTCGGCCGACAAGGGCACCACCTACTGCTTCCTCCCATTGGCCCACATCTTCCAGAGAATGAACTTGCTCGGAACGCTCTTCATGGGGTACGCCATTGGGTTCCCCCAGTCAACCTCGCCATTGACGTTGTTGGACGATGTCCAGAACTTGGACCCTCACGTCCTCAGTCTTGTTCCCAGAGTCTACACCAAGATGGAGGCCGGAATTAAGGCCCAGACCGTCAACAACGACGAGAGCCCTATCTTGAAGTACTTGTTCACCAAGGCGGTCGAGAAGAAGATGGAGTTGCAGTCAAAGGAAGACAACGCCAGAGGACACCACATTCTCTACGACAGGTTGATTGGCCGTCTCCGTCTGAAGCTTGGGTTCGGCAACATGGAAATGTTCACCATCGGCTCCGCTCCCGTTTCTCCTGATACCCTTAAGTTCCTCAAGGCCATTCTTGGCGTGGGAATCTCCCAAGGTTACGGTTTGACCGAATCCTTTGCTGGTGTCTGTTCGTCGTTGAAGTTTGAAGCCAACCCCGGATCTTGTGGTCCTATCTGCTTGACCACTGAAATGAGACTCCGTGAGGTTCCAGAAATGAACTACACTGCCAACTCGCCCCAGGGTCCAAGTGGTGAGATTCTTCTCAGAGGCCCTCAAATCTTCTCCCACTACTACAAGAACCCCGAGGAGACCAAGAAGGCGTTCGACGACGAAGGCTGGTTCCGTACTGGTGACATTGCCACCGTCAACCCTACCAACGGTAGAATCTACATTGTTGACAGAGTCAAGAACTTCTTCAAGTTGGCTCAGGGTGAGTACATCATGCCTGAAAAGATCGAGAACGCATACCTCAACAGGTTCCCAGTGGTGTCCCAATTGTACGTTCACGGTGACCCCTTGCAAACCTACTTGGTGGGTGTTGTTGGTTTGGATCCTGCTACCATTGAAAAATACATCTCCAAGAAATTTGGTGTCACCATCACCAATGAAAAGGAGATTGTTGAGTTTTTCAAGGACCCAAAACACAAAACTGCTCTTTTGAAGGATATGAACGAAAGTATTGGTGGTGTGTTACAAGGGTTTGAAAAGGTGCACAACATTTTTGTTGACTTCGAGCCATTGACAGTCGAAAGGGACATCGTCACTCCAACCTTGAAGATCAAGAGACCATTGGCCGCCAAGTTTTTCAAGGAGGTTTTCAAAAACTTGTACGAAGAAGGATCTTTGGTCAAGGGCTCCAAGTTGTAATCCCGTCAACCGAGCTTTGGACTACAAATATTTCTCTAATGCGTTTTATTAAGACCACAATTTAGACTATAGACCTTTTGTAATAAATGTTCCATGCTTCTCAGCTCACAAGGGGCTCGTGTTTTTCGATGCCTAGACGTAGTAGTTCCAATCAAACGTACTTGTAAGGATTCATGATTCCATTAGGATCGTAGTGCTTCTTCAAGCCCTTGATCATCTCAATTTCCACATCGTTCTTGGAGTATCCAATATAGTTCTTTTTCTGGAAACCCAAACCGTGCTCTGCGGAAACAGAACCCTTCTTTTCGCTGATCCATTCATAGACGAAGGGCTCCAAAACTTGCTCAATCTCCTTGCTGTACACTCTGGTACAAACATTCAAGTGCAAGTTACCGTCACCAATGTGTCCGTAACCAACGGCATCCACAACTGGCTTGGATTCGTCATCCAAATCAGCCAAATTTGCCTCCACCAACTTTTCATTGGCAGCATCAACCAACCCGTATAAGTCAGCCAATGGCAACGAGACATCGTACTTGTAGACACCACCAGCAGAAGCGGTAACCTCTGGAAGAGATTCTCTCCAGGACCACAAGTTGCGGAGTTGGGTTTCGTCTTGGGCAATGATACCATCATCAACCAAACCTTCTTCCATGGCGTTACCCAAGAATGTTTCCAACTTTTCGTCATCGTGGTCCTTGTTGGATCCAGAGGTTTCAATCAAAACGTAGAATGGGTATTCACCGCTTTCGATAGGATGGTCTAACTTCAAGTGACGTCTAGCTAAGATCTGGGACTTTCCATCCATGAATTCGAAGGCAGATAAAATTTCGGATAATTCTCTTCTTGCACCAGCGAACACCTTCAACACGGTTTCATAGGAGGATACGGCCAAAAGAGCGACGTTGAATGCTTGGGGACGGGCAGGACACAAGATGGACACACCGGTGATGATACCAATGGTACCTTCGGAACCAATGAACAATTGTTTTAAGTCGTAGCCAGTATTGTCCTTTCTCAAGGAGTCCATGGAGTTATAGATGGTTCCATCAGGCAAAACCACTTCTAATCCCAACACAGAACCGTGCAAAGAACCGTACCTCAACAATCTCAACCCACCAGCGTTGGTTGCAACCACACCTCCAACATGACACGAACCCTTGGCTCCAAGATCGAGCGGGAAGATGTAGCCGTTGTCGGCCAAGTACTGGTCAGCATTCTCCAAAATGACACCAGCGTCGGCCTTCAAAATACCGGTGACATCGTCAAACGATCTGATTTTGTTCAAGTTGCTGAGCGAGATGATGATTTCGTCAAACACCGGCACGGAACCTCCCACCAAGCCAGTGTTACCACCCTGAGGGACGACTGCCAACAAGTTGTCGTTACAGTACTTCAAGATGCGGGACACCTGGTCGGTGGTTTTGGGCTTCAACACAAGCTGGGACTGGCCACGGTACTTTCTCATCCAGTCCTCGTTGAAGAACAAGAGGTCGTCAGCATCAGTGATGAGTCCGTTGGTATCCTGCAACACTGACTCGAAGTACTTAGTGTCGGCGTCGTCCAACTTCTTGTACTTTTCGTCTCTGGACACTTTGGAGCCATAGGTGTCGGCGGTAAATGCAACCGATTTGGTAGAGTAGGGGGCAGCGACGGCGGTACGGCGAGCCGCTTGGGCAGCCAAACCCTTGGCTACGGCCCTGGTGGATGGGGCAATATACAGCGAGACACCACGGACACCTCGTAAGGATCTTCTTAGGGAGAGCATTGGTAGATGGTGAAGAGTCATAATTTGTTGTCTGGGGATAAATGGTGGTGGAGCGCGCGCTACCGGCCAACGGGAAGAGACAAGTCTTCTGCGATGGCACAGCGAGAGGGTGAGGTTGTTACAGTGCTCAGCAGTAGTTTACTTCCAGAGCATAGTGGTCGAAAAGGAGCAGATATCGTTTTTTGGCAGTATCGGACTATCCTAGGCTGGAGAGGAATAAGTTATCAGATCTCCACAGTTAGTGAATAATTAATGGTAATAGCCGCACTGACTCGTATCATTAGTGGTGCGTAGAACAGACTGAGTGCAGTGCACAGTTGGTGTTGGCATGGTACCAGGGAGCCCGAAACGAAAGAAATGAGAACAGTACCACTGAAATCCAGAAAAATTCGTAGACTTTCTGGATTTCGACTGCGATAGTGCCAATGATAGCAGAGAATCTCATGGTACACCTCTACGATCCCAACAAAATAGTTTACAGTACCAATAACAACTACAGAATCCGGTCACAAAGACTTTAGCCGTGAGACTACGATAACAGTTGACAGTGCCAATGTAAACCATAGACTGTCACGACTCAGTACAATTTTCTAATACCAAGAAAACAGAAAACCACACTGAAATCCAGAAATCTCTACTCTAGACTTTTCTTACCAAGAGAAATAATAATCTTCTCAGCGGGGCCTTAACCTACTAGATTCCTCAGAATTCCTGGAGATCCTGCTTGAACCAGCCCATTCTAGAATATTAACACTAATAGAAAAACTGTACTGTATCGCTCTTTCGTATTCTCTATTCCTTCCAGTTCTGGTTGCAGACCCCGCTGGAGTTCGCACTGGCTTATCTGTTCCAAATGATCGCCTGGCCCATTTTGCCCATCCGCCAGCCAAGTGTGGGAGATCGAGCGGCACGTGACCTCCAGTTTATCATCGCCAAGCTGATAGTGGAGAAAACCACCACCCATCTGTACAATGTTGCTCCACAAGCTCTGGCTAGCAGGCGTGATATTGGGGGCTTCCCAGTCGGCCCTTGGCCTCAAGCTCCCCCACTCGCTCCTGGCGCTCCAAAACGTATTCTCGCTCCAGCAGGCCCTGTGCCCTCACTACTCGTCCTTGAGCTCCCACGAGCTACCAATAGACTTGGGCCAGTATTCCGGCGAAATAGTAGCCAGGTTGGACTACTCGAACGACCATCAGCTCAAAAAGGCATTGATGGGCCGCAGCATTTTCAAGTTCAAGAAATGGGGCAAGAACAACGTCCTTCAAACGATGGATGTGCAGTTACACCCAGACACCTTACAGGATATGGCCCACCAGTTCCCCAACATGAAGTACGAGGTAATTATTGATGATTTGGCCCAGAAGGTATACGAGACATACCCCCAGCACTGGGCTAGCAGCAAGTTGAACCGTCGAGGCACCGATCAATACCAGGCCACCGAAGATGTGCTCGAAGCCACCCGCATGAACGTATTCTCAGAGCTCTTCTTCAAGGAATACAGACCGTTGGAAACTATCAACGCGTGGTTGAACATCCTCCAAGAGACCTTCCCAAACCAGATCAAGCTCGAGACCATCGGATACACCCACGAAAATAGACCATTGCAGGTGGTCCACTTCTCCACCGAGGCAGATCCTGACCACAGCGACAAGCGCACGGTGGTGATCACAGGAGGAATACATGCCAGGGAGTGGATTTCTGTCTCGTCGGTGTTGTACTCCATCTACGAGTTGTTGCAATACTACAGCGCCAACCCTGACTCCTCCATCCTCTCCAGGTTGGACTTCTTGTTCATCCCTGTGTTCAACCCCGACGGGTACGAGTATACCTGGTCTTCTGACCGGCTCTGGAGAAAAAACCGCCAAGAGACCGTTAATCCAAACTGTTTAGGAATTGACATCGACCACTCGTTCGACTTCCACTGGACCCGTTCTTCGGACTGGGAATGTGGTGAGGAGTACAGCGGCGAGAAGCCGTTCGAGGCCCTCGAGTCCAAGGTGTGGGACGAGTATTTGAACGCCACAAACGAGAACCACAACATCTACGGCTTTATCGATTTGCACTCGTACTCGCAGGAAGTGTTGTATCCATACGCCTACTCGTGTGCCAACCAACCCCGGGACGAAGAGAACTTGATTGAGTTGGCCTACGGTATTTCTAAGACCATTAGGCAAGAGTCTGGCAAGAACTACAATGTGATGCCTGCTTGCGTGGACAAGGATGCTGACTTGATTCCTGACCTTGGTGCGGGAAGCAGCTTGGACTTCATGTACCACAACAAGGCTTACCGTGCCTACCAATTGAAGTTGAGAGACAGCGGAAGCCATGGCTTCTTGTTGCCAGGTAAGTATATTGAGCCGGTGGGCAAGGAGATTTTCGCTGGAATCAAGTACTTCTGTATTTTTATTTTGGGAGACGACTAGCAATACAAGTTCAGAGAGGATATGGAAGATGTAGAAACGAGAGGATGAGGACATAGCTAGCTGAGATAAGTTGGTGACTTATGTATGGTTGAGTAGAGCATTAAGGGCAAGAAAATCGAACACCGAGAAAAAAGGATATTTAGTCCGTTCTATTAAAACATTGATGGCACACTTGTGCACCAATATTTCACCGCGATTCACAGGGTATTCATAGAGCAGTTTCTAATCTGATTATCCCTGCTTTCACTCCAATATTTGGTTGATTTCTCGTTAATTTTATCTATATAGTACTTACCCCCAACATGAATTATTGCTTCTGGGGAAAGATCCTTGGACATTGATCCATGTACATCCGTTATTAAATCTTTTTTTGTTCCCCAATAATTTGGTTGAAGGATCATTAAGTTGTTTTCGGATCAATGTCACAAATCAGTGTCACATACTGGCATCCGCTACGCATATACACAGCATTTCAAGTAAAATCGCACATCTAACAAGTGGATACGCTACTTTTCAGTTCCATGTAGAATCAACTTAGCTCCGCTTACATATAAGACATTAGTTGTGTTGAGTAATATCGCCTCTAAATATTTCCTTTGTTCGTACTTAAGTATTCCGTAGACCGTTTCACGCAGTACCCGAACCAGCAGAAGATCGTACTAGCTACGGAATAGCCAGAGGCATTGAATTGACTCTTGGCTCGAAACAGATAAAACCATAGATAAAAATTAAGTTTGCACTAGATATTAGTGTATAAATTGTGGCAGAGCTTTGATGAATTCTATAGGATCAACAAGATGAGACCTGAACAAACGTATAGGATGCATTATAGGACCTTTCACATTAAAAGGGTGCTATAAAGTTGATACCTTACACGGTATAAACTGGGTGCAAGACGCGACATTTACCACACACGTGACCACACCTCCATCGACATTTGCAGTAAACGTCTTTTGCAGTGTCCACCACCATGTCCGTCAAAGCATACAGTGCCCCCGGCAAAGCGCTTATTGCCGGAGGCTACTTGGTCCTCGACCCCCTCTACAACTCCTATGTGACTGCCTTGTCAGCCAGAATGCACGCTGTCGTCCAAAATGGGCCATCGTCTGACCACAGCCAGATCACCGTCAAATCACCTCAGTTCCAAGGCGAATGGGTGTATGATATTGGTACTGACCACAGCACCATCGAGGCTGCGAGTGCTAGCAACCCATTCTTGGCTGCCACGGTCTCCACTGTGTTGGGATACGTCCAGCCGTCATCCAAGTTCAACATCGTGGTGACGATCTACTCGGACCCAGGATTCCATTCCCAGGAGAATACCACAGCAGTGGAATCTGCTAACAAGCACAAACGGTTCTTATACCACCAGCAAGCCATCCATGAGGTCCCCAAGACGGGTTTGGGGCTGTCAGCAGGGTTGGTGTCGGTGGTGTGTGCTGCGTTATTGGGGCACTTTGGCGACTTCTCCCAGAACGTGATCCACAACACGGCCCAGATCGCCCATTGCATTGCCCAGAAGAAGATCGGGTCAGGCTTCGACGTGGCTGCAGCCGTCTACGGGTCCATCATGTACCGAAGATTCGAGCCCAGCCTCATCAGTCTGGCTGTGGGCGGAAACCGCGACGGATTGACCCACTTGATTGATTCAGACTGGAATTTCAACCACGCTCCCTGCACACTTCCGCCCCACGTCAGAATCCTCATGGGAGACATCCAGGGGGGCTCAGAGACCCCCAAGTTGGTGTCGAAAGTGTTGCAATGGCGTGCAGACCAGCCCCAGGAGAGCTTGGCCATTTACACCGCGCTCAACCAGGCCAACCAGGACTTGATGGACTCGTTGGCCGCCCTCCACCACCACCACTCAGCCAACGAGCACGAGTACATGGCAGCCATTAACTACTTGCACAACAAGTCGATTGCCAGCGTGGAGTTGTATCTAGGCCTTCAGCCTGCATTGAAGACCACGCTCGCGCCATTCTTGGCTGTTACCGACGCTATCTCCAGAATCAGGTCCAACTTGCGAAAAATGACCCGCGCGTGTGGGGCTGAGATTGAGCCGATTCCACAGACCAAGCTTTTGAATGACTGTGGGACGCTTAGAGGCTGTCTTGGCGGAGTTGTGCCAGGAGCAGGAGGCTATGACGCCATCAGTTTGTTGGTGATCGATTCCAGCATTGAGTCCATTGTGGAGTGCACCAGCACCGATGCTCGGTTTTCCAGAGTGGCCTGGCTCGATCTACACGAGCAGAAGAGCGGGTTGGTGCAGGAAAGGAGCGAGGACTACCAGGGCTTGGATTAGATAGCAAATCCCACCACTATAGACAAATCAAATAGATGCAATTGCACCGGCGATTGTACCAGAGTAAATTTGGATGCACCACTGCCAGTATACTGCTGTACCGTTCTCTATTATTAGCTCGATCATTCAACCACTGCCTCATCCGCACTGACTGACGACTGACGATCCGAACTCGCACGACCTGTCATCGCTACTTATACCGAGCTCGAGGCCAATTCACCAAACCACGATGTTTTCCCGCCAGAACGAGCTCGCAAAGCCGTTCGACACCTCCAAGGATTCGTTCCAGGAGGAGGACTACTACAATTTCGCCCATGTGGACTCGCCTGTCCAGCTGGCTGGACCAACTGCCCTGCACTACAACGACCTGGATGCCCTCGTCTACGACGACACTGCCGACAACGGCGACTCCAGGAGGTACAAGGTGGGCTCGCGAGTGTTTCTAGGCACCTCGGTGGTGCTGGCCATGCTCATCTTGGGGTGTGAGATCTACGTGTATGTTGCTATCAACGTACACAAGAAGGCCATCAAGTCCCAGCAGCGGTTTGCAGAAATCTCCATCTACTTGGCACTTTTCATCTTTGCTGCAGTGTACCAGCTCTTGTTGACGGTAGTAGGGCTCCGCACCAAGAACATGATCTTGTTGGCCATGTTGTGCTTGTTTTACGCGTGCATGTTGGTGTACACAGGTATCCAGTATGAGGAAGTCACCAACGCCATTTCGGCCGGAACTGGGTGGCACCGTGCCACTGCAGCCACCAACATTACCACCATCGTCATCTTGGGAGTCACGTTGTTGGCCCAGCTGGCTATGCTTTGGGGTCTCCGTAAACAGGTCAAGTGGGTCCGCTTCAAGAAGATCGGAGCTGATTTCTCAATCAGGCGCATGTACACCGTGTTCCAATTGCACAGGTGCTTGCTAATCTTTGATTTCTTCTTCTTCCTTGGCTTCACCGTGCAGTTCATCGTCATCATGGTCAACAACCGTTCATCCACCGAGTTTATCCTCACGGTGGTGGTGCTTCCATTGACGGTGCTCATCTTGCTCGTGGCTGACATTGCGGCCACCCGTGAGATCAAGTCCTTGACGTGTGTTACAGTGGTCGCTTTTGGAGGCGGAATTGCCTACGTCTTGTTCAAGATGATCCGGTTGTACACCAAGTATACCTCTGCCTACGATGTGGCAGTGAAACCGGGAGCGTACTTCCCAGGAAGAAAGTCCATGATCACTTTTGGAGCGATCACCTTGGCGTTGCTATTCACCACCCTCGTGTTCGAAGTCATGGTCCTCTTGAACTACGACCACGGGCTCCTTCCATTAGTGAGCACCTATTACGGTAAGCTTCCGGGGCACCGCAAAGGCAAGGCTGCCAGCAAGGCTGCCATCAGCATGGAGTCGCTTCCAAGGCAAGATGACGACTCGTTTATCGATTAGCGACAGATTACGAATTGTCACTTTATTGACTATCGAATTGGAATGTGTTTTGGCAATTTCGTCACACCAACTGCATAAATCACCTTTACCTAGGACAATTTGCTGTGGTATGCCCGAGGACGACAAGAAGCTATAGCTGACAGGTGGTATGTGGCCTTGGTTAATGACTACTGACTGGTATGGTATTACAAATGATAGTCAAACATGCACCACTTGATAAAAGCCGTATTTGGATACACAACCTTCTATTCTGCTTTTATTGGATTTTGAGGCGGTCTGCCAAAATATAATCATGATATGAAAAGCCGGATGTGGCCAACAGCACTCTATTAAGTGTCTCTAAGGCAAGAACGGTTACTATGGATGGATCAATTGATTTAGAGCTGAACTGTCTCTAGAATCTATAGACTCGATGCGTCTGAAGCGCTGTTGTCGGCCAGGACTAACGGTGCCTTAGACACGGCCACCAAACTTACTTGGTTGGCTACTTTTCATCTCTGCTAGCGTGATGTCGTAGAGAAAGATGATGCACATCATCTTGGATGAAGATCAATTCTGCTAACTTAGCAGATTGACTGAGATGAACAGATTAAAACATCCGCTTGATGCTGAGATGAACTAATTACTTTAGAGAACTCTGAACGATACTATTATTTAACGAGATTGAAACGACCATAATTCGTAGAACTGTCTTAGAGCTTGCTCTAGAACTACACGTGCATACGACATTCACCAGCAATGCAGTTCAAACTGACTGCAGGTACATCGCTCGTCATCTGTCACTCCAATCAGCCCACGTCACGGAAAAAGTCGCCTGCACTGATGGAGATTCTCGGAATATCTTCGGAAAATCTTCCCTCCAACCACCGTCCTGGTTCTCCCGGAACCGCCTGGTCCTACACCTCCTCCATAGATCATAGATCCTTATACCACTTGCTCCGTAGTTCTCCGCCCCCGGTGGTCAGATGTGGTGCACTTATCCCCGGGGCGCACCAGACGCACCAGATTTGCGGAAAAGCCCAGCCCCTAATTGCCAGGCCTCCAGTAGCAGAAGCAATACTACCACTGCTGCTGCTGCTGCTGCTGCTGCTGCTGCTACTACTACTAGCTCAACTTCCACCACTATCACTACAACCCTCTTTTTTCACTTCCTTCCTCTCCCTGATCCTCTCTGACTTTCCATAAAATGCACGGAATTCATCACCCCCCAGGGCCAGTGTACTCCGATCGACGCACACCGGAACCCTTGTCACCTGATCCCACATTCATCAGATGATGGTCCCAATGACAGGGGGAGGGGTCGCCTTGGCCGGAGTGGTGCTCCACGGGTATAAATAGCAGTGCCTCCGCCTGGTCCATTCACTCTCCATCACATTCTCCCATGTCTGAAATCACTTTGGGTAAATACCTCTTTGAAAGATTGTACCAATTGAAGGTGCAAACCATCTTCGGATTGCCTGGCGACTTCAACTTGTCGTTGTTGGACAAGATCTACGAAGTCGAGGCTGCGCACGGAAAGGGCTCCATGAGATGGGCTGGAAACGCCAACGAGCTCAATGCCTCCTATGCAGCTGACGGTTACTCGCGGGTCAAAGGCTTGTCGTGTTTGGTCACCACCTTCGGAGTGGGTGAATTATCGGCATTGAACGGCATTGCTGGCTCCTACGCTGAGCACGTCGGTGTGCTCCATGTCGTCGGAGTACCCTCCACCTCCTCGCAGAACAAGCAGTTGTTGTTGCACCACACCTTGGGCAATGGCGATTTCACGGTGTATCACCGTATGTCGGAACAGATCTCGGAAACAACTTCATTCATCAGGGACATCGCTGCTGCCCCCGCTGAGATCGACAGGTGCATCAGAGAGGCCTGGGTCAAACAGAGACCGGTCTACGTTGGATTACCTGCCAACTTGGTGGACCTCACTGTGCCTGCCAGCTTGTTGGATACTCCCATCGACTTGAAGCTTCCGCAAAACGATACTGAGGCCCAAGAAGAGGTCATTGACACCGTGGTGTCATTGATCCAAAAGGCTTCGAATCCCGTCATTTTGGTCGATGCCTGTGCCTCCAGACACCATTGCAAGAAGGAGGTCAAGGAGTTAGTGGAAAAGACCCAGTTCCCCGTCTTCACCACCCCTATGGGTAAGGGAGGTATTGACGAGGGTGGAGTTGATGGCGAGTTGTTGGAAAACGATCCATCGTTGATCTCCAAAGTGGCTGCGAAATTGAACGCAGGCTCCAACTCTGCATCCAGATTTGGAGGGGTCTACGTGGGTACCTTGTCCAAGCCCGAGGTCAGGGAGGCAGTCGAGAGTGCCGACTTGATCTTGTCGGTTGGAGGGTTGTTGTCCGACTTCAACACCGGCTCTTTCTCGTACTCCTACAAGACCAGAAATATTGTGGAATTCCATTCCGACTACACCAAGATTAGGCAGGCCAACTTCCCTGGTGTCCAGATGAAGGAAGCCTTACAGGGATTGAACAAGGTGGTTCAGGCTGCTGCTTCCCACTACAAGCCTCACCCAGTTCCCAAGATCAAGTTGGCCAACACGCCAGTTACCCACGAGACCAAGCTCACCCAGGAATGGTTGTGGACCAGAGTTTCGTCCTGGTTCCGCGAAGGTGACATTATCATCACCGAGACCGGAACCTCGGCCTTTGGTATTGTCCAGTCCAGATTCCCCAATAACACCATCGGAATCTCGCAAGTGCTTTACGGAAGTATCGGTTATTCGGTTGGGGCCGCTTTGGGTGCGGTGATGGCGGCTCAGGAAGTCGACCCAAAGAAGAGAGTCATTCTCTTTGTAGGTGACGGTTCATTGCAGTTGACTGTGCAAGAAATCTCCACCATGATTCGGAATGGAACCACTCCCTACATCTTTGTGTTGAACAATGACGGTTACACCATCGAAAGATTGATCCACGGTGAAAATGCTGGCTACAATGATATTCAACCTTGGAACAACTTGGCCTTAATGACGGCGTTCAACGCCAAGGACTTCGATGCCGTGAGAGTGTCCACTGTGGGTGAAACTGAAAAGTTGCTTAAGGACCCTGAATTCGGCAAGAACTCCAAGATTAGGATGATTGAGGTGATGTTGCCTAGAATGGACGCCCCTCAAAACCTTGTTAAGCAGGCCGAAATCACCTCCAAGACCAACTCCGAAAGCTGAGCTGTTACGAATATAAGACTACAATTAATAGAAATGCAAATAATTATGATGTGACCAACTAGCAAATGCACGATAGTAAATATGCCCACTAGACTTAGAGCAAGTTCTATCAAGCGCTATAGACTGCAATTACTGGCAACGCTTGTTGTAAAATTGCATATTACTAATTGAAAGCGAAAGTTGTACGCCTACTGCCATTCGAGTTCATTTTGAATTCAAGAACTTATTCAGCAACCTATTCACCCACGTATCCACTGCTTACAATTTGTGGGTGCTCGTTATCGTGAAAAGTGAGTTCGGTATCAATCAGGGGAAAGTTCTGACATCATCTACTCCTACGTTTTTAGCAGATACAGTTCAGGTTGCTAATAGTAATCTTCCCCAATGCTTTATTCTAAGTGCTCAAGATATGGAAGCAATAAATCTCGGGGATTTTTGGACCACAGCAAAAGTCCTTAATGTTGGGAATCATATGGTGCAAAATCGGCCCAACCTGCACCTACAAGACCTGTCAAAAAGAGCCCCATCCCACCCCTAGATCAAAACCCCTGTTATGTGGATATTTGTTCCCCGTGCGCCCAATTAGTAAGCATATGTTTCATCAGTTTTGTGTACCAATATTGTTCAAAATCCGCACTCCATTTAAAGCCCGCCCTCCAACGGTTGTTGACATATCCGCACCTTCTTCGACACTTACTTCCTTTTAGAATGTTTTCCTAGTCTCTCTCTTCGAGCGGTTCACTCTTTATCATTTGGTTCATACCCAACAAATCTACCAGAACGTTCTCCGAAAATTCTTTGCTCGGCATTGCGTAATAATTGCCGCCTTCCGTCTAACGCCGTCTCATGGAATGCGGCAAGAAGTGGGGATTGCCGGGTTAAAGCCGTCGATACATTCGGCTATGTATACTCGCTAGCACTCCCGGGTGCTTGGGCGGTACTTGCATTGCGCTCCCTGCAATATCAGGAGCTTCAATACCGATATTTACAATTAATCATTGCTATTTGCGTAGGTCAATGTTTCCTACCCAGTTATGCAATTTGATGGGACGAAGCTACTTTTCTAAATTCAATTTCGAAGATTTGGCTGTCTTTGAGTTGTCAAAAACCTTATTTTGCTCCAAAGAATGAATATTGCAGACGGCGATGCTGCATGACATAGCAGCAAGTGATTTGTAAGTACATACTCACCACTTTTAATGGATTACGGGTCCTGTGCAAATACACAGATGGTACTCCTGTTGGGCTCTCTGGTAGTAAATCGTTAAAGTGTGTCGGATAATACGATTATATCATCATAGAGAATGTGATACCGAGTATTGGAGTATTGCTCTCGAATCACTTTTAGGCAAATTGGGTAATGCGATGTCATCGTTATTTTGTGAATGATAATGCTGGTTGTAACTTTGCGGTATATTCTGCGCCAACTAGTTGCATTCTCGGAAACCCCGTTGCACTATTCCCCGTAGATCTACAAGTAAATTCATGAATGGCTGCGAAACTGAGGAAGCGAATAGAACACTTTCGACCACAACTAGTACCGTTGCGCTCGCTTTGGGGGATCCCTTCCAGAAGTATGTTTAGCTCCACCTCAACATGCCCACGCAGGTGTCATGATCCGTATACTAATGAAATTCCTCGAGTCTGTTGTCCGTTCGCACCCGCCTCTTGCCGCCAAAAATCATTCTCCAGCGATACTTCACACTTTCAGCAGGCCGCTTCACAGCAGAGAACTCGGCCAAGACAATCACCATACAGCTCCCACGATAATTGATGGGATGATTGTCTCCCAATGGTACCTGGGAATCGAAACGGAAACTTGACAACAAAATCCCGCTAGCGAGGGTGCATCCATTCTGCAGCCCCAGATGGAAATTAAAGTAGCTTTTGTGAGGTATCTCTGCAGATCTTTTGTCTCGCTACCCCGTCGAATCAGGTGCTGGTTATGAAGCGCAACCCATGTGTAGTATAAAAGCGCCCATATTTCCATCAAGTTCTTCTCCATCACACTTCACACAAAATGGCTTCCAACCCTCCTGGCCCTTGTTGCGCACAAGCTAACTTCCACGAAGGTACCCCAGTCGGTACTTTCAAGACCTTATTCGGAGTCGACACCTACCAAACTGGTGAAGCCAACGGAAACGACAGAATCATAGTCATCCTCACCGACATCTTTGGCCACAAGTTCAACAACAACCAATTGGTGGCCGACCAATTGGCCAAGAACAACTACCATGTCTTGATGCCTGATATCTTCAACGGAGACCCATTCATTGAGGGTGGCGACTTTGCCGCCAAGCTCAAGGCATGGCTCCCTCAACACACCCCAGAAATCACCAGACCAATTGCTGACAAGTTCTTGGCTGATGTCAAGAAGGAATACTCTCCAAAGTTCTTTGGTTCCATTGGTCACTGTTACGGTGCCAAGTACACCATCGTCAACTTGGGTGCCGACGGTATTCTTGACGCTGGTGCCATTGCCCACCCAAGTTACGTGACTGTCGACGATGTTGAAGCCATTGCCAAGCCACTTATCATCTCCTCCTCTGAAAACGACTACATCTACCCAACCGACTTGAGACACAAGACCGAAGAGATCTTGACCAAGAACGGTGTCAGATACGAATCCACCGTGTATTCCGGTGTCGAACACGGTTACGCTGTCAGAGGAGATATGACCAAGCAGGCTGTGCGTTACGCCAAGGAGAAGACCTTGGCCGACCAAGTCTGCTTCTTCAGCCAATTCTAGAGTAGATAATCAATAATGAACGTTTAGATCCATCCTACTAGGCCACATTGACGTGCTGTCGTAAAACTGCGTATGAATGCTTCATTTCTTGGCGATGTCTTCGCTACGTCAATGAACCCAGCGATGCGTGATAACGCACCGAGCTATACTAGACTGATAAGGGTAAAACTGCCTAGCCTGGTAGGATTCGGCAACAGCATGCAGCTTTCCCAGGAGCATACCATCTGTGAAGATCTGGCAAAATGGTTCTAGTAAGAATTTTTCGGATTATTGGCGGATGGGCCCGAAATGTTTCCAATGAAATATCCAAGTACAATACTTTCTGGAGTATACAGAGCGATCCAATGGTATTCGGCACTTGCAAGAGAGTATAGATTAAGAAGATTCTACCATGTGAACGAACATTGCTTGGATTTAGTAGAGTCGAAGTAGAATTTACCATTCAATTATGTCATATTCAAGCAGATGTTGACATGCGCACACCATTTTCGGTGATCCTGGTCTATTGTGGCTCCATAATGGTCAATTGGCCTGGCCTGAAGCGTTGCCATCCTTTTCGTTCTGCCAGCAGCCCTGGCTGGTCTTATCGTCAACCCTTACCTCGTGTCTGGTCCTTCTGGTTGCGCGGCGCAAATCCACCACTTTAAAGGGTCTGACAATTCCGCGCAACCAAAACCTCCTAATTCAATCCCCTTCTCCATGAACCCTGAGTACGAAAAGCTTCCATTGGAAGAGACCTATGAGGGCCAACAGCCCAGACACCGCTCCCTGCGGTTTAGATGGCTCGCAGTTCTTTCAGTCCTATCATTCATGGCTGTTACCACCCGCATTGGCTACGCCACTGGCCTTGATAGCTACCTCTACCAAAAGCCCCAGAACCCAGACTCCTTGTGTCCATTAGTTCAGAAACTCGATCCCCACGAGTATATCTATGGGACAGACACAATTGACACCATTCTCCACGACAAAAGCTTCCGGGAAAAGTCGAAACAAAAGTTGTTGGGAGCAATCCGGATTCCATCCGAGTCCTTTGATGAGATGGTCGATCCCGGCACCACCGACTCTTTGGACGAGTTGTACAAGCTCGAGCCAGTATGGGAACAATTCGAGAAGTTGCACCAGTACTTAGAAAAAACCTTCCCTTTGCTGCACAAGCATTTGAAACTAGAAAAAGTCAACAAGTTTGGCTTGGTCTACACCTGGCAGGGTTCTTCAGACAAGAAACCCATTTTGTTGACGGCCCACCAGGACGTTGTTCCTGTTCAAGAGGCCACTGTCGGTGACTGGAAATTCCCTCCCTACGAAGGGGGCGAGGACGGCAAGTTCTTGTACGGCCGTGGGGTCTCAGATTGCAAAAACCTATTGACTGGGTTGTTGGAGACTGTAGAGTTGTTGCTTGAAGAAGGAAAGTTTGTGCCAGAGAGAACCATTATCTTGGGCTTTGGATATGATGAGGAGTCTCAAGGAAAGGGTGCAGGGTATATTAGCAAGCATCTTGAGGCTAGATATGGGCCCGACTCGTTCTTGCAAATCATTGATGAAGGCAGCTCCGGGTACAAGGAGTTTGAGGGGCTTAAATTTATTCTTCCAGCTACTGCTGAAAAGGGTGCATTGAATGCCGTTATCGGGTTGTACACCCCTGGTGGCCACTCTTCAATTCCACCTGAACATACTTCCATTGGGATTTTGGCTCAGTTAATCAACGAGATTGAAGCTGTCCAATTTGAGAGTATTCTCACTAATGCTAATCCTGTGTTGAATACCCTTCAGTGTGTAGCAGAGCACTCCAAGAGCGTTGATAAAACATTGAAGAAAAACATCTTGAAGGCCCACTTCGATCAGAATGCAAACAAGAAGGTCATCGAATATTGGACCAAAAATCCAGGTGATAAGTATTTGATCACCACCTCCCAAGCAGTGGATATAATCCAAGGTGGTGTGAAATCCAATGCCTTGCCCGAATACGCGGAAGTCTTGATTAACAGTAGAATTGCTGTGGAGGAATCGGTTGATTCGACCTCTTCCAAGTTGCTTGACCAAGTTCAGAAGATTGCCAAAAAGTTTGACCTCGGGGTTGTTTTCGAGGGCCAAGAGGTGGTGAAACCCACTGAAAAGGGGCACTTTGACTTTACTTTGCCCCAAACTTTGGAGCCTGCGCCAATCACTCCCATCAACGATGAACTCTGGAGCGTTTTTGGTGGTTCTTTGAGGTACTTGTATGAGGAGTTGCTCTTGCCCAACGAAAATTCCACGTTTGTATTGGCTCCATTCTTGTCCACCGGCAATACTGACACCAAGTCGTACTGGGACTTGACCAGAAGCATATACCGCTACCAGCCGGGACTTCCCACACCAAATTCCAACATCCACTCGGTTAACGAGAGACTCAATTTCGATGGTCACCTTGGTATTGTTGCATTCTACTATTACTACTTGCAAGTCGTCGATAAGATAGAAGATAGCAAGTTTGGGCACTGATCGTATAGATAGCTTATATGCCGTAACAATTTATTCAACCACCGTCTGTTAGTGTTTGTGTATTAATCGTCTTTGCATCCGCTCTGCTTTTTCGCAACTATGCCTTCGTGTGATGTCACTCATCGCAATAGTGCTGTCACGTGAGGCATACTATAGATCTGAAAAATTTTAGATACTCAAGTAAGCAACCATGCCTACCGAACTCGAAGAGCTTGTGGAGTTCCTCCACTCCCCACAACCTGCCGTCGTCCAAATTTCCTTGGACAACCTTGTTGGCTATTCTCAAGGCCCTCAACAGCTGATTTTCAACCACAATAACTATGAGCCCATTAAGGATTTGAAGAGGTTGGTCAGAGATAAGGGAAAGACAATGGTCAACCAATCCTTGACAATCTTGGTCAATTTGTGTGACAGTTTACTCATCAGAAAGCTTCTTCTTGACGACGATGAATTCATGACCTATTTGGTCCAACAAATTGTCAATATTCAAAACTCCAATGCGGACTTGATGACAATTTTGTTGACTAACTTGGCCAAAAATGATGGTATCAACAAGATTCTCGATATGAAAGTCAAGCATGATGAAGTGAACAGCAAGGTTTTCAAGTCTACCAAGGCCATTGATTGTTTAATGGATCTTTTTGTCAAGGGCTTTGATAGATCGTTAAACAAATACGCTGACTTCGACTATTTGGCATACTTCTTCGCCGACTTGTCCAGATTCTTGGAAGGTAGAACTTACTTTATCACCAATCAAGAATACGATGAGGTTGTTCCATTATCTAAATTATTGGTCTTCACTGAAAAATACGACAACAAGATTAGAAGAGAAGGTGTGTCTTCTACCATCAAGAACTCGTTGTTTGATACCAACTCCCACATGAAACTTTTGGAAGATGAAAAGATTAATCTTTTGCCTTACATTTTATTACCAATTGCGGGTCCAGAGGAAATTGATGAAGACGATATGTTCAACTTGCCAGATGAATTACAATTATTACCTTCCGATAAAAAGAGAGATCCTCTTGATGCAATTATATGTATTCATTTGGAGAGTTTATTGTTATTGTGTACTACCAGACCTGGAAGAGAATACTTAAGAGAAAAGGCTGTGTATGCAATCATCAAAGAATTGCATAAAGCCACCGATAATGAGGAAGTCGCTGAGTTGATTGACAGATTGGTGCAAATGTTACAGAGAGACGAAGCTCCTGAAGATGCAGATGTGGATACGGATAGCGACAGTGACGATGAAAAGGTTGTTGAAATTGTTTAATGAATTGGCAACAAATGTTGGGAAGATGTACCACAAAAGTACCCTTCCTTATGTACTATAGGTGAATATAGATTGGAATGACATAGAACATCCATGAATACGGATTTATACCATGTAGAATGTTTTCAGTTTCATGCCTCTATTCCTTTAACACCAATTTTCCATCCACCAATTTGAGATTTTGCTTGACAATACTGATAATACGTTGTTTGTTGTCCCTATGAGCATTGACCCTAGTCTTCAAACTCAATAACAACTCTTTGGTAGTCAATGGATTGTTCTTCACCATGTTCAATACTTCCTTGATTGTCACCAAAACGCCATCTGGACCTGAAGAATCCAAATCAACCGACAGGCTGATAATTGGAGTGGGGGAAATTGATCTTTCGGTTTCACTCTTAATTTTCTTGGGTGATTTATCTCCATCCACTTTAGCCTTCTTCTTGGGGGAAGCGAGAACTGGAGCTGGTCTCTTACGACCATTTGGAATCCAATTACCCTTCGGGAATGTATTCAAGAATTCTGCTGGAGCCTTAATGACGACAAATCCGTCCCCAACATTTTGGGCAATAAGTGATCTACCAGACTTTTTGGTGTCAGATTCCTTAGAAACTCCTTCTGCGTCTTCCTGCTTTACTGTAGGCTCATCGTCACTTTCATCATCACTTTCCAAATCGGATTTGGATAAGTATGGATTCAATTGATCATCATCTTCACTGTCATAAACACCACCTTCGGTCTTGTTCAAAACCTTCCGCAACTTCTTACCTTCTTTGTCGACCTTTCTACTCTTTTCTGTTTCAAACAAGTCGTCTAACTCATCATCAATTTCTGCGTCTGACTGGCCATCGAAATGTGCTGCCTTCAACATTTCCTTCTTGACTCTTCTTTCAGATAATTTATTTTCTTCTTCATCTCCGTCCATAATTGGTGCTTCTTCATCATCGGCAAACTCTTCATCGAAATCTAAGTCATCATGGTCCGAGTCTCTGTCGTTGGAGCCCCCTCCAAGCACAGTACGCAATCTCCTACTATTGTTTGTGCTTGCAGGAGCCACAATACCATTACCAGGGGCACTTCCTCTAAATCTGGAATCCTGGGTATTATCAGCTATGGATTTTTCTTCCATGTGTTTCATCAACCATCTTGGAACGGAAGAGTTCTTCTCCATCTTGGCTTCGGCTTCTTCCAAGGTCAAGGTCGCATACTTGTTTCTGGGTGTGAACTTATAGACTTTTTCTGCTGGGACCATCTTGAAGCCATCCTTGTCAAAAACAAATAAGACATGCTGAGTATCAGAAGCTCCAGCTTCATAGTTTCCGACAAAGACGTTGCTACCGTCATAGTCTTCTATAACCCATGGGTAGTATTCTTCGTATCTCAACTTTCTTTTGGCATCGTCCACCAAACTAATTTGTCTGGTCTTCTTCTTGAAGATGTTCTTCTTGGATCTTCTGGCACCTCCGTCTGGAGCTACTTGCGACATGTCTGCTCTGGGATACCTTCTTGGCTCCTCTCCCCTGGCAATAGCTGCCTCGTCCTCTGCAATGAGCTCTTCCTCGGTTGGTTCGTGGACCACTCCGTTGGCCTTGTCAATCGCAAGTTGCTTCTTTCTTCTATCGATCTCTTGCCTGGTCAATTGAAACTGGATATTACGGGGATCCTTTCTATGCAACCTGACAGGTTTGGTGAAGTCCTCCACCACATCAACGTCTCTTGTGCTCTGGAATTTCATGATGTGATACCGAATATCACTGACCTCTTCTTTGGTACAGGACTTCAAAGGGATGTCTTGCCACCCATCCGACGAGGAAGAGGGTTTGGGTGTGCTATTTGAGGAAGACTGCGACGTCAACGGAGTTGTCTCCGCCTCAGACTTGACCTTGATTTCCTTCTTAGCTGGCGACAGACTCATGGTGAGGTAAGGAGTGATGAAAGTTCAACATCGCGATATGTAATATGTGCGCACGTGACTTGCGGAGACTATGGTGGAGGAAATGTCGTACGACAATTCACCAGGGGGGTGGAGCCCTGCCTGTTTCTGTTTGCTATTACACAGTGTACATGTACAGTGATTCACCCCATAGCTCAACCTTTGACAGCGATTACGTTTTCGTGACTTATGAAATATTTTCGTATTTGTGACATTATTTTCCAAATCTTTGTAAAATCCAGCTTAAAAAGAGTATGGGGAAACTCAATTTCCGGAGGATATCATGCTAAATAGTCATCTGAGCCAGGTCAAGAAGAATAAATAATAGTAATCGATTTCTATACTGGTATTCCATTCTTTACAATAGGCATACGCGTTATCCTTTTCTCTACTAGCCTAATAAATTAGCTGTTCCTCTACCTTTCTCCGTCCACCACTGCTGAGATGCCAAATCCGTAATGGTACTATCACAGCCCCAGATCTTCCACCTTCACCCGCAGAGTCGCCCAGTTTGTGCGTAACCGAAACCGATCTCACGGGCATCCGGTTTTGACTCATTGCCCGAATGCGCGCCGGTTCCGGTCGCCATACATTACTTAGTTGGTGGCCCAGATCAACCGGTTCGAGACTACTTTCTTTCACAACCAGCATGTCCTTAGTGGTAGAAGACAAGCGGGACGAACTCCTCTCACAGAAAACCGCCACAAACCCTCCCCCAAGGTACCTTGGCTTCATTGCCGGGACTTGTTCTGGGGTGATGAAAAACGTGGTTGGACATCCGTTTGACACCATCAAGGTCAGACTTCAAACAGCAGACGTTGGCAGGTTCAAGGGACCCGTGGATTGTGTGATGCAGACGTTCAGGAACGAGGGTTTCCGAGGCTTTTATAAGGGGTTCACTCCTCCGTTGGTGGGGTGGGTTCTCATGGATTCAGTGATGTTGGGATCGCTTCACACCTACAGGAGGTTCTTGAAGGAAAATGTGTACAACAACCAAGATTTGACTTTGACAGGACACTGCTTGGCCGGATTGGGGTCAGGGTTGACGGTATCATTCGTGGCTGCCCCGATAGAGCAGTTCAAGGCCAGACTACAGGTGCAATATGATGCGAAGACCAAGTTATACAATGGTCCATTGGACGTGGCCACCAAGTTGTACAAGACGTCAGGCATCAGGGGAATCTACAGTGGGTTGTGCTCGACTATGATTTTCCGGTTAAATTTTGTGTTTTGGTGGGGCTCATACGAGATCTTCAACAACTGGTTTGCACAAAACACACAGTTATCCAAACCCGCCGCCAACTTCTGGTCCGGGGGATTGTCCGCCACAGTCTTCTGGATATTTGCATACCCTGCGGATGTCGTGAAACAAACGATCATGACAGACAGTCCTATCAGGTCCCAAAAGAAGTTTCCAAGGTGGATAGATGCTGTCAAGTATATCTACAGGGTCAAGGGCTTGGGTGGATTCACCAAGGGTTTTGGTCCTTCCATCTTGAGATCCTTCCCAGCCAATGCCGCAGCCTTGGCTGCGTTTGAGGCTGCCATGAGATTCATGCATTAATAGAACACAGACTAGCGAAGCTAGCATATTTTAACCTTCAATGTAGCCTCCATTTTCCAAGCTGGTACCAAATTAGCACCACCACCATAGTAGAGGCCTTCCGGCAATCACTCTAGGACTGAATGATGCCATAATACGGATCCACCCATTCTATTTCTCCCAAGGTTTTGTTCTCTGCTTGGCCTCCGAAACAGAACTCTTTTCTGTCAAAACTGTATCTGGGATGTCCTTGATACCAGGCACGGGTTTGCCTGACACGATTAATTCCACCAAGTCCTGGTAATTGGACGAGTAAGGTGGATCTTCCGTAGTTGCAGCCTGGGTCAGCTCTGCCTGGGCAGATGGGATGCTGGGCTCTATTGGCTCTTGATTGTGGGTCGGGGTCGACTGTACCTCCTTGGGTTTGGTCTCGTCCTCGTCTCTCACTTCGGTGATTTTCTTATTCTTAGCGTACTTATCGCCGTTAACCAACTTCCATTGCTGGTAGTCATCGAGATTCAAGATGTTGTCAGTATGGGAGCAGTAGAAGAACGACTTAGCCTGGTCAATCAACTGCTGCTTGTCCAACGGTGGGATGGATCGCACCGAAGGATCTTGCTCCTTCAAGTTTTCCAAGTACCCGTCCAAAATCTGGTTCAACCCCTCCTGGAACTCCGAGAACGAATCCCAATCGTAGTTGAGGTACTCAATATAGATTTGTTCCTGTGGGTTGCTCATTTTGATATGAAGAATAACCGGTTTGAATGGTAATATCTGGGGACGATGTCGCGCTAATCGCCAGTGGATGTCGCCCAGTGTCGCAGTCAACAACTGTCCCACCCTCTCTTCCAGAGCCTGTTTCCATGAAGATGCTTACGCTCAACACCAAGACAGTTTTCGCTCTTGCAGTGTTGCTTAGAGTGGTATTCTTTTTCTATGGTCTTTATCAAGATGAATACTTACCAGTCAAGTATACAGACATAGACTACTTGGTGTTTTCAGATGCCTCAAAATATGTGTACTACGGATTGAGCCCCTACAAAAGAGAAACTTACAGATACACCCCTCTATTGTCATGGATGTTGATTCCAAATGCATGGGGCGGAGTCTGGTACCATTTCGGGAAGGTGTTGTTCATGGTGTGTGATTTAATCACTGGATGGATCATTACCAGATTGTTACAAAACATCCATATCAAAGGAGCTCCATTGAGTTCGAACAGGGTGTCCATATTATCGTCGTTGTGGCTCTTGAACCCTATGGTTATTACCATCAGCACCAGAGGATCGTCAGAGAGTGTTCTTACCGTGATGATCATGGCGTCGTTGTACTTTTTAATAGTCAAGAAGTCTATCACAACATCTGCACTTTTATTGGGATTGTCTATTCATTTCAAGATATATCCGATCATATACTTGTCCAGTATCATGTATTACCTTGCAAATGGGGCTCATATCATTAATTTGCCTGTTATCAGATGGATCAACGTCACAAACCTCAAGTACTTGATTGTCACTTGTCTCAGTGTGAGTGCATTGAACTGGCTAATGTACAAAATTTATGATTTTGAGTTCATGTACCATTCATACCTCTACCATTTGACAAGACTTGACCACAGACACAACTTTTCCATCTACAATATTGCCCTTTACTATAAGTCTGCCTTGACGGAAAATACTCAAAACATAGAAAACTTTGCATTCATACCCCAAATCATGTTGTCAGCAGTGCTCATTCCCCTTGTTTTCGCAGACAGAGATTTAATATCAAGTTTGTTTCTTCAAACATTTGCATTTGTCACGTTCAATAAAGTTATGACCTCACAGTATTTCTTATGGTTTTTAATCTTTTTGCCCCACTATCTTTCCCGTTCCCGGTACTTAACCAGACAGTATATGTGGAGAGGAGTGGTAATGGTGTTGGCGTGGGTTATTTCACAAGCTGCTTGGTTGGGCTGCGCCTACAATTTGGAATTTTTGGGGATTAATGCATTCTCTGAACTTCTCTATGCATCAATTGGGTTCTTTTTAGTTAACTGCTGGTTGTTAGCCCAGTTCTTTCAAGATTTGAGCTAGATATATAGTCCCAATAAAAATATAGGTCACGTGACACGATATCATGCGAATCCGATGTGATGATTTTTTCACTATACCTTAAACACTGTGCTATAAACTCAAGGTCATCTAATGTCACGCTTGGAGATATATTCCCCAGAAGGGTTGAGAATCGATGGAAGAAGATGGAATGAGTTGCGTCGTTTTGAATGCCAGACCAATACCCATCCAAACTCGTCAGATGGATCGTCATATGTTGAACAAGGTAACACCAAAGTGATATGCATGGTTCAAGGACCCATGGAACCTTCATTAAGATCACAAGCCAACACAACAGAGGCTACAATAGAGGTGAATGTAAATGTGGCGAACTTTTCCACATTTGAAAGAAAGAAGAGAACGAGAACAGAAAAGAGAATAGTCGAATTGAAGGCAACTTTAGAAAAGACCTTCGAACAGAGCGTGATGTGCAACTTGTACCCAAGAACTGTGATACAGGTGGACATACATGTGCTAGCACAGGATGGTGGATTGTTGGCCGGGATGACCAATGCAATGACCTTAGCCTTAATCGATGCAGGGATTGCAATGTACGACTATGTATCATCCGTTAGTGCTGGTTTACATGATCAGACCCCATTATTGGACTTGAACAGTTTGGAGGAAAACGATATGAGTGCCATTACCATTGGTGTAGTTGGAAAGAGTGAAAAGTTAGCATTGTTGATGTTAGAGGATAAAATGCCTTTGGATCAATTGGAATCTGTTCTCGCTATTGCCATAGCAGGAAGCCATCGTATTCAGGATTTAATGGACACGGAGCTTAGGAGACAGGGAAACATACGGGCATCCAAGATGACTCAGAGTTAATGTACAATAGAAATGCATAGAAGACACGTTTTTGATGATGTAGTTATTAGTATAGTAAATAATTGCTTTATCAGGGTGCCACAAAAATTGCAAGTAACTTTAAGCTACAAGATCAGGAACTCTTGATCTATTTAGTGTTTTTCTTCGAAACTGATTTTTCAAGTTCGACTTCAAAGTAATGATAAGACAATAGTGATCAACTAAGCTAGAGCCGTAGGTAGAATTGAATTTTATTTGCAGCCGTGAGTGACTTCTTTCATTCCAACTTTCCTACATGGAAAATCAATCCCAAACCCTTCTGCTATTTCAAGTATGAACCTGCTGGTTTACAGATCATTATATCATGGCTCGCAAAAAAGAAAAGGAATTGACACGGACAGGAATTGAACCTGCAACCTTTCGATTTGGAGTCGAAAGCTCTACCATTGAGCCACCGCATCACCCTTGAGAAAAATTGTAAACCCTTATATACAGGTTATTAAATGTTAGTGATTGTCAACTTCGGCAAAAGAATCAATGCTGGGAATCCTTAGGATCCTTGTAGAACTTTGAATCATAAAACTTAGTCACTCCATTGAAGAAGATAAAAAGAACAACTATCAGTTTTATTGGACAAGTTGATTAAGACTTTTTGGAGGTTGTGGATGGAAACGACGAGCACAAGGGGAGACCCAAGCTCGTCCTCTAACCACCAACCAATTGTACTTCTGTGTCTATCCACAGCTTTTAATCTAATATTTCACCTATGATTTGTTAACCTAGGGTGTTGGGAGTTGCTCACCAGGTTCAAAACTCTATCAAAAAACAATTTTTAGTTTAATTTCATTTTTGTAACTGTTTGACCAAAAATTGCAATAGGTACAAAGTTAGATTCTAGTATACTTTCCATACGCCAAAATAATGCACTTACTTCTTCAAGTCTAAGGAGTATCTCTTTCGATAACGAAAAAGGTCCCTAGAGTAACGCTGGTTCTCATTTACAAACAGATCAGGATTTTATGTATAAAAATTCTTTCAGTGGAGGATTTGAACTTATTCTTCACAAGATTTTGGAGCATCAAAAAGATCTTGAAAAAGAAACAGAATAAACACTCGTGACTGCACCTAGTTTAAATCCAAGTTAGGGAGATAAACCACACCCCATGTACTTATCAATACCTATATTGTGGCTATTTCTTTTTAACTTTCGACGCAGTTTGTGCAACAAATCGATACCAATGGACCCCTAATTATTGTTATCGGCTGCAACCAATTCGGTGGAACGGAATTGTTCCAGGAAAATATTTCATCAAAAGTGTCCATTTGAGCTTTACAGAGAATTATTTTTTTCAGCGTTTCCCAAATAGATAGTTGTACTCAATCCTCACAAGAAGATCTATTGATTTAGCCTCCATCATTCCAGTTAGTTCTCTTGTATTATCTAACTAATATTTTAAATTAAAGCAGGCTCTTTGTTACATATCAGTCACTTGTGGTCCTTCTAAACCAACTGGTCACTCAATACATCCTATTACAGAAGGATACATGCATGTCTATAAACCTTTGATGGCAAAATTTCTATTTTTCACCGTAGTAGTTCCGCCTGAACCATATTAAGCTTGAAAGCGAATAGTTCATGCAATGGATAAACTGAAAAAATATCCACAACGCCTGCTCTTGAAGCTTGAAAAGTGTAATTTGTTCATTTCGCTTATCGTCCTCTGGACTGTGACTCCTATTATGTCATTTGGCTTTGACTAACAATAGGTCCTATCTCTGTAGATTGGGTAGATGCAATTTAATAGCCTTGATCCGATGGAAATCTAAAAGAATGATAATTAGACCATGGACCGACTAGTTCAAATAGCAAGGTTGATCTCCTCGGGATAGAAAATAGCAAATGCAAATTTATAACTTCAAGGAAGCCAAGCCCACTTGGTGAAAGTAGGTCTACTGGACAGGGTGTGACACTTTAGGACTCACACCCCCATATTATTCATGAAAAATGCTCGAAATTTCATACATAGAGGTTCCTACATCCAGTCTAAAAAATAAGCGAGTCACTCTAACATACAGGACAAGCTTGTTGAGTAGGTCCAACTCACATATACACAAGACCAAAGCTGTCAATGCAGGTGGCAATCAAGATGCATGTACTATCCAACCTTCAGTAAATAGATCATATAACCGACACACGTCCAAGTAGTGGTGTTGGTGTTGATATTCTCTCTTCAAAGCGGGAGTTAATGGGGGAGGCTGCTCACAGATGAAAAAATACTCGCCCAACTTGATTTTGCGTCCAGCTTTTCGGTCCCATTCCAGACCAACTACAAATGAAATATCGCTACCTATTTCATTTCAGAGAAGGTTCATTAGGGCGTTCATCTGTACAAGGTCACCAACAATAGGCCGTTACAGGTGAAACGGTGGCCTACTGCAAGGGTTTGGACGTTCCCCATGTCTTGGCCCCGCCTAATCATGTAGACCTGATCCCTGAGATTGCGATCTGCTGGGGTCCGAAGGCATTGTTTGACCGCCTTCGAGATTGGGTTGTATGGTGCAGACAACTAGGGCTCAGCGAGTGAATTCCACATCTGTATGGAAAGGGATATACGAGGTGATATCACACTGGCCGCATCAAGACATGGAACAAGTTCCATACAAGCTGGAATTCAGTGCAAACTGAGACACCTGCTGGGTATGCCATGGCTTAGTCTATGGCCACATGTTTATCGCTTCCGTCTACTGCCTCTTATCATGACGAGTGGAATGTGTAACATACCACGATATTTCACAAAAATCTGTCGATACTAATTCCGCGACAATAACGACAGGCGATCGGCTACGGGAGGCGCCCTTACGGCAGTTGCCCGCATCATGTGGCGAACCAGTACCTTTACGATTCAGATATGCAGTACCAGATGCCTTAGGTACCACCAAAACTTCACCAGTTCTCGTCTAATAGTGCTTTGTGTCACTTGTCGATGATTGTTCCCGAACAGGGTAAATTGATTTTTCAGATCCTACAGTCGTGCGCTGGCATTCGACCACCAGGAATCGTTTACTAAGGGGCATATCCAACCAAGACGTTAGATTGATTCTTTAGCAAGATGTCGGAGTCATCCAGGACCATTAACCACAAGCTCAACGAGCTCTTGAGCAAAAGTACGTATTCACCGCGGCACCCAACACTCGTTGGTTACGTGTAACGTGTACTAACGTTAGATAACATCACCAAGTCCAAACTCGACTCGGCTACCGCCATCAACTATGCCACTATACTCCGTGCAAACATCCTTGGAAAGGATAAGCAGGAGAAGGTCAACTCCATCGTGGTTTTGGCCAAGCTTCTCGACTGTATAATCGGCGGAGAGGCTGTTTCGAACGAATTTTCCATCATCTTGGACCACACCTTGTTCACCACCCTCTTCTCCATAGTCAGTACCAACATGTCCACTGAAACCTACAAGGCCATCTTGAAGATCTCGGTCATTTTGATATCTGGCACTATTTTTAAGACCAAGGAGGAATCCATCGACAAATACCTTCCATTGTACGAGTCGTTGATTGAGTACTTGGATGTCATTGACATCATCACTCAAAAATTGTACTTGCAGGACAACAAAATCACTTTCAATTCTATTAAGTTGGTTACCGATTTGATCAACCGGGCTTTGAAGTTCGAATACTCAGGAATCATCACTTTGGCTGGTAGATTGAAGCACGTCACCTTCTTCTCCACCGTTGGTAACTTAATTGAAACAAACGACAAAGTCATTTTGGAGGCAATTGTCCACCTTAAGACCTCGTACTATAACTTAAACGAGTTTTTGAATGCCACCAATTTTGACTTATCTATCAAGTCACATCAAGTTATGTTGAATAATTTGTTCATCTTCTTGGAGGTTTCGTTGAACGAGTATGGTACTTTGGCTACTACTGATGAGTATGTCAAAGCTGGTTTCACCGATAACCCCAAAAAGTTTGTGGTTGACAATTTCTCCATTTTGCTTGCCATGGATCTTAAGATTTTCCTTAAGGATCCAAATTTCACATTCAAAAAGAGATTTCATGAGGAGTTGATGATGAGTGACCATTCTAGAACTTTCCCATTATATTTGTTCATCGACAGATGTACTGAAATGTGGATCGAAATCTTCCACAAGAGAGAAAGTTACCCATTTATTTACGAGAGTATCTTGTCATGGGAACTCATGATTTATTTCACTATGAACAACTGTCTTATCTTGTGGCAGGAAACTAAAGCACAGTTGGAAAACGCATCTGATGTGGATAGAATTTTGGACTTGTTGAAGTCTAATGTCGACTCTTTAGAGCTTGAAATGAGTTTCAAGCAGAAGTCCATCGAAGAGTGCTTGGATATAACTTCTGGATCAACCAGTGAACAAATGAGACATTCACAAGTTCAGAAGATCAAGGAGCTCCATAAACTGAAGTGGAATGGTAGATTCAGCGAATTCAACAAAGAGTTATCCAAGGAAGTTTTGGACTTTGTAAGTGAACAAAGAGTCATACAGTTATTAAAGGGTTCTTGGGTTTATACTGAGCAGCATGGCGAGTACCTCTTGAGAACTAAGGACAGGAAGCCAGCCAATCAAAAGTACTACTTCATCACTTTATCGCCAAATAGACAGATGGTGTACTACAAAGCATTTGTTGAAAAGCCTTTAGTGAACCCAACTTATGAGGAGATGGAAACTCAGTTTTTCAAGTTGTCTGATATTTCTGAGCTTCAATCCACCAAAATTGGAGAACATGTCGGTGAAGAAGATAAGAGAAAGCATAGTATGTTAATTTCCATCAAGGGTACCATTTCTTATGAAAAAATCACTCTTGTTGGCGAAGGAGGCAAGAGATTATTGAGTTTCTACACTGATACGCAAGTCAACAAATATGTTTGGTTGGACGGATTGAAAATGTTGAAGGGACACATCAACCAAGGACAGTTATCTACCGAAACCGAAAAGCAATTGGAGTACTTGATTGATATAAGAAGAAATACTCAATTGTTGCCATTGGAAAACAAAAAGATCCAATTAGAAGAAGATTTAGATTTGGGAGATGATGATGAGTTTTATGACATAGATGAATTGATGTCTGTGACTGAAAACTATCATTACAGGTGAGTTCTGAGAACAGACCAGCTAGGTAGAAGAGAAAGAGGTATATAGGGAAGATGCGAGCATTAATAAATGAGTACCAGATCTACTTGTAAAATCAAAATCGGCTGGAGTTTGCCATTCGTCTGGTAATTTTTGAAGTTGGAATAATGGTTGTAAGGATGTTTTGTCCTTGTGAAAGCAAGGAAGATTACAATTATAGTAATTAAATACTGAATCCTAGTGTATTAGTTCCAAAGTACTATCCATGTCTGGCATGTGGTGTAGTGCAATCTGAGTTGCCTAATGACAGATGCCAGTCCGCGACTTTTTGCACCCACCCCAAGTACCAAGAACATGAAGACATTTGGAGATTTCCGATTAAATAAGAATGGCTATGGAGTGGGATATAGTATTACACTCTTTCCTTATAGCAGTAATCTCCTTAGCCTAATACTTCACTAGTGATCTCTCCTGACCTCCATCATCTAGCTTATCTGCAGGTGCGATGGGTGCCATCGCTCTTCATTTATTTCTATATACACACCACCAGTATGATTTTTTCAATCTAACTCATCGCTATAACACCTAAAGATATCAAAGATGGCAAAGGTTCCAAGTAAGAAGCAAGCCAAGGATGACTTGATCTTGACATTGGAGAGTGACTCTGAGACAGAGCCAATCCAATATCTGTCAGAGTCCGAGTCTGAGCCTGAGGTCGAAGAAAAGCCTGTGAAGAAGTCCAAGAAGGCTAGCAAGAAATCCGCCAAGGCCGCCTTGCCAAAGGTGAAGGATGACAAGGAAGACAATGAGGACAATGAAGATATTAATCCAGACTTTAAGTTTTCTTTGGACGGTTTTGAGACTACCAAGTTCGAAGGTTGGGACTTCAAAGTCAAGGAAGATACTCCCAAGCTGAGTAAAGACGTTGATTTGGATGGAATTTTGAGAAGAAAGGGTGGTTTAGTAAACTTGGCTGGAGTTGAAGGAACCTTGGCCAAGGAAGAAGAAGAGGAAGAAGAAGAGGAAGAGGAAGAGGAAGAGGAGGAAGAAGAAGAAGAAGAAGAAGAAGAAGAAGAAGAAGAAGAAGAAGAAGAAGAAGAAGAAGAAGAAGAAGAAGAAGGTGGAGACGAGGGTTCTGATGATGAGCTCGCAATGGACGGTTTCGGAATGGGAGCTGAGCAAGTTGACAATACCGCTGAAGAAGACGAAGATGAAGCTAAGGTAGAAGAAGAAGAAGAATCAGATGTCGAAGCAGATATGGATGAAGAACACCCAGGTTCAGATGAAGAGTCCGACGCAGAAAACGACGACGAGGATTCTGCTGAAAAGATGGCAGAGTTTTACGAAACCCCAGAAGCCACCACCACCCAGGCTCATCAAACTTTCCAATCATTGCAATTATCCAGACCAATTTTGAAGGGTTTGAGTCAATTGGGATACACCACCCCCTCTCCTATTCAATCAGCTTCCATTCCAATTGCATTAATGGGTAAAGATATTGTTGCAGGTGCAGTCACTGGTTCCGGTAAAACTGCTGCCTACATGATTCCTATCATCGAAAGATTGCTCTATAAGCCATCCAAGGTTTCTGCCACTAGAGTCATAGTGTTGACGCCAACCAGAGAATTATCTATTCAAGTGTGTGATGTTGGTAAGAAAATTGGTAGATTTGTGAACAATTTAAATTTTGGATTGGCTGTTGGTGGTCTTAACTTGAGACAACAAGAACAACAATTGAAAACCAGACCGGATATTGTCATTGCCACCCCAGGTAGATTAATTGATCACATTAGAAATTCACCTTCCTTCAATATTGATTCCTTAGAAATCTTGGTAATTGATGAAGCTGATAGAATGTTAGAAGAAGGTTTCCAAGTGGAATTAACTGAAATCTTATCCCTTATTCCAAAGCACAAGAGACAAACCTTGTTATTCTCTGCAACCATGAATACCAAGATCCAAGACTTGATTCAATTATCTTTACAGAAACCAGTCAGAATCATGATCGATCCTCCAAAGTCTACTTCTAACAAATTGATCCAAGAGTTCGTGAGAATCAGAAAGAGAGACCACTTAAAGTTTGCCTTATTGTTCCAATTGCTTAAAGATATCAACCCAGATCAATCATCTAGAATAGTTGTCTTTGTTTCCAGAAAGGAAACTGCTCACAAGCTCAGAATTGTTCTCGGTTTGTTAGGTATGAAGGTATCAGAATTGCATGGTTCTTTGAGTCAAGAACAAAGATTGAAAAACGTATCAGATTTCAAGAATTTGGTAGTACCAGTTTTGATCTGTACTGATTTAGCATCTAGAGGTTTGGATATCCCAAAGATTGAGATTGTCATCAATTTCGATATGCCCAAGAGTCATGAAATCTACTTGCATAGAGTTGGTAGAACTGCCAGAGCTGGAAGAGATGGTAGATCCATTTCGTTTGTTGGGGAATCCACCCAAGATAGAGCCATCGTCAAGGATACCATCAAGGTGATATCTGAAGACCCTTCCAACGCCAAATCGAAGGCCGTATCTAGAAACGTTGATTGGAAACAAGTCGAAGGCTTGAATAAGATCATCGAAGAAAAGAAGGAGACAATCGAAGAGGTGTTGGATGAAGAAAAGCAAGCTAAGGAAATTTTGTTGGCAGAAATGGAAATTAACAAAGCTGCAAACATAATGAATCATGAGAAGGAAATTCAATCTAGACCAAAGAGAACTTGGTTCAAGGCTGGGGCCGAGGACAAGAAGCAAACTGAAGTCATGAAGCATTTGACTAAGCACGGAAAGAAGGTCAATTCTAAGAAGAGAAAGGCCATCGAGGTGAAGAAAGAAGATTTGGGAAGATCTTACAAAAAAACCAAGAACGATAGAATGGACGACCAAAAGAGAAACCCTAAAGCCAAAATCGGAAAGGGGGGCAAGGAAAAACGTAAGCGTAGATAGTTTTATAGGCCTGCTCTGGTTAAAATACAAGACGAAAACTGATTACATAATACACGTGATAAAACTCACGTGAACGGATCGATAAAAACAAATCACTCACAAGTAGTCATACATTAACTATGATCTTCTCCAATGGGTACCAAAGAATATTCAACGGTAGCCATTCTACCGATATAAACAGTCCGTCAAAGCTACTCTTCCAAATTATCATTCTTCAGTGCTTTTATTACCTTTCAGCACTTGTCATCTTTTACTTAATAGCATCATTGAATGGGTATGATTTCCAAATAGACTGGATCTTTCTGTGGGAATTGGTGAGCCTGGACAATGCCATGGGATTAACCCTTTTCTCAATGTGGTTATTTGACTCCTTGTTATGTGTGTTGTTTGTGACTATCATAGTTGGAAGATCCAAATTGGCATGGGATTTTGCTATAACAGTTCATATAATAAACTTATTGGTGGTGTGGCTATATACTGGACATTTTCCTTTGTCTATACTATGGTGGTGCTTGCAAATTTTGAGCGGTGTGTTATTGGTGACTTTATCAACGTACCTGACTAGATGGAAGGAATTGAGAACTACGTTCTTTGAAAACATGTTAGATCAACAAGAGTTGGGGCAAGTCAACCATGGAGGAAGTAACTCCATTGAGATGGCAGAACTACCAAAGGAGCTGAGTCTGCGCGAGTAACGTCAAAGACATAATGTCAAGTCATGTAAAAAGTCATAATTTATAAGGAAAGTGAGATAATGCATATATTCAGTAAATTCTGTGTATGTCTTATGATTATTACTCTATTTGGAATAGATCGAAGTAATCTAAGGAGAATGTAAAAGTAGATTATGCCAAAATTGTACCATGAGTACTCTTCTAGTATTTCTCAAAAGTAGCCAAAAATATGGATTTAACAAGAATTGGTCTAAAATTCAGTAAGTATTCGAAACAATCAAGGCAAAATTAGTAACACCTCGACGCTTGCTTATGAATTGAATGCCAGATAAATGTTGCTTTCCATTGACCATTTTGAAGACAATATTATGTTTGATTGTGGAAGAGGATGGCTGAGAACCCCATAGATTCAAATAGGGGGATCAAATGTGAAGTGCTTTGGAAATGTCCCAGATTTACCAATCCAGATTGAATAGTTTATAAATACACCAGTGAAGTTATAATATTCCTACTTCTATCTATAACTCAACACTACCTGTACTCGACCCCTCAACGAAGATAATGACGGCCCTTAGGCAGCAAGATGACTCTGATTGTATATCACACTAGCCTCCCAGAGGGGTGCTTTAAGTTGCGCTTCCATAGTTTGATAGAGTCAGTTTGATGGTAGATACTATACCTTAATTATCCTAGTTTTTTTGCTAATGAGCAGTGTAATTGAATCTTCATACCTATTGCAATGGAGGCACGCAATTATGAAGAAGCTTTTGGTAGTAAAATACTGTTTATTTGATTAATTTTTGTTTTTTAGGTGCGCTACAAACGACACCATTTTGGGGCAAATTATGTTAGATCAAGCTATAGATTAAGAGCTGTGAAGGAAGTTAAATAAAATAAGTTGGTGATTGGAAGGTGGAATTGGGTTTTCCCTTGTTCAATAGAGGACCAGTGTGAGCAGTGATATGTGATTGGGATCGAACTTCGCTAAGGTGCTCTTTTGGGGATTACCAACGAAAAAATGTAGAAAACTCAAAACTGATAAGTCCAAATTCTCTGGCTAAAGAGAGGGAGGTGGAAATATACGATAATTGTTTCTTTCTTTGACAAATGAGTAAAATGGTCTGGATAACGTAATCAGATACTCAACGTGAATATTATCGGAAGTTTAATTCATAATTAAAGGGCGTGTGGCGTAGTTGGTAGCGCGTTCGCTTAGCATGCGAAAGGTCTCCGGTTCGACTCCGGACTCGTCCATTTTTGCTTTTTCGCTCGGTTTTGGTGTACTAGGCTGGGCTTTGTGTTTTTGCAACTATTGTTAGTCCCGAATACAAGAGGTAAGGTACAGTGTGACAGAAACTCACACCGGAGTAGGAGTCTAGGTGTATTACTATCTGACCTCCCATGTCACAACCAGACTCTTGTTTCTCTTGGGTGCAAAGGCTCATAGCAGCACAATTGAAATGCGACTATTGTTTGGGGGAGCTGGTGCCGTTTTCAGCACAACCAGCAATTCCCGGGAATATCTTTGTCAACACTGCGACGAAAATCGAATTTCAGCTTCCTGAAGGGGATGGTTGGTGCTGTGTGAAACCAGCCTCTCTCATAACTGGTGCTGTTGTTGATCAAACTATTATTGTTTAATTGCGAATAAAATGCAAAAATTATTGCGAAAAACTTGTAAAGATCGATACATATATAGTGTAGAAACTTCAAGGGCCTGGCGTAAAGAATATCAACGAGGCTCAATGCAGGGGCACATTTGCAGCTATTGTTGAGATGAAATTGTTTGGAAGCAGTACTTAACTGGACCCAGTTCCTGTTGTTGGAGAGTATACATCTGCAGATGATTCCTAGGTTTATATTCTCATATCAAATATTTCTTGCCCTTGCCTTGTTGGTAGGTCAAGGGTTGGCTCTTCCAACTGGAGATGCTCACAACCAAGACTTGATCTCGTTGCTCACCAAGAGAGACACGGGTTCCAAGTTCATCCTGATGGGATTCAGTGTGGCAAGAAACTCAGATAGTGAGCAGCCCACTGATCCATTGGTTTCCCTGAACGGTGCAGTTTCATCACCTATCGATAACAAGTTATACCACTATAATATCGACTTGGAAGTTGGCTCCAACAAACAGAAAATTACAGTTGACGTGGATACCGGAAGCTCAGATTTTTGGGTAGTGGCTACCGATGCTACGTGCCAGAAAGGCCGCAAGTGCAAGGCCCAAGGCACCTATAATGCTTCCCAGTCGAACACCTCCAAAGATTTGAACCAACCATTTCTGTTGGGCTACATTGACGGGTCTACTACGAGTGGGACATACTACTTGGATGATATTACCCTTCCTGGTGGAATCACGGCCAAACAAGCGCAGTTCGCTAACGCCAATACTACCTCCTCCCCTTTCGCTATCTTGGGTATCGGGCTCAAAAGCTTGGAGGCTCCAATCCTTGCCGGTGGGACCCAAACTTATGATAATTTCCCTTGGGTCCTCAAAAACCAAGGATTTATCAATAAGGCCGCCTACTCCTTGTTTTTGAGCAGTCCTAGTGCCGAATCAGGTACTTTGCTTTTTGGAGGAATTGATAACGCAAAGTTTGAGGGTCCTTTGTACAAGTTGTCTGGCGCTTTCCCCAGTAGATTGGGGGTGAAGTTAGATTCGATTGCTGTGGATGGTGGGGTCACCGACAGCTCCACAGGTTTCGTATTTGATTCCGGTTATTCATACTCTTCCTGGCCAAAAGCAACTGCTGATGCTATTGGAAGTGCTTTGCAAGGATCATCACAATCAGGAAACTCATGGCTGGCAGATTGTACCCAACCAAATAAAACAATCACCTTGAACTTTGGAAATGGCGCCAAACAGATCAGGGTCCCATACTCCAGCTTTATCGCCCCTGAACAAAAATCTACTGGGACCTGTAGTACTACCATTGGTTACAGTGTCGATGGCAACTATGATAATTTGCCCACCTTTGGAGATGACGTGTTGCGTTCATTCTACGTTGTATACGATATTGAAGAGAACAGTCTCCAGATAGCTCAAGCGGTGTACACTTCTCAGTCTGATGTTACAGCCATCGAATAGGTATTAGTTTTGTGATAGATTGAAACTCTAAGAATACATGACTTATTTATAGTTCTGCTCCCTTGTGGTGAGTACCAAACCAAGAGTGGCATGAAAAGTAGGATCCGAATCTATTATTATATTACTGCCAAGTTATGTTTCCATAGTTATCAAAATATGAATACTGTTCTTATTCAAAGTAATCGTACTCATTATCATCATGAACTTTTCTTATGGTTTTGTAATCTTCTTCCTCACTCTCGTACTCCAATTCCTTTCCATTAGATGAATTGTTGTCGTACCTATATTTGTCCTTTGATTCAATGATCCTTTTAGAATCTATTTCATTACTGAGTCCCATTAATGCTTTTGACAATGCTTCTGTGGTACCAATCATCGGTCTTATCAAAATAATTGGCGAGGTTTTGAGGACTGAGGTCACCGACTCTTGGAAGTTTTCAGATTCATTGACTTCATTTTTCAAATTGATAATGGTTCTCTTTGTTGCACTCAAATTTTTACCAATTGATTTATAAGCAGACTTTATTCCTTGTTTGATAGTTTCAGGCTGATTAGAATAAAGACTAATCATCTTGCCACTTGCTTCTTTTTCGAGATTTTCAAATTCGTCATCATCATCTATTTCATCATCATCCATCCCTACGCTTGACCTCCTATCTCTTGAAGTTTTAGCTTTTCTGGGCGAAGAATCAAGCAAAAAAATGGATTTGCTGAGCAATTCTTTATCAATTGCAGAAATTTCATCATCTTCATCATCCATTTCCACATAAGAATAAAGTTTTCTACTGCCATATTGGTCCTTATCAACTTTGAAACTTTGATGCAAATGTTGAGATGACGTAAACAAGTCTGTTTTTCCCTTGCTTATCCGAACTGTACTTGCCCCTCCATCATCTTTTTTAACACTTTCAGATCTTGGCTTTTTTACCACAGTTCTCACACCAGCTCCTTCACCTCCTAACATTTCTTCTCCTTGCTCTAGAATTACTTGAGTTCCAGATGCCAATTTTGCACCCAAATTGACAATCTCATATCCTGCAGTTTTGGCAAAAGATAAAGTTCCTTTTTGAAGACTTCTTAGCAATCTCTTATCTTTCTTGTATTCTTTTATGGGAATGGCAATTAGATCTTTAACACCTCCACCAATGTTCACAATAGACCTTAATGGAGAGAGACCAGCAATAATACCTGCCAACTGAGTTTGTTGAATACTTGGCGCCCATGCGTCTCCTAATGCACTTCCCAACTTTTCGAATCCATGGATGCCATGAAGTGCTACTTTTTCAAGTGTTAAATCTGACCCATCGAGAATAAAAATATTCATGAATTCAGAAGCCTTACCTGACCTTATTCCCATATAATCGATTTTCTTCGGTTTGTAATCTAACTTCAATTTCACTGGATCAATTTCAAACTTTTGTAAATACATTATTTCATCAGGCGGTAGTTCAAATCTAGCATCCTTGAATAAAAAGAATCTAGTCACGAAATCCAATGTATCTTGATCGATATGTAACCGAAGTGGTAATATTGAAAGCTTCATGATGGCTTCTCCCGCTACTAAGCTTGGCGATGGCCTGACATTAGTGAGAGATAATTTGAGTATACTCGTTCCAATTTCTCTCTTCCCGATACTATTCATATATCCGAGAAATTTATTCCATGAAGATGATGGAACATTATCATAAATAATCAAATCGTCGAGCCTCACTTCTAAAGTATTCAAAAGCTCAAAATTCAAGTCATCATCGGTAGAGTTCTTCCTGGGATCCCTAGTAGAATGCACGCTGATATTAGTTTCTAGATTTTTTGCTTCTATCAGTACCTTGTGAAACATGGAACGACGAATTTTGAGATTCTTATAGTTCTTGCGGACATCAACATTCAATTGTGCCTTTGTAGATGCCTCAGAGGATACCACTGTTTCAGAAGATTCCCTGTTATTCTGTACATTCCTGTTGATTGTATCAGTTAACTTTGTTGGTGAAGTTCCTCTTGGCAAAGCCAAGTGTATTGACTTGAATAAAGTCTCACCATAGGTATCACTTGTGTCAGATTCAGACTCACTCATCTCACCAGGATAATCACTGCTTTCCTCCTCCTGGTCCTCGGGAATCGTTTCAAAGTTACGGAAGTTGTTACCTTTATTCTTAGATTGAAGGCTATTCTTAGGTGTTTCTTCAGTTTTATCATTCTTCTCAATCTTTTTAGAGACATCCTTATGTGCCAGTTCTTCTACTCTTTTGACTGCGGCCTTGATAGACTTTCTCGTAGACTTCCAATCATAACCATCATACAAGTAGATCTTTATCTTTGCTAAGTATATGTTCATCTTGATTGGATCAACTTTTTTGATCACCTTGGGAAGTTCGATACCATCGTTAGAAGTAAAATGTTCTTCCTGAATGGCTAATGAGGATTGGTTAGAAAATTCATTGGAGGATTTACTTGAATTTTGAGTAAGGGTAAGTTGTTGAAGGTCTTGATTAATAGTTGAAACAGAATTTTGCAAATAATCATATTCTGTGTCTATAGTTCCAAGTTCCGAGTTTGAATTCAAATCGTTATTTGAATTAGCAGTGGACTCGTGCAAATCATTTTCTGAACCTGAATTCCGTTTGAATTGGTCAATTACATCGTTTAACAAATTGATCTCATTATCCACTGTCACCTTCATTTTATCTTCCTCTTTGAAATTTAGAGGAAGCTTCAAATCATTAACTAACTGAAGCACGGCCTGCATGGAATCAGCACATAGTTCAATCTGATGGTCATCCGAATTAACTTTGATATCAAGTAGTGATGGTAGTTGATTAATGGAGAGTTTTTCATTTCTCTCGATCATCTCCTGGATATGATTATTGAATGTCACTCCTACATGTGTGCAATTAATCTTCGCGATAGAAATATACCCCATGGCTTGATAATAGGATAAAGGCGAAGTATAAGAAGGAATTGACAATTTTGACTTTAACTGATTGGGCTCCACATATGGTTCTTCATTCTTGGTATCATCTATCAATAAAAGCGACAAATCTCTCAAAGAACTTTTAATATAAAACTGCTCACCAAAGGTTAGTTCCGAACTTCCCTTCTCGATAACCACATATGCTTTTGTAGCAAGTCTCCCAGGGTTGAGCCCAAGCACACAATCTATCAAGCTGAACCTCAAGTCGAATCTTTTTGAGGTAGTTGAACCCGACATCCTTTTCTTTGCCGAAGCAGAAATGGGAACCTTTATTTCTTCAACTGGTCTATCCGATTCCAAAAGACTCAACCACTTGGTGTAATACTCAAAAAGAAAATTATGAAGTATTACATCCACAGTATTAACCTTCTCAGTAAGCTTAGTATTGATAAGGATCAAAGGATATTGGATGTCCGTTGGCGATCTATTTCTGAAGTCTACCATTAAATTATCACACAGACCATCTGTACCAATCCTGTAGCTCTCAAAGGAATGAACAAAACCATGAATGTTCAGACTTATCTCGAAAAGTGAAATATCTGTAGCTTTAACTTTTATGTTCCCAAAATTAGGTGGAACATTGAATAAGTTTAATTCAAATTCCTTCAACATGAATCTGAACGATGCAATATTTGATTTATTCAAGTTCATAAAATTTGTTTTTGCAAGGGGATTTGGTTGACCAAACGGTCTGGAACGTCTGTGGCTTGGACTTAAATTCGAATTTTGCATAAGATTCAGACTTCCTGAGCCATTCTTTCCAATCAATACCGAATTCTCTAACGAGTTGAATTGATTAGGTGATAATTCAGAATACTGATGAATAAAGTAGTTGATTTCGTTCAACAAACTAGAAACTTCTTTACACTTCATATTGAAAGCGACCTTGGAAACGCTCAAAAACAATGAAGAGCTTGCGGCAATCTGTCTAGGAATCCAACTTGATCCATTTCCTGCACCTGTGGAGCTATCAAGATAAGCCTTAAATTCTTGAGATTTTGTAATTAACTTAATTGCAGTTATCTCACCAATTGTACTTGGCTGACCATTATTATCAAGATGAGCTAACAGAATATTCGCCATTTTCAAAAGATCTTGATGCAAATTGAATGACATTGGGGACATGGTGGCCTTGATACCAGAACTTGAATTGAGATTAATGACCACCGAGATAAATGCTGTTTGCAATATAAATTGAGGTTTAGGAGGGGGTGGTTGCGGCGTAGAAGTAACTTTCTTATCAAGGGAACCAAGTCTTTGGTTAATAGAACTAATGATTTGCTTCATAGTACTATAACTAGAGTAAATAGACCCCACTGCTTTAGCATGATTGGCTAGAATCATTATGCTAGAAATATCCAATGTGAGATTTGCATTTTTTGACATCAAAGTAGTAATCTCTAAACTCTCCAGAGAGTTTTCGGATTTCTTTGAGAATTCAAATCTGATATCAGCTTTTGCTGAAGGTGGTCTCGTTGGACCTGGTGAATTTCTGAACACGGAGTCTCCCAGTATGGCTGATCCACTTATATCACTTTGTTCAAATCCAAAAATTTTTGTAGAAACCGAGTTCTTTATTTGCGTGATCTGAAAAGTTTCGATTCCTCCATATATAGTAAGTTCATTCTTTTGCTTGATGTTCAAATTATGGAGAATAAAATTGATCGTATTGTTTGCAACAAATTCTCCAGTAGGCAGCAATGCTGATGTCGAACTGATTATGATATTCGTCACATGAAATTTGTTGAATAAAAGCTCATCAGAATCTTGGGTTGGGGACGCTTCTTGTTCTTCTTCTTCGCTCACCTCATCATTTTCAGTTGAGTACTGAGGAAATTTTGGGTTAGTAGTTCCTTCTTCTTTGCGAGGTTGCTGTTTTTTTTGGTGCCTCTTGATCTTCATGCTTCTAGATATTCCATCAAAAATAGATGATATGGTCGGAGTTAAGGGAGTCGATGCAATTTTGACGTCACCGACATGAACCTTCAAATTTCGAATCTGCGAGAGACCTTCAAATTCGAGACTGATACAATCAATATGTAATACTGTTGGAGGTGGACTTTTTCTGAAGAGATTATCTTTGGCAAAAGACTGCGAGGTTGCACTCATATAAATGGAGCTTGCTTCATCGTGAGTAAATACCATGCTATCCATCAAGGATTCTTCCCCATAGTCATTGGAGTCATCGTCATCGTCATCATCAAAACTAGATTCTGAGCTGGGTGATTTGGTGCCGTCGGTGCTATTAGTGTCTCCTGGATTAACATTTGGCTTAAGCGTTATCAATCGCACACCCGAGACTTTTATATTTCTCACTTCGCTCACGGTGGAGATCAGGACATTATCGATTTCAAGGACCACTTCTGTAAGTTCCGAAATCATTTTAATTTTGAAGTTAGTGATATTTATTTGTAGCCTCAGCAATGCCATCTCCACGGCCTTAGCCATGACCCCGCTTAATGCAGAAGGCTTTGCCGAGCTGCCAGAGCTCGGCGATGATGCTGGTTGCTTAGATTCCTCGTCCTCGTCCGATTCGGTATCCACGATGATAGTGTTGGCTAGGTTTGCCGTGCTTTGCATTAACAGAAACTGAATGCTACTGGAGATATCTTGTTCAACGTCGAAGTCTGGGGATATCACCACCTCGACGTTGGATGCATCGATGTTGACTCCTCCTCCCATCAAGCCCGCTCTTCCTACCGTGTTCAACTCGAGGTATCCCACCAGTCCATTTCGCAAGTTGCACCCGGGGATCTTACCCACTTTCTCTGGGTCAATGGCTATGTCACGGAGAATGATGTTATTGAGCGATACCTCCTCGAGATTGGGCAAGTCGATCTCCGAGAACAACGAGAGTTGTTGAAGCACATAGAGGAGGAGCCTCTTCTGGATGTTTTGGGGTATCCACTGTGGCATTGGCGTGGTTCTAGTAAATAGTCAGGGACTATGGCTTGAATGTGTGATAATATGCTAAGAGGATGCTTGGAGCGTGGTCGTGCTTAATTGGGTACGCAATTGTTGGATGCTAGCTGGCCAGGTTGTGATGGTGCTAATTGTGGCAACTGGCTTCTGTTTGTGTGATTCGGCTCGTTCAAGCGTTCACAGGAAAGTATAGCCTAGAGAGTCTTGGTGGTGGCCTGGACAGGGTGCCTGTGATGCCGAATAGTGGTGTCCAGGTGTAGATTACAGAATCCAACTTAGGTCAGATAATCGTGCTATTGATAAGCTACTAAAGATTGGGGAGTGTATATAAACGGCTGCGATAGGGAAGAGTGACTGGTAGTGAGGTGGTGAAGCTACAACCATTATGGTACACTGGCTTAGATGGAACGTCGAGGGGCCCAACGGCGTGGCCGTGCTGGGTTTGACATCTTCGTATATGTAGCTGGCTAGACGGAACGCCCTGGTACTGCTAGATTGGAGACAAACCGCAGGATAATCGCGGTACATGGACGCCTCAGGGTGGGGATAGAGCGGGCAATAGCGCCTGAGGGGCCTGTCAGGGCTAACCAGGCCAACACTCCGGATTGTGAATTTTAGGGAGAGTTACCAGAAATCGTTGCTCTGGCAGGTGAAAATGGTAGAGGTTCCGACAGATAGAATAAGGTTAATTTATGATTGACTTCTTGAGCTAGACTGGGAGCAATAATAATATCTGAAGCTTGTGAGCTGTAGAATTTGCAATGAGGCTCCACCAAGTGTTTTCAGAACTCTAATATGTACGTTTCGTAGTGGCTGTCAATAATTAGAATGGTGAAGAGTAGAGCCCAAGTTTTAATGCGCTTTCGGGATTGGTGAGTTTTATCAAGTATATTTGCTGACTTAGGACTAATCTTCGTTTAAAAGAAAGTAGTACAATTGACTCACCGAGTTCTTGGTCAATGTTCCAAATGATTAACCGGATAGCATCTTAGGGAAGTGAAATTTTCTGAGAATGCTATTGGAAGAAACTCAGCAAACATATCCGATACAGTTTGGAGACAAAAAATAGTTGGGCTAGCGATTGCAAACTCATTTAGGTGCTACTACAATTGAGGAAACCCAATATTTTCTCTTCGCCTATACTTATTGCTGGGAGGAAGATAGAGAAGCCGTGAAGATATTGTGGTCTATAAATCTATAAAGGGCCCGGGAAATAGTCCACATCTTACAGCTAGCATAGGGAGTAAAGAGCTCCGGCCCGGAATAATATTTCTCTTCGTGTTCTTGATAAGTTTATGGAAATTCGTAGCACATTAAATAAAATCTTGATCTTTTCTTGAAACAATACTGGTCCAATACTGGTCCATGAATATTTGGAAGGCACATCGTTATCTTGGCTGCTTTGGGTTCTAGTGCTTTTTTAAGCCCATCATAGTAACTTGTGGTGGGTTGCCCAATTTGCCCCCGATTCCTCTTGCTTGTTATATTTCTCTCATATTGGTACACCGAATGGAACAGGCGTCCAATTTTTATGTTTCTCAAAGAGGAAGTATTGTTGTCCACCCTTTTGCTTTTTGATCCCTTCGTGATCCCCCTCTGTCTTTCTCTTGGACCCCAAGAGCTCATCCAAAGAAGGTGCCTGGAATTTTTGAAAATCACGGATATATTTAACCTTCCTGGAAAATGCGTCGATTTTGGGCGATTTCAAGTCGGACTCCAAACTGGCTATGATTTTGGAATATACCTCCAAGTTCTCGTTTTTGTTCTTGTTGAAAGTAGCAATTACTTCGTCCAATATGTACTCGAGCAATTCGCTCTTGGTTTTTATGGTAGTGCTTCCTGGGAAAGTCTTGTGCTCAACCTTCAAAAAACTGGCCTTGCCATAGAATAATGGAAAGCTTGGCGGTGTTGCAATTAAGGTCTCACAAATGAAACTAACCCATTCAAGCATTTGCACCGCTTCAAAGGAGTGGCTAATTTGATTCATGGAAATGGAGCTGTCGGCACTCTCAAAATAATCCTTGCAGGCATGTAGCATCCTGAAGGCAATTTTGAGCATTACATCAGGACCCAACTCATTCAACAACGGCTTGTATAGTTTTATTAATAACGGATTAAACTTAAGCTTCTCCTTGTCGTGGATTTTTTCTGCGTTGTATATCAAAAAGTTGTGGAACACGAGTTCTTCCACGAGCAAGTCAGACCCGTTGAAGGAATTGAAAGTTTTGTGTTGGATGAAAGGCGGAAGTGAAACCACCTTTTTGATATTCTTGACGGTTTTCCAGAATACCACGTTCTGCTTGGTTCCCACTGGCTTATGGTCGGCATCCAAGTTGACCTTCCTCAATTTCTTGTAGGTTTTCATGTTACTGACGAGCTGCACAGCATCGCACTTCTTGGCGTATTGCTGGCGAAATACTGGAGTTTCGCCGTTTTCTCCAGAAGCAGACACCTGATAGTCCACGTAGTAGAGCTCCTCGTCTTCCACATGAATCCAGTAGTTGTCGTACAACCAATTGAGTGCTCTGTGACAGGCTATGCGACATAATTCAAGGGACGGAAGCGACTCATGGGTCCCCATATGGCGGAGCTCAACGAAGAAGGTTGGAAGTCCGAGGGTCTTCGCTATGTGGTGCATGGGGGTAGCATAGTGGGACTGCTGGAACGGATCTATCAACCCGTTAACAAACCTGATGAGGGCCATTGCATAGGCCAACTGCACACAGTTGGAGTCAACTGTGCCATTGTCCAGAAGACACACCAGGGTGAGGAACGAAGTTGCCTCCACTCCATGAGGCACTCTTCCACGGGAGGCGATGGCCTTGACCCGCTGGACTGCTCTGAACCGATTGTCTGTCTCGGGAGTGAAGTTATAGAACCATTCTTTGAGAAGAAGGAGTTCCTGTGATGACTTGTAAGGCACAACGGTAGGGTTCTTGTACTTTAGAGGCGTGAATGGCCTGTCTGGCAGGGCCAGGGGCTCTTGGGCCGGCTCGGAGAGGGACATAGTGGATGGAGATCAAGCGATGGTGGTAATGTCGTTGGAATGGGATGGTTCTGAAATGCGACGTGCGAGCTGGCAACAATGTCGCGGCAATGAGCATCATGGGCAGAGAGGTAAGTGGTGTAATAATTCAATGATAGGATCTATGGGGTGTAGAGATGGCCCTAGACTTTGAGAGACCGCTCGGGAGGGTTTAGTGTGAATCTGGGATGACCTTGTCAAACGGCGCAATTTATAGCCGGTGGACATTGGGTAGCAGGAGGGGATCTCCCACTCGCCAAGTTGCTCTTAAACACACACTATCCGGAAACAAGAAGCTTGCAGTTCTCAGTCAGTGGGAAGAAGCGCAAACCGACTTGTTTAGCAGTGGATTTTGTGGGTTAATTCACCATAACTATTGGTGCGATAGTACCACTGGTTTGGTGAATCTTGTCCAATCGTTGATAAAAATGCACTGGGACCATGGGGAAGCTAGCTAACGTCTAGCATAGACGTGTGTAGTTAGCTGGGCTGCTGCAGCTGGCACCGACTCGTCCTTCCATCCCCGCCAGCGTGTTTTCGCTCGGGCTTGAGGGTGTTCAGGCCTAAGACCGACCGTCAAAATAGCGAGAAAAACGGGACAAGTGTGTGTAGGTGTCGTGATGGGCCAGTGGTACCATCATTGTAGCGACAGTAGCGATAACAGAGCCAGCGGTGTGGATACTTTTCGTACGGAGTAACTACCAGGAGACTCGAAACCTGCTACTGAGAGTAGACAAAACCTGCTCTCAAGATAAGTGCAGTTTGAGTCCTGGCTATACTGACACATCTACCATTGCCATCCTGGTCCTTACCCCCGATGGACCCTACCAGCCCCATGGTGGCCTGACTTCCTAAGTCCGGCGCAAACGCCGGCACCACTGGTGATAAGCCACTGGTGCACTACCCCACATTCTATTTACGAGGATGTATTGCAAAATCGCAAAATCTATACACAGTTAGGGCCGAGGGCCAGGATGGATGCCTGGTACAACTGCTTGAAAGGAGAGTATAGGGACGGCTTGAGGATGTGTAAGCTGCTATCCAGAAGATATACATGGTGAACAACACCCGCAAATACTCTCACATTGTAGCGTTGGCTGCATGGCTGTGCCTGAACTGGCAGACTCCAAACCTTGATGTATATCCGCACCGAGTTAAACTCCGACTAGTATGAATTGCCTGGTATAAATACACCAGACAAACTCTGTTCTTGGTACCACCAGCAATGACTTACGATTCGTCCATAGACTCTACTCCCAAAGCCACCGATTCCCAAGAGTCCGAGGCACCCCAAACCTCCCGGCTCCGTTTTCACGGCCATGGCGACGAAATCGTGATTATTGATAACAAGAAGTACTTTCGCCACGAGCTCATGGAGGCATTTGCCGGGACATTGAACCCTGGTTTGGCTCCGTACCCCAAGCACCAGTTCGGAAATGCTAGTGCGGTGGGATTGGCGTCGTTCGCCATGACCACCTTTGTGTTGGGCCTATACACTGCTGGAGCCCAGGGAGTCAAGATCACAAACGTGGTTGTTGGCTTGACGTTCTTTTATGGAGGAGTGGTCCAGTTTCTAGCAGGAGTCTGGGAAATGGTCATTGGTAACACGTTCGCTGCAACCGCGTTTGTGAGTTATGGATCATTCTGGCTCTCTTATGGTGCCATATTTGTCGAGAGTTTTGGAATCGCCAAAGCGTATGCTGATGATCCGGTTCAGATGGGAAACGCCGTGGGGTTCTTCTTGTTGGGCTGGGCCGTATTCACCTTCATTATGCTCCTATTGACCCTCAAGTCTACGGTGATGTTCATCGCATTGTTCCTGACTTTGGACATGGCCTTCATCCTTCTTGCGGTAGCCAACATGACTGGATCTGCTTCTGTTACTAAGGCCGGTGGTATATTCTGTGTGATCACCGCATGCTGTGGCTGGTACTGTGCTTTTGCTGGTGTTGCAACCAAGCAGAACTCCTATTTTATTGCTAATCCTATACAAGTTCCTGTATTTGGATGAGCTGATGCGTCTGAAGTAACTGTTTAATTCTTGTCCTCTGACTTATTTAAATATCTAATGAATTTAGTAACTGGTTTTGCTCGAAAGAAAGCTTGCTCTGATCGTTGGTTGAGTCGTAAACTTGCTCGTCAGAGCTGAGACTGGTGTCTGCATCTGTGATGTGGTTGTTACTCAACAACTTTGTGGTTTCCTCCTGATTGTAAGGGAACTCTCTGTACATTAAGTATTCATCAGATATTTTGCTTGCATCGATGTCTTCCGAGAGATCCCCTCCAAATGCACTATCCCAACTAATTAAAACAACGCCAAACAATACCCCAACCAAGCCTGTGACGATCCAGGCTAATTGTGAATATGTGATCTTGTGTTCTGCTAACAAGGCGTTGAATATGATGTCGTTAATCAAATTGAAGAAGTTGTAAATCAAGAAACACAACGGGTAAAGAATTGAAGTCAGGATTTGCTTCAACCCAAGATTGAAAGCGGTGAGTTGGAATCCTATGATCAGTAACATTATAATCAAAAGAAAGTACGGCGTAAAGTCTTTGGATGGGAGCCATGATTGACCCTTTTTATTGCTGAATATGCTTTCTATGATCACATCGATAATGGACTTTGCAAACAAGAAGGTGTGGGCAGTAAGGGTACCACTGATGATCCCGAAGTTGATACCCTTGATGAAGTGGCTTTTGTTGCCTATATTGAGTTTACGGAAATTGCAAGGTTTCTTGCTGGAGGCCAAGACCACGTAGTTGAAGATCAATAGCACCCCGATCATCACAAAGGTTGCAGAAAACCACCATACAAACGCTGGTCGCAAGAGCTTGGTAACTATCATGGAAAACCGCTCGTCAATGTTCGAAGGTGGCCTGCCATCTTCGACTGGCGCAACGTTTCCGTTGTATGCAATAATGAACGCCCCTATTGAGATCAATAGGGTGCCGCTGCCGAGCTTGCTGGTGAATTTCTCGCCAGGGAGCAACAAGCAGCTGAGAATTGAGTTGAAGATCAAGCCGATACTCTGGAGCGGCGACAAGATGATGAGTGGGAGGGTGGAGATCTGGATCAATGACCCCAAGATGTTGGCCACGATGAATAACAAGAACCCAAAGAGCCACATGTTGCGCTTCTGGCGCTGGATGTGTTTGTGGTGATGCTGGTGGTGATGCTGGTGGTGGATGTGGTGATGATCTGAACCGTCGGAAGCGTGGAGAAGGTGCGACTTGCGCTGGAGCGTGATTCCTAGCGACTGGATCCCGGAAGAGATCACCGCCACGCTGCAGCCCAACACGATGGACGAAGGGGTAGTGTTGGCCATTATGGGAGCGGTTGCGGGCGGGGCATAGAACGAGCGAGAAGGAGGGCTGGATGCAGGCGATTGGGGAGTGGCTGTAGACGGCTGCTTGGACGTGGTGGACTAAATGGGGCCGGAGGTGACGTGGTACGGCTGGCTGGAGTAGTACTGATAGCCTGCACTTGTTGATAGTCTTGGGGAAGTTGGGGCGGTGTATGCAGGAAGCGAGGCGAGCCTGTATGAGAACATACCATAAACGTGAATATGATAAATAAAGAACAGTTTTGTTAATCCTCGAAACCTTTGCGGCCAGGCATGGAAGACACCATCCTCGACATCGTGGACCTCCTCGATTCCACCGAGCTCACCGACGTGGTCCACGGCATCGACCAGTTGGACTTGCTTCTTTCGCAGCTCCTTCCCCAGATCGTGGCCATGCACAAACGAGGCACCGTCACCAGCACCAATAGCGGCATTCCCGACTCAAAGTCGCTTGCAACCTTCGTGGCTCTCCAGGACAACTTCCAGTACAACTTGGCCCATTACCTCATCAATTTCTACAAGTTTCTCGCCAAGGACCCACGCGAGGTGGATCCCAAAGCCATTCTCACCTGCAACAGGCTCCTCCAGGGCCTCCTCTTAATCCACCCTAGCCTGCGAAAGCTCTTCAGCCGTCTGTCCAATATGCGTCTCTTGCTCGTGTTGGTGGACCAGGGCACGTTCTCCATCCAAATCACCATCTCGTTCATCTCGACCCTCATCCACATCCTCCTCAAGGACTTGAAGAACTTCCGGATTTTCGAGGACAACGGTGGATGTTCCATCCTCATCCGCAAGTTCAAGCTCGCGTCGTTCGATGAGCTTCCCAAGTCGAATTCCAACATCAAGGTCTACACCCAGCAAAACTTGAACTTCAAGATCATTGAGTTCTTGATCTTTTATTTGGTGGATGAAACGAACTTCAAGAGCACAATCACCCCCAAGACCGTGGCGGAAAAGTCAGCGTTGTTCAAGGCCGACTTTCCTGAGATCGATAGCTTGATCGAGAACTTGAACGAGTTGAACAATTTATGAGGCCTTAAACTGAATCTGTTTCAAGTCTAATGAAGGCTTGTTTTGGAATCAAATCGTTACCTTGAATTTATCGAATACCAACATCTCCCAACCATACAGGTCAAGAGGACTTACCTACTACAGCTACCAACCACTTGAATTACCGGATGAAAGAAGGGTCAATTACCCCGGGCCCGCTAAAATAGCGCACATGTACTCTGAATCCATTGATGGAACATAAATATTGGTTTCTATGCATACACTGTGGGATTGAGTCCCAAATTATCAGCATCTTCTTTTGTGAAGCTCTTAAGATATTTACTAGTAACCATTGTTAAATTCAGTCTCGATACAGCTACTTTCTGTGTCAATTGTCATTATGCTGTGGAAACAAGAACCAATTTCACCGGAGACATCAAATCCACTAAATTTTGAGCAGCCCCCAAAATTGTCGCAGGAGTTGGAGACAAATTGGGTCATTATGGGTCTAAAATTGAGTTCACGGGTGGGCTTTGCGGACCAGAAAATGACAAAATCACTATTAACGTTTTATGTTAGACATTAGAAACAATAGAAATTATTACATGCAAGGTTGCCTAAGCCTAGCGTACAGTACCAATCTCAGTAAATTTCGGGGATTAATATTATTGCCTGAGGCTGCGGCCAACGCAATTTTTGGCCGGAAACTGGTCCCCAGCGTCTGCCACCGAGTCTGAAGCCGGCTATGGTCCCGCTAAAACCTTGTTTGGCCTGCTCCACACGATAGTCTCGGGGGTGCTCAAATCCACTCACTACCGCTTCCCACTGCGCAGAGTCTCGGTACAGCATACAGGACACCTACACGAGCCAGAACTAAGGATACAGCAGTGTTACTAACCCACAATCTAGCTGACAGGGCCAGCCGGAGCAGTAAGACACATACAAGAGAAGTGGTGAACCTTCACCGAAAGAAGCACCACGACCAGTGATGTTTGTAGCGATCCACGTTCATAAACTACCTCCCTAGCCAATTCTCCCTACGTAGTGCGACTGGCTCGCTAGCCCGATCTGATCCCTGCGCGCGTAGAACTATTCACTTCCCCCACCACTCTCACATTCATTAGCACCAGTGCTGCCGTGAGGTCCCTACTCCCAGCATCAATCGTCCCCACAGACACATCGCCGCCCCAAACAGCGACTGTGACCCGTACCTCTCCCAGCACCACTAGCACAGCACCCAGTGGGTCCCTACCACCATGAGCATGTCCCTCTATAAACGAACAGAGGTGGTCGGCAGAGGCAAGTTTGGTGTCGTCTACAAGGGTTACAACAAGCAGACCAAGCAAGTGGTAGCCATCAAGGTGTTGAACCTCGACACCGAAGAAGACGAGGTGGCCGATGTCCAGCTGGAAATCCAGTTCCTTGCCGAGTTGAAGAACGTGCCCAACGTCACCCACTACTACGGGTCGTTCTTGAACGACACCAAACTCTGGATCATCATGGACTACTGTGCCGGAGGCTCATTGCGGACCCTCCTCAAGGCTGGTGTCTTCGAGGAGAAGTACATTGGAGTCATCCTCCGCGAGGTTTTGTACGCCTTGAGCGCCGTCCACAAGTTGGGGGTGATCCATCGAGACATCAAGGCTGCCAACGTATTGATTACAAAGGAGGGAAACGTCGAGTTGTGTGATTTCGGCGTGGCAGCCAAAATCACCTCCAGCGCCTTGAAAAGAACAACCATGGCAGGAACCCCGTACTGGATGGCCCCAGAAGTCATCCGTGAAGGCGATGCCTACAACAGCAAAGCGGATATCTGGTCATTGGGAATTACATTGTACGAAATAGCCACTGGAAACCCGCCTTATTGCGATAAGGACGCCATGTGGGCCATGCAGTTGATCTCCAAGTCAACACCACCAAGACTAGAGGGAAGAGAATACTCCGCTGCATTGAAGGAGTGTATTGCATTATGTTTGGACGAAAATCCCGAAGAAAGACTCTCGGCAGACGAATTAATGAAGTGTAAATTAGTCAGGTTTTACAAGAACTACCCTAAGCCAATATTAAAGGAGGTTATTTCCAGATACTTGTTGTGGAGAGATCACAATTCCTCTCGAGACTCGGTATTTGTCAGCTTGGAGGATGGAATTCCTGAGAACGAAGACGACCACAAGGCCAACCAGATCGAAAATGCCATCCATGGAAGCCTGGACCATTTGCCAGGAGATAGCACCACCACGAATCAAATCCAGGTCAAATGGGACTTCGACTCACTCAGCAGTAAAGAATATATCATAGAGAACGACATTGACTTGGAGAAAGTGGATGACACTTACTACAACGAAGATTCGGTTCAAGATTCCTATCCAACGTTGCCAACGTTACAATTGGGTCACAACACCTATGGTACCAGTGGAAACACTTCCACCTTGAATCCCTACTCTTCGACCTTAAACAGAACGGCAAACATCTCCAATTCTACCATGACAAGACCTTCGGTCCCCTCCAATGAAATCCCTAAGTCATTGCAGATGTTGTTTGAAGATGAAGCAGAAACTTCACCACCATCTAACGGTGGACTCTATGAAATTCCCAAAGCAATATCTGCATATGAAGAACGTACTGACTCGCCCACCATCGAAATCCCAGATATGGACAACCTAGCCAATTTCAATTCTACGTCATCTACTGCACTTAATAGTGCACATCCTCCACTTAATAAGCCACCTACATTATATCATTCACAATCAGCATCAGGGAAATTAGAATCTAGGTTTGGTTCTACGTCCACAAGTAATAGACCCAGAAAGAAGACCATATCCAACTCTCTTAGCAGCACTGGCGGCAATTCAAACACACTCAATACGATACCCGCTGGTGAACTGCAAGGTCAAAATCAGCTGCAACTGGTACAAACACAGGGTACTACTCCTCACACACCCCCATATTCTGTTCATAGTAATTTGAAGACTCCATCGCCAAAGCCTCCTCAAACTTCGGCTCTATTAAGTTCCGCAGGACTTGCAAATGCTACCGGCTCTCCCTCAAAGTCTATGAAAGCATTACAGAACAATGCAAATCCCTTATTACAACCGATCAATTTCAAATTGAATGCAGAAACAGGAAACACTGGGACGACTCCAACACCGGCGGGGGCAGTACAACCTCCAACAGCATCAGGCTCCATTTCTCAAGCAACAAGCACTGCTTCATCGATACCTAGCAAGGGTAAAAGAAGCAGAGCCGGCTTCCATATTCAGATGCCTACCCCATCCAATACGTTTAATCCTTTATCAGCATTGACTAACGAGCAGTTTGAACAAGGTGGTCAAGATGAAAATATTAACCAGTTTGGTATCAATCCATCTCAAGTCGGACATGTTCCTTTGACTATGACACCCGTGACTGAAAAGGAGCATCCATTTATTCACGGAGAACAGGAAATTGACAAGGAAAATGAGCAAGCCAAGGATAAAACAGAGACCTCTGGTCTTAGACAAATGTCGATTGCTCCACCCAAAAAACCATCTCTTTCTGGCTCATCAACTAACACCACTCCTGTTTCATCCAATCAGAATTTGACGGGAGCGAATTTGTTCTTACCTAGAAGCAGTGTTTCTTCAGTATCATCTATTGCACCCTCTGCAGCAGCACTGTCTACCAACTTGCAAGGTACAAAGTTTCCTGTGATTCCTCAGATTAACGGGGACTTTTTCATCGATTCAACCCCCAAACTGAAATTGGTCAACGAATTGGACATGATGATTAGGTTATTCAACCAGGGACTCGACTCTTTAGAGGAGAACCTCTGAGCTCTCGCCACATTCTTTTCAATAGTATATCGGATTCACTTTTTAGCACAAATACACTTTAAGTCAGTGGTTTATATTCATAGTCCCAAAATTAAACTCTAGAATATTTCAGAAAACCTGAGTGTGCCTATGGTAAATCCGTCATTTCAAAATGGAAGGCTTGCAAAATTCAGAATAAAATTTAAGTAAATGTACTGTTAGTAGGCTCGTGATAGAAGGATAACGTCCGTTTAGTAAAAACACTATCCTTTTGCCATTTTTACCATGAGTGAAACTGGTCTAAAATCACAAAAGAGTGCACTATAATTTTTCAACTAAGTGTGCTAAATTTTCTCTTTTAATTGCATGATATTATTCTCTAATAACAGAAGCCTTAATATCCATTTCTGCTCCCCACGGACCAAATTAATCTTTTAGACCTATTTCACGCCCTTTCATACCATTTCTTCCAACCTCATTATTCAGACCTATTTTTCCTGCACACACTACAGCACTATACCGCGAGGCAACTCAATGAGTATCAACACTTACCACCAACAGCCATGCCCCCTCGTATGAGACGACGTATCACGTCGGCCAGAAGAGAGCAGATCGAGACGGAGCAGAAGCAACTCTCGCAGGCTATCGTCAGACCGTTCGATGTGGTGTCAGGAATGCCAGTGTCGTACAATTCTCCACCCCACGGACACTATGAAGATGTGCTCAAAATGCCACTCACCATCAAGGATACGGGAGTGTTGTACCGTTCGTTGATGAAATCACGATTCACATATGTGTTCTTGTGCCCCATGTTCAGACTCTACTGGGTCAAGCAAAGCTCATATGCTAAAAAGCTCGCGGAGCAGGACAAGCCCATCCCAAAGACGTTGCGTGACGACATTCTCAATGATAGGGAGCCCATTTTGAGCTTGGACCTTAGTGCGAGAGATGTAATGGTCAAACTTTGTGATGCATCGCTCACATTGGGGCCTCACTCCTTTGAAATCAGACTATTCATTGCAAAGGACGAAAGATCCGAGAAGAAGAACAAGGACAAGGAAAAGGACAAAGAAACAAAAGACCAGAAGGACACTCCACAAAATCCATCTCCACTCAGCTCAACTACAGTTCCAGCTAAGCCACTTGGGTCTTTCAACTCCTCAAACACCACCAGTAGCACAACAGGTTTAGCTACTTCTGCACCTGCTAGCACACCAAAGCCACCAATCCCCACGAGTACTCCGGTGGCTAAACCTGCCACTCTCCCCCCACCAGCGTATCCAGCTGTTCCAACTACAACTACTGTTTCCACACCAGCAAATGGCGTGGTGAAGCCTAGTATCGGAGTCTCAAGCACTCCCAAACCACCTTCATTCCTACTTTCAGGCAGCTCTGCAAGTCGTCCTGGAGGTTTTCAACCAACCACTACCCAACCACCTACTTCGACCTTGAACAGATCAGCTCCGTCCACTCCTACCACATCTGCTGTAAAACCTTCTCTTCAATTAGGTGCCAGCTCCTCAACCACAACTACTCCTAAACCACCAACAACCGCACCGTCATCAACACCTGCACCAGCTCCAAAAAGTGATTTGACCAATATGCAATCCATTGAGAACACAATTATGATTTCCAACTTGAATGCAATCGCTAGGCAAGATGAATCTTTGAACAAGTTAATGAAAATTGTTGCACTGGGTTCCGCTTCTCCTCAGCAGATCGTTACGTTCCAAGGATATATCAAAAGAGCCAGAGAAATGGGGCCACAACCCCACCATGCATATTTGTTCCAACTGAATACCACCGATTCAAATGGATACAGAAGACCTTTGAAAGAGAAAAAAGAGAGAAAGCCAGAAGTTCCTAGGGACCAGAAGTTGACTGCTTTTCAGGAGAAGTACGTCAACAATGCTACCTTGATTTTTGAGTATGTGGAAAATGCAAACGTCAGGTTCATGTTGCCCAAAGACGCAATCATTGAGGTCTTGTCTCCAAAATTGATAAAGAAAGACGACGGAACTGAGGAGGAAGATGATAACAGAGATATGATTGTTAGTTTTATATGGGTGCACAACTGGAAAGAGGTTGAAGTGTATGAGCAGAAATTGAAATTGTATAATGAAAAGGTGAAAGAAAGAGAGGAGGAGGAGAGAAAAAAAGAGGAGGAGAAAAAGAAGGAAGAGGAGCAAAGACAAAAAGAAGAAGAGGAAAGAATTGCAGCTGCAAATGCGGAAGCTGAAACAGAAAAGACTAAATCTGATGAAACTGAAGCTACCACTTCCAAAGTAAATAATAGCGATGAGCAGAAGAGTGGTGAGAATACCACTGAAGTTTCGAAGACTGAAGTACAAGACTCTGACATTGAAATGGATGAAGATACTCCAGCAGAACAGAAAGAAGGCACTGATACTCAGAGCCAAAGCATTCATCCCGAAAGCAACGAGACTAAAGATGAGGAATCAACCACTGAGCCTGCCATCAAGGAAGAGGCTGCTCCTAAAACAAGAAAACTTCCACCACGTAAGGCTGCTAAAAAGAAAAAGCCGCCAGCTAGAAAGGCTGCACCCAAGAAACTTGAAAAGCCCATTGAGCCGGAAGTCAAATTCACTCCAATGTCTTTCACTGTCCACGGTATTCCTTCGAAATACGTGCCTATATTTGTGAATAGTGTACCCCCTTTGGAAAAAGCACAGGAGAAAATGACTACCATTCTCAACACTGGGACAAGAATCGCCAGTTTTCATTTATGGTATCAAGTCGACGGTAAGTTGGATGAAAAATTGGCGGAGGAAGTAAGAAGCCAGTTAGTTCAAGAAGAGAAAAAGATGACCGGTGTTACCGGAGGTGATAAAATAGCTGCGCTGGCAGCCAAGAAGAGAAAGTTGAAAGACAAGAACGACGCCAAACCGGTCAAGCGGAGAGAAGAAATTAAAGAAGAAAGAGCTACTTAGTACTGCAAATGGGCAACAAATTTCTAGATGCTACTTGTTTGGACTAGAGGATATCAAAGAGCCGATTAGCAGGCTACCCCAAACTTACGACATTGTACTATAGTAACTGTACATTAATATAACGATTGTATATACACGAGGCCGAGGCCGTAGATTTCACCACCTAATCAAGGGTGGAGCGAAATGATAGTGAGCTCACTGGATGATCAAGTTCAATAATCTCTGCAAGTTTTCACCTTCAGCCTTGTTTCTTTCACTGGCAGAGCCAAAGTTTGGATTGGAGGCTTCGTACCTGGACCTGTCAATCGATTCGTTGTTGGAGGATTGCATCCATTTACCAGCCTTGACACCATCTGCATAGAGCTTTATGGAGCCCTGCTCGGAGATCTCGGCCTCAGTGACCTTGAATGGAACGATGAATTGTCTGGAGTGCTTACCAGGCGAATTTCTGGCAAAGTTGTGTTGTAACAAGGTAGTACGTTCATTGACACCGGCAACAAAACCACCGATGGCAGCTTCCTTGGTGCCCACCAATCTACCTGGAGCAACCACCCCGTACTTAACACCGTTGGGTGTGTTGGTCAATCTTCCCTTCTGGTTGTATGAAAAACCACCAGTACCCTGGATATGGGTGCTGATAGCAGTAGAACCGACCTTACCGTCAGCCTTGATCAAGTCTTGCAACTTGAGACCCTTTCTGGTCACGTTTTCGCTGGAGGCTAAGAACTTCTTCAACAACTCAAGGGTAGTACTCTGCGACATTGGCGAAAGCAACGCCTGAGGTTGGTTCTTGGACAACCATTGTCTGAACTCTCTGTATATTCCCTTGTTTTCCTTCAAGATGGCCCTGACGTTCGATGGAGATACTTTTCCGTGTAAGTTGAGACTGTTGGTGATGCTGTCATCATTGAGCTTGGAGTTCGACTGGTTCTGTTTGGAAGGAAACAATGGGTTGGACTCGCTGTAGTGGTTTCTTAACACCAAGCCGGTTTCTTGGAACTTCAACCGGTTATGCAACTTTCCCGAGAACTTCTCGACGTCGGGCATGTTCTTGTAGTTGTCGATGTCATTGAAGGCGATGTGGGAGTTTCCGATCTGCTTGGGCAAGGTGGTCTTGATCCCGAAGTTGGATCTTATGGCGGAGGATTTGGGAGTGTAGATGATTTGGTGGGTGGGAACAGCTGATTTGCCTCTTATGTTCTTCAGGAGAGGTGTGGCCACCTGAGCTAACTTGGAGTTCTTGACCAAGTTGAACAATTCTTGGCTATTCATCTTGTAGTGGTTTAACTCCAGTGGTGATGTTGAAGATTTAAGATTTTTCAGGTGGTGCGCGCACGCAGCTTTGGCCAGTTTCCAGACTGCGAAAATGCTAGAGTTGGATGGAAAAGACAGACAGACTTCCAGCGGGGGTATCGTGGCAGGTAACGCGAAAGTGGTGTCCTTTTTGGGCTAGCCACCTTTGGAGAATTTCTGCGTGAAATAACTGCTCAGAATAATTTATTCTAAGTGCTTCATCTTACCTTGAGTGCAAAACAGGAAAATGATTGCAGCTGTGGCAATTTACAATCTCTTGATGGAAGTGATTCCTTCTCATGCTATTGAATCGCCTCAATTAGTCTTCTATTCCTGATGTGAGTGGATAATTCTACCTTAATATTCATAACGTCTAATTCTATTGATATTATTTGAAGACAAGCGTTAGTCGATGCTTGATCTTCAGCAAATAGTCTGAAGTGCACCTCCCAATCCTTGCATCATAACTGCGGTTTCTTCAGCTTTCGATTAATTTTCTTCAATATTATATACTGAATGTTTCTAACTGAATGCAGCAACAGTAGTCAGTGAACTATTACGAAAGGACCAATCCACATCCTCCAACACATACCATATGAACTTCTGTTCGACGCCCTCTAATGGTTGCACCTTTGCCTGTGTATTAAAGTCTTGTACACTTGCCAGTTCTGCAGCACCCTCTTGGTTCTTTTGACGGGCTTATCTAGCCTATCTCCGCGCGCGCTACCATCTCAGCTGGGCTCGTTCCATCATCGCTAGTGGCAAAATACCGCCCAGTGCCACCCCAAACCACCTTCTTTTCTTTCCATTCTGGTCCCACTCCATGTCGGAAGAAGCCTCCAGTCCTCCTACCAAATTGCCTCGCCCTGTTATTACCTGGAAGAAGTCCTTCAGCGACTGGATCAACCATGCCTGGCGTGGCAACTACTCAGATGAACTTGTAGAAAGCAGGTTGCTTTCTATACTTCCGTTTTTCCCTGAATCAGACGGAACCAGGACTGCCAAGTTGATCAACACCGACGTGGGAGACGGCAAGTACATCCATGAGCTCTTCATTGAGAACAAAAACCCACCCAATGAACAGTCTCCAAAGAACTTAGACGTAGTTCTTGTCCACGGGTACGCTGCATCGCTTGGGCTTTTCATCGACAACTTTGACTCGTTGTCGTCGATTCCCGGAATCAGAATCCATGCCATCGACTTGCCAGGTTTCGGGTTCTCGTCCAGAACCAAATTTCCAAATTACTCCAATTCCAAGGAAGATATCCTCAAGACCGAAGACTGGTTCATAGACGGGATTGAAGAATGGAGGAAAAAGCGGAAAATTAACAACTTCACGTTGTTGGGTCACTCGTTCGGTGGCTACTTAAGTTGTGCCTACACCTTGAAGTACAACAAGAACAACTTGATCGATAAATTGGTTTTGATAAGCCCTTGCGGTGTCGAGAGGAACAGATATTCTTTGCTCAAGAACAACCCTGCGCCAGGTGCAGACGACCAAGATGTACAACTGCAAAATGAAGCTGGCATTGAACAACTTCCCGCAGGAGAACAAGTTCATGATGGCCCAGCTGGGGAAGAAATCTTGTATGACGAGTTGGGATTTAAGAAGGTGGGAATTGAGGCCAGAGTGGACCAAACAGTGCAGTCAAGAACGGGCCGGATTTTCCAGTCCTTATGGAACAGCGACGTTTCGATCTTTTCGTTTGTCCGTAATGCTGGACCTATGAAATCTAAAATGATGGGTGGGTGGACCACCTCCAGATTTGGTCATTTATACTACCAAGACCCAAAGCACTTCCAGTACTTCCATGACTACATTTATAGAGTGTTCAACGGAAAAGGTTCGGGTGAATATGCCTTGACTCGTGTCTATGCATTCTGGGCACTTGCAAGATTGCCATTGTTAGACAGGTGTCCTGAAAAGTTTGTGAACATGAACTTGCCTACTCTTTGGTTGTATGGAGATCGTGACTGGATGGATTCCCATGCTGGATTGAGAATGAAAGAAGAAATTAATGTGCTTTCTCAGAAAAGGTACAACAAAGATTTAGCATCCTATGGTATTATTTCCCATGCTGGTCATCACCTTTATCTTGACAACCCTACGGGCTTCAATAAGCAATTGTTCAATTTCCTTAGAGCCCCCACACTGTAAATATTATATACATGAGCCAGCACTGCTAGCAATAATAAACTTATCTAGACTATTGATGAAGTACTCGTTCTGATAGCAATAAAATGACCGGGATATCGATAGACACCTACTCAGCTGGACCAATTAACCCACTTAACACGCATACGAAAATGAGATGCCAAATTTGCTTATCTCAGGTGCATAGTTTACAGGATTCAAGGATACCCGAACACCGGTACTAACCAAGAAATCTTTGACTCTTCCTTCCCACAACAATCTCAACAGTTTGTCATTCGTGCTGGTTGCTAACTTTGTAACACTGGAAAAATCACTCTGGTTAACTATTTTCTGGAACGACGTAGTTACACTCTCTCTCGACGGTTCTGCATTGGAGTGGCGATCTGAATTCTTCTCAACCTTTGAAGGTATAAGGGTAGGATTTATGTGATAATAATTGTCTGAGTTTTGGATTGGATTAATGAAATTATTGCGTCCTTTACGTATTATAGGTGGATTTATGGACGTTGTTGTGTTGTTTGTGAGTCTCTTCTCGGTGGTCTCTGACAGCTCGGGCAAGTTGGAATAGTTATACAATTCGAACCCCAACGATAAATTACTTGCGTACGAGAAGAAATTGAAGTCGTATCTGGAGCAGAAGGTTGATGACACCGAAGTTTTCACGGTATATGTTGAGGAAATGTGGCCTAGGATCGGGTTCACTGCTAATGTCATCGTGAGTGGTTTTCCTGTAGAAGTGGACCTTGTGGAGTATCTGAAGGCAGTAGACAAGCCTGGGCTCATGGTTCTGGCTGCGTACCAGAGCTCAGTGCCCAAGGAGAACACCGAGTTGTCAAACTTGGGCATCAATGTGTGCATATTGGACGATTGTCTGTCGCCAAAGTTATAAAGACATCTGAATCCGATGAGGGCTTCATTCGTGGAATATATCAACTCTCTCAGGAACTGTGGGGTGTTGTTCTGCAAGTACACGATCATGGTACCGTTGCTATTTACATGGGGATTATTAATACATTTGATCAAAAGCTGGGTGTGCTGGGTGATCTTCTTGATGATCATAGCTTCTAGGGCCAGCCCCGGGAAGTACATTCTCCCGTAAAGAAGCGAGTGGTTGTGGGTATCCTTGGAGCTGTGTGTGCCCTGGTTGGAACTGCCCTTGTTGGTGATGTTGGGCTCGATGGTCTTGAAGCCGGCAATAGCGTCCTGAAGCGAGACCTCCTTCGTGCCCATGGTGTTGACAAGGGGTTTGGAGGAATAGAGATACGCCACAGACCCATTGATGGAGTAGTAGTTCGAGAGAGTGAAGCTGGATGCCAGGTGTTCGGTTGTCTTGGACGACGAGTCGAGCTTCACCCCTTTGGGGATGGGGAACTCGAGCAACGCCTGCGAGGTGGCGTTGATGTTGGAGAAGATGTTGTCTTCATTCCAGTTTGTGGACTTGTAGAAGCATTTCTGGAGGTATTCCATGTAGGTGTACATTGGCGGAGACGCAGGTGCTTGCAATGGCGGGCAGGTGTCAGATGTAGCAGACTTGGAGTGGTCGGAACGGAGTTGGCATTGTTGGCGGGTATGTGTCACATGGTGAGAGTCATGTGACAAGCTTATCTTGCAGCCCAAACCCGCCTGTGAGTCACTCTGGAACCGTACCGCTATGACTAGAACCGCCACCATCAAAAGAGACACCAACGAGACAAAGATCCAGATCGCCGTCTCCCTCGACGGAGGGCCGCTCTCCGTGGAATCTTCCATCTTCGATAAGCCAAAGTACGACGAACACGCGGCCCAATCAACGTCCTCGCAAGTAATCCAGGTCCATACTGGCATTGGATTCTTGGACCACATGCTCCACGCTTTGGCCAAGCACTCTGGCTGGTCGTTGATTGTGGAGTGTATCGGCGACTTGCACATCGACGACCACCACACCGCAGAAGACGTGGGCATCACCTTGGGGTTGGCTTTCCACCAGGCGTTGGGCCAGGTCAAGGGTGTCAAGCGGTTTGGAACCGGATTTGCGCCCTTGGACGAGGCTTTGAGCCGTGCCGTGGTGGACTTGTCGAACCGTCCTTACGCAGTGGTGGAGCTAGGCTTGAAGAGAGAGAAGATCGGGGATCTTTCGTGTGAGATGATACCGCATGTGTTGGAGAGTTTTGCCCAGGGTGCCGCCATCACCTTGCACGTGGACTGTTTGAGAGGCTTCAATGACCACCATCGTGCAGAGAGTGCCTTCAAGGCATTGGCAGTGGCCATCAAAGAGGCCATATCGTCCAACGGTACTAACGACGTGCCCAGCACCAAGGGAGTATTGTTCTAGAGCCACAGTATACATAGAAGTGCCATGTCGAAATGGTACACCATTAAAATAAATAGAGGTTCTTCCTGCAAAGCTCGAAGCTTCAAGATTAAAACTTGTATAATCATACTCGAAAGTTTTGAACAAATCGAATATGGGCTTCTTGATATACAGTAGAGGTTTTCCATGGTACTGCACTAGTGGTTTTGACTGTAGTTGTGGTACCTAGTGACTACACTCCTGCAACCCCCAATAGCTGGCAGTTCAATTTCACTCTCAAAGTAGCAATTGATGCTCTAATGGTCGTTGCTTTGATACTTACAAATTATATAGTTTAGTAAATATTTAATTCGTCTCTGAGGAGAAAATTACTTCTGATTAATTTATGTCAGTTAATATTTTCTGTGTTACGAATTCAGGGCTCAACCAGACCAGCATCTCACTCAAGGATACCAGTGAATAAGAAACGCTATCTGCACCACCTCTGCCAGACCCCAAACTAGGGAAGGACCAAGCCCCCGGAAAGAACCACACACCTTAAGCTATTGGATTGTTCGTTGATTTTGGGGCTTTCTATATCCTGGATATTAAATAAACTTCTGTCAGTGTTAAGGGGAGCCCGTAAATTTACTTTTGAGAATCCCATCAGGAATGTTGCCCACAAACTTCCCGGGTCCCATTTATGTGGGTTTACAGCCGTAAACTGGTTGCAGCAAATACTCGTCGTCTCTGTAGCTCTAACTAGAAGAGGTCATACTTGCCATATCTGAAAAATATTCAAAACGAAACATATATGATTCTCCAGCTATTTGCGTACACTTCCATATTGTCCAAATTTTGTTACTTCTCGATCTCTTGCTACGTTTCTAAAATAGTCAATATGACCAATATAGTATGTGAATAAAACACTATTAGTCTCACCAGAGTTCTCGAAGATGGATCCGAAACTACACTATAGCACAGCTTACGGTACCTACCCAACCTGTAGTCCATCCCTACCAGCAGCTCTCGATATCAAATCAGAAACGGACAATAAATGTCTTCAATTAATACTCTAGAAACATCTACACTTAGTGTCGACCCGGACACTCATACAGGGCTGGCAGTTTTATTCCCTTTATTGAACTACTACCTATCCTCTATCCTTAAGAGTCTGAACCCTGACCATCTTCTTCCTGTACTAGGCTCATTACCAGAGGCTCTTCGCAGCCAGTGCACTGCCCAATCCCGCAGCCATTTTTTCGGGCATCGCAACTCGTTATCTTACAGCCAAATCAAACCACATTGCCATTGCCAGCATCAAGACCACCACCGTCATGTCGAAGAATATTGCCAGAAAAGTAGCCTCGACGGTCAAGGCAGTGAAGCCTGTGTTCAAGCCGCACCATTCAGGTACCCAGGCGGTCAAAAGCTTCGACAAGAGCATGCCCAAAACAGAAAAGGTGGGACGCCCATGGGAAGCCATGAACATGTCGAAAGACGAGTTTTTTGGCAGAAAATACGGTAACATCAGCGAAAACGAAAGAAATAGGTTGAATGAGAAGGTCGAAAGGCAGAGAAGGGCCCGGGCGTCGCGGATGGAAAACGAGCGGGCTGAAAGACAGGCAGAACGAGAGTCCAGAAGAGAATCCCGACCTCGAACCAGCTCCAGATCCTCTGGCACCACCACCAGCTTGAGGAACCCACTCTTTGAGTACATGTTTGGCACCCACGCCGTCAAGGCTGCCCTTAAAGCAGGCAAGCGCCCCTCCTACAACAAGCTCTACGTCCACAACTGCAACGACAAGGAGCTCATCAAAATGGCCCAGACTATGTACGGACTCAAGGTAGTAGAGAGAGCCAACAAGAATGAGCTTAACATCCTTTGCAATAACGGAGTGCACAACGGAGTGGTTTTGGAGACCAAGAATCTCGAGTTGCCCACCATCCACGAATTGGGGGTGTGCCAGGACGGCCACTACGAGGTTAGTGTATACGACGAGATGTATGACAAGCAGGTAGTCGAGGTCAAGCCCATAGCCAGAAAGGCGCCGTTCCCAATCGGGGTGTACCTTGATGGCATCACCGACCCACAGAATATGGGAGGCATCATCAGATCGGCGTACTATTTCGGGGTGGATTTCATCGTCATTCCCGAGAGCAACTCGGCGCGGTTGGGGCCTGTGGCTAGCAAGGCTGCCGTGGGGGCTATGGACATGATGGACATTTATGAGGCCTCTGACAGTCTCAAATTTATCGAGCGGATCCGAGCCAATGGCTGGAACGTCATTAGCACGGGTGCTAGGCCAGCCCACGACGAGTTGCAGGAGTTGAAGACCAAGCACGACAAGGTGGAGACCCACTTGAAGAACCGGTTCGTAGAGCTAGAAGAGTTGGCCCAGATCCTGAGCCAGGGACCAGTGTTGTTGGTGATGGGTAGCGAGGGCGAGGGTGTCAGAACCAACATGAAGCTTCGCTCGGACTACTTGGTGGGTATCGATAAAGGCCGGGGCGAAGACGACGTGGACTCGTTGAACGTGAGTGTGGCTGCCGGGATCTTGATGAGCGTGGCGACCCGAGGATAGGTAATGAAGTATGGAGTACTACCGTTATTATTACGACTGGTCCATCCTATGAAATTGACCTCATATCACTCCACCTTGCGTGCAGATCTAAGCTTTTCTTTTCGCTTATGAATGAAATTAATCAAAGATAATGAGCGTGTGAACTGGACAGATGGGACATTATGCTAATTGGGCTATTGCCTACCTCCATTAGCCAAATTTCCATTCACAACAAGCCATATGTCGTTTCTCGACCAATCTGGCCCACAATATCCACAATAGCCCACGAATACCACAATAGTTCACCATTCTCCATCCCCACCCACATCCTGTAAATAGATACAATAGATAAGCCTCGGAGGGGAACTCATCCGCACCCATCGGTCGTGTGCATCGCATAGATAGTGATATATATGTAACCACCAGCCCGCTCCGTCTGCCACCACCCCACCATTGCACCATCGCCACTCGCTCTCGATGGACCACCATCTCGTCGTGCTCGTCCACGGCCTTTGGGGCAACGCATCCCACCTCGAATATATTGAGTCGCAGATAACCAGCCAAATCTCTTCCCAAGACAAGCTCACAGTCTACCGTACGGGAACTCACTCGGGATACTTGACGTACGATGGAGTCGACGTCAATGGCAAACGCATCTGTGACGAGATTCTTGAGCAACATGCTCGTATCGTCGAACAGGGCGACAGGGTCACTAAGTTCTCCATCGTGGGATACTCGTTGGGGGGCCTCATCTCCCGCTACGCCATCGGGATCTTGTACTCGCTCGGGTTCTTCGACAAGGTGGTTCCCGTCAACTTCATTACGTTCTGTTCGCCACACGTTGGTGTGTTGAACCCCATGAGCAACTACTTGTCCGCACGGATGTTCAACCAGTTTGCTCCGTACTTCTTGGCCCACTCGGGGTCCCAGTTGTTCTTGAAGGACAAGATCGACACCAAGCCACTCTTAGTTTGGATGGCAGACTCCAGCTCATACTTCTTCAAAGCGTTAAAGCTCTTCCGCCACCGCACCTTGTACAGCAACGTCATCAACGACAAAAGAACCTGCTGGTTCACGGCAGGCATCTCTGGAACCGATCCCTACCACTCGATGACCAACACAGACCCCTCCAGGCTCCAGCTCCCGTTCGTGGATGGCTACAGCCCGGTGGTGGTCGACATCAATAAGCCCATGCAGTTCTTGGAATCGCCACTGGCAAGCCTGATTCTGCCAGCAGGCGGTGTGCTCAACAAAATCAGAATCTTGGGTAACATTCTTCTCTTCACGCCGTTGTGGACCCTCTACTTCGTGTCCAGTTCTATCTTGGAGAGAATCAAGCTCAATAAGCGAGTGCGCCACTTCTTCCAGGACACCTCCAACAGCTTGGTGCATCTCTACGAATCAATTGAGATCGAGGAAGACTCTCTCAAAAAGGAGGCCAGCCATGAAGAGTCGTTGTACGAGACGTTTGGCCGTGAAATCACCCACCAGGTGACTGAACGCCAGGATACATTGGTAGAGTCGGTCTACGGGGCAATCGTAGAAGAAGCAGGCGAAAAAGAGTCAACTTCATTAAATTTGACTGCTGACCAGAGATTTATTATCGCACAGTTGAATTCATTAAATTGGAAGAAATACCCCGTCTTGATCACCGGATGCAAGCACACCCATGCAGCAGCTATCGTGCGGTATAGTGATCCTGGGTTTGAAGAGGGCAAAGTGGTGGTGAGCCACTTGGTAAGGGAAGGATTTATCGTGAGCTAGTTTGAAGAAGGCTTCAGCTATTTGCCACAGTTACGAGATTGTATAGATTGATTAATATTATGGATACCAACCGGTGGTGTAGTTGCATGCGATTCTTTGGGAGCATGGATACAAGCGTAGTATGTTGATTCACATCATACTTAAACATTCATTCGCCTAAAAATACAATAAACTTTTCATGTCTATAATGTCGTTAGTTGATTTTTAAAAACTGCGAAAGTTAGATCAACTCTACGTAGTTAGCCGGGAAGATACCGGTACTACCATTGTTTCTACCAGTCCACCAGTCGTCCAGGGTTTCTGTCTTCTTCAATATCTCAATGACATCTCCCTTTTTGAAGGGCAAATCTCCACTTTGCTCACCTTGGAAAGTGTATAACGCAATTGCCTGGTTTGAATTTTTGACAGCCAGAGCTCCGAAGTTTGGCTTGGAAGATGTAGGAGGCCGTGAAGGGGCACTGCCATTCGAAGAGATTCTGGTGTTGCTTAATCTAGACCCCAAGTTATCCACGTCATTTCTTCTTGGGTTGTCGTAGATATCATCTTCCCAAGCAGACCTTCTGGTTGAACTGTCAGTTTGGGATATCCTGGATGAGGTGGTGTTTCTTCTATTTCTATGTCTTCTTTCAAAAGAGTCATCAGACTCTTGATCTGAGTAGTCATCTGAATATCTTCTACTCGAGCCACGTCCAAAGCCACCAGCACTGTTTCCACGTCTTCTTCTGGATGGAGAAGTCTCTGAGGTACTATCGCTGAAGTCGTCTGGAATATCGTCGTAATAATCGTCGTCTTCCTCATATGGCAAACTGTTGTTGAAAACTCTGCTTTCAAGGACTCTCATGAGCTTGTCACAAGCAGGAGGAACCTCAACTTGGCCGGCCAAAATATTTCTCGCCTTGCAATTTGAGCCATAAAACTTTCTGTTGGCCTCTCTTCTCTCGATGATAGCGGAGCCTTCCAAAGACACACCGGCAAACAATCCTTTGGTCTTGGAGTAAGCAAAGACCGCAGAGGCACTCTTCAAGGATGCGGTACCGGCAGCCTCGGCGTTTCTTCCCAATGGACCAGCCGCAACCGAAATGTTGGTACCCAAGGTGACAGAACCTAACTGGGCGAAGGAGTCCACGGCGGACTTGGAATTCAAGATAAAGACGAAATCAGTCAATTCAGCACCTATTTGACCACCCACACCTGCACCAGCGGTTGCGATGGCCGAAGGCGACGACCAGGTGCCGTCAGGCAACCTTGCCACCACGACTCCCGAGCCGGCTCTTCCTGAGAAAAGGAACCCGGCCTTCAAGACTGTTATGATGGCCAACCCCTTGGCGTTCTTCAACACATGTGGAGGGATGATCTGGTCGGGGCCTGCCACTTGGTTTGGTTTGATGAACGATGCGAGGATCTTTGCTGCTTTACTGCGGGGTTAGTAGTGCTCCAGGGGTCAGGAAACTAGTTATTGGTGCTAAGTGGAGGATTGTTCCTTCACAGCGAGTGTGGTCCCTGTGGTGGGACACCCAACGCCTAGCGCCACCGGACCACTGGTGGTTCTATCTGGGGTAAAAGCGCCAGTCTCTGTGATGTAGCTGCCTATACATACTTGGACTCGCTGCGCAAGTTTCTTGGAATAGGATTGTTGATACCCATTGTAGCTAGCGTTCGTCAGGTGGCTGATGGATGGAAGATGTTCTTTTGGAGGAATGTGGAGGTGGTGATATTCCGGTGTTGCCTGTGCGCGCCAGGGGTGAAAGTATGACAGTGGTCACGAGACGTTGATCTGTGGACTAGAACTATTGGAGCAATAGCTGGCTCGGCAGTGGGCCGACAGTTCGGAGGCTAGCTGGAGAGGGGTCACAATCGGGAGACTCTGCTGATGGCCTCACGAGAGCGTGTGGGTGTTACTTGGAGGGAGAGAGTGCTACAGCTCGTACGGTAATTTAATTGGGTGAGAGTATAACGAAATCGTGGTGTGACAGGCACAGCCCTCGCGGAGGGGGGCTTGGAGCAACAGCCCCAAGACTAAAAAGGCATCGGATCCGGAACGGCCTGGGGTAGAAATTGTCTTGGTAGTGAGTGCTCGAAATGGCTCTTTTTTCCAGTTCTCCAAGGTTGCTGGTGGGTTGTGCGCGAGATCCGAGCCGGCCACAATACAGCTGGAAAGTCTGGGGATGGCGGGAGATACAGCGTCACGTGTTGGAATGATTAGAGGCAAAAAAGAAGCTTCCCCACCAGGAGTCGAACCTGGAATCTTCTGGTTCCAACCGAGAAGTGGTTACTAAATCGTAGCCAGACGCCTTGACCATTGGGCCATGAGGAACGAAGCTTGTGACATTTAAGAATCCTAAGAGACTATATTGTAGTATTTGTAGCGAATTTAGAATTTGGTAAACCCATTTTCACGCTTGCTGGCTAGCTCTGGGCAAGATTATTTGGAGTTACTGGGAAAATACAGCGTATAGACTGTTTATAGTCTCCATTTATAACCGTGAAATGGTACCACTTGCACGATATTCTGGAAAAACTTTTTCGATCAACCCAATTGGGAGAATATAGCTAAAGGTTTGACCATAATGGTGTGCCACTGGCCAGATTATAAATGATACAACTATCATCAAATTGGACAAGTTGATTAAGACTNTTTGGAGGTTATGGATACAACGACGAGCACAAGGGGAGGCCCATGCTCGTCCTCCAACCACCAACCAATTGTCTTTCCTCTTGTCCAGCCAAAGTTCCTAATGAAAATCATATCTAACATGAGTTGCTTCTACAAGGTGCCTTCTGTTGCGCACCAAGTTGCAAAAAATCATCAAAAAACAAAATTGAATTCAAAAATTAATTAAATTACAACTGTTTGACCATAATGGTGTGTTATCCATTGCAATAGGTATATAGTCAGTAGATTATAATATACTTCCCATTAGCAAAAAAAAAAAAGTGCTATCCATTGCAATAGGTATATATTTCATAGATTAAAATATACTTCCCATTAGCAAGAAAAAAGAAAATAGTATAAAATGCTGCAAACTTAATAGATATTGTACTTACAACTACTAGAGAGAGTTGAATTAGAGTATTTTCAAAATCAAGAAATAAATTGAAAATAGTTATTTGGTATACTATTAAAATAACCTAACTTAGATTTAAAGATGAACTGATAGTTCTAGTGGAAGTGATTTAGGATTAGTTCAAAAGTTGATGTGATTAATTTTGATTAAACTCAGTAAAACCATCCCTAGTTTAGAGGTCATTTTTTTAGTAATGATACTAAATAAGAGTATAGGTTTTGTAAAGTAAACATACAATAATCACCTAGGATTTTGAAAGTCTGTGGAAGCAATTTTTCGGCAAGCAAAATAAACTTCTGCTGGTTGTTTCAATAATCGGAAGTATTTGACATTGCAAAGGTTAAACAACTTTCACGAATCTCTCATGATGATGTCGTCTTTTACTGCTAGTTAATATAACTACCAATTCTAATACAGCCATTGCGAGATACCGGATTTGATTTAGTCTCTCTCCTTTCTTCGGATGCATAATACTTTGTTGATCTTCAGAGGCTATAGTAGGTAACCCAAAAAAGTTCTATCTTTCAAGTGATAGAAATCAGATATAATCCACATCGTCTTATTTAATGATAGATAGAACAGAAAAGTCATAGCCGAGTCGCATCGTTGATGTAATCTAGGCACGTTCTTTTATGTAAGTTTCCAGATACTGGTAGAGGTCCTATTCACGATGTAAAGGTTCAATATATTGTAGCTCATTGAGCACAGACACGATTAAATTATAGACTGACAAAGCAGCTGATAAAATAGATTTAGAATTTCATTAACGGAAAATATTATGGTCATTTCTTAATTCTCAATCAGGACAGGTTTGGAATTGATCTAATAAGATCAAATACTATCCGTTGCACGAAAATAAAAGAACAAAATTTAATCCAAAACACTCGTTTTGTGAAAAGTATTATTCTGAAAATCCAACACTCGCGCCATTCACCTCAATTCATCAACATTGGTGCACCTCAAAACTGATTGAGCAGAGTTTTTTCATAGTACCCTAAGGTGAACATAAAATTTCGCGATTATACGAATTCGCAGATCTTACAGATATGCAATATCGTAGTAAATCCAAACTATGGGGCTAAATTCAAGGGCCAAATAATGGCAATAATTTTTGCCTGTACAGCAGTTATCCAATTAAATTAACGCGTTGCACTAGTCCACCTTGCACATTTATCCATATTATTTTAGCCGTGCTTGCACTTAAAATCTTATTTTCGAACACAAACACCAAAGATCAGTAAATGGTCCGATCACCAAAATATCAGTCTATAAAATCATTCCTTCCAAACAGGTATTGCAAGGGTTTAATGATTCAAAGTCGTATTCTATGAGCTAGCTTATTGCATTCTAAAAGTTGTGGAAAAATTGCAAGGGATATAGATCCTTTCCCTCGAACCCCTAATTCTGAATGAAAAGATTGGCTATACGGATTAACCATGAATTGCATATCGATAAATTCTTGGCATAAAATATCTATCCTTGATGGCTTGCATATATCAACGAAGCATTTACTTGATAGGTGTGGAAGAAGTAGTTGAAGATTTCCTACAATCTAGGTAAAGATTTTCAGCCGCGGAGAACTAACTTTCTGTGTATTCTTTGATTATCAATAACGTGATTATTTTTTCATATTTTACGATAGCCATTTACGCAAAGATTTGCTACAAACTAAGCCTTGCCTTTGACATCTTACATGGCTGACCATATGAATCAAAGCTCTCCGGAACAACCTTATCATTTGCTACTTAAGAAATTGAACTTTACCCCATTTTGTTAACCCATGGGCCAATATGCTTACTTTAATTTTCAACAATTGGAGCTCTTGGACTTTCTCCTAGTCACTTACGTTCTTTAATTCACTGATCAACCTAAGAGACGTAACATGAGCAACTCATGTAAATCACAATACCAATCTCGTAGTATAGTGGACCTGCGAAATTCTGTCCTGCGCAAGCGTATTAATCAAGTTCATAGCCTTGTATATATTTCGTAAGTTATATGGTATACTTTTGCCGAATACTCGTGTATTTTAAAACGGTGAAATTTCTTTTACTATTTCTGCTAGTTTTATTGGTCATACCAGCACTAGTCATATTAGTTTATTGCCTAACTGAAATGTAATCACTAGGGAATCACTTTGTTGAATGGTGTAACGTGGTAAGCTCATTCAAAGCCGTTGAATGAGCCTAGTATTTTGATCCTAGTAAATTTTCTTAAGATATCATGGAGAATCTTGTCATCGATCTGAAAGTAGTAAGTGGAGAAGTTTGATATACATTTACAATAGGATCTAAATTTCAGTTGAGAGTATAGTCCCAGCTCATTTTGGAAAGCAGTATACCATTGGCTAGATAGAAGTATGGATGTTACAAATGTGTTTGTAGGACACCATTCTAGCCTTGATGACATTTCCCAAAACTCAGTCAAATCCAACGAGTTTTGCATGAATCCAACAAAAAATACATCAACAATGAGTTTCGAACCCAGGTAAGCTTTTACGGGTCAATTATCAAATATTATGAGATCGATCAATATTTTTTGGCCACCCCAGACTACTGTAATGCGTCAAAATTAAATGCGTCAGATGAAATTGAAAGATTCTCGCCCACGTATTTCTAGACCATTCGTAATTATGTATACATACTGATTTCCTATTGTCTCGATGTGGAATGAATAACGATCATCTATAAGTTTATTGCAATTGAGTTGCGGAAATACGTTCCCTATTCGTAAATAAGAAATGATTGCATTCAACTATAAAAGACACTGTAGAATCTCCACTTTCATTCTTGTATTCGGTATAAATCAATACAGTCAAACACAAAATAATGCAACTCAAAGTCTTAACTTCTATATTAGCTGCCCTCGCTCTAGCAAAGGCTGATTTGTCTGGTTCTAGTGTTGTGGTGCCTCTTGACGATTTACCTAGTGTTCCAAACACTAGTGACTATTTTGAAGACATCGGTGTTTGGTCAATTGATAACTCTGGTTCTGTCAACGATGCTGCAGACAAGGTTAAAGCTGCCTCGGATGCTGGTAACAATGGTGATCTTTTCTACTACTACAATTTGGCTCAATACAATGGACAAGTTGACTCCCTTAAGTTTGAACAAGGTGGGGATTTAGAGTCTGAATTGGCAATTGCTGTTCAAGCCCATGGTCCTGGTTACCTTCAAGAATTATTCAATACTACTACTATTCCAGAGTTGGCCGATTGGTTGGATGGATACCTCACTGGAAAGACCGAATTACCAACTCCTCAGGCAGAAAAGAGAGCACACACCTCCTGTGGCGGAAGCCATGTCCCAAGCTCGCAGGATTGTCGTGATTTAGTTAACAAACTCTATAACCAACCTTTATTTGTTCCTCGCTCTCCAAGATCAATCTGTTTCAGATCGTGTTGTGTTTCCTGGAGTAACTCCTTCGCTGCCACTGGAGGATATTTAGCTCAAAATGTTGAAGCTTGTGGCCAAAGTTGCACATACCAAGGTAAAAGTTGTGAGATTTACGATGTACTCTTCATCAATACTCACACTAACATCTGTGTGTCTAACAGGGCTTCTGGATGTAACTAGATTGTCACATTCTATTCTTAATCTTGGTTTTCTATCAATTATGAATATGAGATATTTTGCTTATAATGTTTCCAATAAAATTACTCATAATAACTTGAATTTGCATTTAAATCTAAAATTGATTCTTGCTGCAAAAACTAGCAAACGCGCCGCATCTTAAATCTTCGATAATCTACCATATTAAGATAGAGTAATTCTTTCATACTTACTGGAACAAACTATTTCGGATGCACTAATGGATGATTGCTAAAAAGTAATTCCTAAGTTGTTAATTAGGTAGCTAGTCGCTAAGCTTCAAGATTAGTTTTCTTTGGTACTGCGTGAATTTACTATTGGAGTTATTGTCCGAAAATTTCGTGGCAAGAGTTTAGAAGTAACTGGGATTGTCTTCACAGGAACGTTCACCATAGACTTGACCCATCTTTTTTACTTTGTCTTTCTATAACTCCCTTATCAATTTTGTATTTATTCTTTTCTACATATTATTCTTATCGGAAACATCCATATCACCACAAATTTCACATAGAAGGTGTGTGAAGTGAAGCTACTGGTCTTTCCATCTTATCCAAAACTTCCTGTCAAGAAAATTTACATAGGTATCCTATAAAGATAAAAACTAATTCCTCTCTATCTTTTGCCTAGTTAAGTCAATTCTTTGCTTCAGGTAATGGCCCATACAGCCTTTTTTTTTTGGCGGGCATTTAGAACCTCAGTTGAATGTGAAGTACATCCAATAAATTATGCGACATCGACAGCCACAACTACAGATGAATTATCTGACCTTCTACTCAAGCAGTAGAGTGTAAAGAGTGAACTTTTGTTTGTTGGGACGAGATATTCAACTGTAAAAGATGATTTGTTGTCCCTCGTTCCATTGAAGATAATTTGCAACACAAGAGCTTTCTGAAATTTTTTTTTGTCTTTCTTGTCCATAATTGAACTATTACTCAACAATCTCAAATATTTGTAAAAACTACAAAAATTAATGGTTGTTCCTTGACTTTTCATAATACTTAATTACTCACCAAAGTTCAACCTAGAGAGATGTTGTCGTTGTTGAAGAATTACAAAACCAGTCCGGCAAAATATTGCAGTTTAGAGACTATAATAATCACGTGCAAGATCACGTTTCATCTACTCGATATCAAAAATCTCACCTTGGATCTTCCAACGACAACTTCCAACCACACCGATGTCAACCGTATACACCTACTTCACTAAAGAAGTGGTGGACGAGTTCGGAGGCTCCGGTTCTGAGTCCCTCCTTCAAATCCTAGAAGGACTTCCTGAAAATGAAAATGAAAGGGAGTTGATTGTTGCCCAATTGTTCACCGAGCTTTTATTGATTTTTGAAGAAGATCAATTGGAATTGGATCCAATCGTACAATTTCTTTATTCAATTATCACAAGTGACATGTATGCAAGGGTGTTTTGTCAGGTTCTTAATGTGTTTCCTCCTAGTGATAAAACAAATAATCTAATCTTGTTATTGAGTCGAAAGGACCAGGTCATCAAACCAGATACCATAGCTGCATACATTGGAGCAGATCTTTTGAAAGAAGCAGGCGTAGTACCCAAGGAGGTATTGACTAAGACTCTTAATAGCAGAGTCAGAGACGAGTTCTATACACAAAAGAAGTACAATTTGTTTCACGAAGAGGTTGAGGGGTATTCCAAATTGATTGTCGAGCTATATTCAATAATGAAGTCATCAGATACCGAATACCAAGTTGATTACTGCATTCAAATGATTGAAAAGTTGATTGGACATTATAGCTTGGATCCAAACAGATGTCTTGATATTATTTTAGAAGTTTACTCATCCATGTTCGTCTCAAACGTCGAATTCTCCTTGCAGTTGCTCAAAAAGTCACGCTGGTGGCCCAAATATGAGAGTGACTGTTCCTCTATGGAGACATTGTCTCTCGGAGGTAGCGAAGCAGGCGCTAAGATTCTTGGATTGAAATTCATAAAATATCCTAAGGAAAAAGATTTGCCAGAGACATTCAAAATATTAATTGCATTCTTGATCAAGGAAGGATTTGTCAGCTTTGGCTCTATCTACAAATATTTAAGACCTGAGGAAGAAGAAATGCAAATTTTGGAAAAAGAGTACAAGAAGAATTTGGATGAAAAAGTCTCGAAGTCAGGTGCTAGTGCGTTAGCATTAGCTGCTCCATTGGCAGATGATGAAGAGGAAGAAACTTCCGGTAAAATTACAGGCAAGCAAAACACTGCTACTGTGACCGAGTCTATATCGATTGAAAAAAGATTGCATTCAAACTTCAAATATCAAATGTTACGAGTTTTCCTTGGAAATGGCCTATACTGGCCTTCAATGTTTATTTTGACAAAGTATCATTACTTGGCATTCATTGATGATGAAATTTATCCATTAATTAACAGAATGTTGGACACCATGATTCAACCCTTGTACTCTCACATCAAGCCTTTTAGTGATCAAGAACTTACCAATTTCCAAGCATCAGTCAAGAACCCAATATCCAGGCAGCATAATCACATAAGCTATGAGGATTTTCAGATCACAGAATTTGTAAGTTTCAAACCAAATATAAAAAGTTATGGTCAAAAGAGATTTACCTACTTCTACAAGACTTGGTCCAGTGATTTGCCAAAAATAAATGACGTTGATTCGTTGCTTGCGCATTCGGGTGATATATTAAAGTTTGTTGGAGTGTATCTTTCAAAGAACGTTGAAGTATTCATAAAGCTTTGTGAGATTATTAAGTGGGATTTGACAATAATAGAGAAGAATCCTGAAGATGAAAATTTGCTGAATCGGAAAATAAAATGGTTTCATTATTTTAGGAATTATATCTTTCCGGCAATGTCTATAATTGAAGAAAATTCAATAGCAATTGAAAATGCTTATTCCATATTGGAGTTCTATCCAATCGAGGACAGATTTAGTGTTTATGGAGAATTGTATCAAATTCTTTCGAAGAATAATCCTTATATTAAGATGGCATATAACCAGGCTGAAAAGTCCACAAAAGATATCTTACGAAGATTATCAAAGGAAAACGTGAGGTCAATGATGAGAAGATTGGCTAAGATCAGTTTTTCCAATCCTTTACCTTGTTTGTTGACAATTTTACAACAAATTGAAAGTTATGACAACTTAATCCCATTGGTGATAGAGACCGCTCGTTACTTCAATAACTATGGATGGGATTCCTTAACGATTGGTATTTTGATTAGACTCACTGTCGATGGCAGATCGACAATTCAAATCAATGGTATGAATGAGAGAAAGTGGTTACAATCTCTAGCCTCATTTATTGGAAAAATATCTCAAAGGTATCCTAACTTTATAGATTTGGAAACAATTCTCACCTTTTTATTAAAATCATTCCATCAAGGTGATAGTTTGGGGGTTATAGTTTTGAGAGAGATCTTAACATCAATGGGAGGACTTCAATCTATCAATAACTTAACGCTTAGACAGATCAACATGATTAATTGTGGTTCGTCTTTGGAGAAGTTAGTTTACAAAACAATTGATGATGTGAGATACGACAGAGCCAAATCAGGACAGACTCTCGTCAACACACTTATAAAACTAGATGGGATTAATGAGATTCTAGTTTTGTTGTATCAATTAACCAAGAAGAGTATCGCAGGATCAGAATTGACGCAATTAAAGATTTTAGCAAGCAAGAACGATGACTTGGATTCAGTTATACATCTCTTGATCACCTTAATTAATTTTTTCGGAAATGCTGATGAAATTTCGAAGCATCTTTTAAGTGCAAGTGAATTGAATGAGAAATATGGATTATCTATACAATGGATTTTTGAACTCTGGAGGCCAATATTAGCAAAGAGACAACTAGCATATGAAACCAATGACTCTTCGATGGAGACGGATTCCCCATGGAACCCAGTTTTGCAACCAGTAATGAATGAGGTATCTCATGTTCTCCCAGCTGAAATAACATCACACCTCAGTCCCGGATTGTTTGTGACCTTCTGGCAATTGTCCTTATATGATATCAATTACACTTCAGAATTGTACGATAATGAAGAATCTAAATTGAAATCAACCATCAAGTCTTTGAAAGAGTCCTCCTCTATAAATTCAAAAGACAAAGATATCTCCAGAGTCGTACTTGAGAGAGCTAAAAAAGAGTTGAAGCAGAACGAGGATTATTTGACGAGTATCCCTGTGGATAAAACCAAGCATTCAGACCACTATGATAGTGTTGTTTCACGCTTGAAAAAAGAGTCAGCATACTGGTTTCCAATTAGCAACCCCGACGACATTAAGATTCAGACTCAAAGATTCCTTCAATACTGTTTACTACCAAGATCGATTCACTCTTCCTTTGACGCCGGTTTCAGTTCAAAGTTCCTTTTTAGTCTTCATGAACTTGGTGCAAACAACTTCAGCATACTTAGTCTTCTTGATGAACTAATAAGAAATAAAATTTTGTTCAGTACCTTGTTCACATTGACACCTGTTGAATCGGAGAATCTCGGATTGTTCTTTGCGGATATTCTCAACCAGTTACACAATTGGACTGATGAGAAATTCTTCGAGGGAAATGTCAAGAGCAAATTATTTAGTAATGATGGCTCAGAAGTATCTTACGATGATTATCGCAAGATTTTGTATGAGTATCATGATATTATTTTGAGTGACATTGGTGCATCTTTGAAGGTTACTGAGTATATGTCAAGGAGGAATGCAATCACATTTTTGAAGAACCTTTTAGGAGTCTATCCTAACGTTGAAGACCATTGCGAGGAAATAGTTAAACTTATTCAGAATATTGCTACCACTGAGCAAAGGGAGGACTTAAAATTGTCTTCAAGTGCCTTGATTGGGCATGTGAAATCTAGATCCAAAGAGTGGGTTCACCTATGGGATTTTATCCCAATGCCGGAAGCCGAGAAAGAGGCGTTAATTAAGAAAAGAAAAGAAGAGAAAGAAAAAGAGCTAGCTAAAATCAGGGCGAAGCAAATCAAGGAACAGAAAGAGAAGGAAGAGGCTTTGCGCAAACAGAGAGAAGAAGAAGAAAAGAAGAAGAGAAAGAATCTTTTGAACTATGATTCAAAGCAATCCGTTTCAGTATCTACTTCATCTGCAAGAAATGATATCAGAGGCGAGTCATCCAGGGGTCGTTACGATAATTATTCAAATTATGACAACAGAGGAACTCAAGATGACAAATTGAGACTGAAAGAAGATAACAAGAAGGAAATCTCGAATCTGAAAGATCAAAGCACCGCAACAAGAGCTAACGATGATAAGAAAGCAGATTCTAAAAAGGCCGAAAACAAAAAAGATGATCTTAAGGGTGATTCCAAGATAGGTGCTAAATCTGAAACCAAAATTGATTTGAAGGTTGAATCCAAGGGAGATGCAAAATCTGAACCGAAGAATCTGAACAAGCAAGATTCCATCAAGAACGAATCAAATGACAAGAAAACAGAAGAAAAGTCAGCTGATTTGAAGGCCAGACTTTTACAAGCTAAGAAGGATTACCAAGAGAAGGCTTCGAAGGAACAGCGAGAGCCAGCCTCTCGCAGTAGAGCACCTTTGCCTCCTCAGGGATCTTTGCCCAAGGATGCTGCGGACCAAAGATACGGAGGCAGATATAATGACAATTACAACATCTCAAGCTCTAGATTCAGTCGAGACAAGAGCTCAACGCCTAACCCACCCCAAAGGCCGCATAGACCTCACACTTCTCAGTATGACAGAAAGGTTCCAACACCCTCTTCCTATCCCGAGAGAAAATCCACACCAACTAATTCGAATAAGCCACCCGTGCCCCCACCTTCAACAAAACCACCAGCATCTAATCTGTCCTATCAAGAGAGAAACAAGCAGCCAACAAGGGCAGGTTTACCACCCCCACCCCCACCCCCGCCTCCACCGGTGAGTCTCAAACCTAGATCCGATAACTTCCAAAAGAGGAACCCACGGCCAGACACATACGACAACAGGGGAGATTCCTACCAATCCAGAGATGGATATAACAGAGGAGAGTATAGATACGAAAAGGGCGCACAGGGAAGGCCCGACAATAAGAGGCCACTGGACTACAACAGGGGTTACAACAAGAAATCTAGATACTGACCTTTGAGCACTGTGTCTAAGATTGAAGAACTAATTCAATAATAGCAAGTTGTAGAAATTTATAGGAAGCAGCTAAATGTATGATTGCTACACAGGGGATCGGAGTACGGTCAGTGCCAAAGTCACCAAATTGACACTATATTACAAGTCTATAATTATATAAATACAAGTGACTAAACCTCATCTACTAGTCTTTCTTTCATGGAGCCTGCAGTTAGCAGCTTCAATTCATCGTCAATCAAGGAGTCCAACTCCTCATCATATTCATAATCTCCGACTTCTTCTATCCTTCTCTTCTTCAAGTTTGGTTCCAGCCCCTCTGTCTCTCCTAAGGTTTCTAAGAAGAGTTCAATCTTTTTGAGATGTTGCTCATGCCATTTGAGATGGCGAGTCAAGTCATATTCTCTTGAAAAAGTTCTCTCACAATTATTCTTGGGGCACTTAATTTTTTTGAGGTGATAATTGTCCAGAATGAGACCTATTATGGACGCTTTAGCGCCCCTGAGATTGGAGTTCAAAGTATTCATAGATTTTGTAGAGTTAGGGGCTTCTGAAAGAGTCTCAAACTCCTCAGCCTCCTCTTGATCTGAATCACGTAAAATCTCAAAATTCTTCAAGTCCTTCAAACTCTTGATCCTTCCACCATCATCGTCAGTTTCACTCAAAAGCTCTTCCAATCGTATTCTCTCATTCAATTTAAGCAAATCCTCCGGGATATTTCCATCATGGTACGCTTTGTAGTGTTCTATCAAGTCAAACTTTTTCGAGAATTTTCCAATGTTACAGTAGTTACAATTCCATAATTTAACAACAGTCTCCTCGTCGTGGCTTAACATGTGTGATTTAAGACCCTTTTTACCCACACATCCCTTACCACAAACCGAGCACTTCAACTTTGGATGTTCTGTCTTGATATGGAATTGAAGTGCAGACCATGTTTTGAAATTGCTATAGCAGCCCGGGTGATCACACTGGTAGGTTGGCGAGTCTCCATGATACTTGATATTGTGTTGTGCTAGTCTGTATGGCCTCGAAAATGTTTTATCACAAATCTTGCAAGTGAGGGATTTCTCATGGACAGACAAGACATGGTGTCTTAATGACTGATGCTTGTAAAACGATTCCGAACATCCATCATGTGGACATTCGAAGGACTTTGTATGGGTAATCTCATGTCTTTTTAAATGTTGGAGAGAGTTCACACCCTTTCCACATATTGAGCAGTGAAATGGTTTCTGGTCCTCCTCTTTATGCGAAAGTAAGTGATTATCCAAATGGGACTTTCTTAAAAACGACTTATCACATCCTGCGTGGGAGCATTTGAAGGGACGATCATTTGTGTGTGACCTTTTATGCTGCTCAAGTAATGAGGGTTTGGAATACGCTTTGACACAATCAGGATAGTCGCAGAGATACTTCTTTGGGCGCGACGATGTTGAAGATGACATGGAAGTTGAGCAGGTTAAGAATTCCTAAATGATGATGCCCTTTCCCTTTCGGATAGTCAGGTTGTTATGTTGGGTGGGTTTTTGTATTGCGCACAGGAATCTTTCGGATTGGCACCTGATCCCAAAGGATGATCCACTCGTACTGAAGGAGCTAATACCAGGAAAACCACCAGGTACTGGTTTGTAGTTGATGTTGTGGTTGCAGACGAAGATAAAGTTTGATTCGTGATGAGCATATCAGGTCACGTGATCACAATTATATGAACGGAGATACGTGAGATGACTGCGAAATGTGTGGGGTTTACTGGTTCTCAGAGGCGATAAGGATACTATTGCAAGAGAGTTCAATTGGATAAAGGATACGAAAACTTTGGTTTAATGATGAGCCTTCTTCAACAACAAAAATAACTAAAAGAAATTGTCTTGAAGAAGTAGCTATTGTCTCTACTGGAAAACATTTCAAGAAAACTACTGTTGCCGAGGTTTGACAAAATAGCTACGAGAGTTAAGGAAAAGGAATTTTATATGAGACAACTTGAGCTTCTTTTCAAGGACTTCTTTTTCCTTGAAAAGAAGCTCATGAAATATGAGTTTAATGACTAGTATTTAGCGAATTGGCATATTTACACACTCATCTTCTACCTTAGCCATTAATTTCCAAGTAATTCGTCAGAGTTAGCCTGGCAGGACTATTGTTTTAAAATAGCCGCTCATCTTAATATTGTTCAATAGGCAAGATGTATTTGTTTTTATCTTTTTTCAATTTTGTGATGGGTTTTGCATATTAGTGCTCGAATTGAACCATTATTTGGTAATTAAAACAAGTTAGTATATGAATTTCACAAATTTGGGATCGATAGTCTGAAACTATTTGAACAATAACTAGACAGCTTACTAACCATCCAATATTTCAAGAAAAATCCGTGATAGTTTAGTGGCTAGAATTACCGCTTGTCGCGTGGTAGACCGGGGTTCAATTCCCCGTCGCGGAGTTTCNNTTGCGCAAATGGTTTAGTGGTAAAATCCAACGTTGCCATCGTTGGGCCCCCGGTTCGATTCCGGGTTTGCGCATTCTTTTTGCTACTTGACACAACCCTTTATCAGTTCAAGATTCCATCTTGATTAGTTTTCCATCCACAATATCATGTCTCGAAGACTGACCCTAACATTTTTGAAGAAGAACTGGGAGTTTTCCATCGCGGTATTCATTCTTGCCTACTACTTGCTAGTACATGTTGTTCTTGGCTCAGCACACAGGCATCATGACTCGGGCCTAAACGCCCACTTGAGAGTGATCCCACAAGATGTCATAAGCCATTGGGACCAGGCATCATCGTTTCACGACCATACTGTGGAGAAGTATGCATACGTCCAATACGCCACTGGCTACGACTACCTCAACATGGCCATCATCAACTTCATCCTCTTAAAGAAGTCTGGATCCGCCATCAAGAACATGGTGGTGTTGTACGATAGTGAGTTACAGCGCCACCACGTTGATCACTGGCAGAGACTTCATCCTCTTGCCAGCAAGTACGGAATCACGCTCAAGTCAGTAACCGCCATCACTGCTGACAGTAAGGACAGTTCCAACTGGGCAGCCTCCTTCACCAAGTTCCACGTCTTCGATCAGACTCAGTACGACAGAATCGTATTTTTTGACCTGGACTCTATGCTCGTCCCAGATAGCAATGGCCAATGGCAGAACATCGATGAACTTTTCAAGATTCCCCAGAACATTACCTACGCATTGCCCCAGGCATACTGGCTCAACAACATCGTGGAACTGAAGGAGGGCTTTAACAACGTTTATCACAAGAAGGTGGAGATTCCGTCGCCCAAGCGGTACCATACACAAGTACAGGGGATATTGAAGAATATGAATAGAAATGCCGACCAATTCTTGGAGTTGCCCACGTTGATTTACGACCATCACAAGTACGATAACAGGGACGACTTCTTTGCCAACCATGTCATGGTGCTCACGCCATCGAAAAAGGTGTATAATGAATTGCTCCAGTACATCCACAACCCATGGCACTGGTCGATATTCAGCCGCTCCAAGCTTAAGAAAAAGAACGACTACGACATGGAGATCCTCAATAAGTACTTGGATGACCAGCTTCGCAGCAAGGAGCCTAATACCAGGGTGGGTGTGCTTCCACACCGCACATACGGAGTGTTGACAGGCGAGTTCAAAGAAAGATGGCACCGTCGGTTCGTGGTGGAGCCCCAGCACCTTCCTTTCATCACTAAGCAATCCAGCGAGGGATGGGACGCCTCTCAGGCTCGCAAGGACGCCAAATTGATCCACTTCTCGGACTCTCCCATCCCCAAGCCATGGGACAACCAGGACTCCACCCTGTACTATAACCAGTTCAAGATCTACTGTGCGGAGTCTGCACGGAAGGATCCTGCCACTTTCCGGGAATTGTACCCTGGTGAATGGCAGCCACGACTCGTGGACGACTGTGAGGCTGTTCTCAGTTGGAATTCATATAGAGCTACTTTCTACGAGGTGCAGAAGGAGTTTTGGGTGGTTTAAACTCATGATCTGCTTTGTCTTTTGCAGACTGTTTTTAGCAAATGCCCCATTGTACATGCTGTGTTCTCGGCAAGTTGCGGCAAAGCCTGTCTACGCTTGTGTAAAACACACCGAAAATTGTCTACGGGCCTGCACTAGCGCGAGTCAATCAAGCAAAGAAGAACCCATGTGAAGTATTGTTGGACGGCAGCGCCCTGCCAGTTGTGGTTGGCCCAGCACGAACGCCCTGAGATTTTGCATCCACCTGAAAGAATACTACCAGTACAAACATAAATACTATTTGTAAAGTAGGGACTAGATTATTTTGCGACAAAAGCTTCTAAAACAGCACCACTATAGCGGTAGCATGAGATTCTGAGTAGCATTAAATGGCTGATTGTTTAGTATGAGTATGTAGGTACTATTAATTTTATGGCAATCGTCCCTAACAATCTCGCTAGAATTAGAGACAATCGGAGACCTCCAGTGCCACTCGCAGGAGCTCCCACCACCGAAAAACATCTGTGCCCTCGCTACATCACCACTCTTTTTGGACCGCTACTGCGCACGGTACCGCACTACACACCACTCCCAAAACCCCCCTGGCCACTACCGAAAAAAGATTGGCACTCCTCCGCCCCAACTCAGCCCGCACCTGTTTACCTTCCAAATTTAGCCAGAAAAATTGATCCAGACAACATTTTAACCACAAACATCTCCTTCATCACCACACCACACCATGTCCACATTCGTTACACGGACGCTCCTGGAGCTCAGTAAGAGGGACGGCTTGCCTCCCCTCAGGACCACCACCAGAGCTGCCGCCACAGGAAGTGGAGGTATGCCAGTTTTGGCTTCCAACGCTGCCCAAACCACCTCCGAGTCCTTCACAACTCCAGCGATCAAAGTGCCCAACAGCATCGTTAACCCCCACATTCTCCGCGAGACCAACCCCTCAGGAACGGTGTTCATCGCCGTGGGCGCCATCGTGGGCGCCATCATTATCGCATTCATCCTCTACCACTTGATCGTGTCGTTGACAGCCTCTCGTTTGGCCAAGAAGTCATTGGCTGGCGACCGCCAGTTGTACGAGAAGTACCAAAACAACAACAACACCGCTTACGGAGGTGCTGCGGGTTTGACGCCCACCAACATGACGTTTGACTCCAAGTTACCGTTCTTGAGCCCCACCAAGACCGTGTTGACGGGCTTGGGAGGCGGCATGGGCGGAGGCATGGGCTCGTTGGCTGGCGGCTCCGTGGTGGGTGACAACTCCACCATTTACGCCTCGGAGGCCGGGGCTGCAACCTCCAAGCACGACTTAACCAAGATGTTCATTTCACCCACCGCGGAGGTGATGCAGCACAAGCGGGTACGGTCGTCGCAGTACGGCGGTTCCACCACCAACTTGTCAATGTTAGGCGGCTCCACCACCAACTTGATACCCGCCTCCAACAGACACTCGCAAATGCCCAGCTTGTACATCAACAACGACAATAATAGTGAGTACTCGCTCAGCCAGGCCGGTAGTGCACCCCACCAGGGCCACACCCCAAGATCGAACAGGAAGACCATTCCTTCTATGTACCTCGAGGACTTGATCGACGAAAAGTAGATGTAGGACTAATATCTACAGAAAGATTTTTGGAAAAAGATAACGTTAGACTGAGGTCAAAGAACGATAACCGTAGGAACCCAATTAGCATGGAATGAGAGCGACGAAAACTAACCAACGAGGATCTCAACAAGATCTGTGAGAACGAGTTTGGTTTCGGAAATCAAATAGTCGATAAATGATCTACAGGTGTGTTCCAGTCTACTAAATAAAAAGTTCAATATTGTTCAATAAAACAAGCTATTCAGTATTTCTCAAGTAAATTGTTGCAACTCTGATAAATGGATGCATTACTGTAGGAATTTGTTTAAGCCCCGATAAAATCAAAGCTGCACTCTTTCACTTCTTAAATTTGTCGGGTTGAGAGATTAATATCGCTACACAATATGGACCATGAGTCCCATTGCTCATTTTCTACATATATTAACGCTTGATTTCTCTAATCTAAACTTTTGATAAAACCAAGTATGCCATCCAGAAAAAAGTTGTTTGACGGCAACAAAACGAGTCACTAATTCAAAAGAACAGTTAGGGTAGTTGTGGGGTAATAATTTCACCGAAAGTTACAATACATTCTCTACCATCCTTACTCTGTGACTATTACCAAAGTATGGAAATAAATGAAACACGCAAACTCATCACTTATTGATGAGTTATCAATAAGTATTCCAAAGATTGAAGGGACCTTTTTTTTGTCTTTTGGAAATATAAAAATCGTCAAGGGTGCAATCTTGACTAGTACTTGAACACGGAAGAAAAACAGCTTCCAGAATTTTGTTCATAACAGATACAATTACCAGAAGAAATGGAGCTAAGTGTTGGTGGTCAAGAATCGCCTCCCACAGATTACATGCCAATAAGTTGGATGTAACATAGTTATCCAGTTAATTGAGAGGCGACATTGCTGAGAAAACTGTCTTTCGGAAGTTATATTCGCCTGCACACAAGGTGTTGCAACCAGATGTCGTTAAAAGATGGTTGCAATTTTTGCATTACAATTTTGTCCAGCGTCCTACAAACTCAATTAAGTGTGTTATTGAGAAAACTACTCTTCTTGTTGTAGCTGCACTCTTCTACGTTGTCATCTCTGTGGGCATTAATATTCCTGCTCTTCGATTGAAAATGTCAAGTCAGCCTTCGTAACAAGACTACTTACACCCGTACCAGCATAGCTAGGTACTTAATCTAGATCAAATTTTAGCGGGACAGCAATAAATCGGTTAGGCCAACAGTAGAAGCCAACTCGCAAGTACCAATGAATCTGCTATGATTGGTAGATTATTCAGTCCAAATAATTGGCTTTGGCTTACATCGGTAACTAGGTATTTTACCCGGATCGAAATTTAGCTGGACAGAAATAAAATAGTTAGGTTGAAAGTAGGAATTTGCAATCTGATACACCATGAGTCTACTCTCAACTAGATTTAATGTGAGCTTCAGAGGAGATAGATTTAAAATGATTTAATACCAGTATCTGTGGAGGTCGAAGAGAACAGAAGGGGTCCCGTGACAAGTTACTTCTAACCTAATTAACCCCTATGTGTATTAATTTTGAGGTCATAGTCAGGGTGGGTAGGCAAATACTACTACAAGTCAACTGGTAAGAAACTTGTGATACACCGCCATACCGTGACCAAGAAGCGGGCGTGATGGCTGTGTACAGCAACATACAGAACTATCTAAAAGGTATTTTATAGCTCTACTCAATAAAAAGAAATGCAACCTGATGTTTTCAACTGTGTGCTTACGATGCTGCCCGAGTCTTTATTTTCAGCCATTTTCATGCATATCTATTCACCAAAGATGAGCAACCATCCGTGGGCATCTCATCCAATGCCAGAGATCGGACGCAATACGGTGAAATCTATATTGCTAATAGATCACGAGCGAAACGAGGCTGCTAAAACGAGAGTAACTCACGTTTTGCAGAAAGCCATCGATGAACTAAGGTGTGGAGAATCTCCAAACCAATCAATCTGGAAGCATCTGACCGTTGCGAGCGATGGCGAGTGACGCTCACGTGACTGACGTCACCCAATGATTGCTGATTACAGACACGTGACTGACATCAAATCACATCACATTCCGGGACCTGCGCATTTCCGCCGGCCCGCGGCCTCGGCCTCGGCTCCACGTGGACGCCATCACGTGGGTCCGCCCGCCCGACTCCCATCCGCGGTTGCTTCCATGCTCTCTCCGGCTTCCTCGCGCCATGCTCGGCTACCGACCCCCCACCAAAACGTCACTGCCAACGGCCCACTTGCAGCCCCAGTTGCACCCATCACTAGCCTATCCTCAACCAATCATCGCCTCCGGCCTTAAACCCCCACGTCATTCCCCCACTTGAGCCCTCCAAAATCCCTCCCACTTGAGCCCAGGCCTGCACACCTCCCGCAAGCAATCATCCAGGGTCTCTCCGAGATTGTCACCAGGTGCGCGTCGGGAGCCTCATTTGCTCATGACTGGTGCTCGCAGGGTGAAATTTTCTAGTGTGTATTTAAATTCGGAATGTTCCTGAGCGAAACTGAGAATTACCATTTGCACCATGTCTCGCTTTGTTAAGACCCCCCTCGCCAAGGGAGTGCTAGCCTCGGCTTCGCTCGTGGGTGCTACCATCGTGTACCTCGACTTCATCCGAGCGCCTGCCAGTCCCACTCTCCAGAACTCCTACAAGCCGTTGCAAAAGCAGTTGGCGGCTCCGCCCTCCAGAGAGAAGCTCATCGAAAACCTCCGTTCCACCCCCAAGTTCGACGTGTTGGTGGTCGGAGGTGGTGCTACCGGTACAGGAACTGCGTTAGACGCCGCTACTCGTGGCCTCAGCGTGTGTTTGTTGGAAAAGAACGATTTTGCCTCAGGAACCTCGTCTAAGTCTACCAAAATGGCCCACGGAGGTGTCAGATACCTTGAAAAGGCCATCTTCCAGTTGTCCAAGGCCCAGTTGGACTTGGTTATCGAAGCGCTCAACGAGCGTGGTAACATGTTGCGTACAGCCCCCCACTTGTGCTCGGTGTTGCCTATCATGATTCCCGTCTACAAGTGGTGGCAGGTGCCCTACTTCTTCATGGGGTGCAAGATGTATGACTGGTTCGCAGGCCACCAGAACTTGCGTTCTTCGACCGTGTTTTCCCGTGAAATGACAAGTGCCATCGCACCAATGATGGACGACTCCAACTTGAAGGCCACCTGTGTGTACCACGACGGAACTTTCAACGACTCGCGTATGAACGCTACCTTGGCGTTCACCGCCATTGACAACGGTGCTACTGTGTTGAACTACTTCTCGGTGGAACAGCTCCTCAAGAACCCAGCTGGTAAGGTGACTGGTGTCAAAGCCAAGGACGTCGAAACTGGTGAAGAATTCACCATCAACGCTACTGCCGTGGTCAACGCCACGGGTCCCCTCGCTGACAAGCTTTTGGAGATGGACAACGACCCCCAGGGGTTGCCCCCCAAGGTGGAACAGCCCCCCAAGATGATTGTGCCCTCTTCAGGAGTTCATGTGGTTTTGCCTGAGTACTACTGCCCCAGAGACATGGGGTTATTGGACCCCTCAACTAGTGACGGCCGTGTGATGTTCTTCTTGCCTTGGCAAGGAAAGGTTTTGGCTGGTACTACCGATACTCCCTTGAAGAACGTGCCTGCCAACCCTATCCCTAGCGAAGAAGAAATTCAAGACATCTTGAAGGAATTGCAAAAGTACATTGTTTTCCCCGTCCAGAGAGACGACGTGCTCTCGGCTTGGTCGGGAATCAGACCATTGGCCCGTGACCCTCGTCTTGTCCCTGACAACGCTGCTGGCACCTCGTCTACCCAAGGACTTGTCAGATCGCACATCGTTTACGTCTCGCCTTCCGACTTGGTTACCATCACTGGTGGTAAGTGGACCACCTACCGTGAAATGGCCCAGGAAACCGTGGATACCTTGGTCAAGAACTTCGACTTCGACGGCAAGAATGCTAAGCTCTTGCCCTGCCAAACCAACAAGATCGTGTTAAACGGTGGTACCGACTACTCCAAGAACTACTCCGCCAGATTGATCCACGAGTACAGAATTCCTTTGAAGTTGGCCAAGCACTTGTCTCACAACTACGGATCCAGATCGTCATTGATCTTGGAGTTGTACCACGAGTCCGACTTCAACAAGTTGCCCATCACCTTGGCTGCCGTCAAGTCGTTCGAACCCTCGGAACAGACTGCCTCTACCGACAACCAGTTGTCGTACCAGTCATTTGACGAGCCTTTCACCATTGCTGAGTTGAAATACTCGTTAAAGTATGAGTACATCAGAACCCCTATCGATTTCCTCGCCAGAAGAACCAGATTGGCCTTCTTGAACGCCAGAGAGGCCGCTAGTGCCGTTACTGGAGTTGTGGAGATCATGAGAAGAGACTTGAACTGGGATGATGCTACCACTAAAAGGATGACCGATGAGGCCATGGACTACATTGGTAAGATGGGTATTTCCAGCAAGAGATTTGACGTGGAAGACTTTGTTGTCCAATAATTCCAATATATTAAGGACCTGGTCCAAATTAGATGGGCAAATCCGCTAGTTATGGTTATTTTAATGACATTCGAAGTCGGCCCTTCAGTAATAGAGAATAGAGTGTTGTATATACGATATCATGTGAAGGTGTAGGATCAGAGGCGGCACGGCTCGGGCGTCCGGAGCACGCGTGGGCGCCGAAGGACGAAGGGACCTTCGAGACGGTCGGGAAAGAGTATTTACGAGCCGGTCAGACGGCTTGGAGATGAGCCATAGGCCGTGGTGTAACCTGCAGAGCACACTCCCAGTAACTAGTAGAATATATCCAGGCACCAGCAGACCACCACCGATAACTAGTACAATATCCCCCGTAACTTGTAGAAAACCAATAACCTGCAGCACTTCACGGTAACTACAATAAGCCTTAAACTCACAACTACACGCCACCACCACTCCACCCACTCCAATCCTCTCAGCACACGAACGCCCTTGGCTGCACTCCGACTTACCATGCCAGTTCGCCCGTACACGACTGTTTACTTCTTACGTCACTCCTGCACAAGTAACCACTATCGACAACCACCACCACTCCTCCGGAAGCTGTGATGTCGACACCATCCCATTCCCACGCCCGTGGCCATGCCAGAGGCCCGTCCGTGTATGACCAGGACATGAACCCATCTTTCAGCTTCGGAACTCCGCAAGAACCGCAACAGCAGCCGGCATACCCGTCGCCAGCCGTGTCAATACCCGTGCCCCAGATGGCCCCACCACAACCACACCAGCCCATAGATGGCCATACGCTGGCTCCAGTGAAGAATCCGTTCGTGTCGCCGTCAGGGCTGGCGGACGAGCGCTCGTTGCTCCCCAAGCTCGTGGGAACCTTCCCGGTGTTGGTGGCCTTCCCCAGCATCTTGCTTTCAGGCAGCATGGCGTATGTTCTGGTGTCCAGCACCCCCTCTATCGCATACACCGCCACGGTGGTGCTCCTGGTGATGCTAGCATCGTCATTTCTCCTCATGATCAAAGTGCTCATTCGGTTCAACTTAATTGCATTAAATAAGCCCTCGTCCACTGGGGCCGAAAATACCTTTACCTCCACTGCCGTGCTCCTCTTGGGAGTGGCACTTGTGTTCTTTGCGTCCGAGGTGCTGCCCATAAGCCGTCTTGCCGTGGTTTTCTTGGGTCTCTACTTGAACGAGTACAATCTATACACCCTCATCACCCTTGTTATTGATATCTATGTTGCCTACAACGAGTCGCAGAACCATTGGTCGGCAGTAGGCGTGATATTGGGCCATATTCTTGTCGTGATTTCTTTTAAGATCCTCTTCAAGAAGTTGGTTTTATCGTCCATTTCCAACACCTTGGGCAGTTTAAATACGAGATTTTTGGGAGCTATTGCAGGTGTATCATTTATCGTCTTACTCCTATTGAAGGGCTTGAGCTTGAGTATAGTTGGGGTCAATCTAGCAGCTTCAATTGTATTTGTGATCTCCCTACACGATGCAGACTTGACCATCTCAAAAGCAGTACCCGTACTTCTAGCCGTGATATCGATATCTTTGGAATACATCGTGTTGGCCAAAAAGATCGACTTGATCACGGTGATTAATATGCTATTACCATTACTCATTGTGGCTGACAGGTCAAGAGAAATCGAAGGTGAAAGCAGTTACGGAACTGCAGTGGAAGTCTCTGAGAAGACTGTATCTTCAACTTCAATATTGCGGGAATTGATGAGCCACTCTGATACCAAGGCAATCTTGAATTTCCTTTTATTGAACACCACATTCATGTTCATCCAACTTCTTTACTCATTCAGGTCAAAGTCCCTTGGATTGCTTTCGGACTCACTTCATATGGCTCTTGATTGTACCTCGTTAGCCTTGGGTTTAGTGGCAGGTATACTTTCCAAAAACGAGATCAATGTGAACGGAAAGTTTCCATTTGGACTCAGAAATTTCGAAATATTGGCAGGTTTCACCAATGGTACCTTATTGATTGGAATTAGTGGAAGCATTATTTTTGAGGCTATACAAAGGCTTTTCAATCCTATAGTTTTGCAGAAAACAAACGAGTTGATAATAGTATCTATAATGGGTTTATTGGTCAACTTGGTTGGTATTTTTGCATTTAACCATGGCCACGGAGAACACGGCGGACACACACATGGTCACTCCCACTCACATGACTCGCATAGTCACTCCCATGTCGAGAGCCATAGTCATAGCCATGAACACAGTCATAGTCATGGAGGTGAAGATAACCATATGAATGACAACATGAAGGGAATATTCTTGCATATCCTTGCAGATACCTTGGGGTCAGTGGGTGTAGTAATATCAGCACTTTTGACTAAGTTTTTTGGTTGGGAAGGCTTTGATCCGGTGGCTTCAATTATCATTGCTGCACTTATCTTCTTTTCGGCAATTCCATTGATAAAGTCAACTGCATCCACCTTGCTACTCAAGCTCACAACCGATAAAGAATCTAAGATACGGTCAGTATTGAGTGAAATCACCCATATCAAGGGCCTCAAGTCGTATACCACCCCCAGATTTTGGCCCAACTCGACCAATTCTCTCAATGGGTATATACATATCCAGATATATCGTGGAGAAAACTCCTCATATATAAAGAAGCAATGCGAGCAAATTTTCCAAGGAGAGAAGATAGAGGTCATGATACAGATGGAAAACGATTACGATGACTGTTGGTGTCGCAAAGACAGTGACATAATGGTGAACAGCTAGCTAGCATTAGCCGGAAATAATAGATTTATCTAGTAGGCCTGAACGAATAAAACTCTGGAAATTAGGTAGTACTACGCTAAGCACTGGCGGTATTGGCGATAAATTAGTTTATCCTAATTCTATCTTTTTTTCCTAATCACATCTGATCATAAGTCGCTAACACAGAATGTAAGTTTCTATATCAGCTTATCTCTATCCGGTTTTTACAAATAAAGATTATCGGCAACCTGGCACTTTTGCACTGCAAGGGAGCAGTGTCATCAATGTTCCCTAGACGCATCTGTCAAAAATTCCCGCTAAATCTTTAGGTGCCAGTAGTCTACTGGCAATAGTTACTAACTTTTGCGGCATGCTCACTAATCGTCCCACAACCCTCACTAATCGTCCCGCACTAGCCTCCCTAGCGCCATCCCATCACCGCGATGCCGCTGCCGGCCCTGCACGACCCTGACATATATCGAGATGGTGGTTGATGACCAATCCACCACAAATGTCTAGAGTAGGAATCTTGGCCCTTGGCCCAGCAGGGGTTGGTAAGTCCACCTTCTGCAACTCCATCATATCACACATGCAATCCATAGGGAGAAGAGCCCACATCGTCAACCTCGATCCAGCAGCAGAAGCTACAGAATACGAATTCACCATCGATATCAGAGACTTGATTTCATTACAGGATGTCATGGAAGAAATGGATTTGGGCCCTAACGGAGGCTTGATCTACTGCTTTGAGTTCTTGCTCAACAACCTCGACTGGTTGGATGAAGAGATCGGCGACTACAACGACGAATACTTGATTTTTGACTGTCCTGGACAGATCGAATTGTACACCCATGTGCCGGTGTTGCCCACCATCGTCAAGCACTTGCAACAGTCATTGAACTTCAACTTGTGTGCCACCTATTTGTTGGAGGCCCCATTCATTGTGGACAATTCCAAGTTCTTTTCCGGTGCTTTGAGTGCCATGTCTGCCATGATTCTCTTGGAATTGCCCCACATAAATATATTGTCCAAAATCGACTTGATTAAGGACGAGTACAGCAAGAAGCAGTTGAAGAAATTCTTGAACCCAGACCCGTTGTTGTTGAGCAACGAGGACGAGGAGTTCAATCCCAAGTTTTCCAGGCTTAACAAGTTAATTGCAAACTTGGTGGACGATTTCGGCATGGTCCAGTTCTTGCCCTTGGACTGCGCTAAGGAGAGCACCACCATCTCCACTATCTTGAGTTACATCGATGATGTTACTCAATGGAGTGAAAGTCAAGAGCCTAAGGAGCCCGCTGCAGAGGAGTTGGATGAGGAGGATGTGGACTACGATTAAGCAGATAATATATCAAATTCTGCCAAAGTCCCTAAAGCGGTTTCTCTGTGTTTTCTAATGAGCAGATGGGTTCTAGACCAACACAAATGTATGATAATAGAGTTTCGTTCTTTACATGTAGTTTTTAGTTATTGGCCAATACTTCCATAGAGGAGGTATGAATCAATAGTTTCTGGTAACTTGACCATTGTAGCTATATTTAGCCTCGTAATGAAAAGGTTAAGAGGTTACTGCAGAGCCTCCACCATGATCCAATTTTCAAACTAGAGAAGGGCTCTCTCAAAAACTCGGTAGCTTCCTGAAATTATTCGCAAAGGCTAGTGGGAGATTCTCCCTATAGTATTTGCATGGCAATAAAGTTTTCTCATCAACAAAATTTCCCCAAAGTAGTACACACCACTTTAAAACCATTTTAAAGTAAAATGGCTCGGTAAGTTCGATACATACCTTTGAAAAGTGCCCTATTCCAGCATTGCCTCCAGAGGCCCTGGGGTGTCGTGGCACCGAGGGTATCACGTGACAACATCACCTATGAAAAAATCAACCAATCGGCTCTCCAACACCATCACAACATGGTTCAAATTAACGAGGTTAAGGACACCCAATCCAGGGAAAGCAGGACTGCTGCTCACACTCACATCAAGGGTTTGGGCCTTGATGAGCATGGTGTGGCCAAAAAGGTCGAAGATGGATTTGTTGGCCAGGCTGATGCCAGAGAAGCTTGTGGTATCATAGTCGACTTGATCAAGAGCAAAAAAATGTCGGGAAAGGCAATCTTATTGGCAGGCTCTCCTGGTACCGGTAAGACTGCGTTGGCCTTGGCCATATCACAGGAATTGGGCCCAAAGGTGCCGTTCTGCCCTATTGTTGGTTCTGAGTTGTTCAGTGCCGAAATCAAGAAGACTGCCACCTTGATGGAAAACTTCAGACGTGCTATTGGTTTAAGAATCAAGGAGACCAAGGAGGTGTATGAAGGTGAGGTCACCGAGTTGACCCCAGAAGAAGCCGAAAACCCACTTGGTGGCTATGGAAAGACCATCAGCCATGTCATCGTGGGCTTAAAGACCGCTAAAGGTACCAAGAACTTGAGATTGGACCCCAGCATATACGAAAGCATCCAAAAGGAAAGAGTTGCCGTAGGTGATGTGATTTATATCGAGTCCAATACTGGTGCCGTCAAGAGAGTAGGTAGATCCGATGCTTACGCCACTGAGTTCGATTTGGAGGCTGAAGAATACGTCCCATTGCCAAAGGGAGAGGTCCACAAGAAGAAGGAGATTGTTCAAGATGTCACCTTACACGACTTGGATGTCGCCAATGCCAGACCCCAAGGAGGCCAAGATGTGTTATCCATGATGGGCCAATTATTGAAGCCTCGTAAAACTGAAATAACAGACAAGTTAAGATCCGAAGTGAACAAGGTTGTTTCCAAGTATATCGACCAAGGTGTTGCTGAATTGATCCCGGGAGTTTTGTTTATTGATGAGGTCAACATGTTGGATGTCGAAATTTTCACTTACTTAAACAGAGCTTTGGAAAGCACGATTGCTCCTATTGTGGTTTTGGCTTCCAACAGAGGCTTGACTACTGTTAGAGGCTCTGATGACGACACCAAGGTTCCTCACGGATGTCCCCCCGATTTGATCGACAGATTGTTGATCGTGAGAACATTGCCTTACAACAAAGAGGAAATCAAGATTATTATCTCCAAGAGAGCTACATTGGAAGGATTAAGTGTCACTCCAGAAGCTTTGGAGAAGTTGTCTATCCATGGTACCGAAGTGTCCTTACGTTATGCTTTACAATTATTAGCCCCAGCAGGTATCTTAAGTAACACCGCTGGCCGTAATGAAATCACCGTTGATGACGTGGAAGAATGTGAACTTTTATTCTTGGACTCCCGTCGTTCCATCAAGGTGTTAGAGGGAAGCAAAGACTTTCTTTAGATAAGAATGTAAATGTATATTAATGGAGTTATTGTCCTAACTCGTTACACTCCTGTAAGAAATCTTGAGGAGACAAGATATCAGTACTTCCGTAAATGACTTTTCTACCTGAGTTGCTCGCGTTTGACCACTCTTGCAAATCTTGGTACTCCACATAATTTCCTCCCCCAATAACAAATACTTGTGCTTCTTGGTAAGTTTGTCTTCTTGGGGGCTTGGAATGACCACCTCTGGATTTTGGATCGAAGTACAAGTAATCATCAGTCAATTGAATGGATTCGTTTGAAACATTAGTTGGGTCCATGATAGCTTCAATTACATTGGTGATAGGCAATTGCTTTTTCTCTGGGATGAAGTTTTTAACCTTGGAAGCGATAGAACTTAATCCTTCAGAGATTTTGCCCTCTGTTAATCCATAAAGTTTGGAAGATAAACCACTCAACAATGCAGATGAGTTGCTGCTTGCTGCAGCATCAGATTCTCCAGCAAAATCATAGTTTTGTGAATTCGATGTAGCACCTAAGTTGGAAATGTTGGTAAGTTTGGTAAGCTCCTTATACTTCAAAACATAGTCCAATGCACGAAGATCAACAGTAGTGTATTTCTCTTTGAAAATTGCTCTGACTTTGCTCACATAATCACTAGGCAAGTTATTAACCAATAAAATCAACATCAAAAATGTTCTCAATTTATCCGAAGAGGTATCGATTGCTTCTGTTTCATTCAATAAGTTCAAAAATTGCTGTAAAATCTTTTGGTCATTCAAGTTTTGTTCGATCTCAAAGAACTTATCCAAGTTCTTCGATTGCAATTCATTGATTAAAGATGCCAAAATATCCATGTGCATATCCAACGTTGACTTTCTCAAAGTTAACTCAGGCAATGCATCTACTGCTTTTTGGATGTTAGCGGTATCAGAATCCGTATCATTGAAATTAATATCATTCAAGGAGGTAATGCCAGTTTGGTTGGTTAAATTCATGGTATCCTTTTTGTACTGATTTAATTCAATGTCGGCATTTTCTACCACATCTGGGAAAGGCAATTGAGAGTACTTGTTCCAGAAGAAATCCTTCGGATCGATGTCATAATTCTTTACTGTGGGTTGAGCATTTGGACCAGCATCTTTGGGAATCTTGGTTAACTTGATTGTATTTCTTTCGAGCTTGAACACATCACTAATCATACATTGATAAATCCAAGAATGAGAAAACATAGAAGCAAGATCAATATTTCTGTCTAATAACACCAAAACTGGTCTCTGTTGGTTAGAAATGCCCAGAGATAATGATGCAGAAGATCTTGAGTTGTTCAAGTAATCTCTCAACTTCAAATCCAACTGAATTGACACAAACTCGGCGGGACCACCTCTAGAGGATCTGATAATTGGAATTTGATCCAAGGTGATGATAGAAGATAACAACCCGTTGGAGATGTCATCAACTAGCTGATTGATTATATCTTCGTTGGTATTTGGTTTGTTGAATTTGGTAAAGATTTGTGGTTGATTTAAAGAAAATAAGTTTGGTTCTGTGACTATGAAGTTCAAGTATTGATCGTAAACTTGTTTGATTTTTGAAGACTTCCCTAAGATTGACACTTTCTTAGCAAATTCCTCTAATAACTCACGGTTGATGGAAGAGGTGAAATTTATGTAAAAGTTTTCGTATAAATCATTCTTTAAATCTTCGATAATGTGGAGAATGTTATTGATTGTTGGTTCAATGAAATACACCACAGGAACGTCAGGTAATGGTGATCTTTTGGAATCAATGAGAGAATGAATCGTGATACCGTTCTTCAACAAATCGTTCACTCTCAAAACAGATGACAAGATCAAACGGGATTTTTGATCTAAGATCAACACTTTCCAGATGATCTCTTCATTCTTCAAGCCCCCGGTATGCCCTTCATCAGACTTGTTTAAATTGAGCATCTTCTCCAAAGTGGAGATCTGCTTGTCTCTCAAGGATATCGACATTGTCTTCTGTGTTACTTATACAGTGGTGAGAATTTGATTCAAGATTCTTAACTGAGTTTAAATCAAGATGCTAGATGATGAGTTACTCTAATATCACCTGAAGAGATGTGCGAGGTAGGATGAGCTGAAAGCAATTGAGAATGGTGATAGTGTTGACGACTGTGTATAGGTTAACGTGTTTTTTTGGATTGAATTTGTTGGCATATGATTGCCGCATTGAGTAGTGAGTGCGACACTTGGCAATGTGTGACAAGTAGTCGAATCAAAGTGGTTCGTAGCCAAAAGTGGTTCGTAGCCTTACTTCTTATCTAGAAACTGCAAAGGAGATTTGGTTCCTATGAACGATTTGCTTAGTAATTGCAACTCGGGGGTTCAATCTTGGACATTTATATGTAGCAAACCGAGGGAGCTTATTATGAGTTCAAATGGCAACATTTGCTCAAACTCAATGTGTGTCAGTACAGGGTATGCAGCCTTTTCCAAGGAAGGAGAGCCAAGTCCAGAATTTGACGTTTTGTCTCGGAATGATCTTCTCTGTAAACTCTGTTTAAAGCGAAGTTTAATGGTACATCTCTTACTAACATAATGAACGGATCACGGCTGTTTGTGTCAATGATCCTTCTTGACTCTAAATCTCTAATATGTCTTCGAATCTTCACTTACAATTTTTCTGATACTAGCCTTATATTTCCACTTTCTCATCCTGGATTAACCTCACATGAAACAATAGGATTGAAGTTTGAAATTGAAACTTTGTTTTGCATCATAAACCGTGAATCTAGTAGACTGTCACTGAACCATTCTTCTAGTAAGCTATCGTGGTACCCAATCTAAAGTATCTACATTTTAATCTATCATAAAATCTTCTAGAATTTACTATTAATAACACATCGCTCAACGATAATAATCACCAAACTCTATAAGTACAATATTAGTACAAAATACCATACTTTTATTAGTGGTATTTTTGAAAGCCCGCAATGAGCTAAAATCTAATGGCTTTATTACTTCTCTTCGTCGTTAGCTTCCAGGACACTGTGGAGTGCATTCGTGGCATTTCGAGCGATTGTCTCGCAGCCACTGTAAGTGTATGAATTGAACAGAGCAAGCATTGCTTGCAATTGGGCAGATTGTATAGATACAACGCCCGTAATTTCCAAGTCCAAGAAACGGTTTTTGATTGAACAAACCCTTGACTGCATTGTTTTTGTACCCAAATCCTTCAGAGTAAAATTGGCCCATATTTAATTACTCTTGTACTCCACAATTCCCCTTAGCACCTTTATCTTTCCATATATCTCATGCTCCATTGTATTTTCTTCTTCTTTCGCTTCTTTGGGTTTATTTTTCCGTTCAGTACCGGGTGTTGGCCATACACAGTTTAATCTTAGTCTGGAACATTCAGCACACTTTGGCTTAGACTCTGAACATCTCTTCTTACGTTGTCTGCACGTCAAGCAACCCATTCGCGATCTCTTAGCTACTGGCTTATTGCTTTTCCCCTGGGAACTGTATGACCTACCTCCACTTTGCAGCGAGAAGGAAGAATTGGAGGATGGTGAGGTTTCGTATTTCATGTTAGGTGATGATGCGGAAGACTTACTAGAATTTACTTCCTTAGGATTGAATGCCGGTGGTTGCTTGGGAGTGGGGAAAGAATTATTCTCTTGCACCCTACCCTGGACTTGTTGAGAAGCAATTGATGGTGTTGAAGGATACTGGTGTGTTTGATCCCAGTGCTCTGTATTGTGAGATTCCTCGTTTTGTGCTGCTATAAAGGAACCTGCTGGGTTGAAATTGCCGGGTTGTGAATGGGTTTCATAGTTAGGGGCATGACTTTGGGCGTAGTGAGTACCCTCATAAGCAGGAAAGCTATTATGAGGGTGATGTATCTTGGTTGCCTCTTCTGGAACTGCGTGACCCTGGTTACTTTGGTATGGTTGGTAATGCACCTGAGGTTGGCTTTGTTGATAATAAACGGGGTGGTGTGAGTGCTCCAAGAATTGTGGTGGGTATGGTTGTTGTGATTGATATGTACCGAGCGCTAACCTATGTGAACTGTCACGCTCAGTTGGAAAAGCTCCTCCATGTCCAGATATCGTACTTATTGTACCTGACATGGTTCCCTGGGTATTGACGAGTGAGTTTTGTTCTGACTTTATCGGTATGGCAATTGTTGGTTGAAATACTGGGGAATTGGATGCTGGACCAATAGCAGGGAGGTTTCCAGCCTGTGCCTGTTGCAGTTCTTGGGATTGGGATGTACGGCCTTTCTTATGAGGTTGGCTTTGACTCAAGTTGATATTCCCACCTTGACTCTGGTTCTGGTTTTGTGTGCTGCTGGAGTTAGTATTACTATTCCCTGTGGCATCGCTCCATCCCAAATTATTCCAAGCATTCATAGCAGGTGTAATGGTCCAGGACGTGCCAGATCAGGATCGCTATACTAACGTACCAGGCCACGTTGGTTTGTATAGTAGTTTGGTCTTACCGTGACCAGGACCAGGACAACACCGTTATCTTGGGATATTGGCAATGAAGTTGGTAACTAGTAGCTGGCCGCAAACACTTACTGCTGATCCAGTATGATGAAAAACCTCCAGCCTCAATAATAGATACCCCAAATCGAGCTCTTTAATAGCCTTGTAATCTTGATAAGTGAAATTCTGGAAGTCAGCACTCGGTCAAGGAGATCACAAGTGAACGCTGCAAAACCTCACCTTGAACGTTTATTAGACTTTGAAATCCAACTATGGAAATCAAAACTTAGATAATTGAAATCGAGCTCTTCTCGTAAGCAGCTTCTATAATAAAGCAGATTTTCTCGCTTAACAAGGAGCCGAATAATATTTTAGTAGGTAGGGAAAGTTATGACTTGATGGCAAAAGATGGTGATAGTGTGAGCTGAAAATTCAAAGCTAGGGAGCCACTGTTAAAGCTTATTAGTGGTTGGTTCCACAGAGTTGGACCAAATTTCAGGAGATGGGGTGGGGTAATAAGATAAGCTGGCTCAAGATTGAATTATTTAAAACCAACTAGCCTCAATATCGAATGGGCTCTTAGATCCAATACTTGAGGATCGAAAGGGCAGATACTCGATATATGTATAAACTAAGTCTTCCCCTGTCTGCGTGACTTGTAAGTTTCTTATTTTGTTCTATGAGGGGGTCGAATTTTTTTTTTTTTTTGAGTAAGCGAGGTTGATCCAACCATTTTGAGAAATAAGACTTAAGTAGAATTCACAAAAGTTTAAAAGAAACGTCAGCTAATTACGGAATTCACTGGGGGATGTATTATACTTTTAGAATGATATACTACTATTTTTTAAGCAGCATGTTTGAATACAGTTCACCCAGCGTGAAGAAATATTGAGATTAAACAATACGTGTTTATCGGGTCACCGGTGCAAACTAGTCCAAGTGCCTAAAGAAACAATTTTTCGGTTTATGAATTAAGACCCCAAGCCTCGTAAGCACTTTAATCAATAATCGTCGGTGTCCTGTCGGTGCCCACCAGCTCCAGAAATTCATATCTTGGAAACTTGCATGAATAATATTCCGGATGAAGCCATCACTTAAAAAATATTACCAAAAATACAAGAAAAAACTTTGTAGCACGCAACGTAGGGTCTTTTGGCGAGGCAAGGTTAGGGGTTACGAACCATGCCCCTCCTTTCGGAAAATAGTAAGCGATGCCACTAAGGTCTAAACTGGTTGGGGAAAGTGCTAGAGCACGTAACCCGTCAAAGACAAATAGGGAAAAATTTGAAGGCTTTATTGACATAGCCATATTACAGCTTAGGCAAGTCGGTTAATACAAGCAGTTTGCCCTGGAAGACTGGCGATAGCACTACAACCTGAAGACAAGAAATCGTCAACTAAGCCCTTCTTAAAAATAATTGTTCACCTGTTATGGTGTGCATCATTTTCTGTTCGAGCGAGGCTTGTGGTCTGGAAGTGCGAGTCACACTTTAGTGATGTTATTAAATCGAAATCCTTTGTCCGACAACTTCCGATCCACCAGCAAACGTTTCACAACTAGTGTGCGCAGTAATACAACAGCTTACAAATTTGGCTTTTTAGTAGGCTTTTCAGGAAAGCAGAAATGAAAATGATATCTTGGATGAGGTTAGTGAGTAACTAGAGTATAATTCACGAGCGCCATATGTTTCACTTGGGATGACAGTTCTGGTGATAAAGCCCGGATTGATGGCTCGCAAATTCTTGCATGTTCCACATAAGCCTACACTCCTAGTGGTGCATATTGAAGCTAGTCCTTGGCGCGAATTGTCAGTAGTGAGGGGAGGGGGGAAGGAGACTCGGAGTCAGCAAAGCTCCGGCCCAACTAACTGCGTTCGCAATTTTTCGAATGACACAAACTTTTTCACAAGTATTCCCGATCTTTGCGTCTGTGTGAAAAAATTATGCAACTTTCAATTTGGCGTAATCGTAGGCATTAATGGACATTTGCTTTCGAGGGATCGGATTATATCGGCAAACCTTGTTATCCGAAAGCTATTGATCCGGTCTGCTAGTGCGACCGCCTTACAAATCTCTACTCTTTAATGGTTGCTGACTATATACCGTTGCTCTCTTCTCCGCAACAAAAGAGGATAGGTATGGGTAGTCGTGTACCTTAATGCTGCTAAACTTATGGCCTGATCTCTGACTTTCATGCAACAAATCCGCTAAAGTTTCAAAGCGTTTAGAGTATTCCAGTGCATATTATGTAGTACAAAAATTCACACGTTTCCATCCAAGGGTTTTAGCGAGACCTTGACTCGCAATAACTTCATGATGATACCCTGCTGACAAATTCAGGTACAACCTCTAAACCTTACTAGAGCTCCCTGCTGGTGTGTTGACAGCTTCATTTCTTTTTTAACTAAACTAACGTTTGTCTATTGAGATTAGATTGATGTCGGGGACCTGGCTTGTTGGAATTGAGGTCCCTTAGTGAAAACTCCAAAACCAATGTAATATCAATTGAGCCCGCCTTGAAGCAAAATTCATGACTCGCATGCAATCACATTCAGGTCGAGGACTGGCAACTGAAATGAGTCCGTCCTGAGTGATACTGTCTGTCTGTTTCCAGGCGGTGCTTAGGATGCAGGAGTATGCTTAGCGGAAAAGTGATCACGTGGTTTAGCCTTCCGTTCAATAGTCGATCGTCAATGGCCGCGTTACCGCCCCAAAACTCGCAGTTCCAAATAAATCTTTCCTATGTAATGCAATAATCGCCAGCCGCGCGTGCATTTATCGGAAGTAATTATAAGGTATCGGTGACAAGGTGCAGCTTAAGATCATTAGAATCAAAAATTTCATCTTCATCTACAGCCCATGCAAATTTAAACGAACTCGTTTGAATGGCGATTATAATTTTAAAAGAAAATAGGTTACAAAGATGTAGTTCTGAATTATCAAATCCCCTACAAACATGGCTTCCTTACAGACACGGCAACTACTTGGTTGCTTAGCTTAAACTGTAGACGGAAGTGCCTATCAAGCATGGCCTCCCGGACTAAATTCTTTCTAAGGACGCTCCCCTCATGAAACCTAATTTCATTTCTTTTCGAGCAGACATAAATTTTCCCTCCAAACAAACTCCTCGTACACATTGTTACAAGCCTATTAACATGTCACACTGCTCACCGTAGAGTTTGCAACTCTATTCATTTTAGTAATGTATCAGAAATCGATAGAGGACCCTTGTAACAGAGCTTAAAGCTTACCACACACCTTAACCAGGGATCGCAATGAAAACACTTAGAGATGCCTATGTATTGTTAAAAAATAAGGATGTACTAAAATTCATAGACACCACATTGCGCCTCGGAACACCGCTTGGGTTAGACAAAAAATCTTTAAAAATTATCCGCTAAAGTACATGCAAATGCATTCTGCGACTGCGGTCAACGCGTTTCACTCGCATGTGAACGGAATAAATCGCTAAAGAACATCTATGCAGCCATGTCGGCGGCGTTGCCACTGCAGCTATGAAGAATATACGATCTCTAACCTAAGACGGGTATTCATTTCATCGAGACATCCGAGGCTGGAGAATAATATTTTCTTATCGAGTCTACGCGTTCTTAAGCAGGGCATATTTTCTAAGTAGCAAATCGCTGTGGAGTTCTTCTAGAATCTTGTTGCTGTAAGCACGTACTGAGGGCTAAACGAAGTCCCGAGGTTCTATTGTATCTAGCATTTCACAAAGCAAGCATTCCGGTGTTGTTTGCTCAACCCAAATGAAATATTGTGAGGAACCAACAAATTTAGTGTTTGAATTTGCCACCAACAGCCAAACGTTTTGGAAATTCTGGAACTTGTATCAAAATACCCTAGGCTAAATTTTTGATTGAGGAAGAGATAATACTAATGAAACTTCGTTGAAAAAGCCTGAACACGAAGATAACTCCGTTCGAGATAAACCAAAGACTTCCCATTAATTAATATTCAGTTCGTTGAATATTTGCTTGTCGTAAAATCAATTCCTTTACTGGTTTCAATAAAAGAGAAGCATTAAGACTACAATTGTTAATATGGAATAACCTAGTTTCTATATACGTTTTACATTGGAGGAGCTCCCATTGGCCCACCACCTGGAGCGCCACCTTCCTTCAAAGATGACCGTCCAGCCTTTAATAATTCGTCACATAACAACAAGTTTGAAGAGATACCAGTAGCAGCGGAAAGAGCATTTCTAAAAACCCTATAAGAGTCCCAAATCCCTTCCACAGTTGGATCCATTGGTTCACCAGATTTCAAGTCAACACCAACAACACGATTCTCAGCAATCTCATCTTGGCAATTTGACAAGGTTTCCAATGCATCCAACCCGGCATTGGTGGCTAAAGTCTTAGGAATAGTCAACAATGATTCGGCGAAAGCCTTAATACCAGATTTGTTACGCCCCTTATAAAACTTCTTGGATTCAGGAGAATTTAATAAATGGTCATTACAACTCAACCAGAATGCACCACCACCAGGTAAGATGGATTCGTCCTTTAAGACATTTGCCACAGATCTCAAACCATCCCTAACAGCATCTTTAGTTTGTTGTAACACGTGGTTATTTGAACCCTTGATTAATATAGTAGCGGATTTTGGATCCTTGTTGTCCGTAACGTATGTGAACTTATCCTCTCCAATCGAATTTTCATAAACCAATCCAGAATAACCCAAAACTTCAGGAGTTAAATCGTCGACAGAGTTCTGAGCTTCTCCACCGCATACTAATTGTAATCTTTCCATGTTTCTTCTTTTAGCTCTTCTCAAAGCCAAAATCCCATGCTTAGCTAACACATCCAAGGACATTGGATCAATACCCTTCTGATTTATAATAACAAATCCCTTGTTGGAATTCAATTCACAAACTTCATTCTTCAAGTCAACAATTTTCTTCAACTTTTCGTCCACAAACTTTCTTTCTGATGCTACTAACTTCTCTCTCTGTTCAGCACTCGAGTAAAAAAATCCTGAATTAACTTCAGTTTTCTCGTATTCTAAAGAAACATTCAAGATTAATACATAAGCATTTTCAACTCTTCTTGGCATGTCTGGATGTCTAGCACCATGGTCTAACACTAATCCTCTCACCAATTCTGTTTCTCTGGCATGTCCATGTTGCATGGTCATGACTTCGATCATATGTAAATCCAAATTTCTGGAATCAGCATTCTTAACATTCAAAACTGCGTCAGTAACTATGGGGGTCAAAACATCAGTTAATTCAGCAGTAACCTTGGTAGCTAAGGACGTTCTAGCAATTTGTAATAACAATTCTCTATCAAAACTCTCTGGGGTTTGCTTAAACACATCCAAGTACTTCAATGCTTCTTCTCTTGCGACCTCGAATCCATCGACTATCACTCTTGGGTGAACACCTTCACTTATAAATCTTTCTGCTTGCTTCAATAATTCACCAACCAAGAGGACAACAGTGCTGGTACCGTCACCAGTGATTTCATCCTGGGTAGTTGCTGCACGGGCAATCATAACAGCAGTAGGATGCTGAATTTGCATTTCACTCAACAAAACCTTACCATCTTTAGTTAACTTCAAACTTCCTGCTCCATCCACCAACAATTTCAAAGTACCCTTAGGACCCAAATTGGAAGCCAAAACTTGCTGCAACCCTTGGGCAGCGGCTATGTTAACCTGTAATGCTTGGGAACGTCTCAAGGACTCTGCTTTTGGATTGAGAAGTTGAATCGATGATGACATTGGTATGGTAGACTACAACACACTTCACTTCATGATTTGAGTTTTCAACGCGATTTTTCTGGTTGAGCCACGTCTCGATGACGGAGTACGCCACGGATCAGGAATGGAGGAAAATGAGAATAGCTAAGTGATTGCTGGTCACCTGGAGGGAATAAGACAAGGGGACATGTTGTTATGTAAATCTGAACTCCGTCACTTATCTGTTTTATGCTGTGAATAGAAAAAAAACTCTAGTACATTAAGAAGAAAATAAAAAATTGGACGAGTCCGGAGTCGAACCGGAGACCTTTCGCATGCTAAGCGAACGCGCTACCAACTACGCCACACGCCCATTTTTCTTGTTGTTAGAAATTTGTTGCTTACCTTATACTATACTTTAAGTCAAAATTTAAACTTTCCTAGTTGCAAACTTCCCAGTATACTTATAAGCAAATAGAAGCTTTTGAGGTCCTTTAGTACATATAAAAATAGACATAGGACTCAAAAAATATACAAGTTCGTCAAATTTCACTATAGGCGCTTATGTAAGCCATGAGGAGCCCCAACAGGCATTGAAATACGTTTCCAAACCCCCGATATATTGTCTCTCTTGATTCCAGCATATGTTTTCATGGTGGATCAGTATGCTTTTCCTAAAATTTGCTGTTGCCCGTTGCCCGGCAAAGTGCAATCTGCAAAACTCAAAAACGAAAAATACTGATGTGTCATAAGTTTGACTAGTTTCCATATCAAAATCGAACAAACGAACATCCTCTCGGCACTGAGATACAAAGTTAGCTCTGTAAGTTATAATTTTACTCTGCCAGTTATATTTGCACACATCCTGCTAACCCTGTAGTGTATTATACTAAGCTTGCTTTTCAGGAGCAAAAACTACCCAATGAACAAGGCAAACTAATCGTGACAATTTGAGACCTTTGTAACAGTGGATACTACTTCATTGAATATTATTTAAGCTTTCATTGCATGCTTTTTATAAAAATCTGGTTTAGCGTCGAATTGATATCTGATGCAAGAATATCTCAAAATATATTTCACATAATAGACTTTCAAAGATCTCTTACTTTCTGTTTTTTGTCAACTCTGATTTGGCCTGGGACTTAAGCGATGGCATAATGTTCTTCAATCCATTTCAATTCTTCTTTTTGGTACTCTGGTTGATGATTGATGATTTATTTAAAAGTAGTGCCAGAGCTTTCCAGCAGTCTCAACTTTGATACATCCTCTACTTCAGTTTGGTGTTTGCTGGACTTATTCTGAGTCGTTTGTCAGTTTTCTATAAGCTCTTTTCGTCTCTGTGCTCCTTTAAGCTCGTTTGGGGTAGTTTGTCTAGTAAAAAAAAACATTTCATTCTCTCTTCTATAATAGTAAGGTTTTAACATCTCTCTAAAGAGGCTCCAACTAGCTGATCATTCATCTTTATAAGAATAGGTATTCATAGTTCCATCATCAAGTTTAGTAAAGTTTTGTTGTATATTAGGCGAAATAGGATTTGGTCAAAATGAAAGCTTTGGTGAATACCTTTTCACTTCACTATTCTGTTGCTGGATGAAAACCTTCATGCCCCAATCAGATATTGTAATCCATCTCTTGTTGAAGCACCCCTTCTTTTGCTTTTTGAAATCAAGTTTTAGCCTAGTTTCCCTGGTTGCATTCGTTCAGTAGTACTTTTGACTTGATGGGAGCTGATTTCTTATCCTAGGTGGGCCTCAAAGACAGTTATCATCTAGTATTGACACTTAGGCCGACATCTGTTCTGTTTAGGGCCATATATTTATTCATAACAGGCCCCTAGAGATTTTCGAATTTAAGAATATTCACGGTTTCGTTGTCAAATTTTCGAAAGTATTGGATGAGAACATCAGAATTATCTAGTTAAAACACTTAACAAATTCTTACTTTTGATGCCAAACCTAAGTGTCAGAGATCATCAATTTAGAACTAAAATCATCAGGAGAAAACATAGCAGTTCAAATGATTGTAAAGGGGTCTAAATATTCATCGTCAAAATAAATTTTGCGAAATTTTCTTACAACTCAACTTCCCTTCCACAAGGAAGTTGGCTCTTTAGACATGAATACGATTGCAGTAGAGCATTGCAATACTAGTTGTCAAAGCAGTATATAATCAGATTAAATATTGGTTCTAAGGAAATCAATTTAACAGGGTTTTCCAAGTGAATTGCGATTAGTGGCAATTCAAAAATCCCCCAATTTTTGATTTTTGCAAATTTAGTTGAACATATGAAACTATAGTTTCATACAATATATTAATAAGCTAAGAAAGTCACATATGTTGTAGAGATACTCTCATACTGAAGTGAAAGGAATTCTTAGATTCGGCTAGTTTTTCACTATGTAATTTAACATTACGGCACTACTTCCTCGAGAAGGATGCTGAATTTTTGCGAGAGGCTTCGCACTTGCAGTTTTTTGAGTGGCTGGATATACAATAATCCCAGGGGCAGTGTTTACAATACGAGGAATCTAAGTATGTGATGTTAACAAGTCATAAACGATTCACAGTGCCCCACCTCGAAAGCAGAAGCTCGCCTGGTGAATTTACAATAGATAATTATCATCAGGGATTTTCAAGTTGCTATAGCCGACAGACATGAAGTGCGCCGTACAGATGTTCATTTAACGATCCTTGCATTGCCTTATTCAAAATGATAAAATTCAAAAAATTGCGCCAAGAACGACTGTATCGCTTAGTAGATTCTACTAAAAATCCGTATGTTTCATATATATGTTGGTTGCTCAACTAAATTCAAACTATCGCAGGCAAAGCAGAGTTCGCATGAAACTCTCGAATTAAGTTTGAAAGAGTTCACTCATCAAACTTGATTCACAATTTAAAATGTAAATACACTAATGCTAAACTTAATGTTTCAGCTTCCGTCAAGTTATCCATGGTTAAACGTAAGGAAATTTCAGGGTGATTAACCGTGAAATTCAGCCAACAGCTGAACTTTACGAGAATCTATGAAAATTTCAAGGGGTCATGAGTACTCACTCCAAAAATTATTTTTGCAGTTTAGTCTGTTATTGCACGTTCAGATAAACCTATATGATAAGACCGAAAAAGTATTGAAGTATGGATGTTTGCTGACTGTGATCAAGATTTTTTTTGGAACATGGGTAGGCCTGCCATCGAGTTAGTTAAAAAACTGGATTATCAGAAGGAGAATGAATCTAGATATAAATCCAGTTAGATGTATCAATATTGATGGGTTTCCCATTATGATACACTTGACCAAACTTATTTTCCCTTGTTCGTGTCGATTTCTGTAACCACTACAATCTCGCAGCTCCAAAAAATCAATTGGAAGTCAACTCATCATGGAATCTTACCAAGCTCAGATATTCAAGCCAGCCCGCTCTTTTCTTCTACAATATCATGACGAGCGTGAAACGGTGATACGTATTTGCAGAGATCTCAATTCTTATTCGAAAAAACTCATTTTCACATTCCATAGAGTTTCCAATAGGGCCATTTCAGATGTTCATTATGATCAGATCATTGAGTACATCAAGGTTATAGGAAAGTGCCTATCTCGGCTAAGCAAAGAGTTTGTCTCTAGTGTGAACTTTGGGCAGCTTAAATCTTCTATTTCGAATGCTGCTGAAGAGATGATTGAGGCATTCACGTTTATGTATTATGTGATGACCCGAAACCTATTGAAATATGAGCAGATGTTGAAGTTTATCGAAGATATCGTTGAGGAAGAGGACACCAAAATGGTCTTGGAGAAGTTTTGGAGATCCGAAGAGGAGCTGCAAAGTACATCAAACTTGAAGGACAATCATAAAAGGGGTGAAAAGTCGGATGGGAATGGAATGTGCAAACAAGTGAAAAATGACTACACCTTCATATACAGAGGGGATTACTTTATGGGCCTTTTTGATCTTACGGGCGAGATTATGAGGTACACAATCTCTAATTTGGTTGATGATGACACGAAAACTTTATCTAAAGAGTCACTGTACAACCTTCAGTTTATGGAGAGTCTTTACAAACAAATGAGAGAAATTCTTGACACGTATCCTAACTTAAACGTAAATCGGGGAGTTTTGAGCGACGATTTTCATTCAAAAGGAGTATTCACGATGAAAAAGAAATTAGAAGTCTTCAAAGATTCCTTGAGCAAGGTAGAGCTGACAATCTGCGAAACAGTCATTAGGACAAGAGAAGAGTGGGATGTCACTGAACTTTAGGTTGTTCCTCTCAATGTATTTATCAATGTGCTACTCCTCATGAGGTCCTGCTTCCAACTATTTACACCTGCACGGAAAGCCTTTTTGAATTATACTACATACTCTGCCTAATCATAGGGAACTCATACAAATCTTATATCTATCATACAAAATTAACCAAAAAGCTATTCAATGCGAGCCACAGGACCTCCTGGCGAGGTTTCGCTTCTTGCAGTCAAAACTTCAACCCCAGTCTCAGTAGCCAACAACATGTGTTCAAATTGTGCAGACTTCTTACCATCTTCGGTCACAGCAGTCCAGTTATCAGGCCATGACATATCCTTATGTGTACCAAGACACAACATTGGCTCAATGGTGAAGACCATTCCTGGCTTGATGATACCAATGGCCTTGTTCTTGGCATAATGAGGAATATTTGGTTGACAATGGAAAAGCTCACCGATACCATGGCCACAATAAGTTCTGACAACAGAACAGTCGTTCTTTGTGGCATGAGCCTGAATGATGTTACCTAATTCTCTGAATGCTAATCCTGGCTTGACGGCCTTAATAGCGAGATCCAAGCACTCTCTTGTGGTTTCGACCAATCTGACAGTGTCTGGATCACACTTAGCCTTGTCTCCCACATAGTAGGTTTCGTTGAGATCGGAATGCAAACCCATGTAATAGATGGTAACATCCAAATTGATGATATCACCATCTTTCAACACGGTCTTGTCTGGAATACCATGACAAATGACTTCATTAATCGATGTACACACAGACTTTGGAAAGTTGTAATAATTAAGAGGCGAAGGGTATGCATTTCTCTTCATACATTCCTTGTGCAAAATGGCATCCAATTCATCGGTGGTTATACCTGGTCTGACATGGCTAGCAGTAACGTCCAAAATTTCTCTGGAAACCTTAGAGACCTTTCTCATTTTTTTGATATCTTTTTCAGACAATTGGGTTATTCTTCCAACTCTATCATTCTTTATTTCGCTGATAGGCTTACCGTTTTTGGCATAGTCAGGTAGTTTGATATGTTTAGCAACAGGTCTTCTGTCTGACAATGGATAGGCTGGTCTCAACTCTCCTGAAAAGGAAAAGTCTGGAAATGGGTTGTAGGAATCTGTTCCATCTTCAGATGGATGGATATGCTTATGAACAGACCATGAAGAACGGAAACAACTCTGGTCGCAGAAAACACTGTTGACTCCATTCTTGAGGCACACGGGACATTTTAATGCTGATTCGGTATCCTTACCGCATGTAGGAGAAGCACACACAGTAGCCATCTTATTGTTGAAAAATGGCCCTCCATACGTAAATTTTTGTCAGCGAGAAGAGGGTCGTGCATACGAAAAACATCATGATCACTCGATCCTAGATAAGATTGCAACACGAAGATACTAGAGACAGTAGAATTATGGCTGGTTGTTTTGAATGAGCTTTTGAATATTCTTGAAAAGATTACTCTGTTTAGGTGAATATTTCTAACTTTCAGAATCTAGCGCAAGAATAGGAATTGCCAGTGCACACAATTATTCTGAAACTAGTACAACTTGGGTGTCAATAATTACTAAACAATCAGAGGCACTTTGTAGCTTGTCTTATTCTAAGCTAATATTCGGTTCGTTCTAAAGAGATTGAATTGGGTTGTTTAGTAAAGTTCACAAACGCTTTTTGCAATTGATTGGCAAAAATTCGGAAAAAATAGAATTGTTGCTAAGTTCAAACTGAAAGAGACCATTCCAAAAAAAATAACCAGATCCTAAAGCTAACAAAAGATTGATATTCCATAGCCTCTACATTTTTGGGGATCAAAATTTTTACTGTATGAGAAATCTATATGATGTCTGTATGCTACGACTGGTAGATTTGTGAATTGTGATTTCATGCGAGCATTTTGCAATCCACTGTTTTCAATCATTAGTGGGCTACTTGATCCCTAGGTTTTCTGGGCCAAAGCTCAATGGGAGCAAGTCTTGTAAGAAGACCTTGATGAACTTGGAGCCATCTTTATTGAACATGTAAATGGGTACCTCGGGTGCAAATTCTCTGATAAACTGTCTGCAAATACCACATGGTGTGATAGGCTCTTCGTCATCTCCAGAGATGGCTATGATTTTGAATTTGCGGTGGCCCTCAGTCTGGAAGTTAGTACTCTCTCCGCCACTAATTCTCAAAGTTGCGTTTCTCTCCTATTATAAAATACGTACAACTGCCTTACAAATGGCTGTTCTTTCAGCACAAACTCCGGCACCATACGAGGCATTCTCGACATTGGCACCCGAGAAGTGTTCGCCCGTTTCAGTGAGTATCGTACATCCCACTCTGTGAGTTAGTATTGCCCAAGGTTACTGTACGAGGGACTTACCGAAAATTGGAATAGGGGGAGTATGAAACATTTCTTGCTTTAAGTTAGTTTGTAATGTAAGCAAGACTACCCCTTCAGATCACTCGAAATTCAGTCCTCTTCTTCTCAGGAGGATTGTGTCTATTGGGAGGTGCAAGCAGGAACAGTAACTCACCATTGAGGCACTTTTCTTTCAATTGAGAAAATCCAAAGTCGCTGAGCTCGTCATGGTCGTTATGTATGTATTGTTGGAAACCCATCTTGATGGTGGCATCCACTTATCGCTACTGGCCAACATTGAGATTGTCTCCATAAGATACGAGTCACGTGCCGCACAGCACATGACCGCTTTTTTCAACACTCATTCAGTGGCAACACCTCCATACCAACCACTCAACTTATCAAATACCTTTTCCCGTGTGGCATAGACAATCACCTCTCTTGCACAATGTCCACTCTAGAAGAATTGGAAAACACCCAGCAAGATGATTTAATAGATAAGGAGATCTTGAACTCCTCTACCTCCGACATTAACAACAGAACCAAGTTATTGGACAATGATATCAAGGTAATGAAGTCAGAGTCACAGAGATTGACCCACGAGAAGACGGTGATGTTGGAGAGAATCAAAGACAACCAAGAGAAGATCAATAATAACAAGCAATTACCTTACTTGGTAGGTAACGTGGTTGAGTTGTTGGATCTCGATGTGGAGAAAGAAGCGTCTGAACAGGGTGCAAACGTTGATTTAGATGCCACCAGAGCTGGCAAATCAGCAGTTATCAAGACATCTACCAGACAAACCATCTTCTTGCCATTGATCGGGTTGGTTGATTCCACAAAATTGAAGCCAAATGATTTGATTGGTGTCAACAAGGATTCGTACTTGATTTTGGACACCTTGCCATCTGAATATGATTCCAGAGTCAAGGCCATGGAAGTCGATGAAAAGCCCACTGAAGACTACTCTGACATCGGAGGATTGGATAAGCAAATTGAAGAGTTGATAGAAGCTGTCGTGCTTCCAATGAAGCAAGCAGAGAAATTCACAAATTTGGGAATCAAGCCTCCTAAAGGTGCATTGATGTATGGTCCACCAGGTACTGGTAAGACTTTACTAGCCAGAGCATGTGCAGCCCAATCTGGTGCCACCTTTTTGAAATTGGCAGCTCCACAATTGGTCCAAATGTTTATTGGTGATGGAGCCAAATTGGTTCGCGATGCGTTTGCATTGGCCAAGGAGAAGGCCCCTACTATCATTTTCATAGATGAATTGGATGCCATCGGTACCAAGAGATTCGACTCTGACAAGAGTGGTGATAGAGAAGTTCAAAGAACCATGTTGGAATTGTTGAACCAGTTGGATGGCTTCGGTTCTGACGACAGAGTCAAGGTATTGGCAGCTACTAACAGAGTCGATACTTTGGACCCGGCGTTGTTGAGATCCGGTAGATTGGATAGAAAGATTGAATTCCCATTGCCTTCTGAAGAAGCCAGAGAATCAGTGTTAAAAATTCACGCCAGAAAGTTGAATTGCGACAACACCTCCGTTAACTGGAGAGAGTTGGCCAGATCTACAGATGAATTCAACGGTGCTCAATTGAAGGCCGTGACTGTCGAAGCAGGAATGATTGCATTAAGAAATGGAAAATCTATTATAAAACATGAAGATTTTGTTGAAGCTATAGGAGAAGTCCAGGCCAGAAAGTCCAAGTCTGTGAACTTTTATGCTTAATATACGTCAGTAGGAAAATCAGTGAAGCATTTGTAGCAATCCTTATCCCAACCTAGACGGTGACGTGGACTGTGCCACGTTCTATCTTGAGGGATGATTAGCAGTGTAGTAGCGGTTAGCGTGAGTCAATACCAAATCCGACCAGCATGTCCATATCAGCAGCCGGAAGAGCGGTGTCACTGGCTCAGGCCAGCTTCTGGGCCTTCTTCAACTCGTCCCTCAATCTCTGGGAAAATTCGTCTTGATTGTCCTCGTCATCCCAGTCTTCCTCCCACAAGTTGGATGGGTTAATCTGAGGGTTGGCGTCGTTGGACCATTTGCCATCTTCAGGGAAATCTTCGAACTCGTCATCCTCTTCCAAGGTCTTGATGACCTTCTGCTCTTCCTCGGTGGAGGCAAGTGCTTGTTCGGCGGTTTTGTCGGCGGTAGACATGTTGTTGGTGAGTGGATTGCCACCACCAACTCGCACATATGGTGGATCACCAAAAACCCACGTGAGCGCTCACCTGACCGCCAGTAGATATCAATTTTTTCACCTCTTCTCTACAACCCCAACCAACAATGAAAGAGGTGGTTGTGGATATCGCTCCCAAGTGTATCAAGGGGCTCGAGTTCGGGGCTTTGTCGGCGAAGGAGATCATCGCTCAGTCTGAAGTGGAAGTCAAGACTCGTGATCTTTATGATTTGGAGAAGGGAAGAGCTGCCAAAGATAATGGTGCTTTGGATACCAAGATGGGTATTTCGTCCAACCTGAGCGAGTGTGCCACCTGTCACGGCAACCTTGCCTCGTGCCATGGTCACTTTGGTCACATCAGATTGGCACTCCCGGTTTTTCATGTCGGCTACTTCAAATCGATCATCCATGTGTTGCAATGTATCTGTAAGAACTGTTCGGCTGTGTTGTTGGACGAGGAGTCCAAGCGCCAGTTCTTGAATGATTTGAGAAGACCCAACCTCGACAACTTGAGAAGAATGAAAATCTTGAAGAAGATCCTTGAGCAGTGCAAGAAGCAGAGAAGATGTTTGAAGTGTCATCATGTCAACGGTGTCGTCAAGAAGGCTGCCAGTGGCGCTGGTCCTGCTGCATTGAAGATTGTCCACGATACCTTTAGATGGATCGGAAAGAAACCAACACCTGAAAAAGAACAGTGGGATGGCGAGTTCGAGGAGGTATTTTCCAGAAACCCAGAATTGGAGAAGTTTGCCAAGAGAGTGCACGATGATTTGAATCCTTTGAAAACATTAAACTTGTTCAAGCAGATCACTCCATCCGATTGTGAATTATTTGGTATCGATCCGTCCAGAGGTGGTCGTCCAGAGATGTATATCTGGAGATATTTGCCTGCCCCACCAGTGTGTATCAGACCATCGGTCATGATGGATGCCCAGTCTAATGAAGATGATTTAACTGTGAAGTTAACTGAGATTGTGTGGACCTCCACTTTGATTAAAGCTGGTATTGAGAAGGGAATCTCAATCAATAATTTGATGGAACAGTGGGATTACTTGCAATTATCTGTTGCCATGTACATTAACTCTGATTCCGCCAATCCTGCATTACTACCATCCTCAGGTGGCTCTGGTTCCAAGTCTTCTAAGCCAATCAGAGGTTTCTGTCAAAGATTGAAGGGTAAGCAAGGTAGATTCAGAGGAAATTTGTCCGGTAAGAGAGTTGACTTTTCTGGTAGAACTGTCATTTCTCCAGATCCTAACTTGAAAATTGATGAAGTTGCCGTTCCTGATAGAGTGGCCAAAATCTTGACATACCCTGAAAAATGTACCCGTTACAACCGTAAGAAGTTGCAAAGGTTGATTCTTAATGGTCCAGATGTGCATCCGGGTGCAAACTATCTTGCAAAGCAAAACGAGTTGGCAAAGAGAAACTTGAGATTCGGTGATAGAGTCAAACTTGCTAAAAATTTACAGATTGGTGATGTTTTGGAAAGACATATAGAAGATGGAGATGTCGTGTTGTTCAATAGACAGCCTTCGTTGCATAGATTATCCATTTTGTCGCATTATGCTAAAATTAGACCATGGAGAACTTTCAGATTGAACGAGTGTGTCTGTACTCCTTATAATGCCGATTTCGATGGTGATGAAATGAACTTGCATGTTCCCCAGACTGAAGAAGCTAGAGCGGAAGCAATTAACTTGATGGGTGTGAAAAATAACTTATTGACCCCAAAGTCAGGAGAACCTATTATTGCTGCTACCCAGGATTTTATCACTGGTTCTTATTTAATTTCCCACAAGGATTCATTCTTTGACAGAGCAACTTTGATCCAATTGTTGTGTATGATGTCAGATGCTGACTGTCAATTCGACCTTCCACCTCCAGCCATTTTCAAGCCAGTCATGTTATGGACTGGTAAGCAAGTCTTCTCATTATTAATCAAACCCAACAAGAAGTCCAAGGTTGTCATTAACTTGGATGCAAAGAATAAGACCTATATTGCACCTGCCAAGGGTTTGCCGAATGAAATGTCACCAAATGATGGATTTGTTATAATTCGTGGATCTAACATCTTGAGTGGCTTGATGGATAAATCTACTTTAGGTGATGGTAAGAAGCATTCTGTGTTTTACACCATTTTGAGAGATTACGGTCCTGACGAGGCAGCCAATGCAATGAATAGAATGGCCAAGTTATGTGCCAGATTTTTGGGTAATAGGGGCTTTTCTATCGGTATTAATGATGTTACTCCTGGTATCGAATTGAAGAAGAAGAAGGAGTTAATGGTAGAACAAGCGTATTTGAAGTGTGACGAATTGATTGACTTATATAATAGAGGAAAGTTGGAAACCCAACCTGGTTGTAACGAAGAACAAACTTTGGAAGCAAAGATTGGTGGTTTATTGTCCAAGGTTAGAGAAGAAGTCGGTGATGTTTGTATTAGAGAATTGGATCCTTTGAACGCTCCATTGATTATGGCTACATGTGGTTCTAAAGGTTCTACCTTGAACGTTTCCCAGATGGTGGCCGTTGTTGGTCAACAAATTATCGCGGGTAATCGTGTTCCTGATGGTTTCCAAGATAGATCATTGCCTCATTTTACTAAGAATTCGAAGACTCCTCAATCTAAGGGTTTCGTCAGAAACTCTTTTTACAGTGGTTTGACACCTCCCGAATTCTTGTTCCACGCTATTTCTGGTAGAGAAGGGTTGGTTGATACTGCTGTCAAGACTGCTGAAACCGGTTATATGTCTAGAAGATTGATGAAATCTTTAGAAGATTTATCCTCCCAATATGACAACAGTGTTCGTAATTCTTCGAACGGTGTGGTTCAATTTACCTATGGTGGTGATGGGTTGGATCCATTTGATATGGAGGGTGATGCCAAACCCGTGAACTTTGTTCGTCAATGGGACCACTCCTTCAACATTACCTTCGATGTCAATGAAATTGGATTGTTACCTTACGAAATTGTTGATTTGGTCGATTCAATTTTGCACCCATTGGAAGATGCATTGACTAGATACGACAATCTAGGAAACGTTTTGAAGCCGGAGGATTTTGACAAGATTGAATACATTGATCAAAATGATGCGGAAAGAGAATTCTACGAATCCATTAGACAATTCGTCACCAAGAAGGCTGAAAATTTAGCAAGATACAGAGAGTCCAAGGGCTTGAAACCTTCGTTTGTTCATCCTACAGAAGACGACATCTTGGTTGAAGATGATCCAATCCGCTTAAATGCAGTCAATCAACTCTTGAAGATGTCCCACAAGTCCATTGAAAAGTTCTTGGAACAATGTCTTTACAAGTACAGAAGGGCCAAGGTGGAACCAGGTACCGCTGTTGGTGCTATTGGTGCGCAATCTATTGGTGAACCAGGTACTCAGATGACGTTGAAGACTTTCCATTTTGCTGGTGTCGCCTCTATGAACGTCACTTTAGGTGTTCCTCGTATTAAAGAAATTATCAATGCGTCCAAGGTCATTTCGACTCCGATCATCAACTCTGTCTTAGTCAACGACGATGACGAAATTGCTGCTCGTGTGGTTAAGGGTAGAATTGAGAAGACATTATTAGAAGATGTTGCCTACTTCATTGAAGATGTCTACAAGAATAACATGGCCTACTTGTCCATTAAGATCGATTTGGAGACTATCGAAAAATTGCAGTTGGAGCTTACTTTGGATGGTATCGCACAAGCTATTTTCTCGGCTCCAAAGTTGAAGATTTTGCCCGGAGATGTTTCCATTAGCGGAAAGGATAGAATCAACGTGCTAGTGACTTTGCGTGAAACCAAGACTGAGAGCTTGAAAAATCCAACTGACAATACCAATACTCTTTTCTTCAGAATGCAACAGCTTAAGAGAGCATTGCCATCAATTTGCATCAAGGGTTTGCCCAATATTTTCAGAGCAGTTATCAACATTCGTGACGATAGCAAGAAGGAATTATTAGTTGAAGGTTACGGTTTGAAGGAAGTCATGAGTACGGACGGTATTGTGGGTACCAAGACCACAACTAACCATGTGCTTGAGGTGTTCGAAGTTTTGGGTATCGAAGCAGCCAGATCGTCCATCATCAAGGAAATCGACTACACCATGAGTAATCACGGTATGAGTGTTGATCCTCGTCACATTCAGTTGTTGGGAGATGTTATGACATACAAGGGAGAAGTTTTGGGTATTACCAGATTCGGGTTAAGTAAGATGAGAGATTCCGTTTTGCAATTGGCCTCTTTCGAAAAGACTACCGACCACTTGTTCGATGCCGCCTTTTTCATGAAGAACGACAAAATTGAAGGTGTATCCGAGTGTATCATTTTGGGACAAACCATGAGTATTGGTACTGGTGCATTTAAATTGGTCAAATCGTCCAATTATGACAAGAAGGTGTTGAAACGTAAGCCAACCTTGTTCGAGGGCTTATGTGAGCAGCCATCCATGGTGGCTGCAGCATAGCCGTGTATTTTAATAAACGTGTAAATAAGTACGACTTGTATGTGTTGTAGATGGCCCGCCGAAAATGTTACTGGAACATTAAAATCATTAAAGTTTAGTATGTGCCCGAAGCCAGAGTTGTTGATTGGGAGATCAAAACGGCATGTTGGGGAAAAATTTCTAGATGGCTGATTGTGATGTTGCTTACCGGATATTCAACTTGTCCACTGGAAGTAAATCATATTGCAGCAACTGGCACCAAAATTCCACCACTAAAATGGTAAAAAAAAAAATTCAAGCAGTACAATCAAGAAAATCCAATCAACACACATGTAACAGTTCCGCTCTATAATGGCTAGCCATTACCAGTAATTCTCCACTTTTTTTTTTACATTGAAATACTACCTTACTGTATATCTGCGAGCGCTCTATTTTCGTGGCTCGCAGAATAAATATTTATACAAAATTGTTGCAACTCTCCAATCTTGCCAATGTCAACCAGAGACTCCACGTTCTCGTATTTCCATATAGATGATCCCAACCAGGTGCTCTATATGGAGCGGTGGAAGGACGATCCCATTTCTTTCGACGATATAGACACACAGGCGTTGCTTGAGGAAACCTCCAACCTCTTTCCCCAGATGATGTTGGAAGAAGACGACGAAGAAGGGGCCATTCCCATCAGCTCCATGCGACTCGGCGCTAAGCTTATCAAAAACAAAGAACTTCTCAAGGAAAAGACCTGGAATGACTTGGGCATCTTCGAAAAGTTCCTCAATGAAGGGAGCGCCCTCCATAAAGAGGTAGATAGGACCATCATCAGGCCTCTCCATACGAAGCCAAGCGCCTTTGGAAGAGAAGAGAGTGAGGAACTATCCATAGGCGAGTTTTTGTCTAATGGGTATTTGGCCTCTGATCACATGGATAGCATTCTCTCTCCGGATATGGTCAATGACAGCATCATGGGGGTCCACCAGGGCGATACCTCCATTAATTCCACATCAGATATGATAGTACCGGAAAACAATACTTTCTTGAATTTCAGATCAGGTTCCATAGGCGGGAGCTCAGCCCAAGCTGGCTCTGCTATCCAGACTCCAAGGATTGGTCGAACGAGACAATCTTCTACCGACAAAAACTTCCAAACACCTATTACAAGAATAATGAGGTGATCCAGAGGTACTTATTATTCCATGAAGGTCAATCCCTTCTAGCACCTAAAGGAAGGCTTGGTGGAGGCTGGTTTCTTACACAGATCGAACCATAAGCCAAAATCGAACATTAGCGCCGGATCGCCATCTATGTTTCGATATCTATGATATCATTTGCACAATGAAAATATCATGAGTAAATAGCGCTCTCAAGAAGTCAAAAATCTACCTGTACAACGTATTTTAATTAATAATACACTTAAAATTATACAAATTAGAACTGAAACCTAATATACAGTTACACCTGGAATATCACCTTCCCTTTCTCAATGTCATTCTTCAATTCAACCAACTTGAGCTTTCTTCTCTCGGATTTCTCAAATCTCCTCTTTATTCTCACGTGGGCCAACACAAACTTTGCAAGCACCTTGAACGTCAATGGAGTCTTTCTGTTTCTTTTCTCAGTAGCCAATGCCGAGTAATCCGGATAAATTCCATACTGAATCAACTTCTCAACATCACCTTTGATGAGTTGATTCGAGTTTTTAATGGAGTTGACGATAAATGTATTCATCACCTGAAGATCATTGGCTTTCAAATTGAAGTCATAAAGTCTCGCCTTATAGTATGTCAATTGTTTTTCAAGTAGCACAATCTTGTCATCTTTTTCAGTATTACTGGCATCTTTAGACTTCCACTTCAATGCTGAATCATCATTTATTGATTGAAGCTTTTTGTTTAAATGTTCTACCTTGGTCAGTAGGTACTTGTTCATAGTCTTCATTTTATTGAACTCGCTCGTTTCCTTTTCATTCAAGTTCAAATGAAGCTTTTCCACTTTATCATTCAAAAGATCTAGATTCAACTCATTAACCTTACCGAATAACTCATGCGAGTCTCGAAGTTCTTCGACCTTATCAGCTAAACTTTGTTTTGACCGATTGATGTCATTGATCTTTTCAACTAATCTTTTGCAGTGATTGGTAACCGTTACCAATTCATCACTTAATTCTCTGTTCTTAATTCTCAACCTGTCACTCTCAGATGTGTGAGAATTATCTTGCACTTCTAATCTCTTGATGGAGTCTAAGAGCTCTTCATTTTTATTTTCTATTCTGGACACCTTATCTTCCAACTTCTTAGTATTTGAGTTTGCCGAGCTCAACAGCCTTGACAATTCTTCATTGAGTTTGTTACTCTCCTTGAGCTGGAACTCCAATAAACTTTGAATAGCAGAAGGTGATGTAGATCTGAAAATCTCTCTCTCTTGAGTGGTAGACTGTATATTCATTTCCCTTTCGAGATCTTGTATTTTCTGCTTGGTTTTCTTAATCTCAGCATCATACTGGGTCCTCAAAGCCTCAATATCAAATTCTAGTTTTCTGATAGTCATTTCGTCTTTGGACTTAGCTTTCAATAGCTCATTGATGTCCGCCATATTGTCAAACCTGGAGGATTGCATGGATGATGATTCTAGGTACCTTATCATGTTTTCTTTTTCTTTCAACTCAAATTGAAGATTGTCAATTGTTCTTTCTAGTTGTTCAATAAGTTGGATTCTGGAGTTCAAATCTCCATTGATTGATCCAAATCTGGCGTCTAATTCGTTTTCTTTTATCGCAGATCTTTCGAGTATATCACGAAGTTGATTATTGGCGGATAGTAAATCACGGATTTCCATCTCAAGTTGATCATGAGATCTTATATCAAGAACTTGGGATATGCGATCAAGAATTAAGTCTTTGGCGACCAATGCTTTAGTCAATTCTTGTTTTTCCTCCTCAAGTAGACCCAAGCTACTTGAATTACTGGCCTGCTTTGTAAGCTTATGTACCAACTCTTGATTTTCTTGTTTCAAATCAGAGATTAAATTCTCATTCTCGATTAACTCTCGCCTCAACCGCTCAATATCCACTTGTAAGTATGACTGATCATTGGATGATCTTTGAGATCTTAAATCCTCAATCATACTATTGTTTTTTAGTTTAACCCTTGTCAACTCTTTCGTTATGGTGTCCAAATTTTCTTCCAAAGTGTTGTTGGTATCACTCAAACGTTCAATTTTTGAGTTAAGTGACTTGATCTGGGATTCATAAGTGTAGTTGGAGTTACTAGAGGACCTCTTTACCTGATGGAGTTCATCAATTTGTTTCTCTCTAGATTTAATATCACCTTCCAAGCTATCGATTTCCCTATGAAGACGATTGATAGCGGTGTTCGAATTTTCTAACTCACTTGTAACACTCGCCACCCGGCTCTTAAGATCCCTGATTTCTTCATCTTTCGATCTCATGGTACTTTCCATACTTCTTAGCTCGTCTTGGGTGTATTGTTGACTACGCTGAATAGCTTCTAATCTCTCAACCTCTCTACTAAGTCCTTTATTCGAGGATCTTAATTTTGATAATTCTTCTTTTAGGTCATCAATAAGTCGATCCTTTTCATCAAGTTTTTGTTGAGCTAAAGAACCCGCAGAGTCCTTCGAATTCATTTCTTTAGATAACGAATTCAAAGAATCTTGGGACTTGCGCAACTGAAGCTTTAATTCATTGATTGTTGCATCGAGTGAGATATTGTCAGAGTGCAACTTGCTGTTGTCATCTTCGAGTGAATTGACTTTGTCTCTCAATGTTCTATTTTCTTCTTTAACCTGATCAGACTCATCAAAGTTTTGGTCGCCCATTCGTTTCAACTGTTCATTTTCATTTACCAACTCTTCTACTTCTTCCGATAATTTTCGTATCATCTGTGAGTCATTGGATCCCTGCAAAAGCCTAGATTCGAGTTCATTAATTTTTCTCTCGTAGTGATCTAATTTTGAGTCTTTGAGATCAAGCTCTTTTTTATAATCAGTCCTGAGTTGTGAAATACGATATTCAGCATCATTTTCTTTGTTTGACAGGAATTCCAATTCAGTTCGTTCATATCTGACGCGTTCAAGCTCTTGATTTAAATGGCGAATCTCACTCTGAAGTGACACATTCTCTGAGATAAGTTGCTGCTGATCTTGTGGAGTACCACTGAGCAAGCGCTGCATAGCCAACACGTTCAATTTGAGCCTATAGTTTTCACCATCTAGTTCACGAATCCTCTCTTCCAGCTCTTTGATCGACGAAAAGCCATTGTTAACGAAATCGCGACGGTTGGCATGGTTGGTTGGTTGGGTTTTCATATCATAGTCTGGTTTCTGGTACGAGGCCATCGATTCAAAGTTATCCATGGTGTCGTCTAGAAAAGACTCTGGGGCCATCTCGTCATCTGGTTCTATCAGTTGGAAGAGGTTGCGACCCTTCAGATGTTCAGGAACTTCTTGGTGGTAATTTTCATCTATGGTAGACCGGGAACGATTCCCTATTGGAGTGAACTCATGCTTGCCATCCCGAGGGGCCCTTTGAGACCGCTGGGGGGTCCCAATGAGCTTCTTTCTCAGGAACATGTGGAGGTGATGGGAGATGATTGTTTACATACGCGTACAAATGCGGTGATAACCACGATCTGCCACGTGATCAAACGCACGTGACCGAAAGGCACCACTAGCTACATAATATCTATAAGTGTCGTATATTAGAATAAATCGCGGCCCAGGCTTAGCTGGTCTGTTCAGGGAGTTCCTGCACTGCGGCCTTGAAGTCCTCTAAGGCTCTCAATGCAGAGCCGGACATGATGGAATTCTTAGCGAGCTCCACACCATGGACCCAGTCTGTGGCAATTCCCGCTACCACAGCCAAAGCAGCTGTGTTCATCAAAATGTAGTCGACCAACGCATGGTTGTTGCTCTCTTTTATCTTAAATCTTGATTGGTCCTGTCTGAGGATATGAAGCAAGGTTTCGGCATTTTCTTCGGGGGTACCCAGGCTTACCCAGGTAAGATCATGCTCTGGAAGATGGAAATCTTTGGGGGATATCACTCCCTTGGTGATCTCACCGTCTGCATCTATCATCCAGTATTTGGTGTAGCCGAATGGGGAGATTTCATCTAATCCGATGTCACCGTAAACCACCATTGTTTTCTTGTGGACCTTGCTCTCTTTGGCTAATATCGATGCTGCTTGAGCGTAGGACTCTCCTAGCTGTTCACTGTAGACACCCAAGATACGGGCTCTCAATGGAATAGGGTTAATTAACGGACCCAAGATGTTGAAAATAGTAGGAATACCCAATTGGGCTCTAACTGGGGCTACCTTGAGCATACCACCATGGAAGGCAGGTGCAAATAAGAAACAAAAGTCTGACTTCTTAACGATTTCTGGAGTGGTTTCATCATTAACATTCATTAAGTCGACACCCAAGGATTTGAGTAAGTCACCCGATCCCGAGGTGGATGACGAGGCTTTACCTCCATGTTTGCAAACAGGTAAGCCCATACCAGCAGCGACAATGGCCGAGGAAGTGGAGACATTGAAGGTGTTCTTTCCATCACCTCCAGTTCCAACAATGTCCACATAGCCCAGCGGATCAACGAGTTCGGCAGGAATCATTTTGGAGAACTCCAACACGGTAGTGACTGCCGCTGCTATGAACTCTGGGCGCTGGTCCAAGCCTCTCAATCTCAATGCTGTCAAGAACGAAGCAGTTTGGATGTCGCTGGGGATGCCCCTGAAAATACACCTCAAGACAGTGGCCAAGTCGCCCTCGGTGAAGTTAGGGGGCTCCATCAACAACGACTTGATGAAGGGGGTTAACGCATTGGGGCTGGACATGGTGGTGGTGGTTGTTGAAGAATTAAGAATGGTGTGAATTTTACCATGTTGATGGATCACGTGTGCTTTGAGTCATTGTGCCTCGAGGGTCCTCGAGGGGCAGGAATTGGCTAGGGAGCCAGACTCGCCAAAGGTGCCGAGGGATCAGGCGAGACCAGCCTGCTGCTTACCTGCTGCAGTGTTACCTATACACAATATGGGGGTGTCATTATTATTAGATGGAGAGGGCATTTTGGTGTTTTTTGGTGTTTACATGTTATGGGACCACGGGAAGCGAATATTACCCGAAAATGAAGATGTTACAACAAAGGGGGAGAGCAAGCGGTCAATCCAGAAAAACTGTCAATCAATAATATATGCCGAATCAACGACTGTAGCTATGTTACTTCAGAATAGAAATGTTCGGGTTCTCGAAATGAATAGTGTCTACTGAATATTTTGCAGCTTATTCATCAAAACCGTGGTGCAAATCAAGAATTGTCATAGGACAAGATTGGATCAGGAAACATTTTTCTACTAGCAACTACGAATTAGAAGCTCTGTCTAGCTCTAAGCAAGTGTACTGTAGCCCATATCTGATAAGAGAGCAACCCACAGCAGTTGATCAACCACAATATTTGGTGTAACAAGTTATTCAGCATGTCACGTGATCACTTTTTAGATGGCCTATCGGGACTGTTGCTGCACAGCTAGTAGAAGTTAAAAATGAAAAAATCCACCAAGGCTAGCCCTAAAACTTCCTAGGATCTTTAAATGCCCTTTAGCTGACCAAAATGTATAGTTTTGATTGGGATAAGTCTGATGACCCAGGTGGTCGGAATTGACTAATCCACGTGATAAGCCGGAACTAGACGACTATGCTTCTCTTCTAGTATGTTTCTATTGAGTTGGGACTAGAAGCAGCTGAGATGTTCCAATAACAAGCTCAGGTAATTCTAAGCGCCTGGTAATGCTGCTGCCTCTTCAATGCTTTTTTGCGCTACCTATTATACCGAAGCACCCACCATCGCTGCCAGGCAACTACGCGCACCAAGCTGGCCATCGCATAAACGATGCTCCAGAAATCTCGATAACTACCCCCAATGGACTCGTCAAACAAACAATACAGCTACGATGAGATGTCCAACAAGGTCATACGATCCGATAGAAGGGGTCGTGAGGAGGTGAACACTAATCCATCCTCCCTTGTTGGCCAGATCTCTGTGAAAGATATGGGTACTCGAGTGGCCAGAGACTCTCCAAAAGATCAAACTGAAATTGCACAAGCATCCAAGACCAAAAGGGCCAATGCTGTGTCTTTCAACAACTACTCGTACTCAAGTACCTATGAGAACATCTCGTACCATCCCACGAATGAAGACACTGCCCATTTCTTCGACTTGATCATGACCCAAGTTCGCCACTTTTTACCAGACACCAGCCACGAAGTGATATTATCGGCTGCTGATACAATATTGGAGATTATCAAGGGTGACGGCGGGGTGCTGGAGAAAAAGACTGAAGTCTCGGACATATTGGATGCCAAGGTGTCAGACGTCCAGTTGAATGATTTGATTAATTTAGCCAACAGAATAACAGACTATGCGGTGGAAGAAATCGAAGAAGAAGATGGCGATGAAGGCGTTGCTGTAGTCTTTGACGAAAGTGAAGCAGAGGATATCCCGGAAGAGGATGACGAAGACGACCAAGACGAGCCACAAGAAGAAGAGGACGCAGAAGACGCTCCTCGGACCGAGACAGTGCTCCAGTCTACCACCACAACAAAGAAATCAAGCACTATACTTCCACTTCATGAAATAGATCTCTTTTATCTCCAAAGAAAACTCACCTCAATATTTGAGAACGAAGACCCAGCAAAAATCCAATCCATTCACAACGAGCTTAGCACTATTCTTGGAAATCGAGAATTCACATCTAGAGATGTAGAGAATGAGCTAATGGAATTAATGGATTATGATCACTTTGACTTTGTCAAACTATGCACTGAGAATAGATGGAGAATACATTTCAAGATTATGTGGTTGAAAGTTATGAACGATGAAAAGGCGAAGGAGAAAATTATACTAGACTTAGAAGGGATGGACCAACAATCTTTGGCTTCCGAGCTTAGCACTGGTATCGCTACGGGCCAAGAGAAAAAGAGAAAGCTATCTGATTCACTGGAACCTAAAGAGAAAAAGACCAAACCATCAATAAGAACTCCAAAGATCGTGGATCTCGAAGCAATAACCTTTGATCAAGGTTCCCACTTAATGGCTACCCGGAATGTCAAACTCCCGGAAGGCTCATATCAACAAACCAAGAAGTCATACGATACGATCCGTATTCCACCACCCGTATCACCACCGATCGGGGAAGGAGAATCATTGGTTCCTATCACTGACCTTCCTGAATGGGCAAGACAGGTATTTCCATCTTCAGAAACCTCGTCATTGAATCGTATTCAATCCAAGGTTTATCCATTAGCATTTGGCTCGGACGAGAACTTACTTCTTTGTGCTCCAACTGGTGCTGGTAAGACTAATGTTGCAATGTTGACTGTTCTTCGTGCTATTGAAAACTACAGAGACCCAATTTCTGGCAAAATCAATTTGAACCAGTTTAAAATCGTTTACATCGCCCCATTGAAAGCATTGGTTCAGGAACAAATGAGAGAATTCGAAAGAAGGTTGACTCCTACGTTTGGAATAGTGGTAAACGAATTGACTGGTGACTCTAGTCTTAGCAAGCAGCAAATCGATGAAACACAAATATTGGTTACCACTCCGGAAAAGTGGGATATCATAACTCGAAAATCTGCTGATTTATCATCCACAACTGCATTAACTAAGCTAATTATTATTGATGAAATCCATTTATTGCATGATGAAAGAGGCCCAGTCTTGGAGAGTATTGTGAGTAGAACTCACAGATACCAAGAAACCACAGGTGAAGCAATAAGATTGGTAGGACTTTCAGCAACATTGCCCAACTATCAGGATGTTGCTCAATTCCTCAGGGTAAAGAAAGGTCTCTTCTACTTTGACTCGTCGTACAGACCATGTCCTTTAGCTCAGCAATTCATTGGAATCAAAGAGAAGAAGGCGATTAAGAAATTAAATGCCATGAATGAAGCCTGTCACGAAAAGCTCATTGAGTGCATGAAAAATAATCACCAGTTGATTATCTTCGTACATTCCAGAAAGGACACCTTTAAAACTGCCAACTGGCTTAAAGAAAAATTGGAATCCAGCAGTGAGTCCGAATTGGTGTTGAAACCAGGATCAGGCTCGGCTGAGATTTTGAAACAAGAAGCTGAAGCTATGAAAAACCGAAATCTAAGGGACATTATACCTTCAGGGTTTGGTATCCACCATGCAGGTTTGGATAAAGAAGAAAGAAGTGTTGTTGAAGATCTATTTGCACAAGGGCATATTAAAGTCTTGGTCTCCACCGCCACTTTGGCTTGGGGTGTGAACTTGCCTGCTCATACTGTTGTAATTAAGGGAACTGAAACTTATTCGCCAGAGAAAGGTTCGTGGGTGCAGTTGTCTCCTCAGGATATTCTCCAAATGTTAGGAAGAGCTGGTAGACCTCGATACGATAAAAGTGGTGAAGGTATAATCATCACGTCTCATGACGAGTTGCAGTACTACCTTGCTATTCTAAACCAACAATTGCCTATCGAATCTCAATTTGTTAGCAAATTGGTAGATAACTTGAACGCAGAAGTTGTCTTGGGTACTGTCAGATCGCTTAAAGATGCCACTGAGTGGTTGGGGTACACGTATCTTTATATCCGAATGCTCAAATCCCCCGCCTTATACCATGTGGGTGCAGAATACGATGGTGACAAGACATTGGAGCTCAAGAGAACAGATTTGGTACACACTGCTTTAACTATTCTCGATAAGAATAAGCTAGTTGATTACAATAAGGACTCTGGCGAGGTAAGGTCTACCGAGTTAGGTAAGATCGCTTCCCACTACTATATCAATTATCCCACTATGAACATGTATAACTCCAAATTAAAACCATGGTTGACCGAGATCGAAATTCTCAAGATTTTTGCATCATCTGGTGAGTTTAAGTTCATTCCCGTTAGACAAGAGGAAAAGCTTGAGGTATCAAAATTACTCGAGAGATGCCCAATTCCAATCAAGGAAAGTCCAAACGACCCACTTGCCAAGGTTAATGTTCTCCTTCAGTCTTACATATCGAAACTATCCCTTGAAGGGTTTGCTTTGATGGCAGATATGATTTACATAACTCAGTCAGCTGGAAGATTGCTTAGAGGGATCTTTGAAATTGTGTTTAAGAAAGGCTGGTCTGCTCTTGCCAAAACTACTTTAAACTTGTGCAAAATGGTGGAAAAGAGGTTATGGTTGAGCTCCTCACCCTTCAGACAATTTGGTGATATGTGTCCAAGAGAGATTGTTCGAGTTACCGAAAGTTCTCATTTACCTTTTGTCAGTTATTTTAACTTGAATGCCTTGGAATTATCAGAAGCATTGAATTTAAAGGGTAGCAGCCAAGTGGCATATGATTTGATCCAGCAATTCCCCAAACTTGAGTTGAACTACTATTCCCAACCCATTACCTCGACTACCTTGAGAGTGCAAGTTGAGATTGTTCCGACTTGGAACTGGTCAAAGATTCATGGCAATTCGCAGTCTTTCTATGTGATTGTAGAAGATTGTGATGGGGACAAGATTTTGTACAATGACCATATCCAAATCAAGAAGGAGTATGCCAAGAAAGAACACTTTTTGGATTTTTCAATTGACATGTTGGATCCCCAACAGCCCAATTATTTCATTACATTTATTAGTGACAGATGGCTACATAGCGAATGGAAAATTCCATTGCAACTTACCAACTTGAAGTTTCCAAAGAAGGTATCGCATACGGAAGTTTTGGATTTGCAAAACGTTCCTACCACATCATTGCCCGATGAATTCAAGGATGTTTTCCAGTTTAACTATTTCAACAAATTTCAATCCCAAGCCTTCGCCAGTCTATTTAATTCTAACGAGAATGTCTTGATAGGTTTGGCAAAGGGAGGGGGCAAAACTGTTTGTGCCGAGTTGGCCATATTGAACCACTGGAACCAAAACAAAGGAAGAGTGGTATACATTAACCCTGTACAAGAAAAGGTGGATAGATTGACCAAAGTTTGGACTAAAAAGTTTAACAATTTTGAGAAAGAGGTGCAGAAGCTTACAGGAGATGTCACCAAGGATTTGGCCATTTTGAATTCTAGCCATTTGGTTCTCGCTACACCTCAACAATACCATCAGATCACCAAGAGATGGCGACAAAGAAAGGTCGTTAAGGCAGTTGAGTTACTTGTTTGTGATGATTTGCATATGTTGAGTAATCCCTCCTATGCCAACTATGAGGTGAGTATTTCTCGTATGAGATTGATCTCTTCTCAGTTCGGAACCGATTTGCGTATTGTGGCCCTATCTTCTCCACTATTCAACAGCAGAGATATTGGAGAATGGTTAGGCTGCTCCAAACATAACATATTCAACTTCGATCCTTCGAACAGATTCAACTATATTGATGAAATCAGATTATTATCTTCTGATAACCAGCAAACGTTCATGAATTGGGGGCTTAGAAATTGTTGGGACTTGATAAATCTGGCCGCAAGCTCATCCATTACCAGAACGTTAATTTTCCTCTCAACTAGAAAGCAATGCATAGATGTTGGCTCCAAGTTACTTCAACTTGCCAGTGGAAGTGCATCGTTTTTGAAAGTGGATGTTGAAGATTTACAGCCATATCTCGACCGCATAAGTGATCCAATACTTTCTGAGTTCTTGAACAGTGGTATTGCAATTTATCATCCAGGAATGAACTCGACCGACAAGTTGATTGTGGAAAAACTCTTTGAGAATGATCTTATTTCCATTTTATTATCAAGTAAAGAAACTTGTTTCTATTCTCCGTCTGCACCACGAGTAATTATCTTTGGAACAGAAGAATATGAGGGCAAAGAGCATAGGCTTGTTGATTACACAGTGAATGAAGTGATAGAAATGATCGGTTGTTGTGTCGATCCCATTTCCAATAAGGGGAAGGTGACTTTGTTGACTAACCAAAACAAATTGAAATTCTTTCAAGAATTTTTGGGCCAAGGCTTGCCGGTGGAAAGCTACTTGAACGCCTCTCTCCACGATCAATTTATCGATGAGATTAGTGCAAAGAACTTGAAATCTAACCAGGATTGTATTGATTGGATAACATACACTTATTTCTACAGAAGAATAAGAAACAATCCTAACTTCTACGATGTTAAGGATACTTCAGGCTTGGGGATTTCGGAATACCTTTCCGAATTAATTGAGAATACAATGAAGGATTTGAGTGAAGCAGAATTAGTGGATATAGAGGAAGATGAGGACGAGGAAGAGACCTTCTCCCCTACCAACGGAAGTCTTATTTCTTCTCATTATAATGTCCCTTATGCCAGTATGAACTCTCTTAATAAGTTGAACAACAGGACCAAGATTGGTGAACTTATCGAAACGTTGTGTTCGTCGTCTGAGTTTGAAGTGCTTAAGATCCGGGATAACGAACCACTATTGCTTAACAAGATCTACAACAAATTGCCAATCAAGTATTCTAATCCAAAGTTTGAAAGTCCGTACGTGAAAGCTTTCATACTCCTTCAAGCGCATATGTTAAGAATACCATTGTCTTTTGAGCTTCTGCAGGACAAGAAGATTGTGATAAAGACCTGTTTGAATCTTATTGCCGCTTGTGTGGATACATTGTCCAGTCAAGGTTATCTCAGCTCTATCCAAGTGATTGACTTGTCTCAAATGATAGTTCAAGCAGTATGGTTCAAGGACAGCCCCTTGAAGCAGATCCCAAATTTTGATCAAGCTATTTTACAAAGATGTAAGGAGCAGTCTATTGATACCGTTTATGACATTATGTCGTTGGAGGACGAAGATCGTGACAAGGTGTTGCAATTAAAGGATGACAAGTTGTACCAAGTTGCTGAATTTGTTAACAAGTATCCCAACATTGATATACACTACACTTTAGACTTGGATGAACCAATCGTGGCTGGAGAACCAAAGGAGATTACCATTGTGTTAGAGAGGGATGAAGAATTGGAAGATTTGAATGTGGTCGCCAAACATTACCCATTTACCAAAGAAGAAAACTGGTGGGTTATCATTGGTGATTCATCGACTAAGCAGCTCTATTCTATCAAGAAGACTGTTATCAAGGACGAGACTCAGGAATTGAAAATGTCGTTTACTATACCTAACGAAGGAGAGTTTAAGTTGGGTATTTGGTGTATGTGCGATTCATATATTGACGCTGATAAGGAAGTGGAGTTGAACGTGAAAGTAAGTCAATAAAAGAGTCGTGTTCTAAGCATGTAATATACTGTATAATTAATGCATTTGTACTATTTGAAGCGCCGATGAGTGAAATAACTCAGGTTAAATTCCATATATAATGTAAATGCTAATGAGAATATAAATAATTTACAACTGTAACTACTGATACTCAAATCATTCTCGAGTTCGAGACAGTCAATTTACTGACCAGTTTTGCAGAATTGTGATAATTTTAAATATAAATATCCATCAAAACATACCTGTAATACTAATGTAGTACTGTAGCCGTTTAAAGAAACCCCGTTGCATCTACAACTTTCTTATTACAGAATTGTATTAACTCCACTGGTAATTTTCTCTACAGTATAAAGGCCAAATTCACACAAAAACGGATTAGCTTTGTACTACATACTGGATCGAAAACTCAGTGCCCCCACCGGAGATTGCTGAGCTCTACAGACAAATCCTGGAATCTATTTCATTCGGTATCTTTTATTTATTATAGATATATACATCCAGTGAACCAAGTATCACAATGTATACCTTATTGATACTTTATTGATACTCTATTCAATGCTTAGTAGACCTTGTTCAAGAAAGTCTTGTTCTTGAAATCCCAAGAGTCATCAGAGATTCTTCCTCTCAAGACTGGGATTTCGGAGCCTGGAACGTAGACATCTTCGAACAAGATATCCATCTTAGCTTCTGGTGGAGAGTCAGCTTCGGCAGCAGCGACTTGTTCGTCAACGTACTTTCTGGCTTCCTTGTCGTAAGACTTGATTTCTTCTTCGGTAGCGATGTTCTTCTCCAACAAGAGAACCTTCAAACCGGCAATTGGATCGTTTCTGGATCTCATGTGTTGGACTTCTTCTCTGGTTCTGTAAGTGGTACCTGGGTCGGACATGGAGTGACCACCGTATCTGTAAGTTTCGTATTCCAAAACCAATGGACCGTTACCTTGGGCACACCAGTCCTTGGCGAACTTGGAGGCTTGGTAGGTAGCCAAAATGTCCATACCGTTGACCTTCAAACCTGGAATGTATTGACCTCTCTTGTAGTATTCAGTAAGAGCGGAGGATCTGGCAGCAGAAGTACCCATACCGTACTTGTTGTTTTCACAAGCAAAGATAGCTGGCAAGTTCCACAACTTGGCCATGTTGTAGGCTTCGAAGACTTGACCTTGGTTGGAGGCACCGTCACCGTACAAGGTGAAACAAGCGGCCTTTTGGCCCTTGTACTTGTGGGAGAAGGCTAAACCAGCACCCAATGGGACCTGGGCACCGACAATACCGTTACCACCGTAGAAGCCAGGAGCAAACATGTGCATGGAACCACCCTTACCGTAGGAAACACCGGATCTCTTACCCATCAATTCACCCAAAACTTCCTTGACAGAAGCACCTCTCATGAACGCGAAACCGTGACATCTGTAGGAGGTGATGACGGTGTCTTCTGGAGTGATGGCGTTTTCGATACCCACAGCAATGGCTTCTTGACCAACGGACAAGTGACAGAAACCACGGATCTTCTTGGCCTTGTACAAGGCGTCGGAGGCCATTTCCATTCTTCTGATGATGATCATGTCCTTGTACATCTTCAACAAGGTTTCCTTTTCGGTTTCGAAGGTCAATTCCGGGATCTCCAAGTTGTAGCCCTCGAACGAGCTTTCTGGTAAGGTGATGGAGACCAAGTCGGAGGAGCTGGAGGCCAACCCTCTGGTCGACATACGGCTAGCATTGGCCAATGGACGGATACTGCGAATCATCTTGGTGTATGAAGAAGAACAGTTTGGGTGTTGATAAACCTTTTCTCATCGGGGGGAAGCGTCCCGGAGGTAGTGCAGGGGATACGGGGGTGTAGTCCCGCGCACGCGCCCGGCCACGTGACCGGTAGATTGGCGGTTTTCATCCGCCTGCCACCGTCCGAAAACGGTCCCCAATAGTGCGCCGCACCACCCCCCACATAGGGGCGTTTGCACCCATCCACCACCATCACTATATATCTGGGGCGAAGTACCCCCCTGGATGTTCTGGCAGCCATGCTTCTGCCTGGATTCGTATTCAGCCGCGAGAAGAAGAGCTGGCGCCACAAATTCCGCTCGGCCAAGCGCCTGCCGCTTCCCGACCCTGTCGATCCGTTCACCGTTGTCTCCAGCTTCCCACTGCTCGAAACCTCACCCACCGAGTCGACTTTTTCTGCTAGCTCCACCTCATCGGGGTCTGCGGAGTGGTCGTCGCCACCATCGTTGTTTGGCACGCCCACCAGCTCCTCCACCCCCAACAGTGTCCCTGAGACGCCGCCCCGGAACGCCAGCTGGTCTGGCTCTTCGATCCTTCTGCCGCTGAGAATCAGGTCCTATCGCAAGTCGCTGTTTCCAGGCACGGGACTGCCCTCGTCGTCGCTTAAGGGCCCGGCTGTCAGGCCGTTCATTGTCTCTCACTCGCCACACACTCCCCGTGCCGCCAATGGTGCCAGCGCCAAGGCGACGGCTGTTGACAAGTGCTTCGTGTGCGAGGAGCTCCTTGTCAACAAGCTCGAGCTGGAGCCGCTTGTGCCCCTCCAGTGTGGTGACTACCTCCATTGGGAGTGTTTCAAGTTGGCAGTGCACCACCAGGTGCAAAAAATATCGCTGCGCGAAATCCCACACTCCCGCCACCATTTGATGACACATGCTTTTCCCCCGTGCCACGGCAGTGTGTGTGCTCTGCGTGGTACGGAGACTGACATCGCCCCCCGAGACTTAGGGGTGTGCGACGAGCTCTTTGCCCCATGTCTTGACGGAGCCACGGCGTTTCTCGACTCCGAGTCCGCTCTGGCGGTTGCAAATATGTCGGTTCCTGCACAGTGCCGCCCTCACCCTCCAGGGTGGGAGCCAGCTGCGAAAAAGCCGGTTGATTTTGATGAGGTGTCGGTGTTCACCACCACGACTCCAGTGATCCACAGTCCCAGGCCCAGCCAGAGAGTGGCTGTGCCCTCGTTTGCAGCCAGCAACTTGGATTTGGCCAGCTTGTCGATGGCGCTTAGCTCACGGTCTCCGTCGCCCACTCCCACCATCTCCACCTTGAACACCGTCACTGTCAAGATCGATGCCCACCGAGCCATCTCGATGGACTCGTTGAAAAGCCAGCTCGTCAGGCTATTGATCCAGAACTGCTCCTCGCTAAGCTTGAACACCTTGCTCTTGTTCGGGAACTTGCGACTCGTAGACCGTTTGCTCGCCAGTTTTGATGGTGCGAACTACCACCCCCAAATAGTTTACCTCTTCGACACCCACGCCGTGGCCTGGCACGAGGACACTTCTGAAGAGGCCATCTTGCTTGATATCAGGGACGGCCGTTTCACTACTCCCAGGGCCTCCATTCTCAAGGTGTCTACAAGGAACAACTGTGGTCGCTCCAACATTTGGCTACACTCGGAAACTGCGTCCATAATCGAAAAATGGGTAGTTGCGTGCTGTGATCAGTCCTTCACGTTTCCAGTGGAAATTATTACCTCCACAATCACGATAGACGAAGTCAAAGATGCAATCGCCTCTAATGGCTCCCACACTACAGCCAGCGTGTACTGCCCCACGCTCTCACCACAGATCGAATCCCCCACAGACTCTGGAAATGCGAGCGATTCTACAATTAACATTCCAAGGGTAACCACGGAAATAAAATCCAAAACTCCCGTTATTATCAGCGAGATATCCTATGAATCTGATTCCAGCATTGATACTGATTCCGATAATGAGTTCATCTCCCGAGTGCTTGACAACGTCAAGGATACAAATTTGTTGGTGAGCAAAACCAAAATCGATAATCTCTTTCGCAGCCATAGCGGCCACGAGGACGAGTCCGAAAACGATACGGATGTATACGAAAGCGACCAGGATTCAGACGCTGAAAAAATCGATGCATTAATGATAAAGGAGCCCGTCGCTAATTCTAAAAGAGAGGTGGAAACAGAATGGAATACGCTAATATCTAATATTGATGAAGCAATCACCACAATTCTTCACTAGTTCAAGTGGTGGTAAAACGATCGATTTCAGCCATGATACTAGAGGTCCACAACTCGCGCTCTTGCCTGGATCTTGCCATGAATACCATACTTTTCCCAGTGAAACCCAACCGTTTAATCATGGTAGATATCCCAGGATTCATTTCAAGATGGTTTTCATCATCGTTCTTTGAATTGGTTCCCTTGCTGTAATGCAACTGCTGCTCCTTAATTTGCCTTTTCTTGCCAAACCACAATGTGAAGCAACGAGTGTGCTCTTCCTCAGATGATTTCCAACCATCGGGATAAATTCTTGGAAGTGCTCTTCTTGACGGATTTCTGGGATCAACCTCTCTATGTTCCTGAAGTAAGTCTATACTTGTTGTAATGCCAGAATATAGGTAACATTCCGCTATTGGAATGGTAAAGTAATGTTCATACAATGGGTTCTTCTTCCATTGTCCTGACAATTTAGACCTTTGAAATACCGAGTATAAAACAAGGAATCCAGGACATAATACCACATAGTATTGATTGAAATTTGAATGCTTTTTCCCCTTTTCATACAAGTAACCACTCATGGTAACACTCCTGCTCATTGCCAAACTATTGATGTTATGAATCAACGGATCTGCTACTCCAAATTGATATTCGCTAGTTCCCAATTCTTGCTTGATGTTAGAGTCAATATACTCACTGATTCGTAAAGACTGTTGATTCCGTACCCTCACGGCCATTACTCTTTCTAAATCATCATATGTTTTGGAAATCCAATATTGCCTTAATTGAGAAATCCGCAATACCCATTCGTCCCGCACATTTCTGTTTGGTGCTTGAAGCCTCAATATGTTGCCATTGGACATTTCAATTTCAAATGCCGAATCCACAATATCTTCTTCATTGATGAGTTCTGCAGATGAATACCAATATAGACAAAAGACCATTCTTTGAGTTTTCGATATTTTATCAAGTGAGATTGACCTAATATCCGCAATCAAAGTCATGTCCAACATTGCCTCCGCCTTGACAACCTGTTGAGATCTTCTCTTGAATTCGGTCAAGGCAGCCTGGTCATATTTGTCAAAAGATTCATTCTTCAACCAGGTTATGTGTTCTTGAGCATCTAAAGGATATGGATTATACTCATGCACGCATTCAACATTTGAGTGATCTAAATTTGAATCCGTAGCAGGAGGAGCTCCTCTATAATACTTCGTGAAGAAAAGAATTTTGTCACATGAATAAAAGTACAGCATTTTGTGAAATGATCTCATGAATGATTTATCCCTACCGGAAGTATTTGTCATTCGGAAAAGAAAGCCTTCAATTGGGTAAGGCTCCTTCATAAGTTTTCCATCGAGATTGGCCAAGAAATAACCAGAATCCAAATTGCGAAGCTCCAACTGATAGCTGTTCTTCAAGATACTATAGTTCATTAAAAACACCTGGCTGTTGTTCATCACCCAATCAAGACTATCATATTGCTTGAAACAAAACCATGGCCATTCTAGTTGTTGTATCCATTTATCAAACTGCGGAATTCGATACGATTGAACTGCCTCAATGACTTTGGTTTTCAAATATTGCAATATAGGGCTCGAAGATACGCAGTATCCCTTCTCAAGTTCGCAAAGGGAAAGAAATGGCCTTGACTCAAATGCTTTCCTAATTTCTGAAAATGGAACCTCGACGTCTAATTTGAGTCCAAGGTCTGGAATGGAAACGTTATACTGGTAGCTGATTCTCTGGCCCAACTTGGTGATGAAGAACAAGGACCTTATGGCAACGATTTGGCTATGAGCTTTGAAAATATACACATAAACATTGTTATCTTTCGGGACCGTCAAACAGAACGACTTGTCCGAATCGCTGTAGAGGAAGGCTCCCACTTCGGGCGATAACGCAAAGCTAATATCTGGTTTTCTATTGTCGATGTTGTTGTGTAATTCGTAGAGCTCAATTGATAATGGATTAGTAGGATTACTGGTTCTTCTCAATACGCAGATATACTCGTTCCACTGGGAATAGATTCGTGAGTCACAAAACTCGTTCTCATTGAACGTAGACACTTTCTTAATATTGTGAAGCACTTTGGTCAATATGAGGAACTTGTCCAGACGCAAGATTTCACCCTCTTTATACTCTTTCAAGATATTTCGGTAAATTCGTTTTCTGATTCTTTTGGTGTCATGGGCGATATTTCTAGAAGCTGAGGCCAAGGAACGCAATCTCCTAGTGAAACGGTGGTGTTCTTTTTCTGCCCACGAAATGTCGGTGTTGGCTTGCTCGGCCAGTTCAGCCTTTTCCATGGGTTGGGGCATCTCGATGTTGATTTTGGACCTCCTGGTTCCCTCCAACTTGAACTTGACACCTGACTTTGATTGTGAATCGCTGGCCCTCGAGGCATGGGTTCTAGCACTGTGGAAGCTGTGAACACTGCGAGAGTGGGCTTGGTTGGGAACCATTAAATTCATGGACTCGCCAGTCAGGACCACAGAATCTCGGTCAGCACCAGGCACCGAGAGCTGGGATGGATGGATCAGTGGGCTGCGAGATGGCGAGAGGCCTAGAGCGCCATTGGGGGTCGAATTACCCGTGGAAACTGGCTCATTTGGCTGGTACGGTTTGGGCTCCAATTCGAATCTTTCTGGGTTCTCCAGGTCCAATGGACTGCTTTCAGCGGGATTTTGGTAGCATTGAGTCACCTGGACGTCAGTACCAGCGGTGTGAAGGTGCTGATCCACTCGCTGTTTCTCATCTGTAGTCCTCTGGATGATAGGAATCGGTTTGAAGGACGACTCCACGGTGCTGGCGCTAGTAATAGGTGTGGTCCGCACAGTGGCGTGCTCAGCGAGCAGGCCGTCGTCGCTGTCATCTTCGCTGTCGTGTTCCTGTTCCTCTAGCGCCCGCAACAACACTGCTGAGTTGAAGCGCTTTCTGTCGCCCTCAAAGATGTTGAACTCGCCCTCTGCACCCGAGTCCCGGCAGAGAACATCCTCGTTGCTGTCGAAGCGGGAAGTGGCACGTCGTATGCTGGTACCTATAAGGGTACTGGCAGAGCGGAAGTTCTTTTTGACCTGGCCTTTGGCGTGCTTGGTGATGGTGGTGAGCAAGTCAGGTCCACGGTCATCTCGCCAGATATCGGGAATTGAGCCTAGAAACACACACCTGGACGACTCCGAAACCACATGAGCCGTAGAGTAGGTGAGCCTGAATGCCGTGAACGAGTGTTTTGGGATGTGGAGCTCATCAGAAGGCATATCGCTACAGAAGAAGTTCGCGCACAAATCTGGATAGTTATAAATGGTGGGACCAGAAGTCTGAGAGAGGGTGTTTTCCATTGCAATAGGTATATAGTCATAGGTGCTAATTGTGGCCAGTTGATCGCCAACTAACAGGTCATATTTGGTATGTTTTCCATTCCAAAAGAAAAAGAGAGCAATCCACCAAGCTTCACTATTGTATGGATGGCCTGCTCATGCCTGGAATCTAGATGATGTCCTCGTCGTTGACGCCAATAGAGATTCCCTCCGGATTCATGTTCTCAGGAGGAGAAACGCTGGGGACAGCTTCCAAGGCGATGTAGCCCAAGCCCACGACGAATACGATCAAGCCAGCAATTATGCGGAAGGCACTGGCGCCGTTGATGCTGGCACCGATGAAGGTATAGACTGTGGTTAGTAAGGAGGGGGAAATCATGGATGGAAAAGGCTTGAAATATCAACCTCAGACGATGAATGCTTGAGAAATGTCTTTCCACCTATTGCTGCAATAAGTAGATGTAATATGCTTGAGAATATCCACTTCCGATCAGTATGGAATATCGTCAACTCAAATTGCCTATTAATTTAATCAGGACAATGATAACGAAATTTCTATCACGGGATTTGGTAGATGAAATACTGAATGAACATCTATCCACTGCATAACATCAATCAGTCGATGATACTCATCTGTATCCCTACTCTGCATTCAGTAGATAGACAATCTCAACGGACTTCTATCCACTTCCCACTGGTACCAGTACATAGACATCCCCAATGAACATCTACCTCAATGCATCCAATTCTTATTCCTCGTTAGATGGAAAATCATTAACACTTTCCAAGAATCTATCATCTTTTGTCTCCAAAACTTATCCAATTATACGTACAGACACCACGGCCAATGAACGAGAACAAGAACGACCCGTAGGCGTAGGCTTCAGCAGGAACCCGAAATTCTAAACGTTAGTATGGGAAGGATGCATAAATGCAGCCATGGCTGCAGATAAGTTATCGTCCAATTAACCATTTCATTGATTACTGGGGAGAACTCGTGACTGGGCCCATATTTGAGGTGGGAATAACAACTAGTATGGTACACTGTCATTGAGAACCCATTCTAGAGCCAGAGAAATCGTCCAATTCAACACCACGAAGTCGTAGACACAGTTTCAGCGTAATTTGGGATACATACCAAGAAGACCAATCACACTACCAAAGGCAATGAGGTAAAGCCCGATAACGAACTAGACGTTAGTATATTGTGACAGTTGTTGTAATTTCATCTGGTGTTTATTTCCTGGAATATATCAGTGACATCGGTGATAACCTTCCAGAATATCCTGAAGTAACAGTAATTGTTATTCACACTGGTATTCTACCGTTGATAACCGACGAGTAATGGTCTGAACGTACGGATTGACTAAACGTTAGTAAGCTCGTTTGACGAGAACCTCCCATGACTGAGCCATAAGTCGATGTGAATCCCAAATACGTACAATCCACTGAAGAGTTGCGATAATCCTGATAACACCTGAAGGTTAGTAGAGCTTATGGAAGTAATTGGGCCGTGTTGGGCCCGTTTTTGGAACTATACCGTTACGTACAGATAAGCCAGCCACTAAGAGGTTGGCGATTCTGAAGGCTCCATTGAGGTCCAGCCCGCTGACACTGTCGAGATTCATGATGAAGAGGAGTGGTGGTATCTGACAGTTTGCTCGCGGCTTATCGGTCACGAGGTAAATATCGCCAGACAACCGCCACACTATACTAAAGCACGAAAGGGATCGAAAGCACTACCAGAGTCACTACCACCTACACTACTACGGCTGACAGAACTGCCACACGTCCAGCTAGACACATTACCTACTCCATTATTCAATCGCACTTCAATAGCGCCCACCATCAAGCTGGTTATGTCCGACGGTCCTGAGTTCTCCAAGACTAACACTGCCACTTTCGGGCTCTCCAAGGACTTGGCTGTACCCATCCAGGTCAAAATTGGGTTCCTCCAGTCCACAAACGATGCCAGGGCCCAATTGGCGTCGCTATCAGACAAGTTCGATAACCCGCTGGTTTTCAAGAAACTATCCAACATCCACAAGAACTCCGATCTCTACTTGTCGGTAGCGGTCTACGACGGCACAAACAATAACCAGGTGTCAATTGCGCTCCAAACACCCTACAAGTCGCTTGTGGCCAACAAGCGGACCTGGAACACCCACCTCAAACTATCACATTTGTACAACCAGGTGGCCCTCGACTCGTACTTGAAGTTCACCTTGTACGAGATCACAGACACGAAACTGGTGGAGTTCGGAATTGGCTACTTGTCGTTGTTCAATAAGAAAACATCCTGCCTCAGGAAGGGTGCCCAGAAGATACCCATCTATCAACAAGACCCAACGGAGCACGTCGAGTACAACAACATCCCAGGCCTCACCAGCTTGGAGGAGCTCCTCATCAACTACGAGAATAGCGATTACCCCCATGTCTCGTGGCTAGACAAGCTTTCGTTGGCTAGAATAAAAAAGGAAATCGAGCTCAATACTGACCACGACTATTACTTGTATGTGGAGTTGCCCAATTTCGAATTACCGGTGGTGTATTCGGATATCATCTATAAAATCCCAGAAATCCCCTATAATAATGACAGTAATACCGACGATCCCTTCAATTCCAGCATAGTCATCAACTCGATCGATATACCGATGACTAAATTGACCTCTGCAGGGTCAAATCAAAACTCATCTATCACCCGGTCTGATGAACTCTATGCTAATGGTGCTCCCAAAGGCGTTACTCATGGTCTTAAAGTGTACGACCCTGATTTTAACTTTGCATTTATCAACAATCCCCAAAATACTACGGCCCTTTTGGATCCAATTGAGCTCAAGTACCATAAACTAGAGAGAAATATTAATAACAATTCTATTCTTGACAAAGAATTAAAGCCATCGCCTCAAATACGTGATGAATTGTTGAAGATTTTGACTAAACCCTCGAATATCGAATTGAATGACGTTGAAAAGAACTTGATCTGGAAGTTCAGATATTTTTTCAGTAAGAACAACTCCGTTGGAACTGGTGCTGGAAGTTCAGGAAGTGAAGCTGCTAAGGGCAATATTACGACTACCAAATCATTTTTCCCCAAATTTTTGAAATCAATAAATTGGAATAACGACTATGAATTGAGGCATGTTTTCGAAGAGATTATACCGAACTATTGGTCAGTAGATAAGCTTCAAATTGGTGATGCGTTGGAATTATTGAGCAGCTATTTTAATCCTTATACATTATGTCCCATCCCTATTGAACAAGGGACTCAAGATGCACAAGCTCCTAACGGCTCAAATTCTACGAAGAGTAGTAGAAAAACGGAAGACACTAAGGCTTACAAAGTCTTCAAATATGTCACCTACTTAAGAAAATTAGCTGTTGATCGACTCAAGCTTGCGAACAATGAGGAACTCTTGCTTTACTTACTTCAACTAGTACAAGCATTGAAATATGAGTCACTAATTTATGACCAGAAGTTTCCAGGGTCTGATGGTTCTGAGAATTTCCAAATCGTGAATGAGCTTAACAACGAGTTTGATGTTTTAAAGTCTCCTTTAGCGAAATTTTTGATTGAGAAGTCGGTCCAAAATGAGAAGTTGGGTAATTTCTTTTATTGGTACGTTAAAGTTGAGAATGAAGATCAACTTAGTCAAGGTCAAGTTCCGGCAAAATCTATCTATACTGCAGTTCTCAATAGATTTATTGAGAGTTTGAAAAAATATTCACATTCAAAGAAGTTGCCTTACTATAAGTATTTGAAAAGGCAAATTTGGTTCATCAAGAAGTTGACCAATTTAGTCGAGTTAATTAGAACCTCATTCAAAAAGAATGAGCCCACAGCAAAAAAGAAGGAATTTTTGAAGGAGTACTTGGCCAATTCTTCGAACGAATTATTAAAGTTCCCAGAGCCCTTTCCATTGCCTTTGGATCCATCTGTGATGATTTGTGGCTGTTATCCTGAAGAATCTTCTGTTTTCAAATCAAGTTTATCCCCGTTAAAAATTACCTTTAAAACGTTGATAAATAAGCACTCATCCTCTTCACAATTGTTTGGTAAGAGATATCCAAAACACGGGAAATATCCGCTTATGTTTAAAATTGGAGATGATTTAAGGCAAGATCAACTTGTTATTCAAATTATCAATTTAATGGACCAGTTGTTGAAGAATGAGAATCTTGATTTGAAATTGACTCCGTACAAAATTTTAGCCACAAGCCCTGTTGCTGGGCTCATTCAATTTGTACCAAATGAGACTTTGGATTCTATTCTTGCAAGAACTTATCCAGAAGTTGGAGACGCTGGTGGACAGTCTTCTGGGATATTGAATTTTATGAAGGTTCATGAAGCAGAGGCAGAAAATAGAAACGATGAAGAGAATTCAAGCGATATTCAAGCAAGGAGTGTTATCCAAGGGCTTGGTGATAGTGAAGGAAGTCTGAGTATCGCAAACAGCAGACAAAGTCATCATCCGATTATTTCTTCTGATCTTGGTGTGTCCAATGTACTCATGGATAACTATGTAAAGTCATGTGCTGGATATTGTGTTATCACTTATCTCTTGGGTGTTGGTGATCGTCATCTTGATAATCTTTTATTATCTCCAAACGGGAAGTTTTGGCATGCTGATTTTGGTTATATTTTGGGTAGGGATCCCAAACCGTTCCCGCCATTGATGAAGCTTCCCATTCAAGTCGTTGATGGAATGGGTGGTCTTACACATGAGAATTTTAATATTTTCAAAAGTTATTGCTTCATAACATACACCACATTAAGAAAGAACAGCAATTTGATTTTGAATTTATTTCAATTGATGTTGGATGCAAACATTCCTGATATTAAAATAGATCCTGTTCGTGCAATTGAAAAGGTTCAGGAGAAATTCTGCTTAGAAATGACAGAGGAAGAAGCAATTTTGCATTTCCAAAACTTAATCAATGACAGTGTGAATGCATTTTTACCGGTGGTCATTGATAGATTACATAGTTTAGCACAATATTGGAGGGCTTAGCCAGGTGCTACATCTCCAGATTGTCACTCCTAATAGATGTAAGCTGGTAGATATAGCAATTTACACTGCAACGTTGCCAATTTATGGACAGTTTAGCTATCGATGTACTATAATTAATACCTAGATAACAATCACCACTCACCAGTTTATGATCTACACTTACCAGCTGGTAGTATTGGTGTCACTCAGTCGTTCTTCTTGGGCTCATTCCCCTTGAGCCTGTCTCTGACCGACCTTATAGCAAAGGTAAAGAGGGCCGAGATGAGACCAAACGGAGGAAACAAATCCAATGCTGTGAAGATGATTCCTGGGTGGATTTCTTTGGCGACTTCGTCAATGGACTGCTTCAATCTCTTCAAGTCTTTGCTGTTATCGATGACCAAATCGGCCCGGTGGTTTCTAACTGCATTGGACATTTGACTGTCAATTCTCTTCTGCACATCTTCAGCACTCAATTCGGGGTTTCTCAGTTGCAACCTTTGTTTCTGGATGTCGTCAGCACAAGTGACGGTGACTGTCAACCCACAGATCTTGTCTAACCCACTCTCGAAGAGCAAAGGCACGTCAAGGATCACCAAGCTCTGGGCCGTCACGTACGCATGGAATATTTGCCACACGATCTCCTTCTTGACGGCAGGGTGTACGATGGAATTGAGCTTGTTCAACCTCTCTCTGTTGCCGAATACCGCTGCCCCCAAAGCACCACGATTAAGCGAGAAGTCGTTGGGGTTGACGAGGTCTTCCACCTCGTCTTTAAATGCCTTAACTACCTCTTCGTACGCCCTCTTGCCAGGGTACACCACTTCTTTGGCGATCAAGTCGGCATCAACGATGGTGTAATTGTGCCTTTCGTGTAGCGTCTTGGACACTGTAGACTTGCCAGTGGCGATTCCTCCCGTAAGACCTACAATAAGCATGGCTAGTGTGACGGTGACTTTCCGAGTGGTTTCAGAAATGGCTGTAAATCGATCCCAGTTGAGGTTAGGGACTGCATATGGCGCGACGATACTTGATTGATTCTTACTGCCAAACCAACCACCCCAATCCACTCCTACAACAGCATGAGCAGGGCGTACGTGCTAGGAGCGGGCTCCATGGGATGCCTCGTGGCGCATGAGCTAAACCAGGCATTTTCCAGGCAGATGCAGCCCACACTACTCTTACGGAACAAAAACCGAGTGGAAGAGTTCAACAAGGCGAACTCCCAGATCACCGTCTTCAAGCAAAACGGACTCAACGTGACATCTTCCAAGTCCACGCTTACGGCTCTCTACCAGCCTCCAGAAGATACCATCGACAACTTGATCATAGCCACCAAAACATACCAGACAGAACGGGCGTTGGCTCCGTACGTACCTCATCTCAAGCCCACCTCCAACGTTTTGATACTTCAGAACGGCATGGGCATGGCCAGCCACTTGACCAACCGTTTTTGGCCCACAGAGGCATCCAGGCCCCAGATTTTCCAAGCCATTAGCACCCATGGTGCCTACAAGACCTCTCCCTACAACATCCACCACGCAGGCCAGGGCAAGCTATCGATATCGTACATACCCAAGAAGATAGAACCTCCCAGCCATGATCTCGCCCAGCTTCCAGAATTGGTCCAGTTTTTGGTAGATACAAAGCCACTAAATGCATCCTATTTGAATCCACAATCCTTCATCTTGGTTCAAATGGAGAAGTTGGTGGTCAACAGTTGCATTAATCCCATGAGCGCCATCATGGACTGTTTCAACGGGGACTTATTGTATGGCACCAAGGTGATCCCAATCATGAAAAGAGTCATCCAGGAGGCAATCCAAGTATTCTTTGCTGAATACAAAATCCTCGAGCAAATCCCTGAGGCTCGCAGCTTTTTGCAAGAGGAGAGATTGCTCAACCAGGTATTGAAGGTTTGCCAAGATACTCGAGCCAACAGCTCTTCGATGAGGGAAGACGTGCGGGCATTGAACCAAACTGAAATCGATTGGATGAATGGCTACATAGGAAAGTTGGGTTACAAGCATGATATTCCATGTCCCACGAATAAGATGCTTGTGGGAATGGTCAAGAATAAGTTGAGTATAAGTAAAGGTGTGGAGAGATCAGCTGCCGATATCGTGCTCGATTACAAATAGTCGTGGTTCGTTTTTTTGCACACATGTTAGTTTCTTCGGGTTAGCACAAGACTGGTTAAACCAGTATCATAGCGATTCTCGGTGGTATTGAATTCGCTAGAGTATAGCTGTATGTATAAAGTTAAAAGGATCATTCATAGATGGTTGTATGAGCAGAACCTAGTTCAGTGAAAATAAATTAATTCTATTAAAGGAGAGTATAGTCATTACTGGCCAGCTGGTTCTATATGTACATTGCTTGTTCAGTTTACTTCTGATTCTGGTTATTCTTCACCGTGTGTTCATTCCTTAGTTTTCGATAGTGATAAATCTCATAGATTGGCGATTTAAGTGATGGAAAGTACCTCTATTATCCCACTCTGCTGTTGTCTGCTGTAGTGGTCTCTGTCGAGTCACCTTGTGTCTATGTTTCTCTTTCCTCATGTCAGTAATTCTAATTTCTCTAATTCTGTCCTTGCAATCAACTTCATGTCTCTGTACAAAATTCCGATCACTCGCTTGCGCTCCTTGGTGAATTCGTCAATGTCGTCGTTGTACTCCAACTTCATCTTTTGGTCGCAATCATAAACCACCTTTTCAAGAATCTTCTTCAACAAGGTATTGGAGTTTTTCTGGTAAACCAGGCCGTCCATATTGCCATTTAGAAGCCCATTTAGCCTTCGCGATTCGCCTGGTGTTTGCTCTTGCAAAACGGCAAGCACCACTTCTGTTCTGAACGATATGCCTGAGTTTGCATTGAGGGTGTACTCTCCATAATAGTTTTGGTCCTTGAGATAATCCACCTGCTTGGGCTTCAACAAGGGAAGAATGATGTGAGTAATGTCCAAATCGTTCCAAGTATTATCTGAAGGAAGAACGAACCCATACTCACATAACAAAAACGTGTTGGAGTGAGGCCCATAGCTCAAGAATAACTGGTCGCCTGCTGCGTACTTGGAGGTGGTGGACACCTGGAATCCGATACTGTTAATCTTCAACGTACACTGGTCGTCGCAAGCGTGATTAAGAAAATCCACGTATGGAGCCATTGTGAAGTTGTCGTGGTTGTCTTTGCTTTGAGGCAACTCCATGTAGAGGCAACGGGAGTTGACACACATCCAGGCCCATAAGAAGCGTTCTTGTGGCAAATATTGGTGGATCTCTTCGCTGGAAAGGCCCTGGGTAGAAAGCAACTGATGTACCACGTCCACATCGTGCACGAAACGGCTCCATACTTTTTCAGCATGGGCCTGGGTGGCTCGTGGCAATAAGCTCCAGAGATGTTCCCACTGGGGTGCCTTGGTGACCCGCCACACCAACGGAGTCAATCTGAGATCATCGAGATCGGGAAGCATGTCCCAGAACGGCTTCCAAAACGAGTCAGAGCCTCGTTGGGTCTCAAAGGTAATGTACAAGGAGAGGAGCTGGAATGAGGTCAACTCCAAGAGCTGGTCCAAGCTCAAGCTGGCGTACACTGCTGTGTACTTATCAGACACCGTCTTGTAGGGCACGAAGATGCTCAGGTAACATGGGTTGGTGAGCTTGATGGAATGGTTGTGTCTGGTTATATGACGGATGACGGTAGTGGAGTTGAGCAAGAAAGACGGTGGGATCCGAAAGAGAAGCTCCGACTTATTGATGGCAGTGGAGGAGTAAATGGACCTACCAAAGTCTTGCACGTCCTTGACAGTGATCTTAGGCGAGATGTACGAGTGTGACGACGGGTTGGAGGTCTCGTCAGAGGTGTTCTTGATCCATTGGAGGAGGTTCTCGAGCTTGGAGGTGAACATGGAGACAATTACTGACTTTGATTCATCTCGCGCAGTCAGTATTAAAATACCCTTTTGATTCGCATAGTAGCGAATACTCATTAGGATAAAAATGCCCGTGGGTAGAAGGATTACCAGTATGAAGTTGTGATGGACTTTGAGAGAGTTCAATTGTTGGTAAATGGTTTGTTTAGTGACTGTTAGAAATTGGTCATGAATTAGTTGCACTTTACCTTGAATAAGTGAATATTTGAGACACAGATATATTATAAGTATACCTATAATTCGATTGACTTCTTATTTAGAGGTAGGGTGGTATACTTGTACGCTTCAGTTTTTTTATTGGAATTGAATTCTACATGTATAAAGAAAGAGAATAAATTTGTTAACAAAAATCCCCCTACAATATTCCCTGGACTTAACAGACAGAGAGCAGTTGGTATTGTATAGATAGAAGAAATTACTCTAAGGAATAGAATTGAACCAAATGGGCACACAGTGTGAAATCGACAGAAGTGAATTATGAAGACGCAGTATCACAATAAGTGTTCAGAATTCTCATTGCACAGTCCAAACAGTCTGATATGGTTATATTCTTCTAGATAAAGCGGATAGACTTGTCGCTTTGTTGGTAACGTCGACTTACTGGGGCATCATGGCGACACATACTGGCGAAACGTAAGCTGTAAGTCATATATATGTGTATGGTGGGGGCAGTGGATGGCTGGAAACTTGTTAATGGCTTGGAAACGTAGGTGCAAAACTATGAATGAATGTGAAGGGTCCTTTTCGAAGTGTTCTAAAACATGTTCAAAGTCAAGGCACTGGCTACCGATTTGGAATCAACGGCGTTCTTGAACTCCTCGAAGCTCAATCGCCCATCGCCGTCATGGTCGGCCTCCCGTATCGTTTTGTCGACGATCTGCTGCAACTCCTCTTCTTTCAAATTCTTGCCCACCATCATCTTCATCACGATGAACAACTCACCGTTGCCGATGTACCCATCGCGGTCGATATCGTACACCTTGAACGCAAACTTTAACTTGTCCAACTTTGAGGTCTTACCACTGAATGCAGACAACCCTGTGATGAACTCCTGGAAGTCGATGGTACCGCTGCCATCCTCATCGAAGACGTCCATTAGCCTTGTAGCCAATGGGTTGGAGGAGATGCCTGGAATCGCCAAAAACTCGTTCTTGTCGATGGTGCCGCTGCCGTCCTTGTCGAGTTTCATGAACCGCTTTCTCAAGCGGTCGATCTCGTCACGGTCGAAATTGGTGCCTTCCATGAGGCTGTCGAGAAGCTGTGAAGAAGCGTTACCCATTGTATTGATGATAAAGCAAGGCTGGTGGACTGGTACGAGCTGGCGCTGTTTGGAGGTGATAATCAAGCTATGGTTTTCAACTAGAAGCCAGGGCTGTGTGCAACTGGAGGGAGATCTATGTGCCTAATTCGACTGTCTATGCAGTCTGGTCAATATTAAGGCTGGAATAAGTGACGGTCGGAATGCGAGAAATCGTAAGCTGAGCCCGTAATTAGCGACTGAAGGTGTTGTATGCTGCCACTATCCAGATGTCTCACTGACGATAAGTTGAGGTGGCCCAGAACCCTCACATGACACACATCACATGTTGCTTCTGCTACGCGCCACCTGACTCCCATCACATGACGCTCCTCCCACGCGCCACTTCCTAACTGTCCGCGACGCTCCCCAATACACCACTACAACAACCTCAGCGTCTAGGCTTGTTTCATGGCTAGAACCCTCCCCCAGTACAGAAACACATCGAGAACTGGCCCCAAGGAATGAACATCAACCTCGACACCGCGAAGGACACCCTTTGCAAGAACATCCTCATCTACGGCTACTGCAAGTACGAGAACAAAGGATGCGTTTTCAGCCATAACACCAAGGCAGCTGCCGGAGCTGTGGGCGCTGGAGGCAGCCAGGGAGCTGCCAATGGCAATTCTGGTGGTACTGGTAGTGTTGCTGGTCCTGGAAAGAGTGCCAATGGTCCTGGCCCTGCTCCAGCATCAGGGTTTGATGCTAAGCGTAAGTTCAACTTCAACACACCTTCGTTCCAGCCTAGCGTGCAAAACGTCACCAACAAGTTCGCTGCATTGTCTCCACGAGTCAACGACATCCCCGTGTTCGTGCCTGGAGGGTCGGCCCCGCCATCTACAGGGTCTAGTGGCGTGGCAAACTCCTCGGGATTGAGTGCTCCAACCTCTCGAGGCGCCGACTCGGCCGACCAGACAGATGCTCCCGCCAAAAAGTTCAACGTTTCCACGCCGATATTCATGCCCTCTAATATATACGGGTCTGAATTTCCAGCTGGTTCTGAGACGAATAACTCCATCGCTCCCCCTACAAGCAACGGTGGCAGCAACAACCCCTACTTCCCGGGCAACTCGATGGTGCCTGGCGGCACCATGACGCCAGGCGCCTCCGAGGTATTCTACCAGCAGCAGGCAGCCACCTACCCCTTGCAATATCACCTATACGCCCCAGCTCCACCTCCAAGACTCACATTTCCATTACCACCTCACGAAACTAATGCGAACTTAATGTTTATTCCTAATGATTTAAGAGAAAGTCTCCAGAAGAAGAACGAAGCCACATTGCAGACCATCCCCAGATCCAACTTGCCGGACCATGTCAATACATACCATTCGTTGGTCCCCATAGATAAAACATATGAGCCCAACTCCGAAGTCTGGGGTATTCCCACTTCCCTATACAAGGTGTTCTCAAACGTTGATGGCAATGCGTATGCAATTAGGAAAATTGACCTCACATTCCCGATCATCAACGAATTGCCGTTTAGAACAATAAGGAAATGGAAAACCGTCAAAAATTCCAACGTCGTTCAAGTACAAGAAGCATTCACTACCATGGCATTTGGAGCATCAAAGTTGATCATTGCGTATGATTATTATCCAAACTCCAACACCCTTGTCGAGCATCACAGAAGAATCGGAACCCGGACCGAACCCATCACTGAAGACATCATGTGGAACTATACCATCCAATTGGTCAATGCTTTGGTGGCTATCCACGAAAAGGGTTTGGCGGCCAGGTCGTCATTATCCTTGTCCAAGATCATTGTAACAAATAAGAACCGTGTAAGATTATCCAGTTGTGGAATCAGTGATATCATCGATTTCGAAAAGGACGAAGAAGAAATTGGGCGTTTGGGAGGACAGGGATTCATCAACAAATTACAAAGAGAAGATGTGCACCGCCTAGGACGGGTTTTGATGGAGTTGAGTGCAATGACCATATCGCCAAACTTAAGAAACACCGACAAGCTGAGCTTGCTCGGATTGTTACGAACTGCCTCCACCTTGAACTTCAGCAGTGAGTACATCGAGATGTTGACCAAGTTGAACGAGGATTCCGAACATTTCGATTTGGTTCAATTCCGCCAAATATACTTGAGCTCGCGTGCGTTCAAGCTTTTGAATGAATTGCAGAATTCCAATGACTATATTGAATCACAACTAGGAAGCGAGCTTGAGAACGCTCGCTTGTTCCGGTTAATGGCCAAATTGAATTTCATCATTGATAGACCCCAAGCCAAGGACTGGAACGAGAACGGCAACAAATACGTTCTCAAGCTCTTCAGAGACTATGTTTTCTTCCAGTACGATGAGTTTGGCAAGCCTATAACCGACTTATCGCGGGTTTTGGTGAGCTTAAACAAGTTGGACGCCGGTATAGACGAAAAGATCTTGTTGGTTAGCAGAGATGAAAAGAGCTGCATTATGGTGAGTTATAAGGAAGTGCGGGACATGGTGGACTCGATATTTAGGACTCTTACGAGGGATAGATAGTAATACACTTTAACAAAGATATATGTAGAAAGGTCTGACCAGCAAAAGGGGCCAGGTAGTGGTAGGTGGTGAATAGCTACAATTTGCCGAGATGAATTCCAATAAAGAGCAATAAGAGCCGGTTTATGGAGACCTTCTGGAATTTATCATTTAACTCAAAGAAGAGATAATCAGAGTACTCGATTGTTGCGTTGGGCTGAGGAACGAGATTTTATGAACAGGGTAGATTGCAGATCTCCCTACGGAGTACCACAAATAATGGCTCCTAGTTCAGTTCGAATTGGTGGTCCAGATCTGGTGATACTCTATCAAATGCCGTTTGGTAACTCGACCTCGAAATGAATGCCATCCTGTATCAACCATTACGCTAACTAACATCCTAATGTAATTAACTGATCGGTTATCACCCATGATACAGCATTGCCTTAGTACGGAAATTTATATAGTACTACGAAGTTCTACAACTCTCGTGAAGTAGAGAATATTCATCCTCTGTTAAGCTCCTTCTTAATATAGTGACATGCTGAAGACCTACCAGCACTGATAACATCCATGAGTAAATAATCTCTTCACCTCGCGGTGGTTATGGAATCAGGGCACTCCAGCTCCATCACAAGCATTTTGTATTCATCAGCCATGTTAGCTGAATTAATCCGTGAGTTGACTCCAGGTATGTCAATAGACATTCTTTGTCAGTCATGATTAGTTGAAATCGTCAAGCGCTCCAAGTCCATTAAACAGCGCTATCCGGTGAGGCCACAAAAAGTCCCCCTAAGGAGACCGCTAACGACTTCCTACAGAAGGAGATGCTTCCCAGGGGTTGCACAGGCACTATACCATCCTGGACGAAGTCTACTGGGTAGCCATGATACCCAGTAATCTACCAAATCTTCATCCAGTTTGCACCTGTGCGTTTTCCAAATTAAGCACTACTGGCAAAAATCCTCGCTACTCAACTATGGAGAATTGCAACAGTATAACGAGAAATGGGTTTTGCCGCAGCATTCCCCTTACGGCGACTGCAACTCCCACCGAGTCCTAGGCCGAGATGCTAACTAATCAGCAGGCTGGTGCGGGTTTTTTCACTGGTGAGTGACCACTGTGGGTGCAAACGGCCAAGCATCACCAGGGGGAGGCAACTTTCTTGGTAGGTCAGCGCCGTCAGGCATCACCATACTGCCATAGCCAGACCCAGACCACCTGCAGAGTAGCATGGTGGCAGAGCCAGAGCTCTCCCAGTATACTATCCAGTCCTAGATGCGCTCGTACTCTGTGTCTGCTTGCTGTCACTGATGCGCATGGTGCCGTGCAGCAAGATCCAGACACCAAATCTCACCGCAAAAAGCGAGGCTGGAAAGACTCATTAGGGGCCAGGCAGTCTGGCCAGTCTGGCCAGTCGAGCCAGTCACCAGGGCTGACCCCGCCAGGATGGCTGCGGCCCTGACTACGCTTGGCGCGATTCCGCTCCCAGCCGGTCATCAAGCGCTCCCGCTGGCCATCGGACAAATGTGTCACAACCCCATGCGTCCCGTCATGTTCGGCCCCGCACCCTGGTCAGGCAATCCCGACGGCCACCCACCACCAGTCACCAGTGGCAGTTTCCACAGTAGTGAAGCCAGGATCCCAGCCAGGCGCCGCTACCGGCTGGCTCCCGCTAGCCAGCCAATCACGGGCAGTCCCGGCAGGTGAATCATCCGCCACCACCACCACCAGGGCTGCCATGATTCATCACGCTCACGTGATTCCCGGTGCTCGCACGCGCCCCTATGTTCTGACTCATAAATTGCTTTTCCCGATAAGCATTGTGGTGGTTCCTGCACTGGAGGGGGTGAGTAATCGTGATATCCGCACAGACGTGAAATTCTCCACCCCTAACCACCGCCATATAAATATTTCCACTCCCCCATCTTGGCCCACCACTGACTCTTGTCAACCCCTCCAACCGCGCCCTCACGTTCACACGCTCAACTTCCATCTTTCTTCCTTCCCCCCGTCCAGCCTACTCCCCCTTGTGTTAGTGCTGTCTTTGTTGCTTTCCTTTTCCTTGGTTCTTTAGGTGTTCTCGGTGTTCGGTCCGTTTACTTCATTATCTGCATTCTTAGTGGTTGCTTCTAACAGGTTTAGAAGCGTTTCTTCCGGCTCCATCTGTCTCTCTTTCTGACAGCTGCGACTCCCCTTGTTTAATCTTTAGCCCCGTCTGTCCATCCATCCAACAGACCTACAAATTGTTCCATCTTTAGTCTTTTTTCACGTTTCCTAGTCCAGTGTCCAATATGATTTCCTCCAACTAGGTTACTACCAACCTGTCGTTTTTTGAGAATTTTAGGAAGTTTTATGATTTGAACCCACCTCCTATTTTTTTCATCTTATTATTGTTATCGTTATCGGTTATTCCTGTCCCCCATCCCGTGTCTGTTATAAACTTTGATTGGTACCCGAAATGGCCTTGCAATCTCCTGTTTCCCCCAGCGTTATCGCTGCGGCCAAGCTTGACATTCAGCCCAAGGATGTATCCAAGTTAAATTCATCAATCACCACCTCCAAAGACTTGTTGACACCTCCCCCCACAAACTCATCTTCTCCTTTAAACAACAAAGATATCTTGTTGCCAAACAACTTCAAGTACTACACAAAGCACTTGAACAAGAACCAATTCAACTCAATCTTACTTAACTGTACGGTTAACTTAATGAAAATCTTGTACCAAGAAAACAAAGATTCATCCATTGACGAAAAAGAGTTGAAGTTCTTTGTTGTGGAGATCTTAAGAAGATCCAAAACTTCCATCCAATCCCTACAATTGACATGCTTCTACTTGGTGAAACTCATCAAAATGAACATTCAAGATTTGAAAACTGATCCATTATTTAAGGACGCCAAGAAGTTATTCTTGGGCTTGATTATCATCGCCTCCAAGTTTAACCAAGACTACAACTACTCTTTCAAGTCTTGGCTTAAGATTTGTGGCGTCAAAGAGGATGACAATACTGGAACCTTCAATTTGAAGATTTTAAAAAGTATCGAATTTAAATGTTTAACCTTATTGAACTACGATATTTATTTGAATGACTTGAAATATGAGAACTGGTGCAACATTTTAATCATTTTTGGTTACGATTTTATCAAGTGTCAATTGGTTGACAACTCAGAAAACAACGAGATTATTTGGGAATCTAACCAGTTAAAGGTTAGCAAGAAGTTAGACAAATGGTCGAACTTCTTTGCCCACAACTTTAAGTTGACCAACTTGAACTTGATCAAAATCAACTTTAATAACTACTACTTGAATCAACTTGGTACTAAGATCTTGATCAAAGATCAAGCAGTTCCTTCTCTTTTCTCTGGCCCTGGAATGGCTTCCAAGAAGAGATGTCGCGATCAAGATGAATTTGCAATTCAAGACTCTCTTCAATTTTCCTCCAAGAAAGTCAGAGCTTTATAGGATCTACAAGTTGTATTGTATAGTCAAATTAAAGTATTTTTGAATTATTGTATCCATTATTCATCCATTTCGCTGGTAGTACTGTGGTGGTCAGAATGTTTAATTCATGTATTTATGTCATAAAAAATTCAAGCCCTAATTATCTCACATCATATCTATATACATTATACTACATACAAGCAACCATCATTTCCCCAAATTCCGGTGGAATCGTTCAAGGTCATGAATCCATTGTTCTGATTCATAAACAGCTTGTTTTGATCATGACGTAACAAGGATTCACCAAGCAAATTAGCCTCCGTTGTCTCATTGGAAGTCCCTACCAACCAAGTGGTGGTCTTGCCAATATTGTATCCTCTAACCATTATATTTCCAACGTTTTTGGCATTAACATTGATCAATTTGATCTCCATGGCTTGTGAAATGCATCCAAAAGACTTCAAATTAGAAACATTATTTAAACGGTAGTCATAGAAGTCGGTCAATATGACCGGGCCAATGATATTATAGTAGCCAGACTCCACGATAACCCTGGTTGAGAACAAGCATCTCATGGTATTATATTTGGACATGGGGATCTCGGGAGAATTCTTCAAGGACTTGTTGACATATATTAATCTCAAGTGTTTGGGATTCCTTTGGTCGTAACTGAAATTGGAGAATTTCCCCTTGGATAAGAACTTCAACTTTTGATTGAAGAAGAACTTGGTGTACCAACTGAGCTGATCAAGGTAAGAGTCGATTGGCATCTTCGCCAACCGTGCCTCACTAACCGATACGATGGTTGGATTGAGATCAAAGATGGTATCCCATGATATCACTGCATCCAAGGGTTTGTTTAACAAAGTGATTTGACTATTACTTATGAAACCAGTCATAAGTTTTGTCAAATTGTTGAGCATATGGTCATTTGAAGCCAAGGCATCGTTGATAATTAAGAACGAGTCATTGGAGTCGACCACTTTGGTTAATGGGAGATGTTTTAAGGTGGAAGCCACAGCACTAATAAGATTCAATTGAGTGAATTCGATGGTAGAGAGCACCTTGTTGTTGATCTTGCGAGTGATTTTGAGGGCAATTCCTTTGTCCTTGGTAAAATTGTACTCGTTGTCGAAGGTAGCTGTGGTTTCGCTGTAAGAATAAAGCCAATCATTATCGAGTGACAAAACGCCCGTGCTTTTCAGGTAGGAAATGATCGATTTGTCCTCGAAGTTGAAAAGAAGGAAGTCATGCATTTCGTGAGACTGGATATAGGCTTGCTCGCTGTCATCAACCACAATAAGCGAATTGTTGAGATCCTCGGCATTCGCAGGCAAGTTGGTGATGTCGTCGTAGAACTCCACCGTCACCTGGTTTAAAAACCCGGCAAATATGGCCACAAACACGTCTTGGTTGACCAAAAAAAACCGTACGTTGATCTTGATGGAGGTGATAGAGTTTGCACGCAAGTAGTCACCGAGTCGGGCGATTCTGTGGTTGAGGGCGTGCAAAAGGAGGGGCTGGTTGTCGATGTTCAAGTTGGAGGTGTTGGAGGCGTTGTCCATGACTATTTGCCAGATATCACAGAGGTTGCCGTGTCTGACCTTGTAGTGGTCGTAGCGAATGTCGAGACCAATGCGCAAGCCATGAGAATGGTCCAACTTGTTGCTTTTGTAAATGGCAGACTCGTTTGGAAGACGAGTGGCTTCGATGAGCGACTGGTCACTGAGGTACAAGTCGTTGACGTCCTTGGTCGACTCGATGTACTGGGAGTAGATGTAGTCAATGACCACCACTGCCACTACCGTGATGACCACCGTGTGGAGGTCAATTCCTAGAGGGAGTGACGGGAGGGGCATCAAGGATCATATACCTTTCGGGGGCAACTAGGGATCTTGAGGTAAGAACAAGTGGCTGGAGCAAGAAAGTGTTGCTGCAGTGAGTGCCAGACAGGAAGAACACGGGCAAGTAGAGTCCAGCGATGCTGTGGCTGTGGATGGAAGTGAAAAGCTAGCGAGAGGGGTGGCAATTGTTGGCTGATGCCAGGAGTGATCATCGCACCCATCGTACCTATACGCGATCGGCACGTGACCACAGTCCCAACACGGTGACAATAGCCTTGTCGATAAGCCTTCCAGGGGATGTTTATAGCCAGCAAGGCAGCCAGGTGCGCGTCGCACTGGTTAGTGGGCCCCGGGCCGGGCTAGACGATTGCGCCGTAGACTAATATGACCATATGGGTCAGGAACTGTACAGAAAAGGACAGGATAATCAGGATAATACGGGTAAGGTACAGGTTGCATAACTCAGGTACCGCGAATCGCTTTCCAAACAGGAAGTGGTTATGGCTTGGACGCGTACGTGAAGAGTGGTGGGTCTTTGGCGAAAAGACACCTAAGAACCCAAAGTGTAATTGGATTCGTGGAACAAGAGAGTCAATAACAGGTGGATCCATAAAAATTAGAAATTGGGTATTGTAGTGAGATCTATTATACTATAATGTGATGGACTACTCGCAATGTGGTTAATTAGATACAAGCTCTACTGCTGTAGATGAGGGGATACTACTCGTGATAGGTTAATTAAATTTATGCTCTACTGTGGTGGATAATGAGACACTATTCTTAATGTGGTTTATTGCCAGGATGAGTACTGGGAATAACCATGAAGAACCAGCATCAGAATGGCACTTGCATACTGGTTGTAATCAGTAATTAACAGGCATTGTTGTAGATCTCCCCAACATTAATTTTTCTGCAACTTTGTCTTTGTTAGATTGTCTAGAACTTACTATTCCATAATAACTGTGACTAGACTTGTTTGGACGTATCGAACACAATATTGCAATTCACATCCAACTTACTTTACTTTTCATTAATCCTTAACATCCCCAATAAACTCACCAGTTGGTGGCCAATTTCATAACTCGCAATTACACTCCGCTGGTCGGTCTGCTACCGCTCGACTCCCGCATTGGTGCACAATTAGCCTCTACTCCCCACGCATTTTCCCAGCTCACTCTACACCCACACTGCCCCCAATAACGCCCCAAACTACACCTTACACGGCTAAACTCCAAATCTATCAGCTATAGATCTTAACATAGCAAATAGTGATATCAAGTATCACTCAACCAGAGTAATGTAGTAAGGATGTTCTCGCGGCTGCCCTCCGTCCCCATTCCACCCTCACCTCGTTCCATCCGCACTGCCACCACCAATTGTGCCAGTGGATGCGCACGCGCCTAATCTCATTTGACGGTCTCAGATCACCACTTCAGAAAGTCACCACCAGCCGCCCACAACACGCCCCAGCCTCCTACGAGAACACAACCAGAAGACCTCCCACACCACCCGCCGGCCGCCATCACCCTCTGGCCATCGTATCCTGCCCAATCCCGCAATGATCCGCGTCTTCATTCCCAAGTTCCGAAGCATCCACCATCTCGTGGTCATCCTCCTCATAGTCTGGATCGGCACCTTCGCCTACCACGAGCGGCTTGCACCTGGCTCGGCTGCCAGGCATTGTCTGTGGCCTGCCGTGCAAGCGCCCACCAACGTGCTTCTCGTGGCCGATCCCCAGCTTATCGATAATCACACCTACCCAGGGCGGTTTGGGCCCCTCCTCACGCTCTCGCAACATACAGTGGACGCCTACCTCAAACGCAACTACAAGGCGCTTCTCACGTCCTTGAAGCCCGACTACGTGGTATTTTTGGGTGATCTTTTGGACAACGCTCGAGATTCCTCCGACGCCTACTTCGCCAACGAGCACAGACGGTTCCAGGGTATCTTCCAGACACCCTACCCCTACCAGCAGGGCAGTAATTTGTTGTTGAACACTCCAGGAAACCACGATATAGGCTTTGGTGACGGTGTCAACCAGGCAGCACGTACGCGCTTCATCAACACTTATGGAGACGTGAACACCGTCACCACCATCGCAGACGTGGACTTCTACTCGCTCGACTCCCTCTCGTACTCTGCAGACGCAGTCGAAATCAACCACGAAGCCAGGGCCTTTGTTGGAAGCGTGGGACCCAAAAGCAGGCCCAGAATTCTATTGAGCCATGTGCCGTTGTACAGGGACTCTGCCAAAAGCTGTGGCCCCTTGAGAGAAAGCGCATACATGGATGTCGCTGGCCACGGGTACCAATACAAAAACAATCTAGACCAAGAGCTTTCTCGTACCCTCATCCAGAACATCCAGCCAGACGTGATATTCTCCGGAGATGACCATGATTACTGCGATATCGTGCACGCGCCTGTGGATGGTCTTGAAACCAGAGAAATCACCGTCAAGTCCATCAGCATGGCCATGGGAATTAAGTATCCTGCCGTACAGTTGCTCTCCTTCAACTCGAATACCACATTGACCTACGACACCCAGATATGTTACTTGCAGACCCCATACATCAATGTGGCTAACTACATATTTTTGGCGGTTGCAACTGGGTTATTGGTCCTCTTGTGGAACATCAAGCAAAAGTCTCCTAGATACACCTACTCGTCGATTCTTCCAATGACTGACGAATACAAACCCTCGGCGAACGCTAGAAAAATATCCAACTTCCTCAAGGAGCAAGACCAGCTTGATGTCCCGGATGGCCCTACGCGAACTAACTCATCTTCCTACTACTTGTATTCGTCCAATTCCTACACTACCAAATCATCCTCAAATTCGGGGTTGTCAAATATTTTCAGTAAAGCAAAAACCGCCATCACTGTGTTTGTGCGCAAGTGGAACCTACTTCCTTTCTTCAAGCACTCCATGTTGCTAGGCACCTTGGTGATCTGCATCTACTACTTCGGGTTCATCCTTACCTTGTGAACCTGATCACGTGGACCCGTCTATGTGTCAATTGATGCGGCTCATACATGCCTAAACCGGCACCCACTATGTTTCAGGTGAATGTGGTGATATCCACGTCTTAATAAGGAGCGATCCGTGGACATTGCTCCAAGCTCTATGGAGAACTCTTTTCCTGGCCGTACTCAAATTTTTTCGAGTTTCCACTGAATATACCCACCACCAGCATGGGTTGTACGGCAAGTGTTCCCAGCAACGAGGAAGATGATCCATTTCTCCAGGATAAACATATCAATGATCAGATTGAGCAGAGCTTGCGTATGACTAAGGGAAATGATAGGAACGAGTTCAAATTATTTCTATTGGGAACTGGGGAAAGTGGAAAGTCTACAGTGTTGAAGCAAATGAAATTGCTTCACAAAGGAGGCTTCACTTCTCAGGAACGCGTTCAATACGCCCAGGTAATCTGGTGTGATTTAATCCAGTCTATGAAGATATTGCTTGTACAATCTTCGAGGTTGGGAATTGCCCTAGACTCTGATACAGAGGGAAGTCCATTAGCTCCATTTAAGCAAGCCGTGCTAAATGCAAATGCACTACAATTGGTGAACATGGGAGCTGCAGGCAGTTCAGATTATTTGAGTGACTATGTGATAAAGTATGGCGAGCGTAATAGAGCTAAAAGCCGATTGAACGAAACGGGAGCTCCAGACAATGCATTTTTGAAAGAGGGCTCCAATGAACAAGATAGCACGGAAACAGTTGTAAATGAGGAACTTATGGAAATATATCCAATGTCCGAGCAAAAACAGATTTATACAAGACATGAAGTTGCTGAAGCAGTTTCCAAATTATGGAGTTTGGATTCTGGAATCAAAAAATGTTTTGAAAAATCACACGAATTCCAATTGGAGTCGTCTGCTAGCTATTATTTTGATAACTGCATGAAGTTTGCCGATCCCAACTACAAGTGCTCAGACTTGGACATTTTGAAAGGAAGAATCAAAACCAGCGGGATCACAGAAACTGATTTCATGGTTAACCTGTTTAAGTTCAAGATTTTAGATGCCGGAGGTCAAAGATCTGAGAGAAAGAAATGGATCCACTGTTTCGAGAATATCACAGCCATTATGTTCGTATTGGCGGTATCCGAATACGATCAAACGTTATTCGAGGATGAGCGGGTGAACAGAATGCATGAGTCAATTGTTTTATTCAACGCCCTCTGTAACTCAAAATGGTTTATCAACACGCCTTTCATCTTGTTCTTGAACAAGATCGATATCTTTGAGCAGAAAATAGCAAGGTCGCCTCTTAAAAAGTATTTTCCAGACTACGATGGAAAGCCTAATGATGTTGAAGACGCACTTAAGTTTTTTGAAACCAACTTTTTGAAGTTAAACAAGACCAACAAGCCAATTTATGTTCACAGAACATGTGCAACGGATACCAAGTCAATGAAGTTTGTTTTATCTGCGGTCACAGATTTGATTGTTCAAAGGAACTTGAAGAATAGCGGTATCCTTTGATCATTGACAGGACATTACATAGGTTCCGGAATTAACGTATTTATAATACTATAAATATATGTATATACGATTCAACTAGTGTATCAGTGGTAAGGAATTTTGTTCATAATATGCAATTGATGGAAATTTCGTTGCTTACCATCTCAACATAGCCATTTCATTTCTCAATCTGTTGTAGTCGAACAAGGCTTCGATTTGACCAGTACCAGAAACAACAATATCCTTGTCCCATAAGGCGGCTTGGGCCCAGGCCTTAACATCCTTGGTGGAGATGGCATCGATTCTTTCCAAAGCCTCCTTGACAGAGGTTCTGTAACCAGCCAATAACACCTTGTTACCGATATCAGAGACAATGGCGTTGGAAGAGCCCAATTCTCTCAACAAAGCGGTCTTGGCAGCGGCCTTACCACGGGCAACCTCGGCGTTGGTGATGGAAACCGACAATCTGTTCCATTCCTTCAAGGTGAAGTGGACAAAGTCGTCGACTTGGCCAATGTTGGAGATTTCAGAGTGGAAACCCCACAAACCGGAGTCAGAGTAAGACTTGGAGAAGTGGGTGTATTTGTCAACAATGTGGTAGTCTTGGACAATGGAGGCCAACTTGGCACTGGTGTAAGGAGCGATGGTGGAGTTTTGGTCGAATTTACCGAAGATTTCGGCGGCAACCTTAGCAACGTGGTAGGCTGGGGAGGTCAAGCCTTCACCTTGAACGGCGATAGAAACGTAGGCCTTTGGCAAGGTGTCGTCTCTCATTCTGACTTCAGAGCCCAAGAAGGTGGCTGGCTTGGTTTCTGGCTTCAAGCCTTGGGCGATGTTCAAAGAGCCTTCGATGGCGTCAACCAAAGCATCGTGGTCGAAGTTACCAGAAGCAGCGATGACAGTGTTGGCGCTGACCAAGTGTCTTTCCAACAAACGAGCAGAGTCTTGCAATTCCAAGTCCTTGACGGATTCGACGGTACCGTAGGTTGGCAAGCCCAAGGAGTAGCCCTGGAAGGCGGTAGCGTTCAAGTGTTCCAACACCTTGGAGGTTGGGTCAGCTTCGACAGCTTGGGCCTTACCGATCAAAGCGGCCTTGGCGACGGCGAAGTCGGCCTTTTCCAAAATGGCGAGAGGCTCAGAGGCAATCTTGGCGATCAATTTGGCGGCTTCCTTGACGTTTTCGTTGGTGGATTGGGCAATGACACCGTTAGTTTCCTTGGTGTTTTCGGCAGATAACAACACACCGTTTTGCAAGCCAGAACCCAAGATGTTGGTGGTCAAGGCAGAGATACCGTTGCTGTAGGTGTGTTCAGCTCTGGAACCAGCACCGAAGTACAAACCCACGGTGGAGGAGGTGGCATGAGGGTTGACTTCACTGGCCACAGTGACACCGTTGCTTAAGGTGGTGTACTTGGTTTGGGCGTTGGCGGTCGAGACGAAACGACGAGATGCAAATTGCTTAACAGCAGAACGAACACCGGATCCACGAATCATTATAGTTGAGGTTGTTTAGTTGGTAGATTGGGTTTTGAAAATTTATGGTGATTTTTCTGAGGACTGGCCAATGAGGACTAGGCGAATTACCGGCTTGTCTGCAGGACACTATCTAGTGTCTGTGGAGAGGTTCGATACGAGAAGTGGTGCCACGGCGGAGATGGGGCTCCAACAGCAGTTGGGGGTGCTGGACAGCAGTGGGGGGGTTACACACAGACCAATGGCTGTCTCTGGCTGTCTGGATGTGCACTGGGGGCTGTTTTCGCATGGGACTAGCTGTCTTGAGAGGAATTGTGGCATAGGCTCACGTGCCCATGGTTGTAGTACTGAGCCAGAATAGGCCTGGTGGCAGACAGTGGCAGTTCCAGTGTCGTTTTGCCATTCTGGGGCTGCAGGCTACTCAGCTTGGTGTAGAGGGTCCTGGCAGGCTCCAAATTGATTGCAAAAAAATCTTTGTTCTCCTTGTTTTTTGCATCTACCAGACAGAAGACATAATTGGGTATGTTTGGGACCAGCTGGACAGTGACAGAGTGAGCTACTTCCAGCAGGACATCTCCAGCAACGACCTTCCTATCCCAGTCTTTGGTATGGATTGCACCACCACTGGGACATCTACCGTTTGGTATTGGGCTCTGTACTGGTGCCCGGGCCGGGCACTGGTGGTGCGAAACCTCCACAAAGGACCAATGGAAGGCTTCGTGGCCGTTGACCTCAAACCCGACACTTGTAGTTAGTAATTGGGGATCCTGTTTGGCAGTCGGCTCCAACGGGGGCCATTGGGCCATTTTTGGGTACAGTTTTTTTGGTGGTTCCAGTGGTTGGCAGATGCTCTCACAGCGGGAAGATTCCTCCTGTAACGAAACAAGGGTGGGAGAGGTGAACGCAAGAGGAGAGCTTGGAGCCACAGGAACAAAGACATCTCCAAAGTCCTCGAAGACTGGCAGGGCAAATTCGGGGACAATTTTGGCCCTGGGAGCCAAAGTCAAAAACTCGCCTGGTTTGAGGTGGTACTCATCGTGGGGAAATGCTCTCAACGACAAGAGCGTTTTGCCCTTGAGTTTGGTATGGATGAGTCGGGGATCGTGCGAGTTGCTGTAGCGGCGCCGTCTCCACTCCACTAACAAGATGTCCCATCTGTGTTTGAGCTGGTGGATGGTGTTCTCAAATGGCATTGTGATTGCCGCAAATTCTTGTGAGAAATGCAAATTTCTGACAAAATTGGACGGGGAAAGTAGATAAATTTGAGAATCGTAGAGTGAAGATTAAAGTGAACAAATTATTGTGGATGAAAGAGTGAAGATGCAAGAGGGCAGCGAGAAAGGAAGAGCGCAGATGAATGTGGGCTAGGCTACCATTTCGACTGTGACGTAGTATGTCAGCGAATGAATCGATCAATATCTAGTGGGACCGTTTTTTACAATGGAAGCAGTTGAGACATAATCCACTGGGTTGAAGTAACACCCTTGACTCGATCAATAGGATACGTTCTCTAGAAATTACATCTGGTGTAGGCTGTTCGTTCAGATTACTTGCCATTTTGGAAGGTTCCAAACTTGTTGCTCAAATGGAACATATTCCTTCCAGTCCTTTTCGACTCTACAACTAATATCTTTTTTGCTGTTTGTTGTCTATGTACACTAAAGTTGGATGTTGGCTCTGCTGGACATGGCAGTCTTGTGCATTTGAGCCTTCTTGTCGTAACCGGCGGATTTACCCTCGTAAGCAGCGATGATTTCCTCGGCCAATCTCACAGAAAAGTCGGGGGACTTCTTCTTGCTACTACTGTCCAAGATCCAGGTGATGGCATATCTGTTTCTCTGCTTCTTGGTCAATGGAACTGGCACAAGCTTATTCTTAGCAGTACCTGTGAGCTGGGTTCTGGTGGTGACCAAGGGACCCAACTTGTCCAAGGTCTCGTATAATATTTGTACTGGGTCCTTTCTGGTCTTAAGGTAGATGATGTAGAATGCTTTGGAGATGATTTTTTGGGCCTTGGACTTCTTTCCGTGTCTCATGATCATGTTGGTCAAGCTGTCCACGATAGGGTCGGACTTCAAGGGTATGCCCTTGTTGGCAAACTCTTCAACTTCGGCCAACTGTTGTTCGGAAGGCTCGAACTTTTGCTCCAAAAATGGCTCTGGGGTGGCTAACGTGGAAAGGTACACTTCAGACTCAGTCTCAACGTTGGTCTTGCCGTTCTTCAATGCCTTGACGGCGGTTAACCACTCATCAAGGTCGTTCTCGGTGATGGAGTCCTTGTTCACAGGGAATACTTGGGCAGTCAATGATGGGTTGTTGGAGTTGAATCTGGAGAATACAGCTGGTCTGAGCGCAGACAGCCATATTCTGGGGCATGGAGCGAACACCCTTCTGGTGCATGCTCTTATCAACGACATGGTGGTGGATATACAAGAGTCGAGATTGAAAAATCAGTATGAAAATTTTCCATTTTGTGTTACCCTCACTGGTTTCTGGCGTTGCTGGTGGTGGGCACTTAGCGAGAGGTCGCACAAAATGGCGAGCCATGACGCGCGAAGCGGGGGATTTAGCGAGAGCTCCCACAAAACGGAGCGAATCTGTCGCGAAGATGGTGCTACGAATAGCGAGAGTCTCGCTAGGCCGGCCGCAAAACACGACCACGCGACTCAACTACATACAACCTACCCCATAGAATGGCGCTTCAGATACCCCCTCTACAACCTGAGTTGGCAGCTCTTCTCGAAGATGTTGCTGACAGCAAGAAGAACCAGCAGCTGGTAGCACTTGCCTGGCGCGAGAAGCTCTTGCCTGGCCTCCAAACCCACCTAGCCGCCATGGTGGACGTCTCGTTGTCACAAGGCGAGCAGTTCAGCGTACGACCAGAGGGAGTAGACCTCCAGAAGTCGATCGTGGGTGTCCACAAGAGAATCACAGATCATATCCTGGACAATTTCACCCAGCTGCCGCCCTTCACGTTGCCTCGTTTGGCCGAAGTGTTGTTGCGGCCCCAAAACGAAGGCTATTTGTTGGGCAACAACGTGGCGGTACTCAAGTACTTCAATGCGTTGGCCAAACTCGTGTTGGTGTCGTCGGGAATCGAAGACTTCCCGCCCATCACGTTCCTGGAACCCAGTCAGACCCGAGAAATTATGGAGCCTATACGAACGAGCCAGACAGCCGTGAGCATTCCATTGGTGGAAATTCCGTGGTTGAAACAGGAGGAAAACGACACAGTTGGCGAAAAGGACGAAAACGGGACAGACAAGCAGGAGGTGGCGCCTGAGACCAAACAAGAACCCGATATGGGCCCTGTGCCCACCATTTCTCCTCCGGATCCAACACTCCTGGATGAGCTGGGAATAGTGAAACACGAGGTACCGAAGTCGCCAAGACGGAGACGCAACCAGGAGACAGAGACCTTGGACAGCTTGGACTTGGGACAAAGCAACGGCTCGAAAAAGGCCAGGACAGATGGCAAAAAGAGTCCCACCACCCCATCCAAGACATTACTATCTGACGAGGAGAACGATAGAATGGACCTATCAAATACCGTGGGTGATGATTCTCTCACATTGACCTCACCAAATCCACCCACCAACCCGAACGACTTATTGAGCGACTCGCCATTGCAACACCGTGATCAAACCATGGAAGACACTTGAATTGAGTGAAGCAAACAAGTGAAATATTAAAGTAAAATACTCTTTAATGTGCTGTTTCCTTAACCAACAGTTTTGAGTGATCTTGAAGTTCACATCAACGAGGTAGTTAATTTGAGTCACAACCAGCCTACACAGTTAAATTCAGAACTTTTATTAGTACAGAAATGAGCTAGCAAGCTAGCGGGTCGCTGGAAACTTTACTATGGCGATCTTCTTTCCCTGGATGGAGATCTGGATCTTTGGGGGGACCTGTCCCTGTACAGAGGCTCGTATGTGTCAGTTCTGGGTCTTTCCCTACTTCTTTGGCCCGGAACGTAGGAGTCGTGTTTATAGTCGCCTCTGTAACTATCCACATAATCCCTTGGTTGGTACCCGTCCTTGCTAGGAACCACGTTGTAGGGTCTAGGCCCAGTCCCATCGTATGGTCTGGGGCCCGTCACATCGTAGGGCCTAGGACCACTGCCGTCGTAGCTGTCACGTTCATAGCCATAGTAGCCACCTCTTCTTCTGCCCCCTCTTCCGCCTCTCGAACGGTAGCCACCCCTGCCTCTACCACGGGGATTGAACCGAGGAATGAAGTCCCCGTTCAATAGCGTGTGGTTCGCTATCACTTCCTCGCCTCTTGATTCGTAATCGATTTTCCACACTCCGTTGCGGGGTCCCCTATCTTCTTCAAACACCCATTGGTTGATGGCTTTCACCGGGATATAGTCCACATAGAGTGGGAGCCTTTCAGGCAGGAACTCGCGGGGAGACACTGGCTCCTTCAACTCGTCTTTATCACGGTCGTCCTCCGCATCGTCCAACGCTTTCTGGTACTGGACGGATTCCAATTCGAACCTCTCTTGTTCACGGGCCTCGTACTCGGCCTTCAACTTCTCGTCCTCCTCGGGCGATGGATACACCGACCCGTTCAACTTGTCCCGTATGAACTCGGCCCCCTCCTCCCTATCAACAAGCACGATTCCGTGGGTTCGGGACCGGTTCAACCAGGCCCTCTCCACGTGCAATCCACCAGCGTCAGCCGCCAATTCCTTCAAGTAGTTCTGGAAATTGATGGCGTTGACCGGTCTCCTGAGGTTGGCGATGAACAATGCCCTGGTGATGTGGAATGACGCTTGGTCCTTGATTTCGTACACTATTTCCGATTGACCATCCGAGTCGTCTGGCGCTTGCAAGCCCTGGTGGTCGATGACCTTCTTGGGCTCGTCCACCTTGGCGATTGGCTCGTCTCTCTCGTAATCAAGAACTTCGCTGTCACTCATCCTGGATAGGAGTAGTAGCAGATGTTTTGAAGATGATTTTCGGGGTCGTGCGGGGAGATTAGCAACCAGTAGAAATCACTGGTGGTGGAGTTCACACGAGGTGTATATTCTATATACAGATGGATGCTATAACAGGAGCTGAGACCGAGGTTCTAGGCGGTGGAGCTAGGGAAGGATGCGGTGCAGCAAGGGAGACCAGAAGTCGTAGTGAGAACAGTATTGTAGCGAGGATGGTCATCGTAGCGAGAGAGTCGCAGGGGAGTCGCAGGAGGAGCGCAGTGGAAAAGTGCAGGCCAGCCTCGCTGGCTCCACACACTCCCTCGCTAGCCCCCTCGCTAGCCCCCTCGCTAGCACCCTCGCTAGCTACCAGTTCCTCCCTAGGCGCCCCACATATGCTGGAGCAAATCAAAGAGTCCGTTATTGTCAGTCTCAAGAACATACGCTCCATACATCCCCACAAACGTTCCGAACGTCAACAACCTCGAGGCAATCTTGTGCCACACCCCATATACTCTCTGGGGAATATAATCGATGATACACGCCTTGAGACCAACGTGACAGTGGAACAAGAGCGCCACGGAGCACACGGCATCTATGAGGGGATAGTCCACACCAGCAACGAAGGGAGTCATCACTAACGGCACCAACGCCACCGAAATCGCCCTTTCGTACGACCAGTGGTAGCCTCCTTCGTAGTGGTCAGCCATGGGTGGTTGGTAGGCATCGTTGACAGTGCCCACAATATTGCCGGCGGGCTGGGGGATGAGCTTGTACTTGGCGAAATTTGGCTTCAAGGAGAGGGGCCTCGTGAACATGGACGGACGGGCCGTGAAGGCCCTTGTGCGACAGTGCAAACCAAGCATGATGGGTGGAGAAGGTTTTTCGAGCAGAAATCGAAATGGATGGAGGGTGTCACGTGACAACACCAACGGTGATCTGGCTAGACTACACTGTTCCACAGGGTCCGGGTCTCTCCATAGAGTTCGTCATTAGCGTCATCGCATCACTCTAACGTCCTTACTACCATACTCCTGATTGGGCCCATCCCCTTAGACCCATCTCATAATTAGTCTCATCTTCTCAGTCCCCGTCTCTCCTACACATCTCTCGGTCAGGTTTATTATACATCTATTTACAGTAGGCTACCACGAGGCAACCTTGACACCTGGAATGACACCAGCTCTGGCTCTGTCTCTGAAAGCAGTCTAAACGTTAGTATTTCGCCCAGCATGGGGATATTCGCATACGTACTCTGTTGAGCTTGAAGTCGCTGATGACGGATTTGGCACAACCGGTGGCAACACATCTGTTCTTGATTTGGTTGTAGGCAGTGTACTTTGGCATGGCAGCAAGCTGTAACTGGGCCTCCAATCTGGCTCTGGCTGGCAACTCGGTGTTTCTGGAAATGTACTTCAACGCATTTCTGGTCACTTCATGTTCGGCAAATTGGATTCTCTTGAACTGGTCCCTGATGACTCTGGCATTCACGTATGAGTGCTTGGGGATCTCGAAATGCACCGGGAATCTGAAAGGCATTTCGCTGGATAGGAGTGGTGTGCTGATTGGTGACTTGCGAATGAAAAATTGATAGTGGTACGTTCATTACGCGCACCCAGAAAAAGTGTGTAAATAAGGAACCAGGACCATAGTATGGGGCATGTGTGGGTAGGTGAAAATTGCATGCATTGTTGAGAAAATGGGTCTGGAGCACCCAAAGGGCCCAATAATAGTTTCAGGGCTGTTGCTGGAGCGAATTTGCATCCCTACGAAGTTTTTCAGACAATATTATCGGTTAGACTAGATCCGCCATTGCCGCATATACACCATGCGTGATGATGCTTTGGCAGCACCTTACTGTGCCCATTAGTACCAGTTTCTCCGCCAATAATGCCATAGTAGTTGGGTACCCGTCAAATGTACATAATGTGACAGTGACAAATCGGACTGCATACAGCCGCTCCACTATCGGATCAGTGACTAACGTTTAGTCATAAGTAATAGAAACCACACTTCTTTCACCACAGCATGTTCACCGGATTAGTAGAGACTATCGGCACAGTCCTCGAGTACAAAAGTCTAGACACGTCGGAGACGGGAGGAAACGGCGTCTCGATCACCATTGGAGACTGTTCCTCCATCTTGGGGGATGTCCATCTCGGTGATTCAATTTCAACCAACGGAGTTTGTCTCACAGTGGTTGAGTTTGACGAGGCTAGAACCCAATTCAAAGTGGGTGTTGCACCCGAGACCTTGCGTCGTACCGATTTGGGCGATTTGGGTGAGGGGTCCAAGGTCAATCTCGAGAGAGCTGTGACCAGTGAGGTCAGATTGGGTGGTCATGTCGTCCAGGGACACGTGGACACCATAGCCACAATCACCAACAGACAAGCGGATGGCAATGCAATCACATTCACCTTCAAATTGCGGGAAACCGAAAACATCAATTACATTGTGGAGAAAGGATTCATTGCTGTGGACGGAACCTCCTTAACAGTGACACACGTGGATTATGACACCTTTGAATTTTCTATCATGATGGTGAGCTACACCCAGGGCAAGGTGATCATGCCATTGAAGCCTGTGGGCGGAACCGTGAACATCGAGGTGGATTTGACAGGAAAATTGATTGCCAAGCAGATTGACGTCAACTTGGCTTCGCAGATAGGCAATCCCGACAGTGCGTTGGCTAGGCTTGTCGACAGATTGGTGGAGGAGAAGGTGGCAAAGGCCTTGGGCAAATAGAACTAGTCACTGACTTTAATGCTACTATTATGAAACGAACGGTAAGATAGAACTATGTTGTGCGAACTAAAATTCGAGTAAAAACTACGTAGTGCTTATGATAGCCTGATTTAAGAATGGAATTGGGTGCTTCTAGCCCAAACGTTATTTATGCATGATATTTTGTGTTTCCTTATCTGCATCCCCATTGAAATGAAACGGTTCAGCATGTGTGGGTGAATGAATCACTAATATATCTCTCATGGTGCCACTGAAGGCGAGAGTATTTCATAAGTTGACAATAATTAGACATCGGTTAGGTTCTCTTGTCTATTGTAGCACACAAACATTAATTCATCGCCGATTTAATAGGCAAAAGTATCCCACTATATATAGTATGGTCATGAGCAGTATGGGGCTATTCACTTGAGTAGTAATATTGAAAGTAATAAAATAATAGTAATAATGGCGATTCTTCAACGGTAACTATTGGAAAAGACCAAAGGGGCTGTAGAAAAATCGGCAGGTAGAGAAAGCAGCGAAAGAACTAGGACCAAACTGAACAGCTCCAGTACGGAATAATCTCCAATAGGATATCAAGAACAAAATACACACGGAAAATCTCCAAGCATGCCCACTCCACGGCTGATACCTGTTAGCCTACACCTCTAGTCACACTCCCTTCTTCCCACTGGCAAAGACAATTTCGCAGCTAGTAAATTATACGACCTGGGCATCAAAAATGGGTCCAAAAATGCGCTAAATGGGACCCATACCTGGATCTGAACATCCTTACTACTATACACATATACGTTCCTTTCTACCCTATTCTTTTCCCTAGCGTTGATCGTCCTCTTCTCCACCGATCATTCCTCCATGGTGCGCAGCCACTGACAACAATGTCGCGCGGTGTCGCACTACTCACCGACAACAGGATGGCAAAACTCAACCTCACTCAGACATCCATTTGACCTCCAACCAACCCAACCACCACCATGGATATCATCTTAGGAATCAGACTACAAGACGCCACGCTCGTGGCCACCTCTAAGGCCGCTACCAGAGGAATCAGTGTGTTGAAAGACACCGACGACAAGACCAGAAGATTGAATACCCACAACTTGGTGGCATACACGGGAGAGGCAGGTGACACCGTCCAGTTCGCCGAGTACATCCAAGCCAACATTCAATTGCATACCATGAGAGAAAACGAGATTGAGTTGAGCCCCAAGGCCGTGGCCTCGTTCGTCAGATCGCAATTGGCCACCTCGATTAGATCTAGAAAGCCCTACCAAGCCAACGTGTTAATTGCTGGATATGACGTCAAAACCAATACCCCCACCTTGAACTGGATAGACTACTTGGGTACCCAGGTGGAATTGCCCTACGGGGCCCACGGCTACGCCGCCTTCTACGCGTCCTCCTTATTGGATAGACACTACAGAAAAGACATGAAGTTGGACGATGGCGTGGAGTTGTTGAAGTTGTGCTTGAAGGAGTTGGAGTTGAGAATGCCCATTGATTTCAAGGGGGTGTACGTTAAGGCTGTTACTAAGGACGGTATTAGAGATATCGAATTGAATTAATGCATGATGAGCTAGCGGAGCTAGGACCAAGCTGTAGCCTCTACAATGGCATTGGCGCACTCAGCCACAGACTCCAGCGCTGGAAGAAATTGCACTGTTGGGACATCGGCCACGTTTATTGTAGATACTTGTGATATAAGAAAGCTATCAAATAAAATTATAACCAGATTAATTCTTTTGCTGTCTAGGCCAAACAATTGTAGCCACTGGTATCTGGCACCAATTTTATGTTGAAAGGATATTCATTCAATTATGGTCGGTCAATTAGATATTATAATTATTTTAATACTGATTGATCTTTGGGATTCGTGTTTTAATCTGTTAGTGATGCCAGACATTGACCCTTTTATAACGAGTAAAATCAGTGTTGTTGGCCGGGGGTCATTTGAATTCACTACACAGACAGACGTAACAGCCAAAATGACTTATTTTTTATTGTTTTTGCGGTCCGGCCAATTATCAGTTTATTTTGCTATGTTACTCCTTATCAAATCTCGAGTATTCTCAGTAATTCTGGACACCTTATATTTTCGGCAATTAGGCTCGTAGATATCGCACATGATGCATTCCGGCTTGTCAACCAGAGCAACTCGTTACAATAGCACTCATTAATGATCAATTTTCAGCTATGTTTTTATTGTTACTCAGTATTGAACGATACTCAGTTTCTCGTCGTCTCTATTAAACTCTACAGTTACCAATACTGAACACCAAAATATCGGAAGCTCCTTGCTTTTTCAATTCGTCCATGACATCACCAATCTTTTTCTTTTCCACCATCGACGAGATGGCAACCCACTCTTCCTCACCTGCCTTGGTTTCCAACGCAGAAATAGTGGCAGCTCTCTTACCAGGAGTGATTGCCAACACTTTATCCACAATGGCTCTTGGGGCATTGTAGTTACACAACACGTAGTTCTGGGCTGCCAAAATACCCTCGAATCTCTGGTGGATTTTTTCCACCATTTCTGGGAATTTGGGTTTCTTGGAGGATATCAAGTGGGCCGAGGTGGTCAAAATGGTCTCGATGGCCTTCAAGCCAGCAGCCTTCATGGTTTCACCAGATTCGACCAAGTCGACGATTGCATCTGCAACACCCAAGGCACACGAGGCCTCAACGGAGCCACCCACGTATCTGACGTTGGTGGTCAATGGCTCGTTGTCACTGGTGCCCTCCAAGGAACGGAAGTAGTCGTTGGACAACTTGGTGAAGGAACTGACGATCTTCTTGCCCACCAATTGCTCGGGCTTGGTGTAAGGTCCATCAGCGGGAACTTGGACTTGCAACTTGCAGTTGCCGAAGTTCAAATCCAACAAGTCTTCGATCGAGTCGAACATGTCTGCTTCCTTGATTTGGTCTAAGCCAGTTATTCCCAAATCACAGTTACCTTCGCCAACGAAAACGGGGATGTCGGCTGCAGGGAGGAAGATCAAGGCAATTGGAAGGTTTGTGGAAAGAGCGATGTCCAAACGGTTGGATCTTCTGAACTGGATATCGGCACCATTCATCAAGTTGCAGCACTTTTCATAGAGTCTTCCCTCTGGTAGTTAGTAGGTGGAGCTAGGCGGAGGAGGCGGGGCCATAAACGTACTTTTGGGGACAGCGAATAGCAAGCGGTCGGGCAAGTGGTTGACTAAGTCCATGTTGTGTATAGAGTAAAGGAAGTGGATGAAGAATCGGTTTTTCAGTCCACGGTGGGGCCTTTATGAGTCAGAACACGTGAGCGCTATCGGTGCGGACCGGCACCGCGCTTGACTAATTCGGTGGACTAGCGCTATCAGATAAGTTGCGACATGCCAGGTTGCGAGCGACACAGCGACATGGGAGCATGTGTAGGGACTATACTGTTGGATAATAATTTAGCAGCATCCGATATGCCGATAATAAAAGATCGTAGCCTGCCGAAGGGGGTCCAGTCCTATGTTAGTAGTTTTTTTTCTACTATTGATTGGCAGGCCATTGTAAACGAGGGCACAATTACAGAAGCACTTCGCATACGCCGCAAGAATTTATGGTTGTAGTCTTGAACCTTTTCTTATCTGAGAACTAATAATTTCACTTTACACTGATAATTATTACAGGTGTTGCTGCATGTAGTAAGACTTAACTATTAATATGAAGAGGGCGGCTTTTCGAAGGGGTATACCGAATATAGTAAAGCTTCCAATTACTCGTCGCCATGACTAACCTCTGATACTTCACCAGAGAGGATAAATTCTGATAATTTCAGTTTTATTCCATTTGACATTCCACTTGGCTATCAAAAAATTAACACTCTCCGTCAATAAGTTTCTCTTGGATGGCCAACAATAGTAGTACCAAGCAGAACTCAAATGGCTCATATAAATACATGCTAATGCCTATGTAGTTCATTTGGGAGACACCAGACCCTCCTCCGAAGTGACAGTGTCGATTTCATCTCCACCCAAGTCGCTGGTACCATCGGTCTCCTCGTCGTCCTCTTCTTCATCGTAAGTGTATCTCTTGTAACCAGAGGCACCGGTGGTCTTTGACACGAGTTCTCCGGGGGAAGAAGCCTGTGCCGGGTTCCTAAAAGAGCCCCCATTACCGTTTCCATGCCCGTACCAGTACTTATTGAAACTCCAGTTGAGTAATATAGCACACATGTCCCAAGGTCTGAATTCGGGCCATAACTTATCGATAAATACCACCGAGCAATCGGGCGACACACACTGCCACAATAAGAAGTCTGAGAGTCTGTAAGTGCCTGATGTCCTGAGCAATAGGTCCACTGGAGGATTGTCTCCGGTGTATAAATGCTGGTTGATGCTGTTCTCGTCCACCAGGAAGGTGTTCCCTTGGTTGACAGAGTCGGCCACCACACACTTGATCAGGTGGGTCATTTCCTCTCTGGATGTGTAGGGAAAGCAAATGTTCAACACTGCTCGGGTATTTCTTTCGGTGATGGTGGTGGTTTTCTTGATGATGTCTTGCACTGACTGGGGCAACAACGAAGTGTCTCCCAACACCCGCACTTTTATGCCGTACTGCTCACACAAGTCTCCGTTCTGGCTGATTTGCTCGAGCTTCAGGGTCGCAAGGTCCATCAATGCCTTGACCTCGTAGTTCAGACGACTAAAGTTTTCTATTGAAAATGCATACACCGTCACCGATTTCACCCCAGTTTCGTACAAGAGCTCCAAGATGTTGGCCATGCTCTCAAACCCGAGGTTATGGCCCTCTTTTACCTCCATCTTCTTGCTTTTTGCGTATCTTCTGTTTCCGTCCATGATCATCCCAACGTGCTTAGGAGTGGGACCTGTTTGTATTATCCTGCCAAATACCTTTTTGGCGGTTGTAAGCACGTTCCTATAGCCCGGAAAGGTGGATACCCAGTCGGACATTGCAGGTTGTTGTAGGTATGTAGTTAGACCGAGGAACGGGGGTAAACCAGGAGGGTGTATCTGTATGAGACGGATGAATAAATAAGGGCGAGACGGTTGGTGGGTCGGACGTGTGGTCGAGATCCGGTAGTGTGGTTATTCGTGTCCGTCAAAGGGTTGTCTGTCGTTACGATTTCGAATTCCTCGACTGTGATGTGGCCTGTGGTGGCAGTCCTCACGTGACCGTCCAGCCCTTTAGTGCAAGGGTACCAGTTAGTAGGGCCAGAAGGGGGCAGGAAGGGGCAGAAGAGAGCACGAGATTGGACCAATGAGGTATTCATATCCCGCTAACGCTCTTGGGCGCTTTCCAGGGCTTTTTAGGCGGTTATGATTTGGGTCCAAACAGGCTCGGGGGCGCTCGACGAGCAGTGACTCTATTTGGTGGAGTTCTGGCGGTCTCTTCTGGCATATGGCTGGAAGTATTGGAAGAGATCTACGTGCTATGAATTGGAGCCACATGCAAATTACACAAGTTGGCTGAAAGCATGAAATTGAAGCAATCAAGTAACTACTTTCTCAGCAAGAAACGGGCGGATGAAGAGCAGTAGAACGCGAGATTGCCGCCAGTATATGTGAGGTGTGACGCCCTGAGCATCCTCAGATATCGCTGGTAGGAATAAGTGTCGATTATTGGGCATATTGGACCCTAAATCGACATGAGCCAGACACTTTCTGGTGACTGCAAATTGCAGCCATCATTCCATTTCGCAGTGCCAGAAGTGCACTTGTCTCTGCCACCACAAGAAGACGGATAGGTACGCTTCGCCATGAGGAAGCACCAGCAGGGAATCCTGAATCGATACCACAGTCTTTCACCAGACATATAGCCTAGTTCAAGATTCTTGAAACGAACCGCACACACTCATCTCAGTGTCAGCCGTGCGTGGAATTGGGGCAAGCGTATGGACTCTAGCACCGCCAAATCGCCTTTCACCAGCCCAGCAGCTTCCAGGGCCGTTAAACCACATCTCCAGAGTACCATGAAGCTCCCTGATCGGTTTCAAAACTCCCTTTATAAAACTAATCAGTCACAAAGTACTGATTTAAGTGCCACAGATTGTGCCATTTCTGGACCCAAAACGGTCTTCACCTCCGAATTGGGTAGCCAACTCCCAGAATAAAGCCCAAAACTCCCACCTCTACCGACAGAAACAGCTCCAAGCTCTTGTTTCACTCCCTCTGCTGTTTCTCCCACCGGTCTTCCCAGCCCTACAGCCTGCGCCAGACGCGTGGTTGAAAATTTTCATTTTCGCGCCTGCTTATCATATGAACTAGACAAAGGTGGTGAGTCCAGCCCATCTATCGAGGTCACTATGAGTTGGTACAACAAAGAGAACCCCAATATCCAGACCGAGCAGACCACCCCCAAGAAGGAGTCGTATGTCCAGGTGGCATCCTCGTCGCCTATCCATGTCAAGTCGTCTCCTGCAGCTACTCCAGAAACAAACCCCCCAGCACGGGTCATCGATGACGCCAAACAAAAGGCCCTCGAGGCCAAGCGACAGGCCATCAGACAGCACAAGGACTTTGGCATGGTCAGAAGACGCTTCTACTATCTTGAAGAAAGTGACATTCTCAAAGGCTTCGTCAAGGGAAAGGGTAACTTGAGAGACATAACCCAGTGGTTGACGGATAACTACGACAAAACGGCGATCCTTGCGGCGGTCGAATCGAAGCAGAAGCAGATCAGAGAGGCAGAAGCATTGGCCAGGCAGAAGGCGTCGGAGGAAAAGATGAGAATCAGATTGGAAAAGTCCGAACAACAGAAGCTTGAAATGGAACAAAAGGAGAAACTTGAAAAAGAGCAGCGGTTGAAGGAAGAACAAGAAATCCCTGTTTTAAAGCCCCACACAGCCGATGACGAGGGCGACTCGCCTATCAAAGCCCGCGGAAGGGCCAGGCTCAAGGGGCTCGCCTCTCCAACTAGAGAGAACGACCCGGTCGTATCCACAAAGGTAGAAATTAAGAAACCAAAGGTGTCAATTTTGGATAAGTACAAGTTCAAGCAAAAGAGTCAGTTGAGCTTGGATCACTTCAGATTTACCCAGCAACAACAAGATGACACCCAGGAAGCAGCACCAAAAAGAAGAAAGCTTGTTAGGGGGTCCACCACGTCAAACGACACAACTCCAGTCGAAAATACTCCTGCTGTGTCATCACCTAATCCTGAGGACTTGCTGGCATCTGGCAAGCCCAGGAATATTGATATGCAAATTGATGATTTGGATATGCTTGAGGAGAAAATCAAACAAAACAGAAAAATGAATAAAGGTAAAAAGAAGTCTAGCAAGTACGATGACGATGACGCAGATCTCGAGGATGACGATATTAGTGATGATATGTCTGAAGAAGATGACGAAGCCAATTTCTCCTCCGGTATTACCTCGATTGATTCGCAAATCCTTGAATTTATTAATAATGCCTCTGTTCAAGATATGATAGAAATTTGTTCTCTTGAACCTGCCATTGCAGAAATTGTTATCTCGCAAAGACCTTTTGCAACTATCTACGAAATTGCCGAAAATGACTTTTCTAATGAAACCAGCACAAACTCTAGAAAGAGAAAGACTTTAGGGTTAAGAATAATCGAAAATACCGAGTTTAGCTTGAAAGGCTATCGTGCCGTGGACTCGTTAATTAAGACGTGTTCGCAATATGGTGATTCCATCGCGAAGCAAATGAAACAATGGGGTGTCACAATTACAGGAGAAGGTGAAATGGACATGGTGGAAATTGATCCTGTCAATGAAGCAGCTGAAGTTGTGGAGATCAATGATGTTAGCGAGGATGAAGAGGAGGATGATTCTATTATTGTAACCCACCACAAGAAAAAGGGCTTGAGATACATTAAGCACAAACCAACTTTATTGGCAGATGAAATCACTTTAAATAACTATCAACAAGTGGGTATCAATTGGTTGAACTTACTTTATCATAACAAGTTGTCATGTATTTTGGCTGATGAAATGGGTTTGGGTAAAACATGTCAAGTCATTTCATTTATGGCCCACTTAAAGCAAAATGTTGAGAAAAAAGGCCCTCATTTGGTTATCGTTCCTGCGTCTACTATTGAAAACTGGTTGAGAGAATTCCAAAAGTTCTGTCCTGATATTACTGTTCAAGCCTACTATGGATCTGTCAGAGATAGAGAAGAATTGAGATATGAACTACGTGATTCTGATTATGATGTCTTAGTAACAACTTACACATTGGCTTCCGGATCGCTGTCTGATTTTAAGTTTTTGAAGAATCAGAATTTCGACATCATTGTGTATGATGAAGGTCATTTCCTCAAGAATTCAGGAACAGAAAGATATGCAAAATTGATGAGACTTCAAGCAAAGTTTAGATTGCTTTTAACAGGTACTCCTTTACAAAATAATTTGAAAGAGTTGGTCTCATTATTATCATTTATGTTACCAAACTTGTTTAACGAAAAGAAGGACGATTTACACGGTTTGTTCAATCAAAAAGTGGGTAAGATTTCATCTTCGTCTGGCAACACTTCGACATCATCCCCTGCTCCGGATTACAATCCATTGTTATCAATCCAAGCTATTAGCAAAGCCAAAACAATGATGACACCTTTTGTCTTGAGACGTAAGAAGGAGCAGGTCTTGCAACACTTACCAGCAAAGTGTCATGAGATTGTGCGCTGTGAACTTACTGAGACTCAAAGGAAAATCTACGATGCTAAGTTAGATCATGCAAAATCAACTAGGGCTGAGAGAGAGAGGAGAAAGTTGCTTACAAGAAAAGAAGATCTCGAAGAGGCTAAAAACAACCCTATTCCCTCATCGTCGAATGTTTTGATGGCTTTAAGGAAAGCTTCATTGCATCCATTATTATTCAGGAATGAATATACAGACGAGAAGTTGGAGAAGATGTCCAAAGTCATCATGAATGAGCCAGAATATGTTGAGGCCAATCAAAATTATATTTTAGAGGATATGCAAGTTTTGTCGGACTTCGAATTGAATAACCTTTGTTTGAAGTTTCCTAAGACCTTATCATCTTATACCTTACCGGACGAAGCATATTTGAATAGTGGTAAGATCACCGAATTAAATAAACTCTTGGATAACATCGTCCACAAGAGAAAGGAGAAAGTTCTCGTTTTCTCGTTGTTCACACAGGTGTTAGACATCTTGGAAAAAAACCTAACATTGTTGAACTATAAGTTTGTCAGGCTTGATGGTGCTACCTCAGTTGAGACTAGACAAGATATTATCGATCAATTTTACGAGGATGACACAATTCCTGTTTTTTTGCTTTCCACCAAGGCGGGTGGATTTGGTATCAATTTGGTGGCTGCAAACAATGTGATCATCTTTGATCAATCCTTCAATCCACATGACGACAAACAAGCAGAAGATAGAGCCCATAGAGTTGGTCAAAAGAAGGAGGTCACAATTTACAAGTTGATTGTTAACAAAACCATTGAGGAGAACATTTTGCAGTTAGCTGAGAACAAGTTACAATTGGACCAAAGTATCAGTGCAGAAGGTAATGATACCAAGTTTGAGGAGAAGACTGCAAGCTTGTTCGAAAAGCTTCTTGTTGGGTAGGTTAGTAAAGTATAGAGCTGGTGAGTGTCAAGAGCTCCATAGGTTCTATTGTAGCATAGTTTAAATACGAGCATAGTTTTAATACGATGTATCGAAAAGGTTTAATGTTTAATCTATAACGGATTGAGTCAGTGTTCAGTGTGCTTGACATTTCCTCTTTGTTAACCTATTCGATTTCTCCGAAATGGGTTTTGTCTGAATACGTAAAAACATCTGATGATTCCGGAAACACAGACGTAGCCAACAACTTCACCACTCCAAAATGATCATTCCTCAGCTTAAGAATTTTTGTCCAAAATTGTTACTCTCCATTTATCCATTAAAGTTTACTTCTAGCATTTTGTTCTCCGCTGTCACCTAAATGGTTGTTCACACAGAATCCTCTTCTCCTGCATACCAGCCAAATGCTTGTGGTGGATAATATCCTGTATAGTGAGAACTTAGTGGATATTTCGCTGAAAATAACGGTTGCCAGCAGCATCCTAAATATTTTTGCGATCAGCTGAACATGGTCCCGTGACACTCCAAATTGCTTATAAATACAATAAGAAGAATAAGAATCCGACACCCGGGTGGCCCCGTTAGACCGTAACTACTCTGGAAACCGCACTGCCGCGAGGCACCAATAAGACAAGTTTGCTCTGATTGAGTTAAGTTAAACTCTCGCGTAAATACGGCGTTTCAAATTGCAAAGCTAAATTGTCAGCAACTCCACAGTTGGAAAGTACCAGCCGACGAATGTTTGATATAGGGGCCATGACCAGTCCACGCTTAGGCTTCTATTGACAGTGCCCATCGCCAATGGCGGGGACGGAAATTGCCGGGTCAGATTCTCTAGTCACGTGATCACGGTCACGTGTAGCGCAAACCCATCTCCGATCTACCCAACAAGGCTTTGTAATGCTCCACAGTCCACATCCAGCACCATCATGTTCTTAGTCAAGAGATCACTCCCCAGAGCGTTCCAGACCCGAGTCGGCGCCAGTCCCTTCAGCGCCTGCCAGGCGTTCAGAAACCTTTTCATCCAAACCGCAGAAACTCCCAACGAACAGGCCCTCAAGTTCCTTCCATCCATGAAAATCTTGGCCGATAACGAAACCAGAGAGTTCTTGAGTGGCAGAGAAGCCGCATGCTCTCCTTTGGCACTCAAGCTTTTCACTATCGATGGAGTCAAATCCATCATGTTTGGCTCTAATTTCATCACCATCGAAAAGGCCGACCAGGCCACCAACTGGTCGCTTTTGAAGCCCGAGATCTTTTCCATCTTGACCGAGTACTTGACCAACGGCACCCCCATCATAGTGGAAGACTCGTCCATTTCTTCCGACATGGAGATCAGCGAGGATGATGACGAAATAGTATCGATGATCAAGGAATTGATTTTCACCAGAATCAGACCCGCCATCCAGGATGACGGAGGAGACATCGAGTTTGTCAACTTCGAGGAGACCACGGGAACCGTGTATTTGAGATTGAAGGGTGCATGTAGATCGTGTGACTCGTCGTCGGTGACCTTGAAAAATGGGATTGAGTCCATGTTGAAGTACTACATCGAAGAGGTTCAGGCGGTAGAGCCGGTTGACGATGGCATTGAAAACGCCCAAGAAGTCCAGGAAGAGCCTGCCTTTGACATTGCTGCACACTTGACCCCAAGAATCAGATCAGACCCTCCCAATTTGTGAAGCTGCTGATCCAATCCATCTTTCACCAGCGATCAACACGCTAATTTCCTCTCGCCACAATTGCACTTTTCCAAAAGCTGAAGAGTCCTGGAATATTTGGCCTAGAAATGAAGTACGGGTTTTCTTGTAAATAGTACCAGCACCTTCTCCAGGGCTCGAGGAGAATGCTGCCCACATAGATCCAGACCAGCAATGCCCTATTGACCTTCTAATTATATCAGCTACACGGCATGTTTTAAGTTTGTAATCACTGATACGAGAAATCTCATTTGTAATCTTCAAATAAAGCTTGTCATGCATGATTACTTATTATCATTATACTAAGTTCAAACCTAGAAAGAGGGGTATGGAACCACAACAAACGCATGCATCAACTCGAGGTGATGCATGGAATAAGGGCCCATAATGCAGGTACTAAGGCACAGCTCTATGGAAGGCATTTGACGAATAGTCATGTTCCGTGGAAGCTTTCCAAAAATAGTCGCCCGTTATAAGGCAGTTTCCAAGGAGGTTTGTGAAGAATAATGGCCCATAATCTGCTTCGATTCCGCGCTTCCATGCAGGCCGAGAAGAATAGCCGTGTTTTGCTTCTATAGATACGAATTTTTGCCACCAGAATTATGGCCAGATTCAATTACAATAAGTGGCAAAGAATGACTAATTTGTATTATAATGGCACGTTAATTTATGATATTGATATGTGATATGTACAGTTTTCCCTTTCAAATTACTCCCCTTCGTCGTACTCATACTGCTCGAAATAGTAGGGTGGGGGGTAAGTATACCCATAACCTAGGCCACTGTAAAACCCCGGGATCGAATCGTAGTCCTCGTCCAGTTTCCTCCTGATATTTGGAGGATGGGCTCCAAACATTGGATGAGGAAATGGTGCAATTGCAGCCTGCTGGTTGGGAGAAGTCTGGAAAAAACTGGTTGGTGGAGAAAATGGGAAGTAATAGGGGTTGAAAAATTGCCCTGGTTGTGGTGCTGTGGCCGGAATGGGAGCCACTGGAAGAGGGTAGCTCATTGCCAGACCTCTCTTCGGTTTGCTCCAGGATCTATGAACAGAATGCTGATTCCCGTGGTTGGCGTATGTAGTAGGATTCGATTTCTGGAGTGCAAACGACGACTGAATCAAAATGGGGCTCGAAGTTCTATTGACATTGATAAGACGGTTATTTGTGAGCAAAATTGCCTTGATTGCCATCTTAAAATCGGTGTAAAATACAAACCCAATTTTGCCGTACCCCGATTTTCCTCTCCTTGAATCGTCATCATCAACCGATTCATCGTGCTTGTAGAACTGAGGGTTAATAATCTTTGCTGATTTGATAGTCCCAAATTGTTTCCAGAATGTTTCCCATAACTCATCATTATTGCCAAAAACCACGGGTAAGTTGTTAACATAGATGTTTGTTTCTTGATAATTAACCTGTTTGGCCGACATAGCTGTAATCAAGCCGGGGTTGGGTGGGCTGATTACAACTTTTTGCATTCCATTGTTTGAGGCCCTTTGACCTTGATTGGTCACAAACGCATTGTTGGCGTCTCTGAATATATAGTGATTATGCTTGTACTGAGCTATGGTGATTTTGATACCATTCTTCGACTGTATGGGTTCTTCTGCTGAATCTAAGAATAATGGCTCGACCGAGTCCAAATCGAAATCTAACAACTGCTCCCAACTAAGACCGTTCAAATAATACAAAATCTTGAGGGTGTTTTCCATCAAATGGTTGCCGTGTTTGAACCTAATGAATGCGTATTCGAGAATATTAAGGTCAGGTGGATAATCATCACTTTCCCTTGAATCTAATGGGAAATAAATTAAATCAAAGTCGTTTCCAAACTTTTTTATAATATCCAATAGTTTGGATATGTGATCTATTGTGACTATAGTATCCAAAAACAATTTGTTAAGGTTTTCCAAAACAATCATATCGAAATTGGAGTTGGGTGATGAAGATCCATTGGTGCCGTTGTTTGCAGGACTTGAAGCCAGAGGAGAATGGTTGATTCTCTCCTTTTTATTCAAGTACTTGTTCAAGTAGAGGGGCACGTTCCGATTGTGATTGAATGGGTTTGGTGTCAATTTGTTTAGTTTTGCAATAATAATGTCAACGTCAAGGTAGACTCTAAATTTCACAATTGCAAATGCAGATTGAAGTCCGGAGCCGGATCCCGAGTCACCAAAAATCTTGATCTCCTGAAGACTCTTGAAATGGCTGGTTTCTTGGAGGAGGGCAAACAATTCATTCTGGGGTGCTTCCGGATCATCCTTGGTGAGCACGTAACCCGTTTGATCCGTGGGGTTTACTAGATTGCTAGATAACTTTTTAATAAATAAGATGCCGGGATGGCTGACGAAGTTGGAGTAGTCCAAGTTGTATGGGATGTGGGAGGCGTGCAACGTATATATCAAGCTCTCCAAACACTCCCTGTTGGTGTCGGTGCAAGAAAGGTCGATTTGCAGGTCTTCGGAAGTGGGGGGTGAGGCCAACCCGCGATCCGATTGGAAATTCGCATCTATTATCAGAAGACGTTTCAAGTCAAGGCCAATTGACGGATCGACCTCCGACACCAACTCGACGATACGAGCCTTCTCGGAGTTGTCGTTGAAGGGAATGGATAGCACGAGCGGGAACGAGGTGGTGTTGGAGGTGGAGTCGTGAGAAAAATCGTGGAACAACGCATCGTTGATTTCGTCAACTAGGCCGGGAGTATCGGGGCCTTCAGAGCTGATGCTTTCCGAGTCGGGAGAAGTCATGGGATGGGGCCGGAGTTGGACCAATTGTGGTTGGAAGCTGTGATGCGGAATGGCTGGGTCTATCAATCGCAGCAGGACCCTGTGGTGTACCTGAATTGACCTGTGCTATAAGTAGATATGCAAGCGAATCTCCTGAATATATACCTTACAACCGCTTGTCAATTGCAAATTGCCGGGACGGGAAGGTTATTTATATTAATAGATCACAAGCCGTTCTATCTTCCCCTCCACATCTGTCGATATTTACGTGTCAGCCGAAACGGCCCGATCTGTCTAAGCCGTAGGGGAGGCCCAAAATGGTCTGGCCTGCCTCCACCAACAATTGAGTCAGAATGACCACTAACCCCGGTGTACAGCCTGCACCTACTTTAGGCAACCCAGGAGAGTGAAAATTAAGCTTCAAAACTCACACAAAAGGTTTACGAGTATAGGGGTCAGGGTCCACAGAACCTACAGCAATCGTTCTTACAGTTTTTCCATCTTGGAGTGTGCACTCGAAGCCAACCCAAATTCCCGTTTGGTGTGTGAAAATATCCATTACTCATCGCTACCAAGAGGAGAACGCAATGCTTCATAACACCCAAGTCGTGGAGATTAACGGCATTGAGTACACGGTGGTCGTCACCCATAATGCCGTGCCAACGGCCCCCATCACAGTGTACATCAACGAGGCCAACAACGCAGCCATGGGCGATTACGTGTACACAATTAAGGGCACCAGTGCCACCCTCTCGGGAGAGGAAAATGTGAGGTTGAGCCGGTTGTTGGAGGCCAAATTCGGCAAGCCTGTGTACGTGGGGGTGAACGGACAAGCTGGTGACGTGGTCGCCATGTTTAAGGTTATACAAGACATGATTGGCGAGTGAATGATGCCGTGGATGGCACGAGGTCGCCATCAGAAGGAGACCGCGAGCCATCGCGGACGATCTAGATCGAATGAGGCTCCGATGGAACCGGCCCGTGACCAGGGGCCAGAGGCTCCAACCATGGCACTCCCCAAACGGTCCTGTCACCATGACTCAGACCGACCTGTCCAATAGGAACTGCCCGTGTCGTGCATACAACCGGGGCTGTCACATGGGAGACCCTTACGTAAGCGCTACCACCTGCTCTGTACATATCCATCCTCGATAAAAGACGCTCGATGCATGATGTAAGCTCACACCTGATGGTGATTGGATGAGCGGGGCGTAGAACATCTGTGGGTGGCGATTGTAACTTAATCGGGCAGTACATCCTGCAATATTTTCAACGGTCAGTCATTGGCCTGTAATTACTATTGTGCACAGCCAGTGGGGCACCACCAGGATGCGGCAACCACCCCGGGTGTTATTATTAGCTCTAGGTGGTTGTTGTGAATCAGACGATCACCCCGCCAATTTTCTGGTGCCACAGTACGGCTAGCAGCTACAGGTGGGTGCTATATTTAATGTTCCGTAAATGCGGGACAGTATTAGGGCCAGGGCTTGCGACAAGATTGCAGGAGGGATGGTACAGGAGAGGCAATTGTGCTTAGGTAAGCGTCGTTAGCGCCGTTTGCCACTGGGGCTATTTGGTTCGATGGTCGACTATTACTGCCGTTTCTGGAATCAATTGTGCATCCGCTTCGCCCCTGTTATTGGGCAAATGCGGACTTCTAGACCAACCCCAGTGGTCAGGAGCGTCTAGTACCGTCTAAAGCCTTCTATTTCCGCGTTGTGGTTGACGGCAAATTCCTCGGGCAGTGGGGCACTTGCCCAATCCAGCCGGAGAAATGCTGTCACGTGACCTATACTCCTGGATACATAACCGTCCATGCCTTCCGAGTCATTCGCGTCGTTGATTGAAGATAAGCTATATATATACCTAGTCACTGCAGTATCCGCCATATCTGCTTGGTTGGTCACACTTCCACGGGTCCGAAAAACTCTAAGTGCACATCGTTGATTTCTCGCTTTGCAAGTGCATCCTTGACAAACTTCATGTAGGGACGTGGTCCGAGGAGATACACGTCGTGCTCGGAAGTCACGAATTGCAAGTCTTGCTCCTGCAACTTGTGGCCATTTTCCGAGAAAAACTCCACCAACTCCAACCCTTGGGCCTTTAAGCTCTCCAAGTACTCTCCAAATGCCCGCGATTTTTCATTTCGGTTCGAGTACAACATCTTGACTTTTCTGCCGTCTGCCAATGCCTGCTCCAAGATGCTGATGAGTGGCGTGATCCCGATGCCTCCCACCAAGAGCACCACGTCTTTCTTTCCCTCTTCGTACACAAAGTTGCCGCATGGTGGAGCCACCTTGAGGGTATCGCCAACCTTTAAGTTATGGTGCACGTATCCGGAAACGGCTCCGTCCGGAATCAACCTGACACTGATCCTGTAATGTCCGTCTTTGGGATACTCGGAGAGTGAATACTCGCGGCTGGTCTCGTGGCTGATTCCCGGCACCGTCCAACGAATGCACACGTACTGGCCCCTCTTGGGAGCAGAGATCTTGTGCTCGGGGTCCTTAGGCTTGAAGTACACCGACTTGACGTCTGCACACTCCGACTCGATCCTGGTGACTATGAAGTCGCGGAATCCGTCCCATGGATTGTGCAGGTATTCTTCCTTTTCTAATCCAATCAAAATCGCAGCCAAATTACCGTAGGCAGTAGCCCAGGCGGCAACGAACTCAGGAGTAGCGATTTCAGGCCCCAAGAGCTCGCCCATGGTGGCAATCAAGTTGTTTCCCACAATAGGATAGTGCTCAGCCTTCACTTGCAAACCGACGTGTTTTGACACAATTTGCGACACAAACCCTTGGAGAACGCCCAAGTCCTCGATATGTTTGGCATACTGCAACAATGCAAAGGCAAGGATCTTGGGTTGTCTGTGGGTGGTCTGGTCTGAGGGGTTGAAGAAGGGGCGCACTTCAGGGTTGTTTTGAAGCATGTTGGAGTAGAATTTCGCAGTCAACGCTTCACCACTCAGTTCCAAAATTGGAATGGTGTCGCGAATAATCTGCAATTGGGCAGGAGTGAGTTCTTGTACTGTGTATGTGTTAGTCATGATAATTATCGATGTTGATTGAGGACAGGGACTGGTTCCTACTTATAGGCGACGTCTGGTAGGAAGGCAGTAGTCTATTATTATAAACTCTCTGTGATTGGCCAACGCCCCGTTACGAAAATCCGGGGAGGAATCTGCCATCAGGTGATAATTTGACATCGGGTGGTGGATACGTTAAATGTGCACCTTAAATTTTCGTGGCGCCGGAAGATGCGAAATGACCGGACACTGGACTTGGAAACATCCTTCAATTCTAGCCGGCGTCAGAGCTTAGCCACCTGCTTCCCGCCAAGGATCTTGAAACAATATGGATGGAAACATGGGGGTCACACTGGCATGGACTGCCTCAATTGGAATTGTTCCGTAGGGGTCCTCCCCTTGATTGTGCTTAGTGACACAAACTTGTCCCGGATCCCGAGCCATGCAGACACCTGCAACTGAGTCGTTAGGAAATTACCCGACATGAAACGCATGCACCAAATGCATGATGTATGGTCCGGTCAAACCCGGGTTTGGTTGCGAAATTCATTTATCCGGTACTTAGCCGCCATTAGTCATCCAAACGACGTATTGCATCACCCTGAATGGCTACTTCATGTCAAAACTTGCCTGACACTGTGTCCTTTCCCTTGGCATTCTACACTTAAGGTTTAGCCTACCCAGCTCTCACATAAACGTCTGAATAATATGATACATAACGGGCCAGCATGTAACCAAAACTGTGGTCGCTCATGACCCCACATAAAACCGCCAAGCATCGCCGGCTAGAAGTATTGAGGTTATTCCACGCAGGGCCAGGGAGGTGGATTTTTCGTATATGTAGGCCTACTAAAAGTCCTCTACCTTGAAGAGGATCTTGCCGTCATCTACCCACAAGTCCTTGATGTACTTCTTGAAGTCGTTCCGCCAGTCAATGAAGTGGTTTATCTGGAACTTCAATCTTCCCTCCAAAAACAAGTCTAACCCCTCCCTCAACCACTTATCGGAGATCCTGAAGTCAATCTCCTCGAAGTAATTATAATATGTCATGGTGTTAAGAATCCCGTTGGACCACTTGCTACCCCAGAAAGTTGGCTCGTTGGATTCAAGTAATTTCTCAATCTTATAAGTTGGTTGCGATACCGTAAATCTGCAGCATGAGACGAAGCTGGAACCTGTCTTTTTGGGTTTTAATAACTTGAGAATGAATGGTTCCTTGACCTTCCCGTTAAATAACTCGTCGAGGGTATTGCTGGTGTGGTCGTGGATAGGTAACTTGATGGCATCAAGAGTGTCAAACTTGACAGTGTGTTGAAAGTACTTCTTGTTTCCCACAATATCCACAAAAAGATCAAGCTTGTAGTCGTTAATATTGTCCAAGCCAATCAACTTATCGTCGTCATAGTATTGGGTCTTGAACAATCCCTCAATAACCTGGGATGCAAAAAAGTCGAGTTTCTTGTAGGTGGTTGGTGCTTTTTTACCTGGCAACGTGAGATCCTCATTAGCCATATCATGGGTGACCAAGGTTATCTTAACGATTCTCGAAGGGTCATAGAATTCTCCTTTGGAGAATAAATTCACGAACGACCTCATGGATTCAACGCTGCTCTCTCTGATAATTAAGATCAAATTGAGTTGGTCCAAATTGTATACTTTAGAGGCCAAAAGCTGCACCAATGTTAACCCGAGGTTAGTATCGGCACCATTGATGAGTACGTTGGCTTTATTGTTGTGAATAATTAAATGACTGAGAACCAGCTTGGCTCTGCAGTACAATGCCGGGAAAGCTGAAACCTTGGCCAATGGAGTAAGTTCGGGCTGCTTGGTATAGTTGCTGCTCTTCATCTGAAGTGCTTGTCTGATTTGGGCTGCAGATTTGGGTGCTTCCCCTGGGGCTGTCTTCTTGGCCGCAGTATCCTCGAGCTCGTCAATCTTGATCTCATTGAACTTGGAGTCAATTGGAATGCTTTCGTCCGAATCTGACGATTTGAGGACGTTTTCCTCTTTAAAGTCCTTCGAGTTACTTTCCTCTTGAGGCTCTGAGACTTTCCCCTTCTCGGTCTCTGCACCATCTGTTGGCGCCTCTTCCTCTGGAACAGTAGAATTGTCGGTCTTGGTATCCTCACTGTTGTTCTCCAATGTGGTGGCACCATCACTTTCGATAGTTTCGATATTTATCGATTCATTAGTGTCGTCTTCTTCGATTGCGAACTTCTTGGAGGCTTCGGCTCCACGGTCTTCACCGAGGTGCAAGCCAATGTCAATCTTGTCCAAGAGCTCCAATTCCTCTGGGGTGATCTTCAACAACGAATCCTTGCCAGGAGTGACCAAAATACTGGTACTCAATGAGCCCTTGCGAGAGAGAGGATCCACTATCCCCACCACGATGTCTCCCACTGCAAAGTCCTTGATTCCGCTTCCAATCCTGATGACGAGCCCCGAGAACTCGAATCCCAACCCCAACTTGGTGTTGCTCAAATTAAGCAAGTACTTGTTGATCTTGGCCAAGTCGAACGATTGGAGCGACGCAAACTTGGTGTCGACCAAGAGCTTGTAAGGAGGGAGAAACAAGTCGATCTTGGGGTAATTGAAGTTCAACTCCGTCTCCTTGTTCTGGACAGAGATGTCCTTGATTGATGTGTTTCTCAAGTCTCCCAACTCCGAGATCTTGTAGGTTGCATGGTTACGCTTAACCTCAGGCGTGATGATGGCCTTGGGCCCCAAGCCTTGTCCTTTCTTCTCCAAGTACGCCAATTCAGGAGGGATCTTGTGGAAAGGGTGAGATTTGGCCCGTTCGTGTTGGATCTCGGCCAAATCTTGGTGATGAGACTGGAGTTCTTCGGGAGGAGGCGCAAAACCCACCGATTTTTTGCGTTGTGGGCTTTCTGGGTCTTTCATGGGGGTATCGTTCTGGTTGGGTTCAGACATGGTGAAGGAGCTGGAGTCCTGGGAAGGGAAACTCCGACAGGTTGTAACCCGCATAGCTCGGCTAATCACGTGCCTCACCCTGCCTGAGGAGATGGAGGAATCTTGGCGTGGAGGGGAATTTGGATAATGGTGGGAAGATCATTAGCGAATAGTCAACAACGAGCTAGTGCTGTAGTCGATGGTTGGGGCTTTGAAAATTAGAATATTTTAATGCCTATCTTCCTATTATTAAATTAGATTTCAGTATACTGGCATTTTTTGGCTGGAACACTACTTCCAATCGCCCAAATAACGATTATGTAGGGCATTGATAATGGCAGTAGCCCAGGTGCTGTTCGTGGATGTACCCGATTAAGTTGAAAATAAGTGAGCTGAAGCGACTTGCGATCCATTCTTCAACTGGGTACAGGGATCATACGGTGGTGCTTGGAAAGGAATTCCTGAACTAGGCTATTTTGATTATGTAATGATTATGTAATTTTCTGTTTTCCGTCCTAATTACCCCATTTTGTACAAATGCACAGGATAGTTGGCCCAGTTTATTCGCAACTGCCGTCATTAACAATAACATCTTTCTCTACAATAAGATAATTTTGTTTCCTTCTTTAAAGCCAGATCTGGGGCCCGTGAATTTTCATGGGACAACCTTTCCACAGCAGAACGAAACATCTTGAACACTCTTTGAGTAGCGTAGCCCTTGACCCACTCCTTCTCACCTTGTACCCACCACCCGGCGTTGTTCCCCGGTTGTCACCTTGACCTTGATGATGGTCACGTGATGTTCTATCCATGTTGCGCCTCACTGATCCGCCAGAACTCCGTCATCTACAACAGCAGCCCTCCCTTCAGTTCTACCTCACATCCACCTTTCGTGGCTCACAGACATCCGCGCCATCCACCAGTCCGGGCCTCCCTTTGTCCCGTTGCGATTCCCTTCTCAGGTCACCTAGAACAGTTACACAAATAACTACCAGCTGGCACATATTCCATCGCCACCAGTCCAAATCTACTCCCTTGTTGAAGTGCCACAATTCGTCTCGCCATGTGGATCCCCCTCACGCTCGCGTACCTCTTCTCCTTGGTGATATCGTTGCTATTCACCCAGTTCCACATCAACCTCTTCAAGTACCCTCCCTATCTCCTGCTTCCACTCACGCTAGCGGTGTTCATCCCCATTTCCATCATATTCCTTCTTCCAATCGACTACATATCGCACAATGCCACCGATACCACCACTTGGTTCGATGTGCCAGCGAACGTGATCTTGTTCCTCTGGAAATCCAACTACTGGGTGACATTCCTCCTCACATGGTTGATATTGCCAGTTCTCCAGGAGTACTACCGTTCTGGCTACTTCAAGTCATCCAGTAAGTTAAAGGACGCGTTCAAAAAGAACCTCAAGTTCCAGTTGGCTATTCTTGCAGTATCCTTGATGTGCTTGGTGTATTTAATACTCGAGGTGGGCCTCACGTTTGGCCATTTGAAGTTGATGATCATCGCCCTTTCCCACATATACGCGTTGATCTTGGCGTTGTGGTTGATGGCCCACGGGATGGTCAATATTCCCAGAGTGAAATGGGTCGAAGGTAATATTGTGAATCACTTGAACTCGCTATACATGAAAGTCCCCAAATTGGTAGACTCCTTGGAAGACGTGCGCATCGACTTCAAGGAGGACGTATTGAAGGTGATTGTTTTGACAAAAAACTTTACTACTGGCTCCTCACAAGATCTTCAATACAGGGACTGGATTCTTCAGCTATACAATAAAATCCCTGGCGAAATGAGGGAATCCATGGAGAGACAATACTTGCACGATGACTCCAACACTATTTCGAGGGACCAGTTGAACGAGCACTACATGACTAAATTGACCCTGTTGTTCAACCTGAACCTCTACAAATTTGTGGCTTACGAATCAGAATTCGAAACCTTGTTAGTGAAGGTCACCAGACTTGAGGACATCTTGAACGCCAGAACCAACCCCACTTTGGAGGAAAGAAATCAACTTAGATTTCGTCTCAACAACTACCGGGTCCTTCTTCTGCCCAAGCTCAACTTCATATATTATTACTATATGAGACCAATAGGCAGCAGAATCGCTTCTGTTATCCTTTTCATTGGCTCCTTTATCATAATTGAGTCTGAGTTCTTCCATTCGACCAAGCTATCCTTGATGAACGTAATTGTATTCACAATGGGCATTCACAAGTACAAAATATTGCAACTTATTATCTCATCAGTCAGTTTCTCGTACATGCTTTTTGCATCCTTGAATTCGTTGACCCATTTGAAGATTTTTAACATGTACCATTTGGTTCCGTTCCAATCAGACCCTGTGTCAGCCAGTTTCTACACAACCTATATTGCCAGATTGACCATACCTTTATCCTACAATTTCATCACTTTGTTTATTTCAAGAGATTCAATTTTTGAAGAGTGGTATGGTCAATCAATTCACTTGACAGGATTGTTCAATTTGTTGAATAATTGGCTTCCAAGGTTTGTTTTGATTCCTGTGGTTCTCACCACTTTCAATGTTTACGACAGAGTAAAAAAGAGACTTGGATTGACCTCGGATTTCTATGGCTCCTGGGCTTCGTTTGACGACGATGATCAAGAAGAAGACGTTGAGAACCTTCAAAACAAGAGAAAGGATTTGGTGATCGTGGAAGCAAAACGTATTATCAATAGAGAAATGACAAAGAGACAGCAGACTGGTAGAGTGGATTCCGATTTGAGACCATTCAACCTTGCCAACGCGGCCAACGAGCAATACAATAATAACAGAAGAGCATTCAATGAGTCGTTGGCTGCCAATACCAGAATCGATGCACCATACTACGATGACGTTAATAACATTCAGAATGAAGTGGAATCTGCTTCTGTGTTTGGAAGAATAGGCGGCGCCTGGGACAGTATCAAGAACTCTGTTACCGGGCGGTTCTCGTCAAATTACAGAGATGAAGTCGAGGTGGAGTCTATCAATGACTTCAACTACGACGACGATGCAAACGAGAACTTAGTTTTGTAGGAGATAGTTTTAGATAACGGTGAATATAATCGATCCTTGAATAGAGTAAGGATCTGTGAATATAATCAGGTCGAACATGGCCAAACACAAATCGTTGAAGTCAAACCTATTACTTCCAAGTATACACGTAAGGGAGTTGATCCAAATATCCAAATATCCAAGGGATTCAGAAAAAGTGTAGAGTTGCAAAATCCTAGAAAGAAGCTCTTCACACCGAAAATTGTGTTTAAATAATTGAAATTACGTAGCGAACACTGAAGTGGTGATTTTTTCATTTGATTATTGGCTGCAATGAACCCAATTCCCAAAATCAAAAAATTGTTGCGAAAGCACATTTCCAAGAATTCTGGGCTACGAAAACTAGTAGTTCCACGATAGCGGGCCCTTCGGGAATGTATTATTAATCTCCCATTGGGAGAACTACAATTCAAATGCATTCTGTTTATAGCTCATCTGAATTCATCTTCGGGAGGTTAACATTGAGAAAACCAACAAAAAAAACACTGAAGAAGAGAGAGATACTGAAAAGAAGACAGATAATCATGTCGAGCATCATAAAACAGTACAGATAGGTCAAACGATGGAGAATATACCAAAATACCAAAAAAAAGATTTGTACCCCCAAAATTGAAATTCAGCTCGGAGGCCCAGAAATCACCAAATAACGAGCCTTCCTTCCCCAAAATTTACACACCTTCCAGTACTATTCCAGCTCTCTGCCCTTGGTCTTCTGCTACGAGCGAACTTGCGTCTTCATTGTCTACGCAAGCTAGCCAAATTCGAGAAGAAAGCTAGCCCATTTCACCTCGTGGCCATACCGCGCTACCACCTCGCTTCCTCAGTTCCCCCCGCGCTCCCCCCGCGCTCCCGGGACTCTCGGTGGTATACCCCCCTACCCCTCTAGCGCTCGCTTGGCCCTGCTGACGGTGCCGTGGACTCTTCGCGGCCTCTCCTCCGCAATTCACAACTTCACCATCGGTATCACCACCACCAATCACCCCATTGCTTCCGTCGCCAGCCACCATGGTCCTAGCACGTTCGCTCGTCCGTCCGGCGACTGTTCCCCAGCGAGTCCTTGCCAGAAGCATCTCGTCTTCCATCACATTTACAGCCATTGATAAGTCGCCCTCTACCAACAAACCTGCTCGGCTCAGAGTGCCACTTCTCAAGAGCCCCTCCCACTTTGGGCACTTCACCTCCAGGGTCAATCGTCTCTACAACGAGGACAAGTACAGCGCCCACGTGTTGGAGCTTTCGTCTCAGCGTCCAGTGTTCAACTTCACGGTGTTTGACGGCCATGGCGGCAGTCAGTGCTCCACGTTTTTGGCAGACAATCTTGCCCAAAAGATCGAAGACGGGTTGCCGTTCGTGGAGGACGCCAAGGACAAGCACAAGAACGAGCTCATCACCAAGTACTGGAAGACGATTGGCGGGTACTGGAAGAGATGGTACAAGCATCGCAAGGACAACTTCAAGGTGATGAAGAAGCTCAACAACAGCGTCAAGCTCGCCAACATAGCGCTTCCCCCAGACGACTTGCACGTCAGGCTCCCCATGGTGTACCTCAAAACCGACTATGATTTCTTCGAGCAGGAAGACAACAAGTCCGGCTCCACCTGCACCCTGGCATTGATAGAAACCGTGTACTCGGAGCCAGACCACTTGCACACCGACTACTACTTCAACCGCAACACCATCTCCAGGCTCACTCTCACCCAAGTGGGAGACACTAGGGCACTTGTGGTGGACAAAAACGGTGATGCCCACTGCTTGACGCAGTCCCACCACCCATCGAACCCCATGGAGGCCTCTCGGTTGCGCAAGTACGCCGCCAACTTCTTCATGACCGACTCGTTTGGTGAGGAGCGGTTTATTTCCTTAGCCAACACCAGGGCCTTTGGAGACGTCGGCTTCAAGCAAATGGGCGTGACTTCGGAGCCAGACGTGATCCAGTTTATTATCGGTGACCACAATACCATCAGCAAGAAATTGACCCCAGAAGAAATCAAGAATTACACCGTGGGTGGTTTGGGCGGTGATGAGGCCTTTTTGGTGCTCATCAGTGACGGGGTTACCAACGTGATCACCGACCAAGAGGTAGCCGACATCGTTACTTCCCACTACAACATGAAGGGTGGACCTGCGGCCACGCCACAGGCATGTGCCGAGGAAGTGATCAAGTTTGTTGAATATGTTGGAGGAGACGACAACGCAACATGCTTGGTAATCAGATTGAACGGGTGGGGGAAGTGGCCAGTAAATGATAGAACTGGTGAATTAAGACAGACTAGAATGGACGACTATAATCCTCGGAAACTGAGGGGCTAGTGTACACCATACGAGAATATCAACTACCGCTGGTCGATGGATATTACAGTTACAAAAGAAGGGACGGAATCGGTGGTACAAATATTACAGAATGGAGCATAAGCACCACAATAGAAGATATTTTCACTCCTGATTAACCATCAGGTTTGACAATATTAATACGACTGAAGGCTTTTTTTAACGCTTGATGAAGACCCAGCTGAAATGCAGAAGGGCGTAAGTGCGGGTACAACGAATCCTTGCATTGACAACCAGGATGTACTGGTCCCAACGATGCTGGAATCTCGAGAATCCTCTACATGCTGCTTACCAGCACCTCACTGTCCAGCCTCTATTAGACTATAAATTAATATATACAAGTCGTAGACATTTGCCTACCTTTCCATGCTCTCGTGGTGCTTGAAGAAACTATTGAAGAAACTAGTTTCCATAGCACACTCCACACTTGTCGTAGGTGTGCTTATAGATAACCTTCATTCCATAGCTCACTCCACACTAGTTCTTGGTGTGCTTATAGATAAACTTCTTTCTGGTCAAAGCATACTCCCCCAATTTGGTTCCCACCATGTCGTCGGTGATCTCGACCTCCACGTATTCCTTTCCGTTGTGTATTTGGAATTGCAAGCCCACAAACTGTGGTAAGATGGTGCAACTTCTGGCGTTGGTTCTTATGGGTGTGCCGTTCTTGATAGCGTCAGCAATGGGCAAAGGCACCACGTGGGGGCCCTTCCACACGGATCTTCTGAGGAGTGATATAGCTGGTCTCATGCTGGATGCTTGGAGCTCGTCTTCGCCTGGAAGTGATATGGCCACTGGAGTTGGTCGCAGTGAAATTTTTGGACACTAGCCCAGCACGTGACGCGAGGACGATTTAGAAAGCTGTGATGAGATGAGTGAGAAAGCCCACCAGTGATGTTCGGGGCACGGTTTGATCCCAATCAGGGCACGGGCACGGCCCAGCCAAGGGCCAAGGTCGTGTTGAAGAGACGACGCGAGAGCACCGACAGTGACAGCGAAAGCGAAAGCGAGTCAGAGAAACCAGAAAATGATAACCAAGATGACAGTGACAGTGACAGTGATAGCGACAGTGAGCAGTCTTCGAGCAGCAATTCCTCTTCCAGCAGCTCCTCCAGCGACTCAGAATCATCAGACTCGAGTGACTCGAGCGAATCCAGCGAAGCCACCCCCGATGAGGACACAGAAATGGCAGATGCCGATCCCAGCCAAGACCAGGACACCGCCATGGACGAAGTTGTTGCGGAAGCAAGCCAAGAACTGGCTGAAATGGACGAAGATTCGACAGAAAATCCAGAAGTCTCGAAACATCTGTCGATCTTCCTGAAATTTCACAAATCGGTTCAGAAACCCACAGAAAACGATCTGGACTCGTCCGACGAAGAGCCACAGGAGCCCACCCAAGATCTCAAGCCCTTGCCACAGCCAGAATTGCCCAGAGACAAGCGGTTGAGCTCGACCACCACCCATCTCAAGAATCTAGACTGGTTGACAGAGCCAATCTACTCGTCCACTACCAACACCAAGCCATTCAGTGAATTTGCATTATCGCCGTTCATGGCCAAGAACCTCGAGAGCTTGAACTTCAAGGAAGCCTTTTCAGTCCAGATCGAAGTGTTGTCCTTGCTTCTCAACGATATCAGCCAGAACCGTATCAAGCCTGACTTGCAAGGAGATTTGTTGGTCAATGCCAGTACAGGTTCAGGTAAGACTTTAGCATACCTGATCCCCATCATAGAGGATTTGAGCACCAGAATTGTTCCCAGAGTGAGAGCCATTATTTTGGTGCCCACAAAACCATTGATTAACCAAGTCAGAGCCACTTTGGCCAGTCTCAGCAAAGGTACCAATCTTCTGATCACCAGCTTGAAGAACGATATTTCCATCAGGGAGGAGGGATCCAAGTTGACTGCCAACGAGCCAGACATCATCATTTCTACCCCCGGTAGATTGGTCGAACACCTCTTGGATGGGACCATCAGCTTAAAATCGCTCAAGTACTTGGTGATTGATGAAGCAGACAGGTTGTTGAACCAGTCTTTCCAGGGTTGGGCGAAGGTGGTGATCTCCAAGCTCGAAGAAACCAAGGACATATCGAAGGAATGGAAAATTGCCCCTAAAAAGTTGATATTTTCTGCCACATTAACCACTGATTCCGGTAAATTATCGGCCTTGAAATTCCAACAACCCAGATTGGTGATTATCAACGACCGCAAGCAGTTGGTGAACGAGATTTTCAATGTCCCTGCCCAATTGAATGAATACAAGATCCAATTCGGTGTTGCTAAGGCATCTTTGAAACCATTAATTTTGGCCAAGTTTTTGATCAACTACGGCAAGTTGTCGAATGTGTTGATCTTCACCAAATCAAACGAAGCTTCCTTGAGATTGTCGAAATTGCTTCAATTATTGTTGACCAAGATATATCCTAACAGGGACTTCGAAGTAGCATACATCAATTCCACAAACAACAAGACCTCGGTCAGAGCCAAGATCCTCAAGCAGTTCAGCACCCAAAAAGTGAATGTTTTGGTGGCCACCGACTTGATTGCCAGAGGTATCGATATTCTCAGCATCACCGATATCATCAACTACGACTTGCCAAACTCGTCAAGAGAGTATGTCCATAGAGTTGGTCGTACTGCGAGAGCCAACCAGGCTGGTAACGCTTACAACTTCTGTGTGGGTAAAGGTGAAAGCAAATGGTTCAGAACATTTATGAAGGATGTTGGTAGAGGAGAAAAGAAAATAGAAGACTTGGAGATGGATATCAAGCAGATTGTTACTGAGAATGACGAAGATATATATAGGGATTGCTTAGGAGAATTGGAAAAGGAGGTTTTCAATAGAGCCGATGCAAAGCCAAGCGAATAGCCACCTGGGGGTCATTCTGTATTTTAGCATAATTATACGAAAACGTTATCAACTGTAGGTAGTTCACCGAGGCTCTAACTTGTAACTTTATTGCTTCGAGCTTCCTGTCTTTGAACTCTAGATCATAGTTTTTGCTGAGATATTTTTTTTGATTTGGAGCGAAGGATCCGGGAGTCAATGAGTTTTAAGGTTTGATAACTGAGTGCTATGTAGGTTGACTCGGCTTGCAATTCCTTAAGAAGTTAAGTTTACTGAAATTATGTCACTTTCCTGGTAATAAGGCTGCTCGTAGCAGACTGTGGTTATTTAACCAAAGCGAACATAAATTCTAGCGTTAGAAGAGGAATGCATCGACTGTCACTTAATTGGGGCCTTTATATGTCTTTGTAAGAGAATGTATTTTTATGTACAATTTATCAAAAATTTAGAAAATTATCCAGTTAAAAAGTGCAAGAATTGTGAAATTCAATTTTTTTGGAAAATACTGAAGAAAATTAAAAACCCTTGAATTTCCACAGGTCTTCAACTTCTATACATGTGCAACTCAAGAATAATAGCTATTATGTGATAATGGCAATCCAAACACCGAGAGTGAATCAGGAGCCCTCTCTTTGTTTTCTATGAAGACTACCAAAACCACCACTGTGAAGGTCGAAGGTACTATTTCGTGAAATCTAAAGATAAAGATTCATCTCTAGCGCACTTAAATATTTTTACCTACATAAATATGTGTAATTTTAAGGACAAAAACTTGCCTATTAGGTTGATTTTTAGTAGAATCTGACAAAAAGATTCAGATAGTTACAACTACCACGCCAGAATCCAAGAGAAAATCAAACCAGATACTCAAGCTATATTAGGAGCCTTTCTTCAGTTGAATTCCTACTCTGATGCTTTATAGCGATCATATCCAATTCTTGACTGGCTGCAAAAACGCAACTGTACCATTGTAAAGTTACATCTCATAACGGCAGCAACCGGTAGCACTTTCCCCAAAGCAAGTACCCATTAGTACTCTCCGAATCATCCACCATATAGTAACAATACTAATTATTTTCAGTTTGGTAAGTCTATATCTGTCTAATTGCAGTATGGGGCAATCCTCGGCGAGATTCTTCCCAAATTACGGAAACAAATATACTCCTGGACACTAGCAGTCATCCTTATGGTAAATAGTCATTCCAAGCCTCTCTTCCCGTCTCTACTTCACATTTCTCCAGCTGGCTTTCTCACGGTTATCCAACTTAAAGTGCAAAACGAGCACAACGAAATGCTACAGATCAAGTCAATTTAAACACTTCTAGTATAAACTGCAGAAAACATCAACTCTTTTCACTATCAAACACCCAGCCAAACGTGAATTTTGGTGGACCGACGGCGGATAACTGGCACTCCTGCTTCTGCCAGGCTTTTCCCCACGCGATCTAATCTTCTGTGGCGCGCTCAATCCATCTCATCCCAGATTGCCTTCACTCCATTGCTCCACCACCATGTCGGAACTAGAGTCCCTAGGAGTCCAGTTGGTGGACCAGACGGACCTCGAGTCCACCATTACCGCACAGGCTAACCAGGCGTTGCTAGCCAAAGACTCGGAGCTCGATCAGAAACGGTTGGAAAAGGCAACCAAAGACTTGAACTCCACCCTCAAAAGAATCCGAATCCTCTCGGATCGGTTGAACAGTCCTCGAACCAAGCTCAGCCAGCGCAAGCAGATCCGTGACGAGATCAAGTGGTTTGAAGAGAACGAGTTGGCCCAACGCCAGGCGGATGTGAACGACATCACCGCAAGACTCAGCGAGAACAAGAAACAGCTCGAAGACGCCAAAAGCAACGGAGGCATCAAAGCTCCCACAAACGAGAGGCTTGCGGGAGAGTCCGAGAAGGATTTCTTGATCAGGACTGGTAAGATCACTGCTTTCGGAAACGAGAACACCTTCAAGCAAGACTACGGCGATGGCCACGAGGCTGAGGAGGTCAAGAACCATCAAGAATTGAGGGCTCCTGGCTTCGAGCCACCCAGCCACGCTAAGAGGCGAAAACTTGATTCTGCTCCCGTGGAGCCTAGTGTAAAGGACGAGCCCCACGATGTCCCCAGCGATGCGGACGTCATCACCTCAGACCATGACTATCATGCTTCAGACGACGAAGCCTATTCTGGCAGCGACAACGAGCCAGTGATTTCTCCAGAAAATTCGGACGATAACTCAGACGATGAAGGCTTGGAATTGTCGTTTGGCAGCGACTCCCAGAAAGTAAAACCGTCCCAATTGAAGTCAGCCAAAACAGATACTCGAAACATCGATGATGGCGACGAGTTGGTGTACCTCACAAGACTCAAGAGTTGGACATCCAAAAGGTCAGGTCTAAGGGCTCAGGATCAACAGGACGACCGTCCTGAATGGCAAAAGCCACATCCTGCGATTCCCGATGCAGTTCTTAACGATAAATTCAAACTCCCGGGAGACATATACCCATCATTATTCGACTACCAGAAAACATGTGTTCAGTGGTTGTGGGAGCTCTATTCCCAGAAAACAGGAGGCATTATTGGAGATGAAATGGGGTTGGGTAAAACCATCCAAATCATATCGTTCATCGCAGGTTTACATTATTCGGGCTTGCTTGATAAGCCTGTATTGGTCGTGGTACCGGCCACTGTCTTGAATCAGTGGGTAAATGAGTTTCATCGGTGGTGGCCTCCTTTGCGTTGTGTCATATTGCATAGCATTGGTTCTGGAATGGGGAACAAAGCCTCGGAAGAGAAGCTTGAAGAATACTTGGAAACCCATGACCCAAAATCGTCCAAGAGTTCTTTGGCTGGGGTTCAAAGTCAAATTAATGCTAAAGAGATAGTAGATCGTGTCATTCAAAAAGGGCATGTTCTAATCACAACATATGTTGGATTAAGAATATACTCCAAGTACATTCTTCCCAACGAATGGGGTTATGTGGTTCTAGATGAGGGGCATAAAATAAGAAATCCTGATCTGGATATTTCATTGACCTGCAAACAAATAAAATCGTACAACAGAGTCATCCTCTCAGGAACGCCCATTCAAAACAATCTTATCGAGTTGTGGTCCTTATTCGACTTTATATTTCCTGGAAGACTAGGAACCTTGCCCGTTTTCCAACAACAGTTTTCTATTCCGATTAATATGGGCGGATACTCTAACGCTTCAAATATCCAAATCCAGACGGGCTACAAATGTGCGGTAGTATTGCGTGATTTGATTTCACCATACCTTTTAAGAAGGTTAAAGAGCGATGTGGCAAAGGACCTTCCAAAGAAGAATGAAATGGTTTTGTTCGTCAAGTTGACAAAAATCCAGCAGGACTTATATGAGAAGTTTTTGAGTAGCGAAGATCTCGACTCCATTCTCAGAGGTAAAAGAAATGTGCTCATGGGAGTAGATATCCTCAGAAAAATTTGCAACCATCCAGATTTGGTTCACAGAGAAGCTTTGCTACACAAGGCTAACTATAATTACGGCGATCCGGTTAAATCAGGCAAGATGCAAGTGTTGAAGGATTTATTACAATTGTGGCAGAGTCAGAAACATAAAACATTATTGTTCTGTCAAACTAGACAAATGTTGGACATTTTGGAAAAGTTTGTTGCCAATTTGAAGGTAATCAATTTGGATGGCGAAGAGAAGCCAAACGAATTGGACGACAAGGAGTACTTTTCTTATCTCAGAATGGATGGCTCGACCCCAATTTCGAGGCGTCAGACGTTGGTGGACAGCTTCAATGAGACCCCTTCGATTGATGTATTTCTTCTAACCACCAAAGTCGGAGGGCTTGGTGTTAACTTGACGGGAGCAGACAGAGTTATCATATTTGATCCTGATTGGAATCCGTCGACCGATATCCAGGCCAGGGAAAGAGCCTGGAGATTGGGCCAAAAGAAGGATATAACCATCTACAGATTAATGACCACAGGGTCTATCGAGGAAAAAATCTACCATCGTCAAATCTTTAAGACCTTTTTGACGAATAAGATTTTGAAGGACCCTAAGCAAAGACGTTTTTTCAAGGTCAATGACTTGCATGATTTGTTCACCTTGGGTGACCAAAATGAAGAAGGCACAGAGACAGGAGACATGTTCAATGGCACAGAAAAGACTATAGGTGGAGGGTCTACCGCGCGGAGATCCACCAAGTTGATCAAGCCGGCCCACAAGAATGACGATGACTTCTACCAGGTTGCCAATATAATGGGAGTGTCGAAGCTAGACAAATTTGAAGGAGATAGAGAAGACGAGGGATCCGAGAGCAAGGATGATAACCGACTCATGGAGGGCATATTCGCCAAGGGAGGTGTTCATAGCACATTGAAACACGATGATATAATTGATTCAGGCAATCAGGAACTATCATTGGTGGAAAAAGAAGCGAATAAGGTTGCCAATGAAGCTGCCAAGGCCCTCCGAGAGTCGCGAAAACTTACCAGAAAGAACCAGATTGGAACTCCCACCTGGACAGGAAAATTTGGTTTTGCTGGTAAGTTTGGGGCCAAAAACGGAGCGAAAAAGGGACGTTCCAGCTCACCGGGGACGCTTGCCTCTAGTTCTATTCTTGACTCGTTGAAGCAGAAGAAGGGGGTAAAGGAAAGTATCTTCACCAAGGAAAAGCCAAAGGCAGGAGAGGGTCCCGATAAAAAGGAGCTAATGGACAAACTAATCAAGTTTCTTCACCTGCAGCCCAACCACTTCAGCACATCTAACGACATATTGAGGAATGTGGGCGTGAAAATGACCAAGGAAAGTGATACTGTATTGATGAGGTCGATGTTGAGAGAAACGTGTGATTGGCGAGCGGAGAAGAAGGGGTGGGAGTTGAAGCAGGAGTTCAGAGAATAGGGTCTGTAGTGACAGAATACCCGATAGCTGCAACATGCATAGGCATGTGCTGCGGAAATACATGCTGGTTCAGGAGTTCGTTCACGATTGGCGTACAAATGTCGGCAGCCACCAACTTGCATCAATTAGAGTAGTCAATCTAAAGGTGCTTTGTGTCATGCATGCTATCAGCCGTGCTGCGATTCGTGAAAAGGGCAAGATCAGAAGCCTGGACGTGCGCGGGCGATAATTAACCTGCAGTAAACCACGTAGTCTATTGTCTCTCAAATAATACACGGCTATCAGAAAATACGTAAATGAAGAAAAATATGCTGAGGTGGTACTACCTAGATAGTATTTTCAGGCAATGTGTCTGTGTGGTTGCGTTGGGGACGGGGCCAAGACAGCACCTCGAGGTACGACAGCTGCATTGACCGCCAGCGACCGTGCGACGGGACTGTGCATCCACCATGCAGTGGGCGATGTCGCATGTCGCGTACCGCGCTAGCCACCGATATCGAAATCATCAATCATACCTGGTACTCGTCGCCACCGCCATGCTCACCCCGTCATTAAGGCTGCTATCGAAGGCGCGCCAGTGGGTGCCCAAGTGTCCCCCTCCACAGTACGACACAGGGTGCACGCATTGCGCCATGCCCGAGTTCGATCCGACGAAGCAGCTCGACTCCTCCAAGCCGTTGATGGGCACCGCCAGCATGCCCTGGAAGCACGTGCTCCACTTGACCCACGGCCACCACGACTTCCACACCATGCCGTCCCGAATTGAGATGATCCCCGGCTCCTTGAGTAGCGAGATCGCGGGGTTAAAAAGGGATCTCGTCAGCCCGGCCCACCCAGTGTTGGTGTCCAACGTCCTACTTGCAGACCACGCAGGTGCGTTGCAGCGGTACCCTGCGCCAACTCCAGGCCAGGAGTTGGTCTACGTATACCCCGACCACAAAGCCGTTCGGTTCGACATCCGCCACACCAAAGACTTCATTCGGAAGTACTTGGTGCCTGCGGACTACACCCCTACCCCTGTGTACAACCCGTTCGTGAAGACTGAAGCGACGCAGCCTGCGCATTCAAAGGACCCGCCAGTTGACGGGGCCAACTTCACCGAGTACGAGCTCGACCGCGACTTGGTACTTATCTGTGGGCATACGCTCCGGGATGAGCGCTGCGGCAAGCTTGCACCGCTTCTCCAGGACGAGTTTGAGCGGGTTTTCGCTAGAGAGGGCCTCGAGGGCGATATTGGATTGGTGTCGCACATTGGCGGTCACGTGTATGCAGGAAACGTCATCTTGTACTCTCAGCATAAACATCGCGACAGTGTCTGGTACGGGAGAGTGTTTCCAGACAGAGTGCAGGGCGTGGTGCATGAAACGGTGATGAGAGGTAAGGTGATCACGGAGTTGTACCGCGGTCCTGCCGGTCCTGCCGACAGCCGTCAGACATGATACTGGCGATGCGGCACTAACATAGATCTTGTAGATAGAAAAATATGACCGAAACGAATACAAACAAGCCAGATGCAACAAGCTTTCCAAATAGAGACAACCTACCAACTCCGGCGTCAGCGATGGGAACTCCGTGCGATGGTGCCGTTAGTGAAGCAGAAGCATTCTGTATATATACGAGAAGTGCTCTATGCTGTCAGCAGTACATTGTACATTCCCATTCACACGACATGCAGTCAGTTTACGGCTGCCGCATGGGGCCAGACACTCCTGCGGCACACCAGCATATACGTAGGCTTATTAGATATGCAAGGAGGAGTTTTTCCAGCCAAGCGACCGCCACTCGCTAGGCGGTGACGATCTGTACAGCCCACAAACAAAGCTTCACTTGCACGGTGGGACCTGATCCAGATACAAAGCCTAACACAACAAATGGGCCATTGGCGAGGCCCTAAGCCCCAAAGTACCTCAGCCATGACCGCATTGATAAAGCCGTGTTAAGCCACGCCATCGGCACAGAATCGCACGCCAACAAGAAAGCGCATGTCTTCGCATCAACAGAGGCCCAGTTTAATCACTGTAGTGACCGCAAATGTTCGACACGTTAGGCAAGGTACAGGAAGAAAGGGTATTTTTTGACAAATTCTGGGTAAAGGCGCATCGCATTGCTCGATGCCTCACCAAAACCATGCATTGCATCCTCGTCAGTTTTGCCGAGTGTCAGGATTCTGGTAGCGTTTTAGGCACTGGCGCCTTGAGCGGGTTTGTTTCTTGATAGCCTATGGGCAGACATTCAATTGTACCGGACGCGCCTTTGTGCATCAGACACTTGACATGTGGGATTGTTCCGGTGCCCGCAAAACTGGTAAACCCGTGCAGTTCATGCACCAGCCACACGTCTTTGGACAACTAATTGGCATCGATGATTGCACAATCTAAAATCAAATGTCATCGGTTGCATAGACGCTTCCCGTAAAAGGGCAGGTTGGCACAACTTTGAGAAGAGCAATACATCTCGAGTTGCAGACTTGCAAAGAATATGCAACCTGCACGATCGGCTCTCCAGCCATTGCGCATTTCCGTGTTTTGCCAACAGTTCCCCCTGGGATATACTTGGTTCTAGAAGATGTAAATTTGCTCAACCCCCACCACCGGTTGGTACTCTGTGTCCTATACCCGTATGCAAACCAACGGGAGCCAAGGACTTCCACACTCACTCGTCTTCAAGGGGACAGCCAAGGAGCAGACATTTTTATTTTCCTGCGCAACCGGATTTTTTTGCCGCAGTAACGGTGGTTAGGTGCTAACCTAATTTCGGACGGATGAATTCCAAGCGCCGGTATTTCATCTGGGAAGCCCTGGCGCAAAATTTTTAACGATGATGCATTCATTCAATGTTTCAAGAACTTGGTGCCTAAATATATTGTCTCCAGTTCCGTCGTTTGGTGGCTGCTCGCTACTGCCCAACCTCTGCTACGCAGCATGGATTCTGGCTAACCTGGATCGTCTACTGTAAGGAGTGGTTAAAGGCGAGAGATCCTGCGCGCCGCTAAATAGACTTGCGGTTATTGGCGGGCGTTGGACCGAAAAGACCTTGCTAGTTTTGCAGACTAAAGCCAGGATTTTGTTCCAAAAAACTGATACCCCTATTACCCGAATTATTGGGACGCCGTTCGATTGTGCTGTTCTTATCTGGTGTCAGGGGACGCGATAGCACGAAGCGTTCATTAAACCCACTCCTGTCACCGTAGTCCGCCGATGGTGAGTTTGCGGACAGTGCAGAATGACACCATTTGACAAGCGGTAGGTCCAGTTTAAGGTTGACTATAAAGTGGGGAGGCACGAGTACCACAAAAGTAAAGGTTCCTGGGCCATGCGCGGAATCGGGAGGTTCGCGTGATAACAGGAGAGCCTCCACCAGGTGTCAATAGAAGAGTAGAAGGAGCGAATCTCCTGTAAGGCATCAACATGCTACTGCTCGTACTGAGTGCATCATTTTAGATAACGGTTATTATTGCGACGAAGAAAGCGAGGGGATTTATGGCTAATTGCGTATGACTGCAGTTTTGACGATCTTTGTTGATTAACTTTTTAATGTCGGCAAAGAATCGGCGCAAGCATGCGTTCCTAAGGAACTGTAATCCCCAAAGGGGTAGCCTTCTTGTGCTATCGCGCTTCGTGTCTGCAGCAACTCCTCCAGAATAGGCATGTTTGTGTCAGACTGGAGTTTTGAATGTCGCACATACATATTACACAATATGCTATCTTGCTTTTAGTAAATACTAGCATCTAACAGTGCACCTCGGATGCCATGCAAGTTTGCCACGCTGTGCCGACATCGCTAGCGGGGACCGGCGACTGCCTGGCCCAAACCATGCGGTGTTTCCATCGTCCATCCCATCATCCTTACTACTTGTAACACACTTGTCCTCTGGTAGGCAGGTACCACCACCCCTTGACCTCCTTCCCGATCACCAGGCTCCAACATTTAGGATTGAAACAATAGATTTATAGTGCGATAAATAATAATTCTCATCACAAGTTTGAAAATCAGGACGGCAAAAAATTGGGAGCGAGCCAGCCTGGTTGATTGCGATTGGTTACGCCAGCCTTGTTCGTTGCAGTCTCCCGGAGGGCATGCCTTTACGAACATGTAGGATCACACGTTTGGCAGTGGCAGAACCCGCGGTGGTGGTGGAGTCGCGGGCTCGCGATGGGCTCGCGTTGGCGAACACCAAAGCCACTGCATGGTGCACTAACTGTCTACTGCACACCATGCGTAAAAGTTATGCATCTGCATATAAAATGTATCGTTCGACGCTTCGGTAGACATGTTTCCAAATCAATAGCCTCGCGGAGACGTGGATGCATGATAATTTCACCTCGAGTCCTCAACAGGAGGCGCGGCAACCGGCTGGCGACGGTGTGGAGGGAACAATGGTGGTAGCCAGGCAGGCGCACGATGGTCAGATCCACGCTGCCTCAATCTCGCGACGCCATGGCCCTCCTCCAACCTGCTCATCTCAAGCAGCCTCGCCCTTAAGCCCATCCACTACAGATGCATCGTACAGGTGGCCCAGGACAAATAATTTCTTTTTCTAGCGCGGGCTTTGCGTTATTATTCTGCCAGTTTCTTGTTCTATTGGCGGGCTACGCCTGAATCTATTTGGGGTGCATAGATCTGGCCTAGTGGTTCGTAATATCACCGTGGCAAATTGGCCATGCAATTGGGTAGATAGGGCTGATGGAGCATGCACTTTGACAACGGTCCACGTCCAACCCGGAAATGTCCTCGGGATTTTCACTCACCTTTGCATATTCTTTGCGTCGCCGCCCCACCTTGTGCCGTTTGCAGGACTAACGTTCCTGGCACAGCTCATGGCGCTGTCAATGCCCTCCACCATGATGGTGTCCCCGAATTACACCCGCGTCATCCACCAATAAGATTTACCTTTGGACTCCAGATTATTAATCATGCTCGAAGCTTCCTTTCCTCGGTTGGGTATTTTCTATGTCAGGTTCTGTTGCACAATATCAGCGCAGGAGATTTGGCTCGGACAATAGATACGCAGGTGCGACCCCGGGGATTGTTTTGCTAGAGTATCTTCGGTGAAATACATTGTGTGGCAGGTGCCATCCAGACAGCGGGATGATAGCAGAAGGAGTGAAATCGGTTTCAATTATATTACAAGGTTTACATTTAGCGCCGGCTACATAAGTGGTATGATACGGGTATGATTCTAGACTTGCGGGAGAACTGGACCAGGGGGAAGGCCAGGGAGGAGCAAATTACCTAAGAGCGGTACCGGCGTTAGTAGATTCCGATAAGCTGGCGATGTGAGTAGTAGACACGCAGTTATTATCGTGATAGTACGAAGTCTATGGGAACGATCCAATTGCTTTTGTTTAGTGCGCAGCAATTTATTTTCGTGATTAATTTAATATTCGCACATCTTGAACCCGCATAAAAAATATAAGATTCGTTTGGGCCACAAAAAGAAAAAGTCTGACCAAAACTTGCTTTGGTGACGATACCAGGTTGTTGTTGTTGCCGGAACTCGTGGTAGAGATAAGTAAGCACGCGAGCGGGCAAGTGAAACAGCACGCCTGAAGGAGGCTAACTCCGAGCGTTGGACACGAGCGGGCTTGCGTGTCTCGCTTGTCGGAGCAGGCTATTGCGGCATTGCTTCAGGATGGTTTCAGGTTTATCGCTTCTTTCACATACTCGTGAACAAATTCCCCTCTCCATAAAGCTTAAACCATGCTTCTTTGAGACGATTAGTTTAACCGTATTGTCTGTCCTATTCTATCGGGTCACCAGTGCAGAAAGATGTAGTTGCAGAAAATACCGGAGGTATTCTAAACAAAAAGAAATGGCAACCTAGGGAAAAACCAAAAATAATGTCTGGTCGGTAGCCCAAAAAATAACTGCGTTTTGTGCCGCAACATCCCAGAAAATAAAATATTTAACTACTGTGTGTGGTGGTTTTGAATGGCCTACTAAAAAGCGTTTTGAGTCGGCACCTCCAGAGTTTACACCACCGACATTTGTCAAAACATTTTTATTATTTTACCTCTGGCAATTCTTCCCAAATTTATTACCTATCACCAACACCATCTGTCCCGTATCCTCGTTGTCCACCACGGCCCTAACCACCACCGCCAGCTGTAACCACCCATTGACTCCCTTGCAGCCGAAAAATTAATATTTCAAGCTACCCTCCCGGCCTCCACTTACTCCAGGATAACGATTAGGTCATCACCTTCTTTCGTCAGTCTTTTGTCGTCCATCAGCTCGGTCCCTCTGTCTGCATCCCAGCGACCAATCCTCGTCGCTCCTCCAAACTCGTCGATTGCATTCTTCATCCTGATTTGCTTTCTGAATCGCATACTTTCTTTGTATTATAGTGTATCATGAGCGGTAATTACAACTCCTCGTCCCTCCAACAGCAGGCGGCTCAGCAGCAAGCCGCCCAGCAGGCCCAGTTCTCCCAGCCCTACTCCTACTACATGCTCAACCAGCCCCAGCTGAACCAGCCTTCACAACAATCGCAGTCCGTGCAACAACACCCCTCACAGCTCCAGGACTCCTCCCAGCAGTCGACGCAAGCGGGTGCCAGCGCCTCGGTGGCAGATCCATCCTACGCCTATCCACGTTACCCCACTGCGTCCTACGGAGCGCCTCCCAACTACTCGATGTACCAACAGTCGGTACCCGACCAATTGTCCCAGCCCCAACCACAGCACTACAGCCAGCTCACCAGCGGGGGCGCCGGAGGTGCCAGCGCGTCGGGAGGCATGTACGCAGCGGCAGCAGCGGGAGCCGCCACGTCGTCGCACTCCACGCCTATCCAAGACACCTTGAACACATCCAGCAACTCGACTGTGGGCCAGTACCAGCCTCCAGGAATCCGTCCGCGCGTGACCACCACCATGTGGGAGGACGAGAAGACGCTCTGCTACCAGGTGGACGCCAACAACGTATCGGTTGTGCGCAGAGCCGACAACAACATGATTAACGGTACCAAGCTTTTGAACGTGGCCCAGATGACGCGGGGGCGCCGTGACGGCATTTTGAAGTCGGAGAAAATCAGACATGTGGTCAAGATCGGATCCATGCACTTGAAGGGGGTGTGGATCCCCTTCGAGCGCGCGTTGGCCATGGCCCAGCGCGAGGGCATCGTCGACTTGTTGTACCCGTTGTTTGTGCGTGATATCAAGCGCGTCATACAAACGGGTGTCACTCCCAGCGGCGGCAGCAGCGCCAATGCTGCGGCCGGCGCCGACCCTGCGTCCAACCCCGGCTCCTCTGTGGTGCCTGCTGCTGCAGTAGCAGGTGCCGCAGGTGCCGCCCCCTCCAAGTCCTCGTCCACCCCCATCCCCACCGTGCAGCCCAACGCCAACAGCTTCTACCAGCAGTACGGCCAGTACGCTCAACAATACACCCCTCAGTTGAACGGCGCACCATCGGCCGTCACCGGCTCCGGCCAGCAGAGCCCTTCCCAGCCCCAAAAGCCCCAGGCCGCTGCATCCAACGACAACTTGCAGCAACAGCGCCAGTTGCAATTCCAACAGGCCCAGGCCCAGGCCCAGGCCTCGCAACAACTGGGCATACCGCAGCAGTCCCTGCAGCAGTCGCAACAATTGCAGCAGTCCCAGCAGTCCCAGTTGTACGGAGGTTACCCACAGCAACAACAGCAGCCCTACTACGCCGCCTCCTCCACCACCTCCGGTGCCGCTCCCAACCAGTTCTACCAACCATACAACCCCAACGCAGGCTACTCGGGCTACGGTGGCCAGCCTGGCTACTCCTACGTGTACCAGCAAGTTCCACACCAAGCACCAGGCCAACAGCAACAGCTGCAGCAACTGCAGCTGCCCCACCAGCAAGGCCAGCTTGGCTCGTCTGCTTCATCTGCAGTCACATCCGCCCAGGCAGGCTCATCTAACGGCACGTTGGTGACCTCGGAAGATGGCAACGCACCAGGCTCGTCCTCGGTGAATAACGGCGTAAAGAAGGAGGATAAGTAGTCCCCCCCCAGCTATTAATGGCAAATGTCATACGGAAAATTTGACCATGTGGAAATGATAGAAATTGCTTATATTGATTGATTTTACCAGCTATTCTTGTCTTCGTGTTCGTTGAAGTCTCGTCTTGCTACATTTTTCTACCCATCTATTACTTTTTGTACCAGCTTTTGATTTGCTTTTCATGGGCTAGCCTGGGCCCCTTTTTGTTACCTTTTCTTCTTTCCTAGTATTATATTTATATTTTATAAACGCCCCACAGATATACGAGCGTAGACATCGGGAGGATTCAGACCCAACATTCGCCTTGAAGTATTAGCTGCTGTTATTTACGATGCTGTCAACGCAGTGATGCAAATATTATGCATTGCCAGTGCGATGGGCCAGATGCAGCCGCACGATAGACACATGCATCATGCGCATTTGGCACCCCACAGACATGGACGCAACATTCGGTAGTCCACCCCACCGATCTACAACAGCCTCTACGCACCTAGCGCTGCTGCTGGGGACCGCATTAACTTGACTACTCTGGGCAGAAGTAGGCCCCGCGGGGCCAGCGAGGCCCGCAGGAACTAAAAACCCAAACTCGCAGCGCGTGCCAAACTCGCAATGCGTCATGTCATCTGGCTACACAATCTGAACGACAAAGACCAACAACAAAGGAGCATGGATTGTGGGAAAATACACCTGGCCTCATCTGCAGCCATCTGTCAAGGCTTCACCTGGGGAGATTTATTATTTGGGAGGCCCCACCAACCTTAAACTGCCGATTTGGGTTTGGGGTAGCCTGCCAGCCAAATCCCGCCAGGGTGGCCGATCCCCATCGTTGCTCCAAAATCATGTGCTGGCGCCGTCACCCCCTGACGGTGGGGGTGCCCCAACTTCGTACCAGGGGCTTTGTGTCATGCGGGTCGCGATTGTCAACGGTTCACAGTCAACTCTAAAATGGTCTGTCTGTGGCACCAGAGGGGGCAAGCCACCTGCATTATTGTTGCGGACAAAAGTTACTCTTGCGCCCCTGCAAAGCCACCCCAGTTTCTCCGACACTTCCCCCCGACACTCCCACCACCCCAGCGGTAGTGTCTGTTCCTCCCCCTCCCACGTGACCGCACCCTTATCACCGTGCTCGGCTATCTTTCCACCACCACCACCACTCCATCCCCATGTTGCACCAATTGTGGATACCTGCCATCGCCTATCTCGCTGCCACTGCCACTGCAGCCAGCTTGCCTGACACTCAGGTGCTTCTTGCGCCCCCTGAGCCCGGCACCCACATCCCTGCGTTGCAGATCCCCTCCGAGGAGGAGGCTGCTACGGTTGCAAGGACGTTGGTCCAGCGGGAATCGCTCACCAACATCAACACCATCCGCAAGATCCACCAAGACGACGGCACTACGCGCGCGCTTCCGTTTTCTGCCATGGAGTACTACGCAGACTGCGACGAAGATGGCGATCCCTACTGGTTGGCAGTAGACATAGGCACCACCTTCCAGAATCTTCGCCAGGGGTCGGATGTGTCGTTCACCATCAGAGTAGGCGACCATCCAGCGTGGGACGAAGTCAATGCCACGTATCCTGGCGGAATCGAGCAGTCGCCAGCAGGCTCGCCACGTATCAATCTCAGTGGGCGTCTCAACTGGGTGCCTTTCAAGACGCCATTTGACTACATCCGTCTCCAGGCGTGTTTCTTGAAAAGACACCCAGACGCGGTGGCGTGGTTGCCAGGCAGCTACGGCAGCCCGCATTCGTCGCGGTGGGCCAAGTTGGAGGTGGACGCCATCTACTTTGTGGGGGGATTCGGCGACAGGGCTTATATCGGGGCGATTGACCCGGAGTTGTACCACGCAGCAGACGTGATTGAGCTGTGAGTGATTGAGCGATAAGGGATTGGATTGAGTGGGGCATAAAAATTGCAGGGCAATTGGGTGCTCCATCGACGTACCATCGGTATTGAAACACGCTTTATTGGTTTAACTCCAGGGTGAGTCCAGCATTCTGCATTTCAGCGATAACAGTCTGTGGTTGCATCTGTGGTGAGCCCAATATTCGGCATTGGGGCGATGACAAGCATTTGGGGTTCCCCCGTAGGTGTTTCATCAATGAGTCCATACGACTCCTTTCTGCGGTATAACTTAAAATATAATTTAGTTAATGTCAAGATAAAATGGATTCTTGAATCACAAATTCGGTGTTGGAGTTCGTACGCACAAGAGGCTTATTTCTTACCTTCAATTTATCACTTCGTACGAATACAAGAGGCTTGCATTGATATTTAAGATATTGATTCATTTCAGCCCTCTAGGGAAATGTACCAATGCTGGTGCTACCAAGGCAACTTCCTCAATATCGGAGTATTTTAAAATATGACAATTGTTACCACTACTCCAGGCAATGCACCAAATGAGAGTATTGCACGAAATGCCGGAATGCCATGAATATAGATATTCCGTACCACTGATATCCAAAAGTGATATTTTTCCACTGCCATAATATCTTTAAGATATGTCAAATGATACCACTGATGGACTGCTAATAGGAGAAATGCCACAAATGCTTCACTTTCTCAATCCTCAAATTGCGCAAGAATGGAAACACATCTTGATACCGTATCTTCCTCTCGTGTCATCTGCCAAAGTATCTTGCCAACTGAGGAAAGTTGGAATACTACCGTGCAATATTATTGGATGGTTACACCAATTGCATTATTTAACATGTTTATATTCGAAATCTATCGACAAGTACCATTACTCTTTTCTCCTAGATCATCATTAGCATGATATATCGATAGGATTAACATCAGCATCTTCTTACAGAGTATCTTGCGGTGTCGTATATTTTAAGTTGTCATACAGGTTTTATCATTAGCGAATCCAAGGTTCTTGCACGCTGTACAAATTCACCAGAAATCCTGGCCTTCTTCTCCTTCCAGCTCTTTTCTGCTTCGAAAACTGCACTCAACGCCTTTCCCATGGCATTGAAGTCGGTCATCAAGTTGACGTGGCCACGCTCACTGGCAAATTTCCCTACAATCTGGCCACGGCCAGTCTCGTCGTCGTAGAAGTCAAATCCCTTCCGCTGGGGCATCAACCACCGCTGGTGTACCACCCCGTCTCCGTGGCCATAGAAGAACGAGTAGTAGTTTCCATCTTTGATGTCTTGCCTGTCTCTAACGTTGGAGCCTCTCACTGAAGGCACCTTATTCCCATATACCATCGCCAACGGAGGATACTCGGTCTCGAGCTCCTCAATGTAGTCCAAGCTCAAGATGTACGCCTTAGCCCGCTTCAAGGTGTCTGCGAGGTAGTTATATGCTTCTGTGAATGTGAATGAAAAGTGCTCCTCAACCTCGTCCTCCGAGGTGGCTGTCTTGAATGAGCTCAGGAATGACGGAACAGACGGAGAGTCTGCCTTGGGATGCAATTTGGGGGATAATGGGTTGCGGATGGGAGATCCTGCCTGCGAGGATGAGTTAGAGGACCCCTCATCCACTGCACTGGGGCGGGTTTTCCTATTCATCGAGATGGAACGGTAATGCTTGAGCTTGTTACTTATGGAGTTTATGATAGGAATGGATCCTGTCGACTCGCTGACTGGAAGGTGGATGGGGCTCTTATGGCCCTGCTCTTCTAGCAATTTTCTTTTGGAAGATACGAGAGGATTCAAGTCATATTCGACCCAGGTGTCAGGGTTGAAGTAGTCAAGGTCAAAGTACTCTTTTGTCTCTGTGTTCACGAATACCCTGCCACTTAATGGCAAGAATATGAACCCTGATCTCATCATGAAGTTCGTCTCGTAGGTCAAAATCTTATCGTTGAGAATCACCGAGTCACCATACCTCAAAGGACCAAGAATATTGAGACATTCGCTAGGAACACCCACGTACACGAGAGATCTGAACAACTTGGGGTTGCGGTTTAATGCTCCGTGAGCAATCAACCCACCCATAGAATGGGCAATAACCAACGTAGGCTTGCCGGTTTTACGATACATCTCCTCCAAGAACTCCTCGAACTGGCGAGAGGCGATATCTGCACTGAGTCTCCAGTCGTAACCGTACTCCTTGACGTTAGTCTTGGGGTTTGCTGACAATTTCTTGATCAATTTCTTGCAGATGTCGATGGGCCCAATATTCTTCAACACGCCATCGGGGTAGATTAGGTCCATGGCCTTCAATTCGTCCTCGGGACGTGGGCCTATGAGGAGATTGATTTTCCGTAAATTGAATCCTGCCTTGATGGGGATCCACACCCGTTTTCCCGTCTTTCTACTGCGTAGGATGGAGCCTCGATAGCCTCCCATGATCACGATGTTTCCGTCAATCTCGTCAAAAATGCGCTCGTGGCTCTTTTTGTGGGGTTTGCCAGGCAAGATATCGTTCAAATTAGCGGAGATCGAGTGCTTCACCGCCCGCAAACGGGCATTGTCGGTGCCCTTGAACTTCTGGAAGTATGTGGCATCCTCGATGGTGCTGATGGACTGCTGGCGCTCGAGCTTGAGGTTCATGTCTTGCTTTAGCTGGTCGAGCTCGCTGGACTGGCTGCTACCAAGCAACGGAAGATGCGGATCGAACTTAAACGACTGGAACTGACGGTACAAGTTGGATCTGACTGCTGACAACCCTCCAAAAGGCAACGAAAACGAGAACACCTTTGGTGCTGTGTTGTAGTCGCCTTTAGCGGGCACTTCTGTAGTGCCACTGGATGCCTTGGGCTGATGGTCTGCCGGCTTGCTGGGGTCGGCAACCGGTGGCTTGGCGTCTGCAGCAGCGTCATCATCGTAGACATCTTCCAATGAGTCTCCACCCACTATCGAGTTGGCGTCGGATTTGGAGAGCCGTTTATTGGCGCTAGCAGAGAAGCTGGGCCTGCTCATTGCGGGATCGAGCTGCGACAGCAAGTCGACTGGCGCCTGCTCCAAGATATCGTCATCGTCGTCGTCGTCGTCATCATCAAAGTCCTCCTCTTCGTCGTCGTCTTCGTCGTCATCGTCTGCGACATTCAACGGGTCGAAATCTGGACTTGTTGTGTCGTCCGCACGGAAGGCCACTGGCGCTTGGTCCAATGGGCCTGTGGCGTCGTTTTGGGCGTTATGTGGGGAAATAGAGTGCTGTTTTGGCCCATCTTGTGAGTTTTGTGGGGACGAATCTGGCTGTGCTTGGCCAGATTTGGCCTGGCTCAGGCTGGAAGCTGCCGTGGGCACGTGCACACTCTTTGGGGCGACCATTCTGGAGGTGGTCTTCTATATGGGTGGGCTGGAGGTTGGCGGGTACCCTGGCCAATAGTGGATCAAGAGACAAATGTGTCAATGGATTTAGCCAGGTGACAACTCACGTGCAGACGCAGACATCGCGTGAACCTCGGAACGACTGGAAGCGTGAATTGGAGCGTGCGGAGGAATAACGGTGAACGAGTGGCGCTGGAAGAGCTGCCAGAGGCACGTGGAACACGCGGATGCTGGAACAGGGCCATGGCGGACTTCAGAGGAGCCGTGGGTCCAGAAGCCAGAAGTGAATGCCGGAACACCAATGCAACTGGAATGTGAAATTATGTAAGGGCTCTAAGGTTGCGATTGTTACAGACATTTTGCAAAAGCATGGCGGTTGGCCTGCAGTGGCATAAGCTTTGCAGGCGCAGAAATTACGACACCTAGTGCCAATTAGGCAGGAGGCGCACATTAAGGTTGGCGGAACCAGGCCGGGTCTGTTTTGCCGACAGGGTTGCCACAACAGCTGGTAGGCTTGGATGGCCCCTCCCCTCTCTTCCCCCGGCCTGGCGTTCAGAGTAACCGTGGGGCTGCAGGGACGTGGGATGAATTTCCGTGGACACGGGGATGAAACGAAAAAATGCAGACATCGAATTTACCACTGATGCATGCACGAGGAAATAAGCGCAGTCGCTGATTTCGCAGCCATGTACGCTACAGCCTCTCAGGTGAAATGTTGGCTGGGTTGCAAGCTCCATTACGATCCAACCGTTGCTGCTTCGCGGCACAGCAACCTACATTGAAATATGCAACACACACATGTATTGGGATCCAGACCTAATGCCGGACAGTGGTATTGCCCATTGGGGTTTGGGCTCCTAAATTGGCCCATTAATGTTCCCAAATTGGACGGCTGGGGCTCCTAAGTTCGGGTGTAATTCGGAAACCTAAATTGGGATTAAGCTGTACTCATGTCAGACACAAAATCTTAAACATAAATCCTTCAAACTCCGGCATTTCCGATCAGTGGTGAGCCCTAGTATCATCATGTTAATCATTACATCTCATCGTCAATAGTTCTCCCACGTTTGCTTTTCATTATTCTTTAGTAATAGTTCTACCCAAAAGTAGCTGTTCTTCGTCATTTTATCATTAGTTGACTCCACGATACCTGTTTTCTTGCCATCTTCATCATTATTTGGCTCCAATAAACTTTTGCGCTTCTAGTATTTACCTCCACTTCACTATTGCGCTTTCGGCATCTCAATTGCCACCACCAAGCGTGTGCTCTTTTCATTTCATCATTAATTGCTTTCACCTGTGCTCTTCAGGACCGCAGAAATATTTTTGGTGCTTTTCTTGTCATATTCAATAATTGAAGATTTGCAGTTTCTCAGCAATGGTCTCCACAAAACTTGCAGTAGCTCACCATTGAATATCTCAACAATCTCAACTATCTCATCATCAGAACCTTCAATTTCTCCAAATCGGGAACTGTCATCTCTTAATTCCGTTAAACTTGCACTTTTCCCACGTCTTCCACCATATAGGCCTCGATTTTGTGCAAGTCCTTAGTGTTGTCGCTTCTGGCATTGGCAAAAACCACCCTGTGGGCATGTCTGGCGGGGATGTTGGCGTCGAACAACTTGTCCATGTCCTCCAATGCAATTCCCTTTGTTTCAGGCACACAGAAGAATACAAATGGAATCGACAAAATGGCCAAAGTGGCAAAAAAGTAGTAGATGCCGTACTCCATTTTGTCGATCATCTTGGTGGTGAGCCTGGCCATGATAAAAATGGGCACCCACGAGACGGCTGCGTTGATTGCCTGGACGAACGAACGGATGTTCTGGTCAAACACCTCTGCACCCACCACAAACGGTCCTCCAGACCACGCCAAAATGAACGAGGCGATCCAGATGTACATCATGGCGATAGCGGCCTTTCCGCCTGGGCCCGCCAGGTTTCCGGGAACGGTGGGGTCATTGAGCTTGAGGTAGGAGCCGATGTACCAGAAACAGACAGAACACACGGCAGACGACGTCATGAACGCACGTCGTCTTCCCACGGTATCCACAATGAAGATGATGTAGATGAAAGTGCACACGAACTTGACCACACCAAACATACCTGTGGAGAAGAGCGTGGCGTTGGTGCCCTTGACACCCAATCCCTTGAAGATGATAGGAGAGTAGTAGTTGATAGACTGGATGCCCAAGAAGTTCTGGAAGAGGAAGAGCCCACAGGTGATGGCCAAACGCAACAAGATGTGCTTGTTGCGGACGAACACCTCTAAGAATGGGTCCCAGAGACCCAATCCGACCTTATTCTTCTGAGTCTCAATGGAGTCACGTACTTGGTTGACCTCGTACACGATATACTCGTGGTCCACGGGCAAGTTACGGAGCCAGGTCAAGTTGGCTAGGGCCTCTTCGTGGCGTCCCACCTGGAACAACCACCGCGGCGACTCTTTCATCATGAGCGATCCCACCAAGAACATGCCACTGGGGATGAGCTGCACGGCAAACGGAATGAACCACTGCTTCTTGCCTTTGGCAACCAGCTCGTCCACGGCGTAGGAGATCCAGAATCCGACCAAGTCGCCTATTCTCCAGCCAATCTCGTACGACAGCGTGAGCTGGCCCCGGATGGCGGGAGGCGACACCTCGGAGATGTACACCACTGTGAGGTTGGTGGAGAATCCGATCGCCACGCCGGCCAACACTCGTCCCGCGTAGATGGGTCCTAGTCCCCGTTCTGCGCTGGCGGCTAGCATCACCGCAGACCCAACCGTCACCAACACGGCAGCGAACACCAACGAGATCTTTCTGCCCCAGTAGAACGAGAACGGGTACGAGAACAACGCTCCGAAGAAGCAGCCTGCGTGGAACACCGAGATGACGTTGGAAATGATGCCCTTGGAGTGGGAAGAGTCATCGAGCCCAAACTCGTGGCGGAACGAATCCAACGCCACGGTTCCGCCTATAAAACCCCCGTCGTACCCGATGATGATGGCCGCGGCAGATGCCATCACGGCAGTGGCGTAGATCCGCCAGTTGTAGACTTCCGGAGGAGTGGGTCTGTCCTCGTCTTTGGCGAAGAGCTTGAACCTCGCCTTGATGGCTTGAAAAGGCGCAGCAGCAGCCTTCAGTGCGATCAGCGACTCTGAGCTTGTAGTAGTCATTGTCTGTGCCTTGGAAGTGTAGTTGGAGGAGGGCCCAGCCCAGTTATAAAGCAGTCCAAGCAAGTTGTTTGAGATGATGCTCACTCGGTCCCCCACCAAATATACGAAACCGAGATCATTTCGCGTGAGCAGACGTGGGGGATCGCCAGCACCAGTTAGAAAGGGTGGAGGTCTGGCGTGGGGGACCGGGGATTGGGGATGGGTAGGCCCTGCAGACTGGCTGGCTGCACCCGGATTGTGGGGACGAGTAGCAAGTGTGGGGGCTACCCCAGATCCAAGGTGTGGAAAACGGGCCTAAATCCCCCACTCGAGAGATCCTTTTCTGGTGCGTGGGGGTCCCGGTGCGTGGGGGATCCAAGAACCTTATTAGTTTTCGGCAATAATCCGGGGTAAGCCTGTGGGTGTCGGAATGGTGTGATCCGGAAGCACTACCTTGTGGGGTAAAAAGCTGGCTCAGCCTTGGCCAATGGCTGATGTTGTTAGAGGTGATACAGAACAAAAAAAATTACTTGGACGAGACAGGAATCGAACCAGTGACCTTTTGCTTGCAAGGCAAACGCGCTACCAACTACGCCACACGCCCGTAATTTTATTTGAAAATAGGGCTGGTTTGTGTCACAATGTTGTCATTACGTAAGAAATTGAATAATCACCAAGTTGCAAAAATCAGTAAAAATCAATTTAAATTTTAAAGTTTTGACCATAATGGTGTTTCATCCATTGCAATGGGTATATAGTCAGTAGATTTTTATACAACACGGGAGGACTCAAAGCTAGGTGATATCCGCTATTCCAAAACAGTATGTAAGTATTTCACCTTGGCAGCAAGGAACTAGATAAAGTGTATAGCCAATCTTTGTAGTTGTTGGTCCTTCAGATTAGTTAAAGAGGGTCAGTTTCGATGATTTTCCATTTAATGTTTCCGTCCAAATAGTTTGACAACAATATATCAATCATGATAAACAAATGTTGTGCTTTCCATTGCAATAAGTGTAGAATGCCAACTAGCAACGTGGCAGTAAGTTCAGGTCAAGATCTGACCCTAAATGACCAAGAGTTCTTCTCTCTTTCGGGTATTGTTTGCCAAAAGCTTCAAAAAGAATCGTGTTATTTACTCAATGGAGGGCATCTCCAACAAGGAGCTACTCCTCAGAAGAGTTAATCATAAAAGACTACACCTGAGGGTAAATCTACAATGAATACGGGATGTGCTACCTTTAATACGGCTAAATCGCTTACCTTGAAAAGCAATTGACATGCTAATGTTCGATATCTCACTAAGAATCGGAGTCACGGAGGTCCTTGGAGAAAATAAACATAGGATTTTGGCTTTGATTGATAAATGCACATGTTCATAAATATTCTGAAGTATATTGAATTAAGTAAACATCACTTTCTCGAATTGTTCATTTAAATTAGAAAGATTTTCTCCTCTTAATTAATTTGGAATTATGCGAAAAAACTCAATTTATCGAAACCATTCTGTAACACCGAAATGCTAAAGTATCTATGTCTCTGAACGCTAAAGTAGATATACCGACTCTATATCTGCTGGTAATTGAGCCTCACTGTTAGCAACGACATCAACCGTAACAGGCTCAAGACCAAAAGCTACGAATTCTTTCCCATAATACTTTTAAAGAACGGGACGACTAACTTGTACACTAAAGGATTGAAGGAGTTTCCCAACAGCCACAGTATCTGACCTGTGAATAAACTCTCATTCAATACGTGTGGATATCTGTCGAAACATCTGTGCTTCACTACTCTGGTACTTCCCAGTCCCAAGGTCCTGTCACAAAACCAGCGGTTTCGCAGCAGGACTAGTGCGATGTGATCGCTAGCACTACTTACTCGTCAGTACTGATGCTCGCTACACCTCACTAGTTCTCGCTACGACGGTGCCAGCTCCCGCTACACCAGTACTAGTTCCCGCTATTCGTACCGGGAATCTTGGGCAGAGTGTTCCAACACCTCGCTACTGCCAAAAGGCCATCCACGCCACGTATCCCACCGTCTCTCTGCTCCAAAGCCTTCAACTTTCGTGATCTTTCCAGTCTTCCCCACCATGGCAGCACCCCATTGACAGCTCGTTCTTCCTCCTCCCCGTCGCTTTTCTCGTCTTCTCGCCATTCCCTATTCTCTTTCTCATCGTCGCCAAACGCGTCATCGCGCCGCGCGCTCACCAACGCGTACCAACCACTATTCTCTTCTCGAGCACACCATTACACCAGCACCTTTTGCACCATAGAATCAGCATACCAGCATACCACCATTCATAAAACGACTAACACACTGCCACAATCGTTACATATCCCTTGAAACCTCGTTCTTCATTCACTAACGCTGCATTAACACCAGGCCAGCCTTTCCATGTATATAACTCCAGACAAGTATCTCGAGACGTTTCGGGAGATCAAGCGGACGTCGCTCTCCCACTCCTCGTGCAAGTTGGTGGTGTTCGTATCGTGTCTCGATATCGACTCGCTATGTGCTGCCAAGATCCTCAGCTTGCTCTTAAGAAAGGAATTGATCCAATACCAGCTCATTCCGGTGGTGGGCTACTCCGACCTCAAATCACACTACCTGAAGCTCGACCACGACGTCACCAATGTGTTCTTGGTGGGGTGCGGTGCCATGTTGGACCTCGAGACCTTTTTCGAGTTGGACCCTGATGAGTTCCTCGTCCAGTCCAACATGCCAGACGATGACCTCCACGCCGACTTGCGTAACGATGCCTTGAGGGCCAACAATGTGGCCTTGAGGCGCAAAATCTACATTATTGATGGCCACAGGCCGTGGAATTTGGACAACATTTTCGGGTCTTCTATGATTTCGTGTTTCGACGACGGTTTCATCGACGCAAACTTGAGTGGAGAACGGTCTGCCTATACAAAGTTGGTGGATACCGAAGATAGCGAGGCAGAGTCCTCAGAGGAGGAGTCTGAACGGTCCACAGACGAGGACGAGGTTGCTGAGATCGACTCGGACGAAGACTTGACCATACATTCACAGGACTCAGAAGAGACCACCTCCAGAAAACGAAACAAGCAAGAGTTACGAATGAAGAAGATCAAAAGGCAACGTAGGTTGGAAAAATCCACCCACGAAGACACCATCCAAACATATTATAACCAGGGAACCACTGTAATGACCACCACCTGTGCCACCATCTACGCATTCTTATCAGCCATTGGTGAAACCAGCATTGATAACCTCTGGCTAGCTATTATTGGGACCTCATCTTTGGACAGCCATTACCCCGAAGTTTACGATAAATTCCAACCATTATTTAAGGATGAAGTGTTAAGATTGAACCCATCCAACCAAACAAACGGCTCCGAGAAAACCGCCGACACCACCACATTGAGCATCGAGCGAGATTACCATTTATTCTTGTTGCGTCACTGGACGTTGTACGATTCGTTCTTCTATTCCAGTCACGTAAACTCGAAATTAAATTTATGGACTGAAGATGGCAAGAAAAAGCTCCACAAGTTATTCGCCAAGATGGGTGTTTCACTAGCAGTCGCACAGCAGAAATGGCTCTACATGGATATCCGAGTCAAGAAGCAACTCCCATTGATTTTCAACAAGTATTTACCATTGTATGGTCTTGAAGGTATTGTGCGAGACGGGTTTATCAGAACATTTGGATTCACAGGGCAATTATCTGCCATGGAATGTGTGGAGTCCTTAACGGCTCTATTGGAGTTGGACAAGCGGTTTTTGAACGATGCTAGCTCGGGCAACGACGGCCATGACGAGAACGAGGAAGAGTCGGACCTCCAGAACGAGGACGAAAGAATTCAAGAACGTATAGACAGAAAAGGAAAGGTGTGGGTCAATAATTTTTGGTCCTCGTGGGATGCCCTCAACAGCACCTCAACAACCTCGAGCACCAAGTCCATCAACTCGTTGAAAAAGCCCAAGGGGTTGGAACTTCTCCTTCAGGGCCTCGAGCATGCAAAGCAAATACAGCAGATCATCTTCCGAACCGGAATGTCGTTGTTGGAAAGAAAACTCATCAAGAACCTCAAATTGTACCGGTTATGTGTATTAAATGATGGATCCATTCCCGATCTCAAGATCTTCAACAATCCACTATTACTTTCTAAATTGGGGTCCTGGCTCTTGGAAAACATAACTGAGCTAGATTTCATGAACCAGAACAAGTCGCTCAAGCCGTTGGTCGTGGCCAGCTTGGATGTGGCGAGCGACACCTACTTGGTGATAGGACTTGCTCCGAAGTATCCCCGCGGCATGGATAACAATACCAGGGCCAAATTGTCGCAAAATAAGCAGGACGGTCTGGGCGACACAGTCACCACCCGGTTGAACACCTTCAGCGTGGCGTTCCAGCAATTGGCCACGATATCCGGCGCCAAGGTGCGGATAGACAGTTTTGACAGCTCAGTGATCGAAATCCGGAAGGACGACCTACCCCCCTTTCTCGAGAGGCTTACCTTGAGCGGGTTAATATAGGCTGGGGCTGCGAAACCGCAGTTGCGGGTACTTAAGGGTGCAGGAGCAACCGCATCCTTTTTTGAACCCAAAATGCCCCAAGTTGTTATTCTCGGGTAAGTCACCGCCAGCATCTGTCTTCCTGCCTACTAACCGCCAGCGCCGGAATCATCGGCCTCTATACCACCTTTCTCTTGATCGACCGCGGTGTGAACCCGGCCGAAATCGCAATTGTCGCTGAATTTCTTCCCGGGGACCAGTCCATCCACTATGCGTCTCCATACGCAGGGGCGGGATTCTGTGCATGCGTCAACGAGCCATACGTCAAATATAGCAGATACACCTACGAGAATGTGGCTCGTCTCCACGCCGCCCTAGGCAGCAAAGGAACGGGAATTGGCACGTTTGTGTCCACCGAGTACACTGACTCCGTGCCCTCGGACCACTTGCTCGACCAGCTTCGCCAGTTCTTGGACGACTTCGACACCGTGGACGTACCCTCTACGGTCCAGGCCCGTCATGGCGTACGTTACACCGCCTGGGGCTTCAATAGCCCATTGCTCATCAAAAACTTGTTGGAATGGGCCGTGGGCAAGGGCGTCCAGGTGTCCCGTCGCAAGGTGGCCCACGTCTCGGATGCTTTCGCTCCCGATACCGAGGTGGTGTTCAATTGCACTGGTACTGGAGCCATTGGCCTAGGGGGAGTCGAGGATGCCAAAGCCTTTGCCACCCGTGGCCAGGCTGTGGTGGTCCTGGCTCCGTATATCGGCGAGTGCCGGTCGCTTGATGGCACCGAAAAGACGTATGTGATCAAGCGTCCCGACTCCAACACTGACGAGGTGATTCTCGGAGGAATCTACCAGCGTCATAACTTCGATCCAAACGTCTACGGGCATGACACTGCCGATATTTTGACCAGAACCACCCGTCTTTATCCAGAGCTTCTCTCCCACAACCCCAGTGGCTCCAGGGTAGAGGATCTCAAGATTCTTCGGGTGGTTGCTGGTGCCAGGCCCTACCGTGAAGGAGGAGTACGGATTGAGAAGGAGACGGTGGCTGGCAAGACTGTGGTGCACAACTACGGGGCCGGAGGCCAGGGGTACCTCTGTGGATTGGGAATGAGCAGCGAGGCTGTCGATCTCTGGCAGGGAACGGAGCATACCACTGCAGTGCAGCCACGCCAGCGGTGGGCACCAAAGCCTAAGGAGTCCGGGAAAGTTAGTTAGGCTTCCAGTGGGCCAATTCTCACGTAGGAGTCTCACCTGGCTTGGCAGATGGACTTTCGGAGGCACCAATCACTCGGAAATAACCACAGGCGTCGGCTATTTGGCGAACTGGCCCTGTTATTGAAGTGTTTGCTAGTCATGCTGAAGTCCCTGATGATACTGGAAAATTTCATTGAATTCAACCTTGAGTTTGTCAATCGGGTCTTCACAATTATTCTGTTGATAGATCTTTTAGGGTATATTTAATTTATAGCTTAACAAATGGGAGACAGCGTTGGATTGAAAGCGTTCACTGTAGCACTTTAATGGTAAACTCAAATTGTAAGAAATCGCTCGGGTTTTGTAATTTTTGATTTGGTTCCCTTCTAATTTGGTGTCTTCGGGATCAATAAGCACCCCGGTTCAATCCTTTAGTTCTCAATTAAATGCCCGTTTGTTTGTAGATCGGTTTGGTGGATTGATAACCCTTCCTATTTCGCCTTGTTGGTATTCTTAAAACTCCCGTAAATATATGCGGGTCCTCCTTAAATAGCAATACATCGTGTGAATTATGTCGCAACCCAAGCATTTGGATCAAATTAATTTCACTTTTGGATAAGCGGTTCAAATCGATGGAATACCTTCATTTATTGATAATAACAGATTAACAGTTGTAGGTACTAATGTAGTTGTATGTTTGGCTTCATTACTTAAAGAGCAAGAATGCATATAAGGTGAGTACTAGCCCGCTCTCTCTTGTAGATGAAACCTAGCGAGTTCCATTAAGTATTCAGATTTGAGATTTCTTGCATTATTCGATCCTATTGGCACTTCTTTAGCTAAAGTACCTGTTTTAGTTCCAAACTTTAATCTAAAGTTCTTGAGCTATTTCCTTGAGTGATGTTTATCGGTAATTTTATCTGGCTACTGATTTATGTTCATTTTTTATAAAATACAGAGAGGGATTTAAAGGATTAAATCTATCAGATTGGGGAGGACTCGAACTCTCAGTACCTTGGGCTCCATACAGATGCATTACCAATCATGCTACAATCTGTTGTTATAGACGAGATTTAGAATGTAAATTTAAATTAATACTTGTAGACCAGCTTGCATAACACAAAGTCAGATATGAAATAACTGAGTTGAAGCAATTTTGCTAATAAAATTATTAGTGTATTTGATAGCGGGATGATCGGCTTTTAGTAAATGGTATTGATGAGGACCAAGTATGCGAGCTCCTATGCCATGTCACTGTCCTGATTAACTACGTGGCTTTGTAATCGAATTAAAAAATTTAAGTTTCGTATATAATTTAAAGACGGAGATCGTTCATATCGAGAGGATTAGACTATGTTTAGTTACGTATCTTAAGAAACTAAGAGGTGAGACAAGTGGAGGGAGTCTTGAAAGTATAATAAAGGGTGTTTTACAGCTAGCTCCTCAGTACAAGATATATTTCTTGCCCCGATGGTAGTGTTCAAAACCAAGAGTAATTACTTCAGCTGTTCATCTTAATAGAAACAGGACCAAGGCTAACTGTCCTAACACAGATTAAGTGTTTACCATAGAGTCCCGTGCACCAGACTACTAGGTGGAATTCGCGCAAGACCTCGCTACCCCTGCAGATCCTCACTAACTCGCACCACCCCTCGCGAGGCCCAGGAGATCTCACTTGCCAAGCCACGCTAGCCCAGGGGATCCTGACTAGTGGCCCCGGTAACCCCCACCCTGCCATACAGGAATGTGGCCATACTGCTCCATACTGCAATACTCTCACTACACATATTCCAGCCACCTTGCTGGCAAACTACTGTTACTTGCTCCCACCGGCCAAGCAACCCTCACTAGCCCTCGCGGCGCCAGAAAATTTAACCACTACAACCCCTACCCCCTCGCTAGCACCTAGGCGGAGTATCCAGGACACTCACTAGAAATCACCCGACAAATCGCCAGGATCACCCACTACTGACGGCCCAATCCCACTACCATTGCTAGCCCACTCTCACCGGCGCAATCCTCACCACTGCTTGCTCCCTCACTAGCTGCGCAAGTTCGGCATTCCCTCGCTAACTCGGCCTCTCTAGCTCGCCCGCGGGCACGGCCTTGCCGCTCCGGGCTCGTAAACCCATGACCCCACACTCCTGCATCCAGCCCTCCCTTATCGTTTGTGTCAGCGGCTGATTCATCTTCCAAATCACCCTTTCTTCTTTCACCACCTCCCATCTCCAACCTCCAACCTCCAGTCCTCTACCCAGTATGACCATTCCCCAGTCGGCTCCGCCAGTCTCCAAGAAGCCTGGCCGCCTGGTGTCACCTGACCCCTCTAACAGGTTCAAAAACGATTCCTACCACCAGTGCTTCCAGAAGTACTTCCACTCCTACCACTACCTCAAACCCGATCCCGTGTACGTGGCCAACGTCAAGGCTGCCATCAACCACTGGCAGCTCCGGGACCTCATCAAGTACGACCCGCTGGCCAACGCCGTGTTGTACACCCGGCACGACGCCATCCATCGGTTGCCATTAGGCGCCAGGGGCCACGCCCAGGCGCTGGCGCCGTACGTAGGCCTCAGCTACCTTCCACGGTGCTTCGACCACTCCGACGACGGCTTGGTAGTGTGTGGTGGCCTCTTGACGTCGTCAGAAGCGTTTTCATCCAGCACTGTTGAAGTGTTACGCCCACCAGCGTCCATCCACCAGCCTGCGTCGTCCATCCCCAAGAAGGGCCTTTTCTCGTTCGCCAACCCTGCCGCTGGCGCCACCAAAACGGTGCGTTTTGGTGACATGATCAACAACGACGTTGCCATCTACCGGGACTCGAACTCCCACTGCGTGTCGTACGTCTGCAACAACGACAGCAACCTCTACTGCCTCGACATCGCATCCAACGACTCCATCTCCATTTCCAACAAGATAACCTGCGAGACCAACACCTGTCTCAACACGGTGGAGCGCAACCCCCTCAACCATAAGCTCCTCGCAGTAACAGGCGACTCGCTGGCCATCTTCTTGGTGGACCCCACCAGCGGTTCCAGCAAGATCAAGACTATCCGTACTGGCCACAACGCCGGCTTTGGTACTGCGTTCCACCCCAACGGTAACCTCTTCTCGTCGGTGTTCGAGGACGGCACCTGCTTGTTGTACGACTTGCGCAACATCAGAGACAATCAGCCGCTAATGGCCATCAAGCTGACCCGTCCAGGACACCAACTGGGTGCGTTCCGTGTAAGCAAGTTTTCGCCCCAGAACGACATGAGCGACTTGTTGGTAATTCTGGAGCATGTGGGACGAGTCCATCTCGTGGACTTGCGTCGCTTGAATGCAGCCAACGTCCACGAGCACCAAGTGATCGTGGTGCCGTTTGCGTTGGACCAGTATGCCGAATGCAAAGCAGCAGCTGAAGGGCCTGCTGGTGACGAAACCTCTTCTCACGCAGACAGACACAACCCACGCCAGCCCACGCGTCTGGTGGACGTCTACTCTGACCGTCTGGACCCTGCCAACAGCTTGTCGTTCACAGCACCGTTGGTGTACGACTACGACTATTTGGTGAACCAGAACCCCCAGTTGTTCAAGGAGTACTTCTACAGCCCTCCTCCAGCACCAGCGGCGTCTGCAGACTCGCCGCTCAAGTTCCACATCCCCGAGTGGTCGGGCGTGGGTGACTCGTCGCTGGCGGCAGGTCCCGCTGGCGTGTCGCCCACCACCTCCCAAAGACCGTCGTTTTCGTCCCTCGACTCGAATCCAGGCTACGACGACATGAACCCCGACATCGACGCTCATCTTCAGTACGTCTACGACCATATGGACTACAACCCGCCAGCAGACCGTCCGGCCACGGCGTTGGCAGCTGCAGCCGCACGTCCACGCCATTCGTCGGGTTCTGGCTACGGTCACTATTCCAGCTACTGCGAGGACCTGTACCAGCAGTCGATCAACCACATCCACGGCGAGATGGAGCTTGCAGGCGTGGCGTTCTGCAATCCGCAGCGCCAGAGCGACTCTAAGGTGCTCATTGGGTGCCAGGATGCAGGGGTGTTGATGTTTGATGTGAACGGGGTCGCCAGACGCAGCTTTGGCACCTTCGAGTACATGTGAGGTGTGGTACCATCAGGTGCTGTCAGGTCGTGCCATCCAATACTAATTGGCCCAGGTTCCAACAGACTGCTAATCCATCCATCTGGTCTATCGAGTGCTAATAGTCCATATTCGAACTTATGCTGCTTTGTCCATCTGGATCATTTTTACTTGGTGCACTGCCATTCCCACTTTTGGTCCACTGGTCTATCCGAATTTGGCTAACTGTACCTCTTTGGCTAATTGGATTGTTCCACATCTAGCCCACCAACCATCTTCCCCCACCATTTCTGCACTTGACCGTTGCGGCCTCTCGCACCAGCAGCCCTGTCAGCCCCTCTGAACCTTGTTACCAGTGGACATCAAGCCTCCAGTATACTTGTACTACAAGTTAACCAACTTTTTCCAGAACCATCGTAAATACGTGGAATCATACGACTTGGAACAAATCAAGGGTATCGCAGTATCGGAATACTGGGTGACCGGTCAAGCCCCTTTGCCCCTTTGCCCGCCACCACACCGTCTGCCATCACTCCGGCACACTCCTACCATTGCCGAAATACCCGTCCCACGAGGCCAGCCCTCCTTCATTTCTACATAGCCACTGACATTCCTGCTAATGCCTAATCCACCTCCTTGTCCCACGTAGTCTTTTGTAAGCGGTCCTGACCGCAGTTTCCACATACTGGCATGCTCACACGAGGGGGGCAAACTTACTAATGGGCTCATAACAATCTGATTAAGATTGGTAATCGCTGTGGCAAAACATTTTGCACCCATATGTCAGCAGTGGCTCCAACTGCGTTGCTGAGGTATAAATGGGAGGCGGAACCCTCAAGCAGCATACTCATCCACTGCTTGAATCACTCCAACCAGTACTTCCAAGCAACTTCCAGCTACAACTAGCAATCTCTCCACAACTAAGAATCTCCATTACCTGATGTCTACAATTGCAGTTATCGGACTCTCCGGCCTGTTGGGCAAGCCTGTCCTCGACGCTTTACTGTCGTCTGTCTTCGCTGACAGAATCGCCTATCCCATCAAAGCTTTGACCAGAAAGGACGACAAAACCTCTACCGACAAGGTGCAGTACATCCAGGCCGATTTGGCTAACACCTCCGCTGTGGCAGAAGCCTTGAAAGGCATAGACGTTATAATCGAGTTGACTACGGCCAATCCAGTCCTCTTTGGCCAGGTTGAGAAGATCGTGGCTGTTGTCAAGCCCAAACTCGTGATTCCATCGCAATTTGGCATCGAACTCGAGCCCGTCCAGGAGGTTGCTCCAGGCTTCTTTGTTATCAAGCTTGAGCATTCTGCCAACCTCAGAAAGCTTGGGGTCAAGGTGGTCGACATTGCTACCGGTTTTTTTGCTGAAAAGTCTTCGTATTCGTATGAAATCGTCCAGCCCTATGGAATTGACCCTGCAAGCAACACTGTCATCCAATACGGTCCTGACGACACCAAGGTGTCTATATCAACGGTCACAGACATCGGAAATGTCATTGCATCGGTAGCTACTGACCCTAACTCTTCCAGACTCCCAGACTCCTTAAAAGTGCAATCGGAAATCGTTCCTGTCAAGAAGGTGTGGGAAACCTACGAGAAGAACCACAACGTCAAGTTGGAGCACACGGCCAAGAAGTCTGCTGCAGAGGCCAAGGCTGAGTTCAAGCACCTTTGGGAGACCGAAGGTTTTGTTCCTGCAAAATTCCTTCACTACTTAGGATACATTATTGCGCAAGGTGCAGACAATGGTGCTCTCTTTAGCGAGAATGATCGGGAGTTGGTGAACCCAGGCGAGAAGTATTGGAAGTGGGGCAGCTACTAGGCAAGCATTTATTGGCTCTGACTCGATTATGAGTAGGAAATTATTTTGGGTTATCTAGGCAGAATGTGTATATGAAATATTGAAATATATGAAATAATAATTAGGGTGAAGTGTAAATCAAGAATTTTAGTTACGACATAAATTGAATAACTATGTCAAGATTGAATATGGAATATATCCTGGAACAACTAGGCTATTGTAGGTGAAACATTCAGCAATTCTTTGTAAGGAGTATCTGAAAACATGTTCTGTCATTTTCAAGCACCCATAATTCAGCCTCGAAACTAGGGTTGAATTCTGGAAAGAAGCATCCTCCTTCCTTTCCCCATGTAGGTGAACTACCAGACATGGAGAAGATTAATTAATACCAAGTATCTTTTTGTATGAACATATGATGCAATAGTAACATGTTTCTTCGAGCTTGAAGATCAAATACATCTTGGTAGAGAAGTGTATAATTTAGACATTGCCGAAAACACCGAACAAGTATTTCGTGGACACATACAGTAGTTAATTAGTCTTCGACGTAATATTATTGGCCACATGGATAGAAGTACCGCTCAAACAATAACATGTTAAGTAGACTCTATTCACCGACTCTACGCTTTGGAGCACCACAGTCAGGTTAAATCAACTATACAACAGAGCAATAAATAATAAATAAAGACAGAGAAGAACATTATATAACTAACAATCAGTAGAATAACCAAGTATGTACAAAATTGGTGAGAGATACGTTATTTTTTTTAGGATTTTCTGGATTTTCTAGATGTATAAGTTGAAGGGATATGAGTATTTCAGTGGGATGCTCATGGGGTACAGACCTCTGGAATCTTGAACAATCACAAAGATGCAATGGACGTTCGCGATGTAGCATAGGGTGTTCGAATCTATAATTGAGAACACGATGCAAAGTTCCCACAAGGGGAGGTATTGCGTTAGCAATAGTACAACATTGACTCATTAATGGGTGAATGGAAGCTCCAATATGCTGCACCCTGATGGGTGACTTAGTTTTCAGCTGGCAACAACCATTGCTCAAAGTTGTCCTTGACTCTCAAGTTGACATCATCGATAGTGGCGGATTCAGCGTCCTTTTCGTTGAGGTAGTTGATTTCTAAGTTCTGACAGTTCTTGACAGTCTCCAAAATAATGGAGCTGACTTCCTGGTCAGATTCGAGAGAGTTTTGAATACCGTTGATGATAATCTTGACTCTCTTGAAGTTCAAGATCAACGACAATGACACCCAACCCTCAGTATCCATGTTCTTTCTCAAGTAGATATCTCTTATCAAGTTTTCCAAAGAGAAGTAGTAGTCAATTTGTTGAGTTAATGCTTGTTGAGGATCCTGCTTGGGAGAGATTGGTGGTGGGATTTGGGCCTGTTGTGGGACCATTGGGTTCATCATAGAGCCCATTTGTGGTACCATGCCATTACGGTAGCCGTTGTTGCGGTAGTTTCTATTATGAGGTCTGAATTGACCGTTTTGGGGTCTGAATTGACGGTTGTTGAAGTTTTGGAAGTTTTGGTTTTGGACAAATGGTTGAGGGTGGTAGAATCCATTCTGGGGTTGTCCTTGTCCCTGCACTTGTTGGCCTTGGGGTGGGACTGGTTGGTTAAATCTCTTGTTGAATTGTTGACCATTTGTTCCGTTGTTAAATCTTCTAAAATTCTTCTGGGCGCCCCCAGCAGCGTTGAACTTTTGGTATTGAGGATTGTAGTTGGAAGGATATTGGCCGTTGGAGTAAGAGTTGAGGTTGGAGTGAGAAGGACCCTGTCCATTGGATTCTTCATCAGATGCAGTTGGAATGGAGTTGGAATCAGCGGAGTCCACTTGGGCGTCAGAGTCGCTGTGAACATCCCCGTCCTGGTCAGCTTCTTGCTCACCTCCTTCCTTTTTACTTATTTGCTGGCCGGAAGGTTTCTTGGCTGGGGTAGATGCGGATGATGGGTTCTTGGTGGTGGACTTGTTTTTTCTGTTTCTGTTCTGCTTTTGCGCCTGGTTTCTTGGGTTTGGCAAGATCACCTTGGCGCTGATGGGCACCCACTTGTTGGTGATGGGCTTGATAAACTTCTGCTGAGAATTTTTAGCACCTGGTTGGTTATCCAACTGAGGGCCCTTGTCAGGAGTAGGCCATTTGTGCTCGTCAACGACAACAGAGCCATTGGCAGCAGAAGACGCTGGGGCAGCGCCCCAGGCCGACTTGGTGGGGACGGGGGCTGGAGCCAACGTCTTTTTCTCCTTTTTGGCAGGAGCAGATGCACCGGAAGTAGCAGGAGATGCAGAGGCGTCGACTGGTGTCGACTCGTCAGCGTCCTTGGACTCAGTCACAGTTTCGACAGGAGCAGACTCGGCCACTGGGGCAGGCTTGGCTGGCACAGCTTCTTCGCCAGGGCCTTGGGCAGCAATATTAGCGTAGGATACAGACATGATTTAATGACAGTGATGAATAGATGGGCACTCGGAGGACCAGAGACACGCAGGGAATGACGACAAGCGGGTGTAGGGACTGGTGGTGAAGATATTCACACGGGTGGGACCACGGCGGGTGTGATGGTACGACGGTGGGGAAGTTCAGATGATCCAATGGTGGAGGCGCAACACTTTCCGGGGCGGTCGATTGCTGATGATGTAGCCTTTGGTTCCTGTAGACACACGAAGCTGCTGGCGGTGTGTTCAGAGATTTGGCACTGAGAGGATGTTCAGTCTGAAAGGTTGAGGATTTCCTAAAAAAAATTTTTTGTTAGCGTAGGACGACTAGGCGAAGGAAAATTTTTCTGGCGGTGAAAAAAAACGAGCGGTGGTGGAGATTAATAAAAACGGTAGAGAATGTATGTAGAGTGGTGGGGTAATGGACTCAGAGGAGGTGGATGGTGTTACGGGAGGTTGACCAGAGTAGCAAAATTGCGTACAGCTGCAGTATTTTCTGTACGTAATTTTCGTAAATACCGGATGATTTCGTTCTGGCTGATTCTACATTTACCACATGGATTTGGTGCTGATCCATTCTCTAAACCGCCAAATTAGACCTGTTGACTGCAGCAACAATAGCCATCAAAGCGAATTGCGAAGCAACTGGCAGTAGAGCTAGCACGAGCCAGCACGAGCCAGTATGGGCCAGCACGAGCCAGCACGAGCTAGCACTACGAACAAGGACTATAAGGCACCAGCCTGGCTGATTCACCCCAGCACTGTTCCACCACGCCTACCCACCGATCCCATTCAGGCATATAGACGCGACCAAAACTGCAATCTAATGGGCGCACGTGACCCAGGGCCCCAGACAGCCCCTCCTTCTGGCAACACCGATCACATGACACCCTCACTCTGGGGTAAACAGCACCCTCTTTCCACAACTCCTCCTCCACCATGAACATCCTCACCAACCCCCTCTACCGTCCCCTCCTCGAGATCCTCCGAGCCGCCCGCAACGGCATAGTCTACGGGGGAAAGCTCCGGTTCTCGCACGCTTTGGTCATCAGTCTTCTCTACCGATCAGGCCCGCTAGCTCCACGGCTCAAGCAGGTGTTGGAAGCCACCAAGAACCACGCGGAGGTGTTGGCGTCGTTCGCCATCATCTACAAGGCGTGCTGCAAGATCTTTGCCCACGAAGCGTTGCTTGGGCCCAAAAACTTGCCGTTGATCAAATTCGTGGCTGGCTCCATTGGCTCGTGGATTGTGTACTCCCAGCACTTTGACCTCTTCCACTCGGGAATCACCCACCAGATCACCTTGTACTGCTTTTCGAGAGTTATGATTGCGTGTGGCAAGATGTTGCTTGACCAGTACCTCAGCTGCGCCCAGCCCAAGTTCAGAAACTACGCAGGCGACGCCATCCTCTACAAGGATCTCACTGCCAACCAGCAGAAGAAGTTGAAGTCTAGTGTGTACAACAAGTCGTGGAAGTACTTTGCCATTCTTACCTGGGGTTTGGTCATGTTGATCTACGACATCCAGCCTCAATACTTGCAGAGCAGTTTGAGACATAGCATGGCGTACATTTATGACGTGGAGATGGAGACCTGGAGCAACTGGCGCGAGTTCTTGGGCTTCTAAGCACTTTGTGCTGAGCTGATGTGCTTATCCTTCTGTGGACATAGGAAGTGGATGACTGTTGTGTTTAGTCCATTGTCCACAGGTATTATAAGTTTTCCAGATGATTGGCCAGGTGTATGACTTGCTGTGGGTTTGTCCACATGTGGCTATTGGAAGGTTCCAGATGATTGGACCGAATGACTGAATTCGACTGTTTTTGATTCGGCCGTGTGTTAGGCCCCAACATCGAAGCACCTGATGAATGAGGATTAATGAGATAACGATTCGTATATACCCACGCTGATGGTGTTTTGAATTATGGTGTTTTTGCAATCAAATCGTTAGTTTTCCATGTTGGACTGACGGGCCGCTATTCCCACTTGTTGGTCTATTTCCACCTCGATTTGTATCAATGTTTTCGGTTCTCCCACCCGTTCACCAGATTGCCTTCCCAGAACTTTCACTGTCCCATTATCCAACTGAATCCATTGGCTCCGATTTATTTCATTTACACCCATACACGAACGCCGTTTATTTATCTATTTATTTACCCCCACATCTACTTGATCACCCTATTTATCCGTTTATTTATCCCAAATATTTGACCACCGGTCTATTACCTCACTACCTAACCCATTTATAACAGTTGACCTGACATTCTCGTTCTTTATCTATCAGAGACAGTGAGTACCCCCTGCCTGTCAATTATGAGCTCGGCTCACTATTCGAAACTCGTTGGCCATTGCACTAGAACACCGGTTAAATAGTTCTCTCTTTATACTCGATACATGACAGCAGAAGGAAAAAGTAATGCCTAAATGGAGATCCACGGTAGAATGGCCCTTCTCTACAGTAGCCAACGAATTGCAAAGTCGATGAACGTCCATACTGTTTCAATAAAGCATCTGCGGCACTCTTGAGATGAAGTCTATAAAGATATTAAAATAATTGTCGGTGAAGTACCAGAAAAGCCCAGAGGAGAAATGATCAGGCATTGAAGTATAGTGACAGGCTAATTGGTGATGTCATGAGTAATTTATCACAACATTTCCAAGAGGTATAAGCTACTGTTACCAAGGATAAGGATTTACTCTGTCGCGTCTAAATGTCTTTCGGAAAGTGTCTCATTGGGGAATGCACGGTCCATTTTAGAGATCTTGACCAGAACGGGAGGTGAAGTATGGTGAGATCAAAGAGACAGTAGGAATAAGTGCACACGTCATTTCTCACTCCGTTGTGCAGACGTCATGTAGTGCAGATGTCACTTGTGAACGTTATTGGGTGCAGATGTCACTACAACGGTCATTACATACGTCACTTTAATGTACTCCATCTCACTTCACAAGCCCATGAGTTGACCTTTCATCACCCGAAGGTCCCTAGCGCCAATTTTGCCCTGCCACGGCCTCACCTGGCTGGTGCTTTTCCAGTGGCTTCTGTAGCCGCGCTCGGGAAATTCCCACCAACGCCACCAGTCAACTGGTAGCACCTCCACGCTGGCAGCTGCCAAAACAGATACGCTGGCAACTACAAAAGCAGCTACGCTGGCGCCACCACCCCTACCCGTCTCTACCCGTCTCTGCCCCCTAGCCTACTGTAATTCTCTGGTTTCTAGCGAGAATCTTTGATCCACCCTCGTGGCTGCGACTGGCCGCAAAACTCCCAGCCTTCCACTAATAAGGCACCACCAGAACCACCACCAGAACCACCACCACCAGAGCCAATACCCCACTCTCTACTAGCAGCACCAGCGGCAGTGCTAACAGCACACCACCTTTATTGCCACTGTTGCCAGCTTTCCGAAGCCTCCTTTCCCCCCGCCGTGCGCCAGAGATATTCCGTAAAAACAGCGTGTTCTTAACACGTACACGATTATTAATCGATATTTAAATAGCGAGCGTCGCTGAAAACCGTCAACGGTCAATACTATCTACCATGAAATTCTGGAAATTTTCATCCCAAGCCTTAGCCACCTTGTTGTCTGTGGTCACCTTAGCCCAGGCCAGTGGCCCCACCGACGGTGAGGCAGCTGCTGACCCAAACTCCGCTGTGGTCAAGTTGACCACCGCCACCTTCAAGACCTTCCTTGACGAAAACCCATTGGTGCTTGCTGAGTTCTTCGCTCCATGGTGTGGCTACTGTAAGTTGTTGGGCCCTGAATTCTCCAAGGCTGCTGATTCCTTGAACGAGTCCCACCCCAACATCAAGTTGGCCCAGATCGACTGTACCGAAGAAGAGCAATTGTGTTTGGAACACGGCATCAGAGGCTACCCAACCTTGAAGCTTGCTCGTGGTAGCGAGGCCACCGAGGACTACGACGGCCCAAGAGAAGCCGACGGAATTGTCGACTACATGATCAAGCAGACCTTGCCTGCTGTCCAAGAAGCCGCCACTTTGATCGCATTCAACGAGTTGGCCTCCCACGAAACCAAGCCTTACGTCGTGCAAATCGGGTCCACTTCTGAGACCTCTGAGATCTTCGAGAAGGTTGCCAAGCAGTTCAGAAAGGACCACTTGTTCTTGTCTGCTGACAAGTCGTTCGTCGATGGTTTGAAGAAGAAGTTCTCTGGTATTAAGAACGACTTCAAGAAGCCTACCTACCTCGTTGTCCACCCAGACAATGACAAGGAACCAATTGTGTTCGACGAAGAATTGAGTCTCGAGGCCTTGAGCGAGTTCATCAAGAGAGAAGTAGTTCCTCTCTTCGGTGACATCAATGGTGACACCTACATGACCTACATGGCTTCTCCATTGCCTCTCGCCTACTACTTCTACAACACCAAGGACCAAAGAGCAGATGTCGCTCCTTTGTTCACCAAGTTGGGTAAGGAATTCAGAGGCAAGATCAACTTTGTTGGTTTGGATGCTAGCTTGTTCGGCAAGCACGCTGAAACCATCAACATGAACCCAGAAATCACCCCATTGTTTGCCATCCACACCACCTCCAACGACAAGAAGTACGGTGTCAATCAAACTGAGTTCCCAGAAGGTCCATCTCAAAAGGTGATTGAAAAGTTCGTCAGAGACTACTTTGCTGACAAGTTGTCCCCAATCATCAAGTCACAGCCATTGCCTACTGAAGAAGAAATAGCATCCACCCCAGTTGTTCAATTGGTTGCCCACAACCACGATGACGTGGTCAAGGACGTCACCAAGGATGTCTTCGTCAAGTACTACGCTCCATGGTGTGGTCACTGTAAGAAGTTAGCTCCAACCTGGGAAGAATTAGCTGAGCTTTACGACTCCAAGAATGCCGACTCCCAAGTTGTTATTGCCAACCTCGACCATTCCAGCAACGATGTCACCACTCCTGTCCAAATTGAAGGATACCCAACCTTGTTATTATACCCAGCCAACGGTGAGATTGACGAAAAGACTGGTTTAAGAACCCCAATTGTTTTCTCTGACAACAGAGAATTGGAGAGCTTGATCAAGTTCATCAAGGAAAAGGGTGCTCATGGTGTCGATGGCCATGAATTGAAGAGCAGACAAGTTGAAATAGAAGAAGAAGATGAGGAAACTCTTGTTGACAAGGTTGAAGAGGTTCTTGAGGAAGCCAAGGAGGTTGAACATGATGAATTATAAGTAATGCTGTATCAATACCAAAATTACGTGTATAGATATTAAAAATATTTCAAAGAATAATTAATATTGTAAATCCATACCAAAATGGAGTGCCAGGTGATCACTATATTTGGTAGCAAAATTACGTTTATAGAAATAATCTTTACCTAGTCATTAAGAGCCTAAGGTCCCCAAATCTTGACCAATTTGTCGTCGCCAACAGAGCACCATAGTTTGCCGTAATCAGTTGAGCCTCCGACCCCACCGAACCTATTCCAATCAACAGAATTACACAATCCGTGGTGGCCCTTAATTCTTCCAATCAACTGGCCAGTATGCAATTTCCAATAATATATGAAACCATCATCAGATCCACTGATGACAAGTTCTTCCTCACCCGTGCTATCCACTAAATAACCAAAGGCAGATCTCACAACATGGATACTTTGTGTATGCCCGAGTAATCTTCGGTAAAGAATTGGCGTTGGCTCTGGGTTTTCCAGATTTGACAATCCTGAGATATCCCACACTTGTAATTCTTCAGGTGCACAATTAACCAATAAATACTTGCCGTTAGCAGAGATGGAGCACGAAGTAAGCCTTCCTTTCAACGTTATGGATGCAAGTCTTTTGGTAGAGGCCTCTTCGTTGAATGAGGTAGGAATTTGGTAGAACTGCAAACGGCGGTCGTTACTCGCTGTCACGAGGATCTTACCATTTGGAGTCACCGCGATGTCGTTAATTCTGTTGAAATTATTCTCGAGCTTTTTGTCCAATCCGTTGTCCAGCTTGTTTTTAGCTGACGAGGAGAGTGAAGCCTCAAATTCAACAGCAGTGTCGATTGGCGAATCTTCTTTCATATTTAGGTCATGGGTCTCTTCGTCTCCATCGTCGTCAATGTTGCCGTAAAAATCGAACAACTCAGTTCCGTCAACGTCGTATGCTTTCAATGCTTTGTCTGGAGATCCAATGATGAATCTGGGTTTGGAGGTGTCGTCTAGGGTAGGTAAAAATTCGCAGGTCCACGTTTTGATATCCTGGCCCAAAACAAAGCTGCTGGCCAACTTGATCTCGCCTGTGGTTGCATCGTTCATTGAACGAGTGATTCTCTTCTTGGTAGTAAGCTGCTGGAGACCAGTGACTTCCCAAACCCGCACTACCGTATCCAAGTAGCAGCTGACCAAGTAGTGTTCGTGTTGATCCCAGGCACAATATATCACCGACTTCTCACCATACGCTCTTTTGTCAGTAGGCTGGAATCCCTGGGTGTTCAAGGTTGATGGCTCCAACGTCTTGAGCAATTTGAACCCATCCCATACATCGTAGATGGCCAACTCACCGTTCAAGGCTCCTGTGACCAAGAATCGTCCCAGAGGCGAAAACTTGGCACACCACACTTCGAAGTTGTGGTTTTTCAAGGTGTGAAGGAGGTTGTTGGGGAACAATGTTGTCTTGTAGAGCTCATGGAGCTGGGTGGCGCTTTTGTCCAAGGTCAACGCAAGGTCCTCGTCGTCGGATCGCTTCTTGCCTTCACCAGAGGTCCTGGGAGGCAAGTAGTAAGCATTTTGCAGCTTCTGGTACAACACCGACTGGCGAATGATGGTGTTGAGCAAATTGTCGGGGATGTCGTAGGAGGTGTCGAACATCTGCTTGTCGTTCTTCAAAAGCTTACCTAGTAAGGTGTCTGTCAACAGAGTACGAGCCGAGGTAATGAGGTTTCCAGAGCGGATCGGCTGGCCAAAAAAGTACTTGGACGCCAGCACCAGTGTGAGCTTGTCGTGATTGGTCGTGAACTCGAGCAAGAGGGCGGATTCGCTCTCCCTGTTCAATTGGTTCAATAACAGGGAGTCAAACACCAGGTTGAGCTCGGATCCGTGGCCAAAGTCGAACTCCGAGTCAGCAATCTGGGTGACTCTTGCCTGCAACTTGTCCAAGAGTGGAAGCAACTGGTTGCGGAGATACTCGAGCAATTGTTGCTGGGGTTTGTTGGGAGATTGCACCAACTGCTCGAAGAAATGGGTCTTTTTGACCAAGTAGAGGGTTGTTAACACCACCGCGTGGGGATCGCGAAATTGCGGCAAGTCCAACACTGGTGAGGGCAGGGATGCCGTCAAGAGAGCCTCCAAATGAGCCTCTACGGCCTCATACTGTCCCTGTTTCAATTGCAGCAGGAACCAGCCTGCGGCTTCTGCCAGGGACGTTTTGGTGCCACGCTTGAGTTTGATGGCATCGCCAAGATCCTCACTGATGGCGTCATAGCCTAGCTCACGGAGTGACTTTTGGATGAGCTGAAGCACGAATTCCTCTGACATGGCAAGGATGGTGATGGGGCCACGGTATGGGGTTGGGCGCCAGAAGTAGGGAGGTGCGGCAGGTGACCGCGGGCACGTGCAGGGAAGTCGGTGAATGGAAACTGGGGTAGGTGGTAGTAAGGATGTAAAGTTTGTTTGATATGGAAAGATTGGCCTACGTGGTATACACTCATTTCGCTACGTTTTAAGTATTTGAATTTTGACACACTCATTATTATTTAGAGATTGGTTTTCCCAGTGGGTAAATTATTGATCTGTACCGTGGAGAATGTCATGAAATAGTTTAAGTAATAACTGATCGACAAAGTAGATTGTGTTTCAATTCGTGTTTTTGTTACAATTAATCTGGATTAGTGGATCGTACGCAATTCGTTTCAGCTTCTGACAATATCCATCTTGACTGGTTGTCGGAGTAATTGATATCGCGTACTATGAAATCTTGCGCGGAGCAGGCATTTCCTGAAAAGCGGTAAGACACATTGGCCAAATGCCGATTAAACACCAGAACAGTGATATGCGAAACGAATTTAACAGTTGAGATACGGTACCAGCAAGATAATAATGACTTTCAAACTAAAAGAAGCAATTGGGAGTTATGGGCAGAGGATAGTCTCAAATTTTTAGCTTTAGCAGGGACAGATTTTGGTCCGCGTATAGTCTGAGTATGCGGACGAATAGAAGCACGAGAGTATTTAGTGAAGATAATTATTACAAATAGGTGAAACTTCCAGTACGAAAATTAGTGAGATATTCTTTCGGCCACGATACCTATCTGGTGCAATCTGCTCCAATGAAAGTGCATACACCATTTATATTAGTAAAGCCAAGGTTATCAAATCATTATTAGTGTAATGTTGGGAAATGGAATTTTTCTTGGTTCAGAAAATCAATTTCGGAACGCTAAGTGGGGATTTCGGGAACTTCAATAACTAAGCATACATATAGCAGGCATTTCTACGACTGTACCAGTAAATTAGGATTCCATTCCATCCAATAGAAAGAAAATGTCCACACATCACTGGATTGAGTCCGCTCTTTGGAACGTATATGGAGTGAAAACATTTACGAGCTATTGCATCCGCGCAGTATCGACTCCGAGTAGCACGATGTCAATCAATCGGAATCTTGATCTTTTCCCCATTATCTTAGCCTCTGAGCCGTTCCTAAGAACTGCCACTTCAGCTGTTCATTGGGCACTATTGCAGTGGGCCAACGCCATAATAATCCGTGCGCTCTTTAATGCCTCACGTTAATGGCCTGTAGGTGTTTTTCCAGCTGGAAAAACTAACCATCTCGCTAATTGTGCTGAACGATTCGCGGAAACGGCCGTGCCATTCTGAAGCCCGATAGCGTAAATCCCGGCAGGGTACAATGCAAGGACCCTCGCATGCTGTAGGCTAGCGTTTCGCAACGGTCGATGAGAGCAAGAGATGGTAGCCAGCTGTAGAGGCTCGTGGGAGGAGAGGTGCCAGTAAGTCGCAGTGCTTCGTAATTTTCCAGTACCGTTGGCTCCGCCTGGTACTCCAGCAGTCCACGCTGCCACGATAGCTCAGCACAGTCCCTCCACCACGAGACCATCGCCAGGCTATGGCCAGTCTATGTTACCTTAACGCCAATCACAATCAGTATTCTCCGACCAATAGCCCACTCGGTGCCTCATCCGCTCTCGTACCGCCATCGGACCGCGATGTTCAGCCCTGTTCGCCGTTTGCCACCCGCAGCCGTCCCACCGCCCCCTAGCTAAGCACGTTGACAGTACCAACTCCGCCAGCCCACCACCACCACCACCACCACCTTGCCCTACACCCTCCTACCATCTCCTACCATCTCCTACCATCACCTACCTTTCACTCCGTCCAGTTTTGCTCTCATTCTTCCCCCTATTCTCACTTCTTCTCCTCTCTCAGCCAGCCGTACATCGCAGCCGCCAGCCTCACTGATAAACAAAAACCATTCTCATCTTCCACCACACCGCCATGGAATCTTCAGAACCCACCACCAAGAAGCGAAACAGAATCAGCCGTGTGTGTGGCTTCTGCAAACGAAGGAAGATCAAGTGTGATCGTGGCAGTCCCTGCCTCAGCTGTGTCAAGTACGGCAACCGCAACTGTCACTACGCAGAGATCGAGCTGGTAGCCGAGGGCGAGATCGAGAAGAATGGCGAGCTCGAAAGCACTTTGGAGTCGTTGAAGAAGAAGCTCCGCAGCTTGGAAGAGTACGTGGGCAAAGCCAACGTGGCAGGCATCACCGACGAGATCGTCACTGGCCGGTTGAACCTCGCGTGGTCTCACACCAATGAATCCACCCTGAAGGTGTCGCCTGTGGCCAGCGAAAAGGACTACATCAACTTCTTCGAAGGCTACACCTCCGTCAACGTCAGCGAGCCCATCCGCAGACGAAATTTCGGCCCGTTGTCGTGGTACGCGTTGATCAAAGTCGACGGTGCCTTGGGCATCTTGTGGGAGTACGTCTACGCCAAACACGAAAGCTACCACGAACGGGTACGTAACATGTTCCACTCGGGCCAGGACGCCACCGACCCTGACACCAAGGCGTTCGCAAACAAGGTCAACGACGACGAGGGCTTCAATGACGTACGTGAAATAAGCTACATCAACGCCTGCGGCCAGCAGTCCTTCAACATCTTGGACTCCACCGAAGGAATCAAGCAGCGGCACATTTTCTCAGCCCCTGCCAGCAACCGCAACGAGGAACTCGAGCTCATCACCAAAATCAAGCTCGCCTTGCCCTCCAGAAAAGTCATATGGCTCCTTTACAAGCGTTTCTTCATCAACTGCTACCTGTTCATGCCATGCATCGATGAGGTGGTGCTAAAGGAGCAGTTATCCAAGATCATCGGCGAGGAATCGCTCCTCGAAGAGCCGGTGGCAGATGTCCAAGTATCAAGAAGATTGGACTTTGCCCACTTGGGAGCTTTGCTTTTAGTTTTGAGGTTCTCCTATCTCACCTTGTTCAATAACCTTAACGGTAGCCATGACCCCAGATTGTCCACTGATGACCCATCTCCTAAAGTGCAAGAATTGAAATATTTGTTGAGTAATCCCATTGGTTTGGAAATAGTGGAAGTTGCCCACGAGTGCTTGAACCAATTCAACTTGATGAGAGGCATCAATATGTCTATCATGCAGTTGGCCTTACTAACCAGATTCTACCACATGTATGCACCAGAAGATGGTGATGGTGTCGATGGTGGTGATGCTCAAGTTTTCAATGCTATGCTCATCCAAATGGCTTACGCCCTTGGGTTGCATAGAGACCCTGACAATTTCCCTGACCAGTGTGTCGATGAAAAGTCAAATAACTTGGCTAGAAAGATGTGGTACTGTGTTATTATAATCGATCTAAACAATACCATGACCGCTGGAACCCCAATGAATGTCAATATCAATTCTTTTGATACAAAAGTTCCCTTCTACAAACCAGGAAATGAGAATGTGGTGAATGTTGCTTTGGAAAAGCACACTGTCAAGGCTTTCAAGATGCTTGAAGCATCGTTTGAAAGATTGGCTGATATTATGCTGAAGATCATGGACGTCAAGGGAAGTGTCAGCATAAGAGATCTAGAAGTAAAATTAGAGTTTATGAGAGACCATTACGCCACCTTTGCTTCTGAAGCATTTGAGGAAGGAGTAAGGAATCCTCATAACCTATTGACTCAGCTCTTGAGAACCAAGGTGTTCCTCAATTCCAGTTTATTCGTTGTGTCAGTATACTTGCATGTCTTCAATTACTATGAAAGAAGACGGGACATTAAGCTTGCGTACAACTTTTTGAAAAGGATGATGGAAATTTGTATTGGCCAAGTCTTGCCATTCTACTTTGAATTTTATGGTCTGGTGGATCAATTTGCTGATGTGACTGACTTGATCGTTGCACCTTCTTTTGAACAAGCATGTCACAAGTCTGTTATTGTGTTGACAGCTATATTTATCAGAGTGAAAATAATCACCATGAATTTCGAAACCTCCTACGATCATTCTACTAAAATGAATGAAAACAGTGGGTATAAATCCCGGTACAAGAAATGGGTTACTTTAACAGAATCAATTGAAAAGAGCATGAGATTGTTCCGTGAATTCATGGCGATCTTAAGTCCTAGATTTTATTATGCTTGGAGAATCACTAAGGCACAAAGAATCATGTGCTCTCTTCTCACAGATCAAGAATTGTTCGACCGTACCAGAACTAGTCCAAAACTTGTGAACTTGCCATTAGATAATGGTATGTTGGATGACTTGAACGAAATCTTCGACAAGACGTTCAGTAGGATCTCCCAACTCAAGAAGGAGAAAGGCATCAAGCTCAATCGTTTCCATGCTTCGATGTTCCACCAAGAAAACGAGATATCCAAGTGCAACGAGGTCTCAGGAAACAAAAGATACAACCGTAACCCCGATGAAATGGCTCCGAATAAAAGAGCTAACGTGGGCACCCCCAATTTTTTCCCTCCCTCCACCAATGATTCCAGAAGCTATAACTCTGTCGGATCTGTTCCCTCGACAGCATCTAGCGATAGTCATGGCGATGTTAACTTGGTACCCAACGACGAGATCGATCGGATCTGGATGTTGATGCTTTCGTTGAAGAAAAGCAATGATAATGGCGCAACTGGCTACTACAACAATGCCAACCTCAATTCAAACAATGTCAAACCCGAAAGCACACCAGTGGCGGTTCCCAATCCTAAGGTTAACGTCCAGAAGGATTCAATCATACCGCTAATGCCTATTGAGCAACCGGTCGCCAACGCACCAACACCAAGCTTGGGGGGATTAGGTAACATTCTCGAATCTACTTATAATCCCGAGGCATCGTTCCTCCCAGGATTCAATTTCGGAGGCGATATATTTGGAAGTATGACACTTGACGACATCTTCAAAGATTTCAACTAAACTACAAAAAATCTTGCACATAGCAACACAGCTGTATACTATTTTAGTTCTTTGTATATTTAATCTATGCCTTTTATGACTTTTTTATTTTTGTAGCGGCGCAATTCCACTGATAAATTCAGTGCAATGGTCACTGAAGTGGTTTAGAATATTTGAATGCTATATGACTCTTCTTAAATCATCGGAACTATTTGCGGTAAATATCCAATTGGGTAACCTTGCACTACAGCATTTTGTATTTTAAAACATGCTTGTTTGACCTCTCTTAGATCACCAGAAGATTATGGGGTGAATACGCATTATTTTGCACTATGATTGTACTAAGTTGTCGCCCACACTATGACGTTGTCTTTTGGTGTTCTGTAAAGGATTGTATGTCCGTTTTCGGTGGCAATGGACAATACGACCCAATTCGAAGCAATGATGTCTCGCACCAGAGCAGAATGGATGTTTTGGACGGAGCTCAAGGAGAGGTATGATGAGTTTTCGGAAGGGCCGACAGGGGCCTCATATGTGCTGATATACGAGTCCAAGCTGCCGTGGACTAACAGGGAGCTGTTGATGGTGATTAGGCACAAATATTCGTACAACTCGGCGAGCTCGTCTGATGCTTGCAGAGACACAACGGGCTCCAATGTAAGGGCCGAAGTGTTGCTGGAACCATTGATAGACGTGTGTTTGAGCACCAGAGCAATTGGTTGGAGTTCCTGGATGCCACTCAACGCGAAGTCGTACGCCACAACTTGGATATTGCAACGGGAGAACACGGTTTTGACCGCGTAGACAGCTGCTGGAGGGAGTGTGCCATTGGGCACCTCGATGTCAATCCTGTGGGTATGCGACGCTGAGTTTTTAGCTCCGTGTCCTACCTTTGTGTGTGGTAGCACTTGCGACAGGCCTAGTTTGGGGCAGCGATGGAAGGAGTCTGCAGTCAAGAAGAAGGTGAGCACCGCGTTCTTGAGCTCTAGCGAGTCGCCGTCGACGTCGCTGGTGAAGGCTTTGAAGTAGAGCGATTCCTGACGCAGAGAAACCAACTGGAGGATGTGGTCAGAATCAACGACTCCAGTGGCATGGGACGATTTGTGCAGGGCCAACGACGATACGCCAGGATGTACCACGCTGGCACACACGATGTGGGGACTGGCCCTGAGGCGTGGCTCTAGCACTGGCCCAAGGGACTCCACGGGATGAGACGTCACTAGCAAAGGCATGGAGATAGATGTTCGGTCGTGCGACTGAATAAACTTGTGGGCACAGGGAGCGGAGCCATCGCCGGCGGAGTTTGAGCCATGGTGCGATTCTGCGGCACTCTCCCTAGGAGTTATCGGGAGGTCGCTACGGCGGCGCGTGAGCTCGCGTACGCACCGATGCTCGGAGTAGCGAAGATTTCACGGGGAATGGAGGACAACCAGAACACAAGTAGCACTAGTGCAAGCGGAGTGAGGATGTCTGATACTGTCCCATAGTGTAGTCCAGGTTGGGGGAGTGTACAGGGCTTATTCCAGCCAGTATTCGCTTTCCCGCTCTTTCTTGCCCTATTCTTTCTTCCCGCTGTTTCTGGCTATTTTTGCGATGCCAGTGGCTCCAGATAGTATTATCGCTTTGTGCGACATTCCGTCCCCCATACTCCCTCCACGAGGACCATCCGTAATTGCCGTAGTGGTCGCCCCCAGGACGAACCACTCCCCCCAGTATCTCTTGACAACGCCAGATGACCCGCCCACGCTGCCCCTGACAACGCCAGCTCGCTTACTCCCCACTATTCCCACCATTGTCCCTTGCCATCGCATTGATAGCGGCACGTGACCACTCCCGTCCCAGTTCACCACCACAACTGGCCCTTGGCACCGTCAGTACTGGTGTAGCCATCGGGAACGTCGCCGGCGTCGCCAGCCAGCCCCAGCCGCCATTCCCACGTTTTTCCGAGCCATCTTCCCCACAGGCGGCCTCGCTGTGCCGGCCCGTCTCCCTTCCAAAAATTACTCGCTGGCGGTGACACAAAAGCCCGCCAACGTGGACCCATCTAGCGTAAGCTGTCAGCAAAAGGATAAAGGTCACTCGAGGCTTAATCCACCATCGACTTCTAGTACCACTAGAGGAATGCACCAAATGCACCACATGGCCCCATGGGTGCCTACGTTTGCCCAGGCCATCGAGAATGAACACAGTCTCAACGAAAACAGCCCTCCGTTTGTTGCTTTCCAGCTAGCCACCGTGGACTCGCACAGTGGATTCCCCAAGAACAGAACGTTGATCCACCGTGGCTGGCTCTTCGACGACAAGTCCAGCAACGTGTTGACGTTCACCACCGACAAGAGAATGGCCAAGTACGAGGAACTCCTCCACGACGACCGGTTTGAAGCGGTGTACTGGTTTCCCAAGATCAATAAACAGTTCCGGTTCCGAGGCAAAGCCCGTATTGTCGACGACACATACACCCCCGTCATAAGCAACGATCGAATCGTGAGCTCCAGCTTGGCCACGCCCTCCAACGCCAGCGAAGAGAGTCTCGTCATTGGCAACGGCTCCGTCAAGCCAGTGTCGCCCCAGAAGACACCCATAAATTCCAGTTTGTGCTCTCCTGGCTTGGCGTCGCAGATGTCGCTGTCGACAGTCGACTTGTCATACACCAACCTCGCCAGGTTCCAGTACCAGGCGCCCAGCCTCGAGGAGTGGGAGGCCGAGCGGGTCAGACAGTGGAAGGCGCTCTCCAAAAACCTCAAGAAGAGTTTCCGCAAGCCCACGCCGTTGCTGCCGATGAACGACGAGCTTCAGAAGAAAATCGACTCCATCAGAAGGGGCGTCGACGGTAAAAAGGAGGACGACGGCTTGAAGAACTTCGCGGTGGTGGCCATGTTCATTGACCACGTAGATTTGTATGAGTTGGATAAGGATAGAAGGTTGGTTTACGAAAGGGACAGTTACCAGCAATGGGTAGAGCAAGAGGTGTGTCCATAGTGTATATAGGCTCAAATATAGTACAATCGAGTGCTGAACTGTTATCGCGGCTGTAATTCTGCGAGCACTAGTAAATGTCGCGTGGGTTAAGGTGGATTGTTGCACCCAAATTATAGACGATTAGTGAATGTAACCCGGGATTGCCGTTCCGATTTTCCCAAGAATAGGACACGCCGCCCCTGGATTCAACTTTGCTAGGTTCTTCCATTAACCATTTATAATTCAAAGGGCTATGTCGCTCAAGTCTTAGGATGCTTATTGATAGCTAGAAATTTCACTGTAGAAGTGTATTGAATTCCGGATACCAGATAATTAATAATAGGAACGGATATGAGAATATGAGGGTGAAATTAAGATATACACCATAGAACAAGCGGTTGGTGGGTATAGGGGATGTGGATTGAGGGTTGCTTCAAAATCCGCTACATTCCTTTTGTTAACTTTCGGTAATATTAACTAGCAATACTGCGATCCGTGTATTAATCCGGTAGTTATAATAACTAGCAATACTGCAATCCGTGTATTAATCTATGGTAGTTTATAGTACCTTATAACTAGTAACACCTTGTTTGCGTAACAACAACCCACGCCTTAATGTATATATCTTGATAAACTGCGTGATAGTGCAGTCATACGTCAAAATGACTAAGAAGGGAGGGAAATAATTAAAAGGCTTACAATATTATTAAACATTCCCAAACGACACCTTTCCTAGGGAACAGGAGAGTCACTATTTTCCGCCTGGAGTTAAGCAATCCCCAGGAAGTATTCCATCTATTTAGAAAGTGCGAATAGTTGGGAAAGACGAGTTGTCCCACTCTGGAACGTCGCGCTAATCACCCGCACCGATGCCTGAAACTAGACGTGAACTCCCGAGAGTACATCAAGCAGCGAATTCCTGTCCGAGTACCATGGTAGACATTCGTTGCTGGCATGTGACTGGTGCTCGTTGTAGGCTTTTCGTCTCGTTTCATGCTAGCCCCACTTCGATGTAGCTTTCCCGTTTCACGGTTTCCTCGCGTCAGCCGCTCACCAAACTCCCACACCAATTCTCACTATTGGCGTTTGTTATGATTTATTTGTTGTGAGGTGCGCCCCGAATTAATTTTGAGGTCACTACTTCTCTTCGTTAACTCACCAATGGCTCCTAAAACAAAATCATCCAAGACCACTCCGGTTCCAAAAGTGTCCTATAAGGGTATGTAACTGTGGATTGGGAGTCCTCGAATTTTCCCAGGTTCCGGGCCAATTGTGGCCCCTTTTGAGCGATACTAACTCCAGACATGATCAAATCGGCAATTGTGACCTTGAAGGAAAGAAACGGTTCTTCGTAAGTACCCCTGATTGAATTTTCCACTCACTACTAACGTCCAGTCGCCAAGCCCTCAAGAAGTATGTTCAGTCCAACTATAACCTCACTGCTGGCAACTTCGATGCCCTCTTCAACACTGCGTTGAGAAAGGGTGTGGAGGCCGAAGAGTTCGTGCAACCAAAGGGCCCATCTGGACCTGTCAAATTAGCCAAGAAGGTTCCCGTTCTTGAGGCCAAGCTCGCTAAGGTGACCAAGTCGTCCAAATCCCCTACCAAGTCGGAAGCCAAGGTCACCAAACCAAAGGCTACCAAGACCAAGGCAAAGGCCACCAAAGAGACCAAGCCAAAAGCAACCAAGACCAAGACGGCGCCAAAGGCCAGTAAGGCCAAGGCCGTGAAGGCAGAATCCAAGACCACGGCTAAAACCACCAAAACCACCGCCAAAAAGGCTCCTAAGAAGGAGACCAAGGCTACCAAAACCACCAAATCTACCAAGGCAGCCAAGGTGACCAAGCCTAAGTCTGCACCAAAGACCACCAAGACCACCAAGACCACCAAGACCACAAAGGCTGCCCCTAAGAAGGTCACCAAGAAGGCTGCTGGAAAGGTCACCAAGCCTGCCACCAAGAAGGCTGCCCCCAAGAAGGTCGCTGCCAAGAAGACCGCCAAGAAGGCCGCTAAGTAGCTGTCTTCCTTTCTCTCCAACTGTATATTAAGTTGTCAAGCGACGGTTCTTTTGTTATCTCGGCCTCTCGAACCTCTCCAGACGCTCGCCAGATGGGGCCCCCACCCTTGTGGGTGTCTCGATTCAATTGTTCCTTGTGTTACTAGTGTTTTATTCTCTCCCGCTTGACTTGTGTGTATTTTATATGTTTAATCATCCACCATGTACTATGTGATGTAGATGCTCAATAATAAGCAACTGTTCAGATATCAGTCTGGATATAGGATTCCAATACTATAATCGTTTCAGGCTTTGCGGCGAAAGACTCAACACTCTGGGAGTTAATTCAGACTTTATTAAAACCTTACTATACTCTGGGTCGTTATTTGACTATGCAGATCACGAATGCACCCTTTATCGAAAATCCCTTGCTGCAATAGTCTGGGTCTCTAATAATCAGGTTCACGCCATACTCCTGAAAAATCCTTGCCTCAACACCCCTCGATCGTGTTCTCCTGCCAATGGATCCATTCATCCCGTCCATAACTCCCGCCTAGCGATTGTTGCAAATCGCGGTTGCAGCTATCACAGCGCACGTGACCCACACCCACCATCGCATAGATACGCGTGTGGGAATGACCCCAACAAACACACTACCATGTCCGAGTTCAAGCCCACCATTGCCATCATCGTGGCCGCCCTCCGTCCCAGCGGCGGTATAGGCCTCAACGGAAAAATGCCCTGGAGACTCAGAAAGGAAATCCGCTACTTCAAAGATGTCACCACCAGAACAACTGGTACTGGCATCAATGCTGTGATCATGGGTCGCCGCACTTGGGAGTCCATACCGTCGAAGTTCCGTCCATTGCCGGACAGAGTCAATGTGGTGTTGTCACGGTCGTTCAAGAACGAGATGGTCGACAACAACGTCATCCACGCCAACTCCATCGACAAGTCCTTGGAGCAGCTCCAGTCCTACGGCACCAGCATCGCCAAACAGATCCAACGGGTATTCATTATAGGTGGTGCTGAAATCTACCGCGAGCTTGTCAACGACCCGGCTGTGTCCCACTTGTTGGTGACTGAGATCGATGCCAAAGAACCGGTGGAGGTCGACACGTTTTTGGGGTTCCCCTTGTTTGAGGGAAGTGCTGTGTGGGAGAAACGTCCCCAGAAGGAGCTTCAGTCTTTCATAGGAGATATTGAGCTCGAAAATGATATCGAGGAGGGCAATTTTGTCTATAACTACACTCTCTGGACCAGGAAATGAGTGGATGTTGACAATGATGGCTACAAATGGCAACATCTGGCCAGAAAATGAGCTGACCGTCGCGAGCTGTTCGCTGGCAGCTTGTGGACTAGATAAAGAGTTGATCGTTGAGTGATGGATGGTATTCAATTGGCGATTTGGTTTGCTTTGTTTGCATAATCGTCACTCCGGCAAATGGTCACTAGCATTTCGTCATCGCTTCTCAATAGAATGACTCACCAGAGCTATTAAATAACACCTCCTCCATCAAATAACTCATCAATATTTCATCAATAGTTCTCATGTTTTAATTATACTAGTGAACCTTGTTCGAATGTAGAGGTTGCATTCTGCTTCAACATCCATTAAGTGCGTCCTATTCACTCATCTAAAGTTCTACCAACTGGGGTTCATTCACCCCATCTACATTACCTCAATCCACACATAATCGTGTCTGGTGGTTTATTTACACTATTTACATCTTCAATAAATACCACAACCCTCCGTAGCTCTACAACTCATGATCGTATACCCTCATTCTACTGGTGACACGCTCGTCCACAGCCAACTCCTGAACCCACTCGGAGTTCTTGGTCTTGCCAGTTTCAACCCACTTCTTTGGCCAGTCCAACTCCTCTTCCTTGGCTTGGAATACGTCCTTGTACTCAAAAGGCCTGATTTTGTTGAACGAAATGGCGGTGGTTCTGTGTCCATAGTCGTCAGCCAACTCTCTGGTAGTGTAGTATCTGTAGATCTTTCTGGGGATCGTCAAGAATCCCAAAAGATTTGGCACTGGGTACACATAAACTGGCTGTTCAAACAACACTGGAATGTGGTTGTCGTCGGTGACCACCTTTGACAAGTCTAATTCTGGAGCGAGCTGGGCAGCAGCGTACTGTTCTGGTGTTATAAATGGCTTGGTCACGGGGTCCTTTTTCTTCTTGCCTCCTTCTACGTCCTCGTCGTCGTCGTCGTCGGTGCTTGTTTTGACTCCATTCTTTTCGTCTTCCTCCCTCTTTTTCTGCTTCTCTTCAGCAACTCGTATTTCTTCGTCAATCAACTCCTGTGGCTTCTCCAATGGTCCCAAGAGCCCTTCGTGGACTCCAGTCAAGTATTCCTTGTACGCACCTCTTCCGATACAGATGACTCCTCCAGCTGTCTGGACATTGAATTCGTCCTCACTGTGGGGTTCGATGGTATCCACGTACTGGTACAATCCTAACACGTCCTTGGCACTGTACAACTCGGTTCTGGCTACGAGATGGTCGTCGTCGTCGTTTTGTTTCTTGGATCTCGTGAAGAAGGCAGGCACATCCTCCTTGAAGAACTTGGTCCACGACTTGTTGTATTGCTTTTGCTTCAAGGCCTCTGCGTCTGCCTTCTGCTTCTCGAGCTGGGCAAGTCTCATCTCTCTGATCTTCTTTGCCACAGTGGCACGGATATCTCCCTGTCTGTTCTCAGTGAAAATGTCATAGTCCAAGGCACTGGCGTTCAACACAGGCTTGACGAACTTGCGGAATATTCTGTATGAAGAATCAAGGAAGTCGTTGGGTGGAGGGGCGATGTAGATGGTCAACTTTCTAGGCAATTTGTCGGACGAGTATATCTGTTCCCCCAAAACTTTAACTTCTTCCATCCACTTCTTTCTGATTTGACTCTGCTGGTACTTATCGTAGGCCACTCCTCCTCCAAGACTACCCAAAACGGTCCAGAAGATCATCCAGTTTCTGGAGGGTAATGAAATTCGTGGGACTCCCAACATTCTCAAAGCAGGATTTGACCATCCTTTCTTGGGAGCTTTTGGAGGTGGCTTGGAGACGGGCTCCGCTGGGGCCACTGGCTTTTCGGGGGGGTTGGGTTCAGCCATGGTCTGTTGGTCAGGTATGGAATCCAGAGCTGGGTAGAAAAATGTTCAATACGGGGACGTGCGCACACCGATGTAACGCCTAGTGTATAGTGGAGCTCTGGCGAGAGAATACGAGATACGAGCCTGGCTCGTGAATATGTTACAATTACACCAGCAAGTGAATCGCCGGAACAGTAGTTGGTTAGACTGTAGCGCTCGTCTAGAATATTTCTCCTAATAAATATCCAGAAAATCGAACTGGATTCACTAGGATTGTGGGGTGTGCGACCTGAAGTGGATAAGTGGTGGTAATACACATACAATCCTATTTAGTACTAGGACCTAGCAGCAAAAAAATGACAAAAAGTAGGGCACTGAGGATTGTAACTTGGTGGTGTTCTTGATAGTGCTCATCTCAAGAACAATGTGGATATTTTCTCATAAGATGGGGTAATTTCCATAGTAGTGAAGAATGAGTGTGAATTTGAAAATTTACTAATTGGTATTCAAGGTTAAAAAAAGGAGTTAAAGAATAGGACCTGTATGCTAAATACGTGAGTATTATGACAGTTACTCTGGTGTTATGTGTACTTTATTTATCAAGGATAATTAATGACTAAATACAGATGGTATTACACACTAATTTGCAATATGATACCATAGATTATACTACGTATGTATTTATATTATGAACTATCATTTTTAACTATTTAGAGCTACGGTGACGTAATGATCTGAAGGGTGCCCATGTTCAATGATTTTATAGTGTGCTGAAATGTAGTAATACGTGCTTGGTGATTTCAGGAATATTCTTTACTTGCGAATAGCAAATGTCTTCAAGAATAGTATCAGCTATGCAATAATATAATAGAGGGAAGGTGCTTAGAGCTGATATTTTATAGCTATTTTCCTTTGCAAATTTTGACAACCACATGCACCTTGCGTGATATATAATCCTCCACTGAATCATGTTTATAATTTGTTGAGAAAGTATGACGCCTACTTCAAGTACTTATACAACTCTATCTTTAGGTCCTCCTGATTGAGATTTTTGCCAATCAACACCAATTTGTTGCTCTTCACACCATCCAAAAGTTTTCCTCCCTCGATTGTATCGTAAGTATCCCTTACTCCTTGGACGACCTTGACGATCTCTGGGTCTTTCTGTACTAATAATCCCTTCAAACGATGGATCTCAACTTCTTTGTCATTGATCTTATTTTCCCATAAGATATACTGGAGGAATGACTCTATTTGATCAAACTGCTCTTCACTTGCAAGGAAAGGAAACTCCAAAGTAACGGTGGAAATACGAGAATCGTGGAAGCTGGCAGAATTAGATAACAATGATTTACTGACCTTAGTAACGTCTCCCTCATATGCATGGAGATCCAAGATGAGATCAAGTTCGATATCTCCAAAGCTGGTTGTGTAGATGGGTGAAGTTCCATTGATGCTTCTAATTCTGTCAGTGATTGCCTGCACTTCTTTCTCCTTATCCTGGAGCTTGTCATACTTATTGATCAAGATAGTGTCAGCTAATGCAATTTGAAGATGAGCGGTGGTGATACCTTCTTGGAGTTGTTCTTCTTCCTGTTGCAATTCCTCCTCGGTTAAGTCCTCCACGTTTGTAGTTTGTGCATTTTTTACATGGTTGTTCTCCCGATGCCAATGGCCTCCGACATCGTCCAAACACTTCAACACATGCTCGGAGTCAACGACAGTAACCACACCGTCGATGTAGATGTTGGAGGACAAGCCTTCGTCGAGCCAGAACATTTTGGCGATAGGAGCAGGGTCGGCCACTCCGGTGGTCTCCAAGAGAATATGGTCGATTCTGTCCTTGGACTTTTCTACCAACTGTTCGATTGCCACTACTCCGTTGTCCTTGACGGTACAACACAAGCATCCGTTTCCAAGATCCAACCATTCTTGGATGGACTCGCTTTTCTCGGTATCCTTGATAGTGACGGACTTTTCAATAACTGACGAGTCCCCAAATTCATTGAGGATAATGGCCAACTTCTTCTTGGACGTTTTGCCGATGTTCTCGAGGAGGGTGGACTTGCCTGACCCCAAGTACCCGGTGATGATGGTGACTGGGATCTTGCGGGTAGGGTCTGACGAGGAAACGGATGGAGCTGGAGCCTCGGGGACGATGGCACCCGTGCTGCGTTCGGAGGGGATCGTGCCATCGGCAGGAAGCTCTGTCACGAGTTGTGGTATGTCGTCCATGGTGAGGATAGTGTGGTGGGTAGTACCAGAAAGTTGCGGCTGATCTGAGTAGTGCGAGCCGCGAATGGATCTGGTTGAAAGAGCCTGGAGAAGAGTGATGGACTATCCTGAAGCTTGGACCTGAGGACTGTTCCTGGTAGGCATTGAAGCACTCTTGTGATTTTGGCATTGCTGTGGTGTTCTTTTCGACTTTCCGGTGGCCTTTTTGGGGAGAGTAGAACTAGTACCCACTTTGGCAGCCAAGTTCCATGGGACAAGAAAACTAACAAGTGGCTTCCTAGACTACCAATACTGGGGAAGAGTGATGAAGCCAGCTGGATCGACTTGGAAGGCACTCAGAAATCCATCATCCGGCCGTTTTTCCCCAAAAACACTGGACTAACTTCTTCTGGGCGATCTCATTTGTTGCAACATTCTGGTTGACGCCCCAGCCATGGCGCTTCAGCAGCTCCAATAGTTCCAAAAGGGTCCAAACGAGGCCAAACGTGCCATTAGATGACTGTTCAGGTCGTCCATCTCTCTGAGCCCTGGCTGCTGCTCATTGGCCCAGATATTCCCATTCTCAGTACTCCGGACTTGATCGCGATAGCCCAATTCGCCTCAGCATTAACCGCGCCGTACGATCAATGGATATAAATTGGCAGACTTCCACTTTCTGGTCACCACAATGCTAAAATACAACGTATACTTGGACGCTGCCTTGTTGGCGGTCATCGGCTATCACTTGTCCATAGCTCCATTCACCAAAGTCGAGGAATCGTTCAATATCCAGGCCATCCATGATATCCTCAACTACGGAGTGTTTCCCCAAGAGGCCATTTTGGACAACTACGACCATATCAACTTCCCTGGAGTGGTTCCCAGATCCTTCGAGGGCAGTTTGATCTTGGCTGGTGCTGCTAAATACATCAATTGGCTCACTAAGCTCGTGGGCTACAACTTGCTCCACGAAAGAACCCAAGAGAACTTGGCAGGCTTGGTCAGAGGACTCTTGGGCCTTTTCAACGCCTACGGCTTGATCAGAATCAGAAACAGTGTCAACAAAATCAACGTCAGAGGAAAGGGCCAAACTAAAGGTACTATTGGGTTCTGGTACCTGGTGTTACTTCTCAGTCAGTTCCACTTATTGTTCTACTCCTCCAGAACCTTGCCCAATTTCATCGCCTTGCCAGGTGTCTTGCTTGGCTTATCAAAGATTCTTGAAGGTGACACCACTGGATTGACTTGGTTGGCCTTTATCGGCATAATTTTCAGATTGGAAGTGGGGGTATTCGCCGTGATTATTGCATTTGTTTCCTCTTTGATCTATGGCCAGTCCAACCTCATTCTCAACGTTATCTTCTTGGCTGTTGGTACGCTCTTAGGTGGTTTCCTGTCGTTTGCCATCGATTCCTACTTCTGGAACCAGAAATTGTTGCCTGAATTGTCGTCTTTCTTCTTCAACATTGTTGATGGAAAATCGGCTCAATGGGGCGTTCTGCCATGGTCTACTTATTTCAACAACTACCTTTGGCAATTGTTCAGACCTCCAATCATTTTATTGTTGGCTCTTCCTGGTTTGATCAATGATCCAGCTTCAGATGAAACTAGAGAGAAGATAGCTACCGATGACGGGAAATTTTTGGAGAACCAGTCCCCAGCCAAGAACTCGTTAAGAATCCTTTTCGTTTCTTCCCTTTTATACATTGCTGCTATGTCGTTCCAACCACATAAGGAATGGAGATTTATTGTCTACGTGGTTCCTATTTTCACCCTTCAAGCCGCCAATGGTCTTGCAGGTATCACTGATAAATGGAGCTTCAGTTTGTCCAGCAAAATTTTCACACTCCTTACTGTTTTTGGTATTTTTGTCAGTGCCATTTTGTCGTTGTTAATGGGATATGTTTCAAGCTACAACTACCCAGGAGGTCAAGCCTTGACATTTGTTAACTCATTCATTGATTCCACATATGCAAACAGCAGCGTGGTTGTTCACTTGGATACTGCCTCTTGTATGACTGGCATTAACAGATTTGGACAAATTCATGATGAGTATGTCACCTATGATAAGACCGAAGGACGTGAAGAATTATCCAACATTTGGAATGACATTCAAATCTTGGTTAAGGAAAACCCCATCCCAGAGATTGGAACTTCAGATGGTGCAGTATTAGTCTTTGAAAAGAAGAACTGGGAAATAATTCACACCGTTCCTACTTATAGAGCTTTGCAAGTCGGTCCAATTATCAGTTTGGTCAGAAGATTATCTGATTCCGACGAATTATTCAAGTTCGTCTTTTCCGTTATTGAAGAATTAAAGGAAGGAGAGTCCAAAACGTTGAAGAATATCTTGAGATCCCTTGTTGTTACACAGGACTACTTGTATGTTTACAATAGATTGGCCAAGGATGAAAACCTTGTGATTGAAAGTGGGGATATGTACAAAGACCAAGCCCAAGTTGGATTCGAAGAGGGCAAGACCCATGAAATTGAAGCTGAGGCCATTAAGGAAGCTGTCAATGCCGAGATCGACCACCTCGAAGAAAACTAGCATCTTTTGCAGTTTGCTCATATAGTAAGCTGAAAAATGATACAAATCTAAATAATAAACGTATTCTGAGTAAACTTTTACGTACTCAAGGCCCCCTTGATTGTTGGCTTTCATCAAAAGGAATACTCGTCATCTGGAGAAGGTGCAACCGTGATTAAATTGTTGCGCAACCTTTCCCTCAATTTCTTGACAGGTGAGAACTTAGGCTGACTTCCCTCCTCTTCGGTAGGAAACATTATCGGAGTGATTCTTCTTAATTTCTTAGCATTTTCAATGACAGTTTTCTCATCCTCTATCACAGTATGCGAAGACTGACTGAGGAAATCGGAACTATTCGAGTATACATCCATCGGATAATCCTCCTCGGGCTTTATAGGCTGAAAGTTGGGAGGCTTTGGAGGTATAACATTTGCATAAGTTTTAGCCTTTGTCGAACCATCATCCCTTGATTGCACTGGCCGTGGCCTTGGCTTTGATGCCGAAGGTTTAGGAATCATGCTCTTGTATCTGGACCCGCTGAGACTCTCGATATGTCGAGAAGGTGAGATCACTCTAAGATCGTTACCTGTATTCTTCTTTGGAGTACTAATATTTGATCGAGGAGTTGAAGTCCCCTTTGCTCTTCCAAAATGTTTCCTCAACGCATCGATTCTTTCATTTTTGATCCGTTGGTTTGTTTCTTGAAGTTTGGTAGGACTTATTCTATTAGTTTTGGGAGTGAATAGTAATCTACCATGAACTTGTTGCTTCAACGGAGTGAACAAATAACTGGAGTTAGGATCTTCCTCTGACCGAGTGTTTGTTCGCGAAGATTTATTTGCCAAGGGTGAGTGATTACTGATCATACTTGTATCTGCATTCTGGAAATCTTCTAGATTGTCCTTTGCTTCTCTGAGTTTTACCAACCATAATTCAAAGATCGACCTTAATTTTGCATTTTGCCATTTTTCGAGGAACATATCACAACTCTGGTTGTTTCTTTGAATTAGTTTCATATACTTCATTGACCATCGACTGAGCAAAGACTGTACCTGTTGAAACTGCTTGTTGTCGATTAGATTGTCAGCAACCTCTCCAAGATATACCCCTTTGTTTATGTATTGATCATACCAAATCAACAAGAATTTTTTGAGTAGGACGGAATTTTGAAAAGAAACGGCCTCCTCGAGTAGTATCAACTTAGCATTTGTTTTCTGGTTCCAAACACTGAAATATTGCTTCTTTGATCTAGCTTTTCTTACAAACTGGGCATACCTTTCATCAAGTTCATTAAGCTTTGCCTGTTTTTCATTGTAGCGATTAACCCACTGACGAATCATCAATGACAACAAGTTTGGATTTCTCATCTTCTGCTCGAAGCTGGCAATTTTCAATAGCAGCTTACTTTCGAATCTATCACCATACTTTGATTTCCATCTGCTTAATGCCATGGCTGTAATGAAGTGTTCATCAAAAACTCCAGTGGCCAAAAATTTGTCAGCCTTCCGATTGAGCTGATAATCGATTAAATGGTGCTGCTGTATAATTTTGTTGTAGAACTTTCTTTGGAAGTTCAAGTCGGCAGTAGCTTCGTATTCCATTACATCTTTGGTAGCTGAGAGCCAACGGGTAAAGCTATCCTGAAGTTTTGAATATCTTTCAAATTGGTGGGATCTCCTTGCTAATTCGACTTTTTCATCTTTTCTTGCTGTCCAAATCGTTAAAATCTTATCCTGAATGTCTAAGTCCTTTCTTCTTAGGGAATTATGAAGCTTGTACTTCAATAACCATTTCTTAAGACAATTCTTCATATCAATTACTGAATGCTCTGAGTTTTGTTGAAATACACGAAGAGTATTGTTCAATTTCCATTGCCTCAATGCAGATTTCAACAAATGGTTTCTTTGAACGCTATCAGCTAGTTCAATTTGTCCTTTCTTCGCCTTCCAGTGATAAAATATTTGCCTCTTCAACTCGACTTCTTTGCTCTTCCTCATTGCGTTGGCCTTTTGAGAAAGAACTAGTTTCCTCTTCCAGTGATTTTCAAACACATATGTGAGCAAGAGTGTATTGTTTGTTACCTGAGACTTTTTGAGTCCTTTTTCTAGGTCATGCATCTGTTTCCAGATTTTAAAGAACCGAGTTTGAATCCACTTACGTTCTAACATGAATAATATTGCTAGCTTATTCTCCCCCAATTCGTGCTCAATAGGTAGCTTCTGGTGCCATAAATTCCAGAACCTTACTAGTATTTGCTCATTTCTAGAGAGAGTAAACTTATCTGCAAGACTTTTAGCAATCTTTTGGAGCTCAATTTTATGATTGTGGCTTCTTTTGAGCTGAACAAATACACTGGATTGCACTGTGATTTGATCCATCCTTTGTGCCTTGGCTTGCAATTGCTTCATTCTCTGTGCACCATTAGACCAGCTAATGAAGTACCTTTTCAAGAACGCATTGTTAGCTATTTCAGTGAGTTCCCTATGATCTGATAATTTTTGATACCATTCAGACTTGAACTTTTTATCTAGTAACACGTTTTCATAATATTTGGATGCCTCTACTTCTAATGTGTTGAAGAGAAGTCGTTTTCCAAACCACTTCTGTAGCTGGGCCTTCTGTATTTGCTTATTCTCATTTTGAGCCCAACTGGTATGATATCTATCCCACAATGTTTGAACATTCAAGAATTTCTTGGACCAATTGGCAAACGCCAATCGTTTGATACTCGCATGATTGTTGTACTCTGAAGCTGCCAATCGCATTAAAAGTGTCGCATCTGTCCCAGGTGTACTTGAAAGTTTGAGATGAACTCCATGAAATCTGGTTACGGATTGCTTTATATTGATGTCTTCCGTGTCCTCTTCATTCTCATAGTCAACAATAGAATTAACCAAATGCACAATAGTATCTACGAATTTGAGATCTGAGGAAACAGACAATGTGGGCAAATCTTCATACATCAACTTTAAGTAGTACCTGAACATTGAAGGAAATTTGTTGTTGAAGTTCAAATCAAATTCATTCAACAATGGAATGATGTGCCTGAGGTTGTTGTATAATCTAATCTGGTCCTCTTTAGAATACGGGTGGTTCAGTGTTGGCTCGTCAATTGATTCGGATGAAGTCAAGAAACTAGGATATTGAAGACTTCTTTCACTCATGGAGTTTTGGGGGTGAGGAGATTCATTCACCAACTGTGAAGGAGTTTCGAGTAGTATCGGATTTTGATTATCGATTTTCATCTCAGGAAAAATTGCTACTTCCGAGAACACTCTGGAATTTACATCTTTGAACAGCTCTGGTAAGATTCGAAATCCTTCTGAATCAGACATAAAAAAATTGAGCACCTGGTTCAATTTCATCTCTTTGTACTCAAAGCTGTCTACCTCCATGAACTCGACGTTGGCATGTCTTTTGAACAAATTAATCATGATTCTTATGTAGTTCTTGTAGTCCCTTTCGAGGGGAGATTTGAAGCTGAGGATCTTGAGGAAGGCACCGTACAAGTAATCCAAATCGGGGTCACTGCTCAGGAATTTTTGCAGGGATGTTACAGGCTGGTGATCGTTCTCATAGCTGAAAATTGAATCTTGCTCGTTCTGTTCGTCTTCGACCTCGTTCAAGATGATGCTGTCTAGAAAATCGGCAATATTCTGTGTATCCTGCTCGTCAAGACTGTCCAATTGGGACTGAATACTGGAATAAAAGCGGAGCTCTTCCATGGCACACCGTTGGATGAAATCCACGAGCATTGACTCTGAATCGGCCTGGAACTTGATGAAAAACTGGATGAGGGTGGAGAGCTTGCCAAAGATCAACGAGTACGAGTCTTTGATTCGGATGGGCCGCTTGCCCTTAATTTTGGAGAGAAGCTCTACGAGCAGCTCGAGCACCGAGTGGTTCGAATGCACCTCGTGCTGGTTGAACGACTGGATGAACTGGACGATGTTGACATTTGTGAGTGAGTTTATCGCCCTATCGGAGGGAGAATAGTAGAGGATATCAAGTGTGGACGACGCGTCAGACTGCGACGAGCTGGTGCTATTCAACCTGAGCCTGTTATACGACTTATCATTGTAGTTGATCACCTGGATCACGTTGGCAATGGACTCCCGGAGAAGGGGCTCATAGGTGTGGTGGTCTTGGTGGGTGTGTAGTTGGTGGAGATTCTTGAGGGTTTTGTGGAGTAGGTCGGGGAGGGGGTCCGACATCGCACGAGGAGAGTCCAGACTGGGGCTGTGCCGTCTGAGGAGAGTACTGGAGCTGGCAGCTGGGTTGTGAAGGAAAGAACCAGATGGTTGTGCCCTCGGAAATGCGTCACGGGGAATTCTTCACGTGCCTGTCCTCCCGAATAACCTGTCTAATTATAAACTCAATCTAGGAACCGTTTCACTTTGCAACTATTAGACATCTCTGAACGGGAGATCTTCCCTGAAACCTACCACAGCACACCTTAGGCCAAGTGCAGCTCCAACGAGTGACATCGCTCTACTAAGCCTCAAATCGCAAATTAGCCTGCGATGTATCCCAATTCCATCCCCAGAGACAACCAGGACAAACGCAGATCGACCAGTTATGACCAGCAGAGGATAAAGCTCCCGTTTGTGAACAACAACGGCTCCCGTCTCAGTGTGAACAACGAATCAGGCTACCCCCACCGCAATTTTTCTGACGGAATAGTGACTGCTAGACCGTCCTATTCCGCAGAACGGCTTCCTACATCCTCACACAGCGCCCAAGATCTATACCGACCCAACGACTACCATACCGGAAGCCGTCTCTCCTCTAGCTTCCATGAAATCCCATCTCCAGACTTTTTCGACTTCTCGATAAACAAGGAGGAGAAAAATGAACAATCAAGACCTAAGCCATCGGAGTCCACACATACCACCAGACACAAATCAATGCACTATGATCCCATACCAGACCGTGAGTTGACGCCAAAATTGGAGGAAGATACCACATTTAGCTTCTCGGAACAGAACGACTCCAGCAACCAGTTCCTGACAACATCTGACCCTCCCTACCCTCTATTTTTGCCCCCTCTCCACCAGATCGGTCCTATCATCGAATCTCCCAACCGTGAAACCTTCAAGCAGGACTCCCCTCAGAATTCAGTATCCACCAGCCTCAGCTCAAATGCTATTGGCCTGATTATTGGTGGCTATAACTATAGTAATAGTTCCGTTGAATTGGCAAAATATAACTTGGACAACGTTAGGTCACACGAGTCGTCGATCAGACGAATTCCCTCTGATCCCAGACCATTAGAGGGTCCTCCGCTTTCCAATGAGAAAATACATGCAAGGAATGGTTCTGAAACTTCAACTATTTCCACCGCCTCATCTGCATCTACTATCACCCAATCGTCTGAGAAGGAAAACAAGGACAAGAGGTTTGTACGCTACGCTATGAATACCCAGTCCCCACTAGTAAACCCCTCTAATCGTTGGCAAATAGGCAATGTTCTCAGATGGTTAGAGCACCACAACTTCAATTCTTCCTGGCAGGAAACATTTAGGAAAAACGAGATTTCTGGTAATCGGTTTCTTGAGTTGAGTAACTTCGAAAAAGATTCTATCATCTGGAAACAGTTCACTAAGTTTTTGACATTCGACGAATACTCATCGGTAGAGAGATTCATCGAGTTGTTGAAACTCGAGATTTCACACAATGATCTGATTCCTTCGGCTCAACAACTCTACTCGAGAAAAAGCTCAAATGAATTGCCAACTCCTTATTCGGCTAATAGTTCCAACATGAAAACGGAGTTTAGAAAATCTACTCCAATATTTAATAAGTTTCCCTTGTCTACACCTTCTTCAATGGATTCTTCATCCACGCTAAACCTCCCACTGGCTGGAGCAAAGCAACGGCCCTTTTCATATGTGGATCCAAGCAACAGAAGCAAAGACACTTTGGTCTCTCCCTCGCACCATAAATTCTTCAAAAAGCATATTCGAACCCATTCGAACGAATCAAGGGACTCTGCGTCCTCTGTTAATGAATCCAGCAGACCTGTTTCTGGTACGTTTTTGAAGAATCAAACTTCTGCCAAAGAAATTCCAGCCAGAAGAGGTATCCTTAGCACTTTGAGAAAATATGGTGGTGATAAAGCAGCTGAGATCGTCAAACAAGTCCTGTCGTCGTCCTCCTCGAACTCGTCCTCGCGAAACACAAGTGGGTCAAATATGAAGAACAGATCTTTCAGTAACTTGAAAGACATCAAGCGAATGGCTCCGCCAGAATTTACAATTAGTGATGCCTCAAATCCCGAAGAAATTATTGTAAACCCTGAACAAAGAAAATCCATAGATTCAAGCAAATCTATCGTTTCGACGGTTGATGACACCACTTTGGTTCTCCAACCTATCAAGTCTACTGATGCCTCATCAGTGTCATTGAAAGAGCTGCCTGAGCCACTTGAAGAAAAATATTTGCCTCAACCATTAAATGCATGGCAAAACGAAATCATCGTGTTACTTACGAAGGACCATCAACAATACACAAAAGTCCACTTTGTGCCTGAAGACTTTGATTCATACCAAGCGTTGAAGGACAAAACCGTCAGGTGTTTGGATTTAATAAATATTGGAAAATTCACCTTTCACTTGACAGAATTTGACTCCAAGGAAGGAGCAGCTTTGCCTGAGCTCCTCTTATTAAAGCTATTGAAAGAGAAGATTGCCACTAAATTATTTGTGAGACAAGAACTAGCATCCCCTCTGGGAACCAATACTTTCTCTACTACATCATCAGACTCTAAATCGTTTGAGATGGTTGGTGAGAATGATGAAAAGGCCTATCCTGCAACTCCTCAGTACTTACTACAAAATGTTAAGGATTCCAAAGTCGATTACCTCAATTTCAAAGACATTATGGATAGACTTCCACTTGATATTTCCATGAGAAGGAGGAAATCTGGCAATGAGACAAAGCCTAAACAGGATACTCAATTCTTTCCACTCAAATTACCATTCCCTGCTAACAAAAGACATAGCGAGAGGCAGATTTCAACCCTTCTGATTAACACTACCCAGCTTGAGGATTATCCTAGAGCATCACCGGTGTCTGCTCGTTCTAATAACTCGTTCAGAGTGATCAGAAAAGAAGGAAGTGTGATTGACTTTGATAAAAGACGCAAATCACCATATGAAACCAATCCTCCTAAATTGATCCCAAACATTTACTCTTCATCGGTATCTGACCAATTGAAATCCCCAATATCTGCCACTACTGTGCAAACTTTGCGGGATAATCCTGCCCCAGAGAAGCCTGAAAATGAGAGAAGTGGCAGTATAATTGCAAAGAGGGCTGCACCTCCGCCTCCACTTAATAAGGTACAAAGCTTTAAGCGTACTGAATCTGTGTTGAGACAGAAAATGTCTGGCAGAGGTGAAGAGCCATCGGGATATAACGGATCGATGAAGAGGTTTTCTTCAAAAGCATCCTCCAGATCTGCTGGATCAAAGGAGATTGATCCGTTCCATGAGAACGAGATAACTTTCGATGATGTATCTGATTTTCTGTCCAGAAAAATGGACAACGGCGATGATGATGACGAATTCTTCGTTAAGCAAGTCAAGCCAAGTAAAGCTCAAGAAAATGATGACGATGATGATGAGGACTTCTTTGTGAAACCTATGAGTAAACCCAAAATTCCAGACCTGGTGGCCAAGCCGGATGATGATGACTTCTTCATGAAACCAATGAGTAAAAAGCAATCCAAGAGGCCCAATCTCCAGGTGGATGTCAAGATGGACGTCAGACCCCCAGTTGAAGAGGTTTATGATAATCTTGAAAAGTATTTCCCATACACCAATCTCGACAAGCCCATCATTGATGACTCGCCAGATTCACCAGTAGTCAATATTGGACAAACACAGAAGATAGTGCCTCTCAGACAGCCAACAATCTCCAGAACCTTCTCAAGTGCCAATATTTCGCCTGTGAAAGTGGCCACAGATGATCATGGGGACGAGGTTCTCTACTCCGAGAACACAGCTCCAGGTTTGAATTGTCGCCGTATGAAGACGATCAGAATTGTTGCGAATGAAGCTCGTCGTAAGAGAATGCATCAATTGTCCCCTCGAACCGTCAACACTGACAAAGTGGCTAATTTCCCAACTTCCCAAATGGGTCTTACCAGATCCAATACCAAGATGTGGGGCCAAAAGGTGGTGGAAGTCACATCTTCAGAAATCGAGCAGGGCTTTGTTAGCAAGCTTCGTAACAACAAGAATGGACAGTTTGAAGAGTTTGCGTGGATTAAGGGTGAGTTGATTGGAAGAGGCTCCTTTGGAGCGGTATACTTGGGCTTAAACGTTACCACCGGTGAAATGTTAGCGGTCAAACAAGTAGTTGTTAATCCAGGACGGGGAGGCTCTAAAAATTCCGATGGTATTGATGCTTTACATAAAGAAGTGAAAACTATGAAAGACTTGGATCATGTCAATATCGTCCAATACTTGGGCTACGAACAAAAGAATAATATCTACAGTTTATTCTTGGAGTACGTGGCTGGTGGTTCTATTGCTTCGTGTATGAAATCGTTTGGAAAGTTCGAAGAGCAGTTGATTCGGTACATCACCAAACAGGTGTTATTGGGGTTGGAGTATCTTCACTCCAACGGGATTTTGCATCGAGACTTGAAGGCTGACAATTTATTGCTTGAAATCGATGGTACTTGTAAAATATCCGATTTTGGTATTTCCAAACGGTCTCAGGATATCTACACCAATAATGCCGAAATGTCGATGCAAGGAACAGTTTTCTGGATGGCGCCAGAAGTCATTGACAGTATAGTAGAAGACAAAAAACAGGGTTACAGTGCCAAGGTGGACATCTGGTCGCTTGGATGTGTGGTGCTTGAAATGTTTGCTGGAAAACGTCCATGGTCTAATGAGGCCGTGATCAGTGCCATTTACAAGATTGGTAAAACTAAATTGGCCCCACCAATTCCTGAGGATATTGACCATTTGGTCAGTCTCGAAGCAAAGGACTTCATCAACAAGTGCTTCACCATCGACCCAGAAGAAAGACCCACTGCAAAGACGCTATTGGCACATCCATTCGTAAAGTACGAAGAACGTTTCTCGTTTTCCGACACCAAGTTGGCGCAGATGATCAAATTCAACTCGAGGAAAAGTGTAGTCAACTAGCTGGTTTAGAGTGGGTAATAAGTATTAAAATATACATTGGGATAATTAGGTAATTGCAAGAGAATTAGTGTAACTTCTTCAAAATTTTTGGAATTTATAAGGATGCAAAAGTGAAATACAAAAATCTGGTATAAAACTTCTGGATACAATAGAAGGAGACTACTGTAGATTATGTCAGAAAGATTTGTCTAGATATTACCGTTACTTGCTAGCAAATTCACTTCTTCTCAGGACCCGGGAAAGTAGAGATTGAAGTCACTTGAGTGTTTGCCCAAGGTTTTGCTCCTCCTGTTGTTCCATAAATTAGATTAGAGAATTTATCAAGGTGAGCTTCGGTTTCTATTCATATATTCTGCCCAGACGAGTGGATTGCCTCAGGGAAATTCTTCGAGTACGATCTGTCAGTTCTAGTGCTTAATAGACATTGGGGTTGTCTTAACACATTGCTACTTAAAATACCAGTTCATGAAGTAAAGTTCTGCTTTATTTCATCTCCACTCCAATATTGTAGTATTATAATCCTGGGTCACAGTCACTTAAACTAGCCTAGTATGATAGCCCAGTACAATAGTCCAGGACAAAAGTCACTTAACTTCAACCTACCAAGATAGCCCAGTAGGAAAGTGCAGTGACTGGCACTAAAACTCAATTTCCTAGTCCAATACCCCGACGGTCGCAACCTACAGGAGCGTGCTATGCCCCACCACCTCTTAATCTGATTCGTTCATTATGTACAAGTCTATATGTGCTGCTCTGTCACCTAGTTCACCTTCAATTCGTCCACCATCAACACCGTCTGGAAGGGCTCCACGGGAAACGTCTTCAACCGACGACATCTCTGCTTCTTTCTGTACACCTCGTAGTAGGGCTCTCTGGTGATCTCCACCACACTGGCTGTCAACTCGTAGGCGTCCTGGGGGATGCCCTTGTTGTCGTTGTAGGTGAATTCTGGAGACCCCAAAGTGGTGACGTCGTTCAACTTCAATTTGTCTCCCACCTGCACGTTCTTCAACTTGAACGGCAAATACACCCTGTCGCCCTTGGTGACCATGTATGGCATGTTGTGGAGCTTGAAGATGGCGTACAAGTGGTTGGAGCCGTTGGTGCTGATTTTGAGGGTGTGGAGGTCGGGCACGGCAGAGCGTACGGCAGCGTTACCCAAACGGGACATGCTAGAGAACGACCGCTGGGCGTTGAGCCCCATGAATCCTCGAATCATCGTGTGTATATCGAGAGGCTGTGGATATTTGCTTAGCTGACCTGGCAGTCAATTTGTCGCTGTGAGTGTGTAGCTTCCGCACGCCCTTTGTGTAATTAAAAATTTTCCCTAACATCAACAAATTTGGCGGACGGGAAATTGGCGGAACAATCTCCAGAGTCCAGTTGTATGAGGTCATGTACTAAAAGTTGATAACGCAACAATAGCAACATCCATTGACACTACGACGAACTCATACATACCCCCTGCCATTGATTGGGACTCCCGTGTTCGCTTATTGGCCTCCTTGCTCCACCGCCTCCTCGTCACCCACCACTGACTGGGACCATTGAAGTACTTGCCCAAGAGCCCTCCTCGTTACCCACCCTTGCATAGTCCCCACAGGACACTCGGCATACCATGTCTGGATCCTTCTGGAAGTTCAGCAATGGATTCACCTCGTTATCTAATATCCTGACGTTCTTGGAGAACCATTCCATCAGTCAGGACCACGGCGAAGCCCTGTATGAGAGCACCTACGAGGTGCTCTTGAAGCTCTTGGACGAGAATGATCTCTTGCAGGAGCTTTTGTCCAACAACCCCATGTTGTTGGAGTTTTTGCGTGAAGACGACGTGTTGGCCATGTTGGTCGACTTAGTCATCAACGAGGGCGATCCCAAGAAATTGGCCTTGACCGATCCATCGTTGCCTTCCGACGAGAAGCCAGAGCTGAAGAACCCCGAACCATCAACTTCATCTGAAGCCAGCGAAGAGGTTTCCGATACCGCCACAGAAGCAAACGATTCTCAAGACTCCATTGATGCCGACGAAACAGACGAAGCATCCAACGACGATGACAACGACGATGCAGACGAAGAATCCGAAGAAGAGAAAGCCACTCGCAGAGCCACCATTGCTGCCGAAATCTTGAGTGCTGACGTATGGTCGTTGACTGACACCGTGATGGAATCAACACCAAACTTGAATAAGTTGTGGTCCGTATTGGATTCAAAGTCTCCCCTTTCAATCAATCTCTCAACCTACTTCATGAAGATCATGGAACATTTGCTTGACATGAAATGCGACGAAATGATCTCGTACCTTATCGAGAATCAATCTACTTTAGTTGAAAAGTTCATGAACCACCTTTCCAACTCACCATTGATGGATTTCTTGTTAAAATTAATCTCCACTGATAAACCAGACAACTCCACAGGTATTATAGACTTTTTACAGAACCAGGACTTGATAACTCACCTCATTAACGCTTTGGACATAACAGACGAGAACAATGAACCCACAGAAGATCATGATAAATTGTTGGTTAGACAATCATCTGCAGCTGATTTCTTGAAGGCGTTGATCACCATCTCGGCTAATTCTACCACAGACAATTCAACTATTGGTCCAAGTGAATTGACTAGAGAATTGGTTTCACACGAGCAGATGACATGTTTATGTAACATTATGTTGAAGGGAGGTTATGCATTGGCCAATGGTGTTGGAATCATAATAGAGATCATTAGAAAAAACAATTCAGACTATGACATACTACCAGTTTTATACATCACTTTGGATTCACATCCCCCAACTGGTAGAGATCCAATTTACTTGGGTCATTTATTAAAGGTTTTTGGAAGTAAGATTGAAGATTTCAATCGCCTCTTGATGAGTGAATCATATGGAGATGATGACAGAAAGCTTAAGACTCCCTTCGGTGAAATTGAGCCTTTGGGCTTTGAGAGATTCAAGATTTGCGAATTGATTGCTGAACTTTTACATTGCTCCAATATGGCTCTTCTCAATGATAATAAGGGGTTCGACGTAGTAAAGGAAAGAGACGAGTTAAGAAAGAAAATGAAGGAATATGACCCCATCAGTTTCAAGTATAATGAAGTTATTGTCCTTCCAAACGACAAGGACCATGATGAAGACAATAATTCCAATAATGATATTGATGAAAGCAACCATAAAACTAATAAAGCAAATAAACATGATGATGAGGATGAATATGTTAATGACACTATTGATTCATTTAATTCTAAATTACAACAGGATGAAGATTCGATCGTTCAACATCACCAAGAAAACGATGATGATGAAGAAGAACCACATGCTAATGCAAATCTCACTGAAGAGCAAATTAGAGCCAATCCAGTGATTGGTGACTACTTAAAGATCGCCTTATTTGATACTCAAATCATCACAAATATCTTATCTATGTTCTTCAAATTTCCTTGGAACAATTTCTTGCACAATGTTGTTTTTGATATAGTTCAACAAGTTCTCAATGGATCCATGGGAATTGGATTTAACAAGTTTTTGGCCATTGATTTATTCCATTTGGGAGACATTACCAATAAGATCATTGAAGGCCAAAAGTTGTGCTCTGATTACGAGGATAGTCACAATGGATTGAGACTCGGATTCATGGGACACTTAACTTTAATCGCTGAAGAAGTGGTGAAGTTTATTCAGTTATACCCAGCCAACTCATTAAGCGAGCTCATTGATGTTAAGGTTGAAGACGATGTGTGGGAAGATTATGTCAGTAATGTTTTGTATGATACCAGAGAGAAGTATAATGCTATTTTAGGTGGTGGTGAAGAGGATGAAGATGAAGATGAAGAAGATGAGAACAATACCTTTGACGAAGGCTTGGGGGAGATCATAGAGGAAGTCAAGACTGGCTTAGTTTTCGATGATGCTACAGACCATGACTTACGTGGCAGTGGATATGATGAAGAAAACGGTATCGATGAGCCCAAGAAGACAGAAAAGGATCGCCTCGATAGTGATGAATCTGAATCTGATGATGATGATCATTTTACCAACTACATGTCACACCAATTGATCAACACTGCCTCTACGGAGATCTCGTCCAATATAGAGCCTTCTAAGGAGAAGTCTATTTCTACGTCAGACGAGAAAGAACAAGATGGCGAGGGTCGAATGGACCCCACAACTGATGACTTCGACCATGAAGATTACATCGACCCAAACGATGACGGTGTGTCTTACAAAAGGACCAGCTCATTATACGATGCCACAGGGTCCTTGTTAACTAGCTCGGTTAACGAGGAAGACGAGCTCAGTGAAGATTCGAGTTCAAGCTCTTCCGATAATGATGACGATATCAACTTAGAAGATGATGGTGGGGTCAATGACTCCACCAAGCTTACTAGAGCTGCCAGTAAAGGATAATCTGTTTAGTATACACAGATGTCATGCTTAATGAATGTATATGTATTTTATTTCATGTCTTTATGTCGTTCTCATTACGGTTTTCGTTCACATAGGCTCTGCATTTCCTGATCCGCTCTTTAATTACTAATTACTATATTGATCATATGAAAGCGTAGTTCTACTACCACATTAAAGAAGAGAACCTGGAATGAAAGGAGTAATTTTTCGCTTTGAAACCTAGAGTATAAAGTACAAAACGATCAAATATCGAGGAAAAGCTGAAACACCACAAGGGAGCAAATACAAAATGACAATATTATTAAATTATGAGTAGTATTCTAGTCCAGGCTAAAACACAGCATATTCGGTGCTGGGCTTTCTTCCCTCCCGCGACAATGGAGGCAACTCTGCCAAGGTGGATCCCACAGAAGCGGAACCAGTCCCATTCTTTGTAGGCACCCCTCCCATCAAGCCCTTGCTCATGGCAAGGCCTGAAGATCTCTCGCTGACTCCACGATCGTAGAACTCGTCCTCGATCGGGTGCATCAACACGGTGTTGTTGTTGGTGATGGTAAGCATGGTGTTTGTAGGCACGCAGATCCAGTCGCCTCTTTCGAAGGTCAACGGCTCGCTGGCCACAAAGATGACGTCTTGCGAACGGTTGAGTCTTTCCATCTTGAACAAGCCAGGCTCGTACTCGAAAAACCTTGATCCGGTACTGAAATGCAAAGATGCTGCCTCGTCGGTCTTGGAGGTAATGTATCTGCTCACGACGATGGATTCACCGTCGGTGACGGCAAAATTCAACAACGAAGGCTCGTCAGTAATGGCCACCTGCCAGTTCTTGATAAGCTCAGTTGTGGTCACCAACGCCTGTCTCAAGATGTTGTGGGTGAACTTTTCGTTCTTGTCGCCTGGGTTGTATCCCATCTGGTGCAAGGTGTTGAGGTAGAGCGCAAAGCAGCACTCGGAGTCGGTGGCTCCTTGGATGTATAAGAAGTATTCGTCGTCGAGGTGGTCCACAAGCTTTCTCTTCAACTTTTCAAAGAGAGAAATTCCTCCGTTATGCATAAACATCAACTTGCCGTAGGCAAACGGATGGCAGTTCGTCTCCGAGAGCACTCCCTGGGTAGAAGCTCGGACGTGTCCAAACACTAACCGTGACTTGGTACACATGGAGAGATTATTGAGGTTGACGTTGTTCCAAGCAGGCGTGATGGCCTTGAAGATGCACGGTTCGTCAGTGGAGTAGTAGCCGACGCCAAACCCGTCACCGTTGATGGGGTTTCTCATGTCCAACCGGAGTCTGGAGTCGAACGACTGGTTGATGATGGAGTGTGCGGGTTTGGTGAGGAGATCTGAGAGCACCATGGGCTCTCTGCCCTTGTAGATCATGAAGCGGCACATCGAGGGAATGAATGGGTCAAACAATCAAAAGCGAAGATATAGTTGAGTGGTTTGGAGTTGTTGGAGTTGATTTCTTGGTGGAGTCACTGGTTGGAGTTATTGCACAGTATGATTAGTAATTTGGCTGATTCCAGTGCTGCAGGTCAGACTCTGAAGTGTATTGCAGGTTCTAGAGTATAGACTGGCTGGTTCGGGTAATGCTTAGGTTTGTAGAGGTGCCATAGTCAGTCGCCTATCACGCAACATCGCACGTGATGTGAGATGGAGAGTGGGTGTTACAATTTAGAGAGAATGAGGGCACTGCTGAGGGCACTGCTGAGGGCTCCTGGAGACATTGCTGAGGGCACTCCTGGGGGCACTTAAGGTCGCTCCTGATCATGGTTCCACCTCAGTGATTCGTACTCCTTACTACCATTTATACTATATAAAGATCGATAAATTACTAGGAGTTACACCCGTATTTGCAGCTATGACAGACGTACCGAAACGAACAATATGTTGTAAACGAGATTGTTCAACCTATAGGAATTTATGCCTAATTTTCCATAGAAAGATACGTTTATAATTTGCAGAATTGTAGCAGAATAAAAGCAATTGGGAGGATAGTTGGGTCATACGGCCGGAATACAAAACCACGTGAAATGCGAGTTCCGGTCACCTGGGTCAGTCACTGAAGGCCGGTTGAAAAGGTGCTATAATCCGCTTTAACAAGCCTAAATCGTTAATACAGGTTATTATTGAGTACATCTACTGCTACAGCTCGTTTGAGCCAGCTGGATCGATCGGCTCGTGCAGGAGACCGAGTGCCAAAGCCGTAAATTATGATCACGTGACCGTTCATGACTCGAGAAAATACACCGGGAATATTTACGCTAGTTTAGTACTTTTGTGAAGCAGCATGGATGCGGATGTGTCCCCACTTTGTTTCCCAATTGCACCTACTGATCCCTGTGGGTCTGCACGAGCCGGTGTACTCTGTCACAATACGGTGTCTGCCTGCTCCGATTCTTGCACGTGATGTCCCGATTTTGTGGCTTTCCCCGTATGACAGCCCCGATCTGTCACTCGGACATGCATCACCTGACATGCGTGGTTTCCGTTACCCGTTACCCGTGGATGTGTCGCCCGCTGCGCGACATGCGACATCGAGTCATCCTGTCCGACACCGCCAGCTTCAGCCTCTGGAGGCGCCCCATAGCAATGCCCCCCACAACCGCCCCCCAGGGCCCCGTCTAGGTGTCCCGGCACCTGCCGGAGCCCCATAGTGGTCATCGTGCCGTTTGTACCGATCACTTCCCTTCTGCCGACGCCTGGATGCGTCTCTCGATCGCACATCCCTTGACCCGCACGGGGTCTGGCGGTGATTATACTCCGAGCTCCGGTGACTATAAAGGAGACGGAAGGGAACCAGTATCTGCTTAGCACATTCGTTTCCAACCTAGTCAGCCGACAAACACACTACCACACTCTGTTCAATTGCCACGCTCCTCCATTGACTGCCAGCCAATCACCACACCCTGCCAATTCCACACCCTACCAACTAGCCTATCTCCCTTATCATACTCACTGCTCCCACAATGTCTCTTTTCAGAACCTTGCAGAACTCGCCTGCCACCATCAGCATTTTCCACAACAACAAGGTGCCGCTCTCCACCAAGCTCTACCAGATCTTGGAGCGTGCCGAGGCCCAGCTGGACGAGAAGTTCCGCATCGACTTGATGGCAAACAAAATCCCTACCTTCGACCAGTACCAGGCCATTGCCAACTCGTTGCACTCGCGAGCCGGACGCACTGCCTTGAACGACTGCTACCCGTTCTTGCACGACCAGCGTAACCTCCACAGCGCCAACCAGACCGTCACCTTCAAGGGAGTGGAGCCCACAAAGATCTTCAACGAGCACGAGTACTCCATCATCTCCGAGATCTTCCAGAACGCCGTGGAAGGCAAGGAAGACGGCACTGAGGACGCGGATCCCGTGCACATCTTCGAGCCACCATTGGTGGTGGACTGGGACCAGAACTTGATTGCTCGTGACGAGTCCCTGCTCCAAACCCTTCTCGCAAAGTATCAATAACCTGTATATAGCCCCCATCTTCACATGCCACATAACCAGACCCAAACCGCAAGCCTGTAGACTTCCTCTGGTAAATTCTGAGTGAATCTCCCATTTACCGAGTAACTCTCTTCCTCAGTGTAATCATCAGAGCAAATCTCTACAGAGTAAATTTACTCAAACTGATTCTATCATCAGAGTAAACCTCCCATTTACAGAGTATTTCCCTTATCAAGCATGTCCGTCACCGCCTACTTGACTGCCTACAACGCCGTGTCGCTTGTGTTGTGGTCGTACTTGTTGTACACCGCCGTGGGAGATCTCCGCAACCATTGGGACGGGCCCAACACCGACTACCAGCGGCTCTTTCACAACTACTCGATCCGCCTCGTGGGCAAGGTGCCCCACCGGCTGTTGGTGCAGACACAGGTGTTCAATTCTGGGATTGAGATCTTCCATTCGTTGCTGGGGCTCGTGGCGACCCCTGTTGCCACCATGATTTTACAATCGCTGGCACGGCTCTTGATTGTGGTGGGGATTTGCTGGAAATTGCCCCAGAGCCCCGGAAACTACCACTTTTGGGCCTTCACCGGCATCCAGTTGGCCTGGGGCATCACCGAGGTGGTGCGGTACGGGTTCTACGTGCTCAAGCTCGTGGGTGTACGGGTGCCTCGCTGGCTCACCTGGCTCCGCTACTCCACGTTCATCGTGTTGTATCCGTTGGGCCTTGTTAGCGAGCTGACGGTGGTGTACTTGTCGCTCGGCTCGGCATCGGGTCTCTACTACTACTTCTTGGTGTTTGCGTTGGCCATGTACATTCCGGGTTTTTTGAGGTTGTACGGACACATGTTCAAGCAGCGGAGAAAGGCATTGGCCAGGAGATAGTGGGGATAAGATTACTAAGACAATCCGAGAGCCCCTGCAAAATTCATAATATAGTTGTTGCTGAAGGAGTACCTTGCTCCAGGACCTTCCAACAATCAGGGAGGGTGGTCATATTAATCAATAGATAAATATAATGAATTCAATAATGAAAGGCAGGTAATATCGACAATTATACCCAAACTCGTTGCTTGAGTGTTGTGTTTTCGTCACTCGGCTAACTGTTGATTTGATATTATGTGGAACCTACTTGAGTATGGAAAATACATAACAATCGAAAACATGTAGAAGGCATGAGTTGGTTTGAGTGTAGTGACCCTATAGTTGGCTCTCTGATGCCCTAGATAGTTCGACTTTCAGTGAATTAAGAACTGCAGCCAGGTTTTCTGAGTAATTGACTCTACTGTGGAAAAAGCCAGTTAGGACCTTGTGGTTCAGATTCAGACATACGTTTTTTAGCGGAAGTTGCTAGTATAAGCATCAATGGTAATTTATTTATACTTTCTTCGTGTATTGGTCGACCTATGGAAGCATTCACAACACATTAGCTCCATTGGCCTTGTACTCCCCAATTAAGACCCACGCGAGTGGCTAATTTTTATCTTCAGCTCTACAAGCCCCAAGGCCAACTCCGTGGCTTGTGACTTCCTTCAGGCAGAAAGCGATACATCAGTCAGCTAACGGAAAGTTTCTTCTACAAACCACGTAAATATACACTGATAGTCTCCGTATATGTAAAAGCTCAAACACAGTCAAGTACTAATATTAACACTTCATACAAGTAATTCATTTAATTATGAATCTTATCAGATGCCAATTATATTTTCTCAACATTTCGCAATGATCTCATATTTTTGCAACAATTTGCTTACTATTCTTCATCCACTCAATTAAAAACTATTCTCCATGAATACACAAGGGGCAGCGAGTTTCTAGGAAGCACTACCATGATCTACAAAACCATTCGTCTTGGCTATGCTGGAGTTAGCTACACTATTAATTCGCATCCACCGATATTGTACCACTTATCCATCTCCCACCACTTGGACGAGCATTACAGAGCCCGTCCTGCTACATAGGGGCAGCACTTCCGTCCTAGACCGACAACATATGACTTTCCCCTTGCCAAAGACTTGCCAATTGCACGACAAATGCTTTCCTAATGCCGCTGATATCCCATAACCCATTCTGTCGCGTGCCCGAGGTGCGAATAATTATCAACACATTTTGGATTCCCAACAATACAGTCCTAGCCTCATCATGTCTGCTCCAGCCCAAGCCCACCCCAAAAAGTGGCTCATTGCCTACAATTCCATCTCCGCGTCGTTGTGGTCCATCGTGTTCTTCAACACCGTGTTCGTGGGTGCTTTCCTTGGCCAGCCATCGTTGTTCGACTTGACTGGTAAGATCACCATCGCTGTCCAGTGTTTGGCAGTCACTGAAATCTACAACTCCGCTGCCGGCGTAGTCAAGACGCCACTTTTCACTACCGTGGCCCAAGTGTTGTCCAGATTGGCTGTCGTAATTGGTGTCTTCTTGGTGTTGCCAAACTCGCCTGCCAACTACCACTGGGTCTACATCACTGTTTGCTTGAGTTGGTCCATCACCGAAATCATCAGATACTCGTTCTATGCCATCTCTTTGCGTGGCGAAGGTGTCCCACAATGGTTGACCTGGTTAAGATACTCCACCTTCTTGGTGTTATACGTGACTGGTATTTCGTCTGAGGTCGCCATTTTCGTGTTGTCCTTGGACGAAGCTGCCACTGCTGTCGGCAAATGGTACTCCTGGTTGTTCATCGCAATCTTGGCCATCTACGTTCCAGGCTCCTACATCCTTTACACTTATATGATCAAGCAAAGAAGAAAGGTTTTGTACGGAAAGTCCAAGAAGACTCAATAAGCAGTTTGTCTTAACTATTTACCACGAGCACTACAAGTTTTCACGGTTTTTGGATTTGTCTATAATCTCTATAATATTGCTAGTTTATGGCAATGTATGTAATTCAGTAATATTATATTACACGTTGTGATCCATGCGGTGGAGTAAACCAAGGGAAAATCCTGTTCTATATGTGCCCCACTATTCCTCCCGCAAACTCTCGATCCATCTGATTAAACGCTCAATGTAATCGAAAATGGTATCTTCGTCAACAAACTCAAAGTTTTCTTCCAGCTTCGTCTTGGAAGTTCCACTCAAATAACTGAAGAAGTTCATGGAGTTAAATTTCTTCTTGGGAGCTTTGACACTCTTTTTATTGTTTTCAAACACTACTCTGAATCCCGTACTAACGAAGATCAGATCGTATTTGATTATCAATTTGGTGAGAATCTTGGTCACCAAGTAGTTGGGAGTATAGTTGTACCATCTCAAATCCCAACTAATAAGTTTCATTAAGTGGAGCATCACAAATTCCAAAGAAAGGTATTTGGTCTCCAAAGTTTGTACGAATGGCTCAAAATAGTTGGATGACAGCTTCAAAATCAATTTGTTACTGAAGAATTTCAAATCATAATCATCATTGAACAATTCTATTCTTGATCCAGTAGTCTCACTCAATATGAACTCGTCATAGATTTCCAAAAGTTGAACAGTCCCAAAATAGTCAAAGCCTCCTTCCACAGAAGTACCCATGACACTAGTGATGAGCGAACTAATCGATTCCTCAAGATTGTACTTGACACCCCACCCCAACAACCCCAACATTTCCCACTCTAATGCACTATGCTGTTGCTGCTTGTCATTTGAGGAGATAACCATGATTGTTCTTAAATCCTCGTAGATGATGAGAAACAATTGCTCTAGCCACTTTTCACAATATACGGAGGGTTTGGGCGAATTCTCTTGTCCATTATTTACCACGAATTCCCCATCGCTTGTCTTTAAGTCCGTTGTAAACACCTTTTCTTTAAGACCCACTATGGTATCCCATCCAACAGTGGCCACAAAGTATGATAATAAATCGTAACATCTTCCCCAAGTAGATTTTCTATTGAAATCCAATATTGAGAATCCCAAAGACCCCGACGATTGTGAGGTAAACAAGCCTTTTACTGACGAGGGACCTGTTAATTTAATTAGCTGAGGATCAACTGAAGAAATTTCTCTAGCAGAGCAATTAATCAATGGGGATTGATAAAAGTAGTTTCCATTGATTGGATGTCTCAAATACGGGGTAAATAAAGGAGTATCGCACCACATCTTCTTTATTGAACCTTCATAAATCATATCCTCGCCTGAAATCTTGACATCTTTGTTTCTGGTTCTACTGGAGGAGTAATTTTCAACAGGAACTTGAGGTAATGGAAAATAGCTCTTGAACGACTTGTCCGAAATGGTTTCCTCATTGACGTTGTTTAGTCTATGCACAAACGTAGACATGAATAAATCCTTGGTACCGGATATCTCGTCTAAGTCCGCAAAATCCTGCTTGGGATTGATTATCACAGGTAACGAATTCATCATGAGTAATGCATTTTCATAGTCTTTGATCAAAATATAACACAAGGTTAAGTTGAACCAACACTCAAAATCTAATGGCAAGATTTGAACACATTTCTTAGCAATAAGTAGTGCCTGGTCATAAGCTTCCTTCGTTATCAAAAACTTGACTTGTTCTATCAAAATAAGTCCCAGCTGAGTTGTGTACATAGAGTTTGTAAGCAAATGGCGATGGATCACTTCGAGGTATTGCTTCTCCACATTTGTATTATTCTGAACCTTTAAAAGTTTTAAAATCACATAATCAAAATCACAATTGGGATAAATTGCCCGTATTTCATCAATGGCGTATTGATTGACAGCTCCACTCAAATCCAACTGTACTAATCTTATCAAGGTATTTACAAGGTTGTTCCGATAATGATTAGTTTTTTTGCTTTGGTCCCCTTTGTTCCCACAAATGGTGGGCAAGCCGTAAGAGAGATTGCTTCCACACAAATGTCCCTTGTTCAAGAATTTGGCCAAAAGACGAACTGAATGCTTCAACTTGGCCTTGGAGTCTATGAAATTGGAGTAATTGACCAAACCAGTCAACTGGCTTGCTGGATTGTCCACTTGGTGAAACAATCGGATCAAATGCGAGGCCTTCAATTCGTCCCAGTAGCTCAGAGGCAATTGCTTGATGGTGTGATGGTTATAAAGCAAGGTCTTTCTGTGGCTACCTGGGGCAGAGCCTGAAGGGTTGGGGATCACTTGATAGGATTTGTCTATTTGGACAGGGGTACTCTTGAGGGAACTATTCATATGGACCACGAACCGAGCTCTGAAGTCGGACTTGTTGAATATGTTATAGGAGCAGTACGTGATGACCATCTCCCTCTTCGAATGCACGTACCTTTCGCTGGCCAATTCCGATTTTTTGAACTGGTACTTGTCATCCACCACCTCTATGCCGATCAACTGGAGGATGTATTCCTCGATATCTTCCTGCAAGTAGTCGAAGCTGATCCCATTAGCATAGTGGTAGAAGCCGATGTATCCGTCGTCGTGTTTCTGGTACCCCGAGCCACTTTCGGAGGCGGTCTGTTTGGTAAAGTCGTTCTGGTTGTAGGTATTGGAGGTGGTGCCAAAGTACTTGCCCCAGTGGATAAGGTCTGGCGAACCTGAGGGGTCGTAGCCTGGACTCGAGCCCACCTTCTCCTGGAATTTGGCCCTCAACCCCAAGCTTTCACCGTAGTTGGTCTCTCTGATGCTGGGAAACACCGTGAATGGTGACTTTCGGGAGGAATCATAGTTGATGGTGGGAATGGATGACGACGACACGTTTGGCGTTAGAATGAAGGGGAGCGACGAGAACAGCTTTGGTCTGGCTTCGGTCATGGCGGCTGTTTTGCATGGACCCGATCCGTTGTGCAATTGTGGTGATGTGGAGGTTTGAGTAGTCTTGGCCTGATCTAGTGGTAGGGGCACGCGCGACTGAAGAGGTGGAAACGACATCCAGGAAGGGTCTGGCTGGGCTGGGTTGGTGCCAGCATGGACAGTTTGTCTACATCGAGCTCTATTTCGCCGTGTTGTGGATACTACAGACAGAGAATACGCCTACATGATACTTCAACATACTGCATAATGTGGCCCGAATTAGCCTTCTTAGTAGCCTGGTTAGACTTCTTGACACATGCATGCAAGGTTCCGTGGTTCGTGGCATGTATCCATACGCATCTCGTGCCGCTTGCTTCCATACGTGACGTATCGCATTGTATAGACAGGCGATCCCGGCATTGTAGCAACGTAGTGTATTGGCAGTTGCGCAAGATGTGCTCCTTATTGTCTATCAACCGGGCCAATCCCGCATCAACACTTAGAAGTAGACACCACCAGAGAATTCGGTATGTCACCGTATGATTTATGGCTTAAATGGTCCAATCTGGCTCCACTGTCTCTATTTAGGGCCCTCCCATGCAATGGTAGCACATTTACATACAACGTGCTTATCCGTTTCAATCGTGTGTTTCTGTATTACTCCAAAGTAACACGCCTACAGCCTGTCTTTGTTACGTGAATCATGCATAAATTATTCTACTCTAGTCTCCTCTAGTAGAAGCTCTCTCTTTCTCTGTCGATTACTCTCCAGTCCTGTTGAGAAGTTCGCCGTATTTCAGGACAAAATCACTCAATTCTTCAAGAACCTGGCCTATGCCCTTGCCGTGAGCAAAAGCTATCCGTCCATTATCTCCACTGACCTTGCTCAAGTCTTGTCTCAACTGTAAAGTGGTAGCACATCCTTCGACTCGGGTGACAATGTGATTGAGCAAGGCAACCACATCAGACTCTTTGAATGCCGTGTTCCGCTCGATCATGTCTCCCGACGACTGGTGCAAAAAGCCCTCGTTCATGAGTGTACCTCCGTTGATTGAAGAGCAGACATTCTCCAATCTCAACGATACAGTTCGCAACTTGAAAATGGCATCAACTGGCAAAGTTCCTACTATTCTGGTACCAATAGAAGTCTCATTCTGCGACCTCTGAAGCATCTCCTGTCTTATCTTCAATTTCTCAGGGAATGCCAATGTGATGGGCTCGGGGGTTTCAAGTCCCTTCAATTTCCTCTCACCAAGGGTATAGTAGTAACAGCCCACCTCCTCAATGGAAGTGAGTTCCTTCTCAATGATTTCCCCTGCACGGTGGTTGCCTTGGTACGCATCCATCAAGGAGATCTTTCCTGCCTTAATGTCCTCGTGGATTTTGCCCAATGCTCCGATTTCATCAAGGAAATCGGAACTCACGGCGATTTGTCCACCATCAGCAATAGCACTGATTCTAGAGGTACGGTTGACCATTGGCCCGAAATAATCCATTCTTCCTGTGATCACATCCGGTTCACACACGGGGGCACCCCAGTGGATACCCATTCTAACGCTTAACCCTCTGAAGAACACGTTTCCGTTGCTATCAGCAACCTCGCAGCATTGATCAGTCTCCAAGATTTCAGATGGCCAATCGGCTGTGAGCAAGTTTTGTTGGACGTTGAAACACCATAATAAGGCCGAGGTTGGGGATGGGAAGGACACCATAAATGCGTCACCTTCAGTCTTGACTTCGTAACCCCCCACAATTCTTAATTGACGTCTCATGATACTATTGTGGGTCTTGATGGCCGATCTCATTGATGCAGGATATGTATCCCACAATAAAGTAGAGTTCTTAATATCAGTAAACACCAAGGCCAATTCGCCTACTGGGGGTTCGATTTCTTCTTCGAGTCTTCTCAACTGAGAATCTCCTGTAACAAAACGGTCTCTTCTCTTCTTGGCAGCACCGTAAACGTCATTCTCTCTTCCCAAATTATGGTATAATGCATTGGAACCAAATTTCAGTCTACTCAACTTTTGCTCTCCTAAGGTGACCACGATAACTGCAATCTTGTCAGAAGCACCGTAGCAAATTGCAAGATCTCTCAATTTTTGAGCAGCCAACATAGGGTCATCTTTCTCTTGTCTCAAAATATCAACCGCCAATTCGTAAGAGATGAAGTCCCACAAGATCTTGGTAGCCAATACAATCACGTCGTCGGCTGCTGTAAGACTGATTTCAGAAATGTCTGGACCAGAATGTGTATGTGGTAAGTAGTTGAAGAAACCCACTCCTCTGGAAACGGTCAAATCCCCATCGAGGGCACCATCTCCAGAGACGTAACCACCCGAAGCTCTAATTCTTTCAAACTCATGTCTATTAGTTGGATCATGCTTGTGCGTCAAAGGAATATGATCACCATTGTTTCTAGACAATAATGCTTCGATATCACCAATATTCGCAGTGTAAAGCTTCTTGTTCTTGATATAAATAATGGTAATAGCACATCCAGCGTTACCATCATCCCGCAAACTGAGATCAGAAAAGTCTTGTTTAATCTGAACATTCGGTGGGAGATTGTTGTTCTGCTTAGCAGCTAAAATACCATTAACTTCCTTGTTCAAAGACAAGAACGTTCTTCTGATTGCATCATTAATTTCATCATCGCTTTTGATTTTCTCAAGCTCATTGGTGAAATTAGGAACAAACAATGCCTTTGCCAAAGCAGATATCTTATGGGCCTGATTTGGTGCTCCACATTTTCCATCGAAAGAACAAACTAATAACTCACCTTCATTACCTCTGAATTTTTGAATGAAAATATCTCTTGATGAAACATGATCACGCATACCCATGGAATCGGATACACCATAGCCAATACTATCCAACTCAGAAGCGGTGGTTCTAATTCTCATTTCGTTATTTTGATCAGGGACCGAGGTAGATGTCAATGTCACATCAATAAGGCCCAAAACTTTCAATCTTTTCAATACAAGCAAGCTGTCAAAATCTTCTCCTGTTTCTGGATTCTTAACGTGACTTTGTTTGATTTCAAACCTCTTGTTACCTGAAAAATTGAGATACTTTAAGTTCTTATTCCAGTGCCAACTCCAGTCGTAAGGCCAATTCGAAATGTTGTATTTCAATTGATTTGAACCTACGTCAAGGTGCTGTAATTCGGTCAACTTACTCAATTCAGCAGGTAATGCAACAAGCTTGTTGTTATTGACGAAAAGTAACTTCAAAGCCTTGAGGTTTTCCAAATCATCAGCAGGAAGGGTAGTGAGCTCATTACCAGACAAATATAATTCCGTGAGTCTCGTGAGTCTCCTCAACCCCCCTTCAGGAACTTCAAGGAAATCATTGTATGATAAATTCAACGATTTCAAAGATATCAAAAAGGATATGCTTTCGAAACAGTCATCACTTAATCTATTGTCAGCCATAGTTAAAATCATCAAACAATCCGCGAGTGATGAAGAAGTATTCGCAAAGCTAAGGGATTGAGTAGATCCTTCGGTAAGTTCTCCTTTGTCAATTGTATCAGATTCATCCCCTCCCTCGATATCAATCCTGGACGAAAATTCCCCAGCTGAGGAAGGTGTATCATTTTGGAGTGGTGAATGGACAGATGGGCGTCTGGAGTCAGCAGGGCTATCCTTACCACTAATTGGATCAGCAACGAAATTCCTAAAGTTAGCGGAAGACAGAATTCTCTTCGCAACGGAAAATGGGGGCTTTGGAAATGATGTCATAATGTTCGAAGAAATGTTCAACATACTTAACGATTTCAAGTTCCAAATCTCATTGGGTAATGTTTGCAAGTTATTGGAGTGCAAGTCCAAATACTGTAAAGATGACAACTGACCGATTGAAGAAGGTAATGTCTGCAAGTTGTTACCATAGATAGAAAGAAATACTAACTTGTTTAATCCACCTAATTCATTGGGCAAATTGACCAAATGGTTCTTGTCCAATACAAACTTTTCAACGTTGGGAATCTTAGTCAAAAATTCGGCAGGAATTGAGGTGATCTTGGCTTTTGATAAGTCTAAAATGGTCAAAATGTTAAGAAGACTTTTGAATTGCAAATTTGTGGTAGGATTTCTATCGAAATGTAATAACCTAAGGCTTTCCATTTTATCATTAAAAGTAGAAATGTTATTCTTAGATGCATAGGTGACCTCTAAATTTGGTAACAAACCCAAAACATCCACATTGGAGATTTGGTTATATCTGATATCAAGTCTTTTGAGATTGGTCAACTTACTCAAGTATTTTGGAAGCTTTTTGGTCAACTTGTTAGTACAAAGGTTAAGCTTGGCCAAATTGGTCAACTTGCATATGGATTCAGGCAACTCAGATAAATCATTGTATGATAAATCTAAATCTTGCAAGCTAGTTAATTCACTAAGGGGTTCTGGGTACGAATTGAAGTAGTTGGAAGACAAGTTCAAGGAGATCAAATTTTTCAACTTCCCAAATGATTTTGGCAAGTGACATAATTGATTTGAATTAAGTTTTAAATGAGTGAGATGTCTCAAATGACTAATTTTTGTTGGAAGCTCATCCAAGAAGTTCTTTTCCATGTCAAGATATGTCAATTTTGTAGCTTCAAGGAAGTTCATTGGAAATTTTGAAGCACCATTTCTGGAAAAAACAATGGATGTAAGATTGTTACAAGACTGAATAAAATCAAGGGGAATGTAAATCGACGGATTATTTGCCACATTCAATCTTTCAATTTCATAGGTATGCTGATGGAAAATAATTGGTATATTCTTCAAGTCCAACCCAGAGATATCAACATCGACGTAATCTTTCGATAATAATGTCTCCTCGTCATGAGTCAAGTTCCTCAAGAAAATGTTTTCAACCACGAATTTGAATACAAATGACAAATCTTCACGACCAATGATTCTAAAATTATCCGCCTCGGTATAACCACTTAGCATTAACAAACCCAACTGAATCTTGAGAGGCTTTTCAAAAGGCTCAAGAACTTTGACAGAGTTACCAACGTAGACTGATAATTGATAATTCGAAGTAGAATCAAGAAAAAACTTCCTCTGGACAATATTTAATAATTCGGCTGTGGTTGTCTCCAATGGACATAAAATAGTGGTAAAAGTATTGTCTTCTTTGAACACTCTGACAGTATGATTTGGCCCCTTGGTTAAATTTTTGGCATCAGCTGGGCTGGGTACAATATGAGATGATTGACGAGACCCATAGAGAACCGGAAGATTCAGCTGTGAGGGAAGGCGAGCCAATTCCTCCTTTTTAGTATGTTTGTGCTTTTTGGTCTTTCCTTCGATAGAAGAAGCCAGAGTAACACTTGAAGAAGAAGAAGTATCAAGTTCATAGTGCTGCTGTTTGTCATTAGGACGATCTTTTTCATCGCTATCGTCAGAACCAAATAAATCAAACTCCTTTCTTTTGGGATCGTCAAGCTTGACATCCCAACTATCAGGAGCTTTCCAGCTTCCGCCTTTTGCATCGCTAATATTCTCATTTGAATAGGAAAGAGCCATATTGGAAACCGAATGTCTGGCGGGCAACTTTATCTTGGATAGTATTGGATCATTAGAAGTCGTGGACTCATTCTGAGGTGATTTCACGATTCCCTTCATTTCATCTAAATTCATGTCTAAGTTGAAAGTGGTACCAGAGGATGCTAAAGAAGGACGAGCAGAGTCGCTTTTGACTGCATGAGGTGAGTTGTTGGCACTTGTCGGAATATAACTACTCAATGGTGGGGTAGTGACTGCTGGAGGAGCAGAAGCAGCATTGTGATGATGATGATGATCCAAAGAAATAGATGGGATTCTAAACTTGTGCTTAGATGACGATGAAGATGTGGAGCTGGCACTTTTTCTTTGGTGATGGGTGTTGGAAGAGCCAACAGATGCAGATCTGTTGGTGTTGGAGACTGAATTCTGTCTGCTTCTGGAATCAGAGCCACCAGGATGGTAGAATGCATCATTTTGAGGGCTGATACTCTGAAGCTCAGACACAGGCTCGACCTCCTTTCTGCTCGAATAGATCAATTTTCCAAGCAACGAGCCGCTCTTTTTCTTGAATCTGGGCTTGATTGGATGGGTCAATGGTGGGGTGTTGGAGCCGCCTCTGGGGTGCTGGTTGGCATGGAATCCACGGTAGTTATCCTTCAAGTTGGAGGTAGTACTTCTCACCGGATCTCCGCTGGCCATCTCTTCCTCTTCGTGAGTCATGGGAAAGGACACCACCGATGATCTAGGACTGTAATTGTCTTGGGAGAAATTGGATGCTGAATCTTTGGTATGCAGAGGGCTGTCACTGGCCCCATTTTCTTCGTCGTACGCATATGTGAACAACGCATTCACGTCGTCGGGTCTGGCGTGAGGTTGGTTGCCAGAGTTGATGGATGAGTTGGACGAAACGATTGGCGAAATGGTGGTGGACGAGGTTCTCTTGGAGAATCCCGGATGTCCGCCACTTTGCTTGCTTCCAGGCGATAATTGACCACTGTTGGCCCCAGCAGCAGCAGCAACCATCGTGCCAGTGGTGGGGGAGTTGGGGTCGTTGGAGACGTGAGCCCGCTTGACGGAGTGGTTTTCGTCTTTGTGGGAGGGCAACTGGCCAGCAGTGAATCCGAACGACGGCTTTAGGTTTGTTTTGGATTTGTCACGTCTCAAGAAACTCATTGATGGTGGTAAGTGTTGGAGATTGACGGTAATTGACCCTTTAGTAATTTCAGCGAGGTGGAACGTGACTGTGTGCACGTGACTCATTTATTGAAATTTCATGTTCTGAAGTACCGGGCGCATTCTGCGAGCTACTGTGCTTAAACGGTACTTCCAGCTGGCCTGCGGAAGCGGTCGTGCCATACACCCACGGATGCCCCCACCCCACCGCCGCCAGTACCCGGCATCACCCCCACTCACTACTCGGAAGCGCCGTCTTCCATTGATCTGCACGTGACAGTTTCGCGGTCCCCACCGAAAAACGTCGCCCCGCACGACTACCCAAACAACTGCGTGTCAATTTGTCGAACAGTGGGGCCAACCGTTCCAGTCAGTTTCATTCATTCGGTGCATCCTTCGGCTCTGTACGTTCCTGTTAGCTACACAGACTCCCTCCACCGATGTCCTACCGAGGTCCTAACCAGTTTAACAATCACTTTGGCGGCGCCAACGGCGTCCCACCCCCCACCAATCTTGGTCCAGTTTCATCCTCCAAATCACCATTGGACCAGTTTGAAGATGTGTCCAAAAAAGTGGAGGAACTCATCGACTCCTACTGCAAGCCACTCAAGCCATACGTGCCTGCCATCGGTAGAGCGTTCATCGTGGCCACATTCTTGGAAGACTCGTTGAGAATCATCAGCCAGTGGTCTGAACAGGTTTACTACTTGCATAACTACAGACACATCTGGCGGTGGTTCACCTTGACATTCTTGTTCTTCAACGTGATCACCATGTTGACGGCGTCCACCCTTTTGGTGTTGAGAAAGCATTCTGTGATTGCCACCAGCACCTTGGTTGCCGTGGTGTTCTGCCAGGGATTGGCGTACGGGTTGATCTTCGACGGCCAGTTCATCTTGAGAAACTTGTCGGTGGTCGGTGGCTTAGTTTTGGCGTTTTCCGACTCGCTTGTTAGAGACAAGAGATCGTTGAACATGCCCGGATTGCCCATGTTGGACAACCAAGACAACAAAAAATACTTCTTATTGGCTGGCAGATTGTTGTTGATCTTCTTGTTCTTGGGATTCGTTTTCTCGGCCTCCTGGTCGGTGACCAGAGTGTTCATCATCTTGATTGGGGTTGTGTCGTGCGGCTCCATCGTGGTGGGTTACAAGACCAAGTTCGCCGCCTTTATCTTGACCGTGTTGTTGTTCACCTACAATGTGTTTGTCAACACCTTCTGGAAGTACGGCGCCCTGGACTCCAACCGTGACTTCTTGAAGTACGAGTTTTTCCAGACCTTATCCATTGTTGGGGGCTTGTTGATCATCGTCAACGCAGGTGCTGGAGAATTGTCCATTGACGAAAAGAAGAAGATCTACTAATGGTTCTGCCATGTAAATAACAAGATAGACGTCATGTACGGCTAATGATAATGACTGTAGACCAGCGGATTTGGCTCGGGATAGCAAACGCACCGAGTGCTGCAGTAGAGTTTGGGGTATTGTGGCGTACAATGAGGCTTTCCACACTATTTCAGTAGCGCAGCTGTGATGGCCCAAATTCTGCCTGGGGTACGGCTGAAATATGTGATCGCGTGATACTTCGTCACGTGCAGGGTCCTACAAATTCTCACCTATAGCACTCGGGTTAATAAGCAGGTCATCATGAGTCAAGAGCAGCCCAAATGTCCAGTAGACCACTCCAGCCGTCAGGCGTGGATGGAGAAGGCCCAGTCCTCGCAGGCGCCCGAACAACCAGCAATTCCTGCCCCTGCACACCCACAAACACAACCAGCTTGTCCCGTGGATCATAGCGCCAGGGCAGACTGGCTAAGCAAAGTATCCATAAGTGCTGTCAATGCGCCTGAAGCCATAGAAGTACAACAGCCGGCAACGGGTTGCAGCTCAGACACCCAAGCAGATGCTCCTCCCACCACCTCAAACATAGATCTTCCCACTGACAGAGAAATCAGCTCGATACCACGAACATCTGCCAACCAGAACTGGATCTACCCATCGCAAAAGCAGTTCTACGAGGCCATGGTGCGCAAAAGCTGGGATCCTAAGGCCCAGGATATGCAGACGGTGGTTCCAATCCACAATGCTGTCAACGAGAAGGCATGGAACCACATCCTCAAGTGGGAAAGCAGCAACATCGAAGAGGCCAAACAAGCGTGCGGAGGCATCACGTTGACCAGTTTCAAGGGAGACCTGAAGAAGCTCACACCCAGGGCCTGGTTCAACTCCACAGTGATGGGGTACCAGAAGCCTTTCGATAGACACGACTGGGTCATCAGTCGGTGTGGCACCGAGGTCGAGTATGTGATCGACTTCTACAGCGGCAGCGGCAAGGGTGCCAGCTTCTTCTTGGACGTCAGGCCCAAAATCAACTCCTGGGAGGGGATCAAGCTCCGGATGGGCCGTGCTTTGGGGTTGTTATAGTCTGGTCAGTCTCCTGGGGAGAATATGGTGACGTTCGTGGTTCAAAGCTGCTTTTCAGTCTAATAGCTGACTGGTTTGCTCTGACTGGAATTATTCCACAACTGGCTGATTTGCCATAACTACAGACTTGCCATATCTGGGGTTACTCCATAATTGCAGATCTGCCATGACTACAGATCTGCCGTATCTGAAAGCTTCTGCTCCATCTACAGCAAAGCTCCCACTTCTACATAGTCACTTTGTAAATACGTTAATTCACTTGTCATATCTTTATATACAGAGGTATTGCCAGCTTATTGTCTACCCATGAAGGCACCAGATTGGCCGAGCTTTTGCATGTTCTCACCGACTTGGACGTTGGTTTCGAAGTACTTGGAGACACATCTGTCCAAACAAAGTGCTTCTTGCTTGTTAACGTCCGACTCGCTATATGACTTGTTGATACACTTGTTGTGACACTGGGAAACCAATTGGTTGAACATGCCAGTAACCATGTCTAATTCCGCCTCAGCGGCTTGTAACTTTTGCTGGGATGATACTTGAGGAGCTGCTCCACCTAAACCGAACATTGTGTAGTGTAATATGGTGGCCAAAGTTGCTGAAATTATCAAATTTTTCATAGTGGTGCGCTTACGTAAGCAGCGTGTCGCGGCCGCAACCGGTTGCAACCGCTGCGACACACGACATCTTCTACAATTGAGTAATCATTACACGTAAATTATAGATCGGGGAAAGTAAAGTGGACATGGGCTCCCCATAGGAATAACCTCAGGGGGATCTCCTTCCGCATCTTTTCGTAGTCCTCTTTTTTTGCGGGACATGGAATGGAAAGCCCATGGCAAATGGTGATACTCTTGCCATTCAACGAAATCGAACCACCATAATTTGCAATTCGTGCGTTAAGCCACAATGGATTGTAGTTCACCCGGTCGATATACTTGTCGGTCACAATATGGTCCACATCGTTGTAGTATCTCAAAAACCGCCATGTTTGCGTTTGAAGGTTTAGGACCGGAATTCTTGCTGTGTTGGTGTTATCGCTAACAAATGCAAATCTTGAAAGTCTTGTAACATCAAACTTCTCAGAAACATATGGAGTTTTGTCGAAATGCCTCAAAAAGTCATTTCTGAAACCACCCATGAAGAAGAGATAGTCCCTTCCTTCGTTTCGGTAATACAATGCTGTGTGGTGACACGATCTCAATTCTGCTTCAATAAGTTTGGGATCATCCACTTCTCCACCCTTGAAAAACCTGGAATTATCATCGTCTTCGTAAGGCTTGATGGGATACTCATAATAATCGTAACAATATGTGGTCAAGGTCTTCCATTGCCCAGTATCAAAGAGGAACAAATGGAATCCACTGAAGGATTCCCCTTCCTCGTTACAACCTCCTTGGACTAAAAGTGCTTTACCCTTGAAGTACTGATCTGGTCCTTGAATAGCAAGCTTGTTTTCTTGTGCACTGGATATAGTTCGGAATGATGCACTCGATGAGCTGCTCAAGGGTGATGCAGCTCTCCTCGAAGCTATCGATTCTATATCCGAATCTTGGAAAATATCATTGTTGCAATGTTCATGTTTCTCGCTATAGTTGATCAAAGAGTGGGCAAAGTAGCCTCTTGGCGATGGCCAGGCATCTGGCACATTGGCCATGGAACGGCAACTCTCACTTATATCGAACATCAATCCCTCAGCATGAAAGTGGATAGACTTGCCATCATCCGTACATGCGAGGTCAATTTTGAGTAACTCATCTGATGCAACAAATTTAAGTACACCATTCTCGGACTCAACAGGCCGGAAACCACCAAAAATAAATACGGTGACACCATTGATACCTGTCTTTAATATTGATTCATGGAACAAGATGTGCTTTCTATTCTGTTCTTCGTCTGCACTAGTCGAATCTGAATCGATTTCATTAATTTTAGTTTCCTGATACTTTTGTTTAGTTGCTTCGAAGCTAGGGGGCTTGTATGAGTGTATCTTCTCAAAGGAAACCGGCGTTGTGGACCTAGACTCGGGGGGAGAGTACAATACTTGTTGTAGATCCACTTTGAGCTCTGGCTTATTGACGGTTTCATGTTTATGCAGACTGTCATGCTTATGGATTGTTTCGTGTTTGAGTAGACTGTCCAGCTTATGGACAGTTTCTTGCTTGTGCAGACTATCCAGTCTATTAACACCCTCTTGCTTGGATTTCTGCAATAATTGAATGGGAGACACTGGTCTGCTATCATTAGAACTATGCTGGGAATTCGATCTATGCTGCTTCACCTGTTTTGAATAGGTATTCTTCAAAGTATGTGGTTGAGCTTGAGGTGATTTCGGAGTGCCATTACTTAATTGTCTTTGGTGATGACTCCTATGGAAAATCCGGGAAGATTTGGATAAGATGCTCAACTTGGATGTCTTAGAACCAGCAATGGGTGAGTTGTTCAAGCTTCCTGAGCTTTCCGATACACCGATACTTGAAACATCTGCACTGTTGCTAGAACTGCTTGTAGAAACAGATTTCAAGCTGGAACCGTAAACCTTTGACGAGGGTTCTGCAGATGTGCGTAATGTTGAGATATTATTCGTGGCTGTCTTTTCCTTTTGGGAGGATTTGGATTTCGAGTGCAACAACGAACTTATACTAGAGACCGTAGAAGTGCTCAGTTCCAGGTTATCCTTTTTGTCGTGATGCGTGGTGACTTGAGAAATAGATGCTATGTTCGTATTGGAGTCAGGAAGCTTGAAAGTATCTTGACTGTGTTTTGGGGACTGGTTGGGCTTCATATAGGGACTGGTGGAATTAGAATATGACGAGGTGCTCTCGGTGAAGATCAGGGGCAGGAGAGCTTTTGTAGGGTTTTTGCCTGGTTTCTCATGCTTGCGATACACGTTCGAAACAATGGCACTTCCTAGTCTACCCTCGTGCTTGAAAGCGCCCACTTTTTCCTTGAGGTCGACCTTGATGAACTTGAACGAGAGACGATCCAAGATGTATCCATCCTTGTTCAAAATCAACTTCTTTTTGATGATCCAGCGGTCGATATCTGCATTATAAGTGACGGACTCGTCCTTGATCATAAAGCCACCGTAGAAGAAGATGTGTCTGTCGGAGATCTCAGTACTTATCAACGAGTTGATGTGGCCAGGTGAGTTGCTGGGGTCCAAGGTGTCCAAGTAAGTCAAGGAGGCGCGCTTGGGGTTGAAGAGATAGAAGTTTCTGTTCTGGGACATGAACGGGTTGGTCAAGATTTCCCGGCTGACGAATGGCGGCAACTCGCATGGGAAGTGGATGGAGATCTTATCCAAGGAAACGGAGCTGGGCAACCCTAAGTGCTCAAACGTCGAGCTGCCAGACACGCACAAGCCTCCGAAAGTGTAGGTCAAGTCGTCGGCGTCGAAGTGGTTCTGGTAGCACATCTGCGGCACCAGGAAGTCGGGTCCGAACTCGTCAGTGTCGTTGTACGAGGGGATGTTGATGGATACCCGTGGGATGGCAAAGTGTCCCGAGAAGATGCTGTCACCAGTGTCTGTCCGGCACACGTTCTTGTCGAGCACTTTGTGGGTAAGCGGAGGAGTGGATGCACCCTGACGTGCGAGGTGGGGCGTGAATGCAGAGTGGTCCACCCTGTCGACCACCAACTTGGGCGTGTAGAGGCCCTTGTCGTTCAACTTGTTCAACCGGGTCTTGGTGCTGATGTTGTTGACTTTGTAGTACTTGAAGGTGGTGTAGGGTGTGGTGACGCCGTGCTGCCAGTGGGTGTGATTGTTTCGGAGGAACTCTGCCTCGTTGGCCAGTGGCTTCTGTTCGTTGGGGGTGTTGGTGGGATGAGTCCGGTTCATGGTGACTTCCACGAAGTTTTCGGGCGGCAGAAGCCCAGGAGGCGGGTCGTTGTGCACAGAGCCCATGGTGGAGTTGGTACGACGGAGGAGGGGCCCTGATGTACCAGCGGAGGGGGATTCACTGTGGTAGATGGTGAGAGTTACTGGCCGCATCTTTGGAGGAAATTTGAGGGAGTGCACACAACTCGGTTGAGCGAGCGAGCTGCACCACAGCGCCGGGGAGGCGTTGGGCGAGTGGTGGGGGCAGTGTGGTGGTGGTGGTGGAAGGACGTGGTGGTGACGACAGTGGTGCTATAGTAGTGGTGGGGAAATGGTGGTAGTATAATGGTGTGGGATGGTGGCGGTGGGATGGTGGTGGTAGGTGTACTGTGGCTAGTACTGGTGCTAGTGCTGGTGCTGGTAGCCTACTAAGCCCAGCTAGTCGCGGCGGATTAGCGAGGTAGCGAAGGTTTGGTACCGCGTGGTAGTGCGCTAGCGAGGGCGGAGACGTTAATTGTATGGTTGCGGTGGTAGCGGCGACGGTGGGCATGGGCCCAAACCAGTAAGCCCTGTCAAGCCCAGACGGGGCGTTGGGGCGGCGTAGGCGCGATCTAGAATGCCGGTAGCGGAGGCTGGGCGCCTAAGGGCCGACATAGCAACAGTGGTAGACTTGCTGTAGTGGAATTGCGTGCCCACTGGCGTATTCGTGTAGTCTGGGAACAATTTGAGGCGTCAGATTGAGGACATCTCGGCTGAGATTATACATTAAATCAATAATGCTGGATACCTTAGTCATAAACTATTGTTCACCGTCTCGAATGGGTATCGTTTTACAAGCTCATTGATGGGGTATTCAGATTACTATCTTTAATTTGTCATGCCGGGCCTGGTTAATGTACCAATTCATTTATTAATGGACCATTTATTGTTGTAAAAAACTATCTGGCTCTAGCATCTCTACTAGACCAGGGCATATTTTTATCTTTAATCCGCGTACCCTGGCACTATGTGTCCATCTAACAATTGCGGTACAATTCAAACTGTTATCGTCGAATCCGCTTATCGTTTTTGGTAATTAATACTTTCATTACTTTGAAATTACCATACCTCGGATGTTCTGCTTCCAAACCACATCTTCGAGTATACCAAGGACCAGCCACCCCAGTGTAGTCAGATAGGTTCGATAGGGCAATCATCGCTCTTTGCCAGCTAGAACTGTAGCAAGGTATTGGATTTACTACTAGCTACTATAGTGGACGCTGCGGCGCAACACTACTACCGTTTCTACACAATCATATCTAAAAGTGTCGTTTGGCTGTCGCCATTGTCTAATATATAATGTGCAGCCGGCCCTCAAGATCGGCTCAAGTGATCCTAGTTGCTAAATGAAACGTCCAAATGGATTAGATCTTATCGTGGCCAATATAAATCTTTTTAGCAATTCATGAAGTGTGAGTGATTTTATTCTATCAAGATTTCTCTCATAATTTTGAATTCCATATAATGACAAAGCATTCTCTTGCTGGTACGCATGTTCAAGCTATATTCTTACGTATCACGCCAATGGTCACAATATTCGCGAAAGCCCTTCAATATCGAATTCTGAACTGGTCTCTATCCGTACAACATCAGCCTATACATTCTTAATCATAAGAAGAGTCTCTTTCTTAGTCTTCCGATTACATTAATGTTTTCCTAGTTTTTCAGGATAACACATCGCTTCTCTAGTGACTTCTATCCTCTTTCTTTTTGGATCTTAAATATTCGGACTCAACATGTCCGCCTTCACCAACGCGTGGATCTGTATGTTAGTAGGGTTCGTTTGCAATATCGGTATACTTACATCCTGGATCGAGGCATTGATAAACTGTCTGACCTCAAGTACCAACCACACCTTGATCATACTCAAGGAGTTCTCATTTCGCAAAATGTCTCTGCCTTCTTTCAGTACTCCCAATTTTCTCAACACGGGCAAGGAACTAAAAGTTAGTATGTGATGGTTTGATGAGCTTCTTGGTGACTAGGTGGTGAAAACATGTTTAGATTATTCTCGGTGACTAGGCGGTGAAAAACATGTAAAGCTCATTCTCAGTGGGGAATCCAAATAGACAAGCATATACGAACCTTGCAAATAAATCAAGATCGGGATCCAATCTTCTACCAATTCCTTCCAATAATAAAATGGCTACAATCACAGTGATGAAATCCCCTTCCATTCTAACATGATGACTCCGGACCATTCCTAAGACCTGGTCAAGCAAATCTCCAATGCTAATGTTTCCCAATGCAAAAGTTCTTTCCTTCACTCGATCAACCAATTTTTCTACCTTCAAGGCAAATATCTCCTTGTTAATCGCCGTTTCTGGGGTTCTCGAACGTTCAACCATTAATTCACCTGCTTTATAACCATCGAATTCGGATAATGCTTTGAATAAATCGATGAAATTGACCCGGTCCTCGTGGTTCAATTCCGTGATGAGACCAACGTCAAGGAAACAAATCTCTGCATGATAACCTTCTTGGTAAAGGGATTCCAACCTCTGGCACCAGGCCTCTTTATCATCACCTAATTTCAACAACTCGTTGGTGATTTTGTTGGTCTCGCTTTCATTGCTTGACTTGACGATCTTGTACTCTTTCTCATGGGGGAACAATTCGTTCTTGTAGAATCTGACCATCATATTACCAGGATGCAAATCAGCGTGAACGAAATTATCGAGAATCAACATCTTCAAGAATGCATCCAAACCCTTGTCACTGACTTCCTTCGATAGGTTCTTACCGAAGTTTCCCTCTAAGGACAACAACCTACTCATAGGGATAGCGTGAATAAACTCTTCGACTAACACATTTCTGGTTGTGAAGTTCAAGTAGGGCTTTGGAAAGTGGATATCGAGTCTACTCTTGAAGTTATCTCTAAACTTGGCCAAGTTCAAGCCCTCGATTCTCAAATCCAACTGGAGTCTCATCAACACCGAGAATTGTTCCACTTCGTCTGGCAACGAAAGCCACTCCATGGTGGGGATCACGTCGATGACATTGGCGAAGAACTTGATGATCCGCAAGTCACGGTTGATCTTGACCTCGACGTTGGGATGCAACACCTTGATTGCAACGTGCTGGTTGTTGGTGAGAGTGTCGCCGTGCTCAGTCACCAAAATACTGTCTAGAAACTGCTGGCTCTGGGTCAGGGACACTTTTCGCTTGGAGTCCTCTTTTTCCAAGTCCTTGACTCTCTCTATCGCTTTGTTGGACAATTTGGCAATGTAGACCTGGGCAATGGCTCCAACTCCCAACGGCTTGTCGTTGAACTCGTCGAAGATCTCATCGAAGGGAAGGTCGCCAAAACTCTGGCTGATAATCCGCTTGGTCTCGTGAAGCGAGTGGGCCTTGGCGTTGGAGTGCAAGGTGCCCAACTCCTCGCACATCTCCTTAGGGAAGATATCGGTTCTGGAAGCTGCCCACTGGCCCAATTTGATGAACGAGGCGCCCGCCAACTCGGCAGACCACCGCAAGTACCGGAACCAGAGCCTGGCGCCCGAGCGGACGGTGGTGCCTGTCTTGCGGTTCTTCTTGCCAAACCAGCAGAGGGGCGACGTCAAAAGCACAGGGACGAAGATTGCAGACAACTCCAAGAAACGTGCAAACGTGACCAACGGGTTGATGATGTAGTCGTCGATGTGGAACTTGAGGTAGTAGAAGATCCGCTTGAGGAGCAACCCCTGGCCGGTCTTGGTCTGGCGGTAGTGATCGTACTGGTCTTGCTCCTCTTTCTGGGAGGCGAGGTAGAGCCCGTTCTCGTATGTCTCTGAGTCCTTGACGGGCTCGAGCTCGTGCACAGACGTGTCAATGGCATGGACGTCGTTCCAGATGGTGTGGGAGTAGAGAAGCGATCCGGAAACCGTTCCCACCAACCCAGCAGCTACCACTTTGACGACAGGCGAGTGCCTTATGGGGTGGTAGGACTGGGTCCTGAACCCCATGCGGAGGCCCCTGACGAAAGTCGTGGGCTTTAGTCTAAACATGGTGATGGAGGAGTGGAAAAGAGTGGAAGGTAAATGGCCCTGTGATTGCTACGCGGATGAAATAGCCTCGTTAGCACATGGGAGTGCGGAGCAAGAAAGTAGAGGGAGAGAGGGAGTGGAAGAGAGGGAGAGAGGGAGAGGGAGAGGAAGTGGTGCGAGGCAGGTAGTAGTGGTGGGTCTGGTGGTACAGAGATGGGAGTGCTAGCTGGTGGTGGTTTGGGACTTCTGTCGGTAGCGGCTCACTGCTGGTCTGACAGGGTCCGATGCCGCAAGTGAAGGAAAATGAGTGCCAGAAAGTGCCACGAGTAGATAAGCCAGCAGCTGAATTGCAGGGAATTGAGGTTCCAGGCACATTACAGATGTCAGATTCCACTGTGCCTTTCGTGCCTATGCTGCTGGGCCAGGCCACCAATAGCTAGATGCGATAATAGCCAGACCAATCATTCTGGTGAATGCCAGTAATTCGTCCAGTCTGTAAATTTAGAAACCTGGTGACAACTGGCCTTGCGGGGATCATATTCGTGTTTTCTGAGGCTTTAACACTTGAAGAAGCAAGTTCCTCGAGGAGACACCCTCCTCTGGTAAGTGGGCAGTTTGCGTATCCATTTTTGGGATTGTCTGAAGCTCATATTTTTGACTAGGACTCCAGAATTATGCAAGCAGTTTTCAGCAGCTAGCAGAATAAATCTTAAATGCTAATGTTGTACTGACATTATCGTTCGCCAGAGAGCAGTCTTTTTCTTAAGGATTTGGCCAATTGGATATTATCCATGTTTTGAATGTGATGAGCAAACATATTACTTATACATCGCTCAAAGAATCCATTTGGACAAGCTGGAAGAATGCAAAGAATTAGGTTTCAAACTTGATATCAAATTAGAAAGTGTAACATTTTTACTAAAAATGAACTGGTATTGTTCAAAACCAACAGGAACGCTTGCAATCTCCCATGTCCAAATGTAACCCCCACCCTTCGTTCCAATCTAAGATCATCTACAATCACAATCACACAAGTACTCACAAATTTCTAACAGGTACATGTTATAATGGAGGTATGTTGTTATAAATAGTTGTTGCATAGCGGCATCCCGGTCTCATAGCTCTTCCCTAGCTAGTCTTATCCTTGCCCGACAAGTGGTTTCGCAAAATTGAGCACCACAATCCAATCACAGAGGTTCCCTTGGCATTGGTACGTGGGCCCCTACGGCTCACAATAGCATCGTGGGCGTTCCAGCAATCCAAATACACCGGAATCTTGATCCAGTTGAGCTGGTTGAGATTATCGATAATAAACTTCTTGTCTGCACCAATAGCCAATTTTGCCTGCTCAGTGAATAACGGAAATTTAGAAAGATCCTTAAGTCTTAAGGTTTCGAGGTGTGCTACGGCTTGTCCGTCATTTCCAGGAACATCAATCTCAATGTGTTTCGAACGACCAAGTACCGTAGTTAGCTCCTCCTCTTCGTCATCATCTTGACCATCTTCTTCCTCGATGATATTGTCGTCATTCCCTGCATTTGAGCGTCTGTGGAATCGTTCTTCGGCATACATGAAATTTTCCAACGCGTTCTCAGTCATTTGCGAGGTATCACCTTTGAATGACTCGTGTCTGGCCAACCTTCTTCTTTGATCTCTTCTATCTTGCCCCACCTTTGCGTCTTGGGGATCTACAGGAGATCCCCTAAAAACTGAATCTCTGACTCTTGCCCAATGCGCTTCAATGTTTGGAGCAGTAACAATTCGGATCTTCAACAAACTGTAAACAGAAACGAACACACTGGTGCTGACAATGGTTGGGATCCAAATTGGAAGGAAGAATAAAGTGATTGCAATAACAACCAAAACCTTGATGATCTTATTTCTTCTTAGAATTGACGTTTCCTCCTGAATATTTCCCGCAAAATCTTCTGCTTCAGTCTTTGTTAAAAGATTTGATTGAGTTAAATCGACAAACTTAGGCTTGACGTGAGACTTTCCTATCCTTGCCGTTGGTAAATCTGATAGATACTTGATCTCTACCAAGCTCCAATCATCGAATGGGGAATACTCAGTGATGTAGGAGGTATAGAATGCCACTGACCGGTCATTCTTGATATTGGCTAGGAGAATGTGCTTTTGGAATTTCTCTAACCCTTGGTAAAAATACTTTTCAGGATCTGCCATGTCTTTCAATGCCTTTTGGGTATCATGAAGAAAAAGCTCTCTGCCGGATTTTCCGAATAAATATCTTCCTAATTTGTTTGCAGTTGAGTCAAAGATATTCTTGTTGAAGAACTCGATTCCTACGTGAGGAGTAGCAAAAGTTGTGAAAATAATAGGCTCAACATGATCAAAAAAGTTGATTTCATTCAATAGCCCAATGATATATCTGCAAATCAAACCACCCAAGGAATATCCTACGAAACTGATTTTCTTCACATTCAAGTTATTGCCTTTCAAGGCTTCGATCTCGTAGAAGATTTCAGTTATGACCTTTTGCGAATTAAGTCTCAACCCATCGTAGGTCTTCCAGAATCTGAAGCTTGACGGCTTCAAGGTGACTATTTTCTCTTTGGATATGTCAGGTAATAAATCAGTTATTGTGGATTCTATGGTTCTCATATGATTTGGACCACCCCAAAGCCCGTGAACTAGCACGAATAAATGAGCGTCCTGCTCGTCCACTCCGGCCTGAGTCGAGTTCTTGGACACCTCTGAAGTTTCACTCATTCCGTGCCCTCTGGTAGGCTCAAGCTGGTGTTGCTGATGTGTTTTGCTTTTCTTATCTGGCAAGGTCACTATCACAGGCATCCGAGGGAACTGGTCACGTGCGCACCTATCGAGGTGGATTTTGCTACACAAAAAAATGAGTGAAAATCACCAAGATCAGTACCACCACTCGTAGCACACACAATATGGCATTATTCGGAGGCTCATCTCTTTCCACAAGCTCTTCTTCGGGAAGCAACACCGTCAGATCGCAACAGGTCAAGCAAGAGATCCAAGACCAGATCACCCAAGAGTTGGCAGTTGCAAACGCATCGGAGTTGGTCAACAAGATCACCGAAAACTGCTTCCAGAAATGTATTGCCCAGCCCTCCAGCGCCTTGACCGGTGCCGAGGACTACTGCGTGAACCAATGCTTGGAGAAGTACATGAGATCGTGGAACGTCATTTCCAAGGCATACATCACCAGAATCCAGCAATCCTCCAATAACTAGATGCCATTCTCCAAGCCTGCGCCCGATGATCCCATATTCGTCGGTGCTGCCCTGGTGTGGAGTGCCAGCGCCGTGTTGACTCCACCCACTGGCTGATCGTTCTTCTGCACGATTGGCTGCTGTATATAGTTGCCGAGCCGTCTCGACCACTCTTAATAGACATCGTAGCCATCTGGCTATGTCCTTTGATGCTCGTAGCGTGCTTGGAGAAGTTTACCGTCTTTGGTTCGGATGGTTGTCCGGATATGAATTGTGTCAATGTCGGCTCCAGAGCCCATTTTTAAGTATTGAAGTCTGGGTTTTATACCTAGCATGGCTGCTCGGATTCACCTGGCCTAAAGCACCTGTCGAGCTACCCAGCCTGCCACTTTCAGGCTCTGTTCTTCCCTCCCACCTCTATCGCTGCAAATTCAATGTTGGGTCGTGCGCGCGCCTGGCCTCACCACCAGTGGCAATATGTTCCACCACCAGATATTCTACAACCACAACCACCATGAACGCCACCGTAGCATCAGAATACTCAGCCGAGGTCCACTCGGTTCCCATCGAGCACAGATTCAATCCATACTCGGACAATGGTGGTACAGTGTTAGGAATTGCCGGAGAAGATTTTGCCGTGTTGGCAGGTGACACCAGACAAGTAGTCGGCTACTCAATTAACTCCAGATATGAACCTAAGATCTTCGACGTGGGCGATGACATAGTGATGACGGCAAACGGCTTTGCTGCTGACGGAGCAGCGCTCATAGATCGTTTCAGAAACCAATTGAAGTGGTACAAGTTTGACCATGGGGGCAAGAAGTTGTCGATAAAGAGTGCTGCCAGATATATCCAGCATTTGTTGTACGGCAAGAGATTCTTCCCCTACTACGTCAGCACGTTGATCGCTGGGTTGGACGACGAGGGTAAGGGTGCGGTGTATTCATACGATCCGGTTGGCTCCTACGAAAGAGAGCAGTGCAGAGCTGGAGGTGCTGCAGCCAGTTTGATCATGCCTTTCTTGGACAACCAGGTCAACTTCAAGAACCAGTACGAGCCAGGCACTGACGGAAAGAAAAAGAAGGAATTGAGGTACTTGACGTTGCCGGAGGTGTTGGACTTGGTCAAGGATGCCTTTTCCTCGGCCACAGAGAGACACATCCAGGTTGGTGACGGGTTGGAAATTTTAATTGTCACCAAGGAGGGGATCAGAACCGAGTACCACCCCTTGAAGAGAGATTAGTTTGGATCGCTACACAACGATCACGTACAGAGTACACCCTTGAAGAGGGATAGTTTCCTTCAATACACGCTACAGAACAGAGTATCATTCACAGTATTTCGTTTATTAGGATGTGGGTCTCCTAAAACCACTAGACTGGCAATTCAAACTTCTTGCCCTTCATCACCTTGTTGTAGTAGATGTAGAAGAAATCGGAGTAGATGGCAGTCTGGATGAGCCCAGCCAATACCGAGATGTAGTCAAAACGGTCTTCAGCAAAGTATCTCCATATCCAGTTTGGAATGTACAATGCACGGTATAATCCCAAGGCGAAGATGTAGTGGGTGGTGATGTTTTCGGCCTCGCCAGTTCTTTGCAAGATGAACAATTGGGGGAGGATGGCAACAGCCTCCAACCATATGGAAAACGACCATAACACATCGGGAATCCTGTAATGGTAGGTGAAGATCAACGACAACACAAAAGAGCCCCCAATCAAGTATCGAGAAGGAAAGCTGTCGACATTGGCCTGGATATCTTTCTTGTACTTGTTGGTCATCAAGTAGACGGTGTACGATGAGGAGCCAATGAACACGATCTTGAGAAGTGAGTTATACAACGAGAAGTACTTGTAGAACAAGTTCAAGTATCTGGTGAGATACACCAACACGTACAACGATTGTGTTTTCAAGGATATGCCCGCAATGGAGCGGTTTTTCTCGATGGCATACAAAAGGATCAATATGCTAGCCAAGTGGGAAAGGTCCCCTGTGAAGCTGAAGAGATTCATGGTAGGCGGTGATGGTGAATGGTGTTGACAGTGTGGAGCCGTTTTAACACGTCGACACGAGTCACGTGAGTGCGTGTCGCGTGAGTGGTGATTATATTAGGCTAATATCTACTCATACTTGTTGCCCAATAATGGTGCCCTCGGGAAGATGTTACTCCGAGGACTAGTTTTGGAAGACTAAAGCTGGTGGCAGATATGTTTTAAAGGTGTGCTCGAGGTTCAATAACGAGCTAAATCTCCAATCTTTCACAGTGATTTTGGCCTGCACATAAGGCCTGCACACAAGGTTCACCTATATCCAACTCTATAGAGCACAATATGGTGGGCCAGAGGATAAAACGGGCCCTTTGGTGTGTAACACGACAATAGAAATTGATGCTAACTGTAGCCTGAAATATGGGTTGTGTTTTAACTGGAGGTGGGGTGTCTTTGGCCCTAGCAGTTCTCCGGGCTAAACATCTGGAATTTTGACTGTAGCCCCAGCAACAATCGTTGTGCATTCCAAGAAGAGAAAGAGAATCTCTGCAGCTAGAAGGTGTAAATTGAGCTTTGATTTTCAGGTGATACTTCGGTAGAACTGATACATTTATTTATCTACTTTGCACCCATTAATGGATGAGAGTGAGCTCACTAATTTCTGGTGTTAGCTGGGTGGAAGTAATGTATCTAATTATTGGTCCTCATTGATGAATGGAAGTGAGGCTTGCTCAGGAGTACATTTCTGATTCGTTCTTGCTTGCACCACTTAAAGAAGTGGAACTTAAGCCCAAATACAGAAAATGTAATATTTATTGGCCACGCTTTTTACCCCAAAGTGAATCTAATTGAATTATAGTAATTCAATCTTTTACTAGTCTTATTCTTGCAACTTTCTAGAACGAAAGCGGGACAAACGTACACACATGGACTATTTGAGTATGTGCTTCTTTCATTACCAGACTAATAAGTATCCTAAACCCTTACTTCAGGGAAACCAACCTTTTCTTGGGTTCCAGATGATGATCCTGTATGCATAATCCGCCACTAACTTATCGCTCGCAATCCTATAACCTGGCACTCGTCTTCCTCTGCACCAATTCAACCACCCTTTGGCTGAAGCCATAGCTACCCTGGTACCCACCACCACCGGCACCGTAGTTGTGGATCAACCACAGTCTGTGTGGGTCAGCCTCGACCCGGACTCCGCTGTCTCTGAAAGGACGTAATCCCACATTGACTCTAACTACGTCGAAACGAGAGGAGTTGTTCTTGAAGCTTGGATCGACGAGTTCAGGTGCAAATCTGGCTGCTCTCTCCAAAAGACGTTCTGTGAATGCTTCGCTGGCGCTGGTGTCGGAGCTTTCCTCGAAGCAGCCACCAATAATAGACCCTCCCTCCTTGCGAGGCATGATGTAGAGCATCTCGTTGGGGTACCCTTCAAACGAAGACACTGCAATGCTGTTGGCGGCGCTGTTGGTCACAAGAAGCGTCTGGCCCCTGACGGGATAGTTCTTGCGGGAATCGTTCAAATCGACCAACTGAGGAGCCAAAAGCCCAGTGGAATTGATGACAATATCAGCTCCAAGGTCCTTGACTTCCTGCAACGAGCCAAACTTCCTGGTCCGCCTCAACTGGTTGCCCAATTTCAAGTTCTGTTGCACCAACCAGTTTAAGTAGAGAGGCACGGTGATGACCACACCCTTGAAAACGTAACCAAACGCAATCCCAGGGGGTAATTCCTGAGGATCAAGTACCCTGAAGCCGTCCACGAAGTCCTTGAACCACGGCAAGAGGTCCTTGGGGTGGTTGGCCTGGTCCACGTCTGCCTGAGAGAAGTAGTCATAGTCGTTCACTGCGGTGACTGCAGCCTCGGGAACATCCTGTGCCAAACGTTGGAACTCCCGGTAGCCCACCTTGTCAAGCTCCTGCAATTCTATCTCCTGGTGGCTGGCAAACGAGTGCCAATTGGCTCCTGCAAATGGAGAGGTGTATTCAGGGTCTATGTCTCCCGGGAGTTTGTGGCTCAAAATCGTGATTGAAAGATGGGGCTGGGCCTTCTTGAGCTCGAGCGCCGCCGTGAGCCCACAGACCCCGGCTCCTAGCACAATGACGTTAGACATTTACAATAGTTGGTGTTCGGTATTCGGTGGTTGAAAATACCATGCATTTAATTATTGTGCAACCCACAAGTGGTGCGACATCGCAGATGTCGCGCTACAACTCTATGTACTCAAGTAGAGCCAAGTACTCGTCCTCCTCATCGTGGGGCGGAGAGTCGGGGTTGAAGTTGAACCCGTTCAAATTGAATCCTTTCCTGTGGACGCCCTTGAATTTGTCGTGGCTAGTTTTTTCGCCCAACTTCTGGTGGTATTCCTGTAAATTACTGTGCCACCAGCCGGAACTGTCATCGCCGGAGTCCAGATGCAAATCTGCGAGAAACAGGACGATTTCGGCTTCTGCAAGCTGATCGTTGGTCAAGTGGCTCTGCGACTGGGTCTTCCAGGTCTTGAAGCTGCCGTTTTCGCCTACGTACATCAACGAAGGATAGGTGCTCACTCTGAAGGATGTCACAATGTCGCTGGTCGACTCACTCACGTCCACCACACCAAATTTGACCCCAGAAAACTTGTCTCCGGCAGCAAGCTGCTGGAAGAAATGGGTAGGGTATTGGTACTCCTTCCAGTCCTTCAAGTAGGACGTTATAAAAACAATAAGCGTGGCAGGCTGTGCCAAGATACCCTCGGCTGTGGTAGAGCTGAAATCAACCACTGGGGAGCGAAAATTGTCGTAGTTGGGCACTGCCTGCGGAACATTGTCGGCGATGAACCCCATTACCGTTGCGAGTTCTCGGTCATTGTAGTTGTATGAAATAATCTCCATTGTGTTGTAGTTCAAGAGCTTCAATGTGGGGAATGAGGCCACCAGAAACAATTGGGTAAGCCTGGATTCCGAGTTGCCGTTGGTCTTCAACACCTGGAACGGGAGTTTTGTCGACAGAGGCTTTTCCCACGAGCTTGCATCTGGGGTGTTGAAAAGAACACTGACGTAGTCAAACGTGGGGTTGAATATCTGGCAGTACTGACAAGTCTCGGAATAGAAGAAGATCAACGAATAATCGGCTCTCTCGAGGGTCTGTTCTATGGAATCGTCCGCTAGGTACCGGTGATGGGCATCAGGAGGGTACGTCGTTGTGGCAGAGAAAAGAGCCCAAAAGCCCCACAAAATCAGAAGGAAATTCATCGCGTGCAGCTAAATGGGATCGTATGCAACAAAGCCTTCAGGGTGCTTGCAGCTGGACGAGTTTGGGGTGTAGCAGGTAGTTGTTGCCGGTGGTGCCGGAGTGCTATCGTATGCTCGTGGGAGAATGTAGCCCGTTTGTGTGGTACAGATTCGGGGGTCTTTGCAGCAGGCCTGGTCGTAGCAAAGCACCAGGGTTTGTGGCAGTAGGATGGGTTAGCTTTGTTGAAATACGCATCTCGGCCAGATCAAAAAGATAATCCCATGATCCAACCTGTAAACTTTCTTTTGGGGTCCAACCTGCAAACGACCCCGCTGTCAAAAAGTTTCCTGCAGGCTGTCAGGCCCGATTAGGAAGGAAGACCAGCAGCCCTCCTATTTCGCAGCTAAAACGGACATATCGCCAGCAGCCGAAATTAGGCAGGAACGCAGTCATGACAGCGGCGCCTCAGCCCATGCTGGCACTTGCCTAAACGAACTCGCGTGCCAGCGACCCTGGCTATTTTTGGGGCTCGGCACCTGGCTACTATCGCAGACATGGAACTGGACCAGCCCGTCGTCAATGGCCCCAAATCACTATATAAGACCCAGATTTCCAGATGAAACCATACATCTCATTCATAGCCTCATTCTACAAACCATTCATATCCCCATGCAAGGAATCATATCTATCATAGCTTTGGCAGGCACTGCTTTGGCCGCCTCCTCTCAGCTGTCGCTGATCCAGTTGGTGCCCTCATCGTTCGTGTACACCAACCTGTCGACACCCAACTCGCATGCCCTCGCTGCTGGGGCTGCCACCTCGCTGGCTCCATCCTCCTCCAAAAAGCAAAGATCCACCATCTACGACTATGCCACTGCCACCGACCTTGACCAGGTGGAAATCACCCGTACCGTGTGTAGCGCAGGCTCGTGCTCTGTCACCACCGAGATCGAAAGCAAGACCACATACACCACCACCGTGGACGGTGTGTTGACTGTGATAACCACCCAGGTGCCTGCCACTAGAAGCTCTTCTGGCTCTGCTCCTGCCACCTCTGTCACCTCCACTGCTCCCTCGAAGTCCTCATCTCCAGCTGGTCCAGTTTCACAGGGGGCCAAGGCCGGCTCCAGTGCTCAGCCTGATTCTGTAGTTACTGGCTACATTACCAAGGATGCCACTGCCACCGAGTACGCCACCACAGTCGTCACCATCACCTCATGTTCTGCCAACAAGTGTTCTGCGACTGTGGTCACCACTGGCTTGACTACTGTTACTGAAGACCACACCACCTACACCACCTACTGTCCTTTGACCACCACCACACCCACCAAGGCTGCAACTACCCCTGCCACCACCAAGGCTGAAACTACCCCAGTGGTCACTTCTGCTGCTGGAGTGTCTACTGAAACAAATATCAGACACACCGTGATCACCATCACCTCGTGCAGCGACAACAAGTGCACTGCCATCCCTCACACCACAGGTGTTACCACCGTGACCGAGGAACACACCACCTACACCACTTACTGTCCTTTGACGACTTCAGCATCGGAAACTAAGCCAGAAACTGCCCCACCAACTTCTGAAAAAACCACTGAAAAGACTACTGAAACCAGCGAGGCTCCAAAGACCACTGAGACCTCCACCAGCAAGTCCCCTAAGACCACGGTAGCCAAGCAAACCACCGAATCCTCCGTGGTTTCCACCATCAACGTCATCAGCAACAACATCCAAACCCAAACCCCAGGTGCCACCACTCTCGTGCAGTCCTCTTCCAAGGTGGCTCCTGCTTCATCGTCTCCAGTCGTATCTGCCTATGACAACGGCGCTGCCACTATTACATTTACCGGAATGCTTGCATTCGTAGGGTCCGTCTTGTTGATGATCTAGACCTGTTAACTTTCCAGGAGTTAATGTGTATATTGTATAATAGTAACGAAGAACGATATTTATCTGCTACGCGTAGGGCCTATCTTGGGGGTCGGTAATTACTGGAGTTCATCCCCTCCACTGTCTGAAGTTAATTGGCCTATGAAACAGACTGGTACTAGTGTGGTTCATACCTCTACCTGATTAAAAGTAATCGGCCTTCTATGAACAGAGTGCCTGATAGTGCAACCCCATTGCTGACTAAAAGGAACTGGCCCACGAAGCGTGTGGTTCAATACCACTCTGGTCTAAAATTCCATCACAATTATGTTACTGTGGTAGCCTTATGATCCCCTGTGGTCCAGTCCCAAGTCTGGTCTAACATCAGAAACTACTATGGTTGTGTATTGAGAGACCACTCCTCGTATATCCTCAATGCTGAGGCACCACCGTATTGCATGGTGAAAACAGGTTCAATTATAATTAAAAGATTCTAGAACCTTTAATTTCAGTTGCTTTACAATAATAGTATTCCTCAATTGTCGGAGATTGTCCAGTCAATGGCCATGACCATCTCTATCAGTTGCACATATTCTGGTTGGTGTTCGCAATTGGGTGGTGCCACCTTACACCTCCATTAGATATTGTTAATCTCTCGTATATCACGATGTGTTGGTCAGATAATGTACTCTTTGATTCTACCACATGTGCAGTATCCTTTCACCTTTATTAGGTATTGTTAATCTCTCGTATCTTCTCTGTGTTATCCTGATAAATGTATTTTTCATTCTTCTACCACATGTGCAGTATATGCCCAATCGGGTGGTTCTTACCACCTTTGGATAGTGTTGGCTATTATTTCATGTAAGGTTAATTTGTACCTCCTCGACCACTCCCACACACCAAGATTAGACGCTTCCTAGAAGTGGCCTGCGTTAGTAAGAGACAACACACAGATGGAATATTAGTAATGGATCACTAATAGCACCTCCAGAGAGTGACAGTATGGTATAGGGAGGATGATTAGAACTGTAGGCAGAGGAGGCTCTACTAACAGAGAATAGACTTGGAGCTATGCCAGCGAAGGGTTGATGAAAAGCAGATCGCCGAGAAGAGTATAGAAACTTTTATTCTGGTATTGTTTCCGTTGGTATTCTAACAATGGACATTCCCAGAAATGACCCGTCACTACACCTCAGAAAGCCCATTTATTAACCACATCCTCATACAAAGTCTGCTCCCTAGAGCCTCAGCTACGTGTATCTCGCTTTATGGCTGTTTACAGCCCACTTTGCCTAACATTCCATAAATCCACAACCGCAAAGGTTTCCGCCATCTCGCTCAATTCCTTTCCAATTTTCCCCCCGACGGCGAGGGTGTCCTGGTTTTTACTGCTTATTCTTATAAAACACCTCCGCTACGCACGAGTGCCCTCGTGCCTGCGGCCAGAATTAGCCATCCGACTCCGAATATTCATTCTACGGGCACTCCAAGCCCGTCACACCACTACCAACACTTCTGGCCCTGGCGGGTCATGGCAGGAAACTCCCTACCATGATTTTGGTGAGCGCTAACCAGTGACAAAAAAACCTCTCTTAACCTGCACTTGTAAAATCTTTACTGTTTAACATCAGTTCCACCCAGCGTTTACCACCAACCTTTTCACCATCATGGACGCATACCACGAGTTCATAGAGCCAACCAGGGTGAGCCATTGCGTGGGTGCCAACTTCATCTCGCCATCGGTGAAGCACCTCATCGTGGGGAAAGCCACGCTTCTCCAGGTGTTTGAAGTGATAACATTGAAGCTGGCCAAGCCTGGCCAACCACAGCACCACCTCAAGCTTGTGGAGCAGTACAAGCTCCACGGGCTTATCACAGACTTAAAACCGCTCCGGACTATCGAAAACCCCGAGTTGGACTACTTGATGGTAGCCACCAAGTTTGCCAAGTTTTCCATCATTAAATGGGACCACTACAACCACACAATCTCGACGGTATCGCTCCATTTCTACGAGAACTTGATCCAGAACTCCACGTACGAGAAGCTCTCGAGAACCCTGCTTTTGTTGGAGCCCACCTTCAACTCAATCAGTTGTGTGAGATTCAAGAACTTGTTGACGTTCTTGCCGTTTGAAACCTTGGACGATGACGAAGATGACGACGACGACGACGACGCAGACGCAGACAGCCCAAACCGTGAAAAAGTCCCTGACCAGCTCTTTGACTCCAGTTTCCTCGTCGATGCGCAGAACTTGGAATCCTCCATCGGCAACATCGTCGACTTGCAATTCCTCCACCATTTCAGAGAACCCACCATGGGAGTTTTATCTCTGAAGTCCAACACCTGGGCCGGGATCTTACCAAAAGTCAAAGACAATATCCAATTCATGGTTCTTACATTAGATGTGATATCGAAAACCGCAGTCTCTGTATTCAAGGTTGAGAACTTACCATACGACATTGATAGAATTATTCCCTTGAAAGCTCCTTTGAACGGTAGTTTACTTGTGGGATGTAATGAGTTGATTCATGTAGACAACGGAGGAATTGTCAGAAGAATAGCGGTGAATGCATTCACCTCCGCCATCACCGCTTCTTCCAAGAGTTACGCAGACCAGACCGACCTCAACTTGAAATTAGAGGGCTCATCCTTCGTGCAAATTCCTCAGGACCATAGATTGTTGATGATTATGGAACGCGGTGGGTTCTACTACGTCAATTTTGAGGTTGATGGTAAGGCGATCAAAAGCTTCGTGATAGAGCCAATTGATAAAAGTGCTTATCAAAATATAGAGGCGGCCTTTGTCACCGAAACAGCCATCCTCGACAACAATCTTATGTTCATTGGAAGTGCCAATGGTAGCAGTCCCTTAATTTCCTGGGACTATCAAGAATCACATAAGACCCGTGAGGAACAGGTAGAAATCAACAAGGAAGAAGATATGGACGATGATGAAGACTTATACAACGAGGAAGAAGAAGATGGTGGCAATAAAAAGGTGGTCATCACTAACTCCATGATTGAGTACACGAAACACGATGAGCTAGTCAACAATGGACCTATTTCCAACTTCACCTTGGGTTACTACAATACAGAAAAGTATAAATCCAAGCTTAGAAACCCCAACTTTGATGAAGTCTCCATTATCTCCAATGGTGGTACTCATGAACAAGGAAAGTTGAATATCATTACCCCGAGTATTCACCCCACGATATCTTCGTCCCTTAGTTTTTCTCAAATCAACAGAATGTGGACCATCAACAAGAAATACCTCATCACCTCTGATGATGTTAATTCCAAATCCGACATTTTTCAGTTTGAAAAGTCATTCGCCAGATTAAGCTCTGACGACTTCATTAGTGATCAATCGACAATTGCAATGCATGAGTTGAATAATGGTAAATTTATCTTGCAAATCACCTCCAAAGCCATTAGATTGTACGACAGTTCTTTCAAATTGCTCTTGGCCATCGACGAAATCAAGGATGATGAAATAGTTAACACTACATTGAAGGATGAATTTTTGATGTTATTCTTGTCGAGAGGTGACGTCAAAATCTTTGCCATCAATACCTATAACGAAACCTACACTACCTTGGAAATTCCAAAAATTCTTAACGACACAATCATCACTTCGGGGTATATCACCAATTCTACATTATTAAATGCGGTACTGAAGGATGTCAACCTATTGTTGAATAAAGGAGTGAAGAGAAAACACAGTTCAGCTAGCAAACTTGAAGATGCAACCGACCCCAAGTCTGCTCCTGTATCTGACATCAAAACCAAAACGTTTATACTAGTAACTGGTGATAACAGAATAGTGGCGTTCAATAGATTCCATAACCAAAGGTGTTACCAGCTTAATGACGTTAGTATTTTCACTGATCAGTTGACATTAGGCTTCTTTGATCCAAACTCGTCTGATCCTGATCCGTTTATCAAGCAAGTGATGTTGAACGAATTAGGAGACGAAAAACACAAGGAAGAATACCTTACAATTTTAACTATTGGGGGTCAGGTCCTTATGTACAAGCTTTTCCACGATGGGGAGAACTATAGATTCGTCAAAGAAAAGGACTTAGCACTTACAGGAGCCTCCATGACTGCTTACTCTATTGGTACTGCAATTGAAAGAAGAATGGCTTACTTTCCTAATTTGAATGGATACACTGGTATTTTTGTGACAGGTGTAACGCCATTCTTAATTCTTAAGCCCACCCATTCCATTCCAAGAATCTTCAAATTCACGAAGATTTCCGTGGTTTCAGTTGCTCCATACGATGATTCCAAGGTCCAAAACGGTTTGATTTTCCTTGACAATGATAAAAATGCCAGAATTGGAAATTTACCTTTGGACTTCAACTATGAGAATACATGGCCAATAAAACAAATCCATATCGGAGAACTGATCAAATCCATCACTTACCATGAATCTTCAAATGCTTATGTTCTTTCTACATTCACAGAGATCCCATACGACTGTTTGGATGAAGAAAACAACCCTATTGTCGGAATTGACAAAACCAAGCCAGGCGCATTATCATACAAGGGATCAATCAAATTGATTTCACCAATCAATTGGAGTGTTATTGATAGCGTTGAATTGAAGGACAATGAGATCGGTATGACTATCAAGTCAATGGCTTTGGATGTTGGTTCATCCGTAAAAAAGTTCAAGAATAAGAAGGAGTTTATTGTGATCGGTACTGGTAAATATAGAATGGAGGATTTGAGTTCTAATGGTTCGTTTTTAATCCTTGAAATTATTGACATTATCCCCGAGCCTGGCCGTCCTGAAACTAACCACAAGTTCAAGGAGGTCTTCAAGGAGGACACCAGAGGTGCTGTGACTTCGGTGTGTGAGGTAAGTGGAAGATTCTTGGTTTCCCAGGGTCAAAAGGTTATTGTGAGAGACTTGCAAGATGATGGTGTTGTTCCAGTTGCCTTCTTGGATACCTCGGTCTACGTGACGGAATCAAAGAGTTTTGGAAACTTGTTGATTTTAGGAGATTCATTGAAGAGTATTTGGCTTGTAGGCTTTGATGCTGAGCCCTTCAGAATGATAATGTTGGGCAAAGACTTACAGTCCTTGGACGTCAATTGTGCTGATTTCATTGTGAAAGATGAGGACATTTATGTGTTGATTGCTGATAATAACAACATCCTTCACTTGGTGCAGTACGACCCTGAAGATCCCTCCTCACTCAATGGACAGAGATTAATCAACAAAGCGTCGTTTGCGGTCAACTCTTCTGTCACTTGTATGAGGTCGCTTCCAAAGGTGGAAGAAACGTACGATTATGAACAAGGTAAAAAGGGTGTTAGATTAACCGGAGATTTCCAATCCATTGCGTCTACAATCGATGGGTCCTTTATTAATGTCTTCCCGTTGAGCGAGGCGTCTTATAGACGGTTGTACATCATTCAGCAACAATTGATTGACAAGGAGTACCATTACTGTGGATTGAACCCGAGATTGAATAGGTTTGGTGGATTGTCTGTGACCATGAACGATATTAACACCAAGCCAATCTTGGACTACGATGTCATCAGAGGCTATGCCAAATTGAACATCGATAGAAGAAACTATCTTGCCAGCAAGGTAGGCTCAAAACAGGGAATGTATGAGATCTGGAAGGATCTCATCGAGTGTGAGATAGTATTGAGGAATTTATAGGTGAAGAGGTTTTAATGTATAATAGAAAGATCCTGATGGGAGTGTTGGATTATCTAGGTACGTCCGCTATGTAATCAAAAGCTTGGTCTGAATAATACCATTACTTGGTTGGATACCATCAATGACCAATTAGATGAGCCAAATCAAATGTAAGCATCACCCTTTTTGAACTTTAAAGTAGAAGTCCGTAACACGAGTGGTCGAATCTGCTGAATGTTCTATCTGATTATCGACAGCTCTCGTTCCTTTCATTTGCCACACTACTGATTAACCACTCAAATGTTCTAATTTCAACTTGCTTCCACTGCAGATCCCAACAATAGGCAGGGATCTCTTGAAAGAACCCTTACTAAAAATTCAAAGAACCCTGACGTAGTTCGAGAAGGCTCACAAACAATTCTTTACTCGAGCCCCAGAACACTAGGATGCAGACTGTAAACGAGTTTAGGGTAAGAATAGTCCGTGATTTCTAATTTATTGTTTTCCCAGCGAATGTATCTGCATCGAGAATATTTAGTAGTTCTACTCGCCTTAACAGCCTTTTGAGGATTTTCAAAATTTTCGTAAAACCTTTGAAAAATACCAAAATAAAACATAATCACTACAACGGATATTAATTTATGAATCGAAGCAATAAGCATAATCATGCATGTAAACCAGGAAGACTGAGTAGCATTATCGCAAATTAGACATTACTTGATTTTGCAATTCCGCTTTCGTGGCAGCAGTAGCTAGAATAACTCCTGTGCTACAATACAGACCAATTGAGCCAGCTCGTATGTTTCACCTTCTGCTATTTATAAAGGATAATTACTCAGGTATTAATAATAGCTTCCCCAATATAGTACTCCCGAAATAACCACCCCAGGTCTCGATCTGAGGGTATCTTCAGATGGACGTCACGTGCACCAAACCCACCAGCCAGCACAACAGTTGTTTCCATCATGCCCAAGAGATCAGCCAAATCCGTGTCGTTCCAGGCGAACGAGCCGCCCCAAGACGGCCGTCCCGACGACGACAGCGCCTCGGCAAAGTCCAGGCAGGCGGCTCCCGCCATCAAACACCCGCTTGTCACCGTCCCCGTCCACAACCTCTTGGTGTTGGCAGGCATGGTGGCGTACGGATTGACCTCCGACATCAGGACGGTGTTGCTCAAGGGATTGTTTACACTTGTACCGCTCCAGGTTCTCTACGACCTCGTGTTGTTGAACGCCATTGGCACGCCCAAACTGACCAACGTGCCGTTGTTGGTTGCCAGCGCACTTTTGATCACTGTCGTGTTGAGCGTGCCAGTATTCGTGGTATTGTTGGTGTTTGGGGCGCCATTGGCGTCCCACCTCCCTGAGACCATGTTGCTCTCGCTCCACTTGGCGGTGCTCGTGTTCAACCCGCTCTTGGTGGTGTTCAAGATCGACCTTCACGCGTTTACAGCCATTTTCAAGGTGACCCAGGTGTACCGTTTGATTTTCAGCAACCTGGTGCTTGCCTCCAGCTTCATGGCCATCGTGGGCACCTGGATGGGTGTGATTCCCATCCCGCTCGACTGGGACAGGCCCTGGCAACAATGGCCCGTGACCTTGTTGTTTGGAGCCTATTTAGGCACCACGGGGGGCGGGTTGCTCAGCTTGGCTGTGAGGCCCCCCCGCAACTAATTGGGGCCAGTCAACAGCAAGTCTGGACTCTTAGCTTATTAATATACACATGAGCCAATAGGACGTGGCTACCCATCCACCGTTGCCGTGTATCTGGCGTGCGAAACTCCGAAGGGCCCCACAAAGCCGCCGATCTGGTCTGGCCAGCATTTGCTGACAGTTGCGGTGGTGGCGACACCATGGCGGCTAGTGGGGCAGGAACTATAAATGGGGGTGGATCCCGCCACTTTTCACCACTATCTTATTCATACTCGTCACCATGTCCGGAAACTTCCCCACCTCCATCAACCCTAAGTACATCCCTTACACCAACGCCAACAGCGAGGTGACCGCGTGCGCCAACCCTATCGAATTGAACCTCGCCAAGGAGTTTGCAGGCAACAAGGTGGTTATCACCGCCGTGCCTGGTGCCTTCACCCCCACCTGTACCGAGCAACACATTCCAGACTACTTGGCCCACTTGAAGGAGTTCAAGGCCAAGGGTGTGTCCAGAATCATTGTGTTGTCCGCCAACGACCCCTTCGTGCTTGCCGCCTGGGGCAAGGCATTGGGCTACAAGGAAGAGGAGAACTACGTGGTTTTCGCCACCGACCCATTGGCCCAGATCTCCAAGCAGTTGGGTGACGAGTACACCGCCGACTTGTCCTCTGCCGGCTTCGGCTTCAGAACCAACAGATGGGCTGCCATTGTTGACGATGGTGAAATCGCCTTCTTGCAGAACGAAGAAGGTTTGGGCTTCTCCGAGATCTCCAAGTCCGAGACTCTCTTGGAAAGACTCTAATTGACTGTATAGTGACAAAATTGCATTTTGACGTATCTGATGTAGAGTCGGTCAAGGTGATTGGCTGCGCTGCATTTTTCACGCTAGTTCCACCGATCTCCGTCCGGAGAAACAGCCAATGGGTTTAGCTCCGACAATTTCGGTGAGCAAGATTATTTTGTGGGGCACAGGTGGTGCGTATCGAAAATCGATTTTCTCAACAATTCCAGCGAGCAAAATTCATTCTGTGGGGCCAATTGGAGAGTATTGATGATGGGTTCGAATGATGTGATTTGAACTATTTAAGAGTGTTGGTGACTTCTATACTGAAATATTAGGAATTATTAAATATTATATATGTAGTGCAACTATCTGGAGGTTTGTTCCCTAGAGTGGTCTAGATTAGCTCACAAAGTTGACCCTACTAAGAGTTGACGATATCTAGATGGACTAGTCCTTCTCGATTCATTCGTTATGATAAAACCGTCATTCTCTTTACTTGTCGAGTATGGAATGAAGACCCTGCCGATCTACGTAATGACCATAAAAGGTAATACTAAAGGGTAACCCTGGATGGAAAGTGATTATGCTAACTAGTATGCATTGTGCTAGTGATTCATTGATGGGAGATTGAGCTTGATGGTGAATAGCATCTACTGCGTTCACTTCGTGCCAATGGGCTTCTGCTGTACTAATTTGGACTAGAGACCTAAAGTATTGTAATATGGATTTTTTAGTGTGTCTATTTGATATGATCACAGCTTATTTGAATGGAGATTTATATATTGATATAACCACATTATGAAATATTCACATAAGCCCAATTCAGTGGGTATCAACGACACGAAGTGTACATTGATTACATTCTCTTACTACTCCTGATACCCCTATTTCTTTAGAACCTCTAAACAATTATTTATTTGCTTTCGTACATTCTTCCCGACTAGATCGGCCACAATCGATTCAGATGGGTAACCCAAATAATTTATAATGTACATAAAACGCTGAACAGGAACTTATCAGAGAAAACAGCGATGTAGAGGAATAATGAGACTGGAGCTAAATTGAGCACCCGGTATCTGTGGAATATAATTACCACACTAATATGAAAATTGCATGCTACAAGGAACAAGTCGGACGACAAATATCGCAGAATCAGGGAGGAGCAAATCTCTAATCTTTTTAAATCAGTAGCTACTGTAAGAATCAGAATTGAACATCAGTAACTCAATAATATAGTTCAAACCATTGAGTATCACTAGAGTAAATTTGCTTACTTTTTAACCTATTGAGCATGATCAATCACTTAGGAGTATCATTAGTCTCTTGAAGACTACTAACTTATTAAAGTGCAATCACTATCTCTTTTAAAATAGTCCAATTAACATTAACTTCACTAGTGCAGACTACGAATAATTTGTTCACGAAAGTCTACCCAACTGAACATCGCTTAGAGATCTTACCTTCATAGTCCCCGAAGAGTTCAATCGAGCATCGCCCAAGTGTCTTCCTTTCAGTCACTGAAGGTGTTTCGCTTATTCGCAAAGTCCAATCTTTTCTTATTGTATCAGTGCATTTCGCATCATCAAATGTTTTCCATTTGCACCTAGACGCGTACTTCACCACCATGGCCGGCTTCCCTCGTCTCCCATTGGTCCATGGCGACACTGACGATGATGCATCCATCCATCTCCACCGACAGATTGGTCCCTCCAGACCTCTTCGAAGGCTGGTGCCAACTGACGAAAAGATACTCGAGATAGCTCACGACGAGTCGGTGGATGACTTGGACACAAACAACATCAACCACTACTACGAGCTCTACAGAAAGAACGGATTGAACTTCCTCGAGCTGGACGAGTCTTCTGACGACAGCTACAGCCCTGATTCCGGCTCTGACACCTACAACGAAAGCGATGACGAAGACGGCTACGACCATGACGCCAGCGATGGCGAAGAACGCATCCACGAGGACGAAAAGGAACGTTTCCGGCTGGGAGTGCCCGAAGAACCCCAGCAGCAGCCTGCTGAGGAGCACACTACAGATGAGCCCCCTACGCACAATAAAGGGTCCTCTGATACCCTTCTCGGCCAGGATTGGAGAGGGATCACCTTGTTGGTGTTCATATTGGCATACTTAATCAGCCTATTAAGACAAAGCGCAGTGAGTCAGCCGTTGGGCCCAGCGTGGACGTCCCGGCTCAACAAGGTGGACCGTGCGTTGGACCAGTTGTCAGACATCACCAGCGGGTTGTCGACGAGACAGGACTTCCTTGATGCCAACCACGAGAGCTTGGCCAAAAATCTCAACACGAGGTTCGAATCGTTGAACCAGAAGTTCCATGCGGTGGAAAAATCGCTACTTGGCGACAACCAGCAGTTCCAGCACCTTGCGCACGAGTTCGAGACGTTGAAGACGTCCATCAACTCCACCGTGAACCACGACAGGCTCGATGCCATCAACGCCAAGCTTGCGGTCTTCGACGGCTTGTCCAGCACCGTGGAGTCGCTCCAGGCCCATCTCCTCGATCAGTTGGTGGCGTCGCTCCCCCAGCATGTGCCAGTCTACATCAAAGACAGAAAGATCCACTTTCTTCCGGAGTTCCACAAATACTTGTACAATTTTGTCGACACCTACACCAGCAACAAAACCGGCCACTCTCCCTCCAGCAACCCGTCGTGGGCCCTGTTCCTCGAGTCCAACCAAGCCTCGTTGGATGCCTACATTGAGACCAGGGCCGGGGGGCTCAACCTCCAGCAAATTTCAAAGGACAAGTTGGAGCAAATTCTCCGCCAGAAATTCGAGCAAAACAACAAGTACATTTTTGGCAAGATAAACGAGGTGATTGACGACCTCACAGCGGTTGATCATGCCCACAACACCACCACTGGTGCCCGTTTCAGCAGTGCCTCCAACACAATTCTTTTGAATAATTTGCTCGAAACGTTCGCCAAGGGCGCCATCAAGGTCAATTATGCAGATTACGGACTAGGAGCACGCATTCTAGGGTTTCTTACCAAATCGGGCGCACGAGCACCCACTTCCAGCAAGTCGTTGGGAAGACGGATATTTTTTGGATGGTACGACTATTTGTCCGGAGCTTCTGGTGGGCTAGTGGGTCGGAGCCCAGGCGTGTGGAAATACAACGCCAACAACGTGCTATTGGACAATGGCCAGGGGTGGCAGTGTGAGTCGAATCGGTGCACGCTCGGTGTCCGCATGTTCAGTCCGGTGATATTGACCGATATTGTGCTTGCTAATCCTGTCAATGCAGAGGGCGACAGTGTGTCTGCGCCGCGGGTGGTGGCAGTGTGGGTGAAGCCTCGCAATGCAGCCCACGCAACCCAGTTGCGCGAGCATCTCCAGCGGTACCAGCTTGACGCAGACACCACCAACAACCGGTACTTGGAAAAGTTCGTCAAGGTCAAGGAGACCCGTGTCAACCACCCCCAGGCAATCACCCACATCCGCATGCCTGTGAGTATGGTCAACCTCCGTATCCCTGTGCGAGACATCTACCTCGAGCTCCTGTCGCCCATTAACACGGAGACGGGGCTCACCAGCTTCAAGGCGTACGGAATCACCGAATTGAACGCATACAGACACAGCACCCATTTCGATGCCCTTTTGGACAAACTCCAGACACAACCGGAGGACGAAGAGGCGGCAGCCGCAGCTCACCCCCAAATCGTGATCGACGACAGTTGGGACGACTTGGTTTTGGGCGACGACCCCGTGTTGTAGCGGCGCCCGCAGCGTCTGCATTTACCAAGCTGCCATCTGGGATCTGGGGCTGCATGTGCAAGCACCAAGACCACCTGTGCATCTGCGGACACCACCACACCACCACCACCACCACAACCAAAACACCCTGCAGGCGGGTTCTGTAACAATAATAGGTATTAATAAACACAACAGCCAAGACCGGTGTAGACTCGCAAACAGCTTGGGATGCTCGCAGACCCCATAGGAGTGGTGTCCGTGGCGTGCATTGACCCAGGGCAACCTGTTTGCACCCCTCTGGTTGCAATTCGCGGCACATTCTCGCGTGGCTTACGCGCGTGAGTCTAGGCTTAGCACTGGTAGCGAAAAAATACCTCCTTACAGGAACAATTAGCGTTGGGTGCAGCGCGCGCGAAGGAGCGAACATTGCAGCCACCAGCGCGGTTTCAGACAATTGCAACTACAGACAAATGATTACCTAGTAAGTTTATTACTAACCCGAAAAACAATATGAACAAAACGAACATACATAGTAGAAATTAAAATAACCGTTCGAACAACTTTACCGTGCAAGTATAAGTTCTTTAAATTATAGTAGAAAAATTAGCCTCTGGGATATCCTCAAGATGCAGTAGCTAGACCGTTTAGAGCAAAGCCAAAGCACCGATCAAACCAGCAGCGAAAGCTGGAGCGACAGCGTTAGCACCGTTAGCGGTGGTGACAGCTGGGGCTTCGGTTCTTGGGTTGGCAGAAGAAGAAGCTGGGGCTGGAGCTGGAGCTTCCTTGGATGGAGCTGGAGCTGGAGCTGGGGCTTCCTTAGATGGAGCTGGAGCTGGAGCTTCCTTGGATGGAGCTGGGGCTGGAGCTGGAGCTTCCTTGGATGGAGCTGGAGCTGGAGCTGGGGCTTCCTTGGATGGAGCTGGAGCTGGAGCTTCCTTGGTTGGAGCTGGGCCTGGAGCTGGAGCTTCAGTAGATGGAAGTGGGCAGTAGGTGGTGTAGACAGTGTTGTTTTCAGTGACAGTGGTGACACCAGTGGTTTGTGGGACTTCAGTACACTTGTTGTCAGCACAAGAAGTGATGGTGATCACGGTGTGCTTGATGTCGGTTTCAGTCTTGGTACCGTGCTCGTGCTCGTGGTCCTTGGAAGGAGCTGGAGCTGGAGCTTGGGTAGATGGAAGTGGGCAGTAGGTGGTGTAAACGGTTTCGTTTTCAGTAACAGTGGTAAGACCAGTGGTTTGAGGGATCTCAGAACACTTGTTGTCGGAACAAGAAGTGATGGTGACAACAGTGGTCTGGATGTCAGTGTGGGTGGAAGTACCGTTACTGTACAAAGCAGCAGACATAGCGGAACCAGCAGAAGCGGTCAATAAAACGGCGGAGGAGAACTTCATTGTGATTAGCGAGTGGAAATGTGTTGATGAGAAGAGACGAATGGTGGAGCGGGGCCATCCTTTTATAGTTTTTTCATGGAGTCTGTCGGGAGCAAAATTGCAAAATCTTCTAAGAATAGTTTGTTTACCTCCACTGGTTGCGAGGCCAGGCCAGGGTTCAGGTACGTTAGCGGCGGCCCACCTGCGGGATTCCCCAGTTGAGTAAAAAATATGTAACTGTGCAGGAAGCGCTGGCCCCCTTCACCAGCCTGCTCGTTCCACATTCTTCCTGGCGGCGAGCTTACGAACGGATGTGTCTGTCTCGAGGAGTGGGTGTCGGTGGCAGTCGAGGTTATTGCAGAGAATTGCAGCTGCACCGGGTGGGGCCATCCACCGTGGGACCTACTCCGCAACATTGGCCCCTGGTGGCATTGTGCCCATCCACAATAGCAACCGACAATAGGCCCTAGTTACTATCTGCCGGGGGAACGGTTGGATCAAGGCGCACGACGCAGTCACGGGCCAGTGACTCAGGTTTGGTAGCGGTGGTAGCTGGTATGCGGGCACCACCTGGGTGTGGTTGCACAAAACCTTAACCACCAGTTCCCAATTTGATCAAATGTGTGAGTACCAGATAGGTGTGCTGGAAGCCCAGACCGGCATTGGTGGTGGGCATGCCCATCCACACGCATGGTGTGTCTGCATGGTCCCCCACGCACAGAACATGCGGTTGCTGAAGTGCCAGTGGATGCAATCAATTCTATTGATAGGTCGGCTTCGGCCGCCGAGCCTCCCGTCAGGACAATTTCCGCTCTCCTCCAGACAACCAGGCTTCATAACACTTGAAATCTGTCTATTTACCCAGCTCTTTTCTTTTTTTGTCCTCCTTTTCGCTTGCGGTAGTGTAATGATGCATTCCAAAATTTAATATTTTTGCAGTTTGTTGGCAAACACACCTGACTAGATGCTAATTATTACTTCTATTTTCGCGCACTGCCTATAATTTTGGTGAACATTCTGTCGGCCCCTATTGTTGGGAGGACTAGCACGATCGGGTTAGTGGGAAGCCTATTGAGGCAATGCCCCGACCAGAAATGTTGCTCCCACATTTGCGGATTGTGCACAAGTGGGGCTGCAATTGTGTCTCCATCTCTGATAGGCTCAACCCACCGCTCCACCACCATCACGAACCATGGCCCAAAAGTCGAAAATGTCATATGCCGGCTTTCCATGGTGTTCCACCTCTGTCATGCACTGCGGGCCACCCCTGTGCAAATTCGGGATTTTGCTCGCCCCCTTCCATGACATGTCGCGGACTGACTGCGTCACGGCCGCGTCAATTTTGCTCGCTAACTCATCGCGCTGGCGGCGCCTGAAAAATACCCCACGCAATGCAAGGAGTCGTTGCCTACAGATAAGCCATCCGTGCAAACGTTGCAACCGCGGCCGAACCACGCTATCCAGGAACCCGCGAGGGGAGCCTCCTTTCGTCTGTTGTTTTTATCCATATTCTGACATTGTCTGACATTTGTCGAGACGGTCCAGCACCGGTCTCATGTTCTCGTGTAGAAACTAACTTCACGGCGACATCACACGCTAATTTCTTGCGTCCACCGTCCCCGCTGTAACATCGGGATATGGGTTATGCAGACACTTGTCAGGTGCACCAGATGTAATTGAGTTTCCATGCGAAATACGAATGGTATGCCTGACACGGAAATAGCAACGTGGTTTCAATAGTTTGGCGATCTTGTAAATGGCGTTGCAAATGAACTCGTCTCTCGGGCTTCCGATCACAATTACAGCATTATTACTAATTTCGATCAAGTTTTTCTGTTGCAACTTTCTGTCGCTTTTCTGTCGATTTTCTGTCGATTTTCTGCGATTTATCAACTCTACACTCTGGTGAATTCTACATCAGCTCGCCATTTGAATTACAATTTGATACTCCATACCACGTCGAATGCTACACCGCATTATCATAATTTTAGACGATTTATTCATTTTAAACACTTTTATCATTTTTATCATTTTTCGCAACTACTTTGTTTTCTCGCCTAATCTAATCAATCATTGCACCAACTATCACTTCAAGTAAGCCTTGAATGTGCCAATCTCAAATGCTCCGAGTTTGAAGTCGACCTTGTTGTCGACCACCTTGAGCTCTGCACCAAGATTGGGGTCATTCTCGTCCTCCAACGCATTGGTCTTGAAAACCTTGTCAACCTTCAACAATTTCAGGTCAAATTCCAAAGTGCCCTTGTTTACACCACCCAAGGAATCGTAGACACGGAAAACCAAGGACTTCTGTTTGGACTCAGATTCGAACGCCTCGTACTGGTTCACGTCGGCGTCGTTTTCTCCCCTCTTGATGTGGGAGAGAACCAACCCCGACCCCGCATTCTTCAACTGCACTGCGTTCAACAATCCCGAAACCTTCTTAGACGAGTCAGCCACGATCTTGTCCAACTTGTAGTTGAAATTGTACCCCAACTTGACGGTGTCTGGACCCAACGAGCCTGCGTGTGGATACAAGGCGTACTCGAAGTCCTGGTCGCCCATGTCGGCCTGGTCATCCGGAGCCTTTGCACTTCTCAACAACGACAATCTGATCAAGTTTCCGTGGATGGCTCCTCCGTACTTGGAGTTGTTCAAGACAGAAACACCATAATTGCTTTCACTCAAGTCCATGAATTTGTGGTGTGCCACCTCGAATTTGGCCACGTCCCAACTGGTGTTGAAGTGGGTAGGTCTCTGGGTGATGCCGAACTGGGTCTCGTAGCTGGCCTGCTGGGCACTGTGGATGGTGGTGGGAAATTGCACCTTCAAGAACTTGTAGGTTTCGTGCCATTTGACATGGCTCTTGAACTTGACAAAGTTATTCTGGACAATGTCGTGGGCTTCAGTCAAACCCTGGATAGAGATAACTGTCTCGATCGACGATCTCAGCGAGATTTCGTGCTTCACCAACAACGATGCCTCGAGCTTGGTGTTGGTCAAGATGGACACAGATCCGTTTTCCACAAAGCTGAACTTGTTCAACGAGTACAACTCTGTGTCCCAGGCAGGGAAGTTCAAGGGTTCATCGTCAAACAAGAGGAACTGGTTTCCTCCAACGTGCTTGGTGTCGTTCTTGTTAGTCTGCTTGGTGGCTGTGGTGTCGATAACCTCTCTGTCGTTGACAATATCGTACAACGAGGTGATCACACCGTTCTTGGAGATAGTGGCACGGAGCAAGTTGTTGGACAACACGTATCCATCGTCGTTTTCCTTTACAGAGGCAGGATAAGCGATGGAATCGGGTGCGTTGAGCTTAGTCTGGCCGTTCTCCGAAGTGACAGACACCAAGAGCGTGTTTTCAGCGTTGGAAACACTCAATGAATCCTTTTGCAACGCTGAAAACAACTGGGGGTGTTCTTGACGAGAAACTTGCAACAACTCGTTTCTGGCCCAAGGCAAGGTGTTGACAAAGTGCCAGTCGTGGACCTTTGTTTTCTTGCCGTCGCCAAGATGCTCCAAAGCGTCGTCGAGCAACTGGTTGGTTTTCTTCAAGTTCTTGGTCAACATGGGCAATACCTCCTCGTAGTACACCATACCGATACAACTGCCAGGAATAACGTCGTGGAACTGGCACAAGCACAAGTCCTCCCAGAGCGCTTGGATCTCGGCTGCTGGGTACTTGTAGCTGGGGTCGGTGGCTGAAATCAATCCTGCAACCAACTCCAAGTCGTGGAGCTTGATTTCGCCAAACCTGACCAACTTTTTGGTTTTGGCCTGGGTGGTGTAGGTGCCTCTGTGGAACTCCAAGTAGATTTCACCCACCCAGGTGGGCAAATCGGCTCCCTGGTTGGAGTGATCCAAGATGTGCTCGTAGAAGTCGTCCACAGTGGTGTTCAAGTGCACAGATGGAATGGCACCCGTGGTGTTGGCCAAGCCTCTACATCTTCTGATCTTCTCTATCATCTCCTCGGATGGACCTCCACCTCCATCTCCGTGGCCGTACAACAACAAGCCCGCAGGCACGTCCTCCAAGTTCTTGTGCTGTTGGGACGATCTAACCACGTCGCCAAAGTGGGCGGCTGCCGTGTAGGTGTTGGCTGGCGGCATGTGGACCAACACCTGCGAGCCGTCAAGCGCCTTCCAGTTGAAGGTCGACAATGGGAAGCTGTTGATGTTGTTCCACGACAACTTTTGGGTCAAGAAACGGGTAATGCCCACCTGCTGGCAGATCTGGGGGATCTGCGACGAGTACCCAAAGGTGTCAGGCAACCAGAACACGTTGGAGTAGAAGCCGAACTCGCTGTACTGGAACCTCTGGCCGAGCAAGAACTGGCGGATCAACGACTCACCGTTGGGGAGGTTGGTGTCGTTTTCGACCCACGAGCCGCCCACGGGAATAAATTGATTTGTTGCAAATTTGTCCTTTACCTTAGAAAAGATTTCTGGATGGTACTGCTTCAACCACTTGAATTGCTGCATCTGCGACGCCACGAACACGTAGTCGGGATACTGGTCGGCTAACTTGATCTGGGTGGTCCAGGACCTGACGATTTTCCGTTTGGTCTCCGCAAAGGGCCACTCCCACGCCGTATCAATGTGACAGTTTCCGATGGCAAACACGTCGACACGCTTTGTTTTGGCGTTGGGATACTCGTCAAACACGTCTTCCGAGTTGAACTTGTCGCCCAAGAGCTTTTCAGCCAACTTCCGTCCTTTTTTGACACTGGCCACGTCGTCAGGATCAAATACGTCCATGATCTCGTTACACACCTCACGGGCCTGGTGCTTCTGCCACGAGTTGCCTGGCAACTCACGAGCAGCATCGCCTAGGATCCAGAAGTCCCAGTACAAGCGTCTGGCGTCCAAGTTGGGCAACACCAAATGGGCTCTGTTCAAGCGGAAATAACGGTTGGGATCGGGAGATCCTTCGGCTCCATTACCAAACATACCGTTGCACGCCACCTCGATGTAGAAGAGCTGGCTTCCAGCCTTCAAGTACTCGTGGGGAATCTTGAACAACGTCCGTTCGCCTCCACCAGTGAAAGCCTGCAAAGGCAAGCCTTTTTTGTCATAAATCAAGGCCTCGGAGCTCGAGTCCCAGTCGATCTCGACCCAGCCATCCTTGAGCCAGCTCTCGGGGATGTCGATGTGGAACTTGACCCAGAACGTCTTCCACGAGGGTCCGAAGTTGTATCCCAAGCCAATGTCGTCCCACTGGACGTTGTCGAAGTCAATGTCCTTGAAAAGTGGCCTCTGGGTGACTCCCTCCTTGTCGGGAACCCGCCAGGACTTCAAGTCTCCGATCTCAACCCGTTCTTTGTCGTAGAACTTGGGAAGATTCAACTGGTGGTACTGGCCTCCAGTGTCCGTGAACTGGCGCAATCTTTGCTCAAAAAGGTGCTGCACAGGCTTGAAGTTGGGTTGGTGGTTGTATCGCTCGTATTCTGCCGGATTGACCATGGTTGATGGATGAAAACAGAATATGGACTGGTTTTATACCCCAGCAACAGTATGGGGGTTAAGGGGGAAGCTGGGGAAAACTGTCTGCAGGAGATGCCGCAGGAAGTGCAGTGCAGGACGCTGGTGTCATTACCCTTCCGCATTGGGGGCAGCGATCGGGGGGAGGAATGGGGCGGCTCCAGCTATTGGGCGGTGCTGGGTGTGCCCTGGTGGCGCCCGTGGGTAACCACTGCAGTGCTTGAATTGCGCCGGGGGGGAGAGCTCCAATAGTACTGGAGGAGTACTTGTGTGTCTGACGTGGGTCTGCATGGGTGCACATATAGACAAGCTGCTGCGGCCTATCAGACACGCAGTGGAAGTCTAGAAAGGAGATGCTGGGGTCAACACCCCATCCAACACACTTCTAGTGGGGGATATTGCTGCTCCCCAAAGAGCCTACATGGCGTACGTGCCTCACTATCTCCTGCCATTGGTACTCGATTACTACGCCACCATCTGACCATTGTGCAGTACCCCAAACTACTGCCAATCTGGCCATTCTGCAATACATCAAACTCGCCCCCAAACTGTAAGACCTACGTCAACCACGCTGTCAGACACACATGCGTCAGACAGTGTGCTTCACTACAACCATTGCCTAGACACTCGTAAACTAAACGTATATTCTTCAGGGTGGTTCACCCTTATATCCTCCTGGGACGTCCTAATATTTAGCTGATAGAAGAGGGTTCATAGATAAGGAATATGCTACAGAACATCGATAATCACGGGTTCTGATGGATCATTGCTGATGGATGTTCCACAGAGTCTGACGACTCATTGCTTGTGGATCATTGCTGGATCGATCATAATCTCCCTACTGCTGGATCTTGACCTCCTTGTCCTCTTCGATGGCTAAAACATGCTCGTTGCCCTGGATGGTGTTGGTGTGGACTTCCGGGAACTTGGCAGCAAAGCCCTTGATCAAGCTGAACTTGGAAGTGACATCGCCTCCCAACTCGTGGATCTTCTGTTGGAGGGCAGACACGTCAGCGTCGCTGGCGGTGTCCTTGAAGGTGACGATGTAGGACTTGAGGCTGGACATTCTGGTGGGGTGAGATCTAAAGGACGAGGCGAACAAAACAAGCAGAACAATGGCTAAGACGGCAAATAACACTGGCTTACTCAACATAAATTTACCAGTCAGCAACCACTGGCGTCTTTATAGTCGGTCAGGGGCTAGCACCGATTTGCCACTGATGATGGCAAGGCACCGCCTGCCCGATCCGGCAATATTGCCTGTTTGGGCCATCCTCGCGCCAGCACCTCAGTTGCGGCTGCCACCAGCGATTGGGACAGCCAAACCTATCCAGTCTGGCGCTACACCATGGGCTACTTCGACAGCATTGAGCGTTTCTTGGGCAGGCTCCGTCGCAGGGGCTTCTTCTTGTACACTGCGTTCATCGTGGCTTCCACGGCCTACTTGATGTACTCGGTGTCCAACTTGCCGCCAGTTCCTCCGCCACCGAAGAGAGTGAAGGACAAGAAGCGCAAGAGCCGCAAGAACTCGCAGGCAGGCCAGGAAGAACGGCACAAGACTCGCCAGAGCTCACTGGACGCCATTCAGGCAGAGCAGGCACCTCCAGCACAGTCTGGGCATCCTGTGGATACCTGGACCAAGCGCGAGTTGTACCGCTACTTGACCAACGAGAACGTGTACCCTGAAATCAACGAGGACTTGGAGGTGGTCAGGCGAAAGGCTACAGAGGTGTACGAGCGCAAGCGCCAGCAGGCAGACGAGCTCAAGGCACAAGCTAACGCCCAGGGAGAACAGGCTACGTTAGCGCGCGAAGCAGCCGTGGCGGCAGAACGAGAGGCCTCGTTGGCTCAGGCAGCGTTCGCAGCCAGTTTTGGCGCTCCAGGGGAGTCATTGGGCTAAGCTTGGAGTGTGGCGAGGCCTCCACAGTGCTGCCAGCCCGCCATGGTTCTCAGTGGGCTATTCTGGTCTGAGTGTGGGTGTGGCACTTCGTGATCGCCCAGGGTAACCCTCAAGGTGTGAGAGTCAATTTTTTTACCCAGGCGGTTTTTAATTTGCTCTAGCGATATATATACCCCGGAATCCGCAACGAGCCAGTACTGACAGATGTAGGAGGCTACTACAGACAGTAATAGTGACAGATGTACTGACAGTGACCATGCAGACACCATGCACAGAACAGTGACAGGCAGTGACAGATAGTCTCAGACAGATGCAGACAACATGCAGACTGATAACAGACAGTGACAGTGGGCGAGACTCCATACAGTCCGTGATCCACCCACAACTGCTCACGGGACACCCCACACCACCAGCAATCTCCCTGGGTTACCCGCCCACCATAGTTACCCGGCCGCCCGCCGGCCCGGGGTCTGGCTCAGGCACTGTGATTACTGCACGTGACACCCCAACACCTGGCTGGGCCAGCAACCCGCTTATAAATGGCCTCCTTGTTTTGCTCCTTTCCCCATAAGCAACTATTCAAAATGGTCAAAGCTGGTAAGTACCACCAATTGGGTCTACAGCGCTGCAGTGGCAGCACTCTCAATGGCTGAGAATGCCCTGGAGTGCCTTTTTCACCAGTTGAAATGGCCCAGAATGGGACCAGGCCGCAATTGAGCAATCCAAGCAGCCATCAAACAGCCATCAAACAGCCCAAACAGCCCAAGCTGCATCAATTGAGTAGCCTATCTGCCATCCATCAAGTACTAACCGCCAGTCGCTGTTTTAAGAGGAGATTCCAAGGTTTCTGGTGTCGTCACCTTCTCGCAAGAAAAGGAGTCTGACCCCACCACTATCTCGTGGGAAATCAGTGGAAACGACCCCAACGCCTTGAGAGGGTTCCACATCCACACCTTTGGTGACAACACCAACGGTTGTACCTCTGCCGGTCCCCACTTCAACCCATTCTCCAAGGAGCACGGTGCCCCAGAAGACGAAAACAGACACGTTGGTGACATGGGCAACATCTCCACCGACTCCACCGGTCTTGCCAAGGGCTCCAAGCAGGACTCCTTGATCAAGTTGATCGGAACCCACTCCATTCTCGGCAGAACCGTGGTTGTCCACGAAGGTACTGACGATTACGGTAAGGGAGGTTTCGAGGACTCCAAGGCCACTGGTCACGCTGGTGGCAGACCAGCCTGTGGTGTCATTGGTCTTACCCAGTAATTAAGTATTAATATGACGAGACGAGTTGAGTACCATTGTAGAAGGTCCAGGATGATGAGCGATGGAATGAGTAACGAATTTCACTCAGGGACCAAAGAGGAATTATCACGACTGCAACATCTCGAGGTTGAAGTAACACTGTTTTTAGGTCATAGTACAATCCCACCAAATTGATTGACTGGAAGCTCCTCCAATGCCCCGAAATAACAGGAATACGGTCAAGATAAACATGGAAAATTACTATGAGATGAAGTAGAACACTTTGGACAAGTTCACGACTAGACCTTCGAGTTTCTGTTATCTGATTGATGCCGCCTTAAGCCGTGTCCCAAAGGGTCCCGAGGATGGAAGTCCCGAGGCTTAGCATGGAATACCCAGGAAAGTCTCGAGATAGAAGTCCTGACAGTCAAAGGTCCCGAGGCTGGAATTGAAAGAAGCTATCTGATTCAATAAACTGAATCACAGGCATTATATAACAGTGAAACATCTTTCACTAGAGAAGCCTGGAGGTTTACCGTGGAATGCCCAGTAGCCACTATTGAATCTACCTGCGTAACGATGAAATCTGCCCTGAATCGGAGCACTACAAACTCAATAACTGCAATGCAAGGAGAAATCTGTTATGGGGAAGTCCCCTGAAAATACTGCCATGTCAATGATCTGCCCCTAAATGCAGATCTTCAATAATTGCATCAATTAGTCAACTGTAGCTTCCTGCAATCGTGCACTAACGGTGAGAAATAAGTCAATTTATGCCAAGACCGCCCCTAGAGACCTAAAGGCGTCAATTAAATAGGTCAACTACTTGCAGTCGCTTCCTGCGATTGCGGTACTGGTGTCAATCAGTTAGATAAGTTGAAAAATCGTTAAATGTGCCGTACCCAATGGCCAATTAGCAAATACGTCAAATGCCGTGGCCCTGCAATCGTACCCTTATTGAAATAGTCCATCGGCCCTAGCTCCCGACATAGACTGAAAATCATGGCCCCGCTATTGTTCCATCCACTGGTGCCGTGTATCACTAGCACTGGCACGTGGAGCCACTCGTGGGTAATAACTGTCAGATCGTCAATACCACGTTTGACATCAATAAGTACCTGCTGCAGAGAGCCGTCACTGCACGGCTCAGCGCACTAATAGGCTCCTTTCACGCGCTAATAGGCTTCACTCACACGTCACTTAATCTTATCCGGAATATGAACCCGTGGGCGAGATAACAATTGCAGCCATATATAACCGCGCCTAGCGCCAGAATAGGCTGCAACGCCACCATGTTGAAGACCCTCTTGGCCATCGCTGCCACTGTCGCCTCCACCAAGGCTGTCTCTACCACCCTTACTGAGTGTACCACCTACACCACCACCGAAGTAGCCACCTATACCACCGCCTACTATGTGGTGAACGAGGTGCCTGCCTCCCAGGCCGACCAGGTCCACGCCTACCCTGTCGGCAGCTGTGACGCCTTCTTCAAGAGTCCCTACGACGCTTTCTCGTGCCAGAACACCACTGCCATTCCCGACGCCTACTCGTGCTGTTTCGAGACCTCGGGAATCTTGATGCAAACCCAGTTCTGGGACTTCGACCAGAAGTTGTTGGCCATCGCCAAGTCCAACGACACTGCCTTGATTGAACAGGCAGAACGCGAGTACACAGTTAGCGACCCTGTGCAGAACTCGTTCACCATCCACGGCTTGTGGAACGACTTCTGTAATGGAAGTTACCCTACCAACTGTAACCCTCCATTGGAGTTTGCCGACACCGAAAACCTCACCCAGATCATCCGTGACGAGTTCAACCAGCCTGAGCTCTACGAATATATGATCAAGTACTGGGTGAATAACGAGAAGTCCAACGTGCCTAACGGAGGCTCCATTGCGTTGTGGGAGCACGAGTACAACAAACACGGAACCTGTATGAACACCTTGCTTCCTAGCTGTTTCCCAGGTACCTACTCCAGACACGAGAATGCCGTCCACTACTTTAGAAAGGTGGTCGAGTTGTTCAAGGATCTTCCCACTTACAACTTCCTTGCTGGCGCCGGTATCTACCCTACCCTCACCAAGCAGTACAAGTTGACTGACATCAAGGACGCCTTGGCTGCGAACCACGACAACAAGCTGGTCTACGTGGGTTGTATCAACGGCACCATCGACGAGATCTGGTACTACCACCACCTCCACGGCAGTGTCTTGACCGGTGACTACAGACCTCTTGATTCCACCGGGAACGATACTTGCCCAGAGCATGTGTGGTATATCCCCAAGCCAGCCCCAGAAAAGTAGGGGAGGCTAAAAAAGAATGAATCCTTTTCATTTGAAAAAAGTTAAGCCTGGATATAGTCTGTACCATATGATGTATAGGAGAACATTATAGAAAGAGCTCAACCATGCTGGAAGCTGCAACTGACTTAATAAACTCAATCGAAAAATAGATAGCGAGCTAAGATAAACCAAATATGATAAAATAACTTAAAAATGGCACAAACAGCCAAACAAATAGATATTCTTTTGAATACGAGCATCCGTCCAAACCAATACAAATGTCCGATATGGAAAGTATGGTCCAGAACAGCAACGATTTACTTTTTGCAATTCAAATCCAAAAATGTAAAAAAGGACTCTAGATGAGGAAATCTCTAGTTTGTATGATTGAGCCAAGAGTTGAATGAACCGTGGAAAAATTTGAGTAAACCTCGGGTGTACAATGCAATAGAATACTTTACAGAGAGTACCCATCCAGGAAGTAAAGTTCGACAAAAAAGATGATCCACGGTCCGAAGGATCTCATAACTATTGTAGACTAAAATAACTTGAACTACTTTAATTTATTGAAAAGTAAAATTAGGCTTCTGAGGGCAAACCCATCACTACTCACTGTCGATGAAGGATCCAAAGCCTAACTGTGACTTACTAAGGGGGTTAAATGAAATGAAGGACTAATAAATGAGACGGGAAAATTGTTGAGTAGAGCCAAGAGCAGAATAATCAAGAACAATCCACAGTAATATTGTTCCCACTATACCTTCTAAAATAACAAACGAGATGAATCAAAAGTACTGAGACAAATGTCGAGGAAAACAAGACCAATGCTGACATAGGGTCCACCACGAATTCAACAATCAAGCAGTACTATGGCTTCACTAAAAATTGTACGATGTTACCTAGGTAGTAAAAAGCGAATTGTACGAGCTCAATACCGAATAATTGGAAATCCCACTAGAACAGCCTCAATTCCAGTGCCAAAACACCCCTCCCATTAGCCTCACAGGGGCACTCCCTTCAAATACGAACTACGGCTTCCGAATTAAATAGAAGTAACTGTTAGCAGCCCTCCCGCTGGCTCAGGTCCCGCTGCTCCACAGATGCACCCACCCGCCCGTGTTCCGAAAATATCTTGGAAATAGCTTGCAGTAGTAAATTCACCAATACGAAGAAACACTCTAGCACCACCAAAATTAGGTCCTTCACCTACCCTTCACCCACCACCGTTGATATACATCCCCGTGCCCACACAAGCATTCTTACTTCTTCCCACTCCTCCTCCCCCCGTCCAATCACCTTGCCAGCCATCGCTGTCCCCACATACTTTGTGCCCGCACCAGATGTATGCAATTAGCGGGATTGTCCCGCTGCGCCTTACTGGGCCGGCACAGCGACACGCACTGCCAGCCAGATAAACCCACCTCCACTGATAGCTCTGCTAAACACCCTGGCCAGGCCAGTAGCGCTTCTAGACACATCTAGCACCATGTAAGAAGCTCCCCTCACTGTAGTACACAAATCCCCTCGCTATCTCCCCTGTAGCAGCCTCGTGGGACCCTGGCTCGCCGTGCCCCCGCAGCGTGCCCTGGCACGGCACTAGCTGGCACAGATCACCAAGCTTCCGCAACGACAACTCCGGTATTTCTGATCTCCTTCAACACCATCGCTACGGCCCCCACGATGTCGGACCAACCGCCTACGTCCACGCCGCCCACGCCGCCCAACGCATCACCATCATTGCTGGTGCCCAGCACGCCAGCAACCAGGCGAAAGCGTGGTCTTTCGTTGAGATCACAGCTCTTCAACAAGACCATCTTGGGCCAGGTTTTGGACCCTTCACCAGCCGCTGCTAGCGAGCTGCCGTCAGAAGGCACGTCCTCGTCCCGAAGAAACACAGTGTCGTTCTCTCCCGAGCTCGAGACCCCCATAGAAATGCATACCATGGTTCCTCCCCAGATCCATGTGGAAGAACCTCCTGAAGGAGACGTGTCGCCCGCTGTCAAACATTACGATCCCTACAACGTGCTCAACTCCAACTTAAGCCAGTCTACCACCCACTTGTCGACGGTGTCGTCCGCCAATGAGACGATGTCTTTGGTGTCAAAACGAGAACGAGCAGCCATGAAGAGGTACAACACTCACAATAAGCTCCTCCGCGCAGTGTTGGAGCTCAAGAACAAGATATTGGGCCAAAAAGTGCTTCCCGCCACCGAAAGTGGCAGAGTGATCCCGTTAAGTACCAATCACCACGACGTGAATCGGTATTTTCTGGACGAATACTACGATCCAGGCAAAAAAGCGTTGATTGACGAGCGTACAAGTGCTCCCTACGTGAGTAATCTCATTGTGTCGTCGAAGTACACCTACTACTCGTTTTTGCCAAAACAGTTGAAGGCCCAGTTCTCCAAAATAGCCAACTGCTATTTCATGGTCATCGCTATCATGCAGATGATTCCTGGCTGGTCTACCACTGGCCACTACACAACAATTATTCCATTGTTGATATTCATGTCCATCTCCATCGCTAGAGAAGGGTTCGATGACCTCAAGAGACACGGTCATGACAAAGAAGAAAATAACAAGAAAACCCACGTCATCAAGGAGGACGAAGAATTCACAACATATGATGTACATTCAATGGCCACGGTGGTAACCGAGACCATGTCGTTCTCTGGCCAGAGCTATTTGGGATCGACTGATAACGAATCCAAAAGAATCAATCCCAACATATCGGCCAGTTCGTCCCTTTCCGATATCGAAGACAATAACTTCACGAATTCCGATTTGATGAAGAGGTATAATTTAAAGGAGTATACCACCAAATGGAGCGATGTAAAGGTCGGAAATATCATTAGAATCAACGAAAATGAATGGGTTCCTGCCGATGTGTTGCTATTGACCACAAGTAATCAAGAGACCCAGGAGGCTTTTGTGGAAACTATGGCACTAGACGGAGAAACTAACCTCAAGTCGAAAGTACCACCTAGCCAAATATCCAAAAGAATGGCCTCTGTGCCCGGCTTGAAGTCAACAAAAGCATTATTCACCGTGGAAGATCCAAACTTGGATCTATACAATTTTGAGGGATCGTTTGTTCTTGATGGAGAAACATTTGCATTAGGACCTGAAAACATTGTTTACAGAGGTAGTATTCTCAGAAACACCAAATCTGTATTGGCTTTAGTTGTCTTTACCGGCGAGGAAACTAAGACCAGAATGAATAACCTCAAAAACCCGAGAACCAAAGCTCCAAAATTACAAAAGAATATCAACTACATTGTCATATTCATGGTATTTGTAGTGGCATTCTTATCAGCATTTTCCACAATGGCACAAAGATTACAGTTCAAAAATAATAGAGACAAAGCATGGTATTTGTACGATCAAGATGCTGGTGTTGCTGCAACGTTCATGGGTTTTATTATCATGTACAACACTTTGATCCCGCTTTCGCTTTATGTCACCATGGAAATCATCAAAGTCATGCAATTGTGCCTCTTACAATTTGATATTGATATGTATCATGTGGAAAGTAACACCCCTGCAGATGCCAAAACAGCCACAATTTTAGAGGAATTGGGCCAAGTTGGATACATCTTTAGTGACAAGACTGGAACCCTTACGGATAACAAAATGATATTCAGGAAGTTCAGTGTCTGTGGTGTTAGTTGGATTCATGATTTAGATATCATTTTGAAAGAGAGAGAAAATCCAAATAGTCAAGTATTCACTCCATTGAATTTGATGCACGCTTCGATATTTGGTTCGAGCTCTCCAAGAAACAGCTCCGATATAAGGGGAAGTTTCGATGGTGCTAGAATAAGCACTTCGTCAATTGCTCGTGAGAGTCTCGAAATTTCTAAGTTGAAATCCCAAACTAGTTGGAAATCTACTGCACAACCTAAGAAGGTTCAGGACTTAGCAAGCTCTCTACAATTGCTTAAGCATATCCAATCACATCCTCAGACGCTTTTTGCTAAGAAGGCCAAATTCTTTCTCATGAGTATTGCATTGTGTAACACATGTTTGCCCAGAAAAGAAACTGCCACGACTTCAGCAAACAATTCCAGCGACTCTTCGTTTTCTTTGACCGACGCTCCAGATAAGGAAGATGATGGAGCCATTGACTATCAAGCTGCTTCTCCTGATGAACTTGCTTTAGTTCAGGCTGCGAGAGATTTGGGTTTTGTGGTTTATGATAGACTTCACAAAAAGTTAACTATTAAGACTTATCCAGAAGGATTTGAAGGCGAACCCCACATTGACGAATATGAGATTTTGGAGGTGGTGGAATTTTCTTCTTCCAGAAAAAGAATGTCGGTTGTGGTTAGATTTCCTGACAATAGAATCTGTGTGATTTGTAAAGGTGCCGATAACATTATTCTTGAGAAATTAAAGAATCATGATTTGGCAAGAGCCAAAGCTAAGGAAATTGCCCTAAATTCGGCCGATAGAAAGACAATGGAAGCAGACATTGTTTTACAGTCTCGTTTCTCACATGACTTACAATCAAAGAAATCACTCAGCTCCTTACGCCAGAGTCTTGGTGGCCGTCCAAGTTTGGATCGTATTGGTTCCATCGACAATGCATTACTGAACAGAGACGACGATGAAATTGCGTCCATAGCTTCTAAAGCAAGGAAATCGTTGCATATTCAGCAAGCGAAGAGATATAGTTTGGACTCGCCAGCCAGAGAGGGTTCTGCGGACAGAAACACGGAGAACCTTTTCGTTCCAAGTGACAAATTATTGGTTAACGAGGAATTCGTGATCGAGAAAACCTTAGAACATATTGAAGAGTTTTCTACAGAAGGTTTGAGAACATTGTTGTACGCCTTCAAATGGCTCGATAAGACTGAGTATGAAAACTGGTCAAGAGAGTATGGAAATGCAAAGACTTCCTTGGTCGACAGATTGAACAAAGTTGAAGAAATTGGTGGTCGCATTGAAAACGGATTCGAATTGGTGGGAGCAACAGCTATTGAAGATAAGTTACAGGAGGGTGTCAGTGAAGCTATCGAGAAGTTGAGGAGGGCTGGTATTAAGATGTGGATGCTTACAGGTGATAAACGAGAAACCGCGATCAATATTGGATACTCCTGTAGGTTGATCAAAGACTATTCCACAGTGGTGGTACTATCTAACGATGAAGGTACGGACGTGTTGATGGACCGTATTACTTCAGCCAGTCAGGAAATTCAATCAGGCAGAGTCGCCCACTCAGTGTTGGTAATAGATGGCTCTACGTTGACAGATGTGGAAAAAGACCCGACCTTGTTGAGTTTATTCTTGGATTTGTGTGTCCAAGTCGACTCTACGATATGTTGTCGTGCTACTCCTTCACAAAAGGCAAGTATGGTGAGTGCCGTGAGACGATTGAACAAAAAAGCCGTTACTCTCGCTATTGGAGATGGTGCCAACGACATCGCAATGATTCAAAGTGCAGATATAGGTGTTGGTATTACAGGGAAGGAGGGTCTCCAGGCAGCAAGATCTGCGGACTATGCCATCGCACAATTCAGATTTCTTCTCAAATTACTCCTTGTGAATGGGCGTTACAACTATATCAGGACCTCTAAGTTCGTCTTGTGCACATTCTACAAGGAATTATTGTTTTATTTGACACAATGTGTCTACCAAAGAAATACCTTGTTCTCGGGTTCGTCAATGTACGAAAGTTGGTCCTTGTCAATGTTCAATACATTATTTACTTCTCTTCCAGTATTATGTGTGGGAATGTTCGACAAGGATTTGAAACCAGCAACGTTATTGGCAGTTCCCGAGCTATACAGTAAGGGTAGATTGTACCAAGCATTTAATTTGAAGATCTTTCTTTCATGGATGGCATTGGCAACCTTTCAGAGTATTGGGTTGTCTTTCTTAGCATATCAGATCTGGGGATATACAGCTCTACCAGACAATACTACCTTCCCCTTAGGAACTATGCTCTTCACAGTCTTGACCATTATTATTAATGCAAAGTGTGAGTTCATTGAAATGCAGAATAGACAATGGTTTGCCTTTGCAGCTTTCATTATATCTGTCGGTGGTTATGCTCTTTGGAATGCATTAATTATGTCCTTGTACAGAGCAAAAGATGCTACAATTTTTTATGTTGCTTATGGCTTAGTTACCTGGGGGCAGGATCAGAGTTGGTGGGCTTCTGTTTTGGTGTTGACAACATTGGCTCTCTTGTTTGACATCATAATTAAAGTTTTCAAGTTTATATTCAAACCCAACGATGATGAGATTTTCCGGGTTTTTGAACAGGATGTTGAAATGAGAAAGTTCTTTGAACTTAGGGCATATTCTGAGCTTTATCAAGGTTGGACTTTCCCTAAAGACCCTTCAACATTTAGAACAGGAGTTGTTCGTTTGTTCAATAAGATTACCACACATGTTGGCATTTCGAAGAACATCGAATTGCCGAAAGTCAAGGAAATCCAAGAGGTTATGGAGCAGCAAAGTGCAATCAACAGAAAGCGTGCCGGAACAAATCCTACAGCTCACGAGCTTCCGCCTAGTGGTGATGGAGAAGCAGTTTCAGGTGTCGATTTCGACGAGTCTTTGGACGATGACGGATATGAGACCTTGCCGAGTGGAAAGAGAGTTAAAATTAAGATGAGGAACAAGTCTTGGAAGTTAGCAGATATCTTAAAGAGGAAGAATAGTTCGAATGATATGGTTGATGAGGATATCGATGCAATTATCGACGAAAGGTTGACAAGTTTGCGGAATGAAGAAGAGGGTATCCGTCATGATACACACAAGTAATCATGCGGGACTACATATTGATCAAGATCGTCAAAAAGGCTGTTAGAAATCAGTCACATCTAACAAGAATAAATTTTGTTTACAGGCAAAAAGCAAGATTATAAGAGTCACGAAGTCTGAAAGTTCCTTTCCACATACACAAGGAAGACTCGTGCATTAGCATAGCATATATGTCCCAAAAATGTATTATCTATAAGAAATTATGTAAAGCCCAGCTTACAATGTAGTAAATTTTAGATTCCTCAACCCACACGAGTTCTGTTTGTCATATTAAGATCATGTTCCAATCCTAATACAACGCTTCTCAAATTCTTACTCTTTGAGTTTTGGATCAACCAATCTTCGAAAGAAACCCTGCATGCTTTTAATTCGAGCAGCAACGACTTTTTGTGGCTGTCGTCCTTGTAAGGATTCAAAAGCAATTCGAAGAGTGGTATCCATAATTCGAGTTGCCAGTATCTTTTAAGATTGTTCTCGAGTTTGACACTGCCTTTCTCCTTTTTGATCTTTATGTAATTTCCGAACAACATACTATGTATAATGCTTGCCAACCCATAATAATCTGCTTCATAGCACCAAGACTTGTTCTCGTTCATTTGAGGGCAGTCTTGTTCATCAGTTTTCCAGTTGCTAACGAAATGGGTATTAGGAGGAAATAATGTGAGATCTATCGCTCTCCCGAAATCAATAAGAGTAATGCTTTTCTTAGACCACGTACTTATAGTTTCTGCACTATACGTTTCACTCAATTCATCACTTTCTGTGAAATTGATCATACAGTTGTCAGCCTTCAAATCGCCATGGAGTATTCCAATATTATGTAAAGTTTCAACTGCCTTCAACAATTCAATGGTTAAGAGGATACATAGCACCTCTTCTAGAGTCAGCCCCTTGTTCTTGTAATGATTGATGATGTCCAAGACTGTACCTTGTGAATGAAAATCTATTATCAAATAGCTCTCATCTTTGAAATGGTATAAGGAATCGGGCTTCACTATAAGTGATGAGATCGTCTTGTCTTGTCCAATTAATCGGCGATAAACTTGGTTGAGGATATAAAATTCCCATTCCGAAGCAGGCGATTCCACTTTTAATGCTTTCAATTCTCCAGTTCTTCCCATTTCAATCAAGTATACGTATCCATAACCTCCCTTCCCTAATTCTAGCCTTAAACAATAAATCTCATCACCACAAAAATCGATCATGGCACTTTGAGAACCTTTGGAAATTGATTTAGTATGTTTGTTGGTGATCTCCTTGAAAAGCTGCATTTTAGAAATGGTTCTATCACTGAAATTATTGTAGCCTGGATATACGAGCAAAGGAATTGACAACGCAGATAGCAATTGTGCTCTCAACGAAAGGTCCACAGCGTTTACTACTTGGGGAAATTCATCAGTTGATGGTCGCTCAACGAAGGGAGAGCTATGGTTACTTTCTTTATCAGTAGGAGGAGTTTCAATTGATTCCAATTGAGGAATTGGTTGGTTATGGATCGTTTCCGTTACGAATCCTTCATAATTTGTAGTTGTGACTTCATCCTCCCTGACACTCTCGTCATCTGAGTTGAGGTTCTGAGCAGCATCATTGAACATGTTAATGACCTCATTATTGGCCATTCTCGAGAACATGGTTATGGTTGGTGACTGAGGTCTATCATGTTTTATTGTTGAGTCATCCTCGTCCCTTAATGGGACGACAACTGTGTGTGTATGGTTTGATTCATTTGCACCACTACCAACTGTTCTCTTTCTAGATGAGCGTCTTTGCATGGCTAGAATTTCTTCCAAGCAAAATTCTTCATTTATGCTCGGGTACAACAAATCAACATTCAACCATACCTTTTCAGTACGCTTTCCAGGAACATTAATGATGGTGTGTACACTTCCGTCTGATGCTGTTTCTGTTTTTTGGCATGCTTTGGGCTCATCTTGGGGCGCGGTTGCGGATGGGTCTCGATAGACATGAAATTTTGTAGATGAGCCGGAAGAAGAGCTTTGCCTCTCAAGAGGCACCTTTTGCTTGATGATCTCGCCTGACCACGGTTTTGGTTGGATGGAATTTTCTTTTATTCTGGATTTAATAGTGCCAAGTTCGTTGGAGTCCGACGACCCGTTGAATATGGAGTGTAGAATGCTTTGATTGGGGCCAGATTCGTCTTGGAACACTTTCAACTTGGGTTTCTTTCGCGTGGACTCATCTTTGTCGATGGTAGCGACGGCATCGCCTCGTTTCAACGCCAACGCGTTTCTTATTGCAGGTACTGCTTCATGAGAGGGAGCACCTTCCACTCGCTGCTTGAATCTGTGGAATGAGCGCTCCAAGCGGACGATGGGACGAGCATTATTCTCGATGCCCAACTCGTAGATGTTGCGAGCATCTGCTTCTTTTCCATTCAACTCCAAGTAGTTGGCAAACTCCTCGTAATAGAGTGCGAGCTGGCTGCCGATGTCTTTGCGGGCCAAGTACACGAAGATGTCTCGTGGAGCATCTGAGTAGTTGGTGTACTCGAGCCACACCTTGAGGTAGCGAGGGTCGTTCTTGTAGTGGGCAACATCACGGAAGCATGAGGTGCACCGTTCGAGGAGGTTCAAGAGTCCACTGTCGCTGTTGTTTCCCTGGGGATAGTTGGTGTGCGTCCACTGGATATAGTCCACATACACCTGGAGCGGGTCGTCCAACTCGTCTGTGTTGCGCAACTCATCTTCGAAGGCTTCTCTGTCCTTTCGGAGGTTATCTTTGAATTGGAGGAGAGATCGCGACGACTGCTTAACGCTGGCGGCGAGTTTGCTGGCAAAATGGCCTCCGGGAAGAGGTACGATGTTCTCCTTGGCGCTCTCGAGGAGCGACGCGTCAGAGACACCCTTGTGCATGGTTCTAGCGTGTGGAAGTGGATGTAAACAAACTATGTCGCGTTTGGTGGGTCCGAAACATCACCATGTCGCGGGTCCATGTCGCAGGATGGTATTTCTGGTAAATGTCGCTCCTATAATACTGCAATAGTTGGTACGGCAATTCCCCAGCAGCGTCTTATTACTTGGATCTATTGGTACAGTGACTTTCAAGTAGTGTCTCATCAATGGAATATTTGGTCAGCGATCCCGGCCCATTCAATTTTTGTCCGAGAATTTATATGTTTGAACATACCACAATACCATTCGCTACCTCATAAACTGATACGAGCTCCTGCTATCCTGAGGTTTGGCTCTCGGTAATGAATTATTGAGGAGCACTGTAAAATAAGGTGAACCCCCCGAATTTTTTAGGTCAGAGTAAGGCTACTTTTTTCCACACGGAGTTAAACTACTGGAAGTGATACTTCCATTCCACAGAGGTACTTCGGAAATACTGAAAATGGATGGATATAAGTACAGTTTATTGTGCAATACATGACTGAATTTATTAGTTTTTGTTGCAAAAGGACGACCACAATTTTGTACCATACTGTGTAAGCCATAAATATCACTAAGTTTTGTCTCATTCTCTGAATAAACCATTCATCTAATTACTTAGTCTACTTCAATATTTCGGTACTTTAATTTACAAATCCAGCCCTTCTACCTTAAAATAAATATATCTTCCGATGGAGATCCTTGTGTTCTACATTTTGTTCTAGGCATTTTACCAGCTATAAATTATCACTTTGAGCCAATATAAATGAAGTCCCATTATTTTTTTTATATCCAAAAAAGCAACTATCAGGCCTTGGTGACAAGTGCTACTTTGATTTGCGACTATCCGGACTTCTGCGAATGCCTCAATACAGTCCAAATTCTATACTTCACCCATGTCGCCCGTCCCTCCAAAATCACCATGTCGCATGTCGCGTCGCGCTCTATATACAATTCTGCCGCTGACGTTGCAACAAACACCAATGATCTCCTGGCTCAAGCTCCTCTTCCTCGTGGCCGTTGTGGCTGCCTCAGAGAGGTACTACAATGAGACCTTGAGCTTGAAGCCGTTGCCGAACAACAATTTGTTGGCATCGTTCCAGTTCCACATCGAATCGCAGCCAATTGATCTCGAGTACTACGACGACCACAACAAGACTGGGACAGCCAAGCACTACTCGTACTTCCCCAGATCGTTGGGACCTATTTTAGAGGCCACCAACACCCGCGAGTTGCACTTGCGGTTCACCCAGGGGTGGTGGGACTCCGGATCGTGGGGCCTGCTTCCCCAACAGGGCCTCCAGAGTGGCGGTACTGGCGTGGAGATGTGGGCGGTAGTCGAGGCTCCCGATAGCCACACCGCCAAGCAGAACTGGTTTAAGTTGTCCAAGACGCTTTCGGGGTTCTTCTGTGCCTCGTTGAACTTCATTGACGACTCCATCACTGCCTTCCCACGCTACGCAGCATCCCATCCTAAGGGAGTGGTGCTGAACCCCAGCAACCACGTTTACTTGATCAGAGCGTCGTTGCCCAGTGAGCCAATCTGCACTGAAAACCTCACTCCGTTTTTGAAGTTGTTGCCCACCCGAGGCAAGGCTGGTATTTCCTCGTTGTTGGATGGCCACAAGGTGTTCGACTCGTTGTGGCACGGCATGTCTATCGATATTACCACCGAGTGCGTGTCGGCCCAGTGCCACTACCAGATGGAGCAGTCGGTCAATGCCATCGTGGACATCACCAGATCCATCAGAAAGAAGCAAGAAGGAGGCCTTCCCAAGCCCACTCCCGGCGACAAATTGCGTTGTGACGATTCCAAGACCTTCAACATCTGGCAATGCTTCCCGCTTGACGAGCCTACCAACGTCACCTGGAGCTTGGACACCATCTACGGCAGAAAGCTCAAGGGCCCAGCATTTATTGACGATCCAGAATCCACGGCCATCAAGATCGACATTGACTCCAACCACTGGGATGTTGACATGAAGTTGGACAAGGATGATGCCCTCCTTTCCTGGAGGGTGTCGGGGTACGAGAAGGACCAAATCACAGAGTACATCAAGGAGGAAGGTGACCATGACATCGAATTCATCACCGACGACAGCACTTTCACAGCTCCAGTGGAACAACCCCCATTGTATGCATCCCGTTCTCTTACCGGTTATTCCTTGGATAAGGGCGGTTTCCGTACCGTTCTCACTAACCCCTCTGAGTCCGAAAGTGTCGAATTCATCTACTTCGAAACATTGCCATGGTTCATGAGATTATACCTCAATACCTTGACCATGAAAGTTCAGAACTCCACAGGCACCTATGAAGTGGAAGATGAGTCTGTGTACGTCAAGAACAGATACTTCCAGCCCGCTATAGATAGAAAAAGACCTTCTCATTTGGAATTTGTCATGACCATTCCTCCCCAGCTGACTTTGTTTTTTACATACCAGTTCGACAAGTCTTTGTTGTTGTACCATGAATACCCACCAGATGCTAACCATGGATTTGCAGTTGAACCTGCCATCATAACCGTGTTGGACAAATCTAACCACGGGGTATATGAGGTCCGTACCACCAGTGTTTTGTTGACACTTCCTACACCAGATTTCTCGATGCCATATAATGTCATTATTTTAACATGTACAGTTATGTCGTTGGCTTTTGGATGCATTTTCAATTTGTTGACCAAGAAAGTCATTACCGAAAATGAGCTCGAAAAGCTTTCTGAGCAAAGCAAACTTGCTAAAATTGTTTCTGGTCTTAGAGCAAAAGTGCAAAGACTCAAGTCTTTAGTCAGAAGATAACGCTAGATTGTGTAATATAGTTTAAATAAATAGTGACCAGCTCAGGCGGAGACAATTGATCAAGAGATTTTGGTGCATATCCACAGCTGACGTAGGTTTTGGCTTATTTTTATTTCATTGATGAATTAATGGCAGAAGGGCTTGTCACTTTTTGCGTAGGATGAATAGTAAGAATAAAAGAGTATAGAATAAATTATTCAAAACGGCCATTTCATAAATTTGTAGCAAGTATAGATACCTTGTCCCTATTTACAAACACTGAGTGTCCGATTTGAGAGAACTGAGAATGAAGTCCTTGTATTAAAAATTCAACTTTGTTGACTCATTGAGCATCATATCAATATAATAATCCACCAAAGTTGCTATTTAGTACTACCTCTTTTGACTTCATTTCTTAGCACATGTAATATCAAATTCTTAGGAGTATAAATACCATTAGCTAGAGGAATTTTATCAACAATTCCCGTATCAGTCGCAAAAAGTGTCCGGAATACCATTTGCTCAAAAGAATGGAAAGGTAAATACAAATTGATGAGGTGGAGATACGTCAATGCCAATTTCTACTGCTTAGTTCCTATCATAAGCCCAGAGAATCAGCAATAAAATATTGTGGAGTATGTATTTACTGGATAATCTTCTTCCTAGCCTGCTCTGCTCATTGGTATTTTATCACACCGTTCCACCTAACTATCTCCTTGCCATAAAGAACAGATCATCTTGTGGGTTCTCACCTCTCATCCTATATATCCTAAATAATGATATTGTGTATTGATATTAAGATCTATACTTGATGAATTAGGGGGTTTTATAGCTACATTTGCAGCCAACATTAAGACGTTGCATTTTGAGCTATCTATATTATTTCAATTCGATTCTGCCAGTTTCCCTTTGGGGGAATGAGCCTTTCTTCTAGTTTCTCCGATAAAACCCCAACCATTCTTCGTTGACCTTACATCAACTTCTTTCATTTAAGCGCAGGATATTCTCGGTGCCCAGGCTTCACAGCTCTATAATTCGGGTTATGGCCACATCCGGGGCCAAATACGATGGATAAGCACTGTATCCACACTAATAGTACACCTTTGGAATTAGGCAGTGGTGTTTACACTGCAACCCTGTTTCCTACCTAAAATGGGTCCTCGTATGGGTCCTCTTCGTCGTAGTCATCATCCTTCTCAAACTCGTACACAATGGCTCCTCCCGCTGAGCCAAGGGCTTCCTGGGCTTCCATGAACGGAAGCTCGACCTGTTCACGGGCCAACCGCTGCTTGGAGTTGGTGGTCAAGTTGAAGGTGGTGAGGTCCTTCAACAAGCTCTCATCCTCGGGACCAATGGTGTCCTCAGTCACCTTGAACGGTTCGAACTCGTGCTTGGAAGCATCGAATGTAAACGTGTAGATCAACGAGCGACCACTCTTTCTTCTGTTGGTCAAAGTCACCTTTGAACGGGTGTCGTTCAAGCCTGCACGAATAGGAAACTCCAAGCGTTCGATTTTAGCTTCCAAGAGCTCGTCGTCGATGCGCTGATGGGTCAATGGCTCCACCTCGAAGATCGAGCTGGCGATGTAGGTGAGAAGACTCACTGGACCAGGGTAATTGGCAATGGTAGACGCCAGCTGGGGGCTGTTGGTGTGATAGGAAGCAACCACGGTCAACGAAGGCTGGATCAAGCTGCTGACGAATTGAGTGAGCTCTTCGTTGGCGATGTAGTTCAACGAGTCGATGAGCACCAACGTCTTGGTCTGGCCACCAGCAACTGATTTGGCCTCCTTGTGAACAGCAGCCACCACTTCACGTGGTAACAAGCCCGCACAGTCCACGAAGGCCGTGGCGTACGACGGACGGTTGGTGGTTTCGTACGAAAGATATATGATGGGGTTGTTGGAGCACCTGTGCACAAACTCTTGGAAGAGGTAATAGGACGACTGCTGCAACGAGTCGAGCACGAGCACGAAGGGTGAGGCCTCCTTGAGCGACACGAGCCGTGACACCAACACTGTGGCGTTCTGGACGGACATGGGGTAGAAAAGGTATTTGGGTGTGTCTTGAGAGTGTCTCAGTGAGTGTCTTTAGAGTGACTTTAGTCGGATAATTCGATCCTTGGATGTCTCTTGTCCGCTAATTGGAATCTTCAGATGTCTTGAGTCTGATAATGCGTTCTTCAGATGTCTTTAGTCCGAATTGAAGTGTCTTTAATCCGATGATCTGGAGTGTCTTGGTCCAACCGTTAGGTTCTTCAGAATGTCTGTAGTTCGATAATTGGTATCTTCAGACCTTCTTTTAGATTGGTTACTTCAGAGAGACTTCTAGTAGCACCTTCAAAGTATCTAGTTCGTATCTTTTAAGTGTCTAGTTGGTATCTTTATGTCTTAGTCCGATTGCACGACTCATCATCATCACTCCAGAGCGTGAGCCAGAACACGACTGGACCACCCCAATCACCACACAAACCAGCACAAACCACCCAAAACGACACCTCCTCCTACAGCCAGCGCCATGACCTCCCATTCCAACGGCAAGCGCAACTTGGTGGGCAACTACACCATCCCGTCGGCTTTGGCAGACGAGATCCGCACAGAGCACCACCACGACGATGCACTCTCCTCTTCACAATTGAAGCAGAACCTCACCCAGAACGAGTACCAGCAGAAGCGCCACAATCGTGTGGTGGACTTGGACTTGAACAACACCAAGAGCTACAAGCAAATTATGGAGGAACGGGAGTTTGAGCGCGAGGAGCAGAGAGTAAAGCAATTGATAGAGAGAGGGAGACAGGAGGCAGAACAGGCACAGGCCCAAGAAGAACAGGTCCAGGGACAACAGATCCAACTAGTTGCCAGAAGAGAAAGAAAAAGACGGTGGGACGTCACTCCCGAAGAATATGAACGAAACAAGAAATCGGGTCCCGAGCGTGACGATAACTCCATCGTGCTGAAGCTCTTGAAATTGGGCACTAAGGTGCCCATTGTCTCTGGTGTACCCTTGACAGACGAGATCCTAGACAAAATACTTCCTCCTGGCTACATCAAACTAGACGTGCCATCCGGATACGAACAGCTTGAAGACGGTAAAGCTCCTGACATCACAGAATTGCCCATGGATCGCTACATGCCACCTTCCGCAGATCAGACAAAAAATACCTTGGCTTTGCGGGAACAGATCCCCACAGAGGTGCCTGGAATCACTGGGCTCCAATCTTTCAAGCAGGAAGATATGAAATATTTTGGAAAATTGATACATTTGGAGGAGTCCAGCCTTTCTGGAGACGAAAAGAAGGAAGTGGAGGTGATGAAATTGTTACTCAAGGTAAAAAATGGCTCCCAAGTGACTCGTAAAAGATCCTTGCGTCAATTGACCGACAGTGCAAGGAAGTTTGGCCCCAAAATACTTTTCAATCAAATTTTGCCGCTATTATTGGAGCCCAGCTTGGATGATCAAGAAAGGCACGTATTGGTCAAGCTCACGGGTCGCTTATTGTACCATTTGGATGATCAAATCAGACCCTACACTCACAAGGTCTTGGTGGTGATATCGCCAATGTTGATCGATGAAGACTTTACTCTCAGGCTTGAGGCCAGGGAAATCATCTCAAACTTGACCAAGGCCGCTGGTTTGGCCAATATGATTTCAAGCTTGAGACCCGACCTTGACCATGTGGACGAGTATGTGCGTAACATAACTTCCAGAGTATTCGCAATCGTTGCCAACACCCTCGGTTTAGTATCGTTTTTGCCTTTTCTCAAGGCAGTAATAAAGTCCAAAAAGAATTGGATGGCAAGACACACCGGCATTAAAATAATCCAGCAACTCTGTATACTATTGGGAGGTGGCAATGGTAATTCTATCCTTCCCTACTTGACTCAAATGATTGAAGTGTTAACTCCGGCAATTACAGACGAAGTTTTGCAAGTCAGAACCATCACTGCTTTGACCTTAGCTCAATTAGCAGAGAATGTTAATCCTTACGGTATAGAGTCTTTCGAGAATGTGTTAGAACCTGTGTGGGTTAGCTTGAGAAAACACAGAGGGAAAGGTTTGGCCAGCTTTTTGAAATGTATTGGAGCAATAATTCCTCTCATGTGTCATGATCCAAATTATGAGGAGTACGCCAACTACTATAGTAAGGAGCTTGTGGTAATAATCACACGAGAGTTCAGCTCTCCTGACGAGGACACACGGAAGACTATCTTGAGAATTTTGATCAGCTTGCCTTTATCACGTCAAATTATTAACAATTATGAAAGCCAGATCATGAAACCTTTTCTCAAAAGCTTTTGGAATAGAAGGACCGCATCAGATTCTTACCAACTCACGAGGTTGGTGGTGGACTCAACAGTAGAGTTGGCAAAAAAATTTGATTTTTTGGAAGTATTGGAATCCATCGTTATATTCACAAAAGACAATAATGAACAATTGCGTAGAATGGCCACCGAAGCCATTCACAAAATGATTTCACCCAACTCTGATAATCTTATTGGATTGGATTCTCAATTGGAAGTCAAATTGGTTGATGGAGTCTTGTTTGCTTTCCAAGAACAGACAGTTCAACATAACATTTATTTGCAAGCACTTGGAACTGTCGCTACAGCATTGAACGTAAGGTTGAAACCACACATGGACTCTATCATCAGCACGGTATTGTATCGTTTGAAGAATAAAGAACCTGAGATTCGACAACAGGCAGCCGAATTGATTGCTCTTATTGCACCTGTCATTAAGCAATGCTCTAACCAGGAAGATGAACTTTTATGCAAATTGATATTAATATTGTATGAAGCATTGGGAGAGGTCTTTCCTGAGGTGTTGGGATCCATCATCAATGCGTTGTTTTCTTGTATTGACACTGTTGATAAAGCCACTTTATATGTGATGTCGAACCCTTCAATCAATCAGATCCTTCCAACCTTGACCCCCATTTTAAGAAATAGACAAGAGAAAGTTCAAGAGGCTTGTATTAAGCTTGTGGGATTGATTGCAAAGAAGAACTCGGAAACGATTAATGCCAAAGAGTGGATGCGCATATCGTTCGAGCTACTCGAAATGCTCAAATCTTCAAAAAAACGGATTCGAGTAGCTGCCAATGAAACGTTTGGATATATTGCAAAGACTATAGGCCCACAGGATGTGATAGTGATGCTTTTGAACAATTTAAGGGTTCAAGAACGTCAGTTAAGAGTCTGCACTGCAGTTGCTATTGGTATTGTTGCTGAAACTTGTGCACCTTTCACAGTTTTACCTGCGATCATGAATGAATACCGTATACCCGAGAAGAATGTCCAGAATGGTGTGTTGAAGGCTCTCAGCTTTTTGTTTGAGTATATTGAAGGAAGTATGGCCAAGGATTATTTATTTGCTATTACGCCCCTACTTGAAGATGCACTTACTGATAGAGATCAGGTTCATAGACAAACGGCGGCCACTGTTATCAAGCATATAGCATTAAACTGTGTTGGGTTGGCGAACGACAGCTACCACGAAGTTTTTGTCCATTTGTTGAACTTGCTTTTGCCGAATATTTATGAAACTTCGCCGCATGTTATTATCAGAATTTTAGAAAGTATTGATGCGTTGAGAATAGTGTTGGGCGTCGGAATTTTTACAAATTATGTGTGGGCTGGGTTATTCCATCCTGCCAGGAAGGTTAGGTATCCCTACTGGAAGATGTTCAACTCTGCTTATGCTCAAAATAGTGATGCATTAGTTCCATACTATCCTCGGATAGATTCATTCCCGGATGATGAGAGTGACAACTATACCATCGAAGAGCTCGACATATTCATTTGAAGTACCTATACACGATCACAACAGTGCTTGGACATGGCAAGCATCTTACTTGCGGGATGATGGAGTTTTAATGGGTATGTTTCATGCCCTTGTCCAAATTTTTTGTTGGCACTATTGCCGTATTCAAAAAATTCTTCTTCATTATCATCATCATCAGCAGCAGTAGTTTTAACCTCCGGTTCAAGTTCCTTAAAATAGTGGGTAACGACGTAACGAGTGATTTTCCTTGCCTGCAACTCAATCAAGGCGTCGTTATCAGAATATTCAAAAAACCCATGAGATATGCTTGACGAGGTCGAGCTGTCCACCACCCCAGGGTAACAATCCATAAAGATTTCTGTGTCATTGCAGTACGAGTATGGGATTTGCAAAATCCATTTCAGGACTTTTTCGTTGACAGACATGCTTTGGGCTTTTCGGGGGTTGAAGTTCACTGGTAATTGTTGTCCCGGGCCATTTTGTTGGCTACTTTTAATGACAAATATCCCTTGGTTTGGATATTTGGGAAGGCACTTGTGCATTTCTGCCGTTCCTGGGCTGGGATTCACGCTAGCAACTTTTTTTAACGGCGTGGATTCGTGCCTGCCATCTATAGCATCGTATACAGTTAATAGAACTTCGTTTTCAGCTTGTGTAGTCTCCATGGTGGTTAATGTAGTTGGATGGCCGCGAAAAAGTTGCACCCGTGCACAAATACAATACGTAAGCGAGTTTTCACAGAGGTCGGAGGGGAAACGTCAAGCTCGCTAGAAAGAGATTTATGGGACAGATGGGAATTAAGCACTAAAGGTACCAAGAAGACTAGTATAAATTCTACATGGCGCATATGATGGCTTAAGCTGGCTGTCTCTCGTAGCTGGCGTTGATGGGACTGGACCTTGCGCGGGGCCATCGTATTTTCAACGGGCGTAAACTTACAGAGCTAGAGATCCCGCAAGGAAAAACCGCTGAGAGCAATGAGCGATGCCAAGAGGAAAGCGGACGGTGTAATCAATCATAAGGTGGAGTTATATCAGTACCTTGTGGTACCTGTGAGCAAAAGCGGGGGGTTAGAATATATTTTATGTATGGTTTTCGCAACAATTGGACATAGATAATTGCAGGAGATAGGTTGAATAATGGAGAAATGTACACGGAAGAGCTAGGGAGATTTTCAGAAGGTTTAAGAATATATCGAGGAGAAATGGGAAGTTATTGGCCTTTGGCAAGTTCTTTCCTTCAAATGTATTAAGTAAGTGTGAATTTGGTGCAATAAATTGATTCATATGCACAAACAGTTTGTAGCCTTTACTACAAATTTTCAAAACCAAAGGCAAAAAACATTAGCAACAAAACTAGTGATCCTGTTTAGTTGAGATCTCACATTGGTACCTCTCTGATTACTGACTCCTCATTAGGCAAATTGAAATTCAGATTCCCCTCTACAATACTTAAGAATAAAAGGCAACCATTGTAGAATTTAATCATAAGAGACCTTGGTCAACCAGGCAAAGAGATTCGGGTCTATACAGGAAGAAGCGTATCAGTCATTATTGAGTAATCGAGAGAAATTGACAAAAAAACTTGCAGTTTCGTTTGACATTGTAACAGCTCTCATATCTGAATTTGAGAAACTGAAGTAAACTGGCATGGACAGTGACCAAGCAGTTGGGGTGGTTTTTTTTGTTTTGCTAATGGAAAGTATAGTATGTTCTACTGTCTATGTTTCCAATTAGTGCCAAAAGACAGACAGGAGCTAGCCGATGTAAACATTCCTTACAGCACTGACGGATTAGCTACTATATTAGAAATATTATTTTCATATGTTAATTCGACTAATCGCATCCTGCGATCTAATGAACAAATTGGCCGTCCTACTCCGGAAACTAGTTTTCAAAAATCTGAAACCTATTCATTTATCTGGACAGTAGACCTCAATAAGTGTCTGTTATATATAGATTCTACTCGTCTAATTCCTCAGGTACCCAGAATTGTCAATTACATTTTTTGCAACCAGACTGGCCCGTATCAACTGCCTACTTAGGCCACAAGCGTTCCCATTTTGTGTCCTACCTGCTAAAGCGGTAACAATAATTCTGGAGTAAAGAACACACGAAAAACCTCGTGAAGCCTTTTAGAAACCGGATAAAAGTGTTCTTGGGAAATATTTCCAGAATTCAATTTTAAATCGCAGTAGAGTCTTACCTGGAGACAAACAAATTTCATAATTAGAAAAGAAGCATTCAATGCTTCAAAGGTAGCTCAACAATTCAATGTATCAATTCGCCGTTATTGGAGTCGAATATAAGAATAAACAGGCAATCTCATTGAGTAAGATGGCTCTTGGCCATTCCTGTGATATTTGCCCCAAACGCGCGCGACATAAATCTATCAGAACTACTCATCAACACCATCATGAAGAGAAGAAGAGACACAGACAACGAAAGCGAGGAGTCTGAAGAGGATGGCGAGACCCAATTCAGCACGCAAGTGGGAACTCAGCAGGAGACACAATCTGATAGGCGTGGTGGTGACGACGTCGACGAAGATTACGACGGGTACAATCGCGACTCCGAGCTCCAAGACGCGGTGGGCAAGGTGATCCGATTGGTACTTGGACGGGAGGCCAAGGGCCAGTTGATACGAAGAGAGCACATCACGGGGGTGCTCAGCCGTCGGCGGATCTCGTTCGAGGTGATCTTGAAGGAAACAAGGCACCAGTTGGAGGAGGTATACGGGATGAAGTTGGTGGAAACGCCGGTGCTGGGCGAGATGTCCAAGAAAAAGACCAAGACCAAACCCAAGGCCCAGTATGTCGTGGTCAACGGGTTGGCAGCGGGTTCCAGGCGGGTTTTGGGCGAGATCTGGACGCAGGCCAGCGAGTACGAGGTGGACAACGGCAAGAAGTTCACCGACTCCGGGTACTTTTTGCCCAAGTTCCGCCACACAGACACCCCAGGCACCAACCACGAGCTTGTCAAGCTCGGAGTGGTGGCACTCGTGGTGTCGCTCGTGGTGTTGGCGGAAAACCACCTATCGGAGGCGGAATTGTTCCGTTCGCTTGCAGGGTTTGGCCTCAGCGATAAGCTCGAGTCGCGGAACTCCAACTACCACCTCAATTTGGGCGAGTTGATGGCGGAATTGGCCAAGAAGGACTACGTCAACCGCGAGATCACCGAACAAGTCACTGCCTACTCGTTGGGACGGCGGGCTTTGGTGGAGTTCAACCCCCATAGTGTGTTCGAGTTCGTGCGGGGCATCTACGGCGACCACTTCGACTCCACCACCAAGCAGCAGACCATCGTCACCATCGAACGAGTGTATGGAGCAGCAGTGGCAGAGGATCTCGCGCGGAACGACTTGCCGGAAACGGAGACCGAGCCCAGTCCTGGCGTCAGCACGGAAATCGCCAGTTCCCACCATCAGTAGGCGGATCACATGGACGTCGGAGGTAGCTGCCTATCTGGGAGAGCTAGTGTCCGGTCCGGAGATGTCCCAGTGGAAAGTCCGGAGTTTACTGTGATAATCACAGCAATAACCAGAACTAGCAGTACTGCAGTACTACCACCAGTAGCACTTCTAGCACCACTTCTCCCACGTCTAGCACCACCACTTCCACGTCTAGCACCACCATCACCACCACCACCACTTCTAGCACTACCACCACCAGTCCACTCGCACTAGCATAGCGCACCTAGCGTGCCCCCCAATAAATTCTCAGTAGCTCGCCCCCCGTAGCACCCCGCCGTACTGTGCCAACCGCGCGCTGGCGCCATTATCACAAGATCTCTCCAATGCAACAAATATATATACCCACCACCAGCGCTTAGTGCATCTCCCCCCACACTATGGCATTGAACACTTTAGACTACTCCGTCTTGTTAGCATTGGCCATCGCCGTGGTGGCCTACTACGCCAAGTCCCACTTCTTCGCCAACGACGTGGGCTCCACCGGATTCCTTCCAACAGACGCTGGATCATCTCGTAACATCGTCTCCACGGTCAAGGACAACAACAAGAACGCTATCGTGTTCTACGGGTCGCAGACAGGAACAGCCGAGGACTACGCGTCCAAGTTGCTGAAGGAATTGAGCTCCAAGTTCGGGTTGAAGACCATGACTGTGGACTTTGCAGACTACGACTTCGACAACTTCGACGAGCTCGACCCCGACGTGTTGTGCTTCTTCTTGATGGCCACCTACGGCGAGGGGGAGCCTACAGACAACGCCAACGACTTCATCGCCTGGTTAGACGACGAGGCAGACACCTTGAGCAACCTCAAGTACACGGTGTTCGGGTTGGGCAACTCCACCTACGAGTTCTACAACGCCATCGGCAAGAAGATCGACCAGAAATTGGAGGAGAAGGGTGGAGAGAGATTCGCCGAGTACGGCGAGGGTGACGACGGTGTGGGAACCATGGACGAAGACTACTTCACCTGGAAGGACAAGTTGATCGACTCGTTGAAAAACAACTTGAACTTCGAGGAACACGAAATGAAGTACGAGCCCAGCTTGGAACTCTCGGAAAGCTACTTGACCGTCGACGATCCCTCGGTCTCTCTTGGTGAACCCAACACCAAATACGTCTTGGGAACCTCCGACTTGACCAAGGGCCCTTTCGACAACGCCCACCCATACTTGGCCCAAGTCAAGCACACCCAGGAATTGTTCAACTCTAAGTCCAGATCCTGTGTCCATGCCGAGTTTGACATCTCCCCTTCAAACTTGAGATACTCCACCGGTGACCATTTGGCGGTGTGGCCTTCCAACTCCAACGAAAACGTGGAAACTTTCGCCAAGGCCTTTGGCTTGGCCGACAAGTTAGACGACGTGTTTGAATTGAAGTCCTTGGACTCCACCGTCTCCCTTCCTTTCCATACACCTATCACATACGGTGCTGTTCTTAGACATCACTTGGAAATCTCCGGTCCGGTCTCCAGACAGTTGTTCTTGGCTATTGCCGGTTTTGCACCCAATGATGCTACCAAGAAGTCCATCCTCGAGCTCGGTAACGATAAGGTTGCTTTCGCAGACAAGATCCATCATCACAAATACAACATTGCTGACGCTTTGTTGGCTGTTTCCAAAGGTGAAGCTTGGTCAGATGTTCCTTTCGAGTTTATCATCGAGTTTGTTTCTCACTTACAACCTCGTTACTACTCTATTTCCTCTTCATCCTTGTCGGAGAAGACCACTATTCATGTAACTGCAGTTGTCGAGGCCGAGGAGGTTGAGGACCGTACTATTTCTGGAGTGGTCACCAACTTATTGAAGAACATCGAGATTGTGCAAAACAAGTCAAGCGATAAACCTGCTGTTACATATGACTTAGACGGACCAAGAGGCAAGTATGCCAATTTCAAGGTTCCTGTTCACATCAGAAGATCTACTTTCAAGCTTCCAACTAGCTCCTCAGTTCCAGTGATCATGATTGGTCCCGGAACCGGTGTGGCGCCTTTCAGAGGTTTTGTGAGAGAAAGAGTTGCACAGAAGAAGAACGACCTAAAGATTGGCCCTACTGTGTTGTTCTACGGTTGCAGAAATGAGACCGAGGATTTCTTGTACAAGAATGAATGGCCTGAGTATTCTAAGGAATTGGGTTCTGCCTTGGAAATTCACACTGCATTCTCTAGACAAGACCCAAGCAAGAAGGTCTACGTCCAACACAAATTATTAGAACAGGCATCCAAGATCAACCAATTAATTGCAGATGGTGCATTCATATATGTTTGTGGTGATGCTTCTAGAATGGCCAGAGACGTTCAAAACACGTTAGTCAAGATCTTGGCCGCGGAAAGAAATATTGATGAAGAAAGAGCTGCCGAGTTGGTCCGGGCCTTCAAGGTTCAAAACAGGTACCAAGAGGATGTCTGGTAATGGGTTATACACATACAGGGGTAATTTATTTGCGTTATATATAAACCCTTGATCAATTTAGATTGTACACTTCACATCTATAGTAAAAAAATTCTATTAAGCAAAGACCTGGGGCTGTAATAAATAGTAAAAAAATTGTATGAGTTTATATAACCAACAAAACATCTAGAAAATCATGAAGAAACAAGGAGATGCAAAGAAACTGAAATGGTCGACACAAATGAAGGGATGTCCTTTAAACATCTTTAGTCCGATCTTTAGGTCTCGTGTAATGGGTGAGAATGAAAGAATTAAACATCATGGGTGAAATAAAATAATGGCATGGAATTAAATATGAGGGTTGGCTTGATGTGGTTGGGGGGAAGAAGGAGCAAGACATACCGAAGGGAGTGAGGTTCATGTCTCTAAGAAGTCGTCGTCTTTGTCCACTCTCTTGCAGTACTTCCATTCTTTGTTGGAGGAGTTGTAGATCGCTTGTAATTTCTGTTCGATATCCAACCAGTGTTTGTATTTGAGCTTTGACTTGAGGTCCAAGTCGTAGATGTTGCATGTGACCAAGAATTTGCCATAGCCTTCTATTGTTATGAGGTTGTTAACGTTGTTGTGAGAGTTGTGGATGTTGTTCCACCTGTCGTACTTTTCAAACTTGATGAACAAGCCCACGTCCCGTAACGTCATCACCAATGACAAGTTCTGCAGCACATCGTGGATGGAGGTGAGGTTTTTGATGAGGTCATTCTTGTTGTTGATCCGCTGGTACTGCTTCAACTTCTGGAACACGTTTTCGGGGTTGTTGAGGAAGTTTCTGAACAAGGCCTTCAAAGGAATGCGGTTTGTGTCCTGGAGGTTGTCGAGCACCTGCTGGGGAATGGGCCTGAAGATGTCGTTCAAGCCCTCGTCAATGGTCTTCTTGTACAAGAGGTCCAACGGGCAGAAGTGTCTGGGCAACCCGCGCAACTGGTTCAACGAGCAGGTGCGGCAATAGTTAGAGGACTTGTTGTCGTATAACCACTTGGGCTTGATCTCGAAGATCACTGACGAGATGTGCGACGAGTCGGCAGGCGAGTCGTAATAGAGGTGGCAGTTTCGCGACAACGCCTGCTTGGCGTAGTTGCCGTCCAAGATGTTGGGGATCAAGAGGCCGTAACGCTCGGTAAGCATCAACTGATGGCCCTTGTTGTCCAATTGGGTTATAAACGCGGTGGTCAACACCACCAACTGGATGTCGATGATCTGCTGGGGGAACAAGTGCTTGCACTTCAACTCGATGAAGTCGTAGAGCTCACACGTCGAGATGTACTGCTCGTCCTCCTTGAGGAGCCGGAGCCGCAAGAGCTTGTGCCTGAGGTAGTCGTTAGTACCGGTGTACTTGAAGAGGATGTTGGCATTGCCCTTCGCGAAGTACACCCAGTCGGACGGGGCGGTGATTTTCGAGATCTCCATGGTAGAATCACTGGGGTGCCTGCGAGCAAAGAAGGGTGGTGGTGGTGTTAATTTTGTTATCCGGATGGGTTTCTGTCATGTGACTGTTGCTCAATGGAACCATGGTGATAGTGGGCATTGTTTGGGTGTGCAAATTTTTACTGGAGGCGGGGGAGGGGAGGGAGGGTCCCGGAAAATGCAGGGAGGTTTCCAGGGGAATTTCAGCGAGACTGCAGGGAGATTCAGCGAGGCCCAGCGAGACCCAGCGAGACTTACAGGGAAATTGCTGCGACACCCAGCGGGACTTCCAGGGAGTGTCTCGATTCTCGTTCGTCACCGCGAATTTCACTCGTTCCACAACAACTCAGAGGACCCGGGCTCCCGACACCATGGGCCGATGGTGCCGACGGCTAATCCGTGCCTGAGATACGGCCCAGGGGGTCGGATAGACCCGGGAGTGTGCTGGTGGGGGTGGTGGGGTCTCATATGGGCTGTTCCTGGGCGATATCATGGCTGTAATTGAGCGAAGCTCGGCTAACAATTGTCTTTTTCGGCTTTGTAATTCGAGAGCAACTCGTTTAATTGCGGAGTGAGGAGGTGGAAATTGCTGCTAGGCTCGGGATGTCACTTGCCGGCGTTGTTAAAGAACCCGAAGCTATTTACCGTTTGGGGATATCCCGAGATGCCTCCCTCCTTGTGGCCCAACTATTTATAGCATATTTACATTGAGATGCCAAAGCCTTGATCCTGTTATTTTCTGAGCCCTTATGCGTAATCCCCTAGTGAACGCAATTTTCCCTACAGTTCTGAACTGCAAAGCCTTGATTATTTTCTATTTACGGAGACATCTCCAGATTTCGAGTTTCCACGGCTCCTTGTGGACGAGTCAACGTGTTATTGCATAGTGAGCTTGTACCAGGGCAATTACAGGCTTAATTACATGCAATTTCCCGCTTGTGTATTCTATATATAGTACTTTATCGATAGAAGTAAGGCATGTTTATTCTCTATGCGTTTTCAGGCAATCCTAAATGAATTGATCCGGGAGGTTACTTCATCTTTGCTTATTCGAAATTTCTCTAAACCTTCAGATTGTCTTCTCTATCTACTGAATTTTCACGAAATGCCCATTCTAGGCTTTTTTGTTCTATATCTAGTGGGTTTCATTAGGATAATTTGGCTGATCTACTCTATCTAGTGATTCAATCCATCCTTTATGGATGGCATGTCCGAGTTGTATATTCATGCTATCAACTGAGTTTTCACAGAAGTTCCTATGGTAATTCCTCATTGCCTCCATAGGCTGGTTATGCGCTGTCGGAATACTACTAACCTCGCTTTCTTTATTCCCTTCTGCAATCCTCGGTCGTGGACCTTGCTTCCAATGTAAAAGACATCCGTAATTCACTTGATCTTAACAGCTTGCGAACCCATCTGGCTGTTCAAGAGCACTTTTGCAGGTCCTTGGAGCGAGAAGTAGAGGGGCCTGGCAAAGAGAGAAACCACTAAAGAAGTGATAAAATACTTGGTTCGGGTCCACATTGCAGGTATTGGGGTGGCCAGAAGCCCGGATTGCTGCGCGAATGACCTAAACCACGATCTGGTAGCAGTGGTAGCCTGTCTGTAGTAAGGAGCCGGCGACCACAGTTGTGGCCACAACGAGCCTAATTTCTTCACTGGTTGTAACGAAGAACGGATCCCTCCCCACACTGCAGTGGCCACACCGGAGCCTGGAACGACGTGGTGGCCTGGTGTGGTAGAAGTGGCCACGAGCGAGTCGGGGTTGACAACCATTTCTTCTCCCTCTTTTAAGGTGATCTCAAGAAGCTGGGTGGGAGAGTTCACCACAATCACACCCTTTCCGTAGCTCAAAAAGCTGTTCTCACGGCGTACAATGCTTGTGGGTGTTAATTTGAGACTGAAGCCAGTCCATGCAACAATGCTGTCGTCTCTGAGAATGGACCACTGTTCGCGTGCATCCTTGATGTCTATTATGGAGTAGTTTTCTCCATTTCCGTTGATGACGAGGGATACAGCGGCATTGGTGCGGACCTCCTCGTAGTCTGTATGGGGAGTAAGCCACCTGGTAGTGCTGGCAAGCTTGCTCAAGTCACCATCGATGGCCACCATGGACCCTGACCTTATGTTTAATTTGGATGACGATGGAAGGCTCACATTGAGAAGGTGACTGGGACTGCCTATGGGCTCGAACTCGGGCAATGCCACGAAGGGCCCATTGCCTGTGACAGTCGGTTTTGCGATGATAGCTGGCGAAGGCTCCTTCCGGAACCGCGCAAGAATATTGAGCCGACGCACCGCCGTCACTCTGTTTGAAGACATGTGATTGTAAATTATGGTGGGAATTATCAAGCCGTTGGTAAATGGCACAAGAAGGAGCACTTCAGGTCAAATAGATCCTAAATAGACTAGCTAAGTTACATCCTGGGCTCCATTCGCAAAATGAAGTTCGCGTGGATATCGCTGCACGTGACCCGTGTCCTGCTACATCTAATTTAGCAGCTACACTTACATAAGTAGTTATGTAAGTGGGAGCATACTTATTCATCTATATAAGCTCCTTCAACCAGGCACTAGCACTGGCGATGTCGCGGAAGTACTCGTCACTGATTAGACTCTTGTCGTGTTCGTTGACCACAGTGGCCAACGCCACAAAGTGGTCCCAGAACTTGACTCCACTGTCGAGATCTCCCAACATCTGGTCAGTGGTGATCGAGTTCACACCGTTGACATTAATGTTGAATGACGAGTTGCTGATTTGGTACACTTGGTTAAGCAAGTGGTCCTTGGTGGCCTTGACGACCTCGTCCTTAGCTTTGCCCATTTTGGATTGTCTCCATGCGAACTCAAAGTAGATCTCCGCAACAATTCCAAGCAAAGTGCTGTTGACATCCTTGTAGAAGGGCAACTGGTCGATCAACTTCCACCAGTCTTCCTTCGAGGTGTACTCATCCTTCAAGTTGTTCTTGTTCTCGTGGGCGATGAAGTCAACCAACACACACTGGATAGTGTTGATCAAGCCCCCCGAAATGAACTTCACGTGCGATCTAAAGTTCAACAAGTTTCTGGAAATGGGACCTTGGTAGTTGATAGGCGAAATGTGCAATTTCTGAAGCGAAAACACCCTGGAAATCACCGTAATGTGCTTGTTCTCAAGACTAGACAATTCAATTGGTCCGGTTTCTGACGAATTCAGTTCCTTGAAAAATTTGGGAACGTTGGAAAATTCTCTGTTGCTCTCAGTCAACTTCAAAGTTTTGCTTTGAATGAACAATAACAACAAAAAGAGCTGTTCTAATTCGGCTTCGGAAATTTTTGAGTCATCAATTCTTTCCACAAACTTTTTGAAAATCAACCCAATGGAGTTCAATTTCAAGGTCTTGCTGTCCACAATTCCGTGGAGATACAAGGCTCTCAAATACGCTGTGGACACAATGTCATTTCTGGACTTAATATTGCCCTCCGCGCTATACTTGGAACGGTCACCTTCTTCAGACAAGCCTTTAAAGAAATCAACTAAACTGAATTCCTTGGTGGAATTTTTCTGGATGTACAAATCCTCAATTCTCTTGAAAGTAGGAGGTGTGAGCCTATTGTTCACCTCAATGACCTCATCCTTGAACCAATACTTGACTCTTATTTTTTTCACTTGGTAGTACCTAGCCAATAATTGGGTCAAAAGATTGGTTTGGAAATCCAAAACTTCCGTAAATGACTTTGACGTAATCAAACGTTTGTAACTATCCGTCAAAGTACTTTCTAAGGCAGGTCTTATGTCCAATTGGCCCTTGGTTATTCCTTCCAACAATCCAAGAGGAAGTAATCCGATAGACTGGTAGAAGTATAATTCTGGTGGCAACCTTTGAGAAATAATTTCATGTACATCATTAGGGACTTTAATTGAAGGTTCTTTTTCATCTTGGGTAGGTTCAGCCGGTGAGCTTTCACCTGTGGTATTTTCAGCAGAAGATTCTGGAGTGATGGTGTTAAAATCATAACCTAACTTGGCCATTTCAACACTATATAAATCAACGTAACCTTCAACATTCAACACAGGCACGAATTTGATAGCAGAGTGACCTTTGAAGTATAATTCTAAAAGTTTTGGGTCATTGAGATTGACAATATATCCGAATAAGTCATTATTGTTGTTTCCACTAAAAGAGTTATAGCCATAGATAATATCCAATCCCAACTTGAAGTAACTCAACTGAGGATATGGCTGAACGGGGTTTGGCTTGGGCAATGGTGGGAAATTAGGGAAGGTGATTGGTTGGATGTTACACCCTACCATAATACTCAAATCCAAAAATTGTCTTTCAGTCAAGTTCAACTCACTCAACACCTTATGCTTGTCAATGAATCTAAAGTCTTTTGACTGGAATTCCATTCCCAATATAAATTTATCGATTTTAGTTAGTAATAGGTCTGTCGAACCATAAATAGAGTCTATTACCGAGTTTTGGTACAAGTATGACAATTGGAAGGAAGCGTCGTATGGGGCAACCAAGTAGTCAATTCCGATCTCGATAAAGTACTTGATCAAGTCGTTGATCATGGGCCTCAAGGGCAAGGGGTCTGTGAATAACCTGAACGATTCAATCGACGAGTATGAATGGTTCTGCTTGTTGCCCAATTTGGACCAAGTGGTTTCAAGGTGTTGCTCCTGTGGAGACAACTCATTTGTGTGGTAATTGTGGGATTGCAATTGGATCCCTAAGCCCGAGATCACGAACAACGGCTTAATATTGAACTCTTTGAATACCTGGAGGTCGGACTGGATGTAGTCCTTCAACGAGCTTGGAATTCCGCCAATTCCAACCAAGAACTGTTCTTTTTTGAAGGTGTAGATTCTGCTGAGATAATGTTCCACGTCAATACCGATGGTGGCATTCTGCAAGATTTCAATTGAGCTGGTGTTGGCTAACTTTCTCTCGAACAAGTACGATTCGAGCGATTTGATGGGCATTTCTTACTCAAACTTTTGGACGGGGTGTGATGGGTGTACGAAGAGTGGCTGACGAATGTCTGGTGGTGTTTGGCAGTTTTGGTGGGGAACTGTAGTAATTGGTTTGTTGTTGAATAGGTGGTTGTTTGGTAGGGGCACACCAAAGTACACCATGGTGCGAATTCCCGCCAAATTTGACGTATTGGTAAGACTTACTAACCCTGCACGAAGAAGGAAATATCATTGTACAGTATGCCTGGTTATGTTGTAGTAGGAAAGAATAGGAGCATGGCCTAGTGATTTTCGGTAGATCACTGAATTAGTTTTGTAAATAATTTTCCAGATACTTAGAGTGAAATTAGGTGGCATTTCTGGTTACTAGAATGAACCAAATTCAGAATTCACTGTGTTGGAGAAGTGTTAATCAAGGGCTGAAGTAGGACAGATACTCCTTCTATATTGTACCTTGTTAAATAGGAGCAAAATTGCGTTCTATTACTACTAATGCCTGCTAATCGTAGAATTCAGTCACAAGCATTTCTAGCTGCCTTCAATATTGCCAGAGGAAGATCGCCCATTAGTAGAGATTTCACAATCAATAGTCAAGTACTGAAAAAGACGTAATATTTTCCACCGCTTATATTCCTACACACCACCTCATAAGCTATTAGTTCGTTCCATATATTGTTTAATACTGGTCATAGTGCTAATCATCGCCAAATAACTTGTCTAGGGCACCGTTTTCGGTAAATGGATCATTCATCACGTCCACAGTCAAGCTTTTCTTTTTTCTGGCAGCAGCAGCTACTTCTAATTGTTTTCTACGATTCTTCATCTCATCATAATCATTTCCAGAACCGTTTTCCTTGGAAATCTTCACCAATTCCAACAACGCAGCTCTTTGATGCTTCAAGGACTTAGAGCTCACCAACAATGTTTCAAAGTTGCTCACATGTTGGGTGGTGATGTTGGGAAGACATTGTATCAATATTCTGGCAGGATAATCGTTCTTTGATCTCAATGCACAGTATAACGTGGTGAGCGCAATAGCTGCTTCCCCGTGCGTTTCCACAAAGTAATCATCCACCAAGACCTGCAATAAGGCCTTTACTAAATGATCACATAAGTACTTGTCAACCTCATCGTCCTTCAATAGTATGTCCAGTAATACGTTTCTAACCACTAAAATAGTGTTAAATGAACATTTGGTATCTTTGAATGTAATGAGGTGACAGCAGATTTGCAAAAACGGTGCCATAACTTCCTTATTTTCTATAATAAGTCTTCGACAAGCGAATTGGGTATCTGTTATAGTTTTGGCGTTGAACTGACTGACCACGTCCATCAAGAATCTAACAACTGTGGCGGTGAGTTGTCTTAACATATGTTCTTCCATCATCTCCTCCGACAAAGTTTCGTCATCTTCGTTGCCTTGTAATTGTAAGCCGTTATTGTAAACCTTTTCCCACTTGCCAACAATAAGTTTATCAATGTCTAAAAATGCTTTGGGTAACAATTCAGCCATGAAAACATCCACAAACTTTACCGGGCAGAACTTAATCACACTTCTCAAACAACTATTAATCATGTGCTTCCAACTGTGTAAAGTAATTCCCACAGTATCGCCGGCAACTGCCTTCCAGATCATGCTGGCGATGTTAGGAATCTCATAAAGGGTATCCTCAAGTTGCGATAATGAGCCAATTGTCAAAAATGCATACTCTCTGGTATATCTAATCAAATGACCAACCGAGTCAGCAAAATCTCGTAATGTGAAAGCTGCCTTGACATTCTCTTCAATGAAGGTTTCCTTGGACTGAATCGATACTCCTTGCTGCCAAAATCTTTCCATACAACTGTATCTAACAAATGCTTGGACGGCATCGGGCAAATCGTTCCAGTTAGCGGGATTGTGGTACGCCTGAATCTGGGTCAACAACTGTAAAATATGAGGGATAATGGGTTGGACTCTTGGCTTCCACAATTTTAACAAGTTTAAGTACTCAGTAGAATCGTGGTTGAGCTTTTCAATACTATACTGGATAAAAATCCTGGTAGCCCTAATAGGAAAAATCGAAGACCAGTGATCCTTAAGTTTATTCTTTAGTAATTTTCCATCTTCATCCATTTCAGATTCCAATAAGTTTGTAGTGGCTGAAATTCCCCTACGCTGAAAATAAGAAGCGATCTCAACTATTCCCATTCTTTCCATAAACCAATGTAAGTCCATCAATCCCTTTTCAGTTTCTGGTGCAGACCAAGCTGCTAACTCTGGGTCCACAATCTTCGCAAACAATTCATTTTTATCAGTAATTGAAGATCTAGAAGCTATAACCAACAAGAATGATTTAAATGCAACGTTTTCGTGATCAGTCACCTTTTTTGATGACAATATGTTGGCTACCACATTTTCCAAATCATTAAATATTTTCTTCAATGATTCAGGCATTATGTAAGCCAACCTGTTCAATTCAGTACCACAACTAGTTCTCAAGTCCCGAATTAATTCCTTTTCTTCGTCGGTTATGTCTGGAGGGTACTCAAAAGTTGCAGTTATCAAAATCTTTTCCAATACTTTGAACATCAAAGGACTGACATCCTTCAATAAAGGTGCAAATTGCACTAATGTCTGAACTTGTTTTCTTATCAACAAAGGGCATGACAAATTCATTGCTAATAATCTTTCACCCAAACTTTCTACTAACTTGTTCAATCTGTCATTGATCACATCGAAATCCTTTCCATTGTACCAAATTCTCCACCTTGAAATTCCTCGTATACAGTTTTCGATGATGTTGAACTGCGAGGAACCATAATTCAATTCGTCTGATTTTTCATCCAATTTGTATTGGGTTATACATTTTCCACCGAGATCTGAGCTGAAAAACACCTGTAAACGATTTTCCAACCACATTAATCCTTCTTCAGGCTTCTTGCAAATAGTGATTCTGACAATGTCTTCGTTGAATTTTTTATAGTTCTGTAAGAAAGAATTAGAATCAGAGTTTGAATCGAAATCAACATCCAAAAACTTCTTTGAACTAAGTTCATCATTATATGTGTAATTGATGGTTCTGTTTGCGGCAATCTCCAATAAATCTAACAAGATTTTGATAATTGGCCCCTTCGAGCTCAATTCATCAAATCTTAAAATTGTGACCCACATTTGAAGAGATAATCCACTGATTATTAAACTTGGATGATTAGTGGTATTCAATACCAAATTCAAGTAGTTATCAATATCAGAACTCTCCCAAGAGATTTTATTTTTAGAGGAGATGTTTAAGTACTCACTGAGCGATACAATCATCTCAACAGTCTTCTTCAAAAGAGAATAGGCTTGTTCGTCAATATCATCAGGATCTATTTCCAATGAATGGTAGAATTGTGACAATTTTTGAATACCTTCAGTAGTGAAAATTGAGCCAATGAAAAAGTTGAAATCTTCAGAATTGCTATAACTTCTAGTGAAAAGAATATGCAAACAGTCCACTGCTAGAGTTTTTAACTTAACATCAGGCAAACTCAAAAGGTTTATAAGAGTTTGCATTATATTCTCACTTCTCAAAACTGAGGGTTGAATCCAATGCAAACAAGTTTTGAAGGTGGATAAGATTTTTGGTACAAAGCTTTGATATGTTTCACTGTTGGCATCATTATTGGACAAGATTTCTAAAAGAAACTGGCTCCATATGACGAACCAACCGTTGGGAGTAAACTTGCACCGAGTCATAGTTTGGTCATATTCGTAAAGAGAATTAAGAACATTGTCTGGGGTAATAATTAGAACACTCAACTGGTTTAATATGACAGTTCTCTTGGATGCAATTGGATCGTCAAGAAGATAAATATCTTCGAACAAAGTTCTGATGATGATTAAGGACAATTCACGACAAGTGAAGTTGCTGGACCATAGATTCCACAAATCTTGATCCATAGATGACCATCCGCTGATGGTATCGTCTTTTGAGCTGCCGTTGGTGTCGGAAATATTAGGGTTGCTGCCGCTACGGGCGTCCTGGGAACCGTGGTTGGGTTTATCCTTCGAGTCGACACTCAAGGAAGGGAAATTTCCCCAAATCCTTTTTGCGATAGACACCCAGAGGAACGCCAATTTTTCCTTGATGTAGTGGGGGTCATCCGCTTCGATTTTGTTGGCCAATTCGACGATCCAGTTACGGATGGCTAGGGTTTTGGTAGAGTCAAACTCGTGGAAGCGGGTCTTGATGGAGTTTTGGATCAACGAAAACCCAAAATGTCGAACTATGTAATTCTTGCCATTGTTTTCGGGCAATGCCAATTGATAGCCCCAGAATGGCGATTCGTCGTTGGACTTGATTGTTTCCAAGAATTCCTGGGCCTCTCTTCTCTGGGTGTTGTTGGATTTAGAGTCGTAAACAACGCCCAACGCATTGATGATTTGGCTGACTCCGCTGCTGTCCATTGTCATTGGATCTTTGGACTCGACTGATGACCAGATAACGGCTCAATGTATGCTAGCTAACGGGCGGACTTCCGCTTGAGGCAGGGTGAGCGATCGATTGAACAAGTGCTGGTGGTACAAGAAAGGCTGACTGAAAGTCTAGGGGAATCTGCTATGAATATGGTGGTAGTCTGAGATATTCAGTCTGTTCTCAGCTAAATTGGTTTTCCACACTGTTTATCTTTTTTTCCCTCATAGTGGGTGATTTGAGGCGTGCTGGGGACACGTGATGGGAGGGGAGATAGCTTCAGATGGGACGGGATGGGAAGGTCCACGGTGGGAGAATGGGAGGGAGAATAGGTAGGAGATTGTAGGTGAGATATGCTAGAGGGAATTGTTGGGGTCTGACTTGGTAAGTGTGAGAATTTAAATGTGCAAGTGCAATTAGCAATATTTGTGTAGGTGAATTATGAGTTTAATTAGTAGGCTAGTAGCACCACCGTCGTACTTGACTGCTCTGGAAACGGCCTACGGGGCAGTATTCTGCTGAATCATGTCTATACTCTTAACTATGCGCACTATACCGGATGATATATAAAGAATTACAAGTAGAACTTCTTCTTATCTCTCTCCATGTCGGGTCTGTGTTCCCAGACGGTCTCGCCCTTGATGCCCTTTTGCATTCTTCTGAGCTTCAAGGTAAACTGTGGACCCAATTCCTGTAAACCCACCTTCTCCTCGTTTCTGAACACGTAACGATGTCTTCTGAAAAAAATGTAATCACGCTGGTTATGCAAAGTAATGACTTGACGTCCTTGGAGCTCTGGCTGGCGGGGAAATATCGACTGGAAGAGTCTTCCGACCGTCTTACCGAACCGCGAGTTGAAGTTGTTCAACACCAATTCGGGGAGGTGGTCAGTGGCACGTCCGTGGCCCTTGATTCTTTTGCCATCCACAATGGAAGTCACCGAGAAGTAGAAGCTGGGGCCCTCAGGCAAATGGATCATCGAGAGTCCAGTGACCTTCTTCTTATCCTCGTTGATCACCATCAACGTGGTGTAGTCTCTGTTTGCACAGAACTTGGACATGTCGACCATGCTGAACTCCTTCTGTCTCTTGATGAATGTTGTGTTGGGCAAGAAGTCCAAGAGCATGTCGGCAAACTCGTACGCTGGCTTCTTAGCGCCTGCGGAGGTGGTCAACAAGATCTTGGGCTCCTTAGCGGCGTCTGCAAAGTACGCCTGAAACTCGTCTTCTCCCTCGACTTCGGCAGCGATCGTTTCATCGTATACTCTCTTGCTATCTATGGTTTCGGGTACATTCTCCACCAATCTCTGTTCTCTCAACTCGGGGTTTTCTCTTTCCTCCTTGGCCCTTTCGGCTCTGAGTTTGTGCTTCTGCTTGCTCTTGGCCTGCTTGATCTCCCCGAACACCTTCTGTCTTCGCTGTTTGTTCTTTATGTTCTTCAAAGCACTGCTGGTGTTGCCGCTCATCTTGTGGTGATGAATAAATTTTGAGATGAGCTGTGCGAAATAGTGATAAGTGCGTACGAATCTCCAGTGATGAATTGTAGTGACAAAGTTTCGCGAGGGACTAGTGTGGGAGACAAATCTCCCGCTGCCACCAGTGCGTGAAGACTCCCCCACAAACACCGCACACTGCGAATCCTCCCTAGAATCTAATACCCTCCAGTGCGAATTCTCCCTACACCTCCCTACTCCTCCCTACAACTCCAATTCTCCCACCAGTGCGAACTCATCACCATGCACAGCCAGGCCGTATCTACTTGGGCCACCAGCATCAAGCATGCCCGCTGGATGCTACCAGATACCGTGGCACGAGGCCCATTGTCGCGGTATGGCGACCTCATGGCTTCCATCTTCCCCAACCTCCCCCGATGCCTCCCGTCCTCGCCTCGCTGGGACACTGGGGCCCATTTTCTATACTGTAATCAGAATAACCACCAGTTGGGGGCTGACGGATACGACAACTATCAAGCACCCATGGCAGACGGTGCAGAGTTGTTTCGTCGGCGGATGTGGGTGCGTGGAGTGCTTGATTTCCACGATTTCCAGAAGATACCCGTGGGAGCTGGTCTCGTGTGCAACGAGAAGGTTGCCTCTGTAAGAACCATCGAGAATTCGGTATTTGTGGGAATTCAGCGGGAATTTGGGGCCAGTCTGCCGTTGTTGACAGAATCTCGCAGCTTGGTGTACACCAATGAGGCGTATGGAACGACCCAGAGGAAACAGGTCGAAATTCCAGTCCCCAGCGAGTCTACCTCCGTGTGCCTCAACCCAACAGAATTGTTGAAATATAGCATGCTCACCTCCAATCTCCATAAGATCCATTATGACCCAGCTTACTGCCGTTCTGAGGGCTTGCGGGATGTGGTGGTGCACGGGCCGTTGATGGTGTCGCTCATATTGTACTGGCTCACCAGCACCAGAAAGCAACATGTGGGTCGGTTTCGCTACAAAAATATCGAACCGTGCTTTGTGGGAACCCCCATGAAGTTGTGGGCACATGAGACGGGCCAGGGACTTAAGGTAGGCATTGATGGTGAAGGCAGAAGATACTTAGAAGGTGCCATTGAGTGGCTGAAAAATCCATATTCAGAAAACTCTTGAGTATAAATGTATGGTGAAAAGGTGGGCAGGATATGGGGCAATTAAGGAAGATTTCACCTAGCACAGCTGAACATTGCTTCACCTAAAAGGTCCAGGAAGATGGCTCCGTATTTGCGGATTTTTGCTGGTGTCAATGTCCCGACACACAAGTAGATCTGTCGCTTAAGCCAATTCTCCATATACCGAGGATAATTGGGCTACCATACTGCCAGAAAGTTTCACTAACAAAATTCTAATCAATATTCAACTTTAAGCTTAAGACAAATCAGAGCATGATGAATAAAGCATTAAGCAGGAGGACGATCAATTTTCCAAGAATTCAACTGAAAACTCGAAAACCGGGTCGGTTTATCCCATCTTATCCTTCTGTCGACAAACTCTTAAAAAAGTTCATGTGCTTCTTAACCTGTCCTATGAATGGTTCTTTGTTGCAGTGTCCAACCTCAACTGCTCATCACACTACTCAACGGTCAAATAACGGCTCAGTCAACGGTACAACCGCCACTAACGGCTAGGGAATCTAGATCTACCCACTGAAAAATAACCCATGGGAAATCTAATATCGGCTGGACCCATTGAAAAACCTGGAATCAACCCATGGAAATTTTAGTATCGATTTATCTATACCCATTACACTCTGACATTCCAGAAGCACGCCCAACCATTAAATAATTTTGGGTAGTGTTCATATGTCTGAAAAATAGATGAAAATAGTTATTAATTAGTCTATACGGTCTAAAGGTCCAAGGTCACTCTGACCTTGCCAATACAATAATCTTTATACTCATTAACGTAGCCCTCATGGTTGAGCTCCACAGACCCGCTCAACTCAGACACGATCTCGCCGTTTCCTGCCACCAAAACCATTCCTCGAGGCATCTGGGTGAGATCTGGCATGGGCTCCACCAACTTGTCATCCAAGATCAAGCTGGTGATGTTGTTAGCGGCTTGTCTGCCCATGTACATGGCCCAGCCTGCGCTCTTGATGATGGGCAACTCTACCAAGTCTCCGATGACAAAGAAGTGAGTGTGCTGGGAGTTGGTGCTGGTCAACTGGAGGTAGTCGTTGACCAAGATATTATTAGAAGCAGTAACGAATTCCGTGCGCAATTCACTGGTGAGTATTTGGGTGTTATTCCTGTGAGAATTACACCATTGGTTCAACGAGGATGGAACCACCTCACCAGAGGTGGTTTCCAAGTCGCCGTTGGGCAATTCTCGCGCAATTCTGGTATTAGTGAGGATATTGACTCCTGCCCTCTGCAACGACTCATGGACGGTTTTCTTGAATTCATCGCACAACGGCTCTGGAGGAAACGAGGCATGGGGGTGGATCAAGTTGACGGTTTTCTCGGGAAATTGCAACTTGATGTCGCCTGCAACCTCGATCCCCACGGCTCCTGCGCCAATGATGGACACCGTATGGTGCGAGGCCACCTTTTCTTTGAATGCTCGCATTTCGTCGAGGTAGAACTGGGAGGTGTATGCTTCTGGAGTGGTTGGCCAGGATCTGTTTCTGCCCGAGGCCAAGATCACGTAGTCGAAGGCGATGGTGGCGGTTTCCTGGGATTGGTTCAAGGCGTAAGTAGCCGAATTGGTGCCGAGCTCGGTGACTCGTCCGTGGACGTAGGTGAGCTCTATGCCAGCGTCCTTGTTGGAGGAGGGACTGGCTGCGTGGACCTTGGCCAATGAGTCGGCTGTAGGCCCGTCGTTCGACACGATACGGTCGAACGTGAGCTGGTGGAGCTGGTCTAACGGCACGTACTGGGTGTTGGCGAACTCGGTGTCCACGAACGCTTTGGGGATGCCAATGATGTTCAAGAAACCGGAACGCGGCTCCACCAAGGTGATGGAGATCTTGGGGCTCTTGCTGGCCAACGCAGTCGAGTACAACGGGTCGGAAGAACGCTCGAGGAAGTGCTTTTTCAAGCTCTTGACGGCAGCAAGCCCTGCGTACGCTCCACCCACCACGAGCACATTGGTGGTGAACGAGGTGGCCGTGCGGGTGGTGGAGTCGGGAAGAACAGATGCGATCGAGAGGGGCATGAGGCCGGTTCAGCCAGTGGATGCTGTGGTGCGGCGAGACGAGGACGGTGCTAGAGCCCTCTTAAGTAGAATCAGTTGGTGTGCAAAATTATCTTTTCCATCAGTGTTTTTCGGGCGGGTGCATGGTGAAATATGGGGCCAATAGCCGAGTTCGGCACAACTGCGCGAAGGGTGCATAATCAGATCGGGTCGTGGGAGGTGAAGGGTTTTGGTGACGGGTGGGCAGTTGGCTCGGGAGTAAACTGTCCACTGCACCCATCGTCACCTGTGCTTAGCTTCGGTGGCACTCACCAACCGTTGGATCATCGTTAGACTCACGCGCCGGAACTTGGCAGCGGTTGGACCCGAAATTTCAACTGTCTCAGAAATTTCCTACTGCGGAATTTCCTACTGGTCCCTGCCTCGCGAAATTTCCCATTACACGTAATTTTGTAGTGGAAATTCCACTAACGTACCACCCACGCGAAATTCTCCTACTGAACCCTTACTAGAAATTCCATCTATCTCGCGACCCTAGCGATTACTAATCTTCCAGGACCCTGAAATGTCTGAAATCGTGGTCGTAGGCGCCGGAGTGCTTGGCCTCTCCACTGCACTCGTGCTAAGCGAGCTTCGAGGCGTCCACCTCACCGTGGTGGCCCAACACGGGCCTCACGATCCTGCCTTGAACCTGCCCATGTCCAACCACTCGGCCTACACCTCGCCGTGGGCAGGCGCCCACTACCGTCCAGCGCCCAGCCGCGACGACGCCGAGTATGACATGGCCATGATCACTCGCCTAACGTTGGCTCAATTCCAGCAATGGGCGCACTCGCACCCGGAATCGTCCATCCAATTCGTCGATGGCATCGAGTACTTCGAGTCTCCCGACGCCATCACCCGTGGCCTTGGCAGAGGCTACACCGAGCAGATCCGCCATTTCAGGACCATCGAGCACAATCTCCCGCCTGGAGTCGTGTTCGGCACTCGCTACGATACTTGGGTGCTAAATCCGCCAGTTTTCTTGCGGTTTCTCTACCACCAGCTTGAGGCCAGGGGAGTCACGTTCGTGCACAAAAAACTCGACTCCCTCAAGCAGGTCAACCTGCTTGTGGAGGGACATCCGTTGATTGTCAACTGTAGCGGCAACGGCTTGCTCTACCACGGGGGCCACGACCAGCAGGTGTTCCCCATCCGGGGTCAAACGCTTTTGGTGGACCCTCCCGCGCACTGCCGCTACACCCACGAAACGGTGACTCACCAGCTGAAGGATGGCCAGTGGACTTTTGTGGTTCCCCGTCCCCACAACGGAGGCGTGATTCTTGGAGGCACCAAGCAAGTTGGCGACCTCTACGATGGAATTCGGGACGAGGACACCCGTGCAATTTGTGCAAGAGGTGCGGTTCTATACCCCGAATTGATGAAAGTCGACAAAAACGGAAAAAAGTACTTTGACATCAAGCGAGTGAACATGGCGTTCAGACCCGCCAGAACCGGCGGGTTGCGTATCGCCTTGGAGCGCAAGGATGCCCTGCAGGGAAGGGACAACGATGTCATCCACAATTACGGTGCCGGAGGCATGGGCTACGAGCTCTCATACGGCTCGGCGTTGAGAGTGCTTGAAAAAGTCAAAGAGGTGGTTCTGGGGCTGAAGTTGTAGGCTGCCGTTCTATTTGCAAATGCACGATAGGACCAAATAATTGATATGTGAATGATGAAATAATATGATACTTATTGATGTTTTATGAAATAGGAAGATTGAATGAATGGTGATATATGACTACTCGTGGGCTATAAATATTGGCCACTAAGATGTAATTAAGAGCATAATCTTTCGACGAGAAGCACCGATTGAAATTAATGAGAGTAGTAAAAGTGCTAGGGCCAGGGGAATTGTAAAGCATACAAAGCATCCCTGAATTAGGGAGTTCGAAACTGCTGTTAATTGTTGACTTTTTTGCTAATGGGAAGTAAATTATATTCTACTGACTATGTACCTATTGCAATGGACATGTACAAAGCCCTTCTGGTTCTGAGTTGCAAATTGACCTCGAGGACATGTCATTCTACTTTTTTCACTTAAGCTCCTTGTATTAACTGGGGAGCTAACTATTCAAAATATAGATGTTTATATAGCCCGTCGGGCTTTATGTCCTTTAACCCACCTTCCTTGAGCCTGAAAACACCCAGCTAATTGATCGGTTTGTATGCAGGATACACCCAAACCTCATCGCTGGACAAACCACCCTCGCATTTTCCTCAACTAATGGTTGTATAGTGTAGTGGTTATCACTTTCGGTTTTGATCCGAACAACCCCGGTTCGAATCCGGGTACGACCTGCTTTTTTGTTTTTACATGTGGGCTGGCTGATAAGCACTCCAGTGAGGCGTTAGCGAACAAGGCTTATTTCCGGCCAGGTAAATGCGTTTGACGTAATGCCCAGAGCTTGGTGTTTTGTGCTCAAACAACGGATTTTGACACTCCAACCACCGACACCTTGTGAGCTGCATCAGACAGCACAGCACAGGCCCGTCCCGTTAGTCCTGGCGGCCAATGGCAGCGCCATTGTGCCGAAGCCATGGAGCCATAGTCATCGGTAGAGACACGCCCGCAGTCTATTTCCAGTGTGCACACTAACCAGGCCCACACGTGGGGGTCTCGCTATATACGAGTGGTCAATCTTAATCTCGGGATAGGCCAATTAATTACGGCCTTCAGCGCGGATTATCCACCTACATATACCAGGCACTCCACCGTCTGTCACCCCGATCATCCTTACCACCACCATGAAGTTCGGAGAACATTTGAGAAAGGCCCTCATCAAGAATTACTCCTTCTACTACATCGCCTACGATGACTTGAAGCACCAGTTGAAGAAGGGCTTGAAGGACAACGACTACGAATGGAGCAACGAGTTGGAGGAGGAGTTCCTCAACGCGTTGGAAACCGAGTTGGACAAGGTGTACCTGTTCACCAAGGTCAAGAACACCGAGGTCAACCGTCGTATCAAGGAGCTGGAAGCCTATGTCCACGAGGTGGTCAACGCGCTCCAGAGAGTGCAGGCCAACCCCAACGACACCTCGATCACCAACCGTCCCCAGGAGCAAGACTTCGAGGACTTGGAACAGGAGTTGAGTGACATCATTGCCGACGTCCACGACTTGGCCAAGTTCAGCAGGTTGAACTACACTGGGTTCCAGAAGATCGTCAAGAAGCACGACAAGACCACCAAGTTCAACTTGAAGCCCATCTTCCAGGTCAGATTGAACGCTAAACCCTTCTACAAGGACAACTACGACAACTTGATTGTCAAGTTGTCCAAGTTGTACGACTTGGTCAGAACCAGAGGTAACCCCGTCAAGGGTGACTCCAGTGCGGGTGGCTCCCAGCAGAACTTCGTCAGACAGACCACCAAGTACTGGGTGCATCCCGACAACATCACCGAGTTGAAGTTGGTCATCTTGAAGCACTTGCCTGTGTTGGTGTTCAACGCCGACAAGGAGTTCGAAGCGGAAGATGCGGCCATCACCTCCATCTACTTCGACAACGAGGAAATGGACCTCTACTACGGTAGATTGCTCAAGGACGAGGGTGCCGAAGCTATCAGATTGAGATGGTACGGTGGCATGAAGTCCGACCAGATCTTCGTGGAGAGAAAGACTCACAGAGAAGATTGGACGGGTGAAAAGTCGGTCAAGGCCAGATTTGCCCTTAAGGAAAAGAAGGTCAACTCCTTCTTGAAGGGTGACTTCACTGCTAGCCAAGCCTTCGAAAAGGCCAGAAAGGACGGTAAGAAATCTCCACAAGAAATCGACAACTTGGAAAGATTGGCGAAGGAAGTTCAATACCGTGTGTTGAAGCATAAGTACAGACCAGTCATGAGATCCTTCTACAACAGAACTGCATTCCAATTGCCAGGTGACGCCAGAGTTCGTATTTCTTTGGATACCGAATTGTCTATGGTTAGAGAAGATGACTTCGATGGCTATGACAGAACTCGCGGTAACTGGAGAAGAATGGATATTGGTGTGGACTACCCATTCTCCCAATTGCCTGAAAAGGATATTTGCCGTTTCCCATACGCTGTTTTGGAAGTCAAATTGCAAACTCAATTAGGTCAAGAACCTCCTGCATGGGTCAGAGACTTGGTTGCTTCCCACTTGGTCGAAGCCGTTCCAAAGTTCTCCAAGTTTATCCACGGTGGTGCTAGTTTACTTCCAGACTACGTCAATTTATTGCCATTCTGGTTGCCACAAATGGACGTGGATATCAGAAAGCCAAAGGTTGTCCAAGAATTTGGTATCAACAGAAAGCAACAACAAAGAATGTTAAAGTCATCATCTTCTGGAGGAGAACTTGACGATGAAGAAATGACTGGTAACTCTTACACTGATGGAGTCCACTTCTCAAATGATTATAACCCATTGGAAGACGACTTAGATGAGAACAGTCCATTGTTATTGCCAAACAACTACTCTACCAGACACTCCAACTCTCCTGTGGCTGATTTCTTCTACCATTTGTATGGAAAGTTCTTGTACTACTTCAATGATGACCGTACTTTCACTGTGAAAGAAGGTACCAACTTTGACTTGAACAAGACCTTCGAATCCAAGATTCCAAAGGGAAAGAAGATTGCTGTTCCAATCAGAATTGAACCAAAGGTTTACTTCGCCACTGAAAGAACATTTTTGAGTTGGTTATCCGTTGGTATGATCTTGAGTTTCACTGCCACCACCCTCTTGAACTACGGTTCTAAATCCGCATTGACTGCATCTATTGGTTTCTTCATAACCGCTTTGTTCACCTTTTTATATTCAGCCTACACCTATGTATGGAGAGTATTGATGATCAGAGAAAAGAAGCCAGTTCTTTACGGTGACAAGTTTGGCCCAAACATGATTTGTGCTTGTATCTTTGCTGCCACATTTGTTACCTTTGCCTTTAAGTTCCTTGAAAATTAGTAAAAGTCGTTTAATTCTAAGCATGTTATCAATACACATAATCATCATTTCGATGCAATAAAATAGTAAACATGTAGCCCTGTGGCGACTACAACTCCGATGATAACCCACAATCGAAAAGCAACGATCGATCTAATCATTTGTTGTATATTCTGCTTTGAAATTCAACTCGCAAATATATTCTATTGAGTATAGGGAGTAATAAAGATCTTCCGCGAAGAATTCATTAGAGCAACTACAAGGAGTTACTTAGACTAGTATTACCGTTTGTAAATTGGACTGTTTCGGTAAGGTCTCCAGCAGTAGCCCCTAGAATAGAATTAAGCATGAGATGGCTCCTAATTCTTACTCGTATAGAATAGTTGAGAAAAACAAAATTCATTCAAGGGCACAATCTTCACCAACTGATCAGTTGCATAGACTATACTATACTGTTGTTTTCGGTTACAAAGATTAGGAGTACCGTACGGCGTGGTTCAGGGTCCAATTTTTGCACCCATTCGTCATGCCTGTGAAAAGGTGAACAAGAACACAAACACGTAACAAGAACGCAAACAGGTGATCAAGATCGCCTCCATCAAAACAGTCTGGTACTATTCATAGCTTGAATGCTCCTGGATTTGCTTCTGGCTCATCAGGTGGATGCCCGCCAATCCAGAGATATCGATGGTCTTACAACAAATAGCAATAAAACATTTTCCAAAATGCTTCCTAATCAATCTGTAGTTCCCTACTAGATACATTCTTCTATTGTCAGACATCTATACTGGACAGAATAAGAAACTGCCCTGCCCGTGGATAACTGGAACTGACTAATAAATTACGTAAGCGGGACTGTGTTCAAATGTGAAAAGAATGTCTTGGTATCGCCTTCATCTTCATCCACCATGGCCTATAAAGATATCGTGCCTATTGGCAGTGCCCTCATTATTGCGGCTACCTCGTTCGGATTGGGTACCGTGTACGCCCAATGGCCTTATGACTTGCACACCTTATGGAGATACCAGCCAGAAGCTTTCGATGTCTCGATTGCCCACTATCGTCAATGGGGTGAGTCGCCTATGTACGTCCACCACGTGTTCCATTTCGTGATGTTCTTGGGGTTGCTTGGTTCGTTCATCAAGTTGTACAAGCCTAGTGAAGATGCGAAGTACTTCGAGTACGGGTCTTTGATCTTGTACATGGTGGCTATCATCATCTACCTCACCAACCTCAGAATCGGTGTCAATTCGTGTTTGACTGGACAGTGGGGTGATGTTGACAAGAACACCGGGGTCAACGTGATTGCTGCTTCGGAAATCATGATTTTGTTGGCCCTCGTTGGTGTATTGGTCTTGCAAGGAGGATTGTACTACGCTGAATGGTACGACAACAAGTTGAGAACCGAGTTTTTCAAGAAAGAGGCTGAGGAGGCTGCTGCTGCTGCTGCCGATGCTGCTGCTTCGACCACTGCCTCCGCCACCACTACTGGTGCCGAGACCAAGTCCAAGTCCGCTAAGAAGAGATCTAAGTAAGGGTATAGTAATTCCACGTATATACAGTATCGAGCTTATCTGGTAGCGCTCTTTTGTGTGCAGGACGCGCTTCCACCAATAGAACCTCCGCAAGATTTACTTACTGAAAAAACTGTTGGTTATACAGACACCAAGCAATAATGTCAGACAAAGTTTACGGGGAATACCCAACCTACTACAAACAGCCCATCAGAGTAAGTACGCCGAAGATGTAACAAGATCCGAATGATGGTGGTGGGATGAGATAGTTACCATGAGAAAGTGCTCGAGGCCTGAAGAGCATCCAGCGACTGGATTGGCACAAAAGAACAACTGAGCTATGAGTCGGGCCTACAAGGTGGGATGTGAACGAAATCGTCAAATAAGGGCATGTGGGTCCGCTGAATGGCACCCAGATAGTACCCAAATAGAGCATCCAAATAGAGCACCCAGATTAAGCATCGCCATGAACGTGGAAGCCAAACAAAGACAAACCTCACAGAGGCAAAACAGGTGGATTTCATATGAGCACACTCAAATTCTTCTGTTCTCGGTGGTTTTCTTTGAGTTGGTCCTCGCTTGCCATTGGTATCCACAGTTGTCCACAGATCTCATCACTGGAAGTACCAGCACCACCTCCCATCCGCATCTTGCAACAGCGAATAATATACTAACATTTCTAGTGGGCTCGTTACCATGCACACACCAAGCCACACTTCTTCTGGTCTGTGTTGTTGGGTCTTAGTGCCCCAGTCTTGTTGTTGGCCACTCCTTTGAGAAGAAAGTACTTGTACGCCGACCACGAGCCAATTCCTAACGTTTACCCATTGCCAACCAGACAAAGAGATCAAAACTTGACTGGTTACGACGACGAGTAAGTCATGGGACGATTTGTGCATTAGAGGTCTTTGGATCGAATAAATACCATCAATATTTATTTCATAATAAAATTACGACATTCAGGTAATTCTTCACATGGCCTGTCCGTGCAAGCGTAGGAGCGAAATGTGCCACAGACCACTAGGCAGGCTAGAATGGTATATTGCCCTGTCCAAAGTCTATGATGGTAGGTGGGTCGTGCGCCTATCGCACTAGTAAAAAAATTTGAAAATTTCCATACTCTGTTCAACACTACAATCAACCTAATTTGTAAATAGGATAATGAACAGGTTGACCAGTCTATTGATCAGGCCCTCCGGATTGGCCAGAGGTCTTGCCATAAGGCCTGCTCCATTCACCGTCATCAGCAGCAACATACACACCTCCAGCCCCCGCCAAAACGGAAATGTGTTTGGAGAGTTGACCAAGAAAGAGTCGGAACCAGTTCCAGTCGAAGAAGACGTGGTTCAAGAGACCGAAGTCACCCCAAAGAACGACACCACCTTGCAAGAATACCACATGAAAGAAGCATTGGAAAGACAGTACAAGATCGACAAGTACGTGACGCCATTGAAGAAAGCATTATTTGACGCCAACGTCGCCGAAAACGGGTTCTTCAAGAACAACCAGATAGTGGAGCATAACGGCAGCAAGTACAAGTTACTGTTGACCGAGGAGGAAATCGACATATTGGAACCATCGGTATACTTGAAGTCATTCCGGATCAAATCGTCCATGAAGAAGGCCACCCAGGTGAATCGTTTTGTCAGAGGATACAACGTCAAGACCGCCATCAACCAGTTGCATTTCAACCCCAAGAAGATGTCCACTGAGTTGGAAAAGTTGTTGAAGAAGGGATTGCAGCAGTCCCGCGAGCTCGGCTTGGACGAGGACACCATGTACATCCAGAGTTTGTGGGTGGGATCCGATGGTGAGTGGGTCAAGAGACCAGATATCAAGGGTAGAGGCCGGTGCGGGATCATCGAACATCCGTACGTGCACTTGCGGGCCATTTTGAGGTCCAACCAGACCAAGCTCCGTAAGGAGTGGGAGGCTGCACAGAAGAAGCTCCAAGCCAAGCCAAGAATGTTCTTGAACAACGATCCCTTGAACTTCAAGGTGAGACCATACTACAAGTGGTAGTCCTGTAAATATACACATCGGATTGAAGTAGGGCTTCTTAGGAGTCCTGTAAATATACACATCATCGGAACTTAAGTGTAGTCGACAGTCCTGTAATATGCATCGAATTGGTGTGCATTCCTTCAAGTCGTAGTCCCTTAAATACACGTCTGGAGTGTAGTCCTATTTATGTACAGATACGGTTGACCTGGTAAACTTCTGGGACCAATATCTATTACAATAGATGTAGGAACAAGTGTAGCCTTGTAAAGACACATCGTCGGGATGACGTAGACCAGGCCATACTACAAATGATAGTCCTTTTAGTACCCATTGGATTTCGTAGGAAATTTCTGGACCACTACTATAGTGGAGGGAACCTTTCTTGGATCAGTACTACTTGTTACCGATGCTTTTCGTCACCTACTGGTGTAGGAACCTTTCTTGGATCAGTACGACCTATTACATGCCTTTCGGGATCATCTACTGGTGTAGGAAATTTTCGGGGTCCGAGCCATAAATGGTAGTCCTCTAAGTACCCTTTATTGTGTTGACGTAAACAACCTTGCTGGATCAGCTATTATTACTCTTGATGCAGGAGCTTTTCTGGGTCCAGGCCATACTATAAATAATAGTCCTGGAATTCTGAACATCACCCGATTGACGTAGACGTCCTTTCTGCTCCGCTACAATACTCTTGACCTAGGAAACACCATTTGGTGCACCAAATGGTCACCATCTCAATGCTCTTGGTGGATTGTAGGAGGTGAAAGGAAAATCCTGTAGTCAAACCCAAGAATCACCTCAGAAAACTGCACCGATACCCGTCCGTCCGGACTAATCGTTACGATGGTCCTAGAACCAACAAAATGCCACACATCCTGCTACTTAAGGATCAACGAAGACGCCGAGCAGTTGGGTCCCACTGCCAGATATGTATCCAACAATTTCCAGATACTGGGGGTGAGAACCGTCTGTGGCGAGACTGCCTGAGTCCAACACACACGCACAGGCTAGCCATGCCTCCCAGCACCGGGCCTCAGCACTCCTAGTGCCCATGGCTACTTATCGTACTCCTCCTTCCTGGAAGACGCCGGTCGTGTCCGTACCGCATGCAGACCTGTCTTACCTGAATGGTGACCCCTAGCGGGTGTGGAGCATTACCCCCTAGTAAGCAGACTCCCACTAGCACCCTCCTAGCCAATGCCACCCTGCCACCTCTCCGGCCAGCCGTAGCCTCCTCTCCACCGTGACGGCCCAGTTCCCCTGGTGGGCCCACGACACCTGACCTCCCTTCTCTCCCCAAATTCCCCCTCCCACAACCTCGTTCTAGTCCCACAATCACCTGTCCCATCTAGGCGTTTCATCCTCCACAAAATACCCACTAGCCTTAGGCAGTGAGTGCATAACCACGCAGCATATATATATATGTAGCACGCCCCTGATTGGGTCATCACTGTACAACTTACTGCTGTTACGTTTGCTTGTCTGAGTCACTCGTCCCACGTCCTGCTTACTGCGCTGCTGCTAATTCCCCCCCTGATTGAGCCCAGCACCGTACGATCGTGTACGACTTTGGCTGCTTTTCCCCCTAAGCGTAACAGAGTTGGAATTAGGAGATATAGATTGCCACCATATTTATCGTTAGGAGACCACCAGTTGTTTCTTTACACCAGTTCCACATTCCCCAGCAGTAGTGTTAGGAGATTGCCGCCAGTTGTTAGGGGTTCCACATACCACTTCTTGTTAACAGATAGCTGTTAGCAGACCTCCACCCGTTGTTAGCAGATTCTTACGCTTCTGCTAGCACGTTATCCCCCCGGCACTTATCACACCTAGCCTCCAGCTGTTAGCAGATTAGCACCAGTTCTGAAGAACAACCATACCCTTCCCCAGCACTTATCTCCCATCCCTCCGTTCCAATGGGCCTCAAGTTCACCAACTACTTCGACGACTCGATGTACGAGTCGCCAGACGTCAAGATCATCGCCTGTCTAGGCTGCTCGTCCCACCTCTGCTTGTCGGACTTGGTCATCTGTGACGGCTTCACAGGCGCCAGCGGACCCGCCCTCTTGGTAGATAAGCTCATCAACATCGAGGCTGACTCCCCGTTGCAAAGAACCAGCATGAAGACCGGCCATTACCAGATCTACAAGGTCCGCTGCCACCAGTGCAAGGCTCCGTTGGGCTGGTACTACAAGAAGGCCTACAGCTCCAGCCAGAGCTACAAAGAAGGCAAGTTCGTGGTGGAGGAAGCCTACGTCAAGTTCGTCAGCAACCACCCCTCCACAAACGATCTTTTGCAACAGGCTATGCGCAACAAAATCAGACGAAGATACAGCTCCACCAGCACCATCAGTTCGGACTCACTGGACGACCGTGGGGGCATTGACGCCTTCAAGTTCACCTCGCCCGACTTGCACAAGCCCCCGCTCGACTACCGGGACTACACCAACGGGCTCTTTTTGAACCGGCTCCGGATCCCTGGCATCAAGAACGTTGACGAGGAGGACGAGGATGAGGTGTTTGTGGACGCCTAGCGACCCCTTGGTCTTGTTTTGCTGGTGTACCCAGTCCATGACCAATTCCCCGACCCCTTGTCGACGATGTTTCTAATTCTCTGGCCGTGGGCTTGCTCTTTTGTCTCTAGATACTTTCTACGTTGGTAGATTTCATTTCTCTACGATCCCAGCCAGTCTTTTGGCTTTGTTTTTATTGGTTTGTTTGTTTCTCCTCAGGTAAGGTAATGGTTTGGTTGCGAGGAGTGGCTGGTCTGGGATCTACTCTATGTTGGTATATAGCTAATGAATATTAATTAACAGAATCCGTTTGATAGTATAGGAATTATTACTAAAAAGATAGTTAATAGCTATACCAGATCTTTGTGATGGTATATATTCGTAACACCTAGCCCAGCCTATTCAGATCCATATGATGGTATATAATTTACATTATTTGTGGACCATATCTCTAATCAATTAACACCAATCTTAGCTGTTAATTATGCACACCTACGCTTTTGAAATTCTCACTCCAACTGGTGGATGTTGCTAAAGAATTATAGCTAGCACCGGTCGTAGCTGTGTTTGATGGTACAAAACTAATTTATCCAAGTACTAGCCTACTTGAATAACTCCATGTTGGAATTTTGTCGATAAATACAAATACGAACACATAAAGTCCTGTGCCGTACATTCTACCCTTCGACAGTCCGGATTAGTGGACGTAGCGAGCCAATTTTAATTGACACTAATCGTAGCCTGTCCATCACTCTATGATATTTATATAGTTTAATTGACACATCTCATAGCGCTATAATTGATACAACTCGTAGTCCTTACTCTATGGTACTAGCTTACACAACTCGTATCTAGTTGCACATAACTAATAATATTAATTAACACAAATGCGGCTCGAAGGAAACGGGTATCCTCACCCGATTTATTGGGTTATCTTCCAGAATTAGTCTTTGGGTTATGTTCCACCAATTAGGACTACAACGTCCGTCTATATGCATAAGTTGGTCACTTAAGATGCTTTTATCAGCATCTTGAGAACATACTCATGAATAGGTGAGCTTATTGGGGTTGACTCTCAATTCTAATAGTTTATTGCCCCACCTATAATGTCACGATTTCTTGCACGGAAATTATGGGGTTGTCCATAGTACGCTTTTAATTCCCCGAATTCCAGCTCAAGCCTCAACCCCAAAACGTTTTCGAACAATGATAAACGGAATACGAACTGGACTATAACTTACTACACTTACAAATACCCCCAAAATTACTCTAATAATGCATTGTCTAATATACACGGACCAGGCCTAAACTTGGCCCAGAGCTTCTTTGAAGTGCCTAGGGATGCTTCTCTTGCCTATGTGTTTCCTCTTCCTAGAGTTTCCTCTTGTTAGAGCTTCCTCTTCTTCCTAAAGCTTCCTCTTCTTCCTGTTCTCCCTTTTCTCCCTATACCTTCCTCTTCTTCCTGGCACCCTCGTCGCCGTCCAGACCCCGCTTGGCCTTGGGGGTCAACTTGGTGTACACCAACACATATGCAGCAGGGTCGCTCAATGCCTGGCGCTCGTGGATCTTGTTGATGTACTCGTCGTCGTAGGTGGCCCACGAGCCGTCTGGCTGCACGCAGTGGGCCACGTAGTGTCCCGAGGAAATGGATCTTCCCTCGTGCACAATCACTGAGATCAACTTGTACTTGGTAGGAGTTTTGTCGGCGGTGTACTCCGACAAGTCCAAGTACTTGGAGTAGGAGATGGCCTGCTTCATCTTGGATGACGAGTTGCCGTTGAACTTGAACCGCTTCAAGTGGATGGTCAAGGTCTCGGGCGACCTGTTGATGAAGCTGATCTTATTGGCACAAGTGCGCTTATCGCACTTGTCGCAGAAGTACCCTGAGTTGTCGGACTTGTCGACCTTGATGAGCTCGTTGGAGAAGAAGTCACGCATTGACTTCTCGATCGAGTACTTGTGGGAGGTCTGTGCACCTTCGTCGAGCGTCTTGTGCTTCTTCTTGTTCAACCCAAGCGACAAGTCGTAGAACTCCTGCTTGGTCTCCGACACGTTGTGGCACACCGAGCAGGTGATGTGCTGGTCTAACAACCCGCCAAAGATGTCGTAGATCACCGACTGGTTCAATTTCTTGCCCTTGGGGGTGGAGTCCTCCTGCAACCGCGACATCAACGACATGTAGTACTCATGTGAGTCTTCCTGCTGCCACTCGGACATCATGCAGTTGATGTCGTCCAACCGCAGGATGATCTTCTTGGGGTTGATGTACTTGGCTGGCTTGCCCTTGGCCTTGGCACCATCCATGCCCCACATCTTGGCTGCCAACTCTGCCATAACGTGTGTCACCGACCGTGGCTTGATGCTGGAATCAAAGCTGCCAGCACTGACCTCGTTCAAATAGTGCACCATTGCTGGAATGTGCACCAACGATTGGATGGCTGAATTCATGTAGCAGGTGACTCCGTGGTTCAAGAGGCCCACGGGGCGGCTGGTGGCGAGTTGGCGCCAGCTCTTGTGGATACGCGACGAGCCGTTGGCGCCTCTGTCGTTGTAGTTCTCGTTGAAGTCGTAGAAACCGTCCAACGACACTGGCGGTTTGGCGTCAGCCTCTTCCTCTGGAGAAGTGGGAGGCGTCGACTTGGACTCCTCCTGCGGCAACGTCTGGGCGGCATCTGCCTTCAAGTCGTGCTTGAGCTGCTCCATGTCGGCATCTTCATCAACGGGTGCATCCGACAGTTCAGACGAGCTGGACGCCGAGCGCTCGAAGTCGTTGTCGTCGCTGTCGTCGTCAGGCGTTTCCTCAGCCGGACCCTTCTCGTTTTTGGCTGGTGCAGACGTATTTTCGTCCTCAGTCACTGGATTCTTTTCCTCCTCAGTGGCTGGCGTCTTCTCGTCCTCAGTGGCTGGCGTCTTCTCACCCTCGCTGGTATCGCCACTGGCCTCGCTGAACCCTGTAAATGGCGAGTCGGTGCCCTCGAGGTACTCGGACGCGGATTCGTAGTGAGAGTCGCCTTCAGACAGAAACGCCTCACCCACATCCTCGTCGTCAGCGTCTTCAGCCTGCTTGGCCTGTTTTTTGTGCTTGTTCAAGAGCCTCTTTTCGCTCTTGGTCAAAAACTTCTTGCCAGTGTAGGCAGCCACAGCCTCGGCCATGGATCTGGGTTTGGGCTTCATGGGAGCTTCTTCGGGTTCTGGGAGGACTTTTGGAGCTGGAGCAACCGGATTTTTCAGTCTGGATAACACGATATAGCTGGCAGGACGATCAGAGGAAGGGTCAGAAACAGCTTTTCCAGGCTTGAACGTCAATGGGTTGGTGAGGTACCGGTCGATTAAGGGATTACTGGGGGCGGTTACTGGCGGGGCGGATGGTGGCATCGATTTGACGGAATAACACCCACGGCTGGTCGTGATGTGTGGATATAAGTGGTGGGAGTGGGTCTCGCGTCCTGCTAAAATCCTTGCGATGCTCTTTTTTGTGTGCAGGAGATGGATCAGGAGAGATGAGGAGGTGGGGAGTGAGATGGGAAGTGGTGGATCGTGAATGAGCTCGTAGGATTAGGTTAGCGTGTTTGATGGTGTGGTTGTTGTTTTAGTTAAGATGTTTTGTTGTGCTCTCGTCAAGTGCCGAATGCTGTCCTTCTTACGATTATTGATATTTTTCCCAGGAGTTAAGAAGCACCAGTCCCGTTAGTGTGATAATTATTATCCGCCAACTAGAACTTGCTGGTCATCTGCGTGGCATTTCTGGAATTTACGATAGCCCTATAATTTGGCCGAGAATACAACAATCACACTCCACATCCTCTTCAATTGTTCTTGTAATTATACTTACACTCCGTGGCATTGACTCCCCAAGCTTCCAGATAAAATTATCCACATGGATATTTTTGCATCTCCAATCTTCTATTTTTATTTTTTTCACATATTTAAGCCCTTCTGGACAGTTAAGAGCTCCCTTAATCTGTTGAATTTTGGCATATTCCTGCCACCAATCCTGTTTTAGTCGATTTCTTGAGACGTAAAATATAGCCAAGATCACACATGCATCTTGTTGTATTTGCGACTCCTTAAAGTAGACCTTCAAATAGATTGGAGAAATTGTCGGAAGTAGGTAACAGCTCAATCCAATTACCAGGTTGTAATTAATTATTCGGTCTAATTTCTGCCATTTCATACATGATGGAGTCTTTTTCGTTCATTACCTTGCAATATATACCAATCACATAACTAGCTATTTCCTCATCTAAAACCCATCTGATTCTGCGAAATTATATTTCCTCGAGAACGTTTTTTTGATCCTTGATAATTCTGTCCACATCTTCCAAAACACATAATGATCCTCTGTACCTTAGAGCTTCTTTCTAGATCTTCTACAAATCCATTTCTATGGACCTCACTTTTCCCCGAGGGTATGGGTTTTCTAAAACCCATATTTGATTGTTTTGAAGCCTTGTGTCCTGTAGATGTTCTGAAAATCTATTTCTTCATGAATCCTTTTCCACCTAGAGAAAGAGCCGGTTTTGGATATCCTTACTGACCAATGCCTGCACCTCGTGCTGGCCAATTTGCGACGCCAACCGTGAGAGGTCGGGGATGTCTCTGCCACCACTCTTCTTGAGCTTCAACGCGTGTTCGTCCTCGTAGGCCCCTGGCCTCGACGGGAACTTGGCACGGGATAATCGCACCCCCAGCGACTCCTGTCTGGGAAGTTTCGGTGACCTCAATGGCGAACGGGTGTGGGACCTGAGCCGGTCCTTGTCCTTTGGAAGAATGAGCTGGTGACGAAGATGGCTGCGCCTGGCATCCTCGACGAAGCTGCGACGCTCTTTCTTGATCAACTGCATCTCCGCGGAGTAGGCGTTGTCGTTGAACTCGTCCTCGTCGATGGCATCGTCCTCGTCGTCATTCTTGTGTACCGAGCTGCTCTCTACTGAAATGGCATCCTCCATATCCGAAACGTCAAGTCCTCGCGACTCCTTGTCGCCACGGCCCTCAAGGTCGCTTTCGTCTTCGTCCAGGACCTCTGAACCATCGTCCATACACTCGTCCAGCGCACTGTCGGGTCTGGGCTCCGAGGTCGAGCTCTTTTTACCAGGACCCTCTAAGAGCTTACGGTGGATCAAGCTCTCGAATCCGAGCTCGAACTTCTTGTTGAGTCGTACCTTGCCAACGTCCCACTTCTGCAAGGTGTCGACCAAGCGAGACACTTTGTTCATGGTGTCGTCTTCGAGCTCGTAATTGTTGATGGCACTCCTTCTGTACTTGGGAGTGGCTTTGGCCGGAGTCACAGCCTCGCTACCATCCCCTTCAGAGCCTCGCGTAGTGTGGCCACCGCTGGAAGTCGCACTGTCGCTCAACAAGTGCTTGATCCACGCCACTGAGTTGTTGTCTTCGTATTTCATCGCCAAAGCCATCGCACCCATATCCACTGCGCTGTAGAAAATCTCGATGTCTAAGGAGTAGTACTTGTCGGAATGGATGCCAAAGTCCCGACGCTTGGCCTTGGGCAAGATGCGCAGGCTCTGGCTCACCCCACTCTTGCTGGTGCCGTGGCTGCTGGCATGATCCTCGGGATACGTCCGAAACGCCCCAATCTCCACCTTGTTTTGAGCTGCTGTCTTGATAGGATCGATAACCAACGCCAAGTACGGGTCCTGGAAGTTCTGGTTCAACGCCTGCGTGCTCACGTCGATCCCAGAGAGCCAGCACCCGTACCCAGGATGCGAGTGGTACCAGCCTACGATGTTCTCATTGCGGGTCCCCAACCTCTTGCTGGCTTCGAGGTACTGTACCATGTACTCATAGCCTTCAGCCTGAGCATTGACTCGCGTTTCAGTCCCTTCCACTGGCAACGCATACACGTCCATCACCACGATGGCGCCTTCCATGATCTTGCCAGTAATCATCCCCATCACTTCGATACTGCCGCCACTTTTGGCGTGCAACGTCATCTTCATCAACGCAATGGCAGAAATATACACTTTGCGGAAGTAGTTGGGGTCCGACTTCCACGGCAACGTTCGTGCAAGCGTCTCGTTGATGGCTGGAAGCTTGTAGAAGGTATCATTGATAGATGCCTGGGTCTTGGGGGTCCTGTCTCTTTTGGCGAACAGTGACTTGTTTTCGATGGCACAGGCCAACTTGTCAATATCAATTGACATTCCAACGGGGAGATCCAGCTCTCGCGCTTCACTGTGTGCACAGGACATGATGATAGATGTAGTGGTTGGATACAAGTCTTGAGCCTGGTGTAGATACCATCTCGGTAATTCGCACGACTACTGGGTTCACAGTTACATAAGACATGCATTCATAATAATTATAGTATAGCAAGTGGAACTTGATTTTCCGCTGAGGATCAGTAAGCATGTGTAGATCCGAGCTATGCTCTAGAGTGCTCAGTTGTACTCAGGCTCCGGCTGATAATATAAAGGATAAGGCGAGAGTGGGAAAGGTGGTGGCATCTGCCCTTGGAATTCATGGCCCTCGTAGGGCATGAAAAACTGAGGGTAGAAGAAGTTGGGTGGTGGTGGTGGGGGTGGTCCTCCTGCACTGTGCAAGGGGGGTCCGAACTTTGCACTCATGGGGGGCCCTGAATGGGGTTCGGATCCTGGAATGTAATAGAAATAAGGCATATTGCTATTGTTTCTTTTGTAAGAAATTGGAGATGTCATTTCCGAGTTTTCGTCGGAAGTGCTTTCTGCTTTGGTGCTTGGCTTGGTACTTCTCTTGGTAGGAGAAGGTGTGGGTGTGTTCTCTTTGCTTGAACCAGGAGATGGTTTGTTATAGACAGCAATCTTGGAAGGCTTAAGCCCTTTCTTGTCTTTCAAATTGACAAATTCACAATTTTGAGACTTTAAGACAAAGGGAGCTTTATCCATTTCATCGTATTGTGGTTTTCTTCTGTTGAAGTTATTCGATGAACCATTAAACTTTGATTTTCGGAGGATCTTTTTGGGCTTTTCGTTTCTTGTGTTGGAATACCTTCTATTCAAATTTATTGGTGGTGGAGCTAAAGCGATTCCCTTTACCCTGTCAAAAGACCTGCTTGGGTTGACAAATGTTTCCCGATATTGAACGTGCATAGTTTTTCCGCAAAGCATGGAGTGATTCTCCCTTTCCACTGCACTGGCTGCACTAGATTCATCCTCAAATTTAACAAAAGCAAAAGTGTTGCCTGGCTTTCGAATGAGATCGACATGTGTAATCATCCCATGGCGTGAAAACCGTTCCTTCAATTCCTTATCTTTGATATTTGGGCTTAGCTGACCGACAAAGATTGAGAACTTGTCGAAACTAGGCTTACTCTCTAGTTCCTCAATCTCGGGATCGTTATTACAAGTGTCGATATTCTGCGCCCACTCAACCTCAAAATTATTCCCCTCAGAAAGATTAGCAAAAGCTCTAATAGCGTCGTCCCTGTAGACAAACTTGCAGTACCAAGCTTTTGAGCCTTTTGCAGAATGAGATTCAACGAGAACACCTGCAGGGTCACTCTGAGCAAGTTGTTCAATTTCTCCAAAATCTGTAAGGTGTTTTTCTATAGCCTTCTCTGTGAAAACAGTCAAGCTAGACAAGAATAAGGTTCTGTTTACCTTAGCTTGTTCGCAACGAATGTTTCTTCCGTTCAATATTGAATTGTGTCCAAATTTGATTGCCCGCTTCGCTTCCAAGTTGTTACTATACTGGACAAAAGCGTAGGGCCGATTGCAGGTGTCCCGCAATACTTTGACGGTAGAAGGCACACCCCATTTTTGGAAGTGAGTTGCCACGGCAACACTGAGCTCGTCGTCGGTCCTGTTGGCAGCCAAGCTGGCAACGAAAACACAGGAGGATGGTCTTCCTCTGCAGAATGTTTTTTCGTTTTCTGTCAGCTTTATCTCCGAAGAAAGTGGAAGTGGCTTGTCCGCTGGCTTAGCGACTGAAGTGGGTGTCTGGGCGGCATTGGAAGCTGCACTCGCAACGGATGGCGACTTGGGTGCCTGCTCGGTTCCTGACCTCTCCTTTGATGCACTGCAACCGGGGCGGTCTTCGTTGGACTCGGCGACTTTAGTATCGGCCATGGTGAGTTATGGAGCTAAGTAGGAGCAAAAGACTCAGTGAAGTGCAATTAGGTAGATAATGGTTAGTTTTTTGGGGAGCTTGTTGGTATAAGTGGCTCCAGTTGCTTCCAAATATCAGACGGTTCTAGTTGCTCTAAATCTATTAATGTAAAGATTACCGCCAGAATTGAATACACACCACAACAATTTTTTTGTTGGTAAATGGCTGCAAACTTTTGGCACGGGTAGTGTCCCAACATAATGTGTCATGTCGCGACATATCTGGGGCTGCGGGGGCAAATGGTGACAAGAATCAGTGCAACGGTTGCAACGACATTCTAGTGCCACGGATGGACAGCGAGTGACTGTTACACTCTGTTGGCTAGGGAGAGTCACAAAAGACTTCCCAAGCTGCGATCCAAATGAGAACGCCTTTTTTCGCCAGATATAGCAATTACTGAATGTCTAAAGGATGTTCATTAAACTATTATCTAACTTAGTTAAGATGATACCGAATAGTGACCGAAACCTAACCGGGAATGCAGAAAATAAAGAAGAATTTTATATAAAAAGTTTTATGGGTATGAAAAATGTTAATACAGAAAGAAATTCATCACAATAAGATGGCAGCAAATCCGGCGGCAACGATACCAGCGGACAACTTAGCAGCAGCAGCACCGCCTTGGGCGACGGTTGGGGCAGCGCTTGGAGCAGGCTTAGAAGCGGATTGAGTGTGCTCAACACCAGCAACAGTGGTTGGCTTTGGACCGGCTGGAGCAGAACCAGAGACAGTCACGTAAGAGTTGACAACGGTGGTAGATTCGTGAGACTCAGCAGCGACGCTGGATGGCTTAGCACCTTCTGGCTTACCCTCAGTTGGAGCTGGGCCTTGTGGCTTACCGGCTTCAGTGGTTGGCTTAGCTTCTTCTGGCTTACCTTCGGATGGCTTGGCACCTTCTGGCTTACCTTCAGTTGGAGCTGGGCCTTGTGGCTTACCTTCAGTTGGAGCTGGACCTTCTGGCTTACCGGCTTCAGTGGTTGGCTTAGCACCTTCGGTGGTTGGCTTACCTTCAGTTGGGGCTGGGCCTTCTGGCTTACCTTCAGATGGAGCTGGTCCTTGTGGCTTACCTTCAGTTGGAGCTGGGCCTTCTGGCTTACCGGCTTCAGTGGTTGGCTTAGCACCTTCGGTGGTTGGCTTACCTTCAGTTGGAGCTGGACCTTCGGTGGATGGCTTACCAGCTTCAGTGGTTGGCTTTTCACCCTCAGTGGTTGGCTTAGCACCCTCAGTGGTGGTAGATGGCTTCTCACCTTCAGTGGAAGATTCACCGTGAGGAGCTGGACCAGTGGTTGGAGCGGTAGTTGGAGCGGCAGGAGTGGTCTCAGAGGTCAATGGACAGTAAGTGGTGTAAATAGTGGAGTCCTTGGTAACAGTTGTGACACCGGTTGTAACTGGCACGGCAGTACATGAGTGGTCGGCACAAGAGGTGATGGTAACAATGGTGGTCTTGATGTCAGTCTTGGTGGAGTAAGAGTTAGACTCGGTGGTGACACCAGTAGATGAAGCTGGAACAGAAGAGTGTTCGGTGGAGCTAGAAGATTCAACGGAAGAAGTCTTACCGGTGGAGCTGGCTGGGACAGAAGAGTGTCCGGTGGAGCTAGAAGATTCAACGGAAGAA